TTGGGTATAGACGTACAAAAGTGGCGGACGTATTTGAACGATAAAGGGTAGTAAACGAAGGGTACAAAAACACAACAAGTGAAAGAAGAATACTGAAAAAAAAAAAAAAAAAAAAAAAAAAAAAAAGGGGGGGGGGGGGGGGGAAGACAGGCACTTTTTGGCAATGAACAAAAGTCGATCCTATATCATGTTGCGACCAGAATGTTCTGGTGCCTCCGGACGGAGAGCCGTGGGCGTTGTCATCGATTCGGCAAAGCTGTCAGTAGGGCTGCTCGCGCGAGCCTCTTCCTCTTCTAGGCGTCGTCGCCAATTGGTAACGCTCTGGCTTAGAGTGGACCCCTCGTGGCTCTCCTTGATTGGGGTTGTTGCATCCAGATCGAATGTCGAACTCAACCGGTGATTACGGTTTGTACTTTCCCAATGACTGCGGAGGGCATCTAATTCATTGGCAAGAGAATCCAACGCCATCGAACTACGGTTGTCCAGGAATAAATCGTCACGAGAGACATTACTGTTGCCTCGAGAACGACCCCCGCCAAATCCACCAGCTGTCGCTGTAGACGCGTTGCTCTGACTTCTGGAGATGTTGCCGAAACCTTGTCCATGCTGGGATTGACGGCGATGATTGTCGACAGATGTTACCATCTGCTCGAGCAGCATAGTAACCCGCTGTTCAGCATGCACGGCTCGCGATTCCAATAGGGAGTTTTCTTCTTTTAATTGCTCAATTTCGACTCGTGACTTGTCCGTTGCGGCAATGAGTTCTTGTTTAGCGATCTCGTGCGCTGATCGGGACTCATGACTCTCGGCTTGTGCCAAAGTCAGATCTTGCTTGAGCTTGGTGATCTGGCTCTCGAGTTCGGCTATAGAGGAGCTCATCTTGCTCTGAAGCTCCGCAAGAGAATTCTGAAGCTCCGACCGTTCGCTTTCCCAAGATGTCGAAGCTGAAGAGTCTGCAGATTTCTCGGCATTCTTCTGCGCGTTCTCCAGTTCCGTTTGCAAATTATTGGTAAGTGTCTTATACTTAGCTAACTCGTCCTTCATACGTTTCAACATCTTTTCTGTGCCCTTCACGTAGTGAACCGCAGCTTGGTAATCGTTCTCAAGCTGCTCCAGTTTCTCTCGATAGGCACGATCAGCTTCTTGCTCACGAGACTCAAATGCAATCTTGGTCTCTTCATGTGATTTCAGACTGGCCTGGAGTTGCTGCTCGAGATCACGGAGACGCGTTTGCTCAGGTGTGCCAAAGCGGGATCCAGGTGAATCCAATAGTGGCGACCTTCGGCTATCCGAAGCATGAACACCTCGTTCTCCCAGCAGGTCCTTGAGTGCACCGTGTTGGATAGCCAGAGCACTGGTATCACGCTGCTGACTCTCGAGTTTTGACTTGAGCTCCTTGTTTTCTGTCGCTGATGCTTGGCTCTCTTTGATGGCTGTTTGCAACTGCCGACGAAGTTGAAGACCTTCACGGCTAACCTGCTCCTGGTATGCCTCAAGGCCTGCGATACGTTCTTCCGCGCGCCTTAGTTTGTCAGCCGCATCATCAGCTGCCGCCTGGTTCGACCTGGCCAATTTGTTAGCTGTCTCAACTTGAGCTTGCAAGGCAACAACGCGCTGGTCGGTGATCGACCGGATTGAGCTATCGGAGTCTAATGACGATGCACGATCAAGGCCCGAAATAAATGCAAGCTTATGACTCTCGGCCTCCCGTGCATGACTCTCTGCCAATTCCTCTGCCTCCTTCAAACGGCGACTAGCGGTCTCCAACTCAGCAGTTCTTTCTTCATGATCGGATCTCAACTGCAACAGTTTTCGTTCCAATCCTTCGCGACGCTCACGCTCTTCTTCCAAGTGTCTTTCCATCAAAGCAGCCTTCGTTGCAGATGCAGCAACAGCTTCACGGAGCGACGTCATGTTGCTTCCATGATCTTTGAGCCGTGCGGATGCTTCTTCGAGTTTTTGGCTTAATTCCTCCTTATCAATGCTAGCTTGTTTGTGGTTGGCTTCTGCTTCGGAGCGAAGGGCAGATTCTTCCCTGGCATGGGCTTGCAGCTGATGGAGTTCAGCTTTTAGACTCTCCAGCTCCAAGGAGTGGTTTTGCATCTCCAACTCGGCCAGTCTCTTTCGTGTGGCTTCATTCGTTCCCTCTGCCAGCTCACGAGCCCTCTTTTCTTGCTCGAGATCCACGGTAATGGACTCCAACTTCGATTTCAACTCTGCCTGGGACGCCAGCGCCAGCGCTAGTCTCCTACTGAGATCTGTTGTGCGCTCGGCATTCGTTTCTTCGTCAGTACGCGGCGTTCCTTCAAGCTGCGGCGTGCTACGCTGGCTGCCTCCATGTGCGGCTAGTTTGGCACGAGCATATGCGGCCTCGCTGATCGCAGCGTCACGTTGGTGCTCCACCTCGGCCACTCTCTTAGATGCAATAGCGGCCTGACGGTCTACTGTTGCTTGCATCTTAGCTAGCTCAGCCCTCATCGAAAGAAAAGCCTCGATCAATGGTCGATCCTCGTCTGTGAACACCTCTGGAGGGCGCTCATCAAGTGCCGAGCTACTAGCCGGGCTAGGGTTATACCCGGCTTTGCGGGCTAGAGCCAACTCTGAAGCATACCATGCATTACGATTTCTGGTCGCTTCAAGCTCCTTGATTAGTGCTTCTTGGTGAGGGGTAAGTCTGGGCGATCTAGGTTCGTCACCCAGAATACGAGAGTTCCTGTAGGTCCGGGACTCAATAGACCCGTCCACGCTTGGCTGCCTGCCCAAAATAGATTCGTCCGTACTATCCATCGAAGCTCTTTGCCGCTGTCTTTGTAGCGATCGCTGCCTTGTTGGTGCGCTCATGAGAGGAGTTGCTTCGCCAGCTTCCATTGCTTTAGCAGCTAACTTAGACGGGGGTTGAGTATTGGGAGTTCGACGACCTTGAGAAATTGGACTCATATCTGCCGAAGGCTTGTTGTTGCTGTCCATGGGTAAGGCCCTGGAGGTTGGAGATTGCACGTCTCTATCTGTCGCGACAGAACGTACAATATCCACTTGAGGGCCAAAGCTACGATCTTGTTTTGTAGGAGGTGTTTTGCTCCTAGGCGCTTGCGGGGCCTGTCCATTCATTCGCGGAGTTGGAGTCGGTGCTTGTCCTGGGGGAGGAGGCCCTGACGGTGCTTGGGCAATAGAGGCTCGCGGAAGCCTTGATGCTGCCGTTCCCGTTCCTTGAGACAAATCTCCTTGTGGTGATGGTTTGACATTTGGACTTATCATGCTTTCTCGATATGCGGCGGTCGTCCGACGCGGCTGGTCAATGGGAGGAGTATTCTGTGCTTCTCTAGAGACTCGACCAGTGGGGATCGCAGATTTGTCGCCGCTCATTTTCCGTGCATCGACAGGCCTCTCGCCGTTTGGGGCAGAATCAGGCGGATAGCGAATCTTTCCAGTGTCCAGAATATACGCCATGCTAAGTTCTGTTGGATCTCTCGGTGCTGAGCTCGGTTCACCAGCCATGACAATAATTTGCCGCCCAAAGGCTGTCATACTATGTCCTGATCTGGGAGACGGAGCAGGACCCATATTTTGGAATAAGAACCACCTCTTGGTAGTGATACGGAAAGCAGACAGATCACCAAGATCCATGCCCTCCTCATTGCGACCACCGAAAACATACATATAGTCACCTACTAGTGCTGCAGCATGTCCTTCGCGCGGAGAAGGGACGAAACCGATGCAGTCTAGTTCTGTCCACTGATTTGTTCGTGGATCATAAGACCAAACATCATTAAACCATGTCACTCCATTCGTTCCTCCAAACCTAGAACCCCCAGTTAGTTATTTCTGTGCAAAGTGAGCTTCGCAAATATATCAGGATTGACCATACAGATATAGTTTATCGCCGTAACTAACGGTCGTATGATTCGTTCGCGCGGGAGGAATTTGGCCTGCGGGCGGGCCACCATCATGTGTGTTCCGAATTAAGAACTCCCACTTGTTTGTAGGACTTTGAAGGGCGTTTAGGTCAAAGGCAACCAGGTCATTGAAAAAATAGCCTTCAACCTGTCCTCCAAACACAAAAAGTTTGGAGCCGAGAATATTCAGTGTATGGCCATACCGTCCCAAGGGACGGGGACCGGGAGGAATTGCTCGAGACCATTGACGAGATGCTGGAGTTGGGACGAAGATGATTAGAGCTCGTTTGCTGTTGAAAATGGTATTATAACTTACATGTATTAAGCAAATAGAGTGTGTCATCCAAAACATCATGGTCGGCAATCTTCGTGTCACCGCCAAAGACGATGAAAGCGTTCCCTACCAGTAAACTGGAATGGCCTACACGCGGACCTGGCCCTTCCGAAGCTGTCGGAATTGGAAAACATGAAAGAGAACCGCTACTACTTTCCACCATCCACAAATCTCCCTTTACCGTGGAGCCGTCAATCAAACCACCCATCATGTAGATGTCGCCTTCTTTCGAAGCAATTGAGTTGATTGCGGCGCCATATCGAGGGAACGGGTTGGCATTTGAAGCAGTGAAATTTAAGCGTCGCTGGGACCAGGGATATAGAGCTGCATTTGTGTTCGTAGTTGGAGAACCGGGTGTAGCTGATGAGGAACGCTGAATCTTGACATAGGTTAGATATGCCATTGGGATTATTTAATTACAAACGTGCAAAAGCTCCACAACAGAAGTAAAAGCACACGCACCTGAGATTCGGAGTCTGCTCGCTGCCGCATTCGAACGGGATCAGGGCTATTGGCACTGGTGACAGAATTGAGAGAGTTGTTCACACTCCCACTAGGTGTCGGAGACGTTATTCTGCCCATGTCTCGCGCTCTATCCCCGTCTAGTATCGGTACCTTCTCTTGTATTGTACCCTCCGAGGTGTGTATATTCCTGCTGGCCGGGGGAAGTCCCGTTCCTCCCGGCTGTGGTTTCTTCGACCTAAATAAAAAGGACATGGTGGGATTTCCTTTGTTTTCTTTTTCGTCTCCTTCGGATTTTGATTCCTTCTATGGGATTTATTCCTCGAGGCTTTCCCTTCAGTGTTCTCAAATCACGCTTGTACGCTCAGCGAAAGTAATCGATCGTATTTCGTCGGACTCCCTTCCTAGTAATTGTTCAATCGTCTAAAGAAGAGAAACTGACGTGTTCGTAGAAGCATCTGACAAGGGGAACGTATGTGTATAGAACGTGTCGTAGCGCGGCAATGGACAGGGATTGGGTTTCCGATAAAAGAAAGTGTTGTTCAGGGACAGAAACAGTTAACAGGCGGCAGGTCAGTCATTCAGTCCAGCGCAAGTGCTCGCAAAGCATTACCGCCTTAAGCGGCAGGCATGAGAAAAGAAACTGGCCAGAGATGAGGTCGGACAGGCAGGGAAAAAAAGAAGAGAGAGGTCAACTCTCGATGGAAAGGGAAGTTGAGTCAAGTCGAGTCAAGGACGGCCTCCGTGTCAGTGTCTAATTAAGCCGTGCCGTGCCCGTCTCGAAAAAGTTTTGGCTCGGTGCTGCTGCTGCTGCTGCTGCTTGCTGTCGGGGCAGGAGCGGCTGGCCAGGGACAGGACTCGCAGGCAAGAGCCAGGGGTGGCCTTTCTGCCCTCCCCACAATGCTACCACCATCCGCCTGTTTGCGGACGCTGATTGGCTGGCGGCGGCACAGTTATGGCTCCGATCATGGCAGCTGCGGGCCTATGGGGATGTGTGCAATGGCTGCGCTAGCATCAACTCGTGCTAGCGCATTAGCACCACGAGCATCGGTTTCGCAACTATTTTACCGTAATATTACCGCCGGAACTCATCCCTCGATTTTGTATATGACATTGAGAGAGACTGATGTCGATCAAGACTGTACGGAGTACAGTACATATGTACGGCTAGTCGATGCCGGACTATCTTACTCAACTGGATTTAACTATAGAGTAGCGCCTGTTGATGATAATAAGTTAGCCTAATATTAATTAATGCTACATGCGCACTGCAAGGTACGGATAGCTTCATCGTGTAGAGATATCTCGGCAAGCCGGGCCGCGAGCTTTGTTTACTCTCGAAAATACACCCAGTCGTACATGATACAGGTAAGTTTTGGAACAGGTATTTCCTGGACTATAGAGTAATAACGAGAAATATCAACCATCAAGTATAGTTCTACGTTGCTAACTCAGTTGCTATACCATATGTATAAATACTTAGGTATTTCTCGTATCCGGTATTACATATATCACACGCCCACCACTAATGTGATTGGCTAGGACAGTCGCCTTGTTACCGGCGGTCTGCCCACTCGTATTACCCAATACGTACGAACGGGTTTCTTTGAACGGGCGTACCCGCCATTCTTAACCTTGGCATATAACTCATTTTCAACTCACACCATTTATCACTAAGATTTTAAGCAGAATACTCAAGATACTGTCTTGAACACAGTAAAAGACCTGGGCTTTCTGCCAAGTCTCAATCCGAAATAGCCTGTCGGCGGCGGCTATAATTAGCTAAATGGGTTGAAGCCCAAAGGCTAAAGCTATTCTATGCTTGGCAGACTACTAGCGCATTTACAAGGATGACTTTGATGTTTGACTTTGGACAGAAATTATCCTACGGAGTACAGAGCACGACGTATAGAAAGATTTGAATAATTGAACAGGAAGATAACATGGGCGACCGACCTTTTTTGACAGCTCACATCCTACCTGCATTAACCATGCTGCTAGTCTTCTTAAATTCTGCAGGACGGAAGACGGAATATGTACATGTTCATGGAGTTTATTAGTTTTGCAGATTTGAAAATCTGACCTGATTGATCTGATTCCCGCGTGATCTTCTTGCTTTTTTCTCTTCACTGAAGGGGTTGGCTACGTAGGTAGCCCTCGAGATCACCTATTCGGCATACCAGGAGGATTTCGGGCCTTATAGATGACGAATTCCCTTGCAGCGAGGGAGAAAGAACTTTAATATTATGCTCTATTCGCTAGCAAGTATTGTTTAGACACACATTAAGTACTCAGACTGACAAAGCGTATCGATTGAATGCGATGATCAATATTGAATATATGTCCGCTTTCGACTTGTTTCATTCAGGTTGTACGGATTCGGGGAATTGATCTTCCGTCACCCTTCCATGTTACGCCAAGACTTCCACAACTAAGCTTTATGGGCGTCTTCTTGCCGTCGACGCCAGACCCTGCAAGACTGACGAGCTGTCTCCGTCGGATTTATAGACGTTCTTGCTATCAGGAAAACTGTCCGGCACAGCGCCCTTCTTGAACGAGTGGCCTGTCTTGAGAAAATTGAACCCCGTGCAGCTGTTTCCAAAGAGAAGCCTTACCGCCCGCGGCATCTCCCCGCGGGCTTGACACAAATGTGCTGAGCACAAGAATGCGCAACACAGGTAAGACGCTATTTCGAGCTAACTGATCAGACCTATGCTGAATCCTTCATGGTCAATAGCAGACCCTGAAGTGCTACATCTCCCCGAAAGGCTTTCGCTTGTGCCCCCTTGCCAAAAGATGACCTATTCGCCATGAGAGATCCGTATCTCAACATGGAACACAGCAATCATAGCAGGGACATCCAGTCAGGGCCAGCACCGGTCACCAACGGAACTCGAAGAAGCCAAAATAAGTCGGTCCGAGTGAGCTTTGGTCCAGAACCAGACTCCGTTCTGCCAACACGCGATCGCTCGCCCAGGCCACTAAGTAGCCAACCGCGGTCACTTACCGAGGTGGAATCCCAACAGTCATCTCTACCACCGCCAGTACATCGACCAAACGGCTCCTTCAATGGTAACTCTGGGGCTACACCCGTGGAAAATGCCATTCCTCCAAGTCGGTCTGCCATCAATGGTCGTCCAGGGTCGCTTCAGCGTGCAAAAAGCGACTACGGGCCCAGGTCTGTAGTCAGCAGTAAAGGTACCACTAGTGATGATGACGACTTTGCTATGAGACATGGATGGCAAGAAGAGTATACGTCTACAGAATATTTGAAATTACTCCATTCGGTACGTCATTCGCAATGCTTGATGTTACTTTATATGGCGAAGAAGCTTACCTTGTCATAATAAGAATTTCTATATGTACTTTACCGAAAAACGACATGAAACAAGCGGTCCACCTAGAGATCTAGCTGGAAGCTGGGCGATCCAGGAATGGCGTATGAGGGACCGATTAAAAACCGTGTCTGCAGCGCTCGCAATTTGTCTAAATATCGGCGTTGATCCTCCGGACGTTGTCAAGACGAACCCTTCCGCTAAGCTGGAGTGTTGGGTGGATCCTACAGGTACTGCCGGCGGCCAGAATAAGGTCATGGAGCAGATCGGAAAGAAATTGCAAGAGCAATATGAAAATCTCAGTTTAAGGACAAGATACAAGCAATACTTGGATCCGTCTGTGGACGAGACTAAGAAGTTCTGTATCTCTCTTCGTCGGAATGCGAAAGACGAACGAGTCCTATTCCATTACAATGGGCATGGTGTTCCATTGCCAACCCAGTCGGGGGAGATCTGGGTTTTCAACAAAAACTACACTCAGTACATTCCAGTCTCTCTATATGATCTTCAATCATGGCTCGCTGGGCCAAGTTTGTTTGTCTTTGATGTTTCTCATGCGGGTAATATTTTGCTTAACTTCCAGAGTTTCGTCGAGAAACACGAGAGAGAGAATCTCGAAGCCAAGAAGAGGGACCCCGACGCACCTGTTCAGAACTACTCTGACTGTATTTTGCTGGCTGCTTGCCAGAAGTCTGAGACTCTACCAACAAACCCCGACCTACCCGCAGATCTTTTTACCTGCTGTCTTACTACGCCAATTGATATCGCACTGCGATATTTCATTCTGCAAAATCCTCTGAACGCCAATTTTAAAGTGGATGAGAAGATTCCTGGGCGCTTGCAGGACCGCAGGAGTCCACTAGGAGAATTGAACTGGATCTTCACCGCTATCACCGATACAATTGCTTGGAATACTCTGCCTCGTCCTCTGTTCAAGAAGCTTTTTAGGCAAGACCTCATGGTTGCGGCTTTGTTCCGAAATTTTCTGCTCTCTGAGCGCATCATGCGAACATACCAATGCCATCCCATGTCTTCTCCCAAGCTGCCGGAAACTCATAGTCATCCACTCTGGCAAAGCTGGGATCTAGCAATCGAAATGGTTCTCAGCCAGCTGCCGGCTCTGGTGGACCATGAGGAAGGTCGAAGACAATACGAATATCAACATTCTACATTTTTTGCCGAACAATTGACTGCATTTGAGGTTTATCTTTCCTCCGGGCCGACGGAGAAGAATCCACCGGATCAGTTACCAATTGTCTTGCAAGTACTATTAAGCCAGGCCCATCGCTTACGGGCTCTCATACTACTAAGCAAGTTTCTAGACCTGGGCCCTTGGGCTGTTCACCTGGCCCTCAGTATAGGTATCTTCCCTTATGTTGTCAAACTATTACAGTCAGCCGCGCAGGAATTGAAGCCGGTCATGGTCTTCATATGGGCTCGAATCATGGCTGTGGATCACTCTGTCCAGAATGATCTTTTGAAGGATAACGGTATTCATTATTTTATCACCATTTTGAACCCTTCGTCGCCAATCCCTGTCGGCAATGCCAGTGAGCACCGAGCGATGTGTGCTTTTATCGTCTCGATATTCTGCAAGAACTACCCTCAGGGTCAGAATGTCTGTCTCTCTGCAGAGCTTTTTGACTCTTGTTTAAGCCACCTGATGGATGTGGAGAATCCTCTACTTCGGCAATGGTCTTGTCTATGCTTGAGTATGCTCTGGGTAAACTTCCCTGATGCGAAGTGGATGGGTATTCGTTATGCTGCGCCACAGAGACTCTGCGATCTTACTCTCGACCCTGTTCCAGAGGTGCGCGCTGCCATGCTGCATGCACTCACGAATTTCTTGGGTATTCCAGACTTGACGCATCAAGTTGCAAAAATCGAGGAGTTCATTGCTATGGCAGTCCTTCCGATGGCCGCTGATGGCAGTGTCTTAGTAAGAAAGGAACTTTTAGTCTTCTTTTCCACATTCGTTAAACGATACGAAAACAAATTCCTCGTCGCCGCATATGAGGAGCTTGTAGAAGAAAAGCGTTCGATGCTCAGTCGGGCACAGAACGAGCTCTCACTACAAGGTGAAAAATTCGCGATCAATGCAGATGACTCAAGTGAAAATTCGCCTTCTCTATCCCATAATACAACTGTTGGAACAATGTGGAAGCAGCTTCTGATTTTGTCTGTTGACCCGCATCCTGAAATTGCTCAAGACGGCAGCACGATTGTGGACTACATTCATCTCGCTCTGTTGCAATCTCCCATGGCTGAGATGGCTACCAAGGCTCGCGACGATATTATGGAAATTTCAAGCTGCTTAAAGTCAAACAAGCCGCAACTTGCTGAGCCCGTGGAGTTCAAAGCGGCACCCGGTCCTACTCCCGCTCAGCCTCAGCAAAAACACGAAGGTTATTTCTCTTTGAGCATGAGACGTACCGCCAGTGTTGCAGCGTCTCTCAAGAATCTTGCGTTCGGCCCACCGACTCAATCTGATCAGGAGACTCTATCGCCGACATTGTCTCAACACAAGGGATCGCCCACTAAAAGTAGGCCCCCGATAACACCCCGCGGACGAGCTCCGCCTGAATGGACAAGACCACCTGAAGTAAACGACCAGGTAGCCCCGGCGACAGCATATCATCAAGCGCCGGAACCTCTATCGAGAGGATTTGAGCCAAAGGATGCCAATATTGCTCCGTCCATTCCACTTAAAAGCCGGTTCTTGGATTGGTCTACAGAGGTAAGTTTTACTAACTACCCTCTTCGATGCTGCTTTACAAAATCTCACTGTGCATACATAGTATTTTCGAGAGCCGCAGATGAAACCAAATGAGCCTGACGAGCCAGGTAGCGCTGACTACAATGAACGTCTATGGCGGAGAAGTCGAAATGAAAGGATCATAGCCGAGACGCAGCCACTTAAAGAGAAGGCTGGAAGCAGTCGCTGGCACAATTCTACGGCCTTGTTAACAAATGACACACAGCCTATGAAAATGTCTTTTCATCAATTCGAGGATCATCTTGCCATCGGGGATGACCGCGACACTATATCGTGGGCTAATTCTCCTCTTCTTTTGAAGGTTGCAATGCTGACATCTGTGTAGTATCTGGGACTGGCAACGGAACCTTTGCCTCAATCGATTCTCTAATGGCAACCCTCCTGGATCAAAGATCAACGAGATTCGTTACATCAACGAAGACGACCAGGCGCTATTAATGACCGGGTCCTCGGATGGAGTTTTGAAGGTTTATCGAAACTACGAGACGCGCAAGAAAATCGAAGTTGTCACTGCATTCCGGGCATTGCCTGAACTAATTCCCAGTAACAGAAATGCCGGATTAGTTTTTGACTGGCAGCAAGGTCAAGGAAAGGCTCTTGTTGCAGGTGATGTTAAAGTAATTAGAGTTTGGAACGCTGCCACGGAAGTTTGTACGAACGTGAGTTGCTCAGATCTTATCCTTTGGTGTCAAAGGGGCTTACTTTCTTTTCGTCACAGGACATATCTGCACGTTCCGGATCTTGCATCACCTCCTTAACATCTGATCAAGTTGCGGGAAATATTTTCATTGCAGGGTTTGGGGATGGTGCAGTTCGCGTTTTCGATCAGCGGCTCAAGTCTACAGCAGCCATGGTCAAGGTATGGCGAGAACACAAGCAGTGGATCACCAACGTCCACATGCAGCGTGGAGGCGTGAGGGAGCTCATATCTGGAAGTCGAAACGGAGAAATTCGGCTGTGGGATCTCCGCATGAATGACCCGATCAATACGATTCATGCGACGAAAGATACCCTTCGGACGCTGAGCGTTCATGAGCACGCGCCTGTCTTCACAGTGTATGTCCTTCTGCTTGCTTTGTTTTCCTAATTGCTTTCAAAAGCGATGCGATAAGGTGTTGACTCTTTTTTCAGTGGCACGAACCGACACGAAGTAAAGACGTTTAATGTTGATGGTACCTTTCTGTCGAACTATGAACCATACTCGAGCTTCCTTCATCACAATCGATCGGCACCAATATCTGCTACAGCTTTCCATCCGCATCGCACTCTCCTTGCTTGCTCTGCCTTGCAAGATAATCACATTAATCTAGTTTCATGCTGAAGCATATAAATCGGTCTGCAGTTACTTTGTTTTTTTCCTCTTCTGTCTTATTTTCTTGCAGCCTGGCGCTCGTGAATTTGCTTGGTTGCTTGTTTATGAATGATTATACTACTGAGTCATGGTGGCGTTTTCCATTTTCCTGGCATGGTATTGGCAGATGGTTATTCAAGGCGTAGCTTGGAATTGGATTTATTTTATTCTCCCTTCTTCTTTGTACCTTCATATTTCATTCTAAACTTATCATTCGTCTTGATCCCAGTGAACCCCCTTTACCAGCGAAGTTTTACCTGCCTAGTTAGTTGATTCCAGAACGACAGCCGTATGTCCAACTCACGTATATTCTTGATAATATTATATCTTCATTATTGAAAGGCTATTTATCATTTTTTGCAACCATTAGATAATTACAAATCCATCATTGATCACCTACTGCTGCACATGATTGCCTACAAGCCGTAAGCACTGATCCGAAATAGGAAGTTCCTAGGATCTTAGGGCTTGTCTATCTACAAGCTGCAGCAAGCTAGCTATGAACAAGCGAGACTGCAGACAAATCATATACGTAGTCATTACTCCGTAAACAGCATCGAATAAGCCAGATAATAAGTAAGCACTAAACCAGCAAGCTAGCCATACTCAGGCAAGCTGCTCAAAGATGAGAAATCCATGTGCAACCCAGGAAATTCGTCAACTCGAAAACCCCGTTCTGGCTTGACTATAGAGATATCGCTTGTATACTGCTACAAGATACATTCATCCATGGGCGTTTACGTTGCCGCCGTGCTCGGTGGCGCACTCTCGTTCATCGCATACTTCCACTATGGAGAGCATCATCTCTACAGCGCGACCTATTTCACTTCATTTCTCGCAATATGTGGCACTTCAGCAGCGTATCTCGCGTGGGTCAAGCAGGGCTACACAGTACTACAAGCCATATACACCATCAGCTGGACAGCAACATTCTTCCTCATCGGCGTATACGGCAGCTGTCTCCTCTACCGCATCAATCCCATCCCCGGCCAATATCAACACCCACTAAACAAATTCCCAGGCCCCTTCGGCGCCAAAATAAGCAGTCTCTGGCTCTCCTTCCAGCTCGTCAAGCGACAACAGGCGCACATCACAATCACCGAGCTGCACAAGAAATACGGCCCGATTGTGCGCGTAGGATCCAACGATTTGTCCATTACACACCCAAAGGCAGTGGAGAAGATTCACGGCACGAGTAGTAAATGCTCCAAGTCCCCTTTTTATGATCTCAATCATCCGATTACCTCTATCCAGACCACGAGGGACAAAGCCCTGCATGAGCAGCGTCGACGAGCATGGGCCGCGGCGTTCACGGAGCCCATGCTGCGGGATTATGAGCGCACATTAAAGAAATCCACAAACATCTGCTGGCAAGGATTGATCAGGACTCGGTGGAAGATAGCGAGATTAGTACCGGTGGTGTGATCAATGTAACCCGTCTCATCAACCTGTATGCCTTCGACGTCATGGGCGAAGTTGCCTACGGAACGCATTTTAATATGTTGATCACCGGCAAGAACCATAGGGCGGTTAGCCTGTTGAACGAGTCGATGGCACTGATGGGCTTCATGGCCCCTATATGGCTCATACGATTTGCCGTTGCGGTGCCTGGTCTGACGAGCAAGTGGTGGGAGTTTGTGGAGTATTGTTTTGGGCAGATGCAGAAGTGCAGACAGTCAAAAATGGACATGCCCATTATCGCTTCAACTCTGCTCAGCCAGTACAAAGAACGAGAGCCGTCTGCATCAGATATGAACCTGCTGCAAGGAGAAGCACAACTGCTCGTAGTAGCTGGAAGGTCAGCCCATCCCTCCCTGTCTTGATTTCATAGAGGAAAAGTATGTTTATGGCTCACCATCGAGAAAAACAGCGACACGACATCCGCAGCCCTAACCTGCGCTCTCTACCAACTCGCACGCAACACTCGCATCCAAAGCCAACTCCGCGAGGCAATCTCCGCGTCCTTGACAGCTTCTCACGAAACAGAGATCAAGGCGCAACGTATCCAAAACATAGACCTCCTCAACGGCATCATCAACGAGTCTCTCCGTCTCTACCCGCCTGTTCCTACCTCATTATGGCGCGATACTCCACCAGAGGGGCTGTGGATAGACGACGAGACTTATATCCCTGGAAACGTGACTGTGTCAACTCCTCAATATGTACTGGGGCGAAGTAAGCTATATTTTCTTCCAGCCTGGCTAGATGTAACCTACTAACTCTGCTCCCAGGTAGCGAGGTGTTCGAAGAATCGGACGCCTTCATCCCGGAACGATGGTATTCCAGACCCGAAATGGTCAAGCAAGGGAAAGCATATGCGCCGTTCAATATTGGTACGAATGAATGCACCATTTCTCTGTATGCATGGGAATATAGGTATTGACATATATATAAAACTTTCCAGGAACACACAGTTGCGTCGGTAAACCGTTGGCAATGCTCAATATGCGTCTTACACTAGCTCAGCTTGTTCATACTTATGAGTTTGAGTTTGCGACGACGACTACGGAGAATACAATAATTGATGAAGAAGAAAGGAAAGAAAGAGCTCAAGTCAGATGGGAGGAAAGTATTAAAGATACTTTCACGCTTGTGCCGGGTCAGTTGCATTTACGATTTAAAAAGAGGACGGTGTAAGACAAGCCATGATATTCCATTTTATGATTGATCAGGGCGGTGTATGTGAGATTGTAGATCACAATTTGTCTCTGCTGCAGTGGAGCTTGTTAACATACACGATAAGAATAGGAGGAATCAACAGAAGAAGAAATCTCAATGCGAAAAAGTGAAGGAAAAAAGCCAATTAATTAATCAATCTATCGTAACCGCCATCTCTCGCCAGCCAGGCATAATAAACCAAGAGCCCTGCAGCAACTGTGAAGACTGAAAGGGGTATAAGCACCATTTCTATCAAAACCCAAGAAGATACAAAATGCATCCAAGACGAAGAGGAATTGTTGCGACGCCGATTTACATCTTTTATTTCCTGCATATTCTCATTCCTGTCCCAGGTGAACAAGTAAGAAAACACGGGGAAACGTCGCAGGGGACCACCGGTTAGTCATTTTGATTGTTCCAGGTCATCAGAAGTGAAGATGCGGCGGCGGATACGAGGGCCATAGCTACCAAATCCAAATGATCTTCTCTTGTTTTCCTCGCTACTAATGTACGAGGAAAGGTGCTCCACGACGCGCCTGAATGCACTGGCAGTCTGAATTGCCATCGCTGGGGTTGTGAGATTGTGAGGCTTGCCGTTGGTAATATATAACATCGCTCGCTCTTCATCAAGTTTTCTTTGAAATTTTCTAGATGTGTTATCTTTCCTAGATAAGCTCTGGTGGAACCAATCTTCAGCACCTAGCACTCGCTCATAATACACACTAGCGTGGTCTGCATCGCCAGTCTTCGAATTCCATGAAATCGAACGAGGCACGACCATAGGGTCTAAAGCCGCAAGTCCTGGTGGAGGCATGACAGCGCCATTCTTTCTCAACAGAGGGGAATGATCGATGGAGACGGGGACGTTTGGAAATCCCTTGAAAGGACCCGGTACACCCTCTACTTTCGGCGCGCTCTGTAGTTCTCTCCAAGCAGTATCGCTACCTATGCTACGGAGTGCTTCCCATCGTGTATACTCCGATGCAAAGACGTTCTTTGGATATTTGTTGACGATAGGCATGTAATACTTCACCGGTGGGTTAACACGATGCTGGAATGGCGACTGCAGTCTTTTCAGTCCAGAGCGTGGCGTTTCTGAAACGGAAGACTCGGGCAACTTAGGGGGCATAGAAAATAGAGACGCGTTATCTTTCCCAGAGATGTTCATGTTGTGTGATTCTCCACTTTCCAACTTCAACTGCTGCTGTTTGCTTGAGCCATTGCCCTTGGTACCAGTAGCCGCGTTCGGCGACTTGGTAGGTTTATTTTCGGTCGATGACTGATTATTCTGCCTTTGAAGTAGTTGTGCTGAATGGAGAAATACTTGTACGGCTAGTTGATCTCGTTGGGGCGACCTTCGTAGGATTCGTACTGGGGAAGGATGCTCTAGCTCCAGCTTGCTTGTGCCGTTCTTCTGTCGTAGTGGACGCGGCATTTCTGTCGGATTGGTAGGTGAGGATGCTCTTGAATTCTGCAATGAACGACGAGAATTCTGGATACCATCCGAGTGCTTCGTACTAGTCGTAGCTTTTTCACTTGAGCCATCAAGCTTGGGATCTCCGTTTTGGTGATCAGGGTGGTCGTTTACCTCAGCTTTCTTGCCTGGTGACACACTGGAGCTAATGTCCTGTTGGATAACATCATGGGTTTGTTTCAAAGGAGGTGTAAGAGCAGCAGCAGCAGCAGCTTTGGATCGAATAAGCTCCACTTCCCACTTTGATGGACTCATATCCTGCGGCCTGAATATCATCTGGGTAGCTTGTTTGACCGACTTTCTAGGGCTTGACGTTGGAGTGGCCATTTTTTCTGGTGTTGATTTCTTTTCAGGACTCGCAGGCGGTGCAACGGGGGGTGTAGATGGAGGCGCAACTGGAGGAGGTACAACCCATGGAAGGACAGCTGAAGACAGGGCAGCTGGAGGGCCAACAACAGGAGGACCAGCAATAGGGACAGCAAGAGGAGGAGCAGAGAAATTGTTATTCATGTGGTTTTGATACATCTGGTGGTAGGTGGGAACCCCCTGGTACATTGAATAAAAATATTCCGAGACTGGATAAGGACCAGGACTGTACAAGGTCATGCGAGGATCGGCATATTGCAGTGGATAAGGATGGATTGACACTGGAGGAAGAACAGGTGGAAAATAGCGATCAACAGGGCGATTGGGACGCTTGAATTGCTCATGACCTTCGACTTTCTCTGCGCGGTATGGCTTGGACTGCCTAGGCCCTTTATTTTGCGTTGTGAAATCTGCTAGAGAAATTGGCTGGCTAGAGGGCAGCTCACTCATGTCAGCTAGTTCACCATTCATGATCCGAGCTCTGGCAGCTGTAGCTGCATTCAACTCAGCTGCCCTGGCCTGGGAGGTCAGAGAAGCACCACTTGGGGCCATTGTCAATGAGCCTGATAGTGAGAATTGTTGTCGGCCAGGATGTGAGCTTGTGTTCAGTGAGAGTCATGAAAAGTAATTGTCTATGCAAGCCTGAACACACAAGTCTCATAAGGAAAAATAAGGAAGCATGCAGCATTAAAAGACAGAGAAGAGAAGAAACAAGAAGATAAAGATAAAACACAGGTCAAGATGAAGCAGTAGAGATTGACAGATGAGGTCTGTGTCTAGGCTGATTTGAAGAAGAAGTTGAAAAGAGAGTTTTGTTTGTTGTGTCGTTGCTGGAGCTCCTGCCTGCTGATTGTTTGTTCCCAAAAGGGAAGGCGCTAGCCAGGACACGCTGGAAACCGCCGCCCGTTTTCTAAGGCTGCCCACAGGATTCTTTGACAAAGCCTTCTCAATGAGACACAGCCATAATCTCTTTGTCTCCTGGGTTCATCTTCCACGCTTGCGTTTATGCTATGAAGAAATTAATTCAAACACAGGCGGCATCTCTGCCAGGGCTACATCATCTATTCCTTTTGCCATTGTTCAAGTATAACTCACTCATCATTGATATTCAGTCAAAACTAATGTACATATCATAAAACAGCAATCGTCATAATCATAAACTGAGCATGGAGCCGAGCTCCTAGGGTCACTCCCATAGATCAAAAAGCATCCTGATCTATCGTTGGGCATTTCCGGCAGTGAAGCTGCGATCTGCGTTGGAGTTGACGCTGGGGTCAAGCTTGTTCAGAACATTGGACTTGTGAGAACCATCAGAGGTGCTGTAGGCCTGTCCGTTGCCCGGGGTGGCATAGCTGCTTCCTGCAGGTGCAGCAGAGGCGGTAGTAGTATTTCCCGTCTGCTGGTAGCGGGCACGGTTGTCCATATCAGAGTCAACACGAGGATCAATCTTGTTGCCCACGTTGGTGTCATGGGGTCCAGCGTTGGTGCTTCGAGTGTTGTAGTGGTGACCGGTGCCAGTACGAGTGCCAGTGCCGGCAGCTAGGCCACTAGAGGTGCCGTAGTTTGCTGTAGCCACTTGTTAGCATGAAAACCTGTCATTTCAAACCAAGACGCTCAGGAAAACACGCACAACGGTCACTGTCGACTCGGGGATCCATCTCGTTGGCGACGTTAGAGTTGTGGGGGCCAGCAGTGGTAGTAGTACCGGTGCCAGTTCCCATACCGCCAGCTCCCACGGCAGTTCCTGTGGTGCCTGTGGTGCCGGCAGGGTGACTCTGACCAGTTATTCCCCCTGGAGCAGCACGGTGGTCTTTGATCATTAGCCGTGTCTTCGAGGACAAAAGACTCATCGTCAGAACTTACCTCGGTCACTATCGACGCGAGGATCCAACTTGTTCATCATGTTAGAGTTGTGAGGTCCTTGATTAGTTGAACCAACGCCACGTCCAGTGCCGGAAGTTGCAGTGCCTTGAGTCTGAGACTGCTCGAAGCTCTTCGTTGTAGTATCGTCTCTGCCAAAGGCGTTGCTGCGATCTAGATGATAATCGTGAGCATTGAAGACAACTTCCCAGCGTGATTTCTCACTGCTTACCACTGTCAACACGAGGATCAAGCTTGTTGATCATCGTGGAGTTGTGGGGGCCATTGTTCGCAGAACCACTACCGTATGCGCCAGTTGTAGCATATCCGGTATTTCCGTGGCCACGAGCAGCGCGACTGTCTTTTGTAAGGTCAGCATACTGCTTTCACGAGAAAAAAGTAGGAGCTATCTTACCTAGGTCACTATCAACACGCGGATCAACTTTCTTTCCCACATTCGTGTTGTGAGGGCCGGCATTGGTGGAACCAGTGGTGGTGCCGTAAGTGTCTCCTGTAGCAGGATATCCTGTGTTCATTCCGGTCGTGCCAGAAGTGTTTCCGGTGTTACGGTGTCCAGTGTTTGTTCCGGTTGTTGTGCCGTATGCATTTCCTGGAGTAGTTCCAGTGGTGCTACCAGCGGTATTACCGTAGGCAGGGCGCCCGTCTACGTCCGGTTGGTTAGCAACCATTCATAAGAGGATAGATCGATATTATGGCATACCACGGTCGCTGTCGACGCGGGGGTCCATCTTGTTAGCCACGTTCGAATCATGAGGTCCAGCATTGGTAGAGTGCGAAGGCTTGTCGTGAGTGACGGCCTCCTTGACCTTGTTAATGATGCCCGACATGATGGTTTTAAGTCTGATAATGCTTGATGAAAGGCTTTGTTGAATGGTTGAGTGGATTGAGTATAACCTCTTTTCTGATGTGTGATCCGGCGTAGGAGAGTAGAATACACGGCGCTTTATAGACACGTTCTGATTGTGACGACATCCGCTAGATACCACATCTTCAAGAAACCCATTACGTGCCTACCTCCACTACAACAGAGCAAGTCGTACAGACAAACCCCGATGACATTCGGGGTCGTCAATTGAGACGTGACTTCACGGTACCATTGGCCAAATCATCATCAATAGCGGAGACCAAACATGTACCGTCCAATATGTTCGATCGACAAGACGACAAAGCTGGGGTAGCGACGTCATCCAAGAATGCTCAAATATCTGGAATATAGCAGAGCTGTTGCATCCAGGCGCCTCGGCGATGATGCTATGCTGTCTATCTATCTATCTTCAGCAAGATCAGCATGCCGATGCCGATATGACGTTGCTGGCCAAACAGTGCAAACACCGCCCGTGACCAGGCGGCCAATTTAGTTAGTTAAGTTAGTTAACTAGATGCTCCGTAGTTAATCCTGACCACAACCGGAGCATCAGTTTATAACTTGGTTAACTGCGCGCGAGGTCCTGTTTGGGATAGCAAACTGCACATGCCAGAGCATCGTAGATAGAAGACGGCATTGGCAGCTGCCTGGCAGTTCTGCATCCGGCGCTCACGTGATATGACGCAGCCTATGAGACGAGACAGACTATGCGTGTAGTTTTCTTACGCTGGAATAGTTTCAACTTGCGCCAGACAGTTTGTATAGCCAAGATCCATTCTCCAAGCTGTTGATTTGCTCCAATCTTTCCATTCTTCCCTCAACCCGATTTATTAATACGTATGTATCATGAAAGGTTAACTCGCGCACTGTGTCCCTAATCCGAGCCCCTGTCACGTGCCTGGCGACTTGGCCCCTCCAGACGGCCTGACTTGCCCGACTCAGCCACCACGTCTCGTTGCTATGCGCTTTGTTGCTTTATACCTAATCCATCGTTTTCTATCTTGATTGATTTTTCCGCTTCGTTCTAGCGACTGTACACCGTACAATATAGCTCTATATTTCTCAATGACCGACCCCATCTCCTCTTCCGTGAGGCCTCTTCGCTTGGTCTGAGAATCGTAATCCGTTGCGTGACCCTCTCTGTCTTATCGCCCCCCGAACGCAACCCCAAACGGAGCCAGCTGCTGTCTGCTCACTATGCGTCCGCCACGTCTGCTACTTTTGATTTTCTGTTTTATCTTTCTTCCCATTCTTCTCACTTTCCTATCGCTCATCAGCGCCGAGCCTCATCGTGGCGTCAACGGGGATGTTCCTATCGCTGGTCGATCGAGCCGGTTACACGCTCTATTTTCTTTCAACGCCCCGGCTTCTCTATTCCCACCGTCTGCCATCATCAGTTTGACCGATGACAACTCAACCTTTTTCCTGGCGCGACCAGCAGCATTCGGGCCTCTTCTCCCTTCGAAAGGCCTCAACGGTCAGCTCTGGATAGGCAGCGGCTTCAGCGAGGACACCCTCCGGAAGGGTGTCGGTACTGCAGGCTTCCAGGGAGAGCTCGGCTGCTCAGATGTTCCCGGATGGGACAAAGATGGACAATCAAAAACGGAGAAGAGCCTAAAGGAAACCGAAACCAGCACGCCCACCAGCTCTTCCCCGGACAAGGAGTCGGCCGACAGTCACAAAGGCCCCGACAAGAGCCTCGTCACGGCAGACAAAAATAGCGGGCCGGCTCCAAATGACGGCACCGATGATCATCTTCACCACCCTCTTCCTGCGAGTGATCCCCAGAAATCAGGCGAGAAGCAACCTTCGACAACACACGCCGATATTCAGTCTTTGCAAGAGAGCGCGGAAATTGCCGGGAAAGTCGTCCTACTTAGCCGGGGTGGCTGTGGCTTTTTAGAGAAGGTGAAATGGGTTCAACGGCGAGGCGGCGTGGCCTTGATAGTTGGAGATGATACCAGAGGTGGTAGTCTGATTACGATGTATGCACGTGGCGATACCTCAAACATCACTATTCCGGCGGTGTTTACTTCCTATACCACTGCACACTTGCTGTCTTCCCTGATTCCAGAAAGGGCAATGCTGGAAGGACAGACAGAAGTTGACTCGAAGAAGCTATCATCGGAGCAAAAGCAAAATCCAACGACTACAACGAAGAAAGCGGCTAGTAAACCAACCTCTACTACATCGGCAAGGAAAGAGGTTGTTGATAAAGATGAGCCTTCTGAAGTTGAAGCCAAGGGAGACAATTTTATCTCCTTCTTGTTGTCACTGGTGGGTTGGGGAGAAGACGAGGGGGGTTCTCGTTCAATAATGGAGGATAGCCGTCGACCTCCAAGCAGTGGCAATATTGACTGGGTCTTGGTTAATGAGTATGATGAGAATGAGGAAGTCAGCAAACCAAAGGCGACGCAGTCCAGTAAGGATAAAGGAAAGAAAAATGAGAAGTCTTCGAAGAATGCCGATAACCACCCTGTCGATGGAGATGGGTTCGAGATCGGGGTACACGACTGGCGGGATCCAGATCTTGTGCCACCCAAGCCCTCGAAATCAGAATCTTCATCCACTGCTGGCAAGAATGAAGATTCAGATAAGAAAACTAATAAATCCGATAGCAAAAAGGACAACGATCTCAAAGGAGGCAGTATCACGCCTGGAAGTGGAGAATACACGCATATGATCAAAGTCCCGGCTGGGTCCGACAAAACGAATAAATACGGGGTTGAGCGGGTTGATTCCAAATCATCAAACCCGCAAAGCCAATCAGACGAGAAAGGCTGGTTTGCGAGATACTTTGGCTGGAACCAAGGCGTCGACGAAGAGCTGGATCGGATAATGAAGAGCCGATCACAAGCGTATAGTGACAAGAAAATGTCAACTGGTGAAGAAAAACAGACATCTGACGACCATGTTGGTCTTTGGGTGACCATCACTCCAACAAGCATGTCGACTAGCCCCTTTTTCGATACGCTATTGGTGCTCGTTGTCAGTCCGTTAATCACGCTGACTGTTGTCTATGCACTGCTACTTCTGCGGTCTCGGATCCGCCGTCGACGCTGGCGCGCACCCAAGTCAGTAGTCGAAAGACTTCCAATTCGGACGTACCATACGATATCATCTCACTCGACGACGTCGTCAAACAGTCCGCGGTCACCAAGCCCGGGGTCTGTTACATCAACATCTCCTCTGCTCGGCACAAGGCCACCTGGAGACGCGTGCGGTCGCTCTCGGCCACGGTCCCAGACTGTGTCTGGAGCTGTCATTCACACGCATGATACCCTATCGAGCAAAGAAGGAAATGTATCTGGGTCAGACCTGTGGAGACGAAAATACATTGGACGGCAGGTTGAATGCGTAGTCTGTCTGGAGGAGTATGTAGATGGTCAAAGTCAAGTGATGAGTCTGCCGTGTGGGCACGAATTCCATGTGGAGTGCATGTTAGTATCTTCCCAGCCTATCCACAAGACGTCTTTCTCTGAACTAATCTGTATAAAATCAGCACCCCCTGGCTCACCACACGTCGACGCACTTGCCCGATATGCAAAGGGGACGTTGTTCGGTCAATGGCTCAACAAGGACCTACAACTGCCACTCGAGAGCCTCCAACCATTATCCACACAGCAGCCGTACCAACCACACCACCAATTGTTGATGATGCGAGTCTTGAGGACGGCACGAACCCAGACGTTCCATTACTGTCCGACAACACGGCATCGTCTTCAGCTCCGCAGTCTAGTTGGCGCAATTTCTCCTCTTTGAGTTTCTCAGCTCTGAATGGGGATACAATCTGGCACTCAGCTCGCAGCGATCAGAGTAGATAGTTGGCCTTTTTCCGTGTTTATTTGCCATTGTTAGCGTTTTCTTTCTGTTCCATTGTTACTCCGTGTATGGCTGGCGGCGTATGGATTAATTGTATTTTCGACTACAGTGGTAACCTAGTTACTCTGGGGACGGTGGCACATTTAGTTGACTGCTTGAATATCATGACTTCTTTAAACATACATATTCCATATACCCATTGCGGAAGCGCTCCGATTGGTCTAAGCAAGACTGACGTCATTACATTTCTACACTGCCGGAACGACACTTCAATACCTTCTTCCAACTTCCTCTCAAGAATCAACCCCCATTAAATTAACCTAAGGAACAACCCCACAAAAATGGCAGACCGAATCAAAGCCGTAGCTCAGGCCGAAATCTCACGACTCGCCTGTGTGACATTCCAGGCGCTCAGATCAGGTGCATATCTATATCCATTCCAGGTACGTCGAGTATCTGCACAACCTATCTCTTCCTTCTATATAGGGCCAAGCAAGTGAGTAGTGAATATGAATATACTTACTTACCTAAAAATACAGGGAATAATCTATCTTCTCACGCACACCACTCTCCGCCAACCGCTCCAAGCCCGCCTCATGCCGACGCTCACCCTAGGCATAGGCGTCACCGGCGCCATGTTCTTCCTCACCTACGTGCCTCAGATGGCACTTCTGGCGCTCACATCGGGGCCGCTAGTGGCGCCAATTTCAGCGGCATTGCTTGTCATTAGGGAGAGCTCGGCGATTACAGGGTTTTTATCCTCCGCATCCTCATCCTCGTCTTCATCATTGGATCTAGACGCCTTTGACGCAACGCTCATCCTCAAAGGACACGAGCGCCTCGTCGCTAGCGGACGCGAACTCAAATCCGCGCCTAATCGGTATCCAAATGCCCTTTCTCGACTGGGCCGGCTGGTAGGCATGAGCAATGACATTAAACCCAACCAAGCCCAGTCCTCCGCACTAAACCGCCTCATCCGCACTCTACTCTATCTACCACTAAACTTCATTCCCGTCGTTGGAACACTCATCTTCCTCGCCCTCTCGGGCCAAAAGGCGGGTCGGGATGCCCTAACCCGGTATTTTGAGCTCAAGGGTTTCACTGCTCGGCAAAGGGGGGAGTGGTTGGAAGCGCATGAGGGTGGTTGTATTGGGTTTGGGGTTGCTGCGGCCGTGCTGGAAATGGTGCCTTTTGCTTCGTTTCTTTTTGCATGTACGAATACTGTTGGGGCGGCGTTGTGGGCTGCAAGTGTTGAGGATGGGTCTGCTGTTACTGGTTCTGATCACGGGAAGAAGAGTTCGTAAGTAATATATACAATGTAATGAATAAGATGTATTGGGTTGGCTCGCCTCATATGTAAGTGTACAGATATACAAATCGCTATGTAAGAATATATTATTCAAATGCACAAACGAGAAACGCTGCCTGGTACTATGTACTATGTTGTATGTACCGTATGTTGTCCTTATATGTACCGATAAGAATAATAGGAATAAGAAAACACCGAAAAAAAGGGGAAAAAAAAAAAAAACTGTCCGCATAGAAGCAGATTCAAGAAACTGTCGTGCCTGGCTCATTCGGAACGCATCCCCAACTGCAACCTCGTCGCAAAAACGGCAGTGGACGCAGCTCTGCACCCGATACGCGTGGACTTTTCAATCCATTCTCGTATGTAGTACAGTCCCACCACTCGATCCACTCCGTACGAGGGATCACAAAACTGCGGTGGCACACCGAACAAGACATGCCGCCGGCATGGCGAACCGCCGTTGCCCGTCGTAGCAGCCGGATCACTGGTTCTGGATAGCCTGCCGCATCTATATCGTCGGCGAGGAATTGGTCCAAATACGGGGCTTTGTTGCACTCAAGCAGTGCCAGTTCACGCAAAGATGGAACTCTGCTTGTGTTATTTGGTGTTTGAGCCGTGTTAGATCTTGAGGTCATTGGGGGGTTGCCTTCGCAATCGAAATATTTGACACGACTTGTAGCAATGTGAATTGGCGCCCACGCATCCTCTGGTGGCGGTCCTTGATATTCGCTCAATCGAAGATCTGTGCCATAATGCCATTGTTCGATATCCGTTCCCGACTGGTCAAATGACATGAACGGGTTAGGGTGAACAGTCATTTGTTTCAAGTCACCTTTCCGTATCAACAACAGCATTTCCCACGGCAACGAGGACAGTCGATTCATGGAGAGGTTGATTTCTTGCAATCTTGTCAGTTTTCGAATAGCTCCCGGAATCTCTCGAAGCTTGTTATTTCGTAAACTCAGGACATTCAGATTGCCCAACTCGAAGATTTCAGACGTCAATTCCGTCAAGGAATTGCCCGACAAGAACAACCGAAGAAAGGGCGTCAACGATGTGAATGCTTCGTCGGTAATTGGTCCGCCAGCTACTGTCGGCTGCTTGGTTAAATGCAGCAGTGGTCGAAGCAAGTCGGTAGGAATGCTCCTCAAGCCAAAGTTGCTACATCCAGTGTCAGCAAGTAGTAGTAGAGAGAGGGACAGCGCGAGTACACCCACCTCAGGTCGACGCTCTCTTGGCCTTTCTCGAGACATTCATTAATCATTGCCCTAGCGTCTCTATGTTCCTGCGGCTCATCCACGCTTCGCAAACTCCGAGCCGCAAACACAGGCCTCCTGTTTTGAGTTGCAAGTTCCGTAACTTGTTCATCCTGCTCCAACTCTACTTGCTGCTTCTGTCGACCCCACGCACTCGCCATGAACTCCTCGCAAGACGACGCCTCAGACAACAAGAGACAATCCGAAGAAGACTCATCACTGCCCATCCAAACACCACTATCCAGGTTCCGCTTCTGCTTGAAATCGGCTCTTTTCCGTTTCGTCTCCTTGGCCATTTCACCCCACCAGGTGCCGCGGTAGCGTCGCTTGCGAGAATGATCGATGTGTTGCTGCTGCTGTCCGTGATAATTCTCCAGCGACGAAGACGGGATATCATCACTCGAGAACAGAGCCGGATCGCTGGATGGTAAGCTCGTCTGACTCAATCCCGAGAGTCTTTGCGGTTTCCGGAAAGCCTGGCCGGAAGCAGCTTGAGCTTTTGTAGGCGACCTGTGACGGACTCGCCGTAGTGGGGGGAGAGGAACAACTTCATCCATGATTTCACTTTCGCCTTGGTGGGCTATCGAAAGACTCCTAGGACATGAAAATGATTGGTTCACTCGATGCGCGTCGCCTGGCCTGAGTCGCGAAAATGCGCCTGGTAAAGCGAGACAATGCTCTCGTCCAGGAAGAATATGCCAGCGCAATGGCCGGATAAGCTCCTGGAGCAGAAGCGATGCGATGGCAATCTCTGGGGATGTTGGACACCCAGAAGTAATGACTGGTTTGATAGTTAACGTGACTGTTTACCACGAGGAGAAGTCACGCCAATGACGCGTGGAGAACAGCCAATCGGGAGGCCGCAGTGTTCCGATAAGATACGGCGCAGCACATGCAACTGACGCCAGCCAAGGCTAGTATGCGCCCTGTTCATTTACAGTGAGAGATCAAAATATTATATAGAAAATGAAAGTAGAGCAGAAAGAAGATGTCTCTCAAGCACAGGCTAGCGTCGAAGCAGAATTTATTTCTGTATTCAAAATGCAGGCACGAACGTTAGGGCTATGATCATACGTTTGGATTATTAAAATGCAAGGAATGCATTGTTCAGCAACTAAGTATGTGTCAATATAAACTTGATGAATATTCCCCGAATCCCATCATGGCGTGGCTCAAAAAATAGAATATCAAAAGCTATATGAAAAGTAGAAACAAAAATAGTAGGTATAAAAGGCCAGCCACCATCATCGTCGAAGCATAAAACTAGTTAACCTCCCGCGCCTTATCTGCCGGCTGCCTGCCCTTTCATTGAAAATGTCAACATCCCCAAAGTATTTGACGGGAGTCGCAGCCACAGGCTGAAGAGACAAAATAGGCATAGACTCGTGAAAATCAATAAGAGAACATAATAAATGGTGAAAAAAAAAGTGTTGTATCATGTTGTCAACATGACTGGAAGAAGTGAAAAGAGTATTATAAAATGGATTATCGTATGATATCCTTCAAATCATCAGATATATATAAAAGGGTTCGTTTTGGCTCGTGAAAGAAGAGTGTAAAAAAAAGATCAAGCCTCTTTTGAAATAAACAGATCCCCTGGCGTCATGCTGCGGTTATCCGTGATGAATCTCATGTTTGGATGTTTAAAAAGCGGCCAACAAGACAGCAAAAGATCCAGCGACAAGAGCGGCAGGGACACTGCCAGCCAAGGGGACGGCAGCACCGGCATGGACAGAAGCGGAAGGCGTTGCGGTAGCGACTGAAAGACCAGTGGAGGCACCACTGGAAGGAGCGACGCTAGAAGAAGAGTGAACAGCCACACTGCTGGAAGGCGTGCGCGACGGAGCGACAGATGGCGAAGCAGCTGGAGTCGAAACCGGTGTGCTGGAGGCGTAGACCGTAGACGCATGAAGAATGGTCTGGGTGATGGTGTGAGTAGTAGTGATGGTCGAGGTGGACTGGGCGCTGGCAAAGGAAGCGACAGCCAAGAGGCCAGCAGCAGTGATTCCGAACTTCATGGTGATGACAGTTTCTTCGTTTCAAACGCGAGTGCAAGTGCGTATGTACTGAGATAAAAAAAGGATCCCGAGAGCAAAGGTGATATGTTCAGCGAGACAAAACGCGAGGAGAGTAGATCGCAGGGATGCCAGGCAACTGGAAGGCACACAAAGGAAGGAGAAGGAATGACGGATCGGTTTGATCGAGGTTTAGATGTCGTTTCACAGCAGATTTGAATGGTGATTCGACAATGGAAGTAGGGCTTTTCGCTTTCCGGGATAGATGAAGTAGTAATGAGCGTGGGTGAGCTCAGCTCAGGTTTGTGTTCAAACGAGTGACAGTGCCGAATAGGCGGATAGCTTGTTGCTTGTTGCTTTGATGCTCTGAAGGGAGATGGAGGAGAGGGAGGAGAGGGAGGAAGGAAGGCGTGGCCAGGGGGGTCCAGCACTTATTAAGTATGGTCACCCCCGCGTGCATCGGGACTAACCCACCACGGAGTAACTATTGCGTGCAAATTCAACATTTTTCATCTCGTCGTACCAAACCAAAGAGAGTATTCTGGATCTCAATTGGGCCACGGAGGCGAAGAAAGAAAAATTTTCCTCTTCCTCTTCTTCTTTCATGCCCTAGTCCATGGCAGCCAGTTGTTCTGGCCGTTCTGACTGGCTGACTGCACCCGATTGATTTCCAATAATATCTGCACGAAGTCCGAGGTGGTCCACAGAACAAATTCTGCACACGCGCGATAGATCGTGGCAACCGCAATCCTGGCTAGGCTCATCCCAGCCTAGCGCGAACTCCTACAGCCTGCCTTGTGGATGCGGCCTGCTGATTGGTCACCGCTGGGAAATTGCGCGGGGCGTTCCTGGATAAAGCCGTAACTTAGCCCTACTTGGTTAAGCCTAATTCGAAATTAGTAATACGCGTCACATGGCCCTGCAACACCCTCCAGACCTCCGCATTGCCTAGTTGGGCAGGCATGTATTGTGACGTAACACACACTAGTAATTAAACATACGCTAGTATTTACCGCCATCGCCCGATTTAAGCCCACAATCGCATTGGCCTGGGTTGTGCAATCATCGTACGGAGCTCAAGTATATATAATTATACAGCATAGACGGGAATTTTGATCGTGCTCCCGAGCTCATTGGCATGGGGGTTGATGAGATCAAGTTATTTGCCTCATTCTACCAAGGCATGTGAGATGAACCCACAAGAAATAGTGAAAAACGTATGGCTTCTGCCACTAGATGCGTTGTATAGCCCATTAACCCGTTACCTATCCAAAAAGTTATGTACATTTTACAATCTCCCCTAACCATCCTTCGACTTTAACAATGGATTTGGGCCGTGTTCAATTAAAGAGAAAATATCCATGGTAGCCACATAAAAATTGGCTACAATGGCGATAAAAAAAAAAAAAAAGAGAACCAGCAAGTGCTCTCTCATAGATTAATATACAGTCTTCCCCCCCTATCCGCGCAATGCCTTTTTGTCTTTCGCTCGACTTGGGTTTTGCCATTATCGGCGTTCTTGGGACTCTCGAGGAAGGATGATAGGGTTGGCGTGCACGCGACGCCAGGCTTCGTGGTATGGACCTTCCGTACGGATGACACTGCCGATGGACATGAACATTCTAAACACCATAATATTATGGATTAGTGAGTAATAAGAATAACTCCTCGAGCCAAAGGAGACGAAACTGATTGATAATGAATGGACGGGCAGATCGACATACCCAAAAGTTGCCCCAGAGCCTAGCATGTACTTGCCCAGCGTACGCATAACACCGTTTGGTCCAGCACCGTATTGGAAAATTGCGACGGCTCCTGCAGAAAATGAATCAAGTCAGAAAAGCAAATTTTTATTTCAGCCTGGCTAGGTGGCATACCGCCGATGAAGCCCATGATCATGCCGACGGCTGCAAGCAATGAATCAGCACCATCTCTTTTTTGTTGCGTGAATCACAGATACGAGCAAATAATCCAGACGTACAGGTTCCCATCATAGCGCCCATTTTCACTAATAGGGAAAAGCACAAGTTAGCATTTGGCAAACCCAAGCAGTCGGCCAACTATACAGATGCATGCGGCTCTCACTCACTCTTGTCAAAGGTAGAAGGGCCGTGGCCCTGAGGCGGACCAGCAATGACAGGCATATCGAATCAAAATGAGGTTTTCTTCTGGGTATGTGATTGAAAAGCGAGCACTGCTCAAACAGCACGGATTGGCGAGGACGGAGTTCGTTCCTTGATGTCGGACAACGCAACGCCATGAAATGCAGAGGCGGTAGAGTGCGGCAATATTATTTATCTGCGCTATACTGCTTACAGAAGACAGGTGATCCGAGCGCGACGGATCTCCGGTGCTGATTCGTTGGAGAGAGGATGCCACGTGACCTGGCACTTGCAGACGGGAAGTCGGGAACGTGAGGCGAGAGTCAAGGTCAAGTCAAAAGTTACCTGAACTTGTTATCCCGCTTTCTCAGCAGGCAAGTTCATTAACTAACTACTACCGACCCGGTCGACTCATGGATCCCTAACCTACCGCCTGCTATACTGTCTGACCCGACTCCTAACACGTCTCACCTGTCGTCCCTTCTAAGCTGGCTGACGGCGTGTCCGGCGTCCTATCTGGTGGCCGACCGTCTGGCCCCGTCGCCTCTCCTGAGTCGAGTAGTTAGTTAGCTCCCTACGTTGACTAACAGCTTTCGAGGACTTTGCGACAAATATAGGCCGACCTAGGATCCAAAAAAGCAATCCGGATATTTTATACTCGAACATACATCTTGCACAGAAATCATTCGATTGTTGTTCAGGTAATCCACTCGCTGGAGATTCGGAAATAAGTTATGAATTCCACATGCTAAGTCAGCAGTCAGCAGCCAAGTGCATCGAACAGGCAATATACCACAGTCACATCCGACACCCTTATCGTCAAACAACCTTTCACAGTCCTAATGTTGGTCGCATTAGCGCTACGTCGTCATTTTGTTCTGTATCAAACTACATAATATAAGTTTTTTGTTTGCTATCGTTGCCTTCTACGCGCATCGCCTGTTGTTTTCTCGAGTTGCATCGCGAAACGGCATCTTGCCATTGGTTTCACTCATACTCGATTTCAACCATTCATTCTCCTGATGACTGCGGTGGCATCTCCACCTAGCGTGCAATCGGGGCCTCGTCTAGGATGGTATTCTACTGGTAACGGAGGACAGGCGGCTCTTGGCTCAATGAACACAGAAGACGTGTCCCGCATGTTTATGCCGCGGAAGAGTGTACAAAGATCCAATTCGTCCTCTTCGCTATCGTCGAACGCTTCAACTTCATCTACATCTACAGTTTCTCACCTTAGTAATGGTACATCCTCCAACGGCGATACCTCAGCTCCGTGGTCAAAAAAGAAAGCTGGCCGTGGCTTGTGGCCCGCCTCAAAATCTGAGCCTGTTTCTGGCGTGACGAATGCGAGGTCCCAGCCTGTTTCATCAGCTAGCTCGGCAAACGGTGGTCCTACGGCCTCGTCGGCGATGTCTGCTATTCACCAACCTTCGCCCGTTCCTTCGCAACACATGATTCAGTCTCCTCAGCAGAATGGGGTTGCTACTCCCAACGGCATGCAAGGCCAGTCAGAACCACCTGCTATTCTCACACTTGTTCCTCTTAACGGTACCTTCGAAAAGAAGCATATCAACGTGCCATATTCGCCAGATGTGTTGCGCATCGGTCGGCAGACTAATGCAAAGACTGTTCCCACTCCTACCAACGGCTATTTCGACTCCAAGGTTCTATCACGGCAGCACGCCGAAATTTGGGCGGACCGTAAAGGAAAGATTTGGATCCGCGACGTGAAATCGTCAAACGGCACATTCGTTAACGGCCAGCGCCTATCACTTGAAAGTCGGGAATCAGAACCACACGAGTTGCGAGAAAATGATGCGCTTGATCTGGGCATCGACATTGTGAGTGAGGACCAGAAATCCATTGTCCATCACAAAGTCTCGGCCAAAGTTGAACATGCCGGGGTATATAACGCGGGGCCCAACATTTTTGATTTGAATTTTGGTGACATTGATCCTACCTCTGGTGGCGGTCTTTTACCTTCGCCATTGAGTCAACCGGTCGTACATCTACGTGGCCGAGCAAGCAGCTCGCTTAGCAACCGCAGTGTTCAAAGTGCAGCAAGTAGTCAAATCAGCGCTCTGCATCAACAAAGGCAAATGAATTATTGGCTTTCCCCCATCACAATTGAACATGTCGTCAAGAGGCTTACGGTATGTGGCGTACACAAGTTGCGAGTGAAATGAAGAAATTTACTCTTCTTTGACTGACTTTTTCTTCTTTTCTTTCAGGCTGAGATCAAACAAGCCAAGCAACAATCGCAAGACCTTCGCCAAACAGACGAGTTTTTGCAAACACTTATTTCATCAAACAACAACTCCGAGGCGGATAAAATATACCACAAACCTGAAAATAGTTTCAGACAAATGAATGGAAGATCTAAGATGTCTCGTATTGATCCTATTTCTAGGTTTTCAGAACCTCCTGCACCGCCTCCACAGCAACCACTGCCTGAAAAACCGGATGTCGCTCGCCGGACTGAGCAACCTACAGGGTCACTGAAACATTCAGATACTGAGAAACCACCGAAAGATACGGCGACAAGCTCTCCCATTTCGAAAGAATCCAGTCAAATTCTTTCCTTGATCGAAGCTCTATCACTCACCAAAAAGGAGCTGGAAGCCCAGAATGGTCGTGTAAAGGAGCTGGAAGAGCTTCTCCGACAAGAACGCTCCGCTCGGGAGAGTGCGGAGGAAAAGTCACGAAAACAAGAACACCACGGTATTCCAGGAGAAAACGACATTACCAATGCACAGACAGCCTTGGAGCAGGCTGGTGAGCGTATTGCCGAGCCGGTTATTTCAGAAGTTGAAACATCTACAAAGTCACGCGACCTCCAAGAGATGGAGGTCGCTGCAGACGTGCCAGAGTCGTTGGATGTTGAAGAGCCACTCGTCGATGCGCAGACCCAAAAGTTACAGCAACAGCTGGATGATATGGTCTTAGAATTGACGGAAATGAAACAGCAAGTGAAGAGCTTCAAGCAACGTGCGGAGAAAGCAGAAGGTGAAACGGCCGAAGTGCGCAAGTCTCTTGCTGAAATGATCGAAACTATTCGACAAGAACGCGAGGCCGCCCAGGCCAAAGAAGCGTCGCATGAAGAAGAAGAAGAAGCCGACAGGGCTGACACACATGGTATTGTCAAATCTGACAAGGAGGAAGTGCCTGCAAACCGCGAACTCCGTGCTGGAATGGATCCTCGTAAAGTCAAGGAACTGGAAAATGCGGTGGGCTCATTGGCACAACAGCGAAAACACGACATGCTACAAAGTTCGACCCCGTATGCGTCAATGGTCGGCGTGGTTCTTCTTGGCATTGGGTTGATGGCATATCTTAATGGGTGGCAAAAGATTGAAAGATGATCAGCTCGTCACTACGGGCTGCTCGACATAGGAATCGACAAGTGCCATGGGATGGAAAAAACAATAGATTATTTAAATATTCTTTTCACGGGATTGGATTGTCCTTTCGAGATATTCATAGTTTTGTTTGATGAAGGACACGGATACGGACATGAACGCAAGGATTTCCGCTTCAATAGGTTCTTGTTTCTTCTTTTCTGGGGTATGGTGTTTATTAATTTTTTTTACTTTTCTGCGTTCGTTTTCAGTGCTTCCTCCGGTCAAAATCCCGGTGATGAGCCTTCTGGGATTCTGTCCAACCATTCCTTCTTTGTTTCTGAGGGGTGTCAGTAACAAATCTTATGCTTTTCTATTCCTTTTTCATTTCTTTACACATCGTGTATTTCACTGAGCCTGATCCGTGGGACTTCTGACTTCGCATAGCAGATTTATCACATTCGACTTCCATTTCTTCTTATTTCATTCATACATGACAAGAAAGTTTTAGTTTTCTGTTTCATTTTTCATTTGTTTCTATGTACATGGATTGATTATTTGACTGGGAAAAAAGCGAGGGGCATTATATATTTCTACTTTTCTTTTGTTGTTTTCTGAAACAATGTGACGAATATGACTATTTACATTGGTATTAATGCATCTGCCTCTACCAGCAGTATGTCGGGTAGTAGGTAGTGTAGGGATTATTTTATATTGATAGCAATCTCAACCATATTAACCCACCTCGTCCTTGACTCTGGGGGCTCACCGTCCTCATCTTTGAACGCACTGAGTCGCTGCTGTTGAATCCTTTCTCGTTTGCGGCGTCGACGACGTTGATTTTTAGATTCCGAAGGTTTGTCAGTTTTTTCTTTCTCTTCGCCTGCATCCTTCACATCCTCATCCTCATTATTATCGACTTCACCGTCATCCTCAAGAATGTCATCCACCACACACACACTGCCCGTCCTCACTTCAACCTCATACTCATCCTCCGCCTTCCCCTTCCCCGTCTCAAACCACCTACCCACCTCCAATGCCTTCTCAATCGCCCTACCCGTCGCCTTTACCAAGACCTTATCCTCTCTCAGTCTCTGCTGGCACTTCCCCAACACTTTTGCAGCAGTAGTCGATGATGGCCCCGACGATTCCTGCCCATAAGCTCTATTCTTATTATTCTTCCGTTGCTGCCTCTCGTCAATAAGAGGCATCATAGCGCGCCTCTCCGCCGTCCGCAGCAGCTTCTGCACCTTTTTCACGGCGCTCATGAATGGAGTCCTGCTGGACACATACACCAGTTTCGCGACTGTGTTGCCGGCGTAGGGCGATGCGATGGGGGCGTGGGGGATAGGTCGTTTTTGGATTCGGTAGTTGCGCGGGATGTGCACGAGGTCGGTGTTTTGTTTTTTGAAGGAGAGGGGATTGCTTGTTGCAGTAGGAGGGCTGCCAGCAGCAGCAGCAGCAGCAGTTGCTGTCGCCATGATGGGGGTGTTCAATTGCGTTGGTGGTGGTGGTGGTGGTGGTGTTGGATAGGAAGGAGGTGCAGAGAAAGATTTGGATCCGCTATCTTATCGGCTATCGATAAGCCGCCCCATCATTTGTTTGTTTACTGTTTCTTTATATCGCGTAGAAGATAACTAACTACATATTGCTATATGTTATATAAGATATGCGAGTAGAAATCGCAGTGGCAATGAACATGTTGCCGCACTTGCGTTGGCCGCGCCACCGAGGATACCTCACTAAGTATTTGCATTCTCTACATCAACTTTACGGGTCACATCGCCCAAAAATGAGACGTGTCGTGCAGTCGGAACGATGACTCCGTCTACACAGTTAGTTAACTACCGACTGAGAGTCCCGACAGACTGGAGCTGAAGCGTCGGCGCTTTTTTCGTCGATGGCAAAGAAACGCTCTCTAGCGCCGCGCGGAAAATGAGCCCACGTCCGACGCCCGCGCTAGCCAGAGATTTCGATAGTCAGCGCCAAACCAAACAAACAAATAGCGTACGCGTCGGTTGTTTACGGATTATAGTGTGTGGTGGTAACTTGGGGTTTATCCCTTCGGTATACAGCCGTGGAGAAAGAAAGAGTAAGAGAGACACAGCAACGAACAAAGAGCCGAACGCGTAAAAGAAGAACAAGTAAAGAAATCCATAAAGAATAAAAAGTAGAAAAAAAATAAAAATAAAGAAACAACAAAAAAAAAAGAGCGTACAAAATAATATTTAGGTGAAAAAATAAAAGAAGAAAAAGAAGAAGAAAAAAAAAAAAGAGAAGCCTGGCCAGGCCGGCCTGTCCATGCATGGGCCACGGACTAAAAGCCTCAGGCCAACCTGTCGGAATCCTTAGTTTAAATTAGTTGCAACTGCTGATCTGAGCTCGCCTCTCCATATTTTTAGCATCTTCTCTCTCTCTCTCTCTCTCTCTCTCTCTCTCTCTCTCGCTCTCTCTCTGTCTCTGTCTGTCATTCACTCTTTCCCTCTCCCTGGTGGACGCCATTCCATTCGTTGCGAATATCTTGTTGCTGTGCTCTGCCATTGCCCCAACAGTAACATAAACACTGCCAAAAGCCAGACTGGTGGCTCAACACCAAACACCAACACCAACACCAACACACAAAGTCTGCTGCCAGTCCTCCATAAAAGTTTTGTACCTACCAACACCGCGACTTGTATTTAGACCATCAACATGCCCGAGCAGGCCTCCAAGGAAAAGGGCATGGCTGCCTCTGACGGCTCGTCCTTCCCCCTCATCCTCGAGCATTGCATGTTGAATCCCTCCTCATACGAGATCCCTCTGCGCAGCATGTACGCCCTCAACTGCCAGACGCTTTCTCTCAAGTCGGCTGCAGGCCTGAAGGAAGCGGGCCTCGCAACGCAGAATTCAACCGAGCCTCTGGCCGATGCCGCCTCCCAGTTCAAGGCACAGTTGATTTCGCACATTTCCAGGTCCCCCAATCAGTTCGACCTCCCCGTGGGTTTCATGGTGTCCTTTGTGCGTCGCGCCTTTGCCCCAAACTTGGAGGACGTCGACTTCCCGCAGGCCTTTGCGGCTCTGGACTATTTGAAGAACCTCCACAGGCGTCGCCAGAAGGAAATCCTAGCGGCGCTAGAATCCCTAGCTATCGACCTGGTTCCCTCCAAGTCACACTTTTTGCGAATCTCCCAGACCCAGAAGCAGGAACTTCAGCTGACATACCCTGGCGTCGTTGCTTGGGTGGAATCAATCGAGAAGAGAGATCGCGAAGCTCATTATCTGTACAGGAATGTGTGCTTGGGCTTGCGTCGCTGGGTAAGCATCCTCCTCACCTTTGGACAGTTCTCTCATAGCTGACCTGACCGCAGACTCTGATTAACGAGATGTGGCTGGAGCCATTCCACAAAGGCAATTGTATGGCTATGCTGAACACACTCTTTCCTCCAGCTATACACAACGCCAAAGCTCCCAGTGCCGCCAGTGCAGACTTGACACTCGAGGAAGTGGCGCAGCAGCGTCAAGGTTTCTTCGACTGCATTGGCATAATCGAACGACAGGGTAAAGTGGCCATTGAAAGCCTCTTAACTACGGGAGCCCGCGCAGGAGAGGAGACTGCATGGCCAATGGTTCATGAGTTCTTGGAGAAATACCTTGATCTCGCCACCGAAACAATTCACGACTGCGCCCAAGTCAAGGGTCGCGAGTACCTGGAGGCCGAGGTGCGCGGCAAGACTCACAAACGCAATGCCGATTCTGGCGTCAGCTTTACTTCTGTGCACGAGTCACTTTCCACTACTACGACTACTACCGAAAGCCGTGCTGGAACCCCGCTCGACAAATCTCGATCTCCCACTCCGGATACTAAACAGGGTAAATCGACTCTGGAGAAGATCAGTAAACAGCTCCGCAAGATACGCTCGCGCCCGGACATCAAAGAACCAGGGAAGCCCAAAACAGTGTCAAAGAAGAAGTCCCTCACTGCGCTTGTCAGCGGACGGTCGGCCAGCAGTTCCAGCGCCGAGACCAACTTTGACGTGGATGAGTTCAAGCGTAAACGGATGATCTGGGAAGCCAATGAGAGAAAGAAGGCGGCACTTCAGGGGGCTCAGAATGGAAGAGAAACCCCCAAGCAGGTCTACGATGATTGAAGCAAAAACAACGATCACTGTGTCTTTCTCGTCATTGGATGAACGAACTGAATGATTGAATGAATGAATGAATGATTTTGAAAGGAAAAAAAAAAAAAAAAAGAACAAAAACAAAGAGTTGGAGATACGGGCTTCGGAGACCCGGAAAACACCAGAATACAAAAATATGCGAACAAAACAAACTGGCTTTTTGCATTGCGTGCATTGGGCATTGGCGTGGAGTTTTACGAGTGTTCCTTTTTCACATTTTTTTCCTGTGCTGGATTGGAGGTTCACTTGATTCGATGAAAGAACTATTGGCGGAGTTGGGTGTCACTTTTTCAGGAGTTTGTATTAAAAAGAGGAAATAAAGGGCGGAAATCTGTACTTGCTAGAAATTAGTCGCAAAGGATTGAATCTGAATGTGATGCACGAATATGTTTTCCCAGCTGTCAGAGTAGAAGATGAGGTGCTGCAGTGCTGAGTGTTGAGAGCTTCCGCCAATCGGAGGCCTCCAATGGCCTAGCGCTGATGTTTATCGATAGGTGTCCTTCCTCTGTAGACCTCGACAACAGCTACGAAAAGAAAAGAAAGATAAAACACACGAGACATCGCTTGGACGCTCTTTGTGGATGAATCTACTCTGCTGCTTTCACAATCAGGGAGGACATTGAGGCCCTTCTTCCTTCGTTGTTGTCCGATTCTCCGCGTTGGCAGGCAAATATGTTGATTGTTGATGGACACATGCCATAGGCCTTGAGACCAGCCGTATTCTTTGGAGTTGACCTTGAAGCTTATTGGAACATTTCTATATAAGAATGTTTGGAAGCAGGATGAGGCAGTTCTCGTCTCTCGGCTTGGTGTCAGGCCTGCTGCTACTGCTGCAACCGCCTCGATGTGTTGCCGCGAGCCCCTCTGTCAACGTCGCCTTGCAAGCTTCATTCGATGCGGGCCCGTACCTGGTGGAGCTTTTGTAAGTCATCAGATGACCAAAAATATCAGTGCTATCATTGCTAATACGTCTGTCTCGCCCAGAGAAACTGCTGCGCAGGAGAATTCCTCCGCTTACTTCCCTCTCCTCGACCGCATCGCCGAGGGCGTCTTCGACGATGCCACCACAGAGAAAGAGCTATACACCACCTTTTTAAAGCTTCTCGCAGACGATAACCATATAAAAGATGAGGAGAGCTTGGACACCTTCAAATTCGCCCTCGCCATTCGTTCCGCGGCCCCTCGCATCGAGGCACATTATCAATACTATAACACTTCGGTGCAATCTACGCTAGTTACCGCAGCGCAGGATGCTGCTTGCCCGGTTTGGGTGCATATGGACGGGAAGCAGTACTGTTCCTCGACTCTGGAACGTGCGCAGCAGGATGTATCTGGTGATAGGTTGGGTTGAATCTATATCGCACCGGCCCGGCTTTGTGTACTGATTTTACATAGTGACCCTCGCGAACTACCTTTTGATCGAACCTTGGGCGATCCGTTGGCTACCCCTGCCGTCCTCTATGCGGACATCGCTTCGCCAATGTTTGCACAGTACCACGAAACCTTGCGAGGTCTAGCTGAGGAAGGTCAACTTGCGTATAGGGTACGATACCGTCCGTCTCAAGATGATTCTCCTCGGCCTCTGTTCGTATCTGGCTATGGAGTCGAATTGACACTGAAGAGAACGGATTACATTGTGATTGATGACCGTCAAGCTGAAGAGAGGGAAGACAAAGCAAATGCTAAAGCCAAAGCGCCAAGTGCTGCCGACCTCGATGACGACGAAGAAGAATCTCCGCCAGATCTGAAACCGTTGTCTTCGTCCGAAGTAGCCGCACTTGGAATGAATGCTGCTAGCTTTGTTCTGGATAGCGCCGACCCCTTTGCAACGCTTCTCAAGCTATCTCAGGATTTCCCGAAATACTCTTCTGCCGTCGCGTCCTATAATGTCACTGAAGCGTTTACAAATGAATATAACAAAAACCGGCAGGCGGGGCTCCCCGGAGCGCGCAATATCATGTGGATTAATGGCCAGCATGTTGACTCGAGACAGATCGATGCGTACTCTCTGCTAGAACATTTGCGGCAGGAAAGACAGATAGTAGCCGAGTTCAAGAAAGTCGGATTGTCTTCATCTGACGCAGTCAATCTTCTGTCTTATCCTGCCTTGGCCGAAGCGCAAATGACCAGCGAGGTCCAGCGTTATGACTGGCGCGATGAGATCGAGGGAGGCGGAATTGTTATCTGGCTAAACGACCTTGAGAAGGACAAGAGATACGCAAACTTTCCCACTTCTCTACAATCGGTATAGGACGAAAAAAATCTCTCACTCATCAATAATCGCGAATACACCTGAGCTAACTATTCCTGTTATAGATTCTGCAACCAACATTCCCAGGCCAGCTACCCCCCGTTCGCCGAAATATGCAAACCGTCATTGCTCCCGTCGACCTTACCAAGGTCGAAGACGTCAATTTTGTTGCGACATATCTTCAGACCTTCATTAAGCGGATGATACCGGTTCGATTTGGTGTGGTGTTGATAGCTAATACCGAAGAATCTAAAGCCCAGGCAAAGATTGCGCATCATCTGCACCAGACATACGGCCTGACTTCGCTATTTCAATACCTCGAGACCGTGAGTTTTGACACTGTCAACAAATGTTATGTATATGCTAATTAACTGTCGTAGACTTTATCTTCCGAGAAGGTTTCTCATCCTGACGGAGCATCTTTTGCAACTGCTGTTGCAGAGCGTGACACACGACCCGGCCAAGAAAGCCTTCCGTTCGAAGAAGTGCTGCAGTCAGAAGCACTAGATGACATTGTTTCAAGGACAGCAAAATACTTGAGGCGATTGGACCTCGACGGCCCTTCGCCACCAACATTGGCCAACGGCATGATCATGTCTCGGGGCAGGAATTTCCTACAGGAGCTGCCCATGCAGATTGGAAAAGACCTAAACATTCTCCAGCAGGCACTCATCCAAGGCGCATTGAGTGAGGATGATTATGTGCCTGATTATTTCCTCTCGCAAGCCGCACAGAGTCGCAACGAGTGGATCGTACCTGAACACGGCAGCAGTGGAATTCGCATTGCCGACATTCTCAGCATCGCTGAAGCACACAACGATTTTGCGGACGTTCTTCGCCTTCCTTCTGATCCAAAACACCCATCGAGCAATGTCCAGCTATTTGTCGTAGCAGATTTCAATACAGAACATGGTCTTGCCCTTTTGATTTCTGCTCTGAAGTTTCGTCAGTTGCACCTAGAGACTGAAGTGATCCCCCTTCATAATCCTGATACCGACGGGTACGCTGGCGGAGGCATTTCGTCCAAATTATACCAGCTTCTGCGTCAAACCGAACCGGTGAAGCTTGTTGATGTTCTTCTTTCTCAGATTGGACTTGCTGCTGATAAAACGCAGGCAATGTCTGAAGAAGAGCAGGCCTATTGGACACAAGCACAGAAGTTGATTGTAGACCTTGGATTTTCACGAGGGACGTCTAGCATTCTCTTTAATGGACGGGTTGTTGGCCCATTCCCACCGTCGGCGGCTTTTGGTGAGGCAGAGTTTGAGCAACTATTTACATATGAATCTTCGCAACGGCTCAGACCCCTTGCCGAGGCCTTGAAAGATCTCGGTGTTGATTCCAAAGTAGCAGGCCCTCTGAGCTTTGCCAAGCTTACTTCTCTCGTGGAGTCATCCATCAACTCAGATGCCCCTGAAGGTGGCATCGATTCCAGATCCAAGTATCGTTTGGACGTGCTGAAGAAATGGAATAGCACCCACTCAGCCTTTGATGCTGCTACCAACACTGACGACGCCTCGATCAATATCGTGGCAGCCGTCGACCCTACCTCGGAGCTGTCGCAGAAATGGGTCCCTATTCTCAAAACACTATCAGAATTGGCCGGTGTCAATGTCCGGATTTTCCTGACCCCCAATAAGCAGATGAAAGAACTCCCCATCAAGCGATTTTATCGCCAAGTCCTGGAAGCAAAACCATCATTTGATGAAGACGGATCTTTGGCTCGCCCAGGCGCCTCGTTTAGGGGTCTCCCGCAAGATGCGCTTCTGACTCTCGGAATGGACGTTGCGCCCTCCTGGCTTGTCGCTCCCAAGGAGTCTGTTCACGATCTAGACAACATAAAATTGAGCGCATTGAAAGAAGGCTCTGATGTGGACGCAATTTATGAGCTTGAGCATATCCTGATAGAAGGTCATTCGACAGATACCACGCTCCGAACCCCTCCACGAGGTGCGCAGCTGCTCCTTGAGACTGAAAAGGGTTCCTTCTTTGCCGACACTATCATAATGGCCAATCTGGGCTATTTTCAGTTCAAAGCACAGCCCGGGTTCTGGAAAATCGAGCTGAAGGAGGGTCGCAGTCGCGACATTTTTCAGCTGGACAGCCTTGGTGGTAGCCTGCAGCCCGGAGACGCGAGTAATGAAGTTGCGTTATTGTCCTTCCAGGGCAAGACACTGTATCCTCGACTGTCGCGCAGACCAGGACAAGAAAATGAAGAAGTCCTGGAGGAGACTGCGCACGGAGCGGGATCGGCAATGGACTATGTTTCCAAGGGACTCAGTTTTGCGCAAGGCGTGTTGTCCAGTGTCGGGGTAAAGTCAGCAGCATCAAGTGAGTCTGCGGAGAAGCATGCAGAAATCAACATCTTCTCCGTAGCAAGTGGCCATCTCTATGAGCGGATGCTCAATATCATGATGCTATCGGTGATGAAGAATACCGAGCATACGGTCAAATTCTGGTTTATAGAGCAATTCTTATCCCCGTCTTTCAAGAGTCTGCTCCCGCATCTAGCAGCAGAATACGGATTCTCATATGAAATGGTTACATACAAATGGCCACACTGGCTGCGCGGCCAACGCGAGAAACAGCGTGAGATTTGGGGATACAAGATCCTGTTTCTAGACGTCCTTTTCCCGCTATCTCTGGACAAAGTCATATTCGTTGACGCCGACCAGATCGTGCGCACAGACATGTACGACCTGGTAAGCCTGGACCTTGAAGGCGCGCCGTACGGCTTCACGCCCATGTGCGATTCGCGCACTGAAATGGAGGGCTTCCGCTTCTGGAAACAAGGGTACTGGAAATCCTACCTCCGCGACACATTCAGCTACCACATCTCGGCGCTATACGTCGTGGACCTGAAACGATTCCGCGAACTAGCAGCTGGCGACCGACTTCGCGGCCAATATCACACCTTGTCAGCCGACCCTGAGTCGTTGGCTAATCTCGATCAGGACCTGCCGAATGTTATGCAGACCCTGATCCCTATCAAGAGTCTGCCGCAGGACTGGCTCTGGTGCGAAACTTGGTGCTCCGATGAGGCGCTCGAGACTGCCAAGACGATTGATTTGTGTAATAATCCATTGACCAAGGAGCCGAAGTTGGAGAGGGCGAGGAGGCAAGTCCCCGAGTGGACGGTGTATGATGATGAGATTGCGAGGGTTGCTGCTGCTGCTGCTACTGCTACTTCTGATAATGTCGGTGATGATAATGAGAAGGTTGAGTATAGTGTCGGCAAGGAGGAAAGGAAGGATGAATTGTGAAACTGATGTATCTTTATGTTGATTAAATATTTTTTTCACCCTTTCACAAGGTGATATGACAGTAATATATACATGTCCAAACACCTGATACATTATAAATTCTAAAAGCAAACATACTAATAGGAGGGGTATGCGCATCGTATGTCCAATAAATAAAAGCAATAAGCCAAAAAAAAAAAAAAAATTTTGCATAAACGTCAATCAGAGTCGGATGAGAGTTGACTCTCATTTGGATGAGAAAACCTGTTCTTCGCCGTCTGCGTCGTCACTGTCACTATCTGAGTCGCTGTCGTTGTCCTTATTACTGCTAGAGTCACTCTCTGAGCTACTGTCGCTGTCGCTGTCATTACTATCATCGTCTGGTTCAGACTCTGAATTATTTCCCTTTCGGATAGCAGGAGATGATGTTCCGTTGAGTTTGTTCGCTCCTAGTCCTTGGGATGACAGTGCACTTGGACCCCTTTTCGATCTTCCTGTAGAAGAGGGTGGTGTCTTATTGTCTTCCTCTGGACTAGTGTCTGAGCTATCAGAAGCGCCGTCTGATTCACTGTCTGACGAGTCTGACGACGAGGATTGTTCCTCATCTGACGATTGCTTCACACGTTCTGCGCTTTTGAAAGCAAGATGAGAAGGAGGAGTGCGTTTCTTTCTTGGAAGGTTATGCGTAAAGACGGCATTTTTATCTCCTCTCGCCCGTAAATATTTCACCGCGCGCCTGATTTTACGCCACCTGTCGGCGCATTGCTGTCGAGAGCGAGTGTTCCCAAGTCGATCACTAATCGCGCCCCAGCTGATGTACTGATCATCCATCTCGTAGATGTCTTTGCCGACCTTCTTCTTGTCCCCCTGATCTACGTGGACCTTGTATGTTGCCTCGATGGCTTCGAGGAGTCGGTCAATCTCATCTTTCGCCCAGCTTCCTTCTTTCATTGTAGATCGATGCTCGACTTTATTCTTCCATCGCTGCACAACATCGTCATGCGTTCTTTGCATCTCCTTTGCGATTTGCGCCCATTTCGTGCCGTATTTCTGATGCAGACGTTCCAGCTCGTCATCATCCTCGGCAGCCCATTGATGCGGCTTCTTCTCCCCGCTCTGGAAATGGCGGCGCATGAATCGAGTTGTAGAGCGCCGGTCACGGTCGGGGATAAGTTCGCAAATGGCTTTCCAGAACTCGTTATATGTCATGGGAGGATAGTTCATCTCAAAGATGCCGCCTTTGTTTTTCAATGAGCTCTGCACAGAAGCATCGAAGACCTCGGGGGTGATGCCGTGGCGGTTGCAGAATTCGACCTTGAAATTTTCCAGTGTTCTGACTTCTTCGGGGCTAAACCAGCCCGTTTTCTTCCCATTGATCGCGCTGACATGTCCCGGTCGAAATTTGAGGCTTCTTTCCTCTTCAAGCTTCTTTTTTTTGTTCTTTAACGACGTGTCTTCCTTCTGAGGGGAAGAAGAGTTTGCTGGGTCGTCGGCCCGCTTTCTTTTCGCGGGATGTGTAGTCTCTGTCTGCTTTTCTGGCCGTGGAGTATTGAGTGGCCGTGCCATTGTGAGCACTTCTGCTGGTCTAGGGACTCTGATTTCGAAGGGAAATCGGTTTCGCTTTGGCGTAAGGGAAGGGTCTCGCTCGTTGGTGGATTGTGTTGCAGCGTTATTTTCTAGTTCCCTCTTCACGGGAGTGATTTCTTCTTCCTCTTCTTGGCCGTCGTTTTCTTGTTCTTGTGAGTCTTGAAGATATTCGAATGGTATTAGTGGGTCGGATTGCTTCAAAGGTGGTCGTGGAGGAAGCTGGGAGGAGGGGGGAGCGCGCGGAAATGAGGAAGGGAAAAAAAAAAAAAAAACCCCGGAGCTTACAGAGCTTATCGATTGCGGAGTTCTCGTCCGTTATTTGCGACGATGTCTGTCCCATAGTGCTCCCACATCCAAAGCTGCATGTGTTATTCAAGAATATTCGTTATGCCATACAATAGGATGCAGTTAACTGCCTAGGTACCACAGAGAGACGCTTTACTCTGGACGAGACGCATTCCGCACGCGTCACGCTTTACCACATCCGTGCTTATTGTTAAAATCTACCAAATGAGCCAAAAGTCAAACGTCGATATTCAATTCTCGTAGCACCCTCGACACTAATTTCCTCTGCTCTGCCGGAGTCAAGTGTCTCTGGTCTAGTTCTTTTAGACACTTCCCAATCGCCACAGTGATTTTGACGGCCAGATCGCCGCTATTAGAGCTATCAACCCAGACTTTCCCATTCCTCCCCACTGCAAGCTCAAAGCCCCCTTTGCTCTCGAGTTTTGATCCGAGCTCTTCCAAGACAACCACCGATGCTGCCTCGGCGGACGACGAAGAGGTACTTGCTTTCATGAGCCGCGCAGCAAGCCCCGTCGAGACGTCGAAGAGCATCCCACCGCTCAACAGACCCAACCCCCCTGGTTCTGCCTTGCCCGTAGTAGGATTCACGCATGTAAGTTCCACTTCGGTGCCAGCCCCGATACCGATGGAGAGCACTCGCGCATAAACCAGGTCGCCTTGCTTCAGATTCGGTCTTGTCTTCTTCGACGCACCCTCAAAGGCTAGCTGACCCAGCACAGCAAAGGGTGCATGCGGAGTAACGATGCAGTGAAAGAAATCTGTTGAGGAGCGCTGAACTTGAGCAATAATCAGGTCGTTGACAGTTGGGATATAGCGGCGGTTAGGGAAGGTTTGGATTGAGACGGATTTGCGAATGTGGTCTATCGAAAGAAGCCCCGCATGTGTGGCTTCAATCGTTGTCTGTGATGATGATGATGATGGAGACTTCGACTTGGCTTTGTTCTGTGGCTGATGCAGCAATCGGAGTCCTGAACCAAGCCGCAGAGGAGTTTTCGATGAAGCTGAGGGAAGCGCGTTGGAGGAGACCTGGTCGCCCGGCAGCACGATCGACGTACTCATGGCGTGCAAGATATGGCGAGACCGTTCCTGTCCAACCTCGTCTTTTGAATGGAGAAAGCCTATGGCGGAGCTTGAATCAAGTGCTGGCGAAGATCAAAATTGCAGCCAGTTTCTTATCGATAGAAGTCACGTGGCGATAAGCAAAAAAGGATGCAAAAGTCGAGGCTGCCTCCGGGAGAAAAGGAAATTAAGAGGGGAACCCAGGGCACTATAGCACTGTAGAATATAGCAGGTATCGAAGCGAAACGTGCGACTTGTCCGTAGACATAGCGTTGACGAACCCGAGCCAGACTCTCGCCCAAAAAAACAACCCAAAAAAAAATCGGCGGAGGCTAAGGAAAGATCCACCCCGCTCTTTTATTTCTTCAATCCTCGTTCCTGGGCTTCACTGCCAACACCCTGGTCACTCCTTGCTAGCGAAGCTTCTTCTCGAAGGCTCGTATACCACGAAATAAAACCATCACACAATGAGTGACGAGACTGGCGCAGCTGGCCAGGCCGGCGAGCGGTTCGCCATCGGTATCTCCTTTGGAAACTCCAGCAGCTCCATCGCTTTCACAGGCCCTGTGAGTAGCGATTTCGCTTGAGAATAATTGGATGCAGTTGCTCATCACGATTCGTTTTATAGGAAGGAAAAGCTGAAGTCATTGCCAACGAAGAAGGAGGTATGCACAAGTCCTGCTGTTCTCCAAGCCTTGTAGTGGATCAATGAACGTGAAAACTAATTCTATCTCATTAGATCGTCAGATTCCATCCATCCTGTCGTATGTCGAAAGCGAGGAATTCCATGGAACACAGGCAAAGGCGCAACTTGTGCGCAACTCGAAAAACACTGTTGGATTCTTCAGGGACTACCTGGGAAAGGAGTAAGTGGCGGCCGGCTTGTCTCAATCGCGCACATAAAGTACTTATCACGATTATGCAGCTTCAAATCGATAGACCCTACTCCTTCTCATCAGTCTGCACACCCTCAGCAAGTTGACTCCACGGTTGCCTTTTCCATCAACGACACCGAGTCCGAAACGCCCAGCACTGTCACCGTTTGTGAAATCACAACCCGTCATCTCCGCCGCCTGGAGAAGTCCGCCTCTGACTTCTTGGGTAAGAAAGTCAATGCAGCAGTTATTACTGTCCCAACAAACTTTTCCGACGCACAACGTGAGGCGCTCATCGCGGCAGCCAAGAATGCCGATATTGAGGTCCTGCAATTAATCCACGAGCCGGTTGCCGCTCTCTTGGCTTACGACGCCAGGCCTGATGCAGTCATCGAAGACAAACTCGTTGTCGTGGCTGATTTTGGTGGAATTCGCTCGGACGTTGCAGTCGTCGCCTCGCGTGGTGGAATGTACACGGTCCTTGCTACCGTCCACGACTACGAGTTGGGAGGTGCGAACCTGGACCAGGTCGTCATTGACCATTTTGCCAAAGAATTTATCAAAAAGCACAAGGTGGACCCTCGTGGAGATGCTCGTGGCTTGGCTAAATTGAAGCTTGAGTGCGAGGCCACAAGGAAGGCCTTGAGTATTGGAACCAACGCCACTTTGAGCATCGAGAGTCTCGTTAGTGGTATCGACTACGGCTCTACGATCAACCGCACAAGATACGAGCTCTTGTCCGGCAAAATCTTTGCTCAATTCACTGGCTTGATTGAGTCTGCAGTCAAGAAGGCCGAGCTTGATGTTTTGGATATCGATGAGGTTAGCCTGCCTAATCAGAATACATGCATATTCCTACTAACGCAATAATAAAATAGGTAATTCTCGCTGGTGGTACTTCCCACACCCCCAAGCTCGCCCGTCTCCTGGAGAGTATCTTCCCCGAAAAGACAAAGATTCTTGCACCATCCACGTCGCCATCTGCCATCAACCCGTCTGAACTTTCAGCCCGTGGTGCCGCCTATCAGGCCTCTTTGATCCAGGAATTCGAGACAGAAGACATTGAACAGTCAATTCACCCAGTAGTCACCGCCACACCACACCTTAGCAAGACAATCGGAGTGCAACTTGTATCCGCAGACGAGAGTACTATTTTCCGTCCGCTAGTCAATGCCGAAACCGCCCTCCCAGCCCGTCGCGTTGCTCAGTACGCCGTCCCGAAAGCTGGAGGGGACGTCCTTGTGCGCATCAGCGAAGGCGAGCGCGAGATCAAGGTCACCAAGCCAGAGCCCAAGCCCAAGGAGGAAAAGCCCAAGGACGAGGATGATGAAGACGACTCCGACTTTGACGACTCCGAGGAAGAGGAAGAGGAAGAAATCAGAGAAATAATCTGGAAGGCCTCCACAAAGTCAATTGCCGAGGTGGCCATTAAGGGCGTCAAGGCCGGCGGTAAAGTCGAGGTCACTATTAACATCAACTCGGATCTTGGTGTACAAATCACTGCGCGCGAAGTTGGTGAAAAGGGTGGTGTGCGACTTGCTGTTGAATCTCCATCTGCTTAAAGGACGACAACAAGCATTGGAAAAAAAAAAAAAAAAAGACAAATAAAAAGAATAGAGCAGAAAATAATCAATGTGGTATATACGAACTTCTCTTATTTCGTCCTTTTTTATTATAATTTTGAAAAATAGAATTTCTTTCTTCCCCTATCTTCTTTATGAAGGCAAATCGTCTTCTATTTGACCATTGAACATGAAGACTTTTAATGTACCTGAATCTGAAACTTCCCATCCTTAACTAGATAAAGTATTGGACCTAGTTATAGAACTCAGTTACTCTCTGGCGAAGAGACTTTTATTAAGTAGTTCATTTATATTCTTCACTTGTCGCAATCATTAAATTAAGTACAATATTAACCACCTAGCAAACTAACCAGGTAATAAGGAGTAAGTTATAATATCACACAATTTGTCCAAATGTATCATTAATGAATTACAGAATTATCACCGAATAATTTGAATCAATCCGAGCGAAGGTGGTCGTCAAACTGGGAAATCATACAACGTTGGAAAATGGAAAAAAAAAAAAAAAAAAAAAATTCCTGTTCATGAACATTGCATTATTGAGGTTGTGAGAGATCGTAATATCTTTCTTTGCAAGAGCAAGTCGTTTGTTGTTGAGAGATTGAAAAGAGTCATCTAAATGATCGAAATCCTGGGATGACATCGTACTCCGCACATAAGAGGCGCGCATAGCGTATAGATAGGATAGACCTAAGCGTAATCCTCGCGCTTCTTTCGGAAGCTTCCGCGAGATTTGGTGCTGGAACGCCTTGAAGCAAAGAAGCCTAGTCGTCTTGTCTCGCGACCACTATAGCCACTCTCTTTGCGACCAATTGAGCCGCCCATGCAGAACAAGACCGTCGAGATCGTCAAACACGCAACAGAAGCCCACATGAAGCCAAATGCTTTTGCACCGAGAGTGGAGTGTTGGCCATTGCGGTTGAAATGGTCGCGACCTTGGACGAAGCAGGCGCTGCACGTCTGTTAGAATTTCTTTTTTCTTTGCCCTTTTCTGATAAAGCTTTGGAGATACTCACGTCATAAGGCATGTTGTGATCACCTGGAAAACCCATGCAAGCCAGGCGAGAAGACTCGAGAGATAGCTTCCAATTCGTGTGCAGAAGGCCAATAGGCCGAGGAACAGAGACATTGTTGCGAAGAACAAGGCAATGATGATAAAGGGGAACATGAACCGGGACATCAGGAAGTAGTGTCTCGTCCTAGACTCATAGTCAGCTCATTCGTTCATACTATTATAATCTCTCAGAGAGCTCACCCGATGAACGCAGCAGGAATGTTATCATTGGTGCCGAAGTTATCATCAGACGGCGGGTCGAACGGATATGCCGGGTGAGACGATCCGCATTGGCTTTTTCCATTGACGGTACTGCAGATATTCCAGAAAGTCCATCGAGATACAGCTGGCGCTCCCGGAATACTTGAAGTGTTCGTTTGGAGAAAGTAGATGTTGTTCAACGGCGTGTGGTTGGATGCTCCGCCAAGCAGAGTGAGGAACATCATAACCATAGCTCCTGCAACAAAGAGCAGGGCCAGAAGGGCGAGAATTGGGCCTGTGCATATGAACGAGGAGGGTTATTCAATTGTTCACTTAGTGATAGAAGTAGTAATCAAGACATACGTCCAGTTGCCATGGCTGGCTGCTTAGTGTGAACAGGTTTTAACCTCCTGCAGACGGTTGCAGTTGCTTACTTCCAAGCGTGTAAGGGAGATGCGAAGAATTGAGAGCGTAGGATATTGTTTTTTACTTCAAGGGCCAACGAGTAAAGAGAAAGCTGGAGGGAGTGTGTCGGAATGCAGGAAATATGCGAACGAGAGGCTGGGAATTGTGGCAGCGTCAGGCAGTTACATACTTGCACAAAAAATGCATTCTCAGGCAGCGAATGGGATAATGACGTCGTCCTCACTGCATCGCGCACGCTAAATCTAGTTTGGCCTAGCGCTAAAACCTCAAAGTGGGCAGCGAGGTGCGCTGCTGATTGGCTGGCCCGCCGATAGGGATCAGCCACTACGTAACTAGCCTCTTTTTGCGGGCGAGATCCCAACGTCATTCACTTTATGCAGCATCACCCGCAACGTCACCTTGTCGTTTATCTAGAGGCTCGCTTAGAGAAACTCGCTGGGCCACTCCACCTTCACCAAAACGTGGACCAATCGCAGGCAACAATTCCTAGCGCTTACGGCTTCATCGTATGTTTCCCAATCGCATTACCTATTGAGTAGCTGGCCCAGAAGGGAAGGCCGTCATGGCAACTTGGGCATATCCTCCATTACCTGCAGAGCAGTTGCAGAAGGAGGAGGAGACAGCACTGGTGGGTAGAGCCTCCAGCTGAGATACAGGCAATCGCTGATTACAACATAGTCTAAAGAGCTTGAATGGCTTCTAGCAGCGCTCCAGGAATCCCTCGTTTCATTACGAGAGGGTCTTCAAGAATGTGCGGGATTACTAGCACCAAGAGAGCCAGGGTCGACTCTGGTTCTGTCGTCTGTGAGATCAGAGAGTGTGAAGGGATTTGTGACGAGGATAGGCACAAGGATTGTTAAAGGGGTATGTATGATATGTACCTGCCGCGGGGGTAGTTGCGGTTGAGCTTTACTTACCGATAAACAAAGGACATTCAACTACGACTCGCTTCGCTTCCACCCTCGCGTGGCGCGAACAGCACTCGCCTCAACGTCTCCGGTATTCCAGGGGCACCTGAGCTTGTTTTGTACCAGCTCGCTGCCGTACGGAATCTTATAAATCAGGGTCTCGACGTGATAGATGTCAGCACATTTACCGGTGATCCCCTCAACGCAAGTTTCATATCAGGCCAGCTGCGCTTGCTATATGAACATATTTCCGAGGCGAAGTCTGCCATCAAAGGAGGAGCAGACGTGTCGAAATGGTGGGAGCTAAGTGCAGAGAGCAGTGTATGCGACGTGAACCCAGCGATAAGCCAAGACTGGCCATTATACTGACAGTATAAAAAGGTTTTTGATCCACCTACGCCGTCATATTTATCTTTCCATCTGACCATTGCAGATGCTGCATTGGTCTTACACCTACGAACACTAGAGCCAATCTCTCCAAATCAAGCTTCGTCGGCCTTCGGATCAGAACTTTCCCTGACAGGCTTCTCGCTGCGAGACAAGATCTTTGGTCCTCGACTGCCGCCGCATGACGAATTGGGCGAGGTTTTCGTATGGCAGGGAGAAGAAGTTAGGGTCAAAGAAAAGATTCGAGTAGAAAGCCAGGATCCCAGTCTGATTGCTGTCTTGGCCAAGCTCAGTGCGTTGGAACACGAGGTTATGAAATGCAGGGCTTCATTGAAAATCGTGATGGGAGACGATGATGGAGACAGCGACGTATAGTGTAGTACCACAAGAAGTACTTCCTAGGACCTATCAAAAGGCATAATTATTATATAGAAGTGTATCATATGTTGATTCCGCCAATCAGAGCAGAGAGCAAGCAAGTGGGCCATTATGTGCCCAATCACAACCCTCAGATTACATGCCCCTTGGCTTGGCACTTTTGATTTTTGGGGAGCTTCAGTGGCGGGCAAAAATATTTCACGATCTGAAAGACACATCGATCGTGCTGGTCAGAAGGGGAAGTGAATATGTCTTTTCCATCTCGCGCAGCCCAGTCTTGCCGGCTGTGCTCTCCCAGGGCATCGCAGCACATCATACAACTTTCGCAACGTTCCGGCGGAGTTCGAAGATTTGGTTCGTCGATACGGAGCTCACGGCCCGCGCTTCCTGCGGCGAATTACACCAATTTCGAGCATTTGACGACCAGGACAGCAGCAGCAGCAGACCGAAGGAAATGGCGCGGTGGAGCTCGGTTTCGGGCATTAGCGACAGACACTGGTCTGGTTCAGGATCCAGAAAGTCGCAAAGCCGAGATTTACACTTTGATCGATAATATTCACCAACATGAGGACGAACTTTCGGAGATTTTGGATGATTTGCTTATTGAGGACTATGAACATATCATCGATACGAGGGGCTGGCGTATGGACGACGCATTCAGTGGCACCATCGGCCACAGAAATTATCAATCGCTCGAAACGAAGGTTGTACAGGCGCGTCAAGAATTCGGGGAATACCTACCGGATGGTCATCTGAATGCTGCAGAGGTCGAGCTTTATAATAGACTATATGGAGAAGCTATCGTCAGATCTGCTGATGCAGAAATGGAGGTCGATGAAAGAGAGCCGGACAAATTGTTGAGATATGATGGTGAAGGTGGTTTCGAAGAAATCGACTACGACCGTGAAAGCGCAATCGATGCCGATATCTCCGAGACGTACGATTTGAGCGATGAATCTCTGGAAGAAGATTCCTCCGTAATCCGGCGTGCTGCAGAGGCTGCAAAACGATTGGGGGGTGTTTTGTTGGAGGACGAAATGGAAATTGGAGGAGAAGAATCTGAAAGCGGACCCCGACTTCATCCCTTAACTGAGGCTGGAAAGTTCTCTACCAGCCCGAGAACAGTCTTCATTCCTCAAGATTCAGTTACTGGACCGATTTCAGTGATTCTGTCTAATTACTCCAACAGGCACATCGCCGAAGCTGCGCAGAAAGTCTTTGGCGGTCGTCGGTTGCCGCATTCTACGACTACATTGCCACCGGGCGCTCAAATTCCACAGCTTCCTATACCCCTGTCTGCTGCACAACACCATATGAGTGACATGGAAGCAAATGCCTACCTTGCCGCGCTCTATCCTGGAATTTATGCCTCAACTCTCAGTGTACTTGTTGAAGTTAGGAAACGCCTTAGCAGCCAATGGCTTCGGAACTTGATGAATCAGGAGACGGGCCCTCGCGTTCTAGATGCTGGTGGCTCTGGTGCGGGTATTTTAGCATGGAGAGACGTTCTTCGAGCAGAATATGAGACTATGGTACCAGACCATCCGAAAGATGCGCCTATTCCTACTGGAAAATCCACGGTGCTTGCGGGCTCTGACGCTCTACAGCTGAGAGCCAGTACACTGCTAGAGAACACAACTTTTCTTCCTCGACTTCCAGATTATGTGCATGTTAGAGACAGCAGCACCTTGGAAGATGACCGAGCACCTCCCAAGAGAAAGCAATTCGACGTTATCATTGCCCCTCACACGCTTCTTGAAATTGAAGAAGACTACATGCGAAAACAGCACGTGAAAAACTTATGGGCACTCCTCAACCCGAATGGCGGTGTCTTGATTTTGCTGGAGAAGGGTCGTCAGAAGGGATTTGAGGCCATTGCCGGCGCCAGAGAGATGCTTCTCGAGAGACACATTGCCAGTCCCGGGTCCACCGATTACGAAAGCTTAACAGAATCTGGCGACCAGGGTTCTATCAAGAAGGAACCCGGTATGATCATTGCTCCCTGCACTAACCATGGCAAGTGCCCAATGTACCACATTAGCGGACATGCGAAAGGCCGAAGCGACTATTGCCACTTTGAGCAACGATACATTCGACCTCCCTTCTTACAGCGTATCATTGGAGCGAAGGATCGTAACCATGAAGATGTCGAATTCAGTTATGTGGCTGTTCAACGTGGCGTTGACATGCGGCAGCAAGACTCCATCACACAGGGAAAAGCTGCTACGGATGCTGCATTCGAAGGCTATGAATACGAAGATGACCTTTCGACTACCGAAGACGCAGAAACTGCCTCATCAGCGGCATCAGCAGTACCATCCTCAGCCACCACGACTCCCGCTTTCAACCCCCTGTCTCTCCCGCGCTCAGTCCTTCCGCCAATGAAACGACGAGGTCATGTCATCTTCGACTTTTGCACCCCAGAAGGCAAAATTGAGCGCTGGACCGTCCCCCGTTCATTCAGCCGCCAAGCCTACCACGACGCACGCAAAGCACGATGGGGAGATCTCTGGGCCCTTGGAGCCAAAACGCGAATTCCACGGAACCTCAAATTAGGAAGTGCAGCAAGCACAGAGAGCAAAAAGGAAAGATTAATGCGTCGAGCAGCCAGCAAAATTGCTGAATTGGAACAGCAAGAAGAAGGAGAAGAAGAAGCTGAAGTTGAAGATGATATTGTCTCGCAAGAAGAGAAAGGAGCAGCAGCACCTGATCCGGCCTTGGCTAATGCGCTTAAGGAGCAAGCTATGTCCCTTGAGCGGAGGAAGAAAGGACATAATATTCCTAGCTGGAAGAGACATGCTGATAAGAAACGCGTCCGACAAGCTGTTAGGAAAGCTTCTTCAAACACTGCTACGGAGGATTTCATTTAAGTTGTGGTGGTTTTTTTTTTCCCCCTTTTTATTCTGAAATTTGTTTTTCTCCCTAGGTATAAACTTGCCAAGCATGCGTGCATGAGGGAAGATATGAGGACATTTCAATTCGCATCTAGCGTATCGGGATTTGGCAAAGGACAGACGGAAAAGCTTGTTCTTGACATGCATATATCATGTATTATTGTTGTATATTAGCTCTGGCATACACGACTCTTTTTTAAATTGTATATTAGACTATCACCTCTTGATACTCAATCCAACCCGATATCTGGTTGACCATGAACGATACCTAGTAATACTGCAGAGTGGGCTTTGAAAAGTAAGTGAATATCTTGCTTTCACAAAGGTTAATGTTTAGCTAGGCCTGGACTCTACTGTAAATCTCGACCCTCCTTCTATGCACATATAGTTCATCCAGTTTCTTCTTTTGGCATGGAGCCTTAGATTCAGCCTGAATTGGGGTTTCATTGACACAGATAATTTGGATAAGCACATATACAGTGTGCTGATTCGAATTTGGAGACCGAGACGAATGCGGCGTTGACATGCTCTATATGGTGGGATAGGCATTGTCTTTGAACAAGACTCCTTTTGCCAGAATAGGCTCAATGTCGGATTCGAATGGTTCTTTTCCGCTAATGCACTTCCCAACTGAGGTCCACGTGTTTCAAGGAAATACTCTTTCCGGATGGCCTAAACTGCTCGTTTGTGTATAAACGAGGCAAAAAAACGGTTGAATGTTGGGAAAGAGAAGAATCACTGAGCAGCCATACTCTTCCTCAACTGTCTCTCCTTCTGTCGACTCTGCAACTCAAGCCTATCAACGGCATACTTCAATCGCTCCTTTTTCTGCACCAATCTTCTTAATTGTACTGCTTTCGCGCCTGCGTCTGATGATGGCCGCGCAGGACGGTTCGCTTTTCCGGATAGAGAGGATGATGGTGAAGGTAGTCGACGCTCGTCTGATAGTCGTCCCTCTTGGAGCTGGCATTTTGCTCTTAGTGATTCCTCGCGACGTGCAAGACGCTCGACATGGTTGGATGCGACGGAGAGGAGGTGGGCGATGCTGGGAGTGATTTCGTCTAGAAGAGATTGCTGCGCTTCTTGCAGTTGTGGTTCGGGAAGAAGCTCGAAATGCTACGATTGAGTCAGCGTAATGTGTTTTCCGCTCAATTTTATCCATTACACTGATCAGGTTTAATACTAGGCAGTAAATCGTACCCTGGTTGTTTGTAGAACTTTTGATAGCCGTGGGAAGTCATTGACTCCGGAGTCTAGAATATCGATTGAGCTGTCCAGCAATTGTAGTGATGAACGGAGCGAGCTGACAGATGAAGCTAAGGAGTCAGCCATGGTAGTATAATACTGCACTGCAGGCTTCTTGTTTGCAATAATGTATGAATGATTCAAACTTCAATGTTTACATCGATACGAGTGACGAGGGGCGGAGAAAGTGGACTAGGCTACTTTGGGCAAGCGGCTTGGCAACAACTTCCGTTCTGTCGCCGACTTCGACTCTTTCCGTTGTGAACACTACAATCCACAACCTCCCTCAACAACTTTCGCGATTTATCCTTCCATCTCGCGATCAATCTGTCAATCATGTCTCTTCTCGGAAAGAAATGGCCGACTCCTGTCGGTAAGTTACTATACCACGTTCAATGAACTAGATTCAGCTTGCAATTTGCATGCATCCAAATCATCGTATGAAAGAAGCGATCGGTTACTGATGACGATGATACTATTAGCCAAGCCTATGTTTCCGTTCTTCGCTGCCGGTACGTCTTTTCAACTCACCGGAAGATCATATTTGCAACGATGTCTATTTCTGCTGTGGTGGAACGACATTCGATACGCCAATTCCCAGTTGCGCAGTTGGAAACGGGACGAGACTAACTAACTTGGCTGTTATGCAGGTCTCGTTATCCTCTACGGTGTCAACACTATCGCTAACGCTGCCATGGGAAGTAAGTGCTTATGCCTTTGGGATTGATCCGTGTATTCAGATAATCCCGGAACCGCAAGAGACTGGCCTATGAACCGTACTGATCAATTGACTCCTAAACAGCTGCGCAATGGAAGGATGACCCACGAAACCCTCACGCCAAACCCAAGGGCAAGTAAGCAACCAAACGAAACATCGGAAATAATCCCAACATGATGGAAGTGTTCATGTGATGTGGGAGAGGAGGAGTGAATGGAAAACACATGGGATTGATTACGTTTAGGTTGGAAATTAGTGTTTGCAAATCGAGAACTATGGCAAGTTGTCATTATCATCGCCAGCTTATACCATCAAAGTCATGTCATTTGTACAAAGCATATAGACTTGATCTGGCATCTCTCGACGACAGAAAAGAGTTAGCTGTACCATTATCACTATTACAATTTTCTATATTCTGTCACTTCTTGTTAAAAGTGAAAGGAAATCAGAAGAATATCTAGGATTTCATGTAAGTTAAATATATGGATGCCCTTATGGACCTCTTTTCACTGATTTTCAAGCCTGAGTGGCTGCCGAAAAGTTCCGACGAATAGTAAAATACTGTATCTGCACCTCCAGCTTTGGCCAAGAAGAGATATTATTGATAGAGTCTGAATTATGATTAGCTATGCAAGTCTAGATATAACTAGAAAGAGAGAGGAAAAAGCCAAGTCAAGTAATTTCATACAAAAAAGCCAACTGTAAAGCCTCAACCTCAGGCAACCAGATTACCCGCTAAGCCTAATCGAGCGGACCGTCGATCCTAACGTTTTCTTCCTTCACTTTTTGATTGACACTGAAGAACAATTCTTATCCCACAAAGACGCCATCCACACCCCAATATGTCTCAATTCAGAGCTAAGCGACTAGATCTCGGCGGCTTCATCAACGCCAGAGTGATCCGCGACCACACGAAGCGAAAGGTCTTTGAACAATTCGAGCCGGAAAGGTATGTCGTTTCCTTTTCCCTTTTCTTCTGGGCAATGAAGGCTCTTTCGTTCTGTTGAAGATAATTGGGCACTTTCTAATATAATCATTTACTCGAACAGACAAGCTCTCCGCTACGCAATTCGCAACACTTCCCTCCCTCAACGTGTGCGCGCACAAGCACAACTCCAACTCGCCCAAATGCACGCCTATACCCGCTCCACTCAGATCAAGAACCGATGTGTTGCTGGAGGTATTGCGAGGGGAGTTTTCAGAGATTTCAGACTTGCACGGGTATGTTTTTTTTCTGCTTCTTCGTTCTTCACGGCAGGACTTGGTGCTAATTGATTGATTGTGATAATGCAGTATCAATTCCGTCAACAAGCGCTAGCCGGTGAGCTACCGGGTGTGAGGAAAGCGTCGTGGTGAGAGGATTATATGATTTGAGGCCGAGGTCATTTCAATAATTGCTGTGCAATGGATTGGAGTGGTGTGTTAAGCATATGATGGGCTGGAGTTGGTTCCTTTGATTTGTGAGATAATTGTATACTAGGTCACTATAACTATGCATGTTGATATTATTCTTTCGTCCACTTCAGCTCATAACCGTATCTACCATCGGTATATCTTGAGAGATCTCATTGACTGACCGCTTTGTTTTCTCTGCAGTGACCGAAAAGGGAAATGGCGTCGTGATTGTGTTTGCCCATCGTTTGTTTGCGTGGTCACCGTTTGCTCTTTGTTCAAGCTCTTTGCGCTCTTTCACTTCTCACTTAGACTTAGTCAAGTCTTCACTCAATCAAGGCAGTCAACTCGAGCTTGCTGCCCTCACTCCCCTCAAGATTGACTTTCTTTCTCTCTTGAGTCTTACCCAGACCATCACCCAGTCAAAGTAGTCAGCTTAAATTTCGCCAGTTTTCATTGCTTATCTCGACACTGAACTATTTCTCTGCTTCAACTGCTATTCTCAAAAAACGAAAATCCTATCAACAATGCTTGTCTACAGGAGAAAAGACCTCCCTGATGATCCTGTCTTTCCTGCAGACTTGGAGAAACTAGGGTAAGCGCGTTTCTTTTCTCCATCTCTTCTTGGAAAAGTGTTTTTAATTTACTAAGAAAACTACTAGATACTTCATCAACGATCAAGATCAAATCAGGCAGATTGCCAATCCGGACGAAAGCTTCAGATACAAAATTAATGCCAATGAGAGATGGAACGAAGTCCATTGCAGCGCGTTTAATGGTGCTGTTTACCAAATTTCTTACCTCCTTTCTCCACAATTGATAGTTGTCGAACGGTTATACACACCCCTGAAGGTTTTTGCTAATATCCAACAGACTGCATTCGTCATATCGTTTTGTCCCGTCTGGAGGCTCTTGGAATGGAGACTCTGCGTCTCCCTGTCGGTGCTCAGACTCACGAAAAACATGTCCCTATTCTACATTCTACCAATATCAGTGCCGCAAAACGCATCATAGTCGTTCTTGGCAGTCCTGACCAGGAGCTCGGCATCTGGACCTACAGAAGCATATCTGAAAAAGGGATCAACGTCGGCTCCATGGTAGATTTTGCCAAGGCCGTGCTTCAACGAGACAAAGACAACACAAAGGAACCAAATGGTGAACATGATAGCATCGCGCTGGTGATTGCAAATTCAGGCCAGCTTATCTATCATTGCGGATCTGGGACGTCCATGTCTCGATCGACTTGGTTTGCTCTCCCCGTTGCATCCGCAGCTCATCCTCCACTAAGGCAGACATATAGAAATGTTGTGCCTGGCAATACCAATTGGCGAAAGCATGTCAGGTATATATTTGAGAATGTGCTGGCTGCAGGGGGTGAGTTTGTCAACGCCAATGCCAAGATCGACATCATCGGGGTCGAAGAAGGAGGATTGGCGGCTGTTGAGTATTTGGGTGAACATTGTGAGTTTCTACTTTCATGTCTCCTTGTTTCTAATTTCGGTTTTTATTCTTACAACTTTTCTCTTCTCACCAGGGTCTGCATGGAACAAATTTATTTCAGCAATTTGCTTCGCAAGGCCTCTTCATAATAAGCGCCAACTATTCAACGTTGAAGAGCAAGAATCGGCCGACAATGGGAATAGTAGTGACGTTGAAGTTGGTCAAACTCCGGGATCATTCGCAAAATTTCTGGCTACTAGATGTCGCGCCTACCTCCTGTCTGACAAGCCACTCGAATGGCCTATTCCTGGTACTCCGGAGTATGGTTGTAATACACATTCGTCTGGTGAAGCGGTGAATCATGAGGACGCAGTGGTCTCGTCATGGCAGGCTATGTTGATATGGCTCGACAAGTTACATTATGATCCGTCACACGAGGAAGTAGAATTCATCATGGAGGAGGTGGTGGACGACGAGGCTTGGAGGAAGTGGCAGCAGAGGGAAGATGAGGAAGATGAAGAGGAAAGCTCTAAGTAGTTGAAGCATCTGATTACGACCCAGGGGTAGTTGACCAACCTTGAGGACAATGTTGATTAGCGAATGAAATCCTCGTTGCAACAGCGTCAAGCATTGGGTAAGCAATGAGCGTCAGGCTGCCCTGACTTCCTAATCAGGCTAGACACCTAGCGAAAGCCCTAGCCCTAATCTCCCGCCACGCCGACGCTTCTTCAGGACATTGTTAGTATGAGACATGGACGCTGACTATAAGGCTAAGTTCGTGGCAATAGACCAGACAAGTTATCATAAAGAGTACTACGTAGTAATCGTCAGTGCAATCCCAAACATCCGTATCAAAACAAATATCCAAGTACTTTCTAACCCGACAAACCAACGTCAAGCAGCAAGTACCGTACCTGAAGAAACCGACCGGAGCCGGCCGAAAAAGCTTACCTCAGTTACGGACATAGTTACTATTCTGGAGTTATCCTTAAGTAAAGGAAAGCAGAACCAGACAAACGGTCAGCAAGAAGAAAGAAAAAGTGGTGCGGTTCGCGGTAGTGTTTTGCCGTGGGGCTAAGTCAGAGCTTATCTTCGTCTGTATTGGTATGTATCCGCTCGCTATCAGTGTATTAATACGGTATTGAATACGTGACGTACTCTTCTATCACCGACCTCACTAATGATAAAGATAAGGATAAGGATAAGAATGAGAATCCGGGGTACTTAGTACGTAGTTAGTTCACTTGGAGTACGGGGTATATAGCTTTCACAGTAATAACCTAGAAGATTATATTGTAGTTAGTCGACGAGAAGAGGGAGAGACAAAAAATACAGCCTTTTCCCAAAGCGGCAAGTGTGACCCTATCCCCGGCTACGCTTTTTTTTTTTTTTTTCTTTTTTTCTTCTCACTTTTTCAGTTCTCATTACTCGATGGATTAATCTCCTAGTGGCTTTGGTCATTTCTATCGAGTAACACCGTACAACGCCACAGAAGACGGGAGATAGCGGAGTGATGTGTAAGCCTTGCACATTTCTACTTGGGTTAAGTACTTTATCGAAATTTTACTCCGTACTCAAGTGTGCATTTTCTTGTTGTGATTGCTATGCGAAGTGACAGTAGCAACGAAGCCATAGCAAACCTTTTTTTTTTCTTTTTTCACAACGCTTGACTTGATCTTGCTGTTGAACTGATCACTTTGGCCTGAGACACAGTACATCCGATATCGTCCATAAATGATAATGCACAAAATCTGTAACTACGCAAGTCTAAGATTGGGCGGTGGGACGCAAACTTATCTCGCCCTATCGTACGTACCGAAAACCAAAAACGCGGTAATTACCCGTTCCCATATTACCACTGATAAAAAGACCCTCCGAGGGGTGACTCTCATACATATTATGGTACACACCTTCCAGATAGACTTGCTTTTTCTTCTCTTCATGTTCCTTATTTCCACTGTATTTTCCTCCATATCACAGTTTGCTCTGCGCAAAACAATACCTCCTATCGTATTATTACCTTATCGGGCTATACAGTGTCACCCCCTTATCTCTGCGCTTTCTCTTGCCACGATAAGGTCACTGCGGCGTTGCTCCTGCTTATTCGATCACTTCAGTGCTGTTCTTCCATAGACCCTCTTTTCAACTCTTTCATTCATTCTTTCATCCCCTTTTGATATATACAATATCTCCACTCTTAATCAAGACTGCCGCCCTACCTCATCCGGAGCAGCAGTAGACCGCCTCACTCTCAAACACGAATTCATCTTCTTCCAGGCTGCTGCCCTGTCTCAAGCCATGGCTGTGACAGTCATAGCTTCGTCCCGGGCCGTTATCTCGGGTCGGCTAAGCGCAGCCACCATTGTAATCTCCCAATCAACCGGCAAGATTGTGCAGGTGTTTGATTCCATCAGACCCGTCTCGGATTTCCCCGAATGCGACTCTTACAAGGATTATTCTCCTTATGTGCTTCTGCCCGGTCTAGTGGATGCGCACGTGCATCTAAATGAGCCAGGCAGGACCGAATGGGAAGGTTTCTATACCGGCACCCAGGCCGCCGCCTTTGGTGGCGTGACTACTGTCGTCGATATGCCACTCAATGCTATCCCGCCTACGACGACTGTGGCTGGCTTTCATGAGAAGATTCGCGCCGCCCAAGACAAGTGTTGGGTCGATGTTGGGTTTTATGGCGGTGTCATCCCCGGGAACGCCCACGAGCTGAAGCCTCTGGTGAACATGGGTGTGCGTGGGTTTAAGGGCTTCCTTATTGACAGCGGAGTAAGTCTCGTCCTTGTCATTGGTTAGAGCAAACAAACTTATAATGAAACAGGTGGAAGAGTTCCCTGCCGTTTCTTCACCCGATATCGAATTGGCCATGCGAGAACTCAAAGACCAGGCAACCACTTTGATGTTCCACGCAGAAATGCTTCCGCCCATCACCAAATCAGTAGGTGACGATGTGCAGGTCTCGCTACCACCCCTTGCACCAGAAGGGCCCCTGCAAAGCTACTCGACATTTCTCGCATCTCGCCCGGCATCCTTTGAAACGTATGCAATTGCACAAATCATCCAACTGGCCTCAACTGCACCGAAGCTGCCGCTGCATATAGTGCATCTATCGGCTATAGAAGCGATTCCGTTACTGCGAGAAGCGCGTGCCAAAGGCGTACCAATCACAGCAGAGACTTGCTTCCATTATCTATCACTGGCGGCAGAAGAGATTGCCGAAGGTGATACTCGACACAAGTGCTGCCCTCCTATCCGATCACAACTGAACCAGGATGGATTGTGGGCCGAGTTGGAACGATATGCTGACGACGGTGTTATCAAGACTGTTGTTTCAGATCACTCGCCATGCACGCCGGATCTCAAACTTCTCCCTTCGCATATTATGTCTAGTAGTACTAGCAGCCTTGACGCTGGATCGTCGAGCAATACATCAGCCGTGGTTACACCGTTAAATAATTCCTCATCGAGCAGCAGTGTGAGCGACTATTTCGAACCCAAAGAAAAAGAAGTCAATGACGGCAACTTCTTCTCAGCATGGGGTGGCATCTCTTCCGTCGGTCTCGGTCTGCCCATTCTATGGACAGAAATCTCACGACGAAAACAAGTTGCTGCACCCGGTGGCACCAAGACAATCGAGCAAGACCTGCAAGACATTGCCCAATGGTGCAGCGCCAACACAGCAGCACAAGTTGGTCTCTCGCATCAAAAGGGAGACCTGGCAGTCGGCTTTGATGCAGACATTTGTGTATTTGACGACACGGCCGAATGGGTCGTTGAGCCAAGCACGATGTTATTCCGGAATAAGTGCTCTCCATACCAGGGTCGCACGCTGAAAGGAATGGTGCAAGAGACGTGGTTGCGTGGGACGAGAGTATATTCACGAAGGGAAGGGTTCAGTCGGGCACCAGAAGGAAAGCTGCTTTTAGAGAAGCGGTCTCTTTAGATCATGCTGCTATAAACCTGGTTCATTGTTGGCACGAGCTAACTCCGACGTTGACCGTTGACATTGAGACTGTTGTACATATGAACTTTGCTTTTGTTTCTTTCCCCCCCCCCTGTCATTAGCGGCATATGCATGGATGCAATAGTAGTCCTTGGCCTGGCTTAGCTTCTTTAGCCTTTCGAAATAAATGAATCAAGACTTGAAGAACTTTCTTTTCTACTTCTCATTCTCCCAGCGCTCTCTGATTCTTCTCCGCACGCCGCCGTTGATGCCTTTGCCCCATATTTTCACTTCTTCATTGAAACCATCTTCATGCCCCTTAGAATTCGATAGATTCGACAGCACCTCTGATGAGACAACTTCCTTCTTCTCATTCAGCCTCTTCTCCGCATCCTTCGCCTGCCTAACCTTCCTCAAATAGGACGCATAAACCACCGTCTCTGCAACGCCAACCAAAATTCCCACAAACATCGAAATCAAAACAAATACCGGATCTTTTCCTGTCGCAGCAGTGGTGCCATCCCCACCCAAAAATGAAGGCGTCTGGAAATTCTTCAAGGCCCAAAACGTCGCAAAGCCGCAGAGCAAGATGGACATGAATATGTTGATGACGAGGGAAGGACTGATGGGGTCGTGATTTTCTTCTTCTTCGTTATTGGTCATGTCACTGTCATTGATGGTAGAGGCAAAAATGGGTGATGGACCGTAGGGGTTGGAGTGCGTCGAGGAGGGGGCGATGAGTTGGTTGTACGCCTGTTTCTCGGCGAGGGATTGGAGACGGGCTTTGAGAGCGAGGTATTCTGGGGACTGTTTCGTTTTTCAGTATATCAAATTAAATGAGATGAAAATAGAGGGAGGAAAAACGTACTGGTTCGGGCTTCGGCGGCGCAGGGGGAATATACACCTGCGTTCCCCTCAGGAGAGAATCCAGGGTATGAGGACTTCCATTCTGTCCATTCCTTAACTCATTAAATGCTCCCCGCAACGCAATCAATTGCTCATGCGAAATGGGTGATCCGACAGTTTTGTCTTGCTGCAAGCCCAGCTTTTCGCGTGACGCGGGCGAAAGGCCCTGTAGGGCTGTGAGTATGGTTGGCGTTGTGACAAGGAGTACCATCCTCTCTCATGTCCCTTAGTTCAATTCAATCAATGGCTGAATCCATTCATTCCATGTCTTTAAACTCGAGATTTGTTGATGACAGACGTGGAAAGGAAAGGAAAGGAAGGCGACGTCATTGCGGTCATCCAATCAAGTCTTGAGCTTTCGTGCCGGCAGAACTAACGAGGAATAATTTCTGTCCGCGCGGGGGACTAAGAACAACAAGCAAGCAAGCAAGCTCTCCGACCTCACTTTCTATAAGTCTCGACAGAGAGCACAAGTCTCCGTTGCAATGGCCTAAAGAGGGCCAAATCCAACAATCCTTCTTATTCAGAATAGCGAATAAAAATTGAGAACCAGCATGGCGGCTGTCACGAAAGTGGGCGAGGGGTAAATCTATCCTCTCCTATTTCTTTCTTTTCCTTTTTGGCTATCCTCATTCTATTACATTCATAAAAATGAACTAACAATACAAGATCAACAAACCCTCGCGGCATCCCCGTCGCCCCCTTCGTCGACAATGTCAGCGACTACGTCGCCAGCCGGGCAGACGTCGAAGGCACACTGCGCTCCTTCCAAGAAATGATATCCAAATACCAATTCATGGAAGTGAACACGCAGCGACGCAGCGTGGGTCTTCGAGAGAAAATCCCCGATATCAAAAAGACGCTTGATATGGTGAAATTCTTGAAATTGAGGCGTGATCATGTCAACAATAGCGATAATAACGAAGACGGAGATGACGAAGACAATAAGGATGTCATACAGACGCATTTCGAGTTGAATGATACACTCTACGCGCGGGCTAAAATCTCCGTGCAGGATACGGAGGAGGTGTATCTCTGGCTGGGTGCGAATGTTATGCTAGCATACCCTATTGACGAAGCGGAGACAATGCTGGTGGACAAATTACAGGCGGCGGAATTGAGTCTGGCGAATTGTGAGGAGGATTTGGAATTTTTGAGAGAGCAGATTACCGTATGTCTGATTCCTCTCGTCTTTCTTCCGATTTTTTATAAGTGGGTTTCTATGTATACTGATTTGATTATAGACACTCGAAGTTGCAACGGCCCGCGTGTACAATTGGGATGTTGTGCAGAGACGAAAGGAGAAGGCAGAAGGGAAGGGAGACGATGAAGAAAAGGGGGAGCCAGATGGTTAAATGTTCTGTTTTTCAGAAGGTCAAATTGATATGTCAAGTGTGAAGGCGGATTAGACTGGTACATAAATATTTGTTACAGAAAAGCTCGTGAATCTTCTCAAGTCCACATCTAGTTGTCAAAACACGTATCTACTAGTGTTGCATCCTACGAGTTGTACGGACAGTCAATCGTAATGAAGAAGTAAAGTAATAATGCATATAAAACAAGAAGGGAATAATGAATAACGCCCACGCCGGTTCCTCTTCCCCTTTTCCACTTTTTGTCATAACCCGTAGTTGCAGTCAGACTGACTTGAGTGACGTGAGATACATTATCGACATGAGATCTATGCGTGTATATGAGACAAGACTCATTATGATAGCATAAAATAATAAAAATAGAGTAGAATAGAAGAAAGATGCCAAAGAAAGCGAGGTATCTAAGCAGGCTGCTCGAACGCTCTCCGAATAACTCGCCCGAACATATCCACGCCGACTCGCTCACTCTTAATCTCCGACCTGGCCTCATTCTCGCGGTTCTTGGGCACCCTCACCACGGTGCCATCAACCTCCCACCCACAAACATCCGCAACGAACTTCTGCAGAGCCTCGCGACACTTGAGATCGAGCCATTGCGCAAGCACATCCGCACTGATTTCACGGAAAGCCTTGCCAACCTCAACAGCGATGCGGACGCGCACTAATTCCTCGAACCCGGCAACGTCGGCGACGAGGTCAGCGTACAGATCATCTGAGTTGAACGTTGACCAGAACAGAGCGTATTGGGCGGATTCAAGGAGGGAGTTGAGGTGCGTCAGTTTTTGTATCGACTCGACAAAGTCGGATGTTTGTTGAGGGATGGAGTTATTATTATTTGTTGCTGATGCTGTGTTCTCACCCGTCGAGGCTGCTCCGAAGGGTTGTGTGTGTGCAGGGAGGAGGGAGAGGGAAAGCGAAAAGGCCGGTGAAGGGAAGACGGTCAGTGCTTTGGCGAGAATGTTGGTTGTTGTTTCGGGCTGGAGGAGGTGAGGATTGAATTGGTAGCTTGCAGGTTTGTGTCAGTCTCATATCATCCGAACCACACCAAATGGGAAAGACAAAGATATAGAGGATAAAAGAAAAAGACAAGTTCATCAGGTAGAGCTAATTTGACCCCATGCTGCCATCCATTCGACTTGAATGGGGAAAGTCAGGCTAATAGGAAACGTGGAAGAAAATACTCATCATAAAACTTGTCTTTTCTCGTCCCGAGATTTTCGAGAGGAAAAAAAGGAGGGGGAAGGAGGAGAATAAACGTACAGCTTCAACAAGGCCAAGTTAGCATAACAATCAAAAGTCCTATCCTCGCATTGCTGCACAACATAGTCCTGAAACACAGTTGTTGTTTCTGGGTTATATCGGTCCAAGCCATTGAGGATGGCGTCAATGTGCGCTGGTCGCGCGTCGCTTTTATCAAAAGCGGTGACCATGATTATTACCCTTGCTTTTTTGCCTCGTCTATTTGCCCTGTTTTCCCTATTTTTATGGTATGGATTTGTGGTTGTGCAGGGCTTGTGGTGGTGTTGTGTGTATGCAGGCAAATTGTGGTTTGTTGGTTAAATTCGACTGAAGCAATTTTGCTGTGTGGTAAAAAGGTGGGGCTGATCGGATTAATTCTGAACCAGTCAGGTATATTTATCCGATTTTAGCATTCGCTTGATTTTCCACGTAAGTAGTTGAGATACTCCGAAGTCAGAGGATAATAACCAATTGAAACGAAAAAAATTAAATAAAATTGTTGTACCGCGGTTCTTGAACTAATATCCATGCAATACAAACGCCATGCCAATGATCGCTAAACCCAAACAAATGTCATGTCATCCCATACATAACACAAATTGTACAAACTCCTCATTATGCTTCGTATATCAATCAAGAAAAAAGCATAATTCCTTCTAGTCTATTCCCAACTCCGGTCAGTGTATGTGCAATTATGAAAGCATTATTAGATCCTGTAATAACAGAGACGATTTTCGATAGTTGATGTAGAACAATTCGAAAATCCGAGTAACTAAATGTGGAAGAGTTGTGAGACTAAGCCACAATGGGCCGTCGTGGTGAAATCGGAATTGGCTGAGGTCCTGAAGATATATTCAAGGATGTCAGCGTCAAATCACTCGGTCGTTGATTATGACCGGGTCGGCTGTTAATATTTGAGTTGCCTGGGGCTGCTGGCGGCATTGCAACGCTTGTCCGGCGCGACTGGCTCGCAGCTGACTCTTCAGAGGACACAGTACTGCAGACAAATCGCTCATCGGAGACGGGAGCACCACCAAACATATTGCCCAATTGTTGAAGCAGAGTCACAAACTGGGCATGCAGCTCCGCAAATATGTATTCGTTTCCGACAATCTCTGCGAGATTGCGAGCCCGGATTTGGCCTGCTCGCCGCGGGTTGCCATTGGCATCCAAGGCGCGGCCAGTGAGAAAAGAGGAGATTGGAGTGTAGTCGCGGCCACCAATGCTGTTTGATGAGCGGAAGGCCTGTTCTTCACGGTTCTTCTCTTCCTCCTGATGCTTCTCTGCGGCTGACACGATCCCTGCAGCAATGCGCTGGAAGATGCGCCAGATAATGGGAGAAGCTCGGAAGGCACGCCCAGCATCTTTACCAGCTAGGGCTATCAGCGCATAGCTGCGGCGCTTGCCACGAGCCATTGGATCGGGTAAGCGGAAAACATATGCAATTGTGTAACCAGCGACGGGGTCGCCGAAGCAGAGGGGGCCGGAGGAAAGACCGCGCGGCAGCAATTCACAGCTGAGCGTGCGAATGGATGACTGACGAAGTAGAGTGTAGTCGGCTGGGTTAGGGGGGCCATGCAATGATAGATAAGTCAGGATATGGGTGTGACACGAGGTGGCAGACGAGGACGAGGAGGAAGCGACCGAAACAGAATGTACCGAGTCCGGCAAGGATGCATGCAGATGCGTGTCATGCGTCTCGTCTTCATAGCTAGTCGAGTGATTACCACCGCACGAATGAACGACTTCTCTGGACCGCAGTACGGGGCTGTTGCTTTTAGCCCTACCATTCTCGCCGTCGGGGGTGCCCGAAACGCTCGTTGGCAGTTTCTTGCTGACGTCTTCCGGCAGGGAGATGCTGCAGCTAGCGCAGGTATCGTTATTAGTCCCGCCAACGCGATTAAGGCGCTCAGTCGGGTCGACTGTGATCTGCGACTGTGGCTGCTGTGCTTTCAAAAAGTAGGGGTGATCTTCAATGTTCTGCGAGGTGTTTGCGGGGTTTGATTTGACGCTTGCTGTCAAAGAGGTAGACAGTGCAGAGTTATCGGGAGTTGAGGACAAATTGCGGTGCTTTTTATTGTTGCTGTGGTGAGAGTGTGAGGAGGTCGTGGAGGTCGACGGCGTGTCGGCAGGAGAGACTGAACCCTCGGCGTCCGAGGGATGGCATTGTGTGCAGGAAAAGGGCAAAACTTGAGAGCAAAGAATCGAAGTCGGGCCGTGCACTTCGCAAAAATGCGTCAGAGAGAGCTATTCGAGTCAGATCAGTCGCAATTCCTTTTGGTTGGGGGGGGAATCTTTCTGCTTCTTGTTCCAGGGTATACTCTCACGTGAGCAAGCAAATGTCCGTCGCGACAGGAAAATAACCCCAGAACACAAGTAACAGAACACATGCGCACAACGAAAATGCAATTCAACATACAATAAAATCCATGGTCTCACGAGTAAGTAAGACGGCTCTCCTCTCCGGAAATATTGCGAGCGGTCCTTAGATTTAAGGCATTGCCATCGTCCTTGTCGACATGATCGCGCAAAGAAACCGTAATTTTTGGTGTCGAAGATAAGCGTTGATAATCACCGCCGACGGTGGCGGCAAACCCGGGTTGCTGGGACGGGGTCGCTTTTTCTGGAGTGAAGATTCAAGGGTGCGAGTGCGAGATCAGCGGTGAATATATGTCTGGCAATCCTTGTATGCAGCGCAGAGAGAGCGAGGCAAAAGGCAAAGGGCGGTGGGAAGAAAGGGATGATTGCAGCCAGCGTGGTAATGAGGCGAAATCAATCAAGAACGTAGGGATCAGGGTAGATTGATAGCGACGGCGGTATCAGCCACGATATGATATGATCTGGAATGCCACAAAGATCAGGGATCAAAGGACTTGGGATTTTGGTAAAAGAAGAGTTTGATTGAGGTGTAAATTTCATAATATAATATTCTATCGGAGCGCACTGATTGACTGATAAAAATAAGAGCGGGTGTAACGGCCGGCGTGAAAGAGGGATCGCTCATAGATTCGTTTGGTACAATACTATACGGTACGTACCGTTTTCTGTCGAGAAGAACCTAATCGGCCCAGCGTCGTATCGTAATCCGGCGGAATGTTACCGTACCCAACTCAGAGGCGGCAGTACGAATCATTGATTCCACCTGATTAAAAGAGCATTTGATAATGTACATACGCATATAAATACCGTTTACGCATAGAGAGATATATCTAGCGGTTATATGGGGGTCAGATTTGTTAGGACATGTCGCGAGAAATGCCAAGCCTCCATACTAAATGCGGCCGAGAAACCGCACAAATTTCACAAAGTCAATACCCCAAAATTACATGGGGGTCAGATTACTCGTACGAGTAAGAATCGTTCTGCCGTCAAAAAAATCTTACATAATACTAGTAATTATTACTATGGGGACTGCATGCATAAAAGTTCTAGGGCTATAAAGCTGGCTTCATTGCTACCGTACGTACAACACACTCAAGCTAGATGACTTGCTTCGCTTCGCCGCACAGAGATTCTGCACGGCTACTGATCCTGGACACCACGTAGAGGTGCAAGTTCTTGCCCAGGTGTCGTACACATGGCCCGTACGACTGGGCTAAAGAAAAATTACACATACCTTGCTGCTGCCGTCCCAGTGCCAGAGAAAGAAGATGATGATGTGTGTGTGCATATGCATGTGCAATGAAAACAGTAAGAAAATCGTACGTACCTTAATCAATCTCATAGGGGTTCTCTTGAGAACCAGGCTCAGGATCAAGATCAATCGGATTTTCCTCCGACTCACCGGCTGGCCCATCCTCTATAAGGAGAATCGGACGGCCAACACCACCGCCTGGTTGACTCGGACGAACAGGAGCACGGGGGACAGTGTTCACCATGTCTGACCTTCCAGGGATAGCCATTCTGGTGCCTCCTGTTATCTGCCTTCGTACGGGCGGGCAGTGACTTCCCCAGTCACGCCACTTGCAGTTTGCACAGCACCCGTTCCAGTGGCCCGGCAAGCGGACACACTGGACAAATGGAGTGTTCGTACGATCAGCCTGGCAACTGGCACCGCACGGGGGACCAACAACTCCACGCGAAGCGATCAACAGGGCGTTGATGTACGACTGGCGGCCTGACACAATTTGGAAGGCTTTCAAACTGCCAGATTTGAAATAAATTCCTCTCTGCACAGGAAGTGCTTGTGCAGCGCGGCTCTGCGGACTTGAGCACCAGAAGTCCAATGCCTGAGGGGGCAGAATAACCATGGGATCCTGACCGTACGGAGCTGCCTGTTCGGCCTGGTCAATCAGGCGTTGGATGAGGGCAATCATCCTCTCCCTAACAGAGGATGGGCCAGCGGTGGCGGAGGGGAAATCGACGGCGTTGTTGCGTCTGTGACTCGTACGATTCGGCCATGGACGAATCGTACGAGGAACTGTTAGCATATTCATTCATTCAAGCTTGGAGGCTCACCTAGATAGATGAGAAGCATGGGGGGCTTCGTACGAGAGCGACATGATGATCGATTGTGGTGAGAGAGAGAGAGAGAGAGAGAAGGAAGACTGAGATGGGAAGGAGGTGCTCTAAGAGGTGGGTGGTTGGTGCCTGCTGTTTGTTTGATTTGTCTTATATGACCAAATTGGGAAGGAAGGCAGCACGTTGACGTGAACCTGGACGTGGACGTGCTAGGCTATTCCCTTTTCGTACGAGTATAGAGATCTAATATGACTTCAATTTCATTGACTCTAACTCCAGGGTTCAATTCACCTATCGTACATTCTTTTTCAATAAGACCTGCAGCTGGTACAGCGTACAATGCGCCTTCCTTCGTACGAGCTCAACCTCTTCGACTGCAGCAGCTAATGACATGCCATGAGAAGCCCGTGAGTGTATCTCATCAATGATGACCTTCCTACGGCTAAAGAACACCCTCTCCTTATTATCTGGCCTCCAGCTGCATCCGTACGAGGCTTCGAGAGATTGAATTGATGGATTGCCATTGAGGCCTGAGTACCACTCATCCCAGAGCTCACGCACCGTGCGTATTGTACGAGACATTCGATAGGAAGGAGCATCGAGAGGTAGACTGCTGGCTTGAGGCAGTTCCAACAAGGGATCTTGATCTCGTACGGGATCTGGGGTAGCCACAGCGGCAGGCGAGTCGGACGAGGTGCTGGCTGCTTCCTTGATAGCTGCTTGAGCAGGAATGGCAAGTGTTTGATTCTGTTCATTGAAGCCTGCAAGCCTTGCAGTAAAGGTAATCTTTCCGGATAATAACTGGTCCATCTGAGCCTGAATCGTACGGAGAGAGTGCTGGGTTTGCTGATGATTCAATTGTATGATCTGCTCTAGGTTATTCCCAATAGTTGATATCTGATCGGCCACAAGAGGGATCGTCTGACGGAGCTGAATCTCATGAGGTGTTGAGGCCGTACGAGCTACAGAGCGGACCTGCTCGGAGAACTGGTGATAATCTGGCCGTTGGAATAGGGGATGAGACCATATTGAATGGCCAGGGAATTCCTCTCGAAGGAAGACAGAGTCCTGGATAATAGTCGTACGAAACAGATTGAGAAGTTTTAGGAAGCTCTGCCCTGCTAGGTCATCCTGATCACATCTCTCTACACCCTGCCGCACCAAAGGGGGCAAGGGAGGCAGGCCAAGCTTATATGCCTCATCTGGATCGGACGAGGCGAACCAGGAAAGCCACTGATCGACCCATGGCCAGAGAGCTCGTACGAGAGTGTCTGGAGGGTCCAGTGAAGCCCGTGGCAGGTAGTAGTTGCCCTGATCTGTAGGTTTGAAGCCAGCAAGTGTACGAATAAATGACCGAGGCAATCCTGATAGATAGCAATTGCTCATACTATCTTGATTCCAGTGGCCAGCTCTCCGGATTGAATTCTCATCTACTCCCTGAAGCTCTGCATGCATTGCCCCCCCAGATCGTCCGGAGTGTGTCTTTTTCTTGGAGGATAGTCCAATAGCATCGAATACCTGGTTGATCCATTTCAATTGGATCTCGTACGAGATAGATTGATCTGGATATGCTCCCTTGAAGATGCGGAAATCATACCACTGCTGCCGCTGGTAAAACTGTGGCACCGGTTCATGCATGAGCTCCCACCGGTAAAAGAGATAGAAAGCTGTATGGCATATCGTACAGAGCAGGGGATCACGGTGTCGTACGACTGCCATATATTCAAGGCGGCCGAATTGATTGGTCTTGCCATTCAGTTTCATCATGATCATCGGCCAACATGGAGTTGGCCCTTCGTCCATATAGAGAGTAAAGAGGTCTGCCATCTCAAGATGCCGTCGATCCTCACCTCGGAGGAGCATATTATGGCTGAAGAGGAAGTCCACTGCCGTCCGAAGATAGGACTCCTGTGCCTGTGGTTTCCGGCCTTTATTATTCTCTTTTATCCAATTAGACCAACAGTATCGTACGAATGCTCTAATATTATCCTCTGTATACCCGTCCTGGAGGGTATTAAGGCCTCGGTCTACATACTGGGCCCGTTTCCTTTTGGTCTCATCTTGCTTATGGTTCCGAAGCATGGCTCCAACTAGATGACCTCGCGGATTAGGATTCGGATTCGTACCCAGTGTCTGCTGGAAGCGCCAGAGATCAACAATGGCACTGGTGTAGGCCTTGATAGATGAATGTCCAATAGTTTGTACGATAGATGAGCCCTCCGTATCCGTACGATTCTTTAGATATCGAGAGCTCCGGATTGGACGGTTAAGGACCTGCGAATCCAGGAAAAAAACTAGCTTCTTCTCGGTAACAATATAGCCGTCATCAAAGCCCTGGCTTGTACAGAAATCTATGAATTCCTTTTGCCGGATATTGTACTGTCGATTGGTATTGTCTGGCCGATTATTCTGGATACGTGTTGCAACCTTTTGATTATGCAAAGAGACTTTTGCTTGTAAATTGAGCTGGCGGTCTTGCTCGACCGAGAGGCCCTTGTACGGAGGCTCCTCCATACTATAAATAGATTCTAAGAAGGAATATAAGTGGTCCTCGTACGAAAATACAGGGATATCATATATCCGAGCTCAATTGACCACTAAAAGTCGGTGTAGAAAGCAAGGGCTACGTCCGGTGCGGCCGAACGATGATTTTCGCCCCCTTGGATAGAAAACCGTCCGCCTTTCTGACCGCCTGCTTAGTTGACTGTAGCGCTGTATAGTCTCGTACAGGAACCAGCTCGTACAAGGTGTAAAAATCGATTTCTTGTATTATTTCTAGCATTAGGCTTGAGGTCAGATATCCCGGTTATCAGGGGGTCAGACGGGCCTTGGCATTCCTGATAACCGGGATATCTGACCCCGGGCGACATGTCGCGAGATTACGTGGGCTTTGATACCTATATATATCTATGTAAATAATATCAAGGTAAAGGGAATAAACCTGCACTGCAATATGCGTCGTTCTGACGAAAGTCGCCGAACAGGGCAGTCACAAGCAAAGTTACTCCGTTGGGATTCTTGCCTTTGCCCGCCCGCTGATTGGACGCCTCCTCCGCCTCTCCAGCGCACTCCATACGGAGCACTCCATCCTGCAGCTATAGCGTATGTATACTATACACTATACGATATTCCGCATTCCATGATCAAGGCTCAACATCAAGCTGCCAGCCGACGAATGCATTATTTTACTTGCTCTACGAAGATGCTGCGCACGCAGTATTCCCGGCTTGCGCTCACGATACAACTCCCTGTACAGCCAATCAGACGCAGTCCCGACAATCCGACCCGGTGTCCCGCCCTCTCGCTAGCGCCAAAACTAAGAAGGCCTTCATGCACTATTCCGTTTCCGGCGCTGGCGGTCGGTCTTCTAGACTTCTACAGGATTTCCTAGTTAGGCACTTCGGGGCGATTTAATTCTCTCAGCATCAAGGATCGTGTACGAGTCAGATATTCCAAAGGATCATGCTATTATCGACTAATCATCTATCAGCGCATCCCGAATCATGCGATACATACAAAGAATGGCCGACCAACCTGAACAATGAATCGTGTACCTAGCGAACCCCTCTGTTCGATCTTGTGGTCAAGGTTACGTCCCATCATTCCGGAAGTAAGCATCCACAGGGCATCAGTCCCGAGTGTATGGCTCGTCGCGAGTACGACAGTGATATTGTATGTCTTCTCTTGTATACTCCGCCGATTGCCTAGGGAATAAGAACCTGTCAGCTACCCACAGAGTCTGGGCAAAACAATGTCTTGCAAGGATCCCTCGTCCCACCGTTCCTGGCATTGCCATCTAGCACAGAAATCTCAATCCATGGAAACCCGCGTTCAAGTCAAAGAGCAAGTGGGTCTATCTGCCATTATCCGCGTGGTTTTCTGAACCGAAAGAAAAAAGAAAGGAAAAAGAGAAACTTGGAAATTGCAAGGATGGACACCAAGCCTAAATAGGCATAATAGCCTATTTACGGATACTGGAACGGAAATTGTTATCCGCGGGGCTAGTTAGTATGTCAGCTTCCTTCCCACTCCTCGTTGATAACGAGCAATCAATTTCCCACTCGTACCGAGCATCCTATCTCGCCCGAGTGGCATGGGTCGCTCGCTCGACTGCCGGTTATGGAAAGGTCACGTGAATCCTGCCAGTCCCGAATGGCGATCGGTAAGATGAATTGCCTGTTGGAGACTAGTGATAGTAGATTCTAGATAGTAATACTGATAGCAAGTTAATACGTTCCCTCGGTCCACAAAACATAGACGTCTTATTCATAGTTATTCCCTGCCTTGCTATTAGTTAATCAGAACCCAGATCAAATGGATCCTTTTATATAATCGAGCCGGTTTTTTCCTTTTTGCCTTCTCCATGGTTTGTCGATTGTTCGGACAGTGGATCATTTAGGTTTTTAGCCGGCCTGGCTCGGTATCCGTATGTAAATTACGGACTTTACGGAGACAAGATGTTTTTATACAAATGATTACGAGGGCGCAGTCACGCATCAAGGCAAAGGATCAAATCATGCTCCGACCATTGCAATAGAAGGATTTGTGGCTGCATTTGTGATGCTAGCCTTGACCCTTTTCACTTGCAGCTATGCATGGAGAGGGAATGTCACATGCACGATGCTGTGGGTGGCGCTCCGACGTCCGGGAAAAAATGGAGAAGAAAATAAATCCCCATGTTGCCGCGACTAGCTAGTCATTGTTCCTGACCAGTGTCAAGTGTGTGGTATGATTTATCTATGTTCTTGCTGTTGATTTCTCAGTAGCAGCGAATAATGCAAAGTATCGATTCTATTCGATGCATGCGTAATTGAGTAGTTATTTTCCCGATACAATCAATATGTTGACTGACGAGTCGATATTGATCACAATTCCTGCTTCGGCAATCTTATCGTCTTTTTTTTTTACATGTCGCAAGCGATAGTGTTTGATTATTGCATGTAATCCAAAAAGGAATGAGACTTAAGCTACAAACAGCTGTTCGGGCAATCAACACAATAGGGCTCTTTGTCGTTCGCCGACGCTGTATGCTTCTGCTTGTGTGTGGAAGTGTGGGTTGACTGGAGTTTCTTTAGGGATTGTAACTTGGTATGTTTAAAAATTATCTGGTAACGAACATTACGAAGCCCAATGTCGTGGATTCTTCCCAAGACTTATACAACTTCGGGGTTAAGGGTTTGAAAATACTAAAAAATCGAGTAGTATCGGAGCTGAGGCCTATTAGGTCTGGAAGAATGATAGTATCAACTACCCAGGAATGATTCGGTAACTATTATACTTTTCGAATGTTTCCTGGAAGCTGTCATTCCTTATGACTAAAATGGTATACTGATGACAGCCTTAACCACCATGCGTGCAGCTCGTCACAGCATACATCATTGTCCCAAATTCATCAACATGCCCCAACCACTGATCCACTCTATTGCGTCTCTCGAGAATACCAGATTCATCCAAATCCGCAGGTATAGGCCAAAGTTCATGTATATACAGCCCGCCATTCACCCAATCCGCCAGATAAACGTTATATGCCCTTTCCCACTCCCTTCGCGTTTGCGCTCTCCACAGGTATTTACTTGTTGGCGCAGGTAGTCCGTATAGCTCCGTACCCAGGAAAGTGGGAAGACCGTCTTGAGCCGACAGTATGCTATCGAACAGATACATTGCGTACAACGTGCGTCTTTTTGCCTCGGCGACAATCCACGCTTCCCATCTAGGACGCGCATGTTGCTCTTCCGCCGTGCACACGAGTCCTCGATGACTACTTGAGCATGCTAGTTCTTGCAGATTCATTATCGCCTGTCGGAGGAACGGATCAGAGCCCCGATTGAGAGTGAAAAATAACACCATGCAGTATATCAGGTAAGCCTGAAATGCCGCCAGCAGCGCCATGTCATCATATGTTTCACGCTGGTCGTAGATGTTACTCATCTCTCTCTGCAACACGCCTGCGGCGACGTCTTCGCTACCGGGAAGTGGTTTTTCGCAAATACGAACTAGACCAAGGCAGGCCGAGAGTGGTAGGCTAGTGGCTGATGCCAGCGTAACCTGGGAAAAATGCACAAAAGGGGGCAGGCCGCGACCTTGTACAGTGACAGCTGCGTATGACTTGAGTATTCTAAGCATGAAGGCGGTGATAGTGGCAGGATAATCTTTGCGCTTTTGTTCAGGAAGCGGAACATAGCTGTTTAACCAGCGGTTGCTGATATCATCCACGTTAATGGGGCAGATGAGCTCCAATGCCGAAAAATCAAGAGTCGTCTGTGTTTGGCTTGTTGGTTCAAGCGTCGGATTTCTAGCTGCATGGCCTTCACTGAACACCGGTAAAGAAGTGCTACTCAGTCTGCTGTCATTCATGGAACCCACAATTGGATTCTGAGTACTATAATCTGGTTCGCGCTCAGAATACGAGAATAGGGCCTCGGAGGCAAAAGAGCCATCTAGCTCTGCTTGACTGCTATACCCCACCCCAAGGGTTGCGCGTCTAGATGTTGATGCCCTTGGATAAATGCAGAGCAGTCTTCTTCGAGCGCACCTGGAGCAGCCGCCGTCCTTGAGATCGCATTTTGCTTTGACACTCGAACAGTGCTGGCAGGCCTTTTTGCGCGAGATGGCATATCTCTTAGCCTCCATGGCAATTCAACTGTCCTCGTTACATGTTAATATAATCGAAGATAGGATGATTGGGGACGAGCATATTAGGATGTATCGCGAAGGGGAGAAAGAAGGAGTCGGCGAAAACTGCGCGATGACGTTCTTGGAAAAGCACGTGTCTCGCGGTTAGCCCTAACTCAGACATCTACATCTACTCACGTACATTTAGCAAAGCTAATTTTCCTTGAAAAGTGATATAGACCGTATTAAATTTAGACTACTTGTCATGTCAGAAGCCAAAGCTTTGTCGTCCACTGACTTCCGTAGGTACTTCCAGTTTCTGAAAAATCATAATATCCTAGACTAATCGTGCATCAAGATTCAAATTACTCTTAAGCTCCTAATTATATATCCTATCCATTTTAAATTCATTCTACCTGCAAGTGCTTACCAATATACGTCTACAAAGCATCAATAGTACTTAAATATATGCTTACTACTTGGAATGAGTATCTGAAGAGAAAGTTGGTTGATATGCTATGTCATGCAGGGCTTGAATGGTCGGGATAGAAATTGTGTATCTGACAAGAAAACAAAACGCTGTACTTAAATACAATGATCCCAAAACAGAGAACTTCTCCGCCGTTATAAATCTCATGAAAACATCAGTGCGCCTTTTCTGCCTTGCGCCTTTTCTTTTCCTCCTTTCGCGCTCTTCGCTCCTGACTCGTCTCATCTCGATGTTTAGACGGCTTCTTCTCCTTGTCTCGGCGAGTGTCTGTCTCCTGAGATGAAAGCTTCTCTTTTTTAGACTTTTTACTCTTCGACTCGGATTCACCCTCGTTATCTGCCTTCCTCTTCAGGTCCTTTTCGCTTTTTTCTTTTAAGTCTTTTCGCGGGACACGAAACGTCGGTTCCTCAGCGTCCGACTCAGAGCTCGAACCTACTGTTTCCGGAGGTAGATTTAGACTGCCAACAGGATGAAAGCGCATCCTAAGATGCTTAGGTTGTGGGCGTGCTTTGGATTGTTTCTTGCTTGCTTCTTGTGTCGAAGGGACTTGTGTTGAGTCCAGGCCAGGTAGTCGCACTATTTCCTGAATGTTGTAACTCTCAATATTCTTCAGTTCTCGCTTCTTCACAAATGTGTTTGTTGCTTCATCATAGACTAATAATGCCTCGGATCCTTGCTTCTGTTGTTGCGTGTTCGCCACAAGACCGTAGTCCACACCCTTGTGGGACAAGATTGGCTCTCCTAAAATTGCCTTTCCAAAAGCTACCTCCTTAATTCGAGATATTGATAGCGACGATGGTGCTGTAATATGGAAAACCTGTTTACCCTCGAGATTCGAGAGCGCAGATGAGATGGCCGGTGATGGTCGAGTTTTCGGTTTTGATTGCTTGAATCCCGACGGTGGGAAGAATGCTCTCTTGTTATTATATGATGGACGAGAATCCGCGCTTTATAAAAGAACAGGCAGAAGCGTTAGTCAAAATGAAGATATAATATAGGCCACGTGCGATGCACATACTTGTTGGAGTCTGATTCATCTGAGCCGTCGCTTTCACTCTCGCTCTCGGATCCGGACCCTGATTCCGAACTCGATGTGTCTTGCTCAGAAGCTACATCCGACGTTTGCTGAGATGCCTTCTCAGCCACATTTGTTGTCTCGGGGGCATCCTCCATCGATTCGTCGCTGTCCGAGACGACGTCTTCGCTCAACCTTTTCCCCATTTTTATTCGAGTTTCCACCACAACCTTTATGCCAATGCCAATGTTATATGAAATTGAAAAACCAACAGTACTGGAATCTCGTCACGATGCAAAAAGAAGAGCCAAAACAACCGGATCCTTTGAAAATGGTGTCGATGATGGACAAGACAACTTTTGGTCGCTGCGGGCAACTTTTTTTTTGTTCCGCTGGCGCACGGACCAGCAGCTCCGCCGGCGATAGAAAGATTTCCGCTATCAACGAGTCTATCAATCGCGATAAAAAAAATCTAGTCGAAATATGAATGTTGACATTCCGATGCAATGAAGCGGAAAGCAGAAAAGCAGCAAAGCTCTGGTGAGTCTATCTAGTTTAATTGGAATTGCAGTTCGCAGCTCATGAACGAATGCCTCAGTCCCTCGCTCGGCAGTCAGTGCGATTGCTGCACGTCGAGCTCGCCAACAGGAGCAGGAGCAGCAACAGCAAGACCAGTCTTCCCAGCGCGATGCACCAGATGTGGATAGAGAAACGGAATATTCAGTCAAGAGAGTGCGATCATCGCCAACTCGAGAACGAACAGAAAATAACCGCCCAGCTATCTCAGAGGACCTGACATTCGAGCCGAGCAGTATCGACGACACAGAAGCACTCGGAAATGAGTCTAGCGAAAACGAAGAGGCAATAATTGGTGATCAAGTTATCGAGGAGGGCAGCCAATATGCCGAAAACGATGAAGAGTAAGCGGACGAAAAGGACAACCGTGTCTCATTACTGAAGGTTGGAAGCTGACAACTCGCAGCGACGAAACTTCTTCGCGCCTAGCTGCTAGCACCGAAAACTTCACGCTCTCAAAGCACAAACTACGCAAAAGTGATGTCGTCTATAGTGACGAGCATATGCTATGTGTGCGACTTAGGGAACACACGGTACGAATTCGGATAATTGATGGATTGATTGATTGTATGTCTAATCCGTCTTGCAGACTCTGGTTCTTATAGGTATATACGATATTTGGGTCAAGAGAGGTGTGATAAGCGTGATGGGCGCAAAATTGCATCCCTCTCCTAACACGTATCGGGTATACGCACCGTCCACTCATTCACTTCCTGTGATCAAATGTGTATCCGGTGTCGAGGGCTATGCAGAGGTTGAATTACAGTCATGTTCGAGCAATCTATGTCGCCTTAAAAACCTATCACCTCATTATGCACGAATCTGGAACAGTACTGAAACAGTCGGAGACTGTACAACACTCCGTGGAAACTCATATAAAAGATCATTCTCAATAGTAAGTTCGAATCCACAACGCAAAAAAGCTTCCTTTCTCACAAAACTCAGCTCTACACATCGTCCGATGATCCTCTGAATCGACCTTTGCGTCCACTTCATCTGGAGAGAAAGTGGAGTACTACGATAAAATTTCTTTCGCGCCATGCCCATTTCTTAAAGGTCTTGCTATGTGGTCCAAAGGGTACTGGAAAGTCTACCTTTGGACGCTATTTGCTAAATCATCTTTTGACACCAGCGCCTCCAATAGGGAAAGGGTTTGACGACTTAGATGGAGTTGCCTTCCTCGACCTTGACCCAGGGCAACCCGAATTTGCACCCATGGGCAATATATACCTTGCACATCTGCGCGAGCCTTGTTTTGGACCACCCTTCTCTCACTCGAATTTAGAAGGCTCTCGCCATGGAAAGATTGTCCGGTGCCATCATATCGGAGCTACATCTCCGAAAGAAGACCCAGACAACTACGCGTTGGCTATAATGAACCTCTTAGATCAGTACCAGGTGTTACTAGCAACATACCCACGATGCCCTCTCATTATCAATTTTCCAGGGTGGATATTTGGGTTGGGATTGGAGGTTGCAACTTGGCTAATACGATCAGTGGGACTTTCGGATGTTGTATATATGAGTGAAAAAGGTCCTCGAGAGGTAGCCGAGCCATTGAGCCAAGCTGCTTCAGAAGCTCAGGTTACTTTCACAGCTTTGCCTTCTCAGCCGGTTGACCTGGTTACCCGGTCAAGTGCGCAGTTGCGATCAATGCAGATGCAATCATACTTCCATATGACGCAGCCCGAAGGATCACAGAATCCATTTTGGTCTGACTCGCCTCTTATACACAGCAAACCAATTTGTGTCAGCTATACAGGTTCTCAGCCCGGTATCTCTGGAATCATGGTATTGGGAAACCACTATAGCCCTAGCGTTCTACGAGACATAACAGAAGGATCAATAGTGGCGGTAGTTGCGATTGAAAACGCCAATGCCATTCCGGGCGCTTCAGAGATCGAGGTCAAACCAGATGGCAACATTCACGCGGCGGATGGGGACATCAACACCATGGATGAGGACGAAACATCGGAGTCTCAAAACACGCAACAGACAAAGAAGATGCTTGGTAAGAGTATTGTCCGCTGTCCAGACAGCGGCCTTCCATATCTGTTCTGTGGTGCAGGCAGTAATACACCACTATGCCCAAAAGCATCTCGTTCCCTGGGCCTTGCCCTCGTGCGTTCAGTCGAGGTATCTTCGCATACATTGGAGCTGGTTAGCCCCGTGCCGAGTTCTTTCATCCATGAAGCTATCAACCAAGGACAAAGCCTTGTGCTCGTGCGAGGAATGATTGATAGTCCCGATTGGACATTTACGGAGGAATATTACGCTGCGCGCAACGCTGAGCAAGACTATATCATGTCTATTTCTCACACTAAGAAAAAACGTGGAGAGGAGATCGGCGGACTCAAGGAAGAAGACGACGATAAGAAAAGACAACAAAATGAACATCTACGAAGACTACAGGAACGTGTTCGGCGCGCAAGTAAAATGCCATACTTGAATGTCATTGAAGAAGCTAGCGTTCTGCATTATCAGGAAACTAGGCAAGAGTACGGGACGTGGAAACTACGAAAAAAGGCTTATACACACGACGGCGATATCGAGTGATTTAAGATTACTGTATATACCCAATTTCTGTTCTATTTCGATCAAATATGTACTCACTATTGGTGTAATTGCAAATGGGTTGGGAACAGTAATTAAAGCTTCCTGACCGAAGTAATTGCTCATGCAAGACCTGGGCCATGGAGAATCGTAGCTCAATTTTTCCTCACCACAATGACGGCATTCCCGGGTTGAAGCTATCATCGAACATCCATTTCATCGGTTCCTCGTCTCCGGGCTTGAACAAATCATTTGATGTCTGACATAAAAGTTAGCGACATGTTAGTTCTTAGGGAACGTCAGTGTGTGTTCACTTACTAGTAAGTTCCAATCCCCCATTGTGTCCATTGACGTAGTCGAAGGAAGTTCATCGGTACCATCATTCGACCCATCTCCCTGGCCTTGAGCTGCTGCCATTTCCTTTAGCAGCGGCAAACCTCTTTTCACAACGTTCTCAGCGGCTCTGACCAACAGCTCAGCTATCTCATCTTTCCCAAGGCTGCGCATGAGTCCTTCGATATGTGCCGAAACCACGCTTATGAGCAAGAATCCCTTTATACTTGTTTCACCGGCTTCGATGCCTTGCACGACCCACCTCTTGGCCTCCTCCAGCACGGACAGAAGGTCTGGGCGCAATTGAACGGGGCCTAGACTTTCTTCTTCCTGTAGTTGTGCCCGAAGTTCCACTCCAATGACAAAGGCGGCATGGATGGCAACTGTTGGATAAAACCCTGAGCTGCAGACCACCAGTCGCATCATGTCGTCCGAATAGGATGTAATTTCTTGGCTGGAGGACTCTACTGCCGTGGAAGATGAAAGCGAGTATGCTGCACGCCAAATTTTGAGAGCCGAATCGACTACCACCTTCCGCGAAAAGGCGTAGGCAGTATTCTGAAGTGACGCGCCAAAATATGGAAGGTGAAGAGAAGAGAGAAACCGATGCATAATGATATCGACCACGCGAATTTCGAATTGAGAGGGCGAGGGTCCAGAGTTTGAATTGCCGCATGCTTGCAAAGTTCGACTCAACTCTTTATATACTGCGCGCAACTCGGCATCAAGTCGAAGGGCCTCATCGTATGTCCCGGTAGAGCTGAATTGGTTCAAAAACTTAGCTATAGCAAGACGTTGGGGGAATGTCTTGCGGAGTGCTATTGCGATGGAAACCTGCGTTAGATCATATGACGCTTTGGGTATTGGATCATCAGTCACGATTTGATCATCATCGAAGTTGCTAGGGCACGCCGTGTCGAAGTCATCGAGAGATATCAGAGGAGGCCCCCCAGCAGCCAAGCTGGATTGTAAAGCAATCTCCAAGATTGTATTCCAGAGTCTTCGACGCATCTCGGCTGCGAATGTCGTCGTTGGGGGTAAATGGATTGGATCTCTATGCAGACCCATGTGGATAGCCTTCCTAAGCAGAGCGCCGATTGAAATCCATGTTGAGTCTCCGCCGCCAGCAACTTGTTCCTGAGCAATTAATAAGAGAAGGTTGATCTGGAGAAATCGAATATCCAGTCGTGACTTGAATTTAGGCTCCGAAAGCCAAGTTTGTGCCTCGTATGTCCATCGGATAGCCGAGTCACGTAGTGAAAAACCCTCATCATACGTGATCGCACCGATGGCGAGCACAAGTTTGAGCTGAACTAGAAATACCATGTCAGGTGCGGTATCCGATACCCAGAATGCATCATAGTCCCGGCGGAAGGTGGATATATGCAAAATCCGGTATATAGCCTCGGTTGTTCTCAGATAACAGTCCACCAAAGTGTCAGAAACCTCCTTGGGTGGAATATCGGGAGTAGGTGGTGAGGGCCATGATGGTGCCCGCCGCGCTTTGATGCTTCTTGCTAATGATTTGCATCTTTCCATATCAGGCCCGGCTCTTGATTCCCATTGTTGCATATATGCTTCAATCGTCTCAAAAATATCGCGGATCTGATGCTTGTTAGATCACTTTCAAATGATTACTAACCGTAGCTAGTGCAAGTCGAAACATTGGTTAAACTAAACCCTTACCAAAAGTATTCCGTTGACCTCCCAATGGCTTTGGCCGAATAAACGTGATTTATGTATAACGCTGCGAGCAATGCCCTGAGGCTGGCCAGATGAATCGCTCTCACAATGGACATGAAAGGTTCCGGCCAGGTGTGAAGTTGTGGTCTGGATGTTCGAGCGCAGAGTCGATACTGGAGACTGAACTGACCCTAGAGTATGTTTGGACAGCTCATCTTCAAGCTGTCGAACTCTGAATCTTAGTCTCATCGACTCATCATCTTGAACGGGCAGTGCGTTCGTAGTCGTTGACGCGGCTGTGGAACTTGCGACCAGTGAGCTTGTCTTGCGGCTAGGACATGACGACCCGCTTATGGAGGAAGCTCTGTCAATGGATAATGACTCCCTGGATTTGGAGTTCAAGCTTGGGGTAGTTGTTTGGTCCTGGCCTGAACGGATCGGACGATGGTGATTCTCGTAGATGCAATCCCCATTTCTAGATCGCAGGCAATTGCTGCAGGGCATCTCTCGATTACATTTTATCTTCCTTCTCCGACAAAGAGTGCACGACCTTAGGACTTTCCGTTAGCTCGAATGTCATCAATGGAGGACTTCAATCATACACTGCTGGACGTCGCCGGCGGCCATCGGATACATTCATGACTGGTGGATCGTTAATATGTTGCTGATCTGTACAGAAATTATTGATAAGTTTCAGCAAAGAATATTCAATGTTTAATCACTTTACTGCTTTTTAGTATCACGGTAGAAGAATTAATAAAAAGCGGACAGCGTTGTTACAATCTGACCTGGAGTGACTTTAATATTCGGCAACTGCGCTTCTATGCCGTATTCCTCGCCATATCCCGAATCCGGCGACCGAAGCCAAAGTATCCCCGAAGAGCTTTTCCCTTTTTCGGACATGGCCGTGCCCTAATTGTTTATAAAATATAAAAAAGAAAAAGATATTTCGTCTTTGTTAGTTATCATATTCTCTCCTTAGCTTATTGAGCTTCCCTTTTTCAGGCAGGACTATGCCTATCTCATGGTGTTTAAAAGATGCTGTTATTCGCCATGGGATCCTCTTTCTCGTTCATCAGGATATCTCTTCTTTTGCTTCTTACATGAAATAGGAAGGTCTCGCCTTATATCAAGTATAACTTGTCTACACTTATTAACTTGCACTCACATACCTGAACAGTACAACAACACTGTCCGATGTCTCTACCTGCGTCAAGGAACATAGTTCGCAGCGCTCCATACTCGAAATTGAGAGCGACCATGATAAAAGAATCTCTGATGCCCTGAGGGTGGCATACGGGCGTGGCTCGTCGCAGGCGGTAGCGCCGCCATCTTCTTCTGCACGTTAGGCTTTAGCAAATTCATTCGGTACGTTTGAAGAATATTATTTGGCTCATCAACTGCAAGGAGAATCAGCCTCTAAGATAGCCTGGATTGGCTATCTATCGTCGTTTCTTCAATTCTTTACTGGCATGTTTGGTGGACCACTGTTTGATCGATTTGGGTAAAAGTTACATTTCTCACGTCACAGATACTCTAGCTGTTACATTCCCAATTTACTCTGGTGGTATACTAACATTATTTGAAGCTAGGTCATCTGTCCCGCGGCAGTCATTTATGTTTCCGCTATGATAATGCTGAGTTTGTGCAAGACCTACTGGCAGATCATGCTCGTTCAGGGGTTGTTAATGGGGAGTGTTATGGGGTTAATTCGGTTTCCGGCATTTGCTGCTGTGTCTCAGTATTTGGAGAAGAACCGAGCAGGTGCCCTGGGCTTGGTCGTATCTGGATCATCGATTGGTGGTATCATCATCCCGATAGTGTTGTCTAAACTTTTGAACGGCTCATCACTTGGTTTTGGATGGTCAGTACGCATACTTGGCTTTATCATATTGCCATTATTGATATTTGTCTGCGTGACCGTCAAAGCACGCTTACCATCGCGGAAAACTGATTTCTGGCTCATACCAGCCTACAGAAATCCGCGCTTTGTTGTTCTTATTATCGGCTTATTCTTCATGTACTTTGGCATACTTACGCCAATGTCTTATCTCCCTACATACGCCGTTACACAAGGGATGAGATCAACCTTATCTGGCGATTTGCTGTCCATTCTCAACGCGGCCTCCACATTCGGCCGTATTATCATGGGAATACTCGCCGATAAGTATGGCCGTTTCAATTCATTCGCTCTCGGGGGCGTCGTCACCGACATTATAATATTCTGCATGAGCAGCGCAATGAGCCACGCAGGTTTGATCGTGTACGCAGTAGTTTTTGGGTTTTCCTCCGGTACCATAACATCGGGTGCGTCCGCTGCATTCTCTATCTGCCCAGAAGATGCCCGCGACATTGGCACTTACATGGGCATGGGCATCGCAATCTCAGGGCTGGGAAACCTGGTGGGGCCATACAATAAACGGAGCCATCGTCGGCACATCTGGGAATTTCTTTCCAGTGTCTGTGTTCAGTGGCTCCATGTGTCTGTTTGGTGGCATCCTCGTGTTTGCGGGAAAAGTATTTAGTGACAAAGGGCTTCTGGGGAGGGCCTAGCCATTCCTGATGCTTCCTGTTGTGTCAACTTACTATAGTTTTCTTTGTTTCATCTTTCATTTTCTTTAGCGTCAAAACAAGATTTACACCAAGCCTTCCATTCCGGGTGTATCTGTAATTGGTGAGCATTGATGTGGCGGGGAATATATGAGACGCAGTAGGCTCAATATCAACTGATTTGTATTTAGTAATCTGAACTTCAAGTCCACTTGGTTGTTATTATAGAATATAGGAACAAAGAAGAAAAAGAACCATCGATTTAGCCATGAGTAGTTGAAGCGTTAAAAACCAACTGGCTGTACGGAGTAGTCTATTTTGATTATGACAATTTGCTCTTTTCTTTGTCAGCTCACCTCTGAGAACATAAAATTTGGAAAAGAAGACTTTGTTCCCCTGCTAATTATGTACATAAATAATAGATCTATAAATAGATGAACGACAAAGGTAGATGCGCTAACTCTAAATACTAGCAAATAGCAAATTTTCCCGTTACGGAAAGTGTAGCAAACCCTAATTTGACGACCATTCTTCTTTCGTCCTACAGTATTCATGGGTTAGTATTTGGAGCCGAGTTATATACAACTGTTGATCTGAGCTCACAACATTGAATAATCCATATTCTCACTAAATAACGTGTAGCTTGGTATCTATGTACGAATAAATAGCCTTCCACGAAATAGGTGAAGAGTTTACTTTGAAAGAATGGGGAGTCTAGAACGGCTATTTGGGTTTCTTGCGTTTAAAATTCTTTGACAACTATATTGATGGCTACTATATTTGCTCGTACAAGGTACCATGTTTAGCCAAATCTCTGCGGCGGAGTTTGAGAAGCGAGAACCGGGGCGGCGCATCAACACCGTTATACTTCCCAGTTAAAATGCCTTGATATAATGGACTCCACATAGTTAAACCAGTGTCGTAATTTAGTTACAAGAAGCGGTACTCGTCCTCGACTCTTAAACGATGGAGGAGGCCGTATTGAGGTCACTCGGCAAGAAGGCGATGTCGCTTTAATTGATAAGTACACAGTTCAGGCAAGACACTTTGAGAGCCTCTCTCGTGCTTTCATAGTGTCTTTGGCCAGCGTTGACATTCATTAGCATGCTCGATCACCTTGGGATGAGAAACGGTCTTTGCTTGTCCGTCTCTGGAATGGGAACGAGAAATTCCTGCCGTTGTAAGGGGCCATCTCTTCTGATGTTAAATCCCGTAGTTCCTTGTAGTCTCCACAGTTATGATTGCCAAACGGTGGAGATAAGTCGTTATTGTTGACATCTATTTAACCTTGGCCTTTTGGTCTTTCTATAGGCAGCCAAGCCCTAAGTCAATAATACTAAATGTTTCTTTCCCTTACCTAGGTACATATTCTGCCCTTCTTGAACAGAGTATTTTCAGGTGGTTAATGTGATACCTAGGTACCTTTTGTATAGCGATGAGCTTTTGCTTAGTGTATTTACATATCCCCAAATGTATCTCTATTTCATGGATAAATCAAGACTTCCATGACCAAGAACGCAACTTGGATAAGACGCCCACACAAATGCTTTGCTTGGCTATTCATCTCTGAATCTCTATTTCATCTCTTCCCATTGCACCCCAACCCATTCCTCTTTCCAGCCTACTTCCTTTTCCTTTACGGCGCCGCAGTTCGCAGCACACACGCCCAGGATGATCGTTCCCCATTCCATACCGGCATCATTTTTGCCTAGACCAATACCCTCCCGGCCGTCTTCAAGAGCAGTGATAGTATGTGGAACAAGCTGTAGCTCAAATAGACGTTCCCTGCCGCATGAAGGACAGCGCGGCATCAAATTAGTTGTGCCACCACCTGAAGTAAGCTGCACACCCCGTCCCTGAGATTGGTTGGACGGAAAAAGTTTTGCCACGGCATCTGAGCTACTATACAACAGCGGCGTGCCAGCAAACTCATACCGTAGTACTTGTTCTGGATTGTGGCCCAATCTGGTCGAGAAACGAAGAAATGCTTTATCCATGGAAGACTCGAAGGCATCTTTAACATCGGTAGCACCTCCTCCTTCTTCGTCTACATTCTCCACAGTGGTATTAGTTGATATTGGAGGTGTTGATGGACGCGATAGAGTTTCATAGTCGGCATCCAAGTAGTATTCCGTATACGGAGATGGAAAAGCAGACATTTCGGGCCATGGAAGAGCTGGTCCTGAAACAACCGGAGATTGCGACGTAGAAGACTCGGGTGTTGAAATTCGCGCTTTTGCGGCAAATGTTTCTGGTAAGTTGTCTGCTGGGTTCTGTGGAGGCTTTGCTGCTAAAGTAGAGGTAGGCGGTAGTGGTGCGAATGGGTTAATGTTCTGTGTTGCAGGCCCCGAAGATGTGGAAAAAGGATTCGCATTTGACGATAAGCCTCCACTTTGGGATGGTGCACCAAAAAGCGCCGCGCCGAGGTCTTGATTTTTGGTAGGTTCCTCGCTAGTATCGTCATTTTTTGGCGTGTCATCTTGTTTTTTTGGCTTTGCAGCTTGAGTTTTCATTTTTCGTACCCCCCGCAGAGCCCTAATGCTGCCTGATTTGCGACTGCAGGCCTTCCGCGGGCATCCGAATATGTATAACCGTCGCTCGTCATCCGGAAACCTTTCAGGCAAATCACCGTTTAATTGGAGAAGTAGGAGCATTGGATTGTTGCAAACTTTGCACTTGGCCAAGTCTCCTGGAGGGGTATTATCGTCGAACCATGTCTTTAGGTAGTCAAAAAGGCACCGATTAGTCAATAAATTCAATGACCATCTCCTACTAAGCAAAGAAAATATCATCATTACTCACCGGCCATCCACCGATATGGCTAATTGTATCGTCGGTTGGCTCTGTGCTCGAATAGCCCAGAAGTACTCCGGTCTCAGTATAGTCCCCCGCATCCTCTAAACCCGAGGAATCGCTGTCGTATGGGTCCATGGCCGCTCAGTGTGAGAATTATTTTCTTCAGAAAAATGTAGTAGGCACCAAGTAGTCTTCACGTATCGACTATTTTCACGGCGATGGTTGTACTTGTTTGAAGGAGTGGGAGGAATATATTTCTTACTATCAAAAAAAAAGAGAGTTGCTATTATCAGCGAATCAGATCCCCCACGTACCCACTACCCAAACAAGGCTTAGCGTCGCAGGAGAGAACGCCATCTCCCGAGCGAAGCTGCAATCAACAAGCAACATCTTCATTTCTTCTGAGTGAATTCCATCTACACGAATATGCCCTATTGAATTGAATTGGGCGTCGTAAACCTGCTCTCTTGAATTCTATACTAATATATATTAGAACGAGCATTGGTTGCAATCATCACGCCGTCTATTGACACGGCTTATTGACGGGAGCTTATTGTCGCATCAATTGAGTGATGCCTGACCATGAGCTCTAGATATCCCTCGAAATCCTTTTAATGACACTATAATTCTTAATAAAAAGAGAAATATCCTCGATCCTTGCCACAGCTTCAACACTTCTCATTCTTTTTATTTTTTTCTGCAATCAACCAAATTTGGTCTACCACGATGCGCTCCTTCGGAGGTATGCTTCTGTACGTGCTACTCCTGGTACTTGAAAGTATCTGTGTCACAGGCGTGGATACGAAAGACCAAGTGCCGCTGAAGCCAGCAGACGAGTGGACATCACGCAATGTTGCAATCATTGGTATACCGTTCCATCTTCCCACCGGTTAAGAGTGTACTAATTCTTTGTTAGGTGCCGGGTCTGCAGGGTCGTCCACCGCTTATTACCTGCGACGGTTTGCAGAGATTTCAGATTTATCGCTGAATATAACTGTCTTTGAAAGTAATTCTTATGTTGGGGGAAGATCAACAACTGTCAATGTCTTCGGCGACCCTTCTTACCCTATCGAACTAGGGGCTTCGATATTTGTTTCAGTAAACCACAACCTGATGAATGCAGCGAAGGAACTTGACCTCAAGGTATCCGGCGCAGGTGGCGAGCGTCCTAAAGAAAACCATAATATGCTCGGCGTATGGGATGGTGATCGCTTTGTCTACTTGCAAGGCCATTCTTTGAGCTGGTGGGACATGGCAAAGCTATTATGGCGATATGGGCTGGCCCCGATTCGCACTCAGAGTCTTATGAAGAATACTGTGGATAGGTTCTTGAGCCTGTACACACCACCTTACTTTCCATTTGCATCACTATCTTCTGTTGTGGCGGAACTTGATCTTCTCCAGGCTACTGCCGTGACTGGTGCCCAGTTTCTAGAAAATAACGGCATCTCTGGGTCTTTCCCAAACGATATTATCCAAGCAAGTACAAGAGTGAACTACGGGCAGAATCTTGGGTTGATCCACGGTTTGGAGACCATGGTCTGCATGGCAACTGATGGAGCCGTCTCAATTGAAGACGGCAACTGGCGCATATTTTCCGGGATGATTGATTCGTCTCGCGCACACCTCAGTCTGAATACTACAGTGACGTCTATCAAACGGAACAACGATGACACTCTGACTTTATCATATGCAAGCAACGGCGGTTCTGTTTCAGACCAAACGTTTGATGAAGTCGTGATTGCAGCGCCGTTTCATAGCAGCAATATTGAAGTATCCCCCTCACTTGAGCACATTCCTGACGAGGTTCCTTATGTCAAGCTATACGTGACGTTATTCGCATCTCCTCACAAAATCTCTCCGCGCCGTTTCAACCTGTCAGACCAGAGAGATGTGCCAGAGATGATATTAACCACTTTACCTCCCGACCTAGACTTGGGATCTCGAAAAGATGGAGTTGGTCCTGCAGGGTTTTGGAGCATCAGTCTGTTACGAGTGGTTGAGGCGCCGGCAGGCGGCCCACACCAGCTGCATTACGTCTACAAGGTCTTTTCGCCCGAGAGACTAACAGCAGACTTCCTAGCCTCCGTTCTTGGGGTTGAAGCGCCGAAATATTTCAAAAACGGCACAATCGGCGATATTTCAGGTAACGATATCTCTTGGTTTCATGAAAAGACCTGGTTTTCTTACCCCTATGAGTATCCGCGCCAAACGTTCGAGGACATAAGACTGGCTCGCAATGTCTGGTACACGGGCGGTATCGAGAGCTTCATATCGACCATGGAAACTAGCTCTCTTATGGGCAAAAATGTCGCTTCACTCCTGATGGACGACTGGTACGACTCTCTCCAGACCAACCGTCAACTGGACAGAAGTGGCTGAACAGCGCAGCAATGAACTGTGATTTTTAAAAGAACCTAATCTCATAGCTGGGTATTCTCTAGACTGTTGCGGGACAATATCATTTCAATTTCAATCCTTATCCATATTGCATAAAACAGTTCTCGTTCACGTAGATCATGTAAACTACGTGAGTCCAAGTGGCTTGCAAGTCTTATCAGTTGCTGAGTCATCGTGTGGCTTATCGGACCTCTGACATGTGATTGGCAGGTCTGCTGCGTAGCCTCACATGCAAGGCCGCTGATTGGCTGCAGCCATATGCTTGACCGTCATGTGCGTGCAAGGCGGAATCCGGGCTTCCTCTCACTGCTCGACACGACACCGACTGACACGCCAGCAAAACGATCCCAGATATTTCCACAGGACCCAACGCTAGTGTGTATCATGGCTGCCACACTCGTGACAACAGCGGCTGGCTGATTGTTTCTCGGGATCTTGGACGCCCCTTCTTTAGATTATTTGCCTGGGCTGCGGCTCCAAGAACATCTATCTACTCGTGAGTAGCGGTAGCGACCGTCGGGCTTCTTAGGATGTCGACGGCTGCAGATTGATTGCTAATATTTGTTTTTCTTTTCCTTCATAGTCGTTTATCGAAGCTGTTTATGTCCACGGGTCTCCTTCAGATCTTTTGGTCTGGTTGTGCCGGTATTCACTAGTTCCTAGGGCTTGCTGCTGCTGCTGCTTCCTTCGCGAGCAAAGTCGTCGGCAAATCTGTTTTTTTTTTTTTTTTTTCCTTTTTACACACACGCAAACTCCCCTATTCAGTGGATTTGCAAAGTTACGATACACATTCACCGTTCACCGCTCGCAATATGGCGCCTTCCGACGATGCTGGGAAAAAGCGAGTTACCCATCGCATTCGTTCGCTCTCCAAGTCCCTCCATCGTTTATCCACGAGCAATGTACCGGATCGTTTAAAAGATAATGGTGATGATGAGCAGGAAGATTTCACAGCCCCTCCTAAAGTCATTAGCGGCCGGGACATACCATATATGCACCAATCTGTTTTCTCCTTGATTGCCGCTGCAGGGTCTAGATCGGATTTCCACTCTCGGTTTGACGACTCTAGTGACAGCGATGGTGATGAAGCAGGCACGACGAAAAGGCCCGATGCACTATATAGGCGGCTTGTCGGTAAAAAGCCACCAAAAAGTGACAAGGAGCCTTCGATATCAGAGTCTATTCCAGAGCACCGCGAGCAAGAAAGGCGATCTTCAAACAGATTTTCCGCAGCTATTACTGCTAGCGGTCATCGAAGACAGGGATCGGGTGATAGACTTTTACGATCGATTCCTAGCCTAACTTCTCGTCGACCTAGTAGAGATCAAAAGCCTGGTGAGGCTCCCGAGCCAGTTGCAGATCCACAAGAAGCATCACATTTGGCCACGCAAGAATCTAGGATGACTACCCCTAGATCTGCTCCAGTGTTAAGTCGAATGATAGAAGCTCAGAGCCGGTTTGACTCTGCAGCGTCGTCGGGCGAGGAACATGCGCAAGGAGAAAAAGAGCCAGACAAGAAAGGAGGTGACGAGCAGAAGTCGAAAGCTCTGCTGCCTGTTCGCTTGAAAGAAATATTTAACTTCGAGACACCTGAACCGGTTATTGGAGAGTATCCTTGCTGGCTTATGCAGAATGTTGCGCTTCAAGGGTACATGTATATCACAGAAGGACATGTTTGTTTCTATGCCTATCTTCCGCTTAAGTCGAATGTGACCGTAAAGTCGGGCCAGTTGGGTAAACGTGGTCGCCAAAACCCCAGGTACAAACGCTACTGGTTCTCTTTGAAAGGCGATGTATTCTCTTACTTCGCCGACCCTTCGAAATTATACTTTCCCAGCGGTCACATCGATCTGCGTTACGGTATAAGCGCGTCCCTTTCGGATAAAGAGAAGGGCAGGGAAACGCGGAATTTTACAGTAACTACCGACCAACGAACCTATTATTTCAGGGCGGACAGTGCAGCCAGCGCCAACGAATGGGTTAAAGCTCTGCAGAAAGTGATTTTTCGCTCGCAGAACGAAGGCGGGAGGGTCAAAATATCCTTGCCATTGGAAGATATTATAGACATAGAAGAAAGTCCTATGATGGATTTGGCCCAAACATTCAAAATTAGAGTGGTGGATATATACGAGACTTATGCAATTGACGAGGCATGTCTTCTCTCTCTCCTTTTGAGTACATCAAACATCCACTGACAGGTTTCTAGCATTTTTTCTCCTTTTTCAACTTTGGTCAAGATGCCTTTGAGGTTCTCAAGGCTTTAATAAATGGCGCAGCGACAAATCGAATTGATAAGGATCCCATTGCTTCTCAGGTGCTGAAGGAAGTAACCGAAGAAAGCAACCGCCAGAGGTCAGAGTCGTCCGTTTCTAGGGATCAAAAAGCAAGGTTTGAAGCCAGCACAGGCGGAAGAAGCGACAGCTCTGAACAGCCCCATGAATTTGATGGAGCGGACTCATCGATAAGTCTACAATCGCACTCGGATACCATCGTCACTGGTAGTCAGATTTTGACGAGAAGTGATGTGTTTCATTCGCCAACAATCCAAGACGGGCTTCGTCCCAACCCTCCATTGTCTGGTAATAGTACGGGTATTCAACTGGGGAAGCAACCCTCCAGGGAAAATCACCAGGGAGTCTCAAAAGGGTCAGAGCGAAACTTCGTGACCGAACGCAGGTCATACGGGCCTTCAGCTCCTACAATACATGAGATTGTAAAAGCGAGCACGTATCCTTTACAACGGGCAGCTGGCTTTGCAGAGTACTTGAAGAGTCGGTCACGACAAATGAGTAGTTTGTTAGCGACTGAATCTATGGGGTACATCGAGAAAGTTTCGGGCATGTGGATTGGTGGAGGTAAACACTACGCCGAGGGTGAAGACTCGGCTTTGGAACAATGTCTTGACCGTGAGGACGCAGAAACCAACGTTTCCTTTGGTGATCGTTTTCGGGCACATTTTGCACTGCCACCCACCGAAAAGCTTCAGGCTACATATTATGGCTATCTCCATCGAGTTCTGCCTCTTTATGGTAAGATTTATATAGGCACCAGTAGATTCTGCTTCCGGAGTTTACTGCCTGGTTCGCGTACGAAAATGATCTTGCCCATCAAAGATATCGAGAACGTGGAGAAGGAGAAGGGGTTTCGTTTCGGTTATCAGGGTCTTGTTCTTATCATTCGCGGTCATGAAGAACTCTTTTTCGAGTTCAACACCGCCGACTCTCGTGATGACTGCGCAGTGACTCTACACCACAGACTGGAATCAGTGCGATTCCTTGCACAGTCCAGCATTCTAGTGCAGAGGGATAAAGATGAGGCCGATGCTGCGAAGGCCGAGCAGCAACTGTTGCAGGAAGCCATGCAAAATCCCCTAATAGAAGACTCGCAAGAAGTCCATCCCATATTCGATGACCCCCGAGCATCATTTGTGAACTTTAAGCCCACAGAGTCTTTGCGAATTACATGTCTAACTATTGGTTCGCGAGGTGATGTCCAGCCCTATATTGGGCTCTGCAAAGGATTGCTTGAAGAAGGCCATCGGCCGAAAATTGCAACGCATGCCGAGTTCGAACCATGGGTTCGCAAGCATGGCATTGACTTTGCTCCTGTTGAGGGCGATCCAGCAGAGCTAATGAGAATATGTGTTGAGAATGGAATGTTCACCTACTCGTTCCTGAAAGAAGCGTCTCATAAATTCCGTGGATGGATTGATGATCTTCTGTCTTCAGCATGGAATGCTTGTCAGGATAGTGATGTTCTCATTGAGTCACCGAGCGCCATGGCTGGAATTCATATCGCGGAGGCTTTGCGGATTCCATACTTTCGCGCTTTCACAATGCCTTGGTCACGTACACGAGCTTATCCACATGCGTTTGCTGTGCCCGAACACAAAATGGGCGGCGCTTACAATTACATCACATATGTAATGTTCGACAATGTTTTCTGGAGAGCCATTTCTGGTCAGGTGAATCGATGGCGCAAGATGGAACTTGGACTCCGGGGCACAAATTTCGACAAGATGCAGGCAAATAAGGTTCCGTTCCTATACAATTACTCGCCATCAGTCGTTCCACCGCCATTGGATTATCCTGATTGGATTCGAGTAACTGGATACTGGTTCTTGAATGAAGCCTCGGACTGGGTCCCTCCTCCAGAGCTCAGTAAATTTATCAATAAAGCGCGTGAAGATGGAAAAAAGATTGTGTACATTGGGTTTGGATCGATCGTCGTTTCTGATCCTGCTGCTTTGACTCGCACTGTTGTCGAATCAGTCCAGAAAGCCGATGTGCGATGCATTCTATCCAAGGGATGGTCAGATCGACTTGGAGACCCAAAGAGCATACGTACCGAGGTTCCCCTTCCCGCTGAGATTCACCAAATCCAATCGGCCCCGCATGACTGGCTATTCACTCAGATTGATGCAGCTGTGCATCATGGAGGTGCTGGCACGACTGGCGCCAGTCTTCGTGCCGGTGTTCCAACCATCGTCAAACCTTTCTTTGGTGACCAGTTCTTCTTCGGATCACGTATCGAGGATCTCGGAGTAGGAATCTGCATGAAAAAGCTCAACGTTGGCGTGTTTTCGAGAGCTCTTTGGGAAGTTACTCATAGCGAACGAATGATTCTGAAGGCTAAGCTTCTTGGCGAGCAGATCCGTAGGGTACGTAGATCTTCTACTAGGGAAAGACTTCTGCTCCATTGTTCTGACTTTTATCTGTTGACAGGAAAACGGAGTCGCCAACGCTATTCAAGCCATATATCGTGATCTAGAATACGCAACCACGCTCACCCGTCAACGAGCTGCCTTGTCCTCCACGCCATATAGTCCGACAGCAGCAACAGATGAACAACAGCAAAAACAGGCATCCCGTGAAGGGGAAGAACCCGAGGACATGGAGGGAGAAGAAGAATCCTGGACCTTTGTTGACGATTATACAGACACGGAGCTCCCCAGAAGCGAAAATAGCTTCCAGAAGAGCCCATCTGCGCCGGCAAAGTGAGCCCGATAATATTTATCTATCTACGTACCTATCTCCCGTGACGATTAATGATCATAACTAGTTATATATTTACTTATTCATAATGCCTGCCAATGTCAATGTCTATAACTTGGATTACGCAGCAGCTGATTTTTCACCGTCCTTGTTTTACTCTTTGTTCTGCATCTATACACTGATACCACAGGGGTCTCTCTCTCTCTCTCTCTCTCTCTTCTTTTATTCGGTTGAGTAATTTCCTCGTTATTAGATTCAAGATTCCATTATTCTTCACTTGACTGACGTTGTGGCATGATTTCACTATTGCATTCACTCTATAGCTAGCAGGTCATGTCTGTGCATGAGTTTGGTTACATGGTTGATATCAAAGAAATCCCTTTCCATCCGTACCTATAATAAATATAACATGTATTATATCTCGAGAGTTAGGGCAGTATTTGCATGCCTCAGGCCGCCGGCCCCTCCGATGTCGTCGGCCCAGAGCACGCGCTATGCCCGATCCAGCAAGCTCTCGCGGGGAATTTTATCGGGCAGCGGGGCAAAAAATACCAAAAAAAATCTTTTTAATCGCATCATCTGGCAGGCATGGAGACAGTTCATGAACAAAAGGGTGTAGACGACATCCAAACGACTGCCGGTGATAATTGCTAGGGAGGGAAGAGCTCTAAGCATTAGAGGCACTGCAGTATCGAAAGGCTTAAAAAGACGCGGGCAAAATCGAGTCTGTCTGGACCGGAAGAGCTGTCGGACTCCGAAAACAGCTGTAAGCTCTGCCCGTCATTGTTCGTACTGTACGTATGTAATATATTTCATACGCACCATATCTGTAGGGTAAATAGGCGGTAAGTAAAAAACAATACGCGAAATTACATAACCAGACAGGCTGTGAAGTCACCGGTGCTCGTTCCATGGGAAATTTTGGGTGCTCAGAATTTCTTAGCTCTGGGAAAAAAACCTCTGCTTTGTATTTAAGCTCTGAGGACCTCGTGATCCATTAGAAATAATTCTTCCTCTTCATCATCATCTCCTTCTTACTATTACCACTATTATTCCTAGCATCACCATAACGCACAACGCCATGGCTACCTACGCTTTGTCCGAGTCTCACAAGGATGTATGAATGGATTATCTCGATCAATGGATGTGGTTTGGTGACTGACCTTGTCTGTGAATGAACGTATAGTTGATGCAAGTGCATCTTGCGGAGTTTGATCCTGAGATTGCTGAGATCATTGTAAGTCGATCGATCAATAGAAACGCCATGCTTCGTGGCTTGGGTTGCAGATGACTCATTTCCTTGGTTTGAATAGAAAAAAGAAATCCAACGTCAACGCGAGTCCATCCTTCTCATCGCCTCTGAGAATGTCACATCTCGTGCTGTCTTCGACGCTCTGGGCACCCCAATGTCCAACAAATACTCCGAGGGCTACCCCGGTGCCCGTTATTACGGTGGCAACCAGCACATCGACGCCATTGAGTTGACCTGCCAGGCTCGTGCCTTGAAGGTCTTCAACCTGGATTCCGAGAAATGGGGTGTCAATGTCCAGACTCTCTCTGGCAGCCCTGCCAACCTGCAGGTTTACCAGGCTCTCATGAAGCCTCATGAGCGCCTGATGGGTCTGGACCTCCCCCATGGAGGTCACTTGAGTCACGGATACCAGACTCCCCAGCGAAAGTATGTTTAGGCGCAAGGCAAAAGATATATTATTGGGAATCTTCAGTTGGGCTAACCGTGCATACGCAGGATTTCTGCTGTCTCGACCTATTTCGAGACTTTCCCTTACCGTGTCAACGCCGAGACTGGCATCATTGACTACGACACCTTGGAGGCCAACGCCCAACTGTACCGCCCCAAGATCCTCGTCGCCGGTACCTCGGCTTACTGCCGTCTCATTGACTACGCTCGCATGCGCAAGATTGCCGACTCCGTGGGCGCCTACTTGGTTGTCGACATGGCTCACATCTCCGGCTTGATCGCTGCTGGTGTCATCCCCTCTCCCTTCGAGTACGCTGACGTCGTCACCACCACCACCCATAAGTCCCTCCGTGGACCTCGTGGTGCCATGATCTTCTTCCGCAAGGGCGTCCGCAGCACCGACCCCAAGACCGGAAAGGAGATCCTGTACGATCTTGAGGGGCCCATCAACTTTTCCGTCTTCCCCGGCCACCAGGGCGGTCCCCACAACCACACCATCACCGCTTTGGCCGTCGCTCTCAAGCAGGCTGCTACCCCCGAGTTCCGCGAATACCAGGAGCAAGTCATCAAGAACGCCAAGGCTGCTGAAATCGCCTTCAAGGAATACGGATACAAGCTCGTCGCCGACGGCACCGACAGCCACATGGTGTTGATCGATCTGCGACCACAGGGCGTCGATGGAGCCCGTATCGAGGCTGTCTTGGAGCAGATCAACATCGCCTGCAACAAGAACGCCGTGCCCGGCGACAAATCCGCGCTCAGCCCCGGCGGTATCCGTGTCGGTGCCCCTGCTATGACCACCCGTGGTCTCGGCGAGGCAGACTTCAAGCGCGTCGTTGGCTACATTGACCAGGCCGTTAAGCTGGCCAAGAGCACACAGGCTTCGCTACCAAAAGAGGCTAACAAGCTCAAGGACTTCAAGGCCAAGGTTGCCTCTGATTCCATCCCTGAGATTCTTAGCCTGCGTCAGGAGATTGCTGCATGGGCCAGCACTTTCCCTCTGCCAGTCTAAAAATCTCCCCCAAACACAAAATAAAACGAATTGAATAGAAAAAAAAAATGGTTATGTTTCGGTGCTATTATTGATTTCATAAAGCGTGTTATTATTTATTTCTTTTTGAACCGTGACGAAAAGCTCAACCTGATGATTATGTCCTTATTATTTTTATGCTTGTATCTAATGTCGGGAAGTGGTAAACTTGGTAATGTTCTTTTTTTGCCCCAATACCTTTGGATATCATTGATTGATTCCACTCTTCTGTTTTCTTTCTTTCTTTCTTTCTTTCTTTTTTTTCATCTACCTATAGGTGCCTATATGACCTCTTCAACAGTGTGATGATAACCTTGAACAAGTTTGAGTACATCTTCTCTCTTCCATGTTCTGTGAAAAAGAATAATTGTCTATGCCGTTTTGGCATTCATGAAATACACATGAGCGTTTCTTATCCGGAGTAGGTAGTGGCAAGAGGCTATGGGTTGTATCTTCGAGAGCTGGCCAACTCTCTCTTATCCCATGTCATGAAATCTTCGTTTCAAGACGGATCTATAAGGCCATTTAGAGCTCTTGCGGGTGATTCCGAGCCATTGCATAGCATAGGCTGTTCGTTGATCAGCCGTCGTTGGTTGTAGTATTTGCCCCTTAGCAGTAGCAGTGGAAGTAATAAATAGCTGGCGAACCGATCAAACACTCTGATCCATTTTGTCATCCTCTTTAACCGCCGCCCTACGGCCGAAATCCGTAATGACAGCTTTCAAACACGCAATGCGCTCCTGTAACTCGTCCATCTCTTCCGCTTGCTCGTCAATTGTCCGATCGACGTCCGGCAAGTTTTCAATTACCGCTCGCGCTTTTTGAATACGGATCTTGATGGCGCTTGCTGCCGTGGAGAGGTCTTTGGCTTCGAGTGGAGGGAGAGCGTTCGGGTTTGCATTGCTGACGGCGAATGAAGAGTCGCCCGTTGATGCCGACGGGAGCGCTGGCGGTGCTGCTATTGTTTGTGTAGATGGAGCAGTTGAAGAGGACGTGCTTGATTTCAGTTGCGAGGGCGGCTGCTGCTGTGATTGCTTTTGCTGTGACTGAGAGCCGGCATCCACTGCGCTCGAGGGCTGATTGGCCGTTGCAGTAGAAGCAGACGCTTGCAAACGCAGTAGCAGCGCATGCAATGGAGGTATGAAATCAAAGGCCTGTGGAGACGGAAACGCGACTGCTGCTGATTGCGGAGATGTCTGATTCGCTGCGTCGGGTGTGGACGAGACTTTGCGCTGCTGCGATACGGCAGAAACCGGGGATTTGGAGGTCATGATGTTAACCGATGGCAACCGTTCTTGTAGGCGGGGAACCAAGGAAACATGGAAGCTTCGCCGTAGCCAAGGGGATAGTTGGCTGTTCAATGCAGGCTGTTGAGTTGTTGAAGTCAAGGAAAAAGAAGCTGGAAGGAGCTCCGTGAGAGAAAAAGGAAAGTGACGTCGAGCCCGCCGATCCGTACCGCTTCCCAAACGGGCTTCGGTCTGGATGCCCCTCGTGCGCCCCTCTCCTGCTCGTCTTCATTGCCAGGGTTTTTCTCGCTCTTTAACAATCCTTCTGCATTGAAGAGAGTAAACAGCAGACTTGCTTTCTAGAACTACCATCCACCATGGCCAAGGTCGACCAGAAAGTGGTTTTGAGTATGCTCTCTTTGTTCCCTTTTTTTTTTTTCCCTACTCCCTCTCTCTGCAAGCCAGGAGCTAACATGTGTTGTGTGTCTACGATAAGTCGTCATTGACGGTTGGGGTGTTGCTGGCCCTAACTCCCCTCCAGAGGGAGATGCAATCGCTGCAGCAGAGACCCCTGTGATGTCGGCCTTTGCTGAATCCCAGTCGAAGTCGGCACAAGGATACACAGAGCTCGATGCCTCGTCCCTGGCTGTTGGTCTCCCAGAAGGCCTCATGGGCAACAGCGAGGTTGGCCATCTTAACATTGGTGCTGGCCGTGTTGTCTGGCAAGACAGTGTGCGCATCGACCAAACTCTGAAGAACGGCAAATTGAACCAGGTCGATTCTATTGCGAAATCCTTCCAACGCGCCAAAGACGGCAATGGACGTCTTCATCTTCTGGGCCTGGTTTCTGATGGCGGTGTCCACTCGCAGAACAAGCATTTGTACGGTCTGCTCAAGGTCGCCAAGGAAATCGGTGTGCCCAAGGTCATCATTCACTTCTTCGGCGATGGCCGGGACACCGATCCCAAGAGCACTGCGAAATACCTGCAAGAGCTATTGGACCAGACCAAGGAAATTGGTGTTGGTGAGCTAGGTACTATTGTTGGCCGTTATTACGCTATGGACCGGGACAAGCGCTGGGAGCGTGTGGAGGTTGCCATGAAGGGTGTTGTCACGGGTGAAGGAGAAGACAGCAGTGATCCTGTCAAGACAGTTGAAGAGCGCTATGCCAAGGGTGAGACGGATGAGTTTTTGAAGCCCATCATCATTGGCGGCAAGGAAAACCGCGTTCAAGGTAGGTCATCTCTCGTATCAATGTTCAATTGAGTAAACGCGCCCAAAGCTAACTTTTAGTGATTCAGACGGTGACACACTCTTCTTCTTCAACTACCGATCTGATCGTGTCCGCGAAATCACTCAGTTGCTAGGAGACTATGACCGTTCTCCACGTCCAGATTTCCCCTACCCCAAGGACATCCACATCACCACCATGACCCAATACAAGACGGACTACACATTCCCAATCGCTTTCCCCCCACAACACATGGGCAACGTCCTGGCCGAATGGCTTGGAAAGCAGGGAGTGAAGCAAAGCCACATCGCCGAGACCGAGAAGTATGCTCACGTCACATTCTTCTTCAACGGAGGTATCGAGAAGCAGTTCCCCGGTGAAGAACGTGACATGATCCCATCGCCCAGGGTCGCCACCTATGATCTCCAGCCCAAGATGAGCGCTTGGTCTGTTGGAGAGAAGGTTGCAGAGCGTATCAGTGAGGGCAAATTCGAGTTTGTTATGAACAACTTCGCCCCCCCTGACATGGTAGGACACACCGGTGTCTACGAGGCTGCTATCCAAGGCGTAGCCGAGACCGACAGGGCTATCGGTCACATTTACGAGGCTTGCAAAAAGCACGGATATATTCTCTTCATCACCGCCGACCACGGGTGAGTTGCCCCTCCCCCCAAGAGGAAAGGGCCTGTTAGAGTAAAGAAATATGCTGACTAACTATTGTGCAGAAATGCTGAAGAGATGCTTAATGAGCAAGGCAAGCCTAAGACTTCTCACACAACAAACAAGGTTCCTTTCATCATGGCCAATGCCCCTGAAGGCTGGAGCTTGAAGAAAGAGAATGGTGTGCTTGGAGACGTTGCGCCAACCCTTCTGGCAGCCATGGGCATTGAGCAACCCGAAGAAATGAGCTGCCAGAGTCTCTTGATTAAGTCATAGAGTATATAATCATATAATTTGGGATGGTCGAAAAAGACAATTCCAAGATGAAAGCCAGGTTTTTCTTTCAGTTTCCTAGTTCTGCTTTTTGGAGTGATGTGATTGATGGTGAATGAGCATTCTGATATGCGACGATATTGAACTTTTTTTTTTTCTTAAAGGACATCGTCTCTTTTTTCTTTTCGTTCATGTCTTGCGTATAGCATGATCTAGATACTACAAATAGACATGACAGCATTTACAAATATTGCTTCTTCTATAACTCTGCAGGATAACCTGTTAATAATATTATATTAAGCAATTTTTTGTTCACATTCAGTATTCATACTTCGTCCTTTTCTCTCTCAGGTCTAAGCGCTAGCAGAAGCAGCTGCAGCCTGCTGTTGGATTTGTGACTGCAATTGAATAATCTACGAAAACCAAGTCAGTTGCGATACAAAAGAGAAAGTTGAAGGAGTGACGAAACATACCTCGGTCCTTTTTTTGTCACTCTTATTGTTTATATCCTGGATCTGGGTCTCTATTCGCTTGCTGTTTCCCAAAGCAAATCAAATCAGCAAGCAAGTCAAGTAATATCCCAAGGGGAAAAAGGGAAATATTGAACTGACATCTCCTTTTCAATGAAATCCAAGCGCCCATCTACGGCCATGACAGCCTCTGACTTCTCCTGCTTCAACAGCACCGGCCCGACGAGCTTGTAGATGTTTGATTCATCGTCGAGAGACGCGAACTCCTGGAAGCTCTGATTAGTGGTCTACTTCTCTCCTTTCTTTTCTCCTGTGTCAGACTTACCTCTTGCACGCCCCTATTCTCTTGCTGCTGTGATTCGAGTTTCTGTCGTCCTAGGATGATATTTTCCAATTCTGCAGGATAACCTTAAGAATCTATCCCACATAGAATGCTATATTTTGTAGTGACGGCATTGGCTCACCTGTCTGGAGGGTTTGGTATTCCTCTGATAGAGCCTGCAGCTTCTTCTGTGCCTCTTCCATGGTGAGCTTTGCTTTGAATATGTTTGTATTTTGAAAAGATGATGTTGTTGTATTCTTTTGCAGCACTAGCGGGGAAGTAATCTTGGAATTGCTTGATAGAGAGTCGGCGGTCCCGCCCAGGCATGCAAGTCCAAAGCAAAACCAAACATAAAACACCACCTTCTGCCTCATTCGACGTCCCCAACATCCCCCAGCCTCGCCCACTTGCGTACAATTCTGAGAATAGGAATTTATATAATCCATTTACCACATATTGGCCTGACTGTCGTTTGCTTTTGTCTCGTCTCGAGAACCCTCGTTTGGAGCTGGCAACCCCACTCCAGGCGTCTACAGCAGCATCTCCAACTCTTCCTCTACCCTCTATCGCCAACAAACGAGAATCAAGCTCAATATGAGTAATACCGATTTCCTCGGCCGAGCCATTGACACGGTAAAAAAGGCCATCGAACACGACAATGCCGGCGAGTACGAAAAGGCTTATCAAGGCTACTACGCCGCGCTGGAGTTATTCATGCTCGCCCTCAAATGGGAGAAGAACCCCAAGTCGAAGGAGATGATTCGAGCCAAGACGGGCGAATATATGGATCGTGCAGAGAAGCTGAAGAATCATTTGGCGAATGGAGACAATAAGAAGAAACCCAGTGCAGTCGGCGCGAATGGAAAAGTGGCGAATGGTAGTGGGAAAGGGTGTGTTTTTTCTGTCTCGTTCTTAAGTAAAGATGCCATGCTAATGGATTTATTCTGGTTTAGAAAAGACGATGACGACGGCGAAGACGCAGAAGCCAAAAAACTACGCGGTGCTTTACAAGGGGCCATCTTGTCGGAAAAGCCCAACGTCCGATGGGAAGATGTTGCCGGTCTAGAAAATGCAAAGGAGGCGCTTAAAGAGGCAGTTATATTACCGATAAAATTCCCCCATCTGTTCACTGGCAAGCGGCAACCGTGGAAGGGTATATTGATGTATGGACCTCCTGGAACGGGAAAGTCGTATCTCGCAAAAGCCGTCGCTACGGAGGCAAACAGTACATTTTTCAGCGTCAGCAGTAGTGACTTGGTCTCGAAATGGATGGGTGAAAGTGAAAGGTGGGCATTGAACCTAACTACTATATGAAAGAAGCTGAGGCTAACCTGGTCTAAAGACTTGTCAAGCAGTTATTTAATATGGCTAGAGAAAATAAGCCAGCTATCATCTTCATTGACGAAGTTGACGCTTTATGTGGACCGCGTGGAGAAGGTGAATCCGAGGCATCTCGACGTATCAAGACAGAACTGCTCGTTCAGATGGACGGAGTTGGCAAGGATTCAAGAGGCGTTTTGATTTTAGGCGCAACAAATATTCCATGGCAGCTGGATGCCGCCATTCGACGACGTTTCCAGCGGAGGATTCATATCAGTTTACCCGATATCAATGCGCGGATGAAGATGTTCATGCTGGCCGTGGGCTCTACACCGTGCAATTTGACGCAAGCTGACTACCGCCACTTGGCGGAGATCAGTGCAGAGTATTCGGGCAGTGACATTAGTATCGCAGTGCAGGACGCATTGATGCAGCCGATCCGCAAGATTCAAACGGCCACACATTACAAGAAGGTATGCATTCAGCACTACGAGGCCGTCTACCTACCCAGCTGTCCCTAACATTCAATTCTTCCTCTTCTAGGTTCTTGTCGACGACGCCGAGAAGCTCACTCCTTGCTCGCCCGGTGACAGCGGCGCAATGGAAATGAACTGGATGGAGATTGATTCTGATAAACTGTTGGAGCCACCGCTGGTGCTAAAAGACTTTATCAAAGCTATTCGAAATTCGCGACCGACTGTCAGCAGAGAAGATCTAGAGCGGAACTCCGAGTGGACTCAGCAGTTTGGCAGTGAGGGATCATAAACATGCGTCGCATCGCATTCTACTCCATTCAAGCAATGCATTTGATTTGTTCTCTATTCTGTTCTCTTCATTCATTCATACTCATGATATACATTTCGTTTCCAAAGAGCTGATACACTTCGTCGAGTGGTTGGATTTTGTGTAATCTAAGGTGGCTTCTGGTGTCTCAGGCAGGCGTTTCTCAAGTGATCATCTGTTTGCCTTTGCGATGCCATTGAATTGGCTCCTTTACTACTATTACTAGAACAAGCATTGCCTTAGGCCATTAAGCGCCCATTGAGGCTTAGCGCGGGCTGACCGAGCCGGTGAATGGAGGCCTGAACTTTTTAAGGCAGGCATGACGTTCGCAGCGCGGCATGCCTGTTCTCGTGACTTGACTCTATTCCTCCCAGCCTGAGCGAAAGGCTTCGTTCGTCTTTGCACCCAGAGAGTCATTATTTCACGCTCGCACATCCTCCCTCCCCTACAGTAGTTACATTCTCTACGCATTACTCAGCATCCTGCTGCCATCCGCAAATTGCGCCACTTCCGGCTTCTTTCACATTCCACTATCGTCTGAACTAGCTGACGGTCGACATCTGAAACAAGCACGGATCAGGACACTTCCTCCTTTCTAGTTTATACCGGTCATCCCTCAGATTTTTGCTTCTTGTTACAAACGGCAATCGCACTGAATTACTTCCCACTGTCCCAGCGTCCCGGGCCTGAATGAAGAAGACATTACCAATGTCACCACCATGATCCGACGGAACTCCGACATTGAATTACATCTGCCAGACGCAGACGCCGTTCGGGGGGATATAGAAATGCTCACCTCAGACGACGAGAAGCAAGTATTATCGCTCCCCCCGCACATTGCTGCACGTTTCTATCGCCGCTCCGCCAGCGCACGTCGCGCATCCGATAAACTCTCGCGCCGAGGGTCAGTTTCGTCAATCCATTCGCATCACTCCAATACCTCTTCGCACGGTGGCCCCCAAAGCGATCACGTTGCTCAGCATCTCCGTCGTGCCTCCATTCTAGAGAACCGCAAAGCCCGGCTTGCCGATCGTGCCGCTCATGCGGAGAAAGTGAGACTGCGGGCAGCCGTCGCGAAAGCCGCGACACGGAACCTGCAGCGAGAGGAAAGGGCGCTTGCTGCACAGCAGGCTCGTGAGCGGCTTCTGGCTGAAATTACTGCCAAGTGTGAGGATGAGGTCCGTCGGGCCAAGAAAAAAGCAGAAGAAACCCGCGAGTTGAAGGCCGCAAAGCACGCTCGTCTTCGCCTGGAGATGGCAGAGAAATTTGCCGAAACCGAAAAGCGACGTCTCCAGTATCAGCAAACACATCGCCGACCACGGACAACTAGTTTACCGGCTGGAGAGGAAAGCAAGATGGTGAAAACGGTACTCAGCTCCTTGACCCGTGATGCTGCTGCTCGGATCGTCCAAAAGGCTTGGAGGGCCCACGTCGCACGAGCAGTCATGGACTCGTTCCGTACTCTTGATCTATCTCGCCAGAGAATTGGTGACATGTCTTTCGATGACGTGAGTGTTTTTCTTTCTGATGAAACCGTCTTGGAGACAATGGCTCGCGTGCTCCGACTGTGTGGCCTGCAGGATATGGAAAGTGGAACAATGGGTGAGCGTGGTGCTGTTCGCACGTTTCTAAGCAGTTACTTGATCCTCTCCCATCCTGCTCAAGTAATGAGTAGCGATGGTGAGCAGGAGCAAGACCTAATTGAAAAGGCGCGTGACTTGATTCTGTCATTCGAACAAGTCACTAAGCGGCTGCTCAAGCATCAGTCGCTCACTTCTGTGTCTAGCGAGCTTCAGGTTCTTAGGGAGGCATACGGAGTATTCTTTTCGGCCTTCCACGCCTGGAAAACTCATGATTCCAGCGTTTTGATTGAAATTATGCTAGCCCAGTTTGTTGAGCTAGAGCTCATCTGGCAAACTGTAAAGGAGGATCGCGCAGGAGGCGCTGCTGACGATTACCATCAAGGGATCCGGCATAACCAAATTCTCCTCTTGGCCAAATTAAAACGACTTGCTGGCTCTGATAAGGCTCTGGACATGGTCAAGCAGGCTCTCAGGAAGGCGAAACGGGAAAAGAAACGCTCAAAGTCCTCTAAACAATCGATTCCTCGGTCTGCTGCGGTCCCCACAGCTGCTGATGCGCACGCTGACAGTGTATCTTCCCCGATAAGTGAGACATTCAACAATGTCGAGAGCGCTGTACTTCATGAGTTGGATAAGCAAAGATTATCCCCTCATGAAAGCTTTACCAAAGCTCTAACGGCTCTTCCGGAGAACCGTGTTCTCGTGCATGAGCTACTGATCAATCGAGAGTTCCGGATTGAACAAGCTCAATATACTGCTCCCCGCCAGCAGATCATGAAACACATGACGGACATGATGAGACGGGACGTCGAAGCTGGGTTTGGCACAAAGTGGGTAGTCGCAATGGCTACCGTCATACAAGACCGACTTTTGAGGTCCTTGAGACCTGGGAACTCTTTGCACGTCTTGATCAGCGAAGCGCTTGATCCGAAGTTGGTTGAAAACCAGTGTGATGCGGGCACGTTCTCGTACGATTCATTCTTCGAATTCATGAGCCGCATTCTACCTCAGCTCTGCGCACCTTTTCGGGACCCCGAAGTTAAAGCGTTTTCGGAAGACAAATCTGGCGATCCTATCGATCGGCTCTCTAGATTGATGGGTATTATCGATTTACTGTCTTTGGACCATACTAATTTCATGATTCATATGGCTGCTCCTCAGCTTGTCCAGGAGGCGCCGGGGTATGAACAAAGAACCTTCCAAAAAGGTCTTGAGGATGGGACAATCAAGCTGGATAAGACGAAGACATTTTGGCAAAAGAATCGGAACTTAGTGGTTGATGAGATGAAACGGCGAGATCCAGACAATGCGGATAGTAGTAATATACAGCCTCCGGCGGCAAAGGTCTACGCTCAGGGCTTGGTTGATCTTGTGCTCAGCAATGCCCCGGTTTCATCAGATCTTGTCCCGGAAACTCTCGAACTTGACCGCGCTCGACTTGAAACGCTGCACATGACGGCATTCAAGATCGCTGCGACAGCATCCATCCTCCTGACCGCGAAGAATTTGCTCAAGCGAGATGTTCGATCACAATGGAAAGCAGAAGCGGACCGCATTCTGTCGTTGGATTTTAGTGAGATCAAGCCAGAAAGAATACAGTCCATCATCGAATCAACGCGACCAATGCCGCCTGCTGCTCGATCCCAACTGCTATCGACCATGAAACGCGTCTTGAGTCCCGTTGCCACAGCTTCTACATCAGTAGACAACACTTTGAGTTCTTCAGCGACATCTGTCGAATATGTTGTAGCACCTCCATCCTCATCTTCGTCTTCGTCGTCATCTTCATCCGTGATGATGACGGATCTGTCGCCTACAGCAACGGTAGCCGAAGGCAGCAACACCTCATCCAGCTTCACCGACCCAGTTGCACGACTCATTCTTACTCGACTTCGTGCACATATCCTATCCCGGCTCAGCGCAGCCAGTGCTAGCGAGCGGGTTCGCACAACGACAACAGCAAGTCAGAGTCTGGCCGCTGCTGGCATGCCCGAATTCGTGAACGAGGTGGGCAAGTTGGTTGATGAGCTTGCCAAGGTGAGAGAGGTCGATTGGACCTGTCATAGTATGGTATACGAGAGGATGATGAGTGAGGTTTAGACGCGTAGTCTTATATATTGACGTTTTCTCTCTCTCTCTCTCTTTTTTTTTTCCTTTTTGGAAGTCGGTTTCTAAATATGAGTTGTTTACTTTATGCCATATCATGCATGATCTTTTGCCGAGTTCCAGAATGAATGAATGAATATTCGTCTTTGTTACGAATGCCATTACTACTTGTGGAATCTTCGAAATTGGAACGTAAACAGAAAGGTTTCTCAAGAAAATTGTATGTGTCTCCGTCAACAAATCCAAATGACATGAGTCCACGGTCAAAGATGCCCTGTGTCGGGAAGACAGCTCGATGAAAACAACGATGAACTTGTGTTGACAACATTTTATTTATTATTATCGTTCGATTCCATCAGGAATCATCGGTCTCCTTGCCTCAACTCCGGGTGTGCATATTAGTTCGTATGATAATGCGTGATTTATCCATATAATCAGTCATCATCATCATCCTCTGATGATGATGATGAACCATATGACAACCCACCCAGGTAATATGCCAACGTGCGCCTGTCACAGCCTTCCCAGCGCTTCAGTTCTGCAAACTGCTTCGCACAGGCGTGGAAGCTCGGATGATTAATCGTCGGGCCAAATTCACCATGTGAAGTGCCATAGTGATCTTCAACAACAACTCTAATTTCCTCCAATGACTCGCGATGCAACAGCAAGGCGTCCATAAAGTCAGCCAAGGTCGCATTATTGGGTTGTACGTTTTGCAACTCATGGTGTGAGTAATATTCCGCATGGCCGATGCTAAGGTATCGCAACGCACGCGGAGCACGTAGCGCCGATCGTAAAGCTGGAAAGCTCACAAAGCATCGCTCGATCCGCAGAGATTTGAGCTCCGTCTGCCTTTCAAACTGAGGTTCGAAGTCGCCGTCGGCCTCCTCCAACATGAAGCCTCGTAGTGTCAGATGATGAAGTTGCGGTATGATGAAGACGTGGGAGTAATGAAGAAACGCGCCTTGTCCGTTGTTTTCGCACCGGTCAAGTGTCACTAGGTATATTGTTAATTCCTCGTGTTCGCCTTATGGCCTCCTCCAGTAACTTACGTGACCGAAGGTTCTCCGAGACCCTGGATTCTGCAGTTTGTTTTAAGGATGCCCTTTCAAGATAATTCCATAGAATCTCTTCAAGAGTATCCCATTCCTCGCCGTCTTCATCTTCATCGTCCCACATCCAGTAGCCTCCGGTCAATTCGAGGCTCTGTAGGCTCTCTAGTTTGTCTAGACACGGCACAATGCGACAAGGAGAAGTCTCCTGATCATCGATCACCACCGTGACATGATGGACTAAGCTGGCATATTTATTTGAGACAGTGCGCATGAACTCATTGCTCTTGCCTTGTTTGATATCTGCCCACCTGTATAGGTACGGGGTCGCCAGGGCGTTGAGGGCATGGCACGTCCGTGCAAGCGAGGCACGCGTCGGACCGTCGGCATTTTCTATCACAATTCCCAGTAGTTCGTTGGGCAATCTGGGTAGCGATGACTTTTCCATGTTTCGCGATGCCCGGTGCCAGTTGCGGTGCTGAGAATTCAGCTGAGAAATTAGTCTGACGCTATTCAAAGGCCTAAAGAAATAGTCATTGCAAGACCTATGTATCACGGCACTTGCCGAGTAGGGCAGGGCAACACCCGCCATAGTGATCTTGCAAGTCTGACATTGAGCCACATTCTTAGCAATCACATGTTGAGAACTGTATTTCGGTTCCGACGATACGCTTGGAGTCTCAAGTTGTTGAGTTGGAGGTTGGAGGTGGAAAAGGCGGCGGTAGCTCAGATAGGAAAGCCCCACCGGCGCATAAATATTCCTGCGCTTTTCTGACTTCATCGTCCATCTCATCATCTCCGTGAAGAGCTCCCTCTCCTCAGCCTATTTCTCACCAACCGGACACGGCGAATTGTATAATCAAGAGAGAGTTATATGAGGGAAATATACCCATAAATCATCAGATTGACACGCACTTCTACAAGACCTGCCCGCCTCGCACGGGCTAGAGCCGGAACCACCGCATATGAATGAAACTTGAAAGCAAGGAAACACAATAAAAGCGTCGAGACAAAAACTAAATATGGCAACTTCATCACCCTCATCGTCATGGATAATATCCCCCCTCAGCGACCTCACACCCCCCTCCCTCGAGCGAACATGGCAAACAGCCCCGCACCCCAATCTGCCCTTGGCCGCCACCAGCAGCGCCGACAAAACGGTTCGCATCTATTCTCTGGTCAATTACAAGCTTCTATCGACAGTCACGGGCGGCCACAAACGTAGCGTGCGCAGCTGCGCGTGGAAACCCGGTGATATCAAAGGGGAGAGTGTTCTGGCGACGGGCAGTTTTGATGCTACTGTGGGTGTGTGGAGAAGGTGGAATAGTTATGGACAGGAAGGGGAAGATGGAGAGGGTGGTCGTCCAAGACGACATGATATTGACGAAGAAGAGGGCGAGGAGGAGGATGAAGAGTGGCGATTTGCAGTCTTACTAGACGGGCACGACAGCGAAGTCAAGTCCGTGTCCTGGTCAGCCTCGGGGTCATTGCTGGCGACATGCTCGCGCGACAAGTCTATCTGGATCTGGGAGGATCTAGACGATGGAGATAACAACTTTGAGACGGTGGCGGTTCTGCAGGAACATTCCGCGGATGTGAAGTGCGTCTCGTGGCATCCCTCAGAGGGATGTCTGGCTAGCGGCAGTTACGATGATACTATCAGAATATGGCGCGAGGATATCGATGACTGGGGACAGGTGGCCTGTCTTGAGGGTCATACCGGAACAGTCTGGTTCATTGATTGGGAACCAGTCGATTATGCGCCTGATACCAATAATAATAGCAATATAAAAGAAGAATGGAAAGAGCACTACAAACTCTCCGGCCCACGCCTAGTCTCCTGCTCAGCCGACAATACGGTGCGAGTATGGCGACGACAAGGCAAGGAGCAGCAACAAAACGCCTATGCAGCAAACACAGGCATACCAAGCATTATTCGTCCCACTGGCCTTGACGAAACCTGGTACGAAGATGCCATTCTACCGGCCACACATGACTTGGCGATTTACTCGGTTGCATGGAGCAAGCGAAGTGGTCTCATTGCATCCACGGGTGCTGATGGCAGGATAGTTGTGTATGAAGAGCGAGTATTGTTAGACTCGAAGAAGCAGGAGGAAGACTCGATGGATACCGATCCACCCTCTAATGAACCCAAGTATTCTTCAGAATGGAAGGTCGTTGCAACCGTCGAAGCAGCTCATGGAATCTACGAGATTAATCATGTTACCTGGGCCAAGCGCGCAGATAGAGAGTCACAACGAGACGGCAGGGAGGGCAAAGAGGAAGAAATTCTTATCAGCACTGCTGACGATGGTAGTGTCAAGGTCTGGTCGATCAAGAGAGGGGAGGAGTAGGATCATACATACTACTACTGCGTACATAGACAAAAAAGCAATCTTGATTAAAGTAGAGAGTCCCTATCTAATTCCAAATTCTCTACTTTCTGCGATGACGACAACCTCGTTTTCTCACGAGTTCAGAGCCAGCGAGTGGCTGCGTGCATAATAGTTGCGAAATTGACAGATACCACGACTCGCATATGATTATTGACAGCATTCTGTGCGAACAGGAGCGTGATGGGATTCGCCATATTCAAATCCAAGCAGGGTCGATTCGAAAGAAACGAAAACACATGGTCCAAATCAGTATCCAGGAAAAGGTTTGCCACACCGCCAAGGACTTTCTGCGCTACAGGTTCATCAGGAAATTCATAGGCGAAGTGCTCTTTTGTTTGGTAGATGCTTGTGCAGCGACTCGGAGATAGCCTGCACAGCAGATTTGGTTGAAGCAACTAGAATAAGATGCATTCCAAGAAGAACCAGCAGCTTGGCAACCATCCATTCATAGGAATTCAAGACATTGTTGTTGTATGCTTTCTAGACTTTGTCAAGTCAAACGCATCAATGGATCGTGATTGAGTATACTCCTGATTGGACAAGACTCCGTGTCAACGACGGAACTTGTTGTCACGCAATAGGCTGATTGCATTGATATTGTTTTTCGCACTGTCCTCGTTGGTGTCGAACTTCACATAGCTGTTATGCGAGTTTTCAAGCTGTATCCACGACCAGCAAGCCCTTGCTTGAGGGGGAAAGAAGAACCATGATATCAGCAGCGGCGCCTAAATTGAAGACGTCTGGAAACAGCTAACAAGGGAATATTAACCATTAAGCCACCAAAAAGGGTTCCCTTAATGGGGCTTCTGGTAATGCTCATTCTATGTGTAAACTCTGCTTAATATCTCGGTGTCGCCGCGCGCCCCCCCCAACAACCGATTATCATATGTCCGTATAATAAATTTCTGAAGTTGTTTTAGCCGTGCCATATTAGAATGTTGGCTTCGCTAATCATCGCTGGCGCTTTAGGGACTTATGGTCAACCTGCAGCTCCCGACAAATAGAAGAGAACAGGAATGATAACAAATATTAACCAATGAATCCTGTGTGGCGATTTTTCGGGGAGGTTTGACTCTTTTTATCTTTCAAAAAAAGAACTGTTCTGTTGAAGATACCGATTGTATTGGATCGACAAGTGATGAAAAAGCAACCCTGCCACCAAGGTTCTGAACTCTAAATTGTTACATGAGGAGCACTTTATAATTAAAAAGATGAGTTGCCACACTGCTGTCTATTATTATATATAGAGAGTTGATAGAGATTTACTCTATAGTTGCACCAGCCTTTAATCCATCTATTCTTCTCATTAGTCACATGCATAGGATTTCATTTGTCAAGGGGGGCACAAAGGGCTATGACTGAATAGTCCTATAAAACCATTGGGTTACCTCCTGGCACTCGATCAACGAGGCATCTGTGTGTATATGCAGACAAGGGAAGAGTGAGGTTGAATTAGGGTTCAACGGCGAGCGCCAAGAGAAAGATCACCTCTGTACAACAAACACATGACCGCCACGCGCAACTTTCTGCTCGCTCATGGTGACTTAATTTCTTTCCTCCTCTCTCTCTCTCAACCTTCTCTTCTGCTGAAAATACGCACCTCAATCAACTTCAATACCGCTCATGGCGGCTTAATTCTCCTCCTTTTCTCAACCTGCTGAAACATTGATACCTAAGGTTCACCAGTTCATCTTCACCAGCACGCTCATGGCGGCTTAATTACTTCTCTTCTCTTGACCAGCCTCTTGCTGACATACCCCTCTCGATCAACTTCGCCCACTAACAGTAGTTTAACAGCGCTCCTGGCGGCTTATTTTTTTTAAATTTTTTACTTCTTGTTTACTCTCATATATCCATGCTTTCCCTATTCAGTGCAGCTGCAACCACGATTACAAGCTTCGCTGCCTATGACAAGGCAGCAGCGCATCAATCACGTGAATGTGACGACCTACAGCACTTCCTTCCTCTCGTGCAGACACTATATTATATCGAGTCTTGTGTCGCCTCTTGAAGGGGGTATTTGTTTACGCATCTCCGGGTCCATATTTTTCCACAAGCAGATACAGGATATTCTAGAACCATCAGGCGACAAGAAAGCTCTCGTGCCCCGTTATGTCTATAACCAAGAGGACTGTGTGCTGAAGATAGCAGACATGGCGAGTCCAATCACCAATGCTTCACGCGCTTTTTCAACCAGCTCTTTCTTAAAGCATCATACGAAGGCCTCTTTACTGAACATGAGCTATCCTGCTTGGCTACTGGCGAAAGCCCTTATTTATTCGAAAGTGCTGCCGTGGATGAGACAGCCCAGCACAAGATAGCATCCCGTCAAAAGTTTCCCGATCTCGAAATTGCATTCAAGAGGCCTCGAGGAAAAGCCATACAGACAGTTATTTTTGAGGTGGGAGTCACGGAAGGTTATCAGGATCTTGTTAGCGACGCAAAGCAGTGGCTTCTGAAAGCATGTCATGAAGTAAACCTTGTGGTTATTATCGATATCAAAGAGGACATCCGTGCTCGCAAGCGTACTCGGGAATCGGCGGAGTCGAAAAAAAGAATACGTGAGTTAGTCGCAAAATATGGAAATGGGCAGGCGCAGAACAAACACAACATGGACAGCGAAGATGGCCTTGAGGGCTCGGAGACTCACACAATTTCGGAGAATGGGGAGCGCGATGGAACATATGAACAGATACAATCCGAAATAGATATTGAGGATTGGGTTGGACCGCATACAGTGAATCTTGAGATGTGGGAACGCGCCGGCCGAACTGCTCAGAAACGCGGACAAACCTTTGTATGCTTTCCTTTTCTTAAAAATCTTCCGAACAATCCGTCTTGCTAATGATGCTACTTGGTTTAGAGCAAGTCCTCCCCAGACCTTCCTATCGCGTACGACCAACTATACCTATCACGGATATTATGCCCAAGGATGAACAAGCCAGAATGAAAAATTTCGATGATTCACGCGGGCTTGAATTAGATATGAACAAGTTTCGAGAATGGTTACGAGATGCAAGACGTGAGCTTGCACTTGCGAGAGCAACAAACTACATCCGTCCAAAGGAACGAGTTACTGATGAAGAGTTTGTGGCTTAACGAAACCCTATGTGCGATTTAGGCTATGTAAGCATTAGTGAATGTATTCCAGCTATGGATTATCAGAACAGTATGATGATAAATCAACGCACGATGAGTTTAATTATGATTTAATACAGGGTTGACATAATTGCTGAATTGCGCCAACTAAATAACTCATGAAGGTTATAAACCCCTTGAGATCGCCATCAAGGGCAACTTCATTATCTAGATCAGGAACTCATGTTGAACTCCTCTGTCATGGTCTGATGCTCATCTCGATTCCTTGTGTGGGTCTGAAACGCGGATTTCTGGTCCATTGCTCTCCATAATGCGAGTTCACGTGCCCATATGGTCGACAACGCCCTGCCACCAAAGTTCTTCAAAGGGAAAAAAAAAAAAAAGAGAAAGAAAGAAAGAAATTCTGAGTTGTCATATAAAGAGCTCCTTATAATTAAAATTTAAATTACTATACTACTGCATATTATTAAAAGCTATACACAAAGAGAGTTAATAGAGATTTACTCCGTAGCTGCACCAGCCTTCAATCCATCTATTCTTCTCATTACCATAGTCACATCCATAGGATTTCGTTTGTCAAGGAGAGCGCTCCACAAAGGAATAGAACAGAATAGTCCTATAAAGCCGTTGGGTTACTTGCTGACACTCAAGTGAATGTAGCATCGAGTCTAACTGATTAAAATCAAACTCATCGATATGATTACTATTCCCTTTCCGGTAAATACTACACCAGCGAGCCAATCGGACCAATTGGCTGGCTTAGCCGCTCGAGTCATCCAATCTGCTGGGCGATCGCGTGCCCCACCGCGACACTTCGGCCACTCACAGCGTCCAAAGTCCATACGCTGCAGCGGTTCCTGGCTCCTTCCTCCGTAGGGCCCGGCTAGCTCCTTCTCCAGACTCTCCAATAAGGTCGGTCCATGTGCTTTGCTTAAGCCTCGAGTTCTCGCATGCGCTGCAGCCTCTCCCTCGCATCGTGCATCAACCAACGATTTCTCTCACTCGTGCCAGCGTCATTAGACTTTGCCTCCTGGCGTCCGCTGTTCAAGTGATGCTTTGTTATCAACCGCGCTCGAGCTAGCCGAATACCCCTGGAAAGATTTGCGGAAAGGGGTAATCTGTGGCTGGCTCTCTCTCCCTCTGACACCGAGAAAAGAGGAAAAGAGGAGGAAAAGCGCACAGAAGCACGCTTTTCACCCAACTAGAACGCGTCGCAAACTCTTAGTGGCCTTGACGCTTACGTTACTTACTATCAGAGACGGATACTTTTCTGACTCGTCCAAAGAGTTTTCCGATTCAGCTCCTCCCTAGCGCGGGGCGGCTCGCCTTTTCATTGATTCACTCAATGGCGCGAAACGAGAATGCCTCCTTGGCTGATGCGCAGCACGGTGCCGGTGTCCAGGATGCAAACATTTCAAGACGTCGCAAGTCGCTCCCTGGCCGTTCAACTAGTCTACCGCGACAGCACCATCATCGACCATCCAGCCATGTGCCCGCTATGCCTCCAGCATCTCCAGAGGTCATTTCGTCGTTGATATCGTCGTTGTCTAGCATCTCGAGCCCTGCCCGAACTCATTTCGAAAGTTTCCCGCATATCGGCGCACATACAGCGCCGACCTCGCCGAACCTCCAACAGGCTGAATTCACCCAGCAAGAAGGCTTTGGCGTCGACTACGGCGCATACAAAACCCCAGCGGACGCTGTCGATAGTCCATTCTTGCATCCCGATGATGCTGCTGTGTCGCCTGTAGTTCGCATGGCTCCGGCTCCGCAGCCTGCTTCACCTCGCTCCCCGCGGTCGCCTAGATTCAAGACAAGCTTTGGGCGGGATCGCTCTCCGCTACGGCCTACATCGAAAAGCTCTTTTAATTCTTCACAAGCTGCCATTGACGACCAATCGTTGTCTGGCTTTGGGATCGTCACGTCGGAGCCAGGTCGCCGAGTTTCCCGCACTGCCAGTCTTGCGTCTTCGAGCTCGGGTGGCCGGAGGAGCTTGAGAGGATTGTTGAAACGAGACTCTAGAGATTCATGGCAGGATAAGGAAGCCGAACGCAGTTCTAAATCTTCGGCGTATAACGAGAACCTCAAACCGAATATTGCTCGCAGTCGGACCAGCCTTGTAACAAAAAACTCAATGGCAGATGTTGCTGAAGAGGGAGCAGGAAACTTTAACCCTGCGGAACACCTTCGCTTCCGAAATGACAAGGATGCTGCAGAACCCACACTATCATCGTCACACCAAACGTCGGGCATGGCGCTATCTAGCCCTGGAGGGATTGGCAGCGGATGGGTGATTCCAACGCGTGAATCATCTCTTCGACATAGCTTCAACAGTAAGTCTACTGCTCGAAGGAGCCGACAAGGACAAGGACGGCCAGCAGAACACCAGTCAAGCGGTAAGGAGCGAAGTCGCCATGTTGATACGACGAAAAAGTCCGAGACACGGAGTAGCGCCACCGAACAAACAACGAAGCGGATTCAGCAAGTCAAGGAGCAGCAGAAACGAATCAAAACCGAACTGGCAAAGGCCCAGGAATTACCGGCTGGTCGATCGTCACTGGACACCCCCAGTACTCTTGCCAAAGTGAACCAGCAATCTGCGGCTGAAGCAACATCTGCTCGGTTAACGCAAGACGACGTAGTGATCTCTCGGTATCTGATTCATGCAGAGACAGATCCTTTGGAGGAAAGTGCACCGTCTCCAGCTATTCAGACTCGGCGGACCAGAGACAAAAAACGAGAATCTCTTGAAAAACCAGATGTTCCGCTTAGCCCGTCCGTCTCAAAGTCTCATAAGCGGCATTCCTCTGGGGCATTCACGTTGGCCCGTCCCTCAATAGCAGAGGATCGGCCTTCTAGCGCTGATTCCATTGATATGGCTGTTGACTCGTATGTGTGCTCGCCAAGGTTGACGCAGAAAGTGCCCCATCCACGCTCGGGCAGAATGATAGCGTTTTCGGAAGTTGGAGATCCGCATGGTCACGTTGTGTTTTGCTGCCTAGGTATGGGACTTACTAGATTTCTGATGGCTTTTTACGATGAGTTGGCGCGGACTTTGAAATTGCGTTTGGTTACACTTGACCGACCTGGGGTGGGTGAGAGTGATCCTAGCGTGGAAGGCGAAGGGACTCCTCTGACATGGCCTGGTAAGTCACTTTTGGTATTTTTATCATTTTCTGTTTTCCATTGACACTTGCTAGACGACGTTGCGATTGTTTGTAATTATCTCAAAATTACCAAGTTCTCTATCCTGGCGCATTCTGCCGGGGCAATATACGCGTTAGCGACGGCGCTACGAATACCACAACATATTCGTGGCCGTATACATCTGTTAGCGCCTTGGATACCTCCGTCGCAGATGACGAATTTGGGCACGCATAAAGAGCCGCTTCCCAATAACGCGGTACCGTATTCTCAGAGAATCCTACGAGCTCTCCCAACGCCCATCTTGAAGGTCGCGAATTCAAGCTTCATGAATGCAACGAGCAGCAGTATCACGACCAGTCTGCCGAAATCACCGCGACGAAGCAACAAAAGAAAGAGTATCGGGCGAGAGACAGTGGCACCTACGGTGTCTGAACTCACATCAAATACGAACCAAAACGACAACACGTCCAATAGCCATGCAGCTACTACTGCTGCAACAATAGCAACAGACCAGGCACAAGGAGATCCACGACACTCCACTTTCTCGCAGACGTCAACGACCAGCCGCATGACGGCAGCAGAGGAAGCGGCGATTCTCGCGGCGCAACAAAAGGAGCGACAAACGGAATACGACACACGCTTGACATACCGCATTTGGGAACTGGCAACGAGCAACGCCAATCCGGCTGTTGACCTTTTGGTTTGTCTAGAACGGCGACAAACAATCGGATTCCGATACGTAGACATCAATCGTGAAGTCGTCATCCATCATGGGACCAAAGACACGCGCGTCCCCGTTGATAATGTACGGTGGCTAGGCAAGACCATGCGTCGATGCGAAGTGCGTGTGCTCGATGGCGAGGGACATGGTCTTATGGCCTCGGCTGTGGTGATGAGCAATGTCCTGACAGAAATGGCAAAGGAGTGGGAAGACTGGACGACTGTTGTACAAGGAAAAGGAAGGGCAAGGAGAACTACTATTACACATTATCCTTCTTCGCGATCTGGTATCTTGGCTGCATGATTTTCTATTCTTCTTTTTTTGCCCCTTCTTTCACTTCATTTTTATACCCCTGCATTTCTTTTTCTCTCTCTGATTCTTGATATATCTATTTATTTATCTATACGCATTGATTTGATAGTAATCACGTCTGCATATTATTTATTATTATTACCATCATTCTAAATAGAAAACCCCGATTTATTTGGATTGGATCTTCTTCACATAGCTTGTATGTACCTTAGACAAGGCGAGACAGGCACCAGATCTTATCATTCATTCAATCAATCAATCAAGTCATTGGCTGGAGTTTGTATCATTCTTGAAAGCTTGGATTAGATGGCCTAGACTGAAATAAACGAGTGACAAATAGGTAGTACAATGAGTTCCAGTCCGGCTGATAAAACACATGGTTAACTTGCTACAGTCATAGACAGGTAGATACTGAGATTAAGACTTTGCCTTGTTTGTGACAGAAAGATGAAAGATACATGGTGATTGAACACGGCCTTCCCTTTCTTTCTTTCTTTCTTTCTTTGTAGCTCTCTAAGTCAGTCTTACATCTCTTACTTGATAGTGTGGGTTGAGTTGAGCTGAGTTTGGCAAGGAGATAGATAGAGAGAGAAGAGAGAAAGAGAGTTAGGTTAGTTACTCGTCATTGCTCTTCTTCTTGGATTTCTTGCTTGGAGGCGGTGCGCCCTGTTTCTTCTGGTGGACAATGAGTTTTGTGTAGAATTCCTCGGGATCCCACTCGAAGCCTGCGAGGATGGGCTTTTCGCCGAGCTCGTCGTCCGCCTTGTACGGTTAGTCTTGACGTATGTAACGCACTTTATGTGTTTTTATGTATATATACACATATATATATATATATGTATGTATATGTTACATACCTTCTTCTTGAATTGCTTGTAAATCGCATCTAAGCCATCCTTGATGGTGACGCCCTTGAGATTCCGGGCTGTGACCTCCAGCCCCAGTGGGAAATGTAGGTCAATCTTCTTCACGGGTGGTGTCACGAGGAACTTGTTTAGTGCTTCCTTGTCCTCCAAGGAAGAGGGTGATGTGTTTAGCTTCCTGTGCATTATGTCAGAGACTAAAAGGCATGTAGTGAAGCGGGAGGGAAGAAAGACGCACCAGCCGAGTTTCTGTGTTTCGATAGCAATCTCAATGGGGATCTGCTCCTTCTCTGGGAGAACGTTAGAACGCTTAGCGAGACAATGGACATGACCGGATACCTAGGTCGTTGATGTTCCTCACGCCTTGGCCCGTGGATGGCAGACGCTTGTGCGTCTTGGTCTTCTTCTCCTTCTCGACAGTCTTGGTCTGCGTCTTCTCGTCCTTGGGGGATATCGAGAGACCGGCAATGGCAGAGTCGACACGGGTCAGTTCTTCCGTCATGGTTGATGGATGGATGGATGGCCTAGATAGGGGTTCTGGGAGTGTGTCGGCGAGGTTCAATGAGTATGTACAGGATGTAAGTAAAAGGGGTCCATACCTAGCAGATGGTGTTTTGTGTTTGATAGCAGCAGCGATGATGATGGTTCGGAAGAGGGAATGAAGTGCAATTGCGAGACGAAGGCAAGATGCAGGCTGGTCACGGGGGCAGGAGGGGAAGTGCTGGCAGGGAAGGCAGGAGCCAGAGCAGTCCAAACCTTCGAATGTTAGCTGATCCATGTCTCGATTGCCCAGGATTGGCCACCCGCCCTCCACCTTGTTTGGGAAGGTTGCTCCTTCCTTTCCGGCAGGTGCTCGTGTTTGTTTCTCTTGTTCTTGTGCGACTCATCCATCATCCACGTATGCTATGCTATGCTTCTATGCTACTTATGCTCAGCAGGCATACGTACATATATGCACATACACACATGCATGCTATCGTACAGAGGTATACATAGTGCATGTCTGTATACATAGTATGCCGGAACGAGCGGACGCGAGAGTTCATTCGCGCCAATGAGGGAATGGCTGCGTCATGAGGTCACGTTATCTGCACCCCGCATTCCCGCTCCAAATAGTTAAATAGTAAAGTATGGGGTATGACTCCACGACTTTTCCATATCGGCACCATGCCATATTCCATGCTGCTACGTCGGCCACGGGTGAGGCAATTGTCTGCTTGGGCTAGCTGCAGTCTGCGTGTCGTGTGATAATCCTGCAACAGCTGACTGTGCAACTGTACAATCAAATATTCCCCTAGCTAACGTAATCCACCCCCGAACCGCCACCACCACCGACCCGCCACTTCCGCTGAAAAACGCGCTCTATATTAATTTTAACCCGAAATTTCAACCCGAAATAATAATTATATACAAAAAGTTAATTACTAGTATGATTAGGGCATTGAGGCCTTCTATGCCCGAAAATTCCACACTCACTACATTGAAATTGGCGGCGTACACGTGGTTGAGAGGCTGGAAGCTCTGGCTCGGCTGGAGTAGTAGTAGTAACTTGAAATGCTTCAACTGGCCAATTTATAAGCGTCTAGGCTTCCTCTTTAGTAATTTCTTGCTTATGAGTTATTCATTTTGTAGATCTTTGGCACTTTTGCTTTTCTTTCTCATTTGCAGCTTATAAATTGTGAACTTCTTTTTGTATAATAAGAAGCTCATTAATACTGGTCTTGTAGGCTTTTGATATATAGCTAATTGCTTCATTAATAACCTCAGATGGGCTCTGCATACGCTGACTGATTCGCCACTTAATTATACTTAATTACTGTTTAAATTGATGTGGGTTTTGAGGCGTTTGAAGGCAAGAGGATTGGGAATCACTAGGTGGATAAGGAGGTGGTGTTGGGGTCTTTAATTGGATAGTAAGTTGTTGATAAACTTGATCTAGATCTAATGGTACTAATCTAGTTACTTTAAAGCCATTCTGAATAGTCTTAGCTTTATATACTATTGTACAGGCCTCCGGAAATGCAGTAAGAAAGTTAATTTTATCAATATGATTGAAGCTGAGTCTCATTTGCTACTTAATAAGCTTTCTATATTGTTGCTTTAGAACTGTAAAATAGCTAATATTAAGAGGCTGTAAGAGATGTGAAGAATGTAGAGGTATGTAGATTGGAATAATCTTATTCTTAGTACATGTATGATTAAATTCAGCAGTTAAATGGCTTCTATAGCTATTAAGAATTAATATTCGATATTGTCTGATTATCTAGCCATTTGTATAAGGAATAAAGTGATTGATGAGCTAATCTATGCCAATCTGATCTGTTGTCCACCCATTATCACTAATATTGATCTTCTAATTATCTGGAAGGGTCTCAAACCAGCCTTCCTGGGAGTATTTAGTAGCTTTAAAGATCATGTACGAGGGCAAGGCCCAACTGGTAGAGTTGACTGTCTTAATTGCAGTTACCTATTCTCAATTGCTAGGTTGTAGTAGATGTGGATGGCCATATCAATTGCTTCTAATAATAACCTTTGCGCTTGCACAGAGGCCCATTGCAAAGCCAGTCTCATTGAAGTTGTAGATATCCTCTGATAGGATTCTATACTTAGTTATAGCCTCTTGTACACAATTAAAATATTTCTTAATTATCTTTGGATCTTTGCATTTGGCACGCTCATAGTTATATCTTTGTGAAAATCGTGATTTTAGCTCTGACTGATGTTAAACTAGTTTATATACCTAGTTCTCGCTAATTGTTTAATTTTTATGCTGAGAAAGAAGAATATTGGCCATATCTTGTACTATAGAAGGTTAGGGAGATAATCCTCGCTTATTTAGATTTAATATCTATTTTATAAGTGATTCCTCTTCAAACTGGGTTAATTTATGTCTATTGGCGCGTGTTTGAGACTGTTGTTGGGTGCCTTTTAGTCGATCTCGGAGAGTTGTTTGAGGAATATTATAAATCTTTGCTGCTCGTCCAATATTAGGAATTTTTTTATTCTGTAAATTGAAAATAGCTAATAAAATTCGTCCTTCTTATTCTTCAGATTTTGTATGATTTTTATCGTGAATTGGTGGCATATTGATGTGTTGAATATAGAGGATTGAATATTTTGACGTGTTTTCGGCGGAAGTGGCGGGTCGGTGGTGGTGGCGGTTCGGGGGTGGATTACGTTATATATCATGACAGGTCAGGAGAGCATCAGGTGACACCCCGTGACTCAACAGCAATGAACCCTAACTTGGGTAGGTAGCCTGTTCTATTGTCTTCTGGCGTGATTTCTTTCTTTCTGCATCGCATTGTATTGTTTGTATTCGAATAAAACAACAGATTACCTACTCGCGTTATTGAAACGTCACTGAAGGACGAAGGAGGTACCTAGGAAGCAGAAGCGACCTATTTGCAGCATGCCCCAGCGGATCAATTCTTGTAGATCCTAATTGATGGCATTTGCCTTTTAGTATCCAATTGAACTCGAGTGAGGAATTCTAGAGTAAACAAAGCCTTGTTTTCCTTACCTACTTGGGCATCATACCAACTTCCCACAACAAACCACCAAGCATCCCAAAAATTCCACACTTACTTCCAAACAATATGATTGGGAGGACAACTATGGTCGATTGAGACAATCTCTTCTTTATCAGACACGATGCCGAGAATGACGCCCACCCTACAGCAGGCTCTAAGCAGCCCCTTGCCAGCTCCACACATGGTGAGCTCGTTTACGATCAAGAATCCCAGCACCTCACGCTGGGAGTGAGAATGGCTAACCTCCAATATGGCAAAACGCCGGGTCGGCGCCAAAGTCAAATCTGTCGGTGCTATTACTCCCGACCTCGTGATTGCCAAAGCCAAAAATCATCAAATATGGAATCCAGTAATATCGACCCTCACTTTTCTTCTGACCACCCAAACAGGCACTCAACTGTGAAACAGGCTAGCTTGCTAAATATATGGATGACGGTGATTGCAACATCCTCCGGAGGGGGGGACGCTGAAAGCAAAGATGACCAGGTCTCGGTGCGAGAGGCCTTCTTGTTCCTCGGCGAGATGGTCAGTCAGATCACTTATGGTACCAAGCTGGCCCGAGAAGAATCAGAGAATGGTATGAATCAGTTTGTGGCTTATCCCTCATTGAATGACAGACCGAGATCAACTAACAGCCGGTGGTCGTTCCAAAGAAACCTCGCAGAAGAAAAAGAGCAACCGAATTGGAAAGATCATTTGGATGATGAGACATTCTTTTACTAGCATGAATTCTTTTCCTTTCTTGTCTTCATATGTATATGGCAAGATGGACATACCGAAAAGGGAACTGTAATGAATGAAACAATTTATTACTGAATCTCACGAAAGAATAAGCATTGGTCATAGACGTGCCTGAACAAATGTTATTATTAAATAGTTTAACTAAGTTAGTTGATGGATTGTTGAGTAAGTCAGAGAGTAAAATTGTAGATGAATCAAACACCGCTGTTTGCACTGTTTGCACGGGTCCGCCTATCAAGTTCAAAACAGAAAACAGAGAGCACGATCTCAAATACTCAACACCACCCAACACGACAATATTCTCCCAGACACGTCACAGCGCTCACTGACTTGTGTCACTTTTGAATTGCCTGCCATAGAGATACAGCCACAGCACACGAACCTGCACTCTCCTGGATGTCGCTCTTTGGGAACGTCGGCGCGACCACCGCCGCCCAAACGAGCACAACGGGAGACATTTCGAAAGATGTCGCCTTGAACTCACCCCCGGAAGACAGTATCTCAGATCTTGCGTTCTCGCCCGTTAGCAATCACCTTGCCGTCTCGTCGTGGGACAAGAAAGTTCGCATCTACGAAATCAACGACCAAGGACAGAGTGAAGGAAAAGCTTTGTTCGAACATGAAGCTCCTGTGTTGAACTGCTGCTGGTCTCCGGTAAGTGAAAGGAAAAGTAGACCGATTCAATGAGCAATGTGATTTAATTAACTGTTCAAAATCATAGGATGGAACGAAAGTCGTCGGTGCCGGAGCAGACAAGGCTGCGCGCTTACTCGACCTAGGGGCAAATGCGACAACCCCAGTGCAAGTCGCCGCCCACGATGCACCAATTCGTTGCTGTGAAATGATTTCCAACCCCACAAACTCATCACAACCTCTTCTGATCACGGGCTCGTGGGACAAAAAAGTAAAATACTGGGATCTACGACAGCAGACACCCATTGCGCAGGTCGAGTGTCAAGATCGTGTTTATACCATGGACGTCAAGAACAAACTACTCGTGATTGGCACCGCCGATCGGTACATTAACATCATTAACCTGGACAACCCAACCAATTTCTACAAAACAATGCAATCTCCGTTGAAGTGGCAAACGAGAGTCGTCAGCTGTTTCGCGGACGCCACCGGCTTCGCCGTCGGTAGTATCGAAGGCCGCTGTGCCATTCAGTATGTCGAAGAGAAAGACTCGAGCTCCAACTTTAGTTTCAAATGTCATCGCGAAACACCCCCCGCCAGCCGCGATGTCAGCAACATCTACTCGGTGAATGCGATATCGTTCCACCCTGTTCATGGCACTTTCAGCACTGCTGGCAGTGATGGAACCTACCATTTCTGGGATAAGGATGCCAAGCACCGCTTGAAAGGGTATCCAGCTGTTGGGGGAACCATTTCTAGCACCAAATTCAACCGCGACGGCAGCATTTTCGCCTACGCCGTCAGCTATGACTGGAGCAAGGGCTATACGGGAAACACTCAACAGACACCGAACAAAGTCATGCTACATCCGGTTATCCCGGAGGAGGTCAAGCCTCGCCCGAATGCACGGAAGACAAGGTGAAGGGAGAATTTGTTGTACGGATAAGGCAAGCGCATGTTTCTCATATGAAGAGCAAGAAAAGGAGTTCAAGTTGTTACAGGATAACGAAGAATACACCTAATGTTTTATCCCATTCATTGTGTTGCAACGTAGATTTCGTCCCAGTGAATTCCCAGTAAATTCCAACTAGAGATTCCGATAACTCACTTAATATCAATGATGCTATCAAAGCATGTGAAGAGGGGTTGAGCCTTAGGCCCGCCCGGCAGAAAAGTCTCCCTCTGTTTTGAACTTATACACACTCGAAAAGACAACATATCATTTCCATCCTCCTTGCCGATAATAGAAACCCCGAAAATGGACACAGATCTTCTCGACGGCGTTCTCGGACTAGAAGAAGAATTTTACAAAGAAGGATACGCACTCGGCGTTACAGACGGAGCTCGCGCGGGATACACAGAAGGAAGCGTCTTCGCCGTCGAAAATGCATTTGAGAAACTACTTCAGCTAGGGAAGTTGTACGGCAAGGCGCTGGTATGGAACCAGCGGCTGATTAGCTCTGCTACTACTTCAGCTTTGTCTAGTCCTGTTGCGAAAACAGAAAATGCAGCAGCAGCAGCAACAACAGACGAGGGGCCTCCCGTTTTCGACACTGACATCTGCCAATCAATGCCAGGCCTTCATCAGGGTTCGAGATTGGCAAAGAATATACAGACTCTTCTTGCATTGGTTGATCCCGCGACGCTTGTGCTGGAAAATAATGAAGATGCGGTGTCGGAAATCGAGGAGAGACTTCGCGGGGCAGCGTTGAAGGCGAAGTTGATTCAGCGGGCGTTGGGGGAGTCTTTTGACGAGGGAAGCGACCTGAATAGTACGAATAATAGAAATAACTTGTCCAGCAGGCATGATTTGCAGGGTCGCGGAGATGGGTCGGGCAGCATTGAGGATATTAGCTCGTTACATATTCGACATTGATGCAGGGTGAGCTGGTATATCATCATATCCGCCTCCATTCTTGCGATATCATCTATTGCCAGGCGAGCATCTACCACGTTCTCCGGCTCGGATTGCCATCATCCTCGGCTCCGGAGAACATATGCTATCGTCCAGATATAGCTCGCATCACGCGAATCTCGACAAAGAATGTCGCTGCTCGCTGTAGCAGTTGAGTCCTGACGACGGGCCACGGGCAACGCCATCTAGCATGCGTATTCCTCTGGCATAGGGCCAGCTTTGGAGCGAATGTGGCTCTCAGACGTGGCCCAGAACACCAAGGCTATATCTTCTTGCTGAATATGAATTTCCCCTCCTGCCTGACCGCTTCATGGGCCATCCCACTAGACTCTAGTTCCATGCAACATCCAATTAGATTCTCTCACCGCCTGAATAGAGCCAGAAAATCCTTCTATAAAACTCTTTTTCTCTGGAAAAGCATTAGAAAATTCGCTCTCCTTATAAGAATGCTGAGTTGTGGTTGACTATCCCTATCACTGTCACTATCTGCACGTGAAGATAGATCGCGTGCTGCCCTCTCAGGCGCTAACTCTAAGTGCAACCACAAACTTTCTGTGCGTGCTCGTCATTTGTGCTTCACTTGACTGACTGGCCCTTTCCCAAGATAAAAGCTCTTTGCTCTGGTTTTGGCTGTGCAAAAAGGCCATCAACCTCTCTCCCTGCCAGGCAGGGGTTATTGCTCTTGTTGACTGGTGGTCTGGTTGTCTGGTTTGCCCAAACTGTGTGTCACCACCCTTTCTCTCTCTCTCTCTCTCTCTCTCTCTCGCCCCTCCAAACCAGCGCAGAGCGTACTGCCAACTGATCACCTCATGCTGATTAACTAGACACAGGCGAAGACACAGCGCAATGTGGATTATCCGGGTTTTCTTCTCTGCTACCTACCTGACAGCCATCGTCCTCTCGATCCCACTGGCTTTCGATGTCGGAGGCAAAACATGCGGTCTGGCCTACTCCCTGTCTCTAGCCAGCTTCTACTTCCTGTTTTCTGTCCTGAAACTCGCGACCCCCGACGCTTCGCGCTTCAGGCGACTGCTCGTCATTCTCGTGAGCTCGACGCAATGGCTTATCGTTCCGGCTTTGCTGATATGGTCGCTGAACCTGTTCTCCGTCGATTCGAAGAGTCGCAACGATCGTACCAGTCGATGGCTTGATACTTACAGCTTGAAGGGTAGCGGTGCGGGCCAGAACCAGGTTGCATGGGATGATGCTTCGACATGGACTTTTGGTTTGATGGAGTCGCTTACCATTGGTAGCTGGGACAAGCTCTTGCGATGGTCTTCCCCTTTCTTTCAACTCGTTGAAGGCTTCTGCAGTTTGCTTGTCATCCAAGCTGCTGGGCAGATTACGCGCTGGCTGGTCAATAGGAGTGGCGGGGGTGATACTTGGTTGGTAGGTTACGTTACTTTCCTTTTTTCTTTGTGTTGCTTTCTACTTGCTCACATGTTCCACAGATAACTCTTCTGGTCCTCTCTGCGTCTATCATCTCAAGTTCAGTCTATTTCCTATGGCGAGTGCTTCAGTTCCCAGAAATATCCAACGTTGATGCTGCCCTGATCGGCGTCGCCATAACGAACGCTGTCATTTTGTGCGCCTGGGGAATTGGCAGTGGCCGTGGCAATGCGGTCGAAAGTTCGCTACTCTTTGCTTACATTGTTCTTTGTGTCTATCAAATCTTCACCGATTACCAGCCATCCGAGCCTGTTGAACAGGCTCCTCCGGCGCAAGCGGCTGATTTCCCTCCTCTTCCACCCATCATCATGGCATCATACAGCACGCTGATAAGCCTGCTCTCGCTTCTGCCATCTATTCTGCATGCCGCATTCAACGTCATTGCAGCCGCTTTTAGCGCCGTCACACCATCGGTGTTGATCACTCTCGCCTATCGCCTATTCGTGTTCTACGCCTCAACGCGCATAATCCCCGCTGTCCGCGAATCTGGCGCTCGAGCTCTTTCGCAAGAAGCGTCTTTGGATGATGACGACGGCGCCAACAAGCTTTTAGGCTTGCTGAGCTGGTTTTCGCCCACTATCCTTATCGCGGTGTACACCAGTCTATTAATGCAACATTTCGCCGCAAATGCTCAGGGCGGAGCTGGTGCCGGACAGTGGTGGCTAAGCCAGGGCGATGTGGGCTCGAATTTCTGGAGATGGATCAATCTCGGTTGTACAATGGCGCTTTATGCGTTTGAGTTGTGGATTGGACAAGAGGATGACCTTAACTCGGGGCTTACGGGACATTGGAAGACAGATTGAATGGGAGTCTACTCCATTTAAGTCGCTACCACAGTACTACTACTACTACTACCACTACTTCTCTCCACCAAGGACCGAGCGAGCCAGCCAGTCAGTCTCCAGGCTTGATTTTAGCGAGCATGAAGTCGCACATACATTCACGCAGGCCCACCTCACCCCCCGAATTGCAACATTCTGAATTGGCATTAAGAAATGAATATCAGAACTATGCCTGTCACCGACTGATTTGCATGGTTGCAGCTGGCTCACTCTCCATTGTCACGTCTGAAAATGTATAGTTTTCTCTTCCATTCGACAGCATGCTCCGCCGCTCATATAAAATTCTCGCAGATCTGTTTTTTTTTTTCTTTAATTTCTTCTTCATCCTCCAACAGCAGCGATGCTACCCACGCGATACCCCCTCCACAGAAGGTTGCATGCAGGAGGATAGCAATGGACGGACGAATGAACGAAACCAGTTTCTAGAAGACGTGATCTATTTATTCCCTTCCGACCTGGAAGAATTCGAATGAATGACCAGGAAATCAAGATACCCTCCCCCGCTACCCCTCGCTCGAGTTGTTTTTATGTTATGCTACCTATGTTCTATACCTAAATTCATGTACCAACGATAAATCATTTTCTTTCTTAGCTTCATAGAATCAAACTATGCACCTTTCTTTTTGAGTAAATAAATTTTCTTAAGGAATGAGAAGAATGACGAATGAATACATATATAGTCTTGATAAGTTTAAGAGAGTCCAATCATCAAGTATTTATGATTTGTGGCGAGTAGAAGAAGAACAATTTATTTCATGTCATGACATGCACACGTCTTTCTAGAAAAGCCAATCAATCAATCATCAATACTTAGGAGTTCATAACGTGCCTTTTTTTTTTGGAAAAAGACAGAAAAGCAGACAGGACGGAATTGAAATCCACCGAGATATGTCAGGAAAAAACGAAACAGATATAAACGCCCGTGAAACATGAGAAAAGAAAGAGAGAAATAAAAATAGCAATAGAAATAAAGCCAATATGAGTATGGAAATATGGACTTATTGTCGAATGTGTACGCCCTGTCTAGCTGGCGGGGGACTAATGCTTCCTTCATCTTTATCGCTTGTCTTTCCTGCTTCTCCGTCCTTTCCTTCGGAATATTCATCATGATTGTTCAAACTAGACTTGCGATGCACGAACCCGCCTTCTTTCATGGGATTGCGGTTCTGGAATCCAAGCGAGCCCGGATGACCGCTGATGCTGCCGGGGATGGGTCCCGGGGAGCCAACGACGTTGCTGACATTATTATTGCCGCCGCCGTTGACAATACCAGCCCCGGGAGTGGCAGCAGCTGGGTTCTGGGCGCCGGGGGAAGTGGCTGTTAAATGAGGGATGTTTTCGGGAACGGGGTGACGAGAGCCGATGCTGGTGACGCCAACGTCGGAGGCTTTACCAGCTTTGCTGAGGGCATAGTCTCCAGAGTCGAAGTATTTTCGTTCCTGTAATTCCCAAGGTGGGAGGGAGGACTGTCAGATATCTTGTCCTGTCTGCTTGTTGTTTGGTTGGCGTAGGCGTGATTAGATTTCGTACCTTGAGTTTATTCTGCAGGAGATCTTTCTTGGTAGGTACTTTGCCATAAAGACGAAGTAATCGTTGCTCGTCGGGGCTGAGTGACTGTTTTGTATCAGTTATCGACTCAGTAACGTTGGTTTCTAATGAGGAAGCCGGAGGGAAACTGACGCCGATATCAACCTTGTTCTGTTGGTGTGGGTTCATGATGTTGGATATATGGCTGCGCTGCTAATGCACAACAGCCAGATATGAAAGTTCTTTGCTTGCTCTCTTCACTCTCCGAATATCTCGCTTGTGCCGAAGGTAGGCGGGCTGACCGTACTGGACCGGACTGAAAGGCACGGCACGCACCGTACTGCACGTTCTAGCTTTCGGAGACGTGGGTTTGGCAGGCTAGGGATTCCTTGATGTAAATCGCAGTCGCGGAAAAGCAAAAAATGAACGAATCGTCGGTTTGCAGCGCTGTCGGTGTTGATGGCAAGATGTAGATGAGGATGACGGGACGAAGCTGCGGGGAAGGGCCAAGAGTCAAAGACTGGCGTTATCGAGCTAGTGAGCGGTGTTCGGTCGGATGAGATCGAGAAACAGAGAAGCGGGCAGGTAGAGAGTGAGAGGAGAAGGGAAACCAAAAAAAAAGGAAGATGATGCTGGAGCGAATGTTTTAGGAAGTTGTTTGGCGGCGAGCGATTGCGGTTGGCGCAGGCTGGTTGGCGGCCTGAGGCAGAGAGGAGGGGTGGGGTAAGCCATCCTTCTCTTTTCTCTCTCGAACCAACGACTTCGTTTCTTCCTGGCCATTGATATCTGGATGCTAACCCTCGAGCAGCCTATCACGCCGGCCCAAGGGACATCACACGACGCGCGGCGATTCTCTGCCAGCCAAATCAATCCCTGCGCCGGATCACAGCTACCGGCGTTCCGCCGCAGTCTCGCCGCCAGAGGAGGCGATGAATGGCTCGACACTCAGTGTTTACGTCAGATGGTCCAGTGCAATAGAATCCGAATCCCATCCCATGCCCTTCGTGGTACGATAGACACAGCTGACAAGTCAGGACGCAATTGAGTTTTCCAGTGTGTTCTCCAGCTCTTGCGACTTTATTCGTAGTTATCTCCAGTTATGGCGGGGTACATACTACTACCTACTACCTACTACCTACTACATACTACATACTACATATTACATAGTACTTGCAGCACGATAATCAGTTATTATAGTTATCGCTCGAGTTCATAAAAGTGTTTTCTACCTCGCATCCCATATTTAAGCAAAGATAAATAATCTCCCAGGTTTTCAAAGGCAGAAACGGATGCCTGATCTTTGGCTCTCCTCGTGACGTCCTCGACTCCGCCGGCAAAACTTTTCTGGTTTCCTCCACAGAAACAAAACATTCGCCTAGCACAAGCAAATAAGGAAGGAAAACACGAGAAGCGAAAGGAACAATATATCGGGAACATACTTCCGCCCCGAAAGGAAAGAAAATGACATTGACCTTTGTGGTCGAACACCTCGACCCCGAATTGGGCCCATGGTCCGCCCTGGAATATGCCTGCATCGCAAGAGAATCCAAGGAGAATGGCGCTCAATTCCTTCTGACCTCGGTCCCTGCTTCGCTGCAGATGCCAGAGAATCTGGCGCGCATGGAAGAACTCAAGGTGGAAAGACGCAGTGTGGAGGAGATCTTTGCAGATCGCAAATCTAGGGTCTGTCTACTCGACCCGGCTGCGACAATAGAATTGAGTCCTGCGGATCGCGATGATTTCGATGTCTTCTTATTTGGCGGTATACTCGGTATGAACACTATTCTCCGAGAATGTTAACGAGATGGCTACCTTGCTAATTGAATGGGCAATTCATTTCGCAGGCGACGACCCTCCTAGAGGTATGAATATAACCAGGGCCCAAAATCTTCTAAAATTCAGGCACTGATGACCCATACATAGATCGTACATCCGAGTTACGGAAAAAGGGCTACGCTGGACGGCGGCTTGGACCACAGCAAATGACCACAGATACCGCAGTACGAGTGACTCGTATGATTGCGCAACAGCGAAGTAAGAAATCCAGCATGTCTATTTCATCTCATCTCATCACATCATGATAGGTGGCATTGGCCGTTCAGGTCGGATTGACTGTGACAAATAGTTCCACTGGACAAGATCCCATACCTGGACCATCCAGAATTACGCATCAACGAACATGAAAGCACAGAAATGCCTTTCCGATACGTCAAGAGCAGCGATGGAAAACCAATTATGCCCGAGGTATGTTTATGCCTGTCAAGTTGGGTCGAATCAATTGAACTTGCAGCTAACATATGCATCTTGCCAGGGGATGGTTGAACTTATTAAAAAGGACGCGGACAAAGCTGTCGATGATTTGTTTTAGATGACTGGAAAGGGAGGCTGTTGATAGACTTAGAAAACAGAAGAATCATAGCACGAATAATGCACATATCAAATAGCATTCACCACAATGCCCTTGTTTTACAAAATATTGGCAAATAAAAATCTTTGCTAATACCTCCGATTGGCCCGTCCTCTATCAAAAGCTATATCCACGGACAACAGGATATTATCTGTTGTTTCACTGTCTATTCAGAATATCATGTATGTTTGCTATTGATTTATTATTTGGCGTCGCGGACCCATGACTCTGGGATACAAACAGTGCAAACTACACTGAGATGACGAAGAGGCCACTCGTTCCTTCCGCAATCCTCGTGTGCTTCATTCCTCCCCAGTATATACAATACGAGAACGGCGATTTATTTTATCTTCTCCACACTGCAAGACTCAACGAGATCAAAGCGGCTGCAGTCGTTCTAGGCAACTTCGAATTGATGGTCCATATCGGTCGGGGGGGATTCTTTGAATACCAAGGGGGGGGTGTATCCTCCATTGAGTGACTTCGCAGAGACAACCGACTATTCGAAATGCTCGGAAAATCGCTGCTGCTGCTGCTGAGCAGCCCGATATGTGCTTTGGCACAGTCAGCCGCCGACTACTATGTAAAGTCACTGCCAGGACAGCCGGACGGCCCGCTCTTGAAAATGCATGCAGGGTAGGTTCCCTCTTATTTCGCCTTCGATGAAATATGCTCATGGGATTGATTCGATAGTCATATCGAAGTGGATGCCCAAACCAATGGCCACCTATTCTTCTGGCATTACCAGAATCGCCATATCGCCAATCGACAGCGCACTATTTTATGGCTTAATGGCGGACCGGGCTGCAGCTCTATGGACGGGGCTTTGATGGAAGTCGGGCCCTATCGCTTGAAAGACGACCACACATTGACCTATAACAACGGATCTTGGGACGAATTCGCCAATCTCCTTTTCGTCGACCAGCCAGTGGGAACGGGCTTCAGTTACGTCAGTACGAATAGCTACCTTCATGACCTGGACCAAGTGGCCTCCCACATGATTACATTTTTGGAGAAGTGGTTTAGCCTCTTTCCGGAGTACGAAAGCGACGACGTAAGATGATGGCTCATCTCTCTCTCTCTCTTTTTTTTTTTTTTTTACAAAGAGAAAAGCTAATTGCAAATATAGTTATACATCGCAGGAGAGTCATATGCAGGACAATATATCCCGCACGTTGCGCGAGCAATTCTAGAGCGGAACAAGAACATTAAAGCGGGACAGCAAGCATGGGCATTGGAAGGACTTTTGATTGGCAACGGATGGATATCACCCGAAGACCAGTATCCAGCATATTTACAATATGCATATAAAGAAGGCCTCATCAAAAAAGGAACTCCTGTCTCAGACAATCTCGACGAGCACGACAAAACGTGCCACGATCTGTTAGCTGCCAGCGGCGCGGACAACAGGGTTGATATATCGCAGTGTGAATTAGTGCTTTCTTTTCTTTTGGACGAAACCAAAACCTCGGATGGCAAATGTACCAATATGTACGATATCAGATTGAAGGATGCCTCGTGCGGGATGACCTGGCCGCCGGATCTGGCCAGCATGACGCCATATCTACGAAGGCAAGATGTGGCTCAAGCTCTCAATCTTGACCTCGAGAAAAGCACTGGCTGGGAAGAATGTGCAGGCAAAGTGAGCGTGGAATTTCGCGCAACTCACTCTATTCCTGCAATCAAAATCCTTCCTGGGATCATCGAGTCGGGCGTCCGCGTATTGCTCTTCAGCGGTGACCGAGACCTGATCTGTAACCATCTCGGGACCGAACAATTAATTCACAACATGAAGTGGAATGGCGGTTCGGGGTTTGAAACATCACCAGGAGTCTGGTCACCTCGCCGTGACTGGACATTCGAAGGCGAGGCGGCGGGATACTACCAACAAGCGCGCAACTTGACCTATGTCTTATTTTATAATGCCAGTCACATGGTACCATTTGATTGGCCGCGGCGCACCCGCGATATGGTTGACCGATTTATCAACGTTGATATCGCAAGTATCGGAGGAACGCCAGCAGATTCACGTCTGGACGGGGAGAAGCTCCCGCAAACCTCTGTGGGCAACTCAACCACGGCAGCGGACAGCAAAGCGCAAGAGGAGAAACTAAAAGAGACCGAGTGGAAAGCCTATGCAAAATCCGGCGAAGCGGCGCTGATAGTTGTTATCATCGGCGTGTCTGTCTGGGGGTTCTTCATCTGGCGTAGTCGTCGTCGTTCGGCAGCTCGGGGTGCTTATCGTTCCGTGTATATGGCTGAGAATAATTCCTCGTCAACAGCGCATGCCGATAGCAATTTCAATTCGACGACACTTCTAGGCCGATTCCGAAAGTCTATGAGCGGCCGCGGATCATCAGCGCGTGACATCCAGGCAACAGACTTTGATGAGGCGGAGCTTGATCGACTCGATCATCTTGAGAATGGCGAAGGGGGCAAAGACAGAGACCTTGACAGGGACCATTATGTTATTGGCGAGGATGATGAGGATGAGGACGACATTAACCATACTGAGGCTGGTACAAGATAGCTCGTATTCATTGATTAGAAGATATAAAGTAGAACAGATCCTGTCCAGCAAGCGGACAGATATGTATATATTTTCGGTTTTGAATTCTGATCATAAGAAACTATTTTCCGTTGTTAGCTGCTATTAGCGGGCGTTCGACGACCTCAAGTCTCAACTGTACATCCAACCACGCCAAGAGCGGGAAGCGCCCCCCCAGCTCCCACATCCAACACCTGTCACCACCAGCTTTCAGCTACTATTACCACCCAGGTACTACTTCTCCAGGCGATGCAGATTCGAAACTGCATGAGCTGCTCATTCTGAACTTATCAGTCCAAACATGCCTTGATTTGGCTCATGCAGGAAACCCGCATCCTGTCCCGCAATGGATGCTTATCCTCACGACTACATCGTGCACAACCTGCCTTTACTTCTCTTGTCCGGCATTGCGCACCATGACCATAACAGCCCCCCTGCCAACGCCGAGTATCCTTCTCTTCACGATAGAGGCACCTCAATTGACTCAGATTTCCCGCTGTTGACAGGCCCGCTTGTGGAGAGCTTGCGGGACGCCTTCATCGACCACGATGCCTCTGACGCGCCTTGGAGAGCTCCAATTGACGCTGGACGATCAAGTGGGATTCCCCTGAGGATCAAAGCCGTTGGAAGAGTGAGTCTTTATTTTTCACAACATGCCGTTGAAATATATACCTTCAGAGAAACTGGATCAATAAGCTTGTCGACCTGCTGCTAATAAGTTTTTTTTAGTCTCATCGTCTTCCTCCCCAAAAAGCTGAATTTCCTTCCGAGGCAGACATTTCCGCTTCTTCTGTCGTCCCTATCGTGCATTCTCCGATCTCGCCATTGACACCTGGCTCACCGACTTTCCCCGATGGGATTCTTACGCCTTTGTGGATGCTTAAACATCAGGACCTGGTTCCAGCAGCCGTAGTCAATATCTTTCCCATCACGGCTGATCCCAGCATGAGCACGTTGAGAGACAACCAGCTGAAAATCGAGCTCAGAGGACTGAGGGAATCATGGACTGCCTCTGGTTATCGGTCTCGGTTTGTCGTGATCTTGGTGGCTGAAGATGGCATCTCTACACAGGAAGTGGAAGACAGAGTTGCCAATATTCGCAGGGCTACAAGTTTGGACCCCAGGTCTATGCATGTTTTATACAATGATCTATCAACTGTGGAGGTGAAAGATTTCGTGCGATCGTTCTTGTCCTCTCTTCAGCCTTCCCTTGTGGATTATTATCGAGACCTATCAAAACATGCTCGACGGAAACGCAACAGAGGAACCATACCTCCACCGACAGTGCCTCCTACGCGAGGGACATCACAGACACTGTCAATGCAAGGTTGGAATGTACGCTACGAATTCAAACTAGGCGTATTTGCCGAGTTTCGCCAGGAAATGGAGGCTGCTCAGCGTAACTTCGAGGCTGCCTATGAGACCCTATTTGGACAAGAGGTTTTTGAGTCAATCGCTGGATGGAGTCCGAGATTCAGCGATGCTCGACTTTTAGGTGATATTCTGGCCATTCGCATTATTCGCTGTCTGCTTTGGACTAGCCAACCCACTGCTGCTGTCCGATTTTGGCTAAGCCACAAGAATTATGTAGAGGACATTGTCAGTCGCAGGGGCAAAGGAACGAAGAACTATGGATGGGAAGCGTGGAATGCGAGATGGTCGACTGTCATGGCTCAACTCATTTCACGGGTCGAGCTGCCTGCATTTTCGTCCGATTTTCTTCAGAATCCTGCACGGCTATACGATTCAATTTTCCACCCGCCTGAAAAGGGCTTTTCAGGGGATGAGAGTCTGCTGCCGTGGGAATTTCTCCATCACCAAGGCTACTGGCTTGACCGTTCGGCAAGACATACAGTTAAGCGCCAGGAGCTCGCAGAACAGATCCCCGAGGAGCACAGAGTCTCCGCGGACAAGTCTCCTGCGTCGCAAGCCGTTGCTCAGTCGCAATTCTACGACACTTACTTGGCTCCTGAACCAGCCGCGGAAGCCGCAATCGTCAATGGCCCTACATTCGATCACACCACTTTGATAATACAAACGCTAACGGAAGCACTGAAACATTTTGCCGCGCGGGATCAGATAAGGAAAGTGGAAAGTTTAAGTCTAGAAATCGCACAGTTTCACATGAATGCCAAGCAATGGCATGAGGCCTACGATATCCTGAAACCTCTTTGGCCTCGTCTGACATGGAGGCAGAGCGGTTGGTGGGACTTATTGAACGAATTCGCGTGGATGATGAGAGCCTGTGCCCTTGAGCTTGAAGATATTGATGCTTTAGTATGGATTCACTGGGAGCTCCTCAGCAAAGGTTCGGCCATCCCTAGTATCTGCAAGTATGTTATGCTCTAACATAAGTATCGCCTAGTGTTACCGTCGCGAAATACTTGGGATTATAACTTCCACAGATGTCTCGATGGCGTATCCGTTGACAGTCCTAAACCAACCATAGTTCTCAAAGCCGAAGATGTCATCCCCTGCTGTACGTTTCATGAACCAATCCCCCCTTTCGAAAAGTTATTGAACAGTTTCTAACGAGATCAGTGTCGGCCTCATTGGTGTTCCAGAAAAGCGAGGGCAATGTTGGTGAACCGCTACAGCTGCAATTAGCCATCGTTTCTCATGCACATCAACATTCTGCGCCAATAAGGATATCCGAAGTCAAAGTTGTCTTTGAGGGAAGCCTACGGCCCATTAAAATATACGCACAAGACATTGAGGAAGAAACAACCGAGCCCGTGTCTCGAATTCTTAGCTTGAAATTACGCGATTCAACCAATTCGACTGACTCTTCGACACTTTTATCGCCAACGGGGCCTATGGCGTCGATGATGGGTCAAGCTGACTTGAATATCCGGCCTTCCGAAACAAGAGTGTTCAATATGACTGCTATACCTCGTGAACCTGGTGAATCACGAGTAGCATCAATCACGCTAGCGATTGAAGAAGAAAAGTTTAATCTGCTCCATGTGATAACAAAGCACGAGCAAGACATGTCCTTTTGGTGGAGAGATGGTCCTGGGGGGCCAAACAAGAAGAGAATAGGCAAAGGACGGAATACGGCCGCTTGCAAGATCCTTCCAAAACCCCCGAATATCCGCATTCAACTACCGAATCTCAAGAAGCACTATTATACCAATGAGCGGGTCAGCCTGGCTGTGGCCATACAAAACAACGAGGATGATGTTGCGGAGGTGACAATGCAGGTCAGAGTATTGGGGCAGGCTGACTCGGCACTCAATGTATCCTGGTCTGACGACGCTGATGAGACTACTGATGTTGGTGGTGTCAGCGTTGAGAACACCGACCACTTGAAGTCTCGATCGATCGGAACCCTAGCTCCGGCTGCTACCTCTGAGGTCCCAATCATTCTGTCCAACACAACAGAAGCGTTGGAATACGATATCGAAATATCACTCCATTATTATTTGATGTCTGATCCAGAAACACCAATTTCCAAATCGGTCTCGGCTAGGCTGGCTTTCGTGAGACCATTTGAAGCAAATTACGATTTTCTTCCACGAATACACCCCGCTTCCTGGCCTAATTTATTCCAGGTGGACCAAGGCTTGGCCGATGATAAATCCAATAAACCCGAGGGATTGCAGCAAAGATGGAGCGTCAGTCCCAAGATTGTCTCATTCGCATCGGAACCCCTCGTTATTGAAAATGTACGCCTAGGCCTTGTGGATATTCAGGGCGGGGCAATATGTGAATTTGGCTCGGAAAGTTTGATCACGCCAGAAACATCCCAAATACAACCAGAGGAGCTACGAGCATCAGAATTTATTCTCAATGTACAGAAAACCAGTCTCGATGACCGAAGGTCTGTCACGCTCGAACTCTCGCTGAATGTAGAATGGCGAAGATTGTCGTCGTCGTCATCATTGGATCAAGTTGAGGCTACCACAGTATCAACTCTGGCCATGCCACGTTTTCTGATACCTATGGGTGAGCCTCGAGTTCTCGCGTCCGCATCACCCTCAAAAGAGGTTCTAGGCTTAGTACATCTGTATTATACCCTTGAGAACCCGTCAATGCACTCTTTGACTTTCAATCTTACCATGGACGCGAGCGAGCATTTCGCGTTCAGTGGAGCTAAGACGAGAGCCCTTCAGTTGGTTCCTCTTAGCAGGCACACAGTTCAATATAACGTATTCGCTTTTAAGCCTGGCATGTGGATCCAGCCGCATCTTGTTGTGGTTGACACTTACTTCAACAAGACCCTTCGTGTGCTGCCCACAGAGGGGATGCGAGCGGACAAGAAGGGCGTACTTGTTTGGGTTGATTCTGATGGTTCGTGACGAATTATACCTAACCTTCTATCTTGTGGTTGAATGATGTACAGATGATGATTGATGCAAGATCCTAGCATATACGAAGCATGAACAATGAGTATAGACATTAGTTTCCGTTTTTTATAGCGTGGCATGGTATGTAGTTCTGGTTTTTTTTTTTTCTTTTTTTTTCTTCTCTTCTTTCTTCTATATAGACAATGCCGTTCGTTCAGTGGAGTCCGCCGTGTTTATTAACGTAGCGGGCCATCGGCGAAATACTTAGCCTCCGAAGGCGGTGAGCGCGAGACGATGATTTTGGCGGATTGCGTAGTTACATCGAAGAGCAGACGACTACATAGACAGTTCTACAGCTTTTGACGATCTTGCTCCTCGATGTTCCTCCTCCGTCTCGAAACTGATTCTGCTGCGACATGTTTGTGCGAGCTTACACGCCGGTGTCTTTCGTAAATCTTATTTGATTTTGTCCTGCGATAACTCTGCAATCTTGATCGATCCCAATACTGCTTGCTCCTTCGCAACGAATTCCAGTCGTCAAAATGGCAACACAGGCGGCCCTGATAGAAGAGACGATTGTTGGCTTGAAAAGGGCACTGCGACGTGAAAATGAATGTTAGATTTTTTCAAGCACACACGCTTTCCCTTCACGTTGGACAATAGCGATTTCTTACTTTTCTTTCTGCCACAGACACTGGCCCTGACGAGCCCATCACCCAGCCCACCAACCGAGGAAATAAATTACGAGTGAATGCCAAATATGTTCAAGAAGGTGCCCTGGGATTTTCAAATCCCCGCGAATATCATAAACGGGTGTGTTCCACCTTCCCTCTCGTGCTCGCGCGCTCAGCGAGGCCGAGCAGAGCGGTATGAAATAATTTCTTTGCTAACTACGAGACCCTGCTTTAGAAAGTCGAGCATGCCGGATACACACGTTATATTTTGCGCCGAAACCCTCCACGCTACGATTCTGAAGGTGACGAGATTGATGAGAACGAAGATGCGGATTCTGAGACCGAGGCTGCTGCGGCAGAAGAGAATCCCTTCTCAGAGATTGCTCTTGAGCGTGCGTTTGTTTTCCCACTTCCGTTCAAGTTGCAAGCTAAACTGTTTTTTCCCTTCATTTTTGAATAGATATTCTATGTCCTCTCAAACAAGCATCAGAGCTCCCGGATCACCCCACACTATCCCAGCCTTACAGGTCGAATGCACTTCCAACAATGATTGAAGCTGTGGACGAAAAGCTGCGAAACGAACGCGCACTTTTGGCGCGCGCGCATAATTTGCATCGACAGTTTCTGGGCGACTCGGTATGGATGCCCTGTGGGACTGTGGAATCGGAAGAAGATCCTTATATATTTAGACCTCGACCTGCTGGGGTTTCCACTAAATGGAAAGCTGCCTTGGAGTCGCAAACGAACTCAAATCAGGCTGAAAATTACATTAATGGCGACAGTAATGCACATATGGATACGGAACCAGGTACTCGAAACGAGCGCAACTCAGGCGATGATATTGAAATGACAGAAACTCCAGTGTCTGAGACAGAAAATGGCCTGGAGACTAAAAAACCCAAAGAAGAGGATGTTTTTTCAGTCAAAGGTTTACCAAGCCATGGCGACATTGATCTATCGGCGAGAGAGAATAAAAATGGTGATATCAATAAGAAAGAGCAGGGGTCTGACATTATGCGAGCGTCTCCGCAAGCGCTAGATGCTGAAGGCGCCGATACCGTCATGGAAGACGTGCCCGCAGAATCGGGAAGCGTGAGAGATAACGAAGGCAACTCATCGCCCGAGCCTCCAAGGCGAATGACGACTCGAGCGCGAGCAAATGCATCTACATCGAATGGAAATGGCGCCAGCGGCAGCTCGCGATACACATCTCCTGACGTGACGGCACAGCAGACATCATCTGCTCATCCCATTTTCCTCGTCTCTGAAAACATACGACCAGACAAAGATTTTGGACTTCCCCCCAACGAAGCAGAGGACACCAGGCGACTACTATGGTCATATATTCAAAAGCAAGAAGAAACCGTCCGCGGTTTCACATACATGCTCAACTCATTACGAAGAGCCGAGCAATTGAAAGAAGATGTCTTTGAATCATGCAAGACAGAAGGCCACGTTGGTGAACTGAGTGATGGCGAGGATTGGTATGACAGGGAGAAATGGGGACTCGGCGAAGGGGAAGACCTCAAGAAGGGCGCTGATGACGATGATGTCGATAACAATGTTGACGAAGGGCGTACCACGGGGAAGAGAGGACGCAGACGGCAATAAAAAATACCTCCTTTTCTTTTGGTGGCTTTTTCCATCTGTTCTTTTAAACCTCTATTGTTATGATTACTACGGCGGCGAGATTTGGCGATTTCTATTTTTTCTTCCGATGCAAGGCATAAACTACTACGATTTACTTACATATTGGGCTATCTGTCACCTTTTTTTCGTGTTTCTACATTACCTTCCTGTTCATTGTATTTTACCAAGATGGCGATTACGGACTCATTCGGAATATGGGAGTTCTGGTGTTCTTGTTCCTTTTTTTATATAGTTTCAATATCAACCCGATAAAAAGGAAGTTTACACAAGGCATATAAGGTAGAGTATGTAAATAGTACATGTCCAGCTTCGTTAACATAGCTGTTCTGGTTATCGAATTAATTCAAGTATCAATGTCAAGTACTGTCCAGTAGTCAACGTTCTTTCTATAATAGCATCTGTACGCTCATCGCCCCGACTATAAAAGGGCTGTACTGTTATCTTTCACTTCTGCTGCATTTTCCACTTAACTTTGCAATGAGTATCGTCACGGTTTAAAATTCAACCACGGGCCGTTGTAGAGTTCCGCCGCCGTAGGCCGCAGCTCGGGTTCCCACCGGAGCATTCTCCTGACAAACTGGATAAAGAGTCGTTTGTCCTCTCCTTATAGAAATAGGGTCAGACTGTAGAATGTGGAATCCTCTAAGGGGATTAAATGTTGATGCTTAAATTCGCCTAATAGACAGATTCAAAAAATTAGGACCTGATGCATCGCTGCTGCTGCTGAAACCATACCATACCTTGATCAGAAAAAAACTTAGAGTATGTAGTTTTATTGGCTCTACTCAATAGCTGTAGAGGTGGTGGACCAAGAAGCCGTATCATTTGAGCTAAATGTGCCTCTCGACTGTAGTTATTGCTTCTGCGAACTATGCTGTCAAAGAGAGTGGTATTGGCAAGGAGCTCCTATAAGCAGGATAGTATTTCCTTGGGTCATATTGGGGATGCTGATCCTCTTCTAGGATGGCCCTGGAGGTAGTGAGTTGTGAGATAGAACTCCTACTAGACATCACCAAGCCTGACCTGGGCCCATTAAGCCGAGGTAGCTGATAGCGGAACATTGATGCCAATAGGGCGGATAGTTACATGAATTTTGCTTGGAAGCCTTTACGAATTCTTCGGAGTGGTAGTTTTATTTCCCGACCATTCACCATGTACAGTTAGCTGCATAGCATACATTTAATATTACTATAGCTTAGAACAGCATATCTCCGGAAATAATCACTCTGTGAAAATTCCAACATACTCAAACAACCAGGCAGTCCCAAATAAGTTTGTATACTCCTGTATATTAAAATTGTAGCTAATTTAAGAAGCTGCTAAATAAGCCTAGAATTTCTCCTCCAGTGTTAAGGATTGAGTGTGTGGTTGTTGATTTATGAAATATGCAAAAGAAATCAAGCCTCTATTCCTCTCCTTCTTATTCCCTCTTTTTCATAAAAATAGACAGTCTTTATTGTCTGCCTACCTGTGATTCAATCTTCAATGACGATAGACTCCCTCGCTCTCGTCTGTCAATATAAGGTATAACACCTGATGTTCACCGCCGAAGTAGGTATCTCTACCAACTCCCAGAGCGCTCATACCTTAAGAGCTCTTAGAGCTCTTTGCCCTCTCGCGCTCACGCTTGGCATATATTTCAGCGGTGAACGGGCTACACCACAGGTTAGTCACACCAGGAATCAGACCAAGGGAAAGGAAACTCACTCCTCCCATCTCAAGGCAAACCAGTAAAGAATAAACACTTCAAGAGTCAAAAGCAGACCCGCAGCCTTTCCATAATACAAAGAAGTACCCAGGAAGCTAAGTGTGCTGCCCCAATACATGGGAGAGCCAGTGACGTTGAACGGGAATCCGGTAACGGGGGCATCCATCAGGATGCCGAAATAGTCTCCCAGATAAGTTCCGGTGACACCAAGAGCCCACATACTAGAAATAACGAGGACATTTCCGGAGGCAAATAAAGCATAGGCGATATAAGGTTGATGCACGGGTTCGTAGAACGGCTGGTCTTCCAGTGCTTGGAGGTAGAGATGGTCACGGAAAATGCCCAGGGAGAAGATCACTACGGCCAGGAAGTAGCAGCCATAGTATGGACTGCCGAAGATGCGGGTGAGGAAATGATTTTTGTATTCTGCTCGTATAATATACTCGGCGTTAGTTCAATCCATTCTTCGATATACAAGGCAGTAGTCGCATACCCTGTCTCGCAACAATGCTGCAGCGAAAAGTAATTGATTAGCCACCAGCTGACAATATCATGCAGTATGCAATAATATGCTGAAGAATAATAAACTTACTTCCAGAAAATCGGGTTGAAAGCAATAGCCAATGCAGAGACTATAGGCATAAATAAATCAGCGCCAGAATCCTTCGCTCGGAAGCAATCCGAATGGCCACACTAAGTTAATATTATGAAGAACATACCCTGCAGACTTGGCTGAGACAGATCTATATAGTCTGTAACCGAGGCCATTTTCAGAGGCAATGGAAGCACAAGCAGCGAATGCACCGTTTCAAGAGGGGGACGGGCTTGTTTATTTGTAAAATTGAAATTGAGCGAGCGTTTTCACATGCTTCGACGCTATGACGTGCAGGCCGGGAGGTCACGGGTTTGCGGGTCCCCGTTCCCAACAAACTGAGTGGATTAATCGAGCTTAGCCTAACCCTAATCTCTTATCAAATTACGAAACAAGTAATCTGGAATCCTTCGTCTTGTTCCAAATGATAATATGCAAATCCTATTTTCTGTCGCTAGTATTATCACATAAAATGATTAAACATTATATTCTAGTAGTTGAAATTCCCATTTCAATAGATCATACCCCATCATGCGTAATCGTGAACCCAATTAACCTTAAGAGGAGACGGCAAAAGTACTCTTGCTCCTCAGCCAAGCGCCATACCTCTGAAGATAGAACATGCCAAAGATACCCAGGCAACTCAAGCCGGCAAGCAGACTGACTCCACCACCAATGCCGAGATTGAGGAACATAGGTCGTGCGAACAGGACACATCCAGCCGCAAACATGGATCTAGCAAGATCATTGGCGGCGAACAGCGAGGCCGCGTATTTCGGGTATGAGAGAGGCAGATAGATGAAGACGCTCTGAAAGATAAAGAAGTTTCCCAGCACAACGATACCGACGCCGATCACTGACACGATCCACGGGACACCGTAGCGAGCTGTCCAACCAAACATGAAGAAACCCGCAGGCAGGATTATGACGCCCAGAAGAGCGGGTACGAGGCGATGCTCTGGGGCGCGGAGGCCATTTTTCTTGATGTCTGGAATGAGGTAGTAGACTTGATAGAGAATGAAGACGGTGACGGCGATAAAGCAGGCGACAGAGATGGAAAGGAAGACTAAGCCCACTTCACCGAGATTGAAGTTGTATATGACTGGATATACGAGTGGGAAGGCTTCGAAGAAAGAGTAGTAGATTCCATAGGTCAAAGCTGTCTGTAGTCTGTTTGTTAGTCTACCACGATTTACTGCCGGCGGGTCAGCCACTGAACTTACATAGGCGTTTGTGAATGCAATGGCCGGGTCACGTAGCATAATCTCAATAGGCTTGATCAGGGCATCAAAGGCAACCTCCTTGGCATTCATCTGAGCCTGGTTGATCTCGGATTGAGATTTGATGTTAGTGGCTCCAGTGAGTTTTCGAAGACGAGCGGCACGGCGTTGAAGGATATTATCAGCAGATGTCTCTGGATAGAAGAAAAAGAAGACCGCAAAAATCGGGCCACATAGCCAAACAACTTCCCAAAGGCCCCACCGCCAGCCTTTGGCCTGGATGGCAAAACCTGAGATAACGGGACCGATGGCAGGGCCATTGAAGGCTCCGACGGTCCAAGAGGCGAGGTAAATAGGAAGCTCGATGAATCCAAAGATGTCACCGATCGAAGCACCTCCGTTGGCTAGGCATCTATATCCATAGTCAGTTTCCGTATAACGATTTTAGATCTACAACTGAATGACACTTACGGTGAACCAAAGAATCCCGTCAAGAAACGGAGGACAAGAAGACCAGCAAAATTATTCACAACAGCAGTAACGATCGAGAGGATCACGAATAAAAAAAAGGTCGGTGTATAGATCCAATTCCGTCCAATGGCAGGGATCTCGCTCAATGGCGCCCAAAGGAGGGGGCCAACACCATATCCAATAACGTAGATGGCCAGGCCCAGCGACGAGGCCGTGGGTCCGACGTTGAAACGTTGCATGACACCTTGCTCACCCGCGACGTACATGCTGCTTGCACCGTAGACGCCCATGGTATACAAACACATCTGGACCATGACGATCCATTTCTTTCCGAGCGACCAGTTCTGCGGATTCGCCGGGTCGTCGGTCGTGTACCAGTCTACGAGAATGGTGCCATCAGACGTCTTGGTAGGGGCGAGTGCTATACTCTTAGTCTTCTCTATGGCGATGGCCTGCTCAACATCGAAGCGTTCCTGGGTGTAAGGCCGTGTGAACGAACGTGTGAGTTGGACCGTATCACCATCGCTGTCTTCCTCTGACTCGGCAACTTTCTCGAGAGGTTGGTCAATGCCTTCATTTTGAAAGTGACTCTGTTTCTCTTGTGCTTGCAAGGCATCCTATGATATAGTTAGTGAAATGTACGCTTTTTGAGTATTCAGATGTACGGACCAGTGCTGCCCAGCTAAATCCTTCCTTTTCCTCGGGATATTTGAATACTTTGTTCCCAGTAGCCAAGCGCACTAGCTGACCAAAGGTGGAGTCACGGATTAAATCCATTGCTTTGAACTTTTCTTTTATGCTTTGCTACAAGCTTTGATGCTGTGTTCGATATGAAATGAGGTGGACAGGAAGCCCGTTCCCAGGTACCAAGTATATATACATCTTGCAAGGATATTCCCCGCGCTCTATCGCTTTCCAATCCATGTAAGCAACCATGGAAACAATGCTTATGACGAATTTTCACATTGTGTTTAGTGATCTGTTGATTGATGATTAATTTGCGAGTTTGTAATTGAAGTAGCCAATCAGAAACCGTGGATCATGAGCGAAGCATTGAGGGCTTAGAAATCCTTTTGATTAATAAGGGTTCAACGCGCTAGTCCCTAATGGGTAGATATGTCATGGCACGTGCCACGACGTAATTCGAGGTCACGGGATTGCGGGTCCTGGCGCGGCTGCCATGAACGGAGGACAACCCGAAGCGCCATCGCATTCGACGCAACTCTTGGACACTTCCAAGAAACCCGCCATGGGTCTTCTGGCGCCTGCTCGTTGTTGAGAGGACAATGGCCCTCACCCGGCAGCATGTTCTCCTCGCTGGCTTCGGAGGTTTTGTTTCCTGGGGCTTACTTGTCAACTGGCTCCCCTTCGCGCGGTATCTTGGGTATGCTTTCATTGCTGGCGCTCTAGTAGCCTGGCTTTGCGTTATCAGCGTAATTATATTGACGGTCAGGACGGACATCGACGATACCGATAAGCGCTCAGCTGCCCCGAACTTGCGCTTTCTAACGCCCGATAACTGGTCGAGAGATGTGGAAGTTTACCGGAAATCTACCAATTATGAACCGAGATCCTTATATCCGCAGTCATTCGTGGTGTCGGAGGCTCTTGATGAGCTCCTCCAACTAGCCTCACGAGATTTTATTCAATCATGGTATGGGAACATAACCAAAAATCTCACGTTCGTTCATGAGATAGACAAGGCCCTGCGCATAGCTCTTGAAAATATTCGTGACAGACTCTTGGGCGAAGATGTGACGTCTCTCGTTGTGTCCCGCATCGTGCCAATTTTGACAGCCCATATTAAGGATTTCGATCGCGCTGAAAGGGCTGTTCGAGGCCGGAATTTGGCTCGGAGTGTGACAGAATCCGAAGAATTGGGACTTGCAATTGCCAGTAAATACCGCGAGGGGAGGCTTCATCCAGCTGTAGCGGTTTCTCTTTCGGATCAGAAGGTTATACAGCAAGATTATGTTCGCAAGCTCGTAATGGGGCTGCTCCCACGACTCCTGCCCGAAAGTCTACTAACAAGTCGCGCGGTCTCTGTTCTCATAAGAGAGATCGTAGCATGTTCTGTGCTTCTTCCTGTCATTTCGGCTCTTTCCGACCCAGATACCTGGAACCAATTGCTGGAGACTTATGGCCAGACTGCATTGAACGACAGAAAGACAGTACGGAAACTCCGAGCGGCTCTTGACAAGCATGCGTCGGGGGCATCTAAACCGAAAGGGTCTCCTTCCTTCCCCCGAATTTCACCAAACGACTCCGAACGAGCGTTCGAGCGTTTTGTCAGGGCTATCAGGCGTTGTAATAATCTTTCCGATGCCAGGCAGTTTCGTGCTCAGGTTGCAAGTCAATTGAAGCGAGAGAGCATGGTTGAAGGCCAAGACCAGGTTTATATCAGGCGCCTTGAGACAGGAAAGCGGGTTTTGGATCAGAAAGTCGCAAAGCTGGCAGCCAGTGGTAGCATTCGCCGGCCCATACCATCGAAACCTGATTACAGACGAGACAGCGTGCCAAACAACAAAGATGTTTTATTGGTGGATTTGATGCACAACGCCTCTGGCTTGTCATATTTTATGGAATTCATGGATCGCCAGCATAGAATGTCCCTTGTGCAGTTCTGGATAGTGGTGGATGGGTTTCGCAATCCTTTAGAAGATGACTTTGGTGACGAGACTTCCATCTCTTCATCGGTCTGGACGTCCGCTGATGTGAATGATATGGTGCTTATTAACGAAACATATCTCTCAAAACCCGAGTTGAATGTACCGCAGGAATGTCGGGAGCTTGTAAAGGTCTTTTTGAAGGCTGGCAAAAGGGCAACTCCTGAACAGTACCGGAGAGCCCGGACCGCCATATTGATGACCCAATCAACCGTTTTGGAGGAGATGGAAAATACTTATTACCCCAAATTCAGAGAGTCGGATCTTTTCTACAAATACCTTGCATCGGATGAGGCGTCAATGGCGTCGGCTGGACCAGAAGTCCCGCTCCGTTCTTCAACTCCTGCGCCCGAGCAGGTCGAAAGACGACCGCTCCCACCACTTATGAGCCGAACCCAGTCCCAGCCTATTATGCACAACACCAAAGACCTTCGCAGAGCTGCTGTTTTTAACGATGTGCAAGGCAATGGCAAATTATTCGACGATAACGGATCTTCACCCAGACAATCTTTAGATTCAGAGAGATCGGCGCCACTGTTCGATGACGACTATGATACTGATCCTCTATCGCACAGTTTCAGCGTTGGCTCTTACAACGAAGACACCGATGCAAAGAATACCAGAGTTATTGAGAATATGGAGCAAGCGCTCAATGACATTATCATAGACCAACCCACTAAGAGGAAATCAAACGAGTCGAAGATGACTAGTGCTGTTTCCTCGTCATCCTTATTTCCTGAAAATGAACAGAGCTCGGCACGAAGCTCCTTAGATATTGTTAGAACTGAAGCACGGCAGATCGAAAAAACTAAGCCAAGCATCTCCTCTCTCGGATTGATCGAGCCCTCTTTGTTGCGAACGGGTGTGTTCGAAGATGAATTGTTTCCCGATGAGAAGAAGTTTATTGAGGACGAGTACGCTGATCCAGAAGGGGACGACAAAGACCCCGCAGACGAGATTCATCAGGCGGCTCCGGGCGATCTGGGCCTCGCAGAGGCCATTGTTGCACTCACTGAGGACATTGAGAAATTAGCCGCGCAGGAGTCGGTTTTAGATACGTTAACACGAAAGGCTGAGCTCACGAATAACACGGCAGAGCTGCGAATCCTAGGCAAGTCTAAAGCAAGTATCCAGCGGGAGATTCGCCGCAAGGAAATGCAAAAGCAGCAATACGTCATCCAGGAGAGTGACAACAGTCTTTATGGTCGGTCCACGGTCCATATTCAGTCTATCATGGTTGGCAAGGATGAGGACGGAGGGGAATTCGCAATTTGTATGTAATTTACGCCCTGTGCTAATAACATATTGGATTATAGATTATGCTTACAGTTGATGCTATCAGATGTAATCGAGGTGCGTCGAAAGGCTGGAGAACAGATGCCTGCAGCATCCTGGGCTGTGCCACGCCGATATAGCGAGTTTCACGAGCTTCACCAAAACTTGCGCATACGGTACCCGTCTGTACGGCAGCTAGAGTTCCCCCGCAGGCGCATGATGATGAAGTTACAGAAAGACTTCCTTCAAAAGAGACGTGCTGCACTAGAAGCATACTTACAACAGTTACTCCTATTACCTGAAGTATGTCGGAGCCGAGATTTGCGGGCTTTTCTGTCGCAACAAGCTCTTCTACCTCATGGGGCAATGGCCTCTGAGAGCGAGACCAAAGATATTGTAAGTCGAATATACAATTCAGTAGCTGATGGCATGGATGACTTTTTGGGCAATATTACAATGCTGGACCAACTTTCTACTGCCGGTCAGAATCTTATCTCCGCTGCTACGAACCAACTCACAGGCCCAGAGCCAGCACTCGCTACGGAAGACTCTATGACCGCGGCAGAGGCGGAAGCTGAACTGAACGCATTTGAAAACCGCGAACTGGAGCCATTTATTAAACCCATCTGCGATCTCTTCTTAGAGGCATTTGAGCTGAATCGCGGGAACAACTGGCTTCGTGGCCGCGCGGTTGTGGTGGTTCTCCATCAGCTACTTGGTGGAACTATAGAGCGGAAAGTCCGCGATAGTGCTAAATCGCTTGTGCAAGATGAGTCCTTGCTCCGGTACATATCTATCGCAAAGGACACTTTGTGGCCTGGCGGCGTGTTGAAAAAATTTGTACTCCGCACGCCATCACAGAAGTCCAAATCACGAAACGAAGCCAGCTTCATGCTGGCAGCTCTCGTTCCTGACTTGGCGGGCAATGTTGTCGGCAGAGCCAACGCCCAAGCAGCAGCCCGGAAAATATTCGATATTCTCAATAATCCGCGATTGAATACTCATCTGATCTTCACCATCCTGGATGAATTGGTCCTGGTTTTGTTCGGTGGGTCAGACGGTGCACGCGCTCGGCTGCACACAGCAAGCCAGGGCTGAATAGTTAAACTCGTGTATGGAGTCTAATTCATAAGGGTGATGAATATTATTGTACTAGAATAGAGAAGCAATAATACAAAGTAGAGAGGGATGGACGAATGGCAGTCGTCGTTTGCAGGCGTGGGTCCCCGACAAGCCTAGACCCAGAGGCCTAACCACGCCTCACCCGATTGGCCCACTAGTCCTAGTTATTAATTTATCAGAGTCGCATCAACGACGAACGCGAGATCGCAAATGATCTTTCTTCTTCCAACCCTCTGAGACTGTAAATCTCGTTCCTTCTATTCACTCGTTTATTTCTTTCCTTTCATTGACAACTCTATTGTGCAACTAGCCGGACCTTGCCGTGCTATTTATCTCTGTCTCTTTCTCGGTCATCGCAGACCACCTTATCAGAAGCCCCCTAGCGTCTTGCACCAGCAGATTTCTCTCAGACTTTCGCACAGCTCCTTGAGCAGGATGAGGTCGCAACGCCGCTTGAGGCTCTATGTAGTCACTGTCGTTGCTATTCTGCTTACTCTCGCTTATTTCACGGTATGTCGATGACCACTGGCAGACAAGCTGAATTTCCAGACTTTGACAGCTAATCTTTGTTTTACATTTACAGACAGATTCTGGCGGAGGGATACAAAACCGTCCCTTTTATAAATCCACCGTGACTGCTATGAATAATGCTCACGCCGAAACCGCGAAGAAAAATGATGCAGCAGCAAAGGACCGATCTCATATCCAGAGACTTGATCTTGATAACAATAGTAATGGCGGCGGGGCACGAAAACAAAGCAACTTGAACAATGACAAGCAAGAGAAAATTGCTGCCTTTGGTTCGAACAAGGTTGTGAATAATAATGACTACGACGGAACATCCGCAGATGGACAAACCAAAATGTCAATCCCGAAGCCGAAGGAAGAAGATAAAGTCCACGTTCATGTCACTGAGGAGAAACTGGAAAATTCGGAAACTACTAAAGACGAAAGTGTAAGTGCTAGCGTAAGCGAGCATGAACACGACACCCTGAGCCAGGAGGAGCAAGAGGAGCAGGCTAGAAAAGAAGAGCAAGCTAGAAAAGAGGAGGAGGCTAAGAAGGAACAAGAGGCTAGCGAAGAGCTTGATTCGATCTTGAAACGATCCCCGAGTATGTTTAACCATCTTTTTTATTCGCCTCATTTGCATTGAGAGAAGGAAAAGAAAAGCTAATCACATTGTCTAGTCATCGTATTCTCTAAATCGTACTGTCCCTTCAGCAAGAAAGCAAAACATATTCTTAGCCAATACTCCATTGTGCCAGCTCCATATATTGTTGAATTGGATCAACATCCGCTCGGACCTCATCTGCAGAGACTCCTAGGCACAATTACGGGTCGTCGCACAGTGCCAAACGTCATGATAAATGGACTCAGTATCGGAGGAGGCGACGACATTGCAGCTCTTGACAAGGAAGATGCCCTCATCTCGAAAATCAAGTCAACCGCAGGCAAGAGCGTCATGGAGATCAAGCACTTGCCTAAACCGGAACAGGAGTAAGAGATACAGACGGGGTTCAATATATGTGCTCAATGTCTGTATACATGTATAGGTTATGATTGGATATTTTGTTTGCATGGGTGGCGTTCTGTATTCGCTTCATGTACTAATTGAGTTATAATATCGATTTGGAAGGACTTCTTTTGTGAGTAGTTATCAGATCTTGACAATCTTGACCGGATATCTAGTGCCTAGCGTAGCAATTGAAATAAATCATCAAGACTTCCAAGGTTGGTACCTACCTAGGTAGAATTGGCGATTTTGTGCCTCACTCAGTGGTGTCTGACTGATACTAGCCTCCGTCTTGTTCTCGAGGAGGACAACGTAAATATTCTAATAACATCAACAAGACAAATCTGCATTTCAATACAGAATAGACATGATAGGAATGATATTTCGACTTTCTTCGTAATTTCTTTGGTCTTTGGAATTGATTGGCTGAGGTCGCAAACGTATCACGTGACCTGCACCTTGGGGCTAACCGGAATTGTGCGCTAAGCGACGCACAAGTCGAATTTCGCTCCACTAAGCAAAGCGGCTTTCCACTGGATTTGATTTTTGTTCGTGACGAAGCGACTTCGACGACCGACCGCGCCGACCATCTTCTCAGCGACTTCTTCCCTTCTTTTTCTCTCTCCTATCTCGACAAATCTTTAGAGAGGCAAAATGCGGTACATTCACTCCGAGGAGACGCTGCCAATCCCCGAGAATGGTAAGCCCAATCGATTCCTATATACTTTTGTTGTTCTCAATTTGTGCCCGCTTTTTGTGGCATGACTGGCAGGGGGGGAGAGGCTGGAGAGATATTTTCATGAAAGATGCAGTGGGAAAACTCTGGACGATACATCATGGCGATATTCAGGGATAGGATATTTGTATTAAGTTCTTGGGTTGGAAAAGTGGTTGAAAGAGCGCGGAGAAAAAAGAGCAAGACGATGATCCGGGGAACATATGCCTTGTTGCCATAACCACGATTATTCAAGAGGGCATATTTGGAGTTCAACTCTCTTCAAACAATCAAACTAACTCATTTTTGTTGTTTAGTCACGGTCAACATTCGCTCGCGGGTTGTCACCGTCGAGGGACCCCGAGGCAAGCTTACGAAGGATCTTTCTCACATCGCTGTGACCTTCACCCGCCCCAACAAGAACACCATTGCGATCGAGCTGCACCACGGTGCTCGTAAGGGTGTTGCTACTCTCCGAACCGTCCGTACCCTCATTAACAACTTGATCATCGGTGTCACCCGCGGATTCTTGTACAAGATGCGTTACGTCTACGCTCACTTTCCCATCAACGTGAACATTGAGAAGAACAGCGAGACTGGTCTCTTCGAAGTCGAGATCCGGTATGAACTTTGCAATTATCACAGAACTACGATTTTTGGGACTTGGTTTTACTAATTTTACATGTGATAATACAGAAACTTCCTTGGCGAGAAGATCGTTCGCCGCATCGTCGCCCAGCCTGGTGTTGAGGTTATTACCTCCCCCAACGTCAAAGATGAGCTTCAATTGTCCGGAAACTCCCTTGAGAACGTCTCCCAAAGTGCCGCCGACATCCAGCAGATCTGCAGAGTTCGCAACAAGGATATCCGAAAGGTGAGGAAAAGGAACAAACGACCAGCCCTACAGATCGAACTTGTTTCTTGGGGTGGTTTCCCCATTTTTTGGGTGCATTGTTGCTAACATTTGCGTCTTAGTTCCTTGACGGTCTCTACGTGTCTGAGCGAACCAACATCGTTGTCGAGTAAAGGAGAAAAACAGTGACGATAATGATGTAATTTTCTTGTTTGTATGGAGAGACAGGCTGGGTTTTTCTAGTGGGAAAATGAGAGATACCAGAAGAAAAAACAAAGCCCTTTTTTTTCTTCTATTCTTTTGGTTTCGCAAAATTTCTTTTTATAACCAAAAAAAGAACAGCATCTGATTCAAGGAGTCTATCGCGGAATTTTCAATTTAAAAAGATACAAATGGAACCGAACGAATCTTCTTTTTTTCCTCCTTTCTGTTTCTTTTCTGTCATATCGATGGGCACCGACCATGATACATAACTAGTAGGCGTGCAAGAAGAAAGAGCAAACACTAAAATCAAAATTTAATCAAGTTCCTTCAATTGAAAATGCACTGCTAAGCTAAGCCGAGGTCTTGATGATCTAACGTAATCCACACCCGAGCGGATCACACCACCGAGCGGATCACTCAACTCCGAGCGCGTCAAATGAGTCAACTCTCTATATTCAACGCGCCAATATGCCACCAATTCCTAATAAAAATCAATCAAATTCTCAGGAACAAGAAGGACGAATCTTATTAGCTATATCCGATTTTAAAAATGGAAAATTATCATCAATTCGTCATGCAGCACGCACTTATAATGTGCCATATACAACTCTCTCGCGCCGCCTCAATGGTATCCCAATGAAAGCTGAGATACGTGCAAATGGGCATAAATTGACTCAATTTGAAGAGGAATCGCTTATTAAATGGATATTAGATCTAGATAAGCGAGGATTACCTCCCCGACCCTCTATGGTACGAGATATGGCCAATATTCTTCTTTCTCAACATGGAAATCAAACAGTTGGCGAGAACTGGGTTTATAACCTAGTCAAACGTCGCTCAGAGCTAAAAACACGATTTTCACGAAGATATAACTACGAGCGTGCTAAATGCGAAGATCCGAAGATAATTGAGGAATATTTTGATCGCGTACGAGAGGCTATAGCCAAGTATGGAATCCTATCGGAGGATATCTATAACTTTGATGAGACTGGCTTTGCAATGGGCCTCTGCGCGAGCGCAAAGGTTATTACTGGAAGCGATCGATATGGCCGTCCACATCTACTACAGCCTGGTAATCGAGAATGGGTAACTGCAATTGAGGCAGTCAACTCTACTGGCTGGGCCTTGCCCTCGTACGTGATCTTTAAAGCTACTAAATACTCCCAGGAAGGCTGGTTTGAGACCCTTCCAGATGATTGGAAGATCAATATTAGTGATAATGGGTGGACAACAGATCAGATTAGCATGGATTGGCTCATCAATCACTTTATTCCTCATACAAATGGCCGGATAATCGGACAATATCGAATGTTAATTCTCGATGGCCATGGAAGCCATTTAACTGCCGAATTTGATCGTACATGCACTGAGAATAAGATTATCCCAATCTGCATGCCTCCACATTCCTCGCATCTCTTACAGCCTCTCGATGTTAGCTGTTTTGCAGTTCTAAAGCGACAATATGGAAAGCTTGTTGAGCAGCGGATGAGACTCGGCTTTAATCATATTGATAAAATCGACTTTCTTACTGCTTTTCCAGAGGCCCGTACGATGGCATATAAAGCTGAGACTATTCGGAATGGCTTCAAAGCAACTGGATTAGTTCCATTGGATCCAGATCGAGTTTATAGTCAACTTACTATCCGATTAAAGACTCCAACACCACCTCCTAATCCACCTAGTGATTCTCAATCATCATGCTTACAGACACCTCAAAATCCACGCCAATTCAAACGCCAATTGAGTACGATTAAGCGACGAATCAGCCGGCGTACAAGGAGCCCCTCTGAAGTTATTGATGAAGCAATTAGTCGCATGTCAAAGGCGTACGAGACCAGTATTAACGAGCTTCTTATTATACGGAAGGAAGTTCACGATTTACGAGCTGCACATGAGAAAGAGAAGCGAAAGCGTACACGATCTAAAAAGCAGATATCTCATGAGCAAGGAATTACTAGAGAGGATGCTCAGGCACTTATAAATAGGCCAATTGAGGCATCTCAAGCTCCTACTACTGCTCCGGCCGAGCCTGAGCTTCCGGCCTCTCAACCACGTGTACGCCGTCAATTTCAATGTAGTGAGTGTGGAATTTTCGGGCATAGAAGGCCTCAATGCCCTAATCGTATTACTAATTAATTTTTTGTATATAATTATTATTTCGGGTTGAAAATTGAGGTTTAAAATCTATACAAGACGCTTTCTTGGAGCTGAGTGATCCGCTCGGTGGTGTGATCCGCTCGGGTGTGGATTACGTTAACCATTTCATCAAGATGGACAGCTTCATTCTCAATAAGAATTAGCCCTAAGCCCTCATCCGAAACTAGCCTAGCTCACTCCCTATTGCGGGGAAAACCGATGAAGTCCTATTGGCTGCTTGGCATTCCCGATGCAGTCATTGGACGACGGGGCGATCACATGGAATTCAAACCAAGTTGCCAGCCTCCAGATTGCACATAAGCTCAACTTACAGATGACTCTCTTCTTTTCCATTTCTATTCGTTGGCACCTTCCCTAGCTTCTGAAGTTCATTTACTCGTCTCTGCCATCTTGACGACGATGTGAATGGAGAAAGAAGCTCGTTTCATCCCTCGGGCATTGATCAATAGGCTCTCTGGTGGTGCCAAAGCAGTCGATATCAATACTGATTGTGTATAGATATACTTCCATCCTCTCTTCTTTGTTATTCGAGTCTGAGTTTGGTTTTCTTCAGAATGCCAACAGACACAGTCATTGTTAAAATATGGAGCTTTCTAGCTGCCATCTTCGGCATGATTCTCGATGTAGTGCAGTTTTGGAACCACGTATGTTGTTGATTCGAATTCGAGTGCACGTTTACAATCACAGTTGCGGACACGAATGCTGACAGGTAAATGTGGTATGCAAAGCGATGGGTTCTGTGGTTGAGATCGAGATCTCCGCATGATCAATTGTCCTATTCTTTAGCTAGGGCAGATACATTTGAGGAATGGGAAGAAGCTGCTTTCCGCCTTGATGTGCTACTTAGCAATGATCTATGGTATGACACCTGTTTCTCAATTTTTTGTCTTTGTTTAGTGCTGACACTCCGCTTGCAGGCGCCAAAATCCTAGCAGCAAACATTATGATTACAGACTTATCCTTCAAAGATTGGAATTAATATTAAATGCGCGAGAAACCGAGGACATCCTAACTTTGGTTAACATTCTCCGCTCTGGATTGGTTCGAAATCTCGGTAACATCACGTCGATGAAACTATTCAATCATGCCTATGCGGGCACGAAGCTCTTAATTGATGACTACATCACGCACGTGGCATTATCTCTGCAGTATGTTACATCCTTACAGACCATACCTGTACATGTGAGCGGCTTTACGTCCCAAGCCAAACTGGAGTTGCTACATGATACTCGACAGGCGTTTGGAAGAACCTCTCTCGTCCTGCAAGGGGGTTCTATCTTTGGGCTATGCCACCTGGGCGTGGTGAAAGCTCTCCATCTTCGGGGTCTTTTGCCTCGTATTATCACTGGCACTGCCACGGGAGCTCTGGTGGCTGCTCTCGTTGGTGTGCGGACGGAAGACGAGCTTCTAGACTTTCTAGACAGTAATATCATTGAGCTTTGTGCTTTTGATGACGGAGTTGGAAAGAAAGAAGGAAAGGAAAAGCTTTCGGACTGGATAAAAATCAACAAGCTAAGTGTTGGGTGGCTGCGGCGAGTTTTCCTGGAGGGAAACTTCCTCGACGCCTCCGTTCTGGAAGAATGTGTACGACAATACGTCGGCGACATGACCTTTGAGGAGGCGTATGCAAAGACCAAAAGAATTTTGAATATTACTGTGGCGGCTTCGGGGAAAGGCGCATTCCCAAATTTGCTTAATTATCTAACAGCGCCGAATGTGGTAAGTTTTGCTCTATCAAAGACAATTTTTGTCATACTAAAATCATTTGCTCGTCCATCACAGCTCATTCGATCTGCTGCACTGGCTTCGAACGCGTCGTCCGGCACGCTCTACTGTAAAGACGAAACAGGTGCACTTATTCCGTGGCCTCATACTCAGGATGTCACATTCCGATCGTGGCGGCAGGTCAACCTCAGCGGCCGCGAGTCTCCGCTGGCTCGACTGGCCGAGCTGTTCAACGTCAACCATTTCATAGTGTCGCAAACCCGCCCTTATATTGTTCCATTCCTGTACCCCGAAACTCATCCAGGGCAGCGACTTGGCAGCAAACAAAGTCTCAATCAGCCTCTTATGCGCTTGGTTATGCTCGAGGTGCGGCACCGGCTGAAGCAACTTGACTACCTTGGGCTTCTACCCATGGGCTTGAGACGGCTCCTCATTGACGAGAACATTCCCGGGCCGAGCCTAACCCTCATTCCCGACCTGGCTACAGGTGATTTTCTCAAACTCTTCCAAGCCCCTTCCAAAGCCGGTCTGGACTACTGGGTACGCAAAGGCGAGAGAGGCGTATGGCCGACCGTCAGTGCACTCAGAGTGAGGTGTGCCATTGAGATTGAACTAGACAGATGCTACCAAATGGTCCGGCGGCGACGGCGCAGCGACGTTGGTCAGCAACCGGTCGTTCCCCAGCGACGTGGTGCCAATGAGGGTTTTCCGCGAAAACGACGATCAGTCGGAAATGAAGCAGCCGAATAAACGATCACGTCATTAAAAAAGTCCGGTTGAACAAAGCATATATACAGATTGTAGGACGGAGTGCGGAGTGCGGAGTACTGCGTACCACGTAGTTTTGATGCACTGCCTGCCTAGGGATTTGAGGGGGTCCTCCTTGCAGATTATGCACAGGCTAAGCAGACCTATCCTTGCCATATCAAATCAACAAAAGGAACGCATCCCTACGTCGTGTGTCTCGGCGCCGAGTCTCACAATCAGCTCATCAGCAAAAGCAACAAAATGCTAAGCCACTCTGGTTCGATGCAGGCCTGCACCGCCACGTCATGACGCCGCGGCTGCCGAACATTTCCGACTGTGGGTGTGGGCAGGGGGCGGAACTATGGGGCGCGTGCCATTGGCTCGTTAGTGTGGCTGGTGAGCAGACGATTGGCCAATTGCCAATAGGGAAATTTGATGTATTACTTCGTGTGGCTGGGCGTCGTTTTAGCGCGACTCCACTGCGCCTAAATGGGGCTCTCCACTGCACGGCCGCTTGCGATTCGCCGGCGGGCTTTCACAGGGGCGCTTGGCAGCGTCAACGAGCAGTGAATCATTACTCCGGGCTGCTTGGTGTCTCCATTCGGGGAAGCTGCGACTGACTAAGTCGATGCAGCGTCTTTTTCCCTGACTCGCTCTCCCTCTCTCATTTTGTCATCCGGTTCTCTCCTCAGCGCCAGTCATATATTATTCCCGTTGACCTGCGCGTGTCAACATCGTTGTCTTGAACCCAACAACTGGGCACCGGACCCTCGAAGGAAAAAGAAAAATAAAGACACTCGAGAAAAACACGGGATTCACATCATACTAAATCCATGGCGGATATAAACGAGCAAGTGCCAAGCCAACTTGTGTCGCCGGCTGGGCAGGTTTCCCGTATGCTGGCCACTAATCCCCTGGACAATTGATGCCTTGGCTGACTGATTGTGACCTCGCCCAGAAGATTCAGCCCCTATAGTGAACGGTAATGGTGCAGCCGCCGGCGCCAGCGGCTCGGTGGATGTGATATGCGGTCCTTTGCTTAACTATCGCCGCATGGACGTTCAAACTACTTCCGCGACTTGGTACGGCAGCGTGTTGATCGTTACGAACCCCGGGCAGACCCAGCCGCAATTATCCCTACGTCATGTTGGGCCCGTGTCGCAGGACTCAAATAGCGTTTCGCCCGAATCTCAAGCGCAATCATTAACCTTCCAGGGCACCAAGCTATATGAAGATCCAAAGAAGGCGTTTTGGAGATTTTCATTCTCGTTTCCGTTGCATGATTACGAGGCGCAATGGGCGTACAACATTCCAGGCTTCCGATATATGAGCGGCCCTGCAGTCCCAAATGAATGGGAGTTTGCCGTTCCCTCGTGGAAACAGTCTATGCGCATTATGTTTCATTCGTGCAATGGCTTTTCAGTTGGTACGGATACAGATAGTTGGGCTGGCCCCGCGTTGTGGAACGATGTCCTGCGAGTGCATGCGAAGCGCCCTTTCCATGTCATGATCGGTGGCGGTGACCAAATTTACAATGACGGCGTGCGTGTGGAGGGGCCTCTCAAGGCATGGACGAGTATTGCCAATCCCATCAAAAGACAGGGGCATGATTTCAATGAACAATTAAGAGCTGAGTGTGACGAATATTACTACAATAACTATGTGCGGTGGTATAATCACGAGCCTTTTAAGACTGCCAATGGGCATATTCCTCAAATCAACATCTGGGACGACCATGACATTATCGACGGCTTCGGATCGTACACTGATCATTTCATGAAATGCGCAGTATTCCGCGGTATCGGAGGAGTAGCATTCAAATACTATTGTCTATTCCAGCACCATGTTGCGCCCCCAAAGTCCACTTTCACAACGGATGCGCAAGGTCCCGTTGACCCGCGTCAATTAGAAAACACATTCGTTCTTGAAGAACAGAATATCGACCCGATGTGGATCTTAGGCAAATTGCCCGGCCCTTATGTTGAGGAAAAAAGTCGCAGCTTGTATATGCGTCTAGGCAGACGGATTGCATTCGTGGGGATTGATGCGCGTACGGAACGCACGCGCATACAGGTCAATTATCCAGAAACTTACGATCTAATCTTTCAGCGCCTGCAGCAGGAGATCAGTCAAGCCAATGGAGAGATCAAACATCTGATTTTGCTCCTCGGGGTTCCGATTGCTTACCCACGCCTTGCTTGGCTAGAGAATATCATCACATCTCCGTTGATTGCGCCTATTCGTCTGCTAAACAAACGTTTTGGTGTCGCCGGCGGCCTTTTCAATAAATTTGACGGCCAGGTTGATCTTCTGGATGATCTTGACGATCATTATACCGCCCGGCATCATAAAGTTGAGCGCCGGGAGTTGATTCATCGTCTTCAGCAGTTCTCCAAGACCTATTCTGTTCGGGTCACGATTCTTGGAGGCGATGTCCATCTAGCAGCGCTAGGCCGATTTTATTCGAATTTGAAATTGAACATCCCAGCTGAAAACGACTTCCGGTACATGCCAAACATTATCAGCAGCGCCATAACCAATAAACCACCTCCGAAGGCTGTGGCCAACCTCCTTGCGCGAAGGAACAAGATCCATCATCTCGATCCCGACACGGATGAGACACTGATGCCTTTATTCGACAAGCAACCGGGCGGGATGGAAAAGAGCGCTTCATGGAATAACGTGACCATGCCGTCACGCAACTATGCCTGCATAACAGAGATTGAAACCCCAGTTGCAAATGGGTCTGGCGTGCACGGACACTCTCCAGTTCCTAGCCAGACGCCCAAAGATGGGCATTCGCCGCTGCATGCGGGTGAAGAGGGCGTTGGAACGACGCATAAATCAGCGGATGGCTTCAGCAACACCAGCCAGCTGGCCGGAGGCTTGGACGTGGCTATTCGAGTTGAGATTGAGCAGGGTAACCGGAATGGCAATGCGGAGGGCTATGGTTTGAGCAGTAAGTGTGTCCTGGAATGTATGAGAGGATAGGGGTGCTAATTGAATACAGTTCCGGTACTGGTTGCTTAAACGCAGCTTACCTATGCATCTGCAGATAAGCATGCGATAGTCTCTGAGAGCATGTGTGCATTATTTCAAATTATCCTCTTCTTTTATTGGCCTTCATGTTTACCCATTCAATACCCTCGTACTTAACTAACTACTTTCTGTGTAATTTGTCAGTATACTGACATAATAAATAACTACACGGCCTTGCTCTTTATATTGCTCGGGTCATGTGTAGCATATCGAAGGAAACAAAAGGCAACTCTGGACTGAATTGCCAAACACAGACAGTCAATAACATCTGACTAGACTCGGCTCTGTTTGATTCTGTACAATAAAGAAGCACGATTTGGAATTTTGGCAGAATTCACACAGTGCAATCTTCATTCAAGTTTTGCCCAAGCCTGTTTGAGTATATTTCAGCGCGGACGGCTGGGCTGATAGACAGTGCACATACATGTTAAATATGATATTATGTACACGTATACACTGATCGGTGTGGGAAACAGAACCGGTGTAAAGCCATGCAGCCCATAAAAACACCGAGAAGAATATCCTCCGTCAACCCTCGACCTCCTTCTCGCCGAAGGGAAAGATATCTGTTCTACTTTCTTTCACCAGGGAGTGAATGGCATTCATTAGATGCTACTTCACGACATGTCGCATCCTCCTGTGGGCAATTGGTGCCATGACAAATCCGCGGCGACTGAATGACTCGATGGATATAATTCGTCCGGTTGCACGTATTATCCGTTTGTGCTACGTGCATAAGAGTTCCAGGATATAGATAGAGCTGTAGGCCATGTGCTTGACAGTATGAACTATACTATGTAGAACGCCATTAACCGAGTCAAGAAGCTGCATGCCTAACTGCCACGGAGTACGGTCAGCAGTGAGTAGCAACTGGATCAGTATATACTGAGAAGCAGCTTGTGCAACCGTGCCTGTAGAGTGTTTCCCCGTCTCAGACTGACAGGCATATATGCTAGTCGCCTTTCTTAGCTCTCCCGCTCCCGGTCCGATAATTTCAGTACGTCAACCAAACACAACACCATTCGTTTGACGGACGACAAAGGAGAACGGAGAAGATCCGAACTGGGGGATCGAGAAAGGGAAAAAAGAAAAAAAAAAAAAGATGAGAGAAGGGAAAATGAAAGAATCCAAGTCCACAAAGTGATCAACACAGAGGATAAATAGTATCCGATCGACGGGCTGGCTGGCTTATCGCGCCGACATCGACAGCCTTGTCCCATGCCTTCTGCTTCGTCTTTCTGTGTTCTGTCATTATCATTGCACTATCACTGCTATTACTTCCATGACGCCCAAGCGAGTGAGGACTGTCGAGGGCTCATGCTGGGCCTGCAAGGATCGCCGCGTCATATGCGACTTGCAGCGTCCGCAGTGTTCGCGCTGTGTCTCTGAAGACCAGCCATGCGAATATGGAAAGCTGCGCTTGCGATGGTGCAACGGAGTAGCTGCTCGGGGCCGTCTTGCCGGTCAGAAAATGCCGGTTTCGAGCAGTATTTCTGAACCGCAGCAGCAGCAAATACAGCGTACGGAATATCGAGGACCATTGTTAAATGGTCAGACGGTGTCGCCATCTCCGACAAAAGACGAGGAAACCTTAGATGGCCGAGACGGAGAATCAGACCAGTCGTTATTATTGTCGTCATCAGGGAATCAACGTACTTTGAGCATGTTGGGAGTATCGTCGCTCATGACAGCCGAGCACTTGATGCTCTATTTCGAGCGTATCGTCGTGGACCGCTTCAATCTATCCTCAAAGCCGGTGCTGATAGACCTTGCATCGGTATATAAGTATCCTGCTCTCCGCTATTCGGTCACTGCAGTCGCCAATGCTCATCAACAACTCTCTCATTGTTCCGGTCGTCGTGATGCATTCCTATCCAAGCGAACCACGCGTCTGAAAGCAATCCACAACTTTCGTATGCAGCTTCAGAGCCCTTACCAGCAGTTGCTGGCTCAGCGGCGCTTCGTTCCTCTAGACCTGTTTATTGTCAACGTTCTTCTGTGCATCCTCGACGGCGTAATTGATCCCCACGACGAAAGCGCCGCTACCCACGTTCATTATCGTGGTGGCCGAGCCATTCTGGGTCAATGGAAACTCCTTCAACACCAGCTGCAGCGGCAGAAACGGGGGCTGCCGGCCCTAATAGTGTCTTGTTTCGCGACAATGGATCTGACCTATTCGCTTCTGACCGGCGAGGAGCAGTACTTCCAACATACTGCCTGGGCTCATTTTGCCGGCAGCGATGCTTGGTGGGGTCTTCTTCCAGATGGGGACCCATTCTTAGATATCATGCGCATCCTATCTCGTCTAGCCCAGTTGGGTCATCTTGCACGCGAGACGACGCCAGAAACAGGAGCAGCGGCAGCAAGCTTTGTCGGGAGCGAAGAGCTAGAATCCCTGTCCATGGCTTTACAGGGTTATTCATCTGCGATGGACCGTCAGCAACAATTAGCCTTGATGCAGGATGAAGGATTCCCTTTCATCATCACTTCCAGCGACTCCCCACTGTCCATCGATCTTTTGTCGCCCATGTACTCAACTGACTCCGCCTTCGACAACGCCCAGTCCTGGACTATATTCTGCAACGCCTACCGGCTAGCCGGCCTGATATACGTGTACCGAGTATTCCGCCATTTCGACGCGACTCACCAAATAGTCCAACAAGCGACAAATCTCGGACTCCGCGCGATCTGTGAGTCGCGACTCAAGGGCAAACTGGCGCACTGTCTGCTCTTCCCTGCACTCGTGATTGGAGCCCATTGTCGGACGAAGACGCAACAAACGGCGGTTCTGGGAGCGATGCGCTCCACAGCGGCATTTTTGCAGTTTGGCTCTATGCGTGTGATGGAGAATTTCCTGCAGGGGGTGTGGGCGCGACATTCATTGAGCGAGACGGAGGTTAAATCTGAATCTGAATCTGAATCTGAATCTGAATCTTGGTGGGAGTGTTTTGAACCTATATCGAAGAAGACATTCCTTTTCTAGATTTGCTCTTCTTCTCTTCTTCTTTTCGGATCAATTTCGGGATGAAATAATGTCGTTCTTATTCTTATTCGTATCCATGGATTGCTTTTTCACTCGGTACTTGTAATTAGGGCAATATATCTCCTGGCTAGGAGAGGAGATGGAGTCAGCGGCGAATTTCTTGTCATTTACATGTCTTTTTTTCAACATGCTTGCTATGTATGCCATGCTACGCTGCGACGAGGCTATGATTCAATTGATTTTTATGCCTATATGAGGTAGCCTGGTGACTGTAGTACGTTCGTTTGATGACCGTGTACACGACTATCTGCTCCAGCACGATCCCATCGTCACACCAGAATAGTAGTAGTACATGTGCTACATAGACCGGCCTGTGATGATACATGTAATTTACCACATTCCCCCTCAACCACGTACCGCACACGTGGTAAATCATGTATTATCACGTATCTGTAGATACCGCCAAGCCCGATCCGGCAATTATTTCCACTTTCCTACTTGGTACGTTACTTGCCTTATTCGTACATACGCGCAGTTGCAGCGTCCCGTTTGGCTTGGCCGGACATTCGGAATTGAGGAATTCTTTCCCCTGGTGACTCTGACACTGACAGGGTGATTACTTAGTGGGAGCAATGCAATACAACTTATACTATCTCACGGTGAACATTGCAATCATATTACATTCCAGTTGATTAGCACTAGATACATAAGACCTAACTGGACTTCTAGTAACTACTTTGTAGATATCAAGATAGTGAGAAGAGTGATAAGGCTTAAGCTGGCCTATCTAACTACCCAATCCAGTCTAGTCCTTCTGCTCGGCACCTATCTAGACCCTGATCTACTCCAATGTCCTGACAGACGAATATGTCGTACTTGCGAGTCTGTGAATTGAGATTCCTCGGTGCCAAGGACCAATGTCAATGCGGTCAAGACGAGAGAGACTGGAATGACTGCACAGTGCTCTGATTATCGCTAATTGTGGCTTGATATTCCGTATGTACTTGCAGCGGCGTCGGTGTTGCAGATCCTGTGCGGAGAATATCTAGTACGTACATAGGATGCACCAGACTACTGAGCAGTATGTAGTGAATCGAAATCAAGAATCATGATTATTATCTACTCTGTTGCGAGTGGGACAATTTCATTATTATCATTATTATCATTATTATTATTATTGCTCTAATCATCGTCCATGATCGTCAATAAGTCAGAAAGGGGAAATAAAACAAATAGTGCGAAATAGCGAAGAAAAAAAGCACAAAGAATACCTAGATATATGACCACGGAGAGGACGGTGAAAGCAAAACAAAATAATCAGAGCAAAGAATGCTGTTCCGAGCTTCATTTATAGACCTTTTTTCAATGGGGGCTGATTTCCAGGCAGTCTTTATCTTTTAATGCATGTGTCTAGTACCTATTGTTAGTCGAGATCACCCACTGGTCAGTGCTGCGCAATCAATTAGTATTATGCAGATGCATAGTAAGTTGCCCGATACACCTAGCTAACTAAGGCTGTTCTTCTTTATCACTGGGCTTTTCTTTTCTTCTTCTTCTTCTCCTAATTTCCCCCTTTCCAATTAAATTGGATGCAGATATCTCATGGGACATAGAACTGATAGGTACTGATCGTGCTCATGCATCTAAATAAATAGCCGTCGTATTGGCCTGCGACATCTTCACCTTGATTTTCACCTAGGCTCTGTCCAACCTCAGGCTACCCTATACATACATCTCAGGTACATTTCTGGTCACCGCACTTTCCCCCCCCCCCCTTGCTTTTCAGGTACAGGGCCATTTTTCATGTGAAATAGTCATCGCTACTAAATAACTACATTCCCGGAACAATATTCGCATATTCCCGTTGTAGCGATTCTTGACTTGATCGCATATGTCGGTGGGGACTTGATGATCTCTGCTAGATCTACAGTCCGGTTCGTTCACATATAGCAACAATGTCAATGGAAGAAAAATTCGCAGAGCCTGGAACCCCGTCTGAGAACAATGGCGACAGTGGAATTGGCGCTGGCAACAGCCAAGAAGAAGGACTCGACAAGCTGGGATACGTGCAAGAAATGGCACGAAACCGCTCCCTGTTCACGCTCTTGTTCCAAACACTAGCCATCGCCGCCATTCCATACGGCGAAGGTGGCCCCCTGATGAGCGCCATCTATGGCGGAGGTCCCCTGGCCATCTTCGTGGGCTGGATTGTCGTCTGCGTGCTTGACGAGTGCGTGGCCCTCTCCCTCGCCGAATTGGCATCGCGATGGCCTACCTCTGCCGGACCGTACTACTGGTCTTTCCAAATTGTGCCTGAAAATGCCAAAACCGTGCTGTCCTTCGTCAATGGCTGGGTCTGGCTTATCGGTAACTGGACAATTACCCTGTCTGTGAACTTTGGTTTCGCCTCGCTCTTGTCCGGCACCATAGGCATGTATCACCCGGCCTGGTCCGCGAATGACTGGCAGCTGCTCCTGATTTTCTACGCGATCTGCCTGGTATCCTTTGTCATTTGCACGTTTGGCAATCGCTTCTTGCCCATGGTCGACACAATCTGTGCTGCATGGACCGCCATCAGTATTTTGGTCATCATGATTGCGCTGTCGGTCAAGGCGGACGTAGGTCGCCACGATGCCGCGTACGCTCTGGGCGATTATAATACCAAGCTGTCCGGCTGGGGTGGATTCACGTTCTTCATCGGCCTGCTGCCAGCCGCGTATTGCTTCTCGGCCGTCGGCATGATTGCTTCCATGGCAGAAGAGTGCGCAAATGCAGTCGTGAAAGTGCCACAAGCTATCTCGCTTTGCGTCCCAGTGGGGGGTATCGCAGGCCTGTTCTTCATAATCCCCATCTGCGTCACCCTGCCGCCATTGGGAGACATCATAAATGCACCAGCTGGACAAGCCCTGCCGTATATCTTCCATATCGTCATGGGCAGTCCCGGCGGTGGACTGGGACTGATTTTCCTCGTTCTCGCCATCACGCTCTTCTGCTCTATCAGCATCACAACGGCAGCGTCACGAACAACATGGGCCTTTGCTCGCGACGAGGCAGTCCCACTGTCAAAGGTGTGGGCCAAAATCAACACAAAACTAGGCGTACCCGTCTGGTCTCTCGCCTTAATAACCATTGTCCAAATGCTGCTAGGGCTCATCAACCTCGGCAGCTCAAGCGCCTTCACGGCCTTTGTCTCAGTCGGCGTCGTCGCGCTGGCCGTCAGTTACGCAATCCCCATCGGCGCCAGTGTCTTTCACAGACGCCAGGAAGTCAACAAGGCAAAGTTCACTTGTGGCCCTGTCCTGGGGCTGATCATCAACGTCGTAGCTCTGTTGTGGATTGCCTTTGAACTAGTCCTTTTCTGTATGCCGACCACTCTGCCTGTGACGGCGAGTTCGATGAATTATGCCGCTGTCGTGTTTGTTGGTTTTATGGCCATTTCGGCCGTTTGGTATGCTGTTTATGCTCGGAAAAGTTAGTACCTGTATCCATTTGTCTGTTCGTGCCTAAGATTCACTTTGATTTGCTGACTTTTGGTAATCTTTCTAGCGTACAAGGGCCCTCCTGCATCAGATGGGTTGTGAATGAATGGACTCGTCTTGTTATTGCTGGCCTGCGTGGAACAAAGTTTGAGAGAGGAACAAACATGTATATGACGGCGAGGACAAGTCTCACTATATTCATGCCGAGACGATGGCGAGTTTCGTCTACGCAGGCTTGGTCTACTCGGTGCAATTCCTAGTTCCAATTTGATTATACACGTTTGATTTCCAAGCCAGTAAAGGAGAAAAGTCTCGGTAGATAAAGTCTAGTATACAGAATGTACAGAAGCATGCCATGCAATAGATATTATGAGTTTCTTTTGAGATTGGAGGTGAAATTACCTGGAAGAACTCGGCACTAAGCGATCCAAAAATCCTCTTTCGTTTCGCTTTCGTTTCTCTCTGTCGAGCTTTTCCTTGTATAGAATGGCCCATACGGCGCCTGCAAAATAACCTCCTAGATGGGCCCAATGATCTAGTTTGGCGACCTTGAATGGCGAGACCAAATTAAATAGCTCAAATGCAACAATGAGTCCTAGGACAGTGGACCCGTTGGCGGCGACGTACTCGCGCCATTCATGAGGAAGAAAGCTGGGGACAAGTTTATCGCTAGATAGCTGCGAGTCAATTTTGATGCCCAAAACGTTGGAAAGTGAATGGGAAGAAAAACATACTCGGAATGCAGCATGCACCAGGCGGCTACTAGGCCAGCTATGGCGCCACTCGCACCAAGTGAGGTTATAGTTAGTTTGTGGAACAGAACGTGAGACGCCAGAGATGCAAGCGAGCCAAAGACGCCTGATCCGATATACAACGCGAGGAGGTTTCCGCGGCCAATTTCGTCATGTACTGTTGAATAACCAATTAGAATTGAATTTGAATTTGCCTCAATAGAAACGGCAAAACTTACATCTTAGCCCAATGAGCCACAAAATTAAAGTGTTTGTGGCCAAGTGTTTGATCTGTTGGTGGCTGAAAATACTGCCAACCACGCTCGGGGCGTATGGGTATAATGGGACACTTATGAAATAACGGTTGAGTAGTCGCCATGCAGGGGGCACTTTCCATAGGACCCAGATTGCGATATTGGTACCCATGATTCCCAGGACAGTCGCAGCTGCAGGAGGAATATCAGGCCACATGCGTGCCTGTTGGGCTGGAGGGTTGTATGTCTCTGCGTAGTAATAGCATAAAGCCAAGACGACTAGAGTCAATCCGAGAGAGGGGAGAATACGACGAGCCTAGTTTCCATGAGATCAGTTGTCCGTTAGAGAAGTAGATACAGAAACCGAGTCACTAACTGTTGTCATGGATGTGAAATCGGCCTCTGTGTTCTCCGCCCGCAAATAATGTTTCTGAGCCCATGCGAGAAACGGACGCTCTTTCGGGTCAGCACGCGGCCGAGCTGCTTGCCAGTAAGTAAGATTCCCTTAGCCAGGATGGATATTGCGCGAAGAAAACCCACCTTCCACTACCTCAGACGGATTATATGTCTGCAGCGCTGTGTTTCTTTTCAGGTGTCTCTGGTACCTTTCCCGATCTTTCGCTTCCCCCTCTAGCCATTCTTTGCGTTCTTTCTCGTGCTTAGCAAGCAGTCTTGCCTCATTTTCTTTCCGAACTTCCTTGAGAACACTTTTGCCGTAAATGTCATCCCCCTCGCCGAGCTGGGCACCCCACTGTCCGCTTTGAGGACCAAGCCCTTTCACATATTGAAGGAGTTGTTCTTCTTCCTCTTTCTCCTCCCGCTCGATACGAGCCATAATGGCCGCATCCTCGTCCATGGGATGATTGTCTCGCAGCCACTGCAACCCCTTCTCGATTGTTTTGGAACGGACTTCACGCGTGATATCCGAAGGAAGACTCAAGTCCAGAGTCCCTGCTAATCGGCGTCCCTGTAGTACGGATAAAGTCCGATTGCCCATCTCCGGTGTGATCTTTGGTGACCCAAAAATAGAAGAGATATCTCTGGCCGATAGCGGTTGTGAGTCGAGTGGCACTCCATGTTCAACAACTTGCGACTTCCGTTTCGCGGCTGTGCTTGCGAGTCTTGTAGAGGCGCTGGTACGGCTCGAGTTAAGAGAAACGGTAAACGGTGTTAGTTGGTGGTGCGGCTTCCAGCTCTGTTGATTCTGCAGTCTATATCGCACTGCCTCTGACGAGCTGTATGAAAGCCGTTGTTGGCATGACCATAGCCTTAGCAGCGAATTGGCGGGTGATCGAACGCAAGGCGGCTTAGAGATTGCCCGTATGCCTAGAAGGCATGAACCACGCCATGCTACCGAGGACGCATTGCTCATCTCCACGCGTGAATATTGTGTTCACGTCGAGGGGTGAAATGACAGAAAGACCAGTGTTGATTTAGGAGAGAGCGGAAGGAAGACGATGGAACAAACTTCTCGGGCGGATTGTTGGCTGATCTATCTACATAGACCAACCCTCGAATCCACGGTCCATCCGCTACAGTAAGCAGTGTAAAAAACAAAGGATTAATTGTACTTGTAACAAAATTCACATACGTAAGATTTATTCATACACAGGCAACACAATCTACAGTTTTCGTAGAAGAACAGGGTTCTTCAGCATACAGTGCAACCGTTCACGTGACGATACGGATGCGATAAGAAAAGGAATGAGAGCTTCAACCACGACAAGCTATTGGAACCCTTGGCTTTCTTTATACGCCGGTTATGCAGAAAAAAAGAGAACACCCCTTGGCAACTTACTCAAAGAAATAACTGCAACACAGTTTTCATTCCTAATCATGTCTGCGGAAGCTCTCCCTATCACCCGGTCAGCGTTCGCCGAAGCCATCACAGAGCTCCCGCTCTCCTCACTCTACGCCAAAGTCTCCGAACTGCGCAACTCCATCGCCCACCTGACCCTGTCCAACGAGGAAATCAGAAGATACATTATAGAATCAGAAGAGGGCCCCGATTCGCAGGATAACAAGCTGCTGGAGAGCTATGTTGTTGAGAACGAGGAGGTCATGCAAGCCATGGCCGAGCGGATTGGGCTGTTGAAGGCTGAGGTGGAAGGGCGGGGTCAGCAGTGGATGGATGAGGTTCTGACAGATGGTGAAAACAACAACGACAATGCTGCTGAAGAATCAGCTCAACTAACGAACGGCTATGTTGATCATGAGCACGTCAACGGAATTGCAACTCCCTCAAACCAGCAAAACGACGGCGACGATGACGAAGAACATCCTGATAATGATGAAAATAACGAAGGCATTTACCTGTAAAAGCCCTTTTCTTTTTATTGCCGTGGACGATACGATGATACCCCTCCCCTTCCCTCGCAGGAGACAAAAAAGCGCAAATATGTTGGTGCGAATGAAGAATTTCCTCCTTTGTGATTTGATATTTCTGTAATATTCATATATGTAGAAATGACGCTGCATATATCTCTTGAATATGGCTGGAAATCGCACCGCAACTCCAAATTTCCTAGTTCTCTTATGACCCATGATAACGATGAAGAGCAAAGCCAAAAAAAAAAAAGGAAAGAGGAAAGAAGAACAAAACGTAGAATCGAAGTCGCTCTTAAAGACATAGATATGTAGGGTCATCATCAATTAACAACATCACAATGTATGTTGAAAGATGCATAGTAACAACATTATCATGCATAGGACGAGAACATATGGGAAAATGACAAAACATGCGAAACTGTAGATCCTTGTGGAGCGACACATCTCATCAACACATAACAGGGCGCTTGCGCCTATGGTAGTTTGGCAGATAAACCATCAAAAATTTACTAACATCTACCTTAAGCAGGGGGGTTGGTCGCTGGCGCCGTTGTCGGAGCCGCCGCGTTGGCAGCTTCTTGAGATGCCCAGTGGCCGGCGATAGCCTCTGGGGGGATCTTCTCTTGCCTCATGAAAAGGTCGATAAGAGGCTGCATAGGCTCCATCTCCTTGTCCGCCACCAACTTGTAGTACTTGGCAACAGTCACGAAGTGGACAAAGCACATATTAAGCATTTCGTGGCGGTTAATGTGCCAGAAAGGATCAAGCCAATGCCCATGGTAAAGGTGGGCATAGCACCGGAACATTTGCTTCATGATTCCTTGGCAATCTTTGTAGAAGGTAGGGGGAAATCCGCTGGATTTGCCAATCCATTCCTGACCAGCAAGGGAAGTCAAAGAGGCGTTCAGGTTGGTGGGGCCTGCCGCAATCGGGGTAGTGGCAGGAGGAGTTGAGACATCTCCAGAGGCGTATGTATAGGGTGCTCCCTGGACGGGATCCGTGGGAAACATGACAGGGTCGTGGATCTTGCTCACAATCCACTTCTCTACTCGGTTGATGAACTTGGGTGCAGAAATTTTCGCTGCACGACCGTCCACGAGCCAGGTGTAGGTCAAACTAGAACGCGTTGGCCATTAGAACTTGATAACCTGATCGATTTCGGTTCGAGGCTTTTGCATGTGACATACCGACCAGCAGACATTGTTGGACAAGTGTTCTCATTGCAAATAGGAAGACCATTCACGGTGTTGACTTCCTGAATGACTTGCAGCATACCGTGAAGTAGCCGATATTGCTCAACAACTTGAAATCAAAAAAGGGGGAACCGTTAGTTGTAGTTCTATAGTACGAAACAACAAGTTTTGTTTTTTCCCTTTGGCCATACTCACTTTGATGAGCAAGCCATTCCCCCAGCTCGACATTTTTTGGGCAAGCGCAAAGTGTCAAGAAATTCCCCTTCACGTTCAACGGAGCGTACTTTTCCTGGAAAAAGTACTTGGGGGCATCTTCGTTATTGGAAGCAACGTCGGTGGACAGGTTGGATGCGACCGAGGGAGAATTATTGAGACCTTGTGCGCCAGGCACAATGTGTTGCGTCTGTGCCGTTTGTTGGCCCTGACCGCCATTGTTCATCTTGGGTGGATTATTGGAGTTTTTGTTGTTGCCCCCCCGGCCGAAGCCTTGACGCCTGCAAACAACACACCGGGATCAGCTCAGAGTGCACCAGCACACACCAAGGACAGAGTAGTTTTGAGAGATCGTGGAAGCACATGCAAAATATCGAATGAGACGGACATGGCAGGTTTGCAGGACCAGAAGAGGGGGGTTTTAAGGGGACGGGTGTACAAAGGAACTGCAGCGATGCGGGGAACTACTTACACGCTCTGGAAAAACGTAGCCATCTTGAGAAAAAGAGAGACCTGCTCAGCAGCGAAGCCTAGCGTCAATGGAAGAATAGGATTGTAGAGAGACTGTCCAGCTCCCACAATAGCGAGGAGAAAAGGAGGGAGACGAGAAGCGTGAGCTGTCGTTCGCTCTGGGCCTCTCCTTGGCCGCTGTTGCTGTTTCATCGTGGAGCAAAATCCACTCCGGTCGCGCTAACGCCGCAGCTTTCCCTAGCCGGGCATAGCGCCGTTGGCAGCGACCTTTCCCGTTTATTGAGGCATCCATCCATATATTGCTTGCTACCATACGTTCTTTCTTCTTTTGACTGCCGACTACTCCATTGAACTCGCAATATCCTTGGTGCTGAAGGCCTGCACCTGTCTCCAGCTTTGCCAGCTTCCTGCCCGAGTCGCAGGAAAAACTCGATATATCTTCTGGCACCCAGCACACGGGAACCGCGCAAAATGTCCTCGTCCGAGGATGAGGCTGTCCGACCCCCCGGTCGCCAGGGCAATGGAGGCAGAGCTTACGGTGGCGATTTGAGCAATGAGGAGGACGATGCGAATATGTCAGGCCAAGAAATCGAGCAAGCGAATGATAACGATGATAATGACCTCTTTGGTTCGGGCTCTGAGGCCGACTTGGAAGAGTGCGTATTGACCTTTGTTTTTTGTCATGAAAAAAAAAAAAAAGACCTACCAAATAAGTAACAAAACGATGTTGCCAGACGCCCTCATCGGACTCTCGATGATTCGGATCTCGATTCTGGCGACGATGAAGGTCGCTATGACCGCAATGAAGACCGTATGGATCTTGGAGAGGATGGAGAAGAAGGCTATGGAGAGACACTCAAAGTCATGGATTTGGCTCTTGGAAGGGCTCCGGAACCGCAGACCACCACTGGAGAGGTATGGAAAACATTGGATTTGAAAAATATACTTGAGCAGACGCACTGACACAAGGCTTTAGATTTACACAATGGAAATGCCGAACTTCCTTGCGCTTGAAACAGAAGAATTCAGACCCGAGACATACGTCGCACCGCCGTACTCCACTGCCGCAACCTCGTTATGCTGGAGATACGACCCGAAGGACCAGTCCAGTCTTCAATCGAATGCTCGAATCATTCAATGGGAAGACGGCTCACTTACATTGCAACTTGCCTCCAACCCCAAAGAACAATACAGGATTGCATCGAAACCTCTAGCACCACACAACAAGGCTGGAAATTACGACTCTTCTCTAGACACACATACGTACTTGGCAGCTGCTGCCGAAACTGCCTCAGTATTCAAGATCACATCGCATTTGACTCACCAATTGAAACCTCTACCAACCAATGCAGAAACCGACGATGCCATCCAGCGTCTACAAGAAAACCTTGCCGCAGCAGGACGTGGTGGTAAAGCTAATGCCAACGGCAATGGAATCGCCATTATTGATATCAAGGAAGACCCCGAACTTGCTGGAAAGAGAGCCGAGGCAGCCGAGAAACTGAAACAGAGAGAAGACCGGAAGCGACAGCAATATGCCGACCGGGAACAGAACAGAACTGCGCGCCGTGGAACCTATCGCCAGTCGCGTGGAGGTCTCACCGCTGCCGGTTTAGAGGACGATGACGGCATGATGGCAACGCGGCCGGCAAAGAGACGCCCTCGTTCTAACCGCCATGGGGAGATATACTCAGATGACGAAGAAGACCATGGCCGCCGTAGACAGGATTCTTACGAAGTTGACGATTTCGTGGCTGATGATGATGAAGATCTCGAAGAGGTTGAAGACGAATCCAATTCTCTACCAGATGAGGAGATGGATGCCGAAGGCGAGAGTGACGAGGAAGAACTTGAGCAACGACAACCTGTGGCGTCGCCTAAAAGACGAGACACCGCTGCAGAAGTTGACTCTCGTTCGCCGCCTACTAGAAAGAAGAATCGCTACCGTGTGGAAGATGATGAGGATGAGGAATAAATTACATTCGTCTTTATTCTGAACGAAGAAAAGGTTATGCATAGATGAGCATAATATGTACTACAAAATAATGAAATTGTCCAAAGCAAAAACTCCGTGGTTTAATTTAGTACTATATCTGCATAGATATACGGTATAGATATCATGAATAAGAACATAAAATCATTCAAGTCATTTCGCGTGAGAAAAGAAAAAGAAAAGCAAGCAAATTAAGAACGGACCCCTCGAAATACTACATATCATTATTTTTATATGGGATCCACACCCACTGGATACTCCGAAGGGAGAAAACCAAACTTGTGGATAACATGCTTCGCAGCGCCGACAATCTTCAAACAGAGGTATTCGCGCTCCGCAACATCTTGTTGCTTTTCAACCTCGTCAGGCGATAACCTTTCAACTGAACCGCTTGAGGCGGAATTTGGAGTGGAGCCCGGAGATATGCCCATAACGTCTGACGATAAGAATGACGATGGTGTACCATCAGATGAAAAGGGGGCCTTGGAGGAGGTAGAAAATTGTGAAATTCCTTCGGCATGCCATTTTCGTTGACGGGCCTCCATTTCCCGAATGAGAGAAAGGAGGTCTGGTGTTTTCGTGCAAGCAACAGTTTGTTGACACAGATTAATATGGATGGGGACTCCAATGATTGCGCGTCGAAGCACCTGTCGAAGCCATATCTGCCATGTTTCCTTGGTGTCTTGATCGTTGCTGATGATGAGTTCTTGGAATTCGGGCGAGGTGATTTCTCTTCCCAGCGTGCCTGCATCAACCTGCGCTATCTTGTACCAAGCGTCCGCCATAACGCTCAAAAGGGTTCCCAGCATCATCACGTTTTGGACACCCGTGGCAAAGTTTAATGGGCATATTTCGCAGCGGATAACAGACTGTGCGGTCCGGGCCGCCGTACATAGAGAATTGATAGTTTCGAAATTGATAGAAAATGAATTTAGACTTGAAATTGTGCTCAAACAGAGATATAGATAGGACAAACAGGGGCATTGCGGAGGGTGCTCCGAAGCTCCAGAGGATGATGACCCATCGTATGACACACCCGAGAGTCCAGAGCTCACCGACAGCATTGCAGCAGAGGCCGACGTCGTTGCAAAGTCGGGCCAGGGACCAGCCGTTGCGGCAATCGGTTTCAAGCGGTGAGCTGATGCAGCTGGAGTGAGGGGCTGGGTGTTGTTATGACGGGACATGTCGCCCAGATACAATTGTGGAATCAAATGGACAGCATCCGCAGTTACGTTATCTGTTGACCAGTCCTTCTCTACCTCCGTGAGTATGTCAATCGGAGGAGTTTCTGGTTTCTCAAGACCATCATCACCCTCCATTCTTCGTTTTTTGGGGGGACGGCCCATTTGTTTCTGTATGGAATAGTGACATGCAAGGCCCTGTTTGACACATCGTCGACAGCCAGCCTGCTCGCCTGAGCATTTCAACTTGCGGGTACCTGCAGTGCATAACACTGTTAACACTGCTTTTGTGTGAGTAGTTCAGAGTGAAATGTATGGGAAACATACGGCACTCATCACACGCGGCATGCTTCTTAGGTGCAACGTCTTCCGCTGGCAAAGTACTGCCCTTGGGCATTATTCCGGTCAGATAGAGAAAATACTAGATATAATGGTCACACTGAGACTAGAAGTGCCCCTAAGCCCCCCGGGAAGCTGTGATGATGGGAGTCTGGTTGCCCCGGCTTGTGCAGGATGCCGTGGCAATATGCGACAGCAGGCGGGTCTGAGAGAACAAGATCAAGCAGAGGAGGGTTCAATAAGTATATGTGACCGCAGCCAGCTCGAGGGCATATGGCAACGGCGCAGTGCAGTGTGTGCGATCTGCGATGCCTCTAAGTTACGTTGCGGATTGAATCAATTGTTGCGAGAAAGTAACGTGATTGGCTGCGACCCTCCAGAGCATGCCAAGCCTGGACTGGCGCGATGACAAATCCGCATTTCTGACTAAGCGTCAAGTGGGCTAACGTATTTCCCGGATAAATAGGACACCCGGGTAAACGGGACACCTCTCCAAAAATTCCACATGATTTTCAACCCATTATTTTCACACAAACTTTCCAACATTTAAAATGCCTAAAATACGTGCAAAAAATGATCATAGCTATAAAGAAAGACTTTCTCTTGCTATTAACATATTAAAAAATAAACAAATCAACGGTTTACGTGAAGCTACATGTGATTTTAACATCAATAAATCAACATTAACATAACACCTCTAAGACTCAAAAGAACATTAAAAGGCCAATATAAAATATAGAAAATTAACTCCAATAAAAGAGGCTTCACTCTAAGATTAAATATTCTTTTTAAAATGACGAGAATACTCTCTAAGGTTTAATATACTTCAGAATATAGCAAATATTTTACTTACTGAAAGAGATTCTACTTAGATTCCTAATAAAGTAGGTAAAAATTAGATAGAATCCTTTCTAAAATAATAACTTAATTTTAAAATAAGATTTACACATTAATTAACCTATAATAGAACTAAATATAAAAATCCAGCTATTATATGTTCTTTTTATAAGCAATTAGAATAGTTAAAAATTGAGTATAGCATTACTAATAAAGATATTTATAACTTTAATAAGATAGGCTTTACTATAGAAATAATAGCTATAGTAAAAGTTATATATAGTTCTGATTATTTAGAGAAACCTAGTCTTATTTAATCTAGAAATCATAAATAAATTATTATTATAAAATACATTAGAAGTAGAAGTAATATAGTACCTCTATTAATTATATTCAAATTAACTCACTACCAAGCTGAGTGGTATATGCTATTTATACTATTACCTAATTAGTCAATTATATATTCACTAAATAGCTAGATATCAGATCAAATTAGATTAAAATGATTAGAAAAAGTATTTAAACTAAATACTAAACCTTTTATTATTAGCATATATTAGCTTTTAATCCTAGATGGCTATAATAACCATTTAACACCAGAATTTAATCATGCATATAATAAATATAATATTATTTTATATTATATACTGTTATATTCTTCTTATCTACTTTAGCCTCTAGATATAGATATATTCTTAATTTTGAAGCATTTATATAAATATACAGTTAAGAATTAGATTTGGAATAGGATTTACTTTATAAATAAGAAAGCTTTTCTAAAGATCCTCTCTTCTGTATATTAAGAAACATATATCATATAAAATATTAAGAGAAGATTTCTGCACACTAAGATTATATCTTATAATCTTAAAAAAGTACTATTTTAATTATAAATCACTATTAAGAGAACACTACTTTTAATTAAATCTACTTTATTAAGAAGCACTACATTGTTGGAAACTTCGGTTAATTACCGTCGAGTATAGCTAGGATAACTATTAATGGGCAAAGTTAATAGGCTTCTAAGATTGAAAGATCTCAGTAGACAAAAAAAATAAGAATAAGACTATAAATATCCTGATTAATAAAAGATTATATACTCAAGTTATTACAGTTAATTCAAAATAATAGAAGAAAATTAAATATATAATAAATAAGCATCCTTATATAGCTTTCCTTTATTATAGCTTTTATAAAAATCCCTTAATTTCTCTAATCTATAGATCATAGCTATTATAGAAATTCTTTGATTTCTCTAATACCCTAATCTTAAGGCTTTACAAGTAATCCTTTATTCTAGTATATATTAGTTCTATAATAATTAACTTAATCTATTAACTATAACATTCTAATTCTCTAATAATCCCTTTCTCTAAAAACTAGTATCTTAATAGCTTAATAAATAACTTATATCCTCTAAAGTATAAGTAATTAATCTTAACTTCTTAAATATTCTAAATATACAATCTTATAATTTTATATTAACTATATCTTTAAAGAAAATAATCTTAAAGAACTCTCTTCTTTTATATATTAAATAATTTAGCATCATTTATTATTTTCTATATAACTGATATAGTAATTTAAAAAAAACTTATATTAAAGTAGAATTCTTTAAATATTATAATAAATATATTCATATAAATAATTATTATTATATCAATATATTTGTATCTAAGATAATATAAAAATATTTTTCTAAAGCTTAGAAGTATTTTTAAAAAAAAAAAGAGTAAGCCTTAATTAAAATTCTTTATTTATGAAAATAGTAAAAATTATTAAAAAAATAGGCTAATAAATTCCTTTAAAAGGATATAAAGGATATTAAAAAGTTAGAAAGATTAGAGAAAATAAAAGAAAAGATAAAAGTAAAATAAATAAAAGAATAATAAGAGACTAATAAGCTTTTAATTATTACTTTTATTTTACAAAATAATGACCTTATTTTTGATATTAACTTCAATCTTTTTATCTTTCTTAATCATATTTTTATCTCTATTCTTGAATCTTCTTAGGGTAATTTAAATATTTAATAGATTTTTATATATTTTCTTTAAATCTATATTCCTTCTATCTTATAAAATAGTAAATATATTCTTTTTTTAATTTATATTATAGTATTCTTTTAACTTTATATTCTTTATTATCTGCTACTTCATCTTTATTTATTAGGTTAGTTATTAATTCTAATAATGAGATATAAAATATTAGGTATATTTATATTCTTACTAATAGTTAAAATTTATAATTATTATTTATAAGTTTTTTTTTAATAATAAATAGTCTAAATTTAATTATATTAAATTTATTACTTAGTCTTATGTTTTTGATATTAAAATTCTTTAATCCTAGTGTTTATTATAGAAGGTAAACTCTCTTCTCCTTTTTAAGTGCTAGCATGTCCTTGCGCTTTTTATTATAATATTTCTTCATTCTTATTTCTACCTATTTAATATCTTTTAATAAATTGCTATGTATTAATTGTATATATATTATTTGAATATTTGCTTTATTTAATGCTTCTTCTTATTTAATATTTTTCTAATTTATTCTTAGAATTCTTTCTAGATTAGCAAAATATAGTACTTGTTCTGTTAATGCATTTATTATATTATTTATTATAAACTAAGCAATTAGTAATAATTCTATCTAATTATCTTAATTCTAATTTAAGTAATATCTTAGATATTATTTAATTACTTAAATTATTTATTTAATCTGGCTATTAGTCTGCTGATGATGTGTAGTTAATAAATTATATTTTATTTTATAATTTTTTATAATTATCTACTAAAATTTAGATATAAATAACTTATCTTTATTAGATGTTATTTTATTTAATAATCTAAATATTATAAATACTTCTTGTAATATTAGTGTTGTATATTATTATACCATTAAATTTTTTAGTGTTAGCTTTAGGATAATATATTTTATAAATTTATCTATAATAATAATAGTTTTAGTATATATGATTTCTAAAATAAGATCTCTTGACTCTAGTAAGCCTTGTATAAAATCTATTATAATTTTCTACTATACTGTTGTTGGTGTTTCTAGAATCTATATTTTTCTATATAATTAATAATTAATTGATTTATTATAATTATAATTGTTATATTTCTTAATATAATCTTTAACTAATTTTCTTATTCTTAAAAAGTAGTATATCTATTATATCTTTTCCACTATTTAATTAATTCTATAATATCCTTTAATTAGTAAATTATGGTTCATTTAAATAACTTTTATAATTATTAAAAATAATACTAATATTGATCTTCTTTAAATAGCTAATCTATTCTTAATTACTACTTCATTATTATGTAGTGCTGTCTGTAGTATTTTATTATTTCTAATAACTTCTACTATCTTTTTATGAAAATCTTTACTTTCTATTGTAATTATTATTATTAGTATTATCTTATTATTATAGTGAATTCTATCTTTATCTTTTACTAGTATATTTATTTATGGTTATTATATTCTAATTGTATAATTTGCTCTTTTGTTTAATATATTAGTAATAATATTTTTTTTTTCTTTGATGTGTTTAATTTAAAACTTGAATCTTAATAGGTATTTTAACTATCTAACTTATTTATTGATAAGCTTTTTTATTATTGTGAAGTACTTTAGATTATAATGATTACTTTTTATAATTATTTCTTCTTTAATTCCTTGTAAATAATATCTCTATTATTTAAATATTTTAATTATTATAAATAGTTCTCTATTATGAATATTATAGTTTCTTTCTATAATAGTAAATTATCTAGAGTAAAAGATAATAGGTCTTAATTTTCTATTATCTTCTAATTATTTTAAAATAATCTCTAGTATATATTCTAATACATCTAATTAAATTATATTTAATTTCTTTAAATCATAAAGTATAAGAATTAATACTTCTCTAATTAATTCCTTAACTTTCTCAAATACTTACTATTATTATTCTATCTAATTAAATTCTTGATCTTTTTTTAATAATTCTATAATTAATTATATTATTTCTATATAATTCTTTAAATATCTTCTAATATATTCTGTTATACTTAGAAACTGTTATATTTTATTAATATTTGTTAGGATAAATCAGTTAAATATTATATTTTTCTTTTCTAATTAGATCTTTAATCTTTCTAGTATATAAATTATTCCTAAGTAATTAATAGTTATAGTATTAAATTTATACTTCTTGATCTTAAGTGTTAATCTTTTATTTATAAGTGCTATTATAATTAGTTGTATATGTTCTTTATATTTTTTTAGATTTTGTAAGTATATAATGATATTATTAAAGTAGACTGTAATAAACTTGTTTAAATATTTTTATAGAATATATATTATGTATTATATAAATTATACTAATAGGTTTTTTAAATCTATTAGTATAACTATTTATTTAAATAGTCTTTTATCTATAAGGAATACTGTTTTCTAAATATTATTTTTAACTATTTATAGGTTATAATAATCCTATTAAATATTAAAGATTATTATGATCTTTGCTCTTTATAAGAGATCTTTTTTTTATTTTTAATAAGGCGTCTTATTTATATTATTTATTATTCTATTATTTAATACTCTATAATCAATAATTATTTATTTGGTTATATCTTTTTTATTGATAAATATTAATTATACTAATACTTTTCTATATTTTGATTATATATACATTACTTTATAAAACTTATTGGTAAATTTATTTTTAAGTTTTAGTTTATCTTTTAATTTGTGATATTACTTGACTAAGGATGGTATAAATCTTTTTTTTAATTTAATTTATACTTTAAATTCTTTATTATATATTAATAATTATTATTCTTTCTTTATAAATAGTTTAATAAATTTATAATATTTTTTAAATAACTTTACTAGTATTTCTATAAGTTTCTTTTTATATAATTCTTTTGATTTTAGTTTTATCTTCTGTATTTTTTCTATAATTCTTATTTTCTTAATTATTTATATTTGTTAGATTGTTCTAATCTCTCTTGTTTTATTATTCTTAATTTATATTTTATTTTTATCACTTAAGTCTTTTTAATTATTTTATAACTTTCTTATATTTTATACTTTATTTTTTTTATTGATATATTTAATATTTTTAGTAAATATTACCTTCTGTTCCTGTTCTTTTGCCTTTTATGCTGACTTTTCAGCTTTTAGTAGCATACTAAGGATTTTCTCTAATTTCTTATATAGCTATGTGATTTCTTTAATATTCTTATTAATTATTTATGTATTTAACTTTATTTTATTAATAATCATTATTCCTTTTATCTAGTTAATTATTAGGTTTTATGTTTGTAATTATGCTATTCTAAATATAGTATTATAATATTCTTTTAATACTAGTATAATATTAAGTGTAATTATTATAGTATATTATCCTGATTTTATAATAATATTTAATGCTTATCTCTTATAGCCTTAACTGATTATTTTTTTATTAATAGAGATGATTGTTGCCTATTTATTAATCTAGGTTATAAATAATCCTACTTTTTTCATAAATTCTTCTCTAATATAATTATAAGCTACTCTTAAATTTAATAAGATTCTTATATCTTTTTTATTGATCTTTATTAATATTATCACTATTTGACTAACTGTTTTTTGTTTTATAGTTATTATAATAAGTTTAGTTATAATTATATGCCTTTCTTAATATCTTTATTAATATTTGAAATATTCTTTAATATTATGATAATACTATTTATATAGTCTTTCTGCTTTGCATTTAGTAATTGTAATATTATTATAATAAAGATGTGCGGGTTCTTAATAGATATATTAATATTCTATTTATTCTTATAAACATTTAAATCTTAATTCTTTAATCATTTTTAAAATTCTTGGAAATTATCTCTTTTATTCTTTTTCTATAAGGTATATTTTATATAATAAGTTATAATATATTATTTAATATACTTTCTAATATAAATTTCCTTCTAATACTAGATAATGATAATAAGAGTAATTTCTTATATATTTAATTATTTTATTATAAAAGTATTATTCTTGCTTATATGATATATATTTATATATATTTGCTAGAGATATATATATTTATCTATATTATTAGTATATATAATATATCTATTCTTTATAGTGTCTATATTCTTTAATATAATTTTTTTATTTTTTTTAAGACTTCTTTTAGTAAATTGCGTTTATTGATATATAATTACACTAATTATTCTCTTAAGACTAAATTGTATTATTCTATACTTTTTTTAATTTTTTTTTAATAAAATTTTTATCTAATTCTCAGTATAGATTTTTATAAGTTATTATTATTAGCTTATTATTTTATAATATTAGTTAAATATAAAGTAACTCTTTTAATAAGGATTTTGCTTAAGTATCTTCTATATTAAAGTTTTCTATATTAATTTCTTCTGAATTAGTGTCTTTGCTGTATCCTTTTAATAAGTCTTTAATATTTCTAAGGTAATATATAAGAAATATCTAACTGATTGATTCTTTTCTTAAATTATAAGATTAATATTTTTTCTTTATATTAGTACTAACTTATCTTACTTATTTAATACTTCTTCTAAGATTAAATTTCTTCTATTTTTATTCTTTACTCTTTTTGCTTAGGTCATTAAGTATTTCTTTTAGTTGTTTTAGAGCCTTTTATTTCTTAGTTTGTTATATCTATTTTACTTAGACTTATTTATAGTTTATTATCTATTTTAATTATTATTCTTTGTCTTTAACTGATTGCTTTAAATCTTTATTAGAATTAATCTTATTATTAGCTGTTCTATTAGCTTTGCTATTATTAATTAAAATTAATAAAATTATTATTACAATTTGCTCTTTTAAATCTAAAATAGCTAGTTTCTAATTCTTTCTTGGCTTTTGGCATTGATTTGCAAAATAATCTGGTTTTTTATAATTAAAATAAGCTTTATTCTTTTTTAGTTTGTCTTTTTCTTTTTTAGATAAGATTATATTTAATTATATTATTATATCTCTATCTTTATCTTTGATTTGTTTCTAGTAAAAATTTATCTTATTTCTTCTGAACTCTCCTTTTTCTATTTATTAGATATAAATAATTAAATTAATCTAGAATACTACTTCTATTATTACTTGAAATATTTTAGATTATAATATTATTATTAAGATTTAATTTTTAATATTGTCTTTTAATCCTTTATAAAACTAGTCTTTAAATTTTTAGTTATTCTATGATAATCCTTTTAATATTTATAAGAATTTTGAAATATATTCTCCAACTAAGGTTTATTATTTAATATATTATATCTTATTAATAACTTTAATTTTCTTATTAATAGTTTTCTATAACTAATTAAATTTTTCTTTATAATACTAATAATTAGAAAATATTATAATTATCTTAGGATTTCTTTATTCTTTATTGCTATTTATATAGTATTAGTTAGTGATATATAAAATAAATTATTTTATAGCTTTTCTATTAAGAAAGCTTAATATTATTAATATTTTATTAAATTTACTTACAATTTATTTACTATTATATATAAAATAGAGTTATATCTAAGCAAGATATATCTTAAGGATTCTATATTTTTCTTTAAATAAAGTTATTATTTTAATCTTAACTTCTTAAAATATATAACTTATTCTTTTTTTATTATTAATTATTGCTTATTCTAGTTCTTTAATATATTATAATAATACTACTATATTTCTGTTATTAGTAATTATAATATTTTTACTACTAGTATTAATAGTTTGTGAGTTAAGACTTAGAGTTACTAAAATTAGAGTTTAAGATATTATTATTACTTATTCTTAAGATTTCTCTTTTAACTAAGAGTCTTAAATTATTAGAAACTTCAATTAATTATTATTAAGTATAACTAAGATAACTATTAATAAGTAAAGTTAATAGGCTTCTAAGATTAAAAGATCTTAGTAGATAAAAGAAATAAAAATAAGACTATAAATATTCTGATTAATAGAAGATTATATATTTAAGTTATTATAGTTAATTTAAAATAATAAAAGAAAATTAAATATATAATAAATAAGTATTCTTATATAGCTTTCTTTTATTATAATCTTTATAAAAATCCCTTAATTTCTCTAATCTATAGATCATAGCTATTATAGAAATCCTCTGATTTCTCTGATGCCCTAACCCTAAGGCTTTGCAGGTAATCCTTTGTTCCGGTGTGCATTAGTCCCGTAGTGACTAACCTGATCCATTGGCTGTGACGTTCTGATTCTCTGACATACATAAAGCCTCTGAACACCTTATAATACACATATATTAAAATAACAGACTGCCTTAGTTAAAAAGCTTTTTAATATATTAGATTTAAGCTTATTTTTACTATCAACTTAAATACTTAATTAATTAATCAAAAACTCCTTAATAATAATACATAATACTACTATTTTAAATAAGGAAAATTATAATCTATATAAGTCTTTTAATCAATTACAAAGCCAACAAGATCACCATACTAGAGCACTACAAAATGAGGGTATTTTGACTGTTTCTAAAGAAAGAGTACTAGCGCAGGCGCTTGATCAGGTTATTAACCCCCCTCAACCGGCCAATCAGAATGAGGTTTTGCAGGCACATTAACGCGCACCCCCTAGGTGCACCAATTGCTGGCAAGTAGGGCATAGACGTAATACGTGCCGGAATCCTTCTAGCTAGTCAAATCTATAAAATTTCATTTATATATGTAATTTATATGGGTTCAAAAAATAATGTGGGTCCTGGGTGTCCCGTTTACCCGGGTGTCCCATTTACCCGGGAAATACGTTAACCAAGTTGAGACAGCCAAAATAATCGAGGTTTGGACTTTGGAGATCCTCAAGGCAGCCATACGCCATGAGCATGAGAGCCTTCCCCTGCCATCACACCTGCAGAACGGCACTGCTTTATCTGACTACGGCAGCAAGAAGGCACTTCGCCTCTAGAAAGGGCGGCATCAATACCATACAGACCGGTCAGTGGGACGACGCCGATTTGCACAGTGCCAGAGAGTGGCTTGCAAACTTCAATGCCAACTCGATTCCCCGCGGCCTCTGTGCCATCTCGTTCAGCCGCTCCAGTGGGCCTGGAGGGCAAAATGTCAATAAGTATGACAATGACTATGCATTAGCTGACATGACCTTTCTTACGTCAACACGAGGAATCCGATCTAAGTAGTTATCTAACAACAGCGAATAATCTAGAGTCAATTCCAAAGCGACGCTGAGGATCCCCTTGAGCTCTCTGTTGCCGCTCGTGCCTCCAATTCTGCACCAGAATCTACGAGTCTCTCGTTATCTGGCTGAGCGGGCTGATGCACTCGTCATCCAGTCGGACGAGGCGAGAAAGCAATCTGCAAACGTGGAGGCTTGCTACGAAAAGCTCTACAAGCTAGTCGAAGAATCAGCTCGCGCTGTGATTCCCGGGGAAACGTCTGATGATCAGAAAAACCGTGTCAAAAACCTGTAGGTTTCCAGTAAAGAACCTCTCCTTGGACTGATCTTCTAATGAGGTTATACAGACGAAAAGCGGAAACGGAGGCACGAATCAAAACCAAAAAGATGCATAGCGCAAAAAAGAGCAACCGCCGGAAAAGCAACTCCGATGATTAAAGACTCAGATATGCAACTTTGGATATCATTCATTTCAACACTGAACGTATAAAGGAGACTATCTATTTATCCACAATGTCCTTGGCTTGAATATTCTTCTGAATGTTCTCCAGCGTTATCTCCACCACTTTGTGTAGCGCAGGATCTAATTCTTCGTTCTCGGACAGCGGCCTAAGCCATTTCATGAGTTCTTGTGCAAGATTGGGCTCCATCTGATATTTCTTCATGTGGCTGAGAGATGTCCCAAGTGCTCGAGGGAACTCTGGTGAGGTGACTTTTATTCCCGCAACAGGTAATTTGATATGGCATATCGCCACCCGGTAATTGGAAGGCGATTTCACGGTCTGATGTGTCACAATATGTTCCAGGATTTTCCTCAGGCACGGAAGACCTTCGAATTCGAATACCATGTCAAAGAATTCTTGGGCTAAGATGAGGTTGTCGCTCGACTCTTTCATCGCAGCATCGAAGATGGCCATCGGGATAGCTCCTGTCAGGGCAGGAGTTGAGTTCAGTGCCTCTAATGCTCCTTCATCTAACCCATCATCCTTCTCTGCTGCGGGGTTAACGTCTTCTGCGGTGATTGCCGGAAGAGCAATCATATCTTCATCACCATCAATAGCTTGAGTAGGGGTTGGCCTGTCCTTTCCCGGTTGATCTAATCCCAATATCTGCCGACGAGCAAAGAGTTTTGCAATGTAAATACATTCCAGACGACCGTATTGAATCCACATATTCCTCTGGCTTTTGCAAAAACGGAGGCCGCGCTGAAAATAGCTCCGCGCCTGCGTCATATCTGCATGTTCTTCCAAAGCGTATTTGGCAGCGTAGATCCACAAGTCCGCATTGGCGGGATGGAGCCGTAGCGCATCAGAGAAGACGTCGGTCAATCTCCTAAACATCTTCTGTCGCCGACAGTACTCAATATATTGAACCCAAAGACCTAAGCTACCGGGACACTTGCGCGTGGCACGATCGAGAATGAACAAGACCCGTCGTCCAGCATGTTGCGGTGTCGCTTTGATGCCAAATCTCTTCGAACGTTTCTTGCGCAGGGTCTCCAGATTCATTTCATATTCGATGTAACGGACAAAATCGGATGGCGAGACTCCGGGGCTGTTGACTTTATGCTCGAAGTCGGAGCGTTTCTTTGCAATAGAGCGGATTTCATCCTTGGACAGTTTAGCACGAATCAAGCGGCGGCGTTAGGAAAGCGGCCTCACCTTATTGAATATTCCCTTTTGCTCATATTCTTTGAGTTCGGGAACAGCCTTCTCGAGGTAGAAGCGGGCTTTTTCGGCAGCCATAATGTCGTTGCTTTGGAATTGACGTTGCTGATGGGCGATGCAGTCCCCAAAAAATTATATCAGAATAAAATAAAAAAGAATGACGGCCCGTGCGCGACAAGCAAAGCTCACGACGGGAGTAGGCCACATCGGGACTAGCGCAGGCCACTCCCCGAGCCGCGGGCCATACAGAAGCGTCGATGGATCTGGCCTTAAATATTGGGCTTCGCGTCCGCCGGAACCACTGCGCAGTTACTGCTCAGGGGCCCGCGGCATTTCATCGCTTCTTCAATCCAGCATTTATCGGTCTTTTCTTTTCTCGACTTTCTTTGAACTGAAATTTCTTCTGCTTTTTTCTTTCTTGTTCTCTACATTGGCATCCACTCGCTTACGGTTTTGCCGGCCATGGCTCCCAAATATAGGGACGGAGATGCCGTCGTGGCTGTAGGCTGCCCCTCGAAACTCACCAGGCTTATGCGCTAACAGCAGTGTGACTGATTCAGCTCAATGGCAAATGGATTTCTTATGCACATACTCTTTTCGCGGCAGCCGCATTCCTCGGCGCCTTCGTCGTGGGCGTCCAATTGCACTTCCACAAAATCGTGCAAAACGAGCATTTCGGCTACCCTGACGAATGGTTTCCCTCCGTGTCCGCGACTATCGGCGACCGGTATCCTGAACGCTCGGTCTTTCAAGTATTCATTGCAATTACTTCCGGCCCCCGTTTCGCTCTCGTTTTCCTCTGGTATCTTATGACCGCGCGGCCCGGCTCGACACTGCCTAAGATTGTTGCTGGTACTGGTGTGTTTAGGACTTTGACATGCGGCGGTTGGACTTATGTGACTTCGACGGACGACCACGACTGGCATGACATCTTCATGATCTCGTACTTGGTCGCTACACTGCCATGGACACTCGGCTGCCTGGCTCTGAGCCCTGCCAATCGCCGCGCCGTCAAGTACCGGAAGATCCTTGCTAGTCTCTTTTTTGGAACTCTAGTGCCGTTAATTTACTACTTTATTCAGCACAAAGTACACAAAGTTGCCGGAGGTGAGTTTACCTTCTCTTCGCCCATTCTTCTGCAAACACAAATGCTAATGAAGTATGGTTTATGGTCTAGCTTACACCAAATATGCGTTCTTCGAATGGTCTTTGATCATTTTCGACGTTGGATTCGACGCAATAACCGCCCTCGATTTTGACGCCTTTGAATTAGTTGTGAGGGACGTGAAAGGAGTTAGCAGAGGGTATGTGCAGTGGCTTCCGAAGTAGACAAATGTACATTGCATAAAACACTGTTGTTTTTTTCGATTGTCAAAATGTTGCAAGAAATGGGTTTTAACCATGCATCAACAGACAACTCAAAACGACGGCAGACACAGTAATTGAAAAAGAGTATGTTATGACGATCTTGAACGACATGTTTTAAAACTGAGATGAAAAATAACACGATTATAGAAAAGATAAGCCAATTGGAAACACTTTTGGCAGGGGTTTCTTATGGTCTGAAGCCATCGATATTGCGGCCGACGTATACAACGGGGTAAATTTCAGAACCGACCAGAATCTCAAAAATAGATATGTACTGACTGACGCCTAATGCAGTTCTTATTCTGGACCAATCTGACTGCTATGCCTCTTCTCGTGTGGTGTATGTCTTTGAAAATGCTTCCCTTTGCAAACTATAGAATCTGATCTCCTCACTCTTACAGTCTTTCCGCTGTGGCATATGGGCATCTCAGGCTATGAAATTTTCATTATTAGCACCGTGTCACCGCTGATCATGGCTATCCCGTCTGTACGATCTTTGGTTGTGCGTAACAACACTCTCATTCATTTCCTGCCCATCTCAGGACTGTTGGCTTTCCTTGTTCAGGATCCGGTTTACCGTCTCTTTACTTGCGGGTTCTCCGTCTTCACGGGCTCTCTTGCTTGGTCTGCATCATTCTATGGCGATCGAGCTCAGACTGTGAGATTAGAATCTCGGATCTTCGCCTTTTCTGCCGGTCTTATCATGTCGAATGTGGCAAAATTCGCCTTTCAAACAAATAACCCATTGTGGCCGGTTATGCATGCTGAGAACGGCGGTTGGAACAAATTAGGTCTTTTGTTTGCAGTTTTGGCTGCGGTTCGCTCTGCAAGACGGTCCTTTGCGCAATCTTCTGTTAGCGGAGGTGACTATTATCCCCCATCTGGTAAGAAAGGCTCGGCTGTTCTTGCAGGAATTGGACTTGGAGGTCTCTTTTTCGGGATGCATTCGCTCCTGACGGATTCGAGTACTATGATCAGTTGGGTCTGGGAAGGCTTTCCCATTAGAGGACCGATACAGGTTCCTCATGGTGCTCTGACGATTTTTGTCATGAGTGTAGGATTCCTATTCGGCTTGTACAATCCACGTGTAGCTGGCTCATGGACATCATTCGGCATTGGCTCTCTTGGAGCCGCGGTGCTTACCAACTACAGTCATTGGTTTGGTTTCTATGGTGGACTGGCTATGGCTTTCTACCTCATGGCTGTAACACCCGTTTTTATTACTTCCGCTGTCCACCATTCACCCGCTTCTACTTTCGGATTGGGATTCTGCGTGTGGGTTTTCTTGACCCTCTTCCATGTCTGGGTCGTGGCGTACGCCTTCGTTCCTGGCGGTCCTCTTGTCCGTGAACATACCGACTGGTTGATGACCATTACCATGCTGTGCGTGGGCGCTGGAGTCTTCTCCAGCTCAGTGACGCAAAGCTCTGGTTCTCCAAAGAAGAATTTCGTCAACCCGAACAGTCGAAGACAGCGGTCATATTATGTTTACGCTCTTGCGGTTCTGCAGCTTTTTGCAGTGGCTATTGCTTATCTCCGGTTCCCAACAAATGACTACACCCCTTACCACAGCAACGATAAAGTTGTCACCGCTGGTATTTGGACTATTCACTTCTCCCTTGATAATGACATGTGGTCTTCGGAACAACGAATGATCAACCTCATTCGGGAGTCTGAACTTGACGTTGTTGGACTTTTGGAGTCTGACACGCAGCGAATCATCATGGGCAACCGTGACTTCACCGTTCTCTTGGCCGAGGAGCTAGGTATGTACGTTGACTTCGGCCCAGGACCCAACAAACATACATGGGGATCCGCACTGCTTTCCAAATTCCCAATTGTCAACTCGACGCATCATCTTTTGCCCTCGCCGGTTGGCGAGCTTGCACCTGCTATCCATGCAACTCTTGACATGTATGGAGAGATGGTGGATGTTGTCGTATTCCATTCTGGACAGGAAGAGGATCCCGAAGACCGACGACTGCAGTCACAATATCTATCCCAACTTATGGGTTCGTCACCGCGGCCATTGATATTGCTAAGTTATCTCGTGACGAAGCCTCTTGAAGGCAACTATAACACATACGTGAGCGATGTGAGCGGCATGAAGGATATCGATCCTTCAGACTGGGATCGATGGTGCGAGTACATTTTGTACAAAAAATTGAAACGCACTGGCTATGCAAGAATTTCCAGAAGCACTATCACAGACACTGAGCTTCAGGTGAGTTTATTCTATCTATTTTATCCTCTATTGGAGACACCATGCTAATAATTGTGGCATGACAAGGTTGGAAAATTCGTCATCGGCCAGCCTGAACCGGAAGACGATATCCGCATTCCGGAGGAAATGGTTCCAGAAGGTCAACGCTTCCCAGCCCTGTTCCGTGGCGAAGGTGTCCGTGGGCATCGGTATCATGTGTTTGATGAGCCTAGGTATTGGCAATAATTGCGGACTTGAAGGAAGACAAGCATGTCCAAGTTTAAATAATTACTTTCTTGTTTATCTCATTCCTTTGCTTGCTTTATTACTTGTCTATGTACAAAAAGGGTTGGGAGGAGTTAGAAATGCATCTTCTAATTTTCATCAGAACGGCGTCACTTTTCGAAGGTAAAAAAGCAGGGGTTAGGAGAAGCATAGGAGACTAGAACGATTTCACGACAGAAATACCTGTCTGCTATTGCTAGTGGTGCAGCTACCATTATTGCATTTGCCCCTCGAACTGAATTTGGTCCCATCACTTCTCATTACCTTGGGTGAGGCTCAACGAAAGGCCCAAGACGCAGCATACCATTCATCTCCCACAGACCAGGTCTTTGAAGAATTGCAGTTCTTCATGGATGCGAAATTTCATCGTTGATTTCTCAGTGTCTGTTCATCTATTCATGTCTAAATCATGCCACGAAGGAAAGTCCTTGTCGAGTTAGAAGGCCTTCTCATGAATGAGTCCACACTCTGTATGCATGCACGCCCGGTTTCCTCGGTAGCGGTAACAGACGGGCATCTGAATCTGCCTGTACTAGTGGGCAAATATGAAGTCCAGCCGCTTGTTCCCCTGGTCTGTTGTATTCTCCATGTAGTCGATTCTTTCCTGTTCCGTCAATCAGCATCGGACCTAAAGAAAAGAATACAGAAGATAAACGCACTTCCTCAGTCAATGCAGCCCACTTCTTCGCCTTCCACCTATTCCTGGACACATAGTAGAGTTTGGTCAGGACAAAAAGGATGATCACAAGGATGTTAATGATGATAAGGACTGTGTTTCCACGGTGATACAAGGGCGCGTCGTCGGAGCGGTAGATGTTGGCTGATATTACGCCGCCGACTTGGACCATCACTGTATATGCAGTGTTAGTACCTTGAACGAACAAAAGAAACAGAAGAGGCATTACTATTGTATACAGCTGCCGACACCGAGCGCGTTCGCACGGATGCCGAGTTTTTCGATGTCCATGCCCTGCAGATTCGCTGTTAATAGTCGATCAAAAGGAAAGGGAAAGGCAGCAACGCACACAAGGATGGCATGGCAGTAAGGATAGCTCAGAAGAACCGTCATCAGCGCATACGTGCCCCAGGGCTCCTTCAGCGAACCGGGCCAGAAGCGCAAGGCAATCACGCAGGGCAATGTCCAGATGGGCTGGAAGATGGCCACAAACGTGCGCTCGCGGAGTCGCTCGCTGAACCACGTTAATGTTAATAGCATAATAATGAAGCCCACCGTTGAGGGTATTGTGAGAAGGTTCGTTTGGAACTGCGTCATTTGTTAGCTACAGCTTTCTTTTCTAATTACAGAAGCCTTGGGTGTACCGAATTGAATCCCAGATGTCGCAGCGACAAAGTCATGTAATATGACACTGGTGCCTGAGGGATATAGGCGATTAAGCCGAGGGCATAAATCTGAGTCTGTCAGTCAACTGACTTTCTACCTAGGTAGCTAGGGACTGCAAACTCACAGGCCATAAGTCGAAGTCGGTCAACGAACGCCACAGACGCTTTGGCGTAATGGCCATGCGGTTATGCATATCACCTGTTCTCATCAGCCTGTGCGACTGCGTTCCATTATGATAGAACATACCCTTGCTTGGATCATCTCGTAGGACGCGATTGACGACGATGCCCAACTCACGATCAGTAAACCAGCCCTTTGGCCGGAACCAGGTCTTAGTCTGCACCGCTGAGGCTGGCATAAGAAAGAAGGACGCAATGCCGACTGAGAGAGTGACCAGCCCTTCAATGAGAAAGAGGTACCTCCAACCTGCTATGCCATGAACCCCGTCCAGATGGAAAATGGCGAACGCTAGCAATGAGGTGATGATCCCAGTGACACTCAATGCCGTCCAGAAAAAACTGGTATGATTTCAGCACAATCAAAACTAATAGTTGAGTCTTACTACAGAGAGCATACCTCAATCGAATTGGCAGCTCATGACCAGTATAGAAGTACGAAAGCCACAGTACAATGTCCGGAATGAAACCGCCCTACTCTTCCTCGTCAGGCAACTGCTCTTCGCTTCTTTGAATAGGCTGTATTTTACCTCTAGGATCCCCAGTAGCGACCTTGTTGCAAAAAACGATTTCCTGCCACTGAGCGCCATCTGGCTGATGGCAACAATGGACCACAGGGTCATTTGAGTGGGAATCCATCGGTCTGGGCCGATCTTCTTGGATATGAGCTGGGAAGGCAGCTCAGCCAGCAGGAATGAGACCAGAAATATGGTATTGCCTTGTACACAGTAAGCGATTAGTCTATCGAGTATGGTTGTTTAGTTTATTTACCAGTGTCATAATCTGGAAGATAACAGTCAGCCTTGTATTGCAGCGTTGGGCTACTTCAGGATCACTACAAACCGTTTGTTGTCAGCTTGAGGTCGACGAGCATATTGCCTGACACGGCCTGGGTGAGATTTCCTCTGTCTACTTGCAGCGCGAAGAACATGGTACACTAGATCGCAACTCAGCACTGCTCGCACATATATCGGTATAACTATAAGGTATGAGCATACCGCCCACAAACAGACATGCCAGTCGAGCTTGCGCACCAGTTTCCGCTCTTCCTCGCGCGTCCATACGAGATTTGGGTCGAGTACATGGCGACACTCGTATTTCGCATCTTCGTATACCTTCTGGTAATGCGCGAGCACTTTTGGGTCCAGGAAGATGTTATCAGGCACGGTGGACACGGTTTCCTCGTCGCTATCCGGGGTCGACATCTCGGGGCCCACGATGGTTTCTGTGACCCTCGCGTCTTTGGCTTCGTGCTGAGTTTTCACGAAGGTTCTTTCGGCCGCCATGTTGGAGTCGTTTTCACAATTCCACTTCGCAGGCGTAAGTAGAGCAGCCGGGGTGTTACTTTGGCTGTTTACTCTGGGACAGTTTCGCCTTAACAATTTATACCTCTCCAAGACTGTGCCTGTGAAAAATGCCATATTTCTTATCAATGTTCGATGCAGCTACTTCCAAGGTTGCATGCAAGATGACATTGATTCAATTAATGGCGCAATCAATATGTGACTTTACTATTTGATACTATTCGTATTAAGACCGTAGCCGAGAAGCTGCGATGATAATCGGGCAGGGCGTACTTTACACGCCTGTCTACGCTAAACCTCTCTTCATCCTACGCTTGACTTGGTGTATAGCCATACTTCATCTCGGACTGTGATTGCAAATTCGGGTCGTGCTACAGGGTCTGAAGCGAAGGGTAGGCAGGACCAACCCCTTCGCTTGGGGAATGATATATGTGGACAAGCAGGAATTGAAATATCTTCATTTCCAATCTAGATAGGTAACAACTGGTCCAGGCCTAGAGTGCATGTCTCTGACCTTCCAAATTAGTCAAATCTCATCGATCAAATCCCTACGTCGTGAGCACTCGTGTCTTGCTAGCGAGAGGCTACTGGTCTAGCAGGGTCTGCTGTGTGTCCCTAGCAAATTGCAGCGCGCACATACCGCGGGGTCGATTGAAATGGCATCGACGCAAAGGCACTTGACGTGATTGCGATAAGCCTGCGGTATGAAAAAAAAAAAAAAAAAAGGGTACACCGGCGTGGAAGTATGCAGCTAGCTTGCGTAGTGCTGCGATGGTGATTTTGCAGGGCAAAGCACCTAATCCACGGCCAACAGCGTTGTCGCCTGATTACTAGTACATAGCCCTAAGGCACCCATGTCCTATCTGATGCTTCCGCCTCTATAATACAAATTTATTATTGATCAAAAGCCAGAACGCTGGTTTGTCTCTTGGAAATGGCGGTTGCTACGCCATTCTGGCATGCAATCGTGTAATTGTAATTTGATTCGTATGTGTTCGAGGTCAGTGGTACAACCGCATGTAACAACATGGCTACTACCTAGGTAGGTATTATTGCCTATATAAACTATACGACTGCCTCCTCGTAGCTCGTGCCATTATATAATCGACTGTATAAGCACGCGAATAAAAGCAGTTATTGCTGTAGCTCTGAAAGATATCTAAAATGGCGCCCTCAGTTGCCCAAATTCCAGACAGAGAACAGACTGCTTCTGTGGTCGTGCCGGTCAAGGCTGTGCCTGAGTCTGGCGAGACGAAGCCCAAGATCCGAAGAGTAATCGACGAAGAGCCAAACACCACTGCCAGCGTGAGTGTATCGCCTCTTCGAATGGACGGAGCCATTGGACAAATGCTGACTCCGAGACAAGTACCCTAACTACCTTCCAACCTGGGACCACGGTGAAAAATACCCTCCTCTCCAGCCCTACGAGCACGTTGAACACGGCAAAGGCGCCGACCCGACATTCAAGGACTTGCTGCCGGAGGGCTCTAAGATCCAGAAATTGACCCCCACCATCGGCTCCGAGGTGCACGGCGTGCAGCTCAGCAAGCTTTCCGACGCTGGCAAGGACCAGCTCGCGCTGCTCGTGGCGCAGCGCAAAGTAGTGGCATTCCGTGACCAGGACTTCGCTGACCTACCCATCAAGGATGCGCTCGAGATTGGCGGCTACTTTGGACGGCATCATATCCACCCTACCAGCGGTGCACCGGAGGGCCACCCGGAGGTGCACATCGTGTACCGCAACGGGTCAGATGGCGAGGTCGAGGCGTTCTTCGCAAATCGTAATAGCAGCGTGCAGTGGCATTCGGACGTGTCGTACGAGCAACAGCCACCGGGAACGACGTTCCTGTACGTGCTCGATCAGCCGGAGGTGGGCGGCGACACAGCGTTCGTGAATCAAGTCGAGGCGTACAACCGCCTGTCGCCGGCCATCAAGGAGAGACTGCACGGGCTCAAGGCCACTCATTCGGGCGTGGAGCAGGCCGACTTTAGCAAGAGCCGTGGCGGCGTTGTAAGACGCGAGCCCGTTATAAACGAACACCCTATTGTACGCACGCACCCGGCAACGGGCGAGAAAGCACTTTATGTGAATAGTGGATGTGTGTATATTCTCTTCCTTTCTCTCTATATTTGCATACTTGTTGCTAGACTAATGGTTCCAAAGTCACCCGCAGCATTGTCGGGCTGAAGAAGGAGGAGAGCGAGGCCTTGCTGGCGTTCTTGCTAAACCATATTAGCCGTGGTATCGACTACCAGGCCCGTATACGATGGGCGCCCAAGACAGTTGTTGTCTGGGATGTAAGTCCAGCTTCCTTCATCTGTCAGCTGATGTTTGACACTGACAACCGGTAGAACCGTGTTACTGCTCACTCTGCTATTTTCGACTGGACGTCTGGTGAACGTCGCCACCTCGCACGTATCCAGCCGCAAGCTGAGCGGCCATACGAGACACCGTATGAGGTGGAGAGCAAATAGGAAGTTTAAAATTGTTAATAACATTCTGCAGCTGGCGGGATTAGCTTGGATGCATGTTTTGTGGTAGGTAGGGCATTGCAATAGTATGGTTTCGGACCTTCGCCTAGCCTTTGGTGACTGTAAAGTTATACACTGTAATACCTGTCTACTCTCATATTTACTTCCTCAACATCATAAATTTCAATTCATCGATGTAGTTTGCCTTGGGGTACGCAGATGTCACGACAAGCAACGGTTTCCTAATTAGGTAATTATAGTATAATTGGAGTTAACCGTGACAACAAACCACGATATCCTTTTAGATGTCTCATTAGACTTTTTTTAAACTGTTTCAAAGCTTCTCACCTTATTAAAGAAATACCTTATCATACATGACCTAGTTGACCTCTTTATTAAAATGACAATACAGCCTCAGATAGTCCCTTAGACACTGTCTTCTGTTAGAATTCCGAGTGTAGGGCTACTATTACTAGGCACGTGTGTCATAACTACCTAGGCAAATCATACCAAAGCAAGTCTGCAACCATCCATCCTATCATATCACTCGTGAATACTGACATTGGTCTATTTCATCCTGTGTTGGCAGAGCAATCGATTTTGTGCCTACCAAAAATCTCGGGCTGATATCTGGGCAATCATCAAGAGACTCGGCGACAAGTATTCATGGGAGCCCACTGAGGTCTACCGTGATGGTCTTCACTGACGAATATGTACCAGAAAACCTCCTTTGGCATGCAAATGAAAAGTAGATGTAAGTATTCTGAGTTGATCTATATACTTATTCCACAGACTGCTATAATACAATTGGCATAGGTTTGTCGTGGAAAATAAGAACGTCCATAAACCGTTCGCTAACGAGGCGTGCAAAACATAATGTTGTGGTTGTGATATTGGGATTTGTCGGAACACCAGACAAGGTTTTGAACGTACAAACTATTTATCTACTAAAAAATACAATCATGAAGGTAACTCATGTAGCGCGCATCAAGTCTAATAAGCACTAACTAGCTACGACTTTAGAAGTCGATCTATAATATATTGCATAACAGTGATTCACTTCAACCTCTCCTTAGAGAGAAGAATGGATGTATCGATAGTCGCCCCATCAATAAAGTCATTCATAATAACAATAGTCCGTTCAGCAGTCAGCCTAGTTAACGCATGTTCTCTGATCCAAGGCAATGTCTGCATGTCCAGTGCCCCTTTGGTCGAGGTAAGACAGGAGCTGGCTGAGTGTGCAGAGACAACGCTGTAAACCAAGACTTCCTTGATGGACTGCGAAGTTGCCTGACATTGCAGGATGGTCAAATCACTCGCTTCTTGTCCCTGGCTGTTCATCGACTCGAATCTGGCGAGGATGGAGTCTGCAGACAGTGTCGCGTAGGCCTTGGCAGTCCAGCTATCGTATTTGTCTGCTTCTATTACCACAATTAGCCGGGTCCCTGTCCGTCGCAACTCATCAATGGGTTTCATAAAACACTCGCGCGTGCCCCATGTGAGCAGGTGCTGCTTGGCTTGTCCACACGCCTCACTGAGCATATTTGCAATTTCCTCTGATGTAGGCCGCTTACACTCCGCAACGATATTGTCCCAGCGAATATGCACTGTGACGATCTCTGTCGGATTCTCGTCCAGAAACGTCACCTGTTCACGTAGAAACTCATCAAAAGCCAGTCCGGGGATACAAGCATGCTGGAAGTAGAAGGTATCCCGCAGCGCCGTCGACGACGCAAACATGGGTAGTAGTTTCGCTGGGCGGAACTCAAAGTATCTAGCTCCCATGGCAAGCATGGTCGACACGGTTTTCTTCTGTGTAACGGCCAGACCGTACACGATATGCGGCAGTTTTTCCATCAAAAAATGGTCGGGGATATGCTGAACGTGCTCCAGCAACGGCACCAGCTTGCGGACCGCACTTAGCATATCTGTATCAAAATGCTGAAAAATAGCATCGCACGAGCCCATACTGTTCATTCCATTATCGTGTGGTGCAGCTAGAACGAACCGCCAGAACGGTTTCTGAGCCGCAATTGATCCCGGAGACGCAACACTGCCCATCCAGAAACGGTTCTCTGTCGAACAAATCGTCACGTAACATTGGTGTCTATTCGTGAGGCCCACCTCACCATGTCCAGCCGTATAGAAGCCGTACGTGATAATCGCATCCTCGGTAAATATCGGGTGAAAATCTTGCGTTGAGACCATCGTCCCCGCCTCAATCTTGCCCGTCACACTGTTCACATCGTTGTACTGCGTGGCAACTACTTCGCCGTATCGGAAGACCGTCCACTGCAATCGGCCAGTGAAGTTCTCTAGGCCTGAAATATGCGCCGAATCAACTTCCAGATCGCGGCACGTAAAGTTGTGTGTCGAGTCATGGAGGCATTGCTCCTGAGGGACGGAGAAGCCAATTTCGTAGCCTGGCACGCCGATGTAGCTGTATACGCTGATTCCTTTCTTGGGCATGCTCAATATACTTGGTATGCTCGTCTGTATGATCTTCAATGGTGCTAGATCGTGGCTTACATTACGTTCAGATTTTGAATATTGATTACGCGTCCGACCTTTCCTATATGGATCTAGTGTGCCTCTATCAAGTACTAGTAACGTTCATTTTTTATTGTACTGAAATCAGTTGAAATAGACTGCCTGGCTTGTAAATACATGCCGTTGGTGTTCTTCGGTAGGTACGAAAGTAGTAATTATAGGCTTAGGATGAGCTAGACCAGAGCGTATGGATGGGAATCTAAACTAAAAACCCCCTGAAGCGACGAAACCTAACAACTTTCAATTATGCCACAAAATTAAATAGATGCGTACTCCAAGGTAAATTCAAAGCCCAGAATAGACTACGCTTGGTGTCCTGGGAGGTACAGCTCTCAGGAATAGGCCGCAGAACCGAATACGTAAATTCAGGTACGCGCGAATAATAGATCTATATCTAATTGATCTCAATCATGCCAAATGAGAATTAATATGAGGATAATCCTATTAAGCCAAAAGTAACTAGTTCCTAGAGGGAATAAAGTGTGTTCTCAGTAGCGTTACGCCTTTTTAGTATCCCATGTTTGGCAGAATAATGGTGCCGGTGGTTTCGATGCTAAAACCCCAAAAACCATTAGAAGTAGGCTGACATGTTAGAATGGGACATACGATAGACAATAAACCTACTGTATTTTGTTGCTTGAGCACCTCCTCTCATCAGCTATCAGGCGTCCATCTATAAACATATGACTGATTAAGTCTACTCTACTATAACTGCGCCCCAATGAATAGCTCTAATAACTATGCAAATGCGGCTGGAATCGGATGCTATGTGAAACAATTCGTGAACCTTAGAACTTAGAACTAAGCTTAGTGGACTTGATCAGGGCCTTGGTACAACCTGCCCATTTCCAAGCTCGTGGACCGTCATTCGTTCATTATATGTGTGATTCTCCTTTCTGCTTCTCAACGTTTTCCATTTCAGACATGAAATCTAACCCTTTGGCTCACAAGGCGATGCGAGAATCTTGACAAAGCTTGCTTGCTTCGCAGCAGAATGGCAGTCATCCAACAGATCAAATCGTGGCTCCGCAGTCTGGCCACTCATGTTTATAAGGAAATAGAAGAGGATGCTTCTGGCGACGAGGGACTCGAGCTGCTGGAAGGTGGTCGAGATGTGACCATCGGAAGGGTTGCGGCTGGACAGGATCCATCTCGCTATTGCCATATCGCCACTGCAGAGATGGCTTACGCCCGCGATGAAGAATGTGGCCAAACCCCAATTCAAAATCAGTATATTGAGTCGTAATAGATCAAAGGTAGATGCATAAGCATACTCTTGAGGCACTTAATCCTTTTTTATTCCTTGCACTAGGAGGGTAACCTCGGAACACGAAATAACTTACCGTGCAGTGGGGAGTGACCGCTAGGAGGAACCAAAGAGCGAAAGGTCTTGAGAAGTATGGATTATCTATCCTTAGTACGGAATATACCTAGCGGCTCAAATATTAGCCCTTGGATTGGCCGGGAACTCTCTGCGACCAATGTCCATATCGTGAAGACTTGATCTCAATAGTCGGACTCTCAGACTACATCGATGTTGTTTCTTCTTTCAGACACCCGACGTAAGCAGCAAACGGGAAAATCCAATCAATTTGCCGACTGACAGTCCAGCAATTCAACTTGAAGCAAGTGAGCACTGCCTCTTCTCCAAGCTTGATCCTGCAGCTGCAGCTGCAGCCTTATGGTCCATCAGTACTATGGACTGTATGAAAATTACAAAAGAAAGTTAAAAAAAAAAAAAAAAAGAAACTAAATAAAAGAACAGTATGAGTTTTTTCTTGCAGATGTACACATAAGCATGGAAGTACTACTTACACATTGAATTGGACACCGATGGGTGAATGAAATATCCGAACGGAGTACGTTCTGTACGTGTATGTACCCGTTGTTAAGTCGATTAACTAGATAATGACATAGATCGATGCCAAGAAGTATTGACTGATCACGCAATTGCGCTGTAAGAGGAGAAGAAAAAAAAAGCAAATTCCTCCTGCCTAAAGGCTAAGAGACTAAGAGCCCACAGGTTTCATGATCGTCAAGGTCTTATCAAACTAATTTAGAGCAATATTATTATCTAGGCGACTATAGATATGTATAGTTTCACTGATAGGGTCTGTGACACTGAACCAAACTGTTGGGTCATAGCATGATATCTGGGAATTATTGGCTCATTTTGGACCTTTACGAGGTCCGGGAACAAGGAAAAGGAAAAAAGAAAACTTGAATGCCCCACGGAGTACTCTGAGTTACAAGATTTAGAAAAATAAGCTATTCGTGTATGTATCTATACCTGACAACCTTTGAATTCCTGAGGTCAAAGTCAAGGCTGGTTGTACATACATCATTGCGTACGGTCCAAGTTAATCGCGCATTACGCACTCAGCTGATTCTGAGTGCGCCTGTAAGGGAAGCTAAAGGTCATGTGGCTTTAGATATTCCCCGCGGAAATAGAGTGAAAACAACATGAAGCAAACTAATACTGAGATCTGCCTAATTAGTAATTACTAGTACCCTTTAGCTAACTAGCTCTTTCATTTTTTTCAGTAACGTAACCGGTAAGCCACCCGGCCATGTAAGCGACCCGGCCACCTCCGCCCGGAAACGCGTTCTATATGAATTTCTAATCACAATTTTCAACCCAAAATAATAATTATATATAAAAAAACTAATTACTAGTACAATAAGGACATTGAGGTCTTCTATACCCAAGAATATCACACTCACTATATTTAAATTAGTAGCATACAATTACTTATAAGACTGACAGCTTAGGCTCAGCCAGAGCAGTAGTAATACTTTGAGATGTCTTAATCTAACTTTATATAAGCACCTAAGCTTCCTTTCTAATAATTTCTTACTTATATTCTATCTACTTTCTAGATTATCTATATTTTTACTTCTTCTTCTTATATATAGCTTATAAATTATAAACTTCTTTCCCTAAAAATATAAAGCTATTTATAGTCATTTTATATATCTTAGATATTTAATTAATTACTTTATTAACTAAACTTAATAGGCTTCTTATATACTAATTTATACACTTTTTTATTATATTTAATTAATATTTAAATTAATATAGATTTTAAAGTATTTATAAGCAGGATAATTAAATATTATTTAATTAACTTAAAAGAGATATAAGAGTCTTAAACTAAATAGTAAACTATTAATAAATTTAATCTAAATTATATAATATTAATTTAATAGCTATAAAGCCCTTTTAAATAGTCTTAACTTTATATGCCATCATACAGATCTCTAGAAATATAGTAAGAAAATCAATTTTATTAATATAATTAAATCTAAGCCTCATCCACTATTTAATAAACTATCTATATTTCTGCTTTATAACTATAAAATAGCTAATATTAAAAGACTATAAGAGATAAGAGAAATATAAAGATATATAAACTAGAATAATATTATTCTTAGTATATATATAATCAAATTTTATAATTAAATAATTTTTATAATTATTAAGAATCAGCATTTAATATCTTCTTATTATATAGCTATTTATAAGAAGAATAAAGTAATTTTAAAGCTAATCTATACTAATATTATTAGTTATCTATCTATTATTATTAATATTAATTTTCTAATTATCTAAAAAAATCTTAAACCAGCCTTCTTGTATATATTTTATTATTTTAAAAATTATATATAAAAATAAAGTCTATTTAATAAAATTAATTATTTTAATTAAAATTACTTATTCTTAATTACTAGATTATAATAGCTTTAAATAAGTATATTAATTACTTCTAATAATAATCTTTATAATTATATAGAGTCCTATAGTAAAGCTAATCTTATTAAAATTATAAATATCTTCTAATAAGATATTATATTCTAATATAACCTTTTATATACAATTAAAATATTTTTAGATTATTTTTAGATCTTTATATTTAATATATTTATAATTATATTTTTAAGAAAATTATAATTTAAGTTTTAAATAATATTAAACTAGATTATAAATCTATTTTTCTCTAACCTATTAATTTCTATATTAAAAAAGAAGATAATTAGCTATTTTTTATACTATAAATAGCTAGAAAGATAATCCTTACCTATTTAAATCTAATATCCATCTAATAAGCAATTTCTCTTTAAACTAAATAAATTTATAACTATTAATACATTTTATATATTTATATTATGTTTCCTTCAGTCAGTCTTAAAGAGTTATATAAAGAATAGTATAAATCTATATAGCTTCACAAATACTTTAAATATTCTTATTTTTTAAATTAGAAATAACTAATTAAATCTTTCCTTCTAATTCAGCTGATTTTAAAGGATTTTTCTTGCGAATTAGTAGCATATTGACACGTTGAAATTATAAGATCGAAATAGAACGCGTTTCCAGGCGGAGATGGCCGGGTCGCTTACATGGCTGGGTGGCTTACCGGTTACGTTAGCTTTTTGCTTCGACACAAGTACTTGATTCGTGGAACTCTTTTCCCTAGCCTGCCCTCTTTTGCAGCCTTCAAAAAGTTTCCTTCGAAGGTCATGGAGAAGTACTCCGTGTAGTTTGCTAGTACACGCACGTATATTATTTTCCGGGTATGCACGAGAGTATCTAGGTTGATCTGCAGGGAACAAATAAAATAACAACAATGCTTGGTATCCCGTGATACTAATACGCCTGTCATATACTCCGTGGTTAAAAGCTGGTTCCAGATACTACGTAATTCAGTACGTGTACACCAGTCACTCGCATGCTTTCGTTGAAAATCGCTCGGTGGAGACAGTCAGTGTCACATATGCAGGTCAGGTACAGAAATAGGCATGGAGCAGAAAAAATTTTTCTTCTTCTTCCCCTTAGTCAAAATTCTAGCGCGGTTATGAAGTTAGTTATAGGGCACGTATTTACAGCTAAGCTAATTTAGCTACGGAGTGAATAATGCGTAGTATCATGTTTATGTTTATGTTATCTCCATTTTATCAACCATCGAATGCATACATACCCTTATAGAAATTAACAAGCTGAAGAGCCTAGAACAATAAATCTGATTTCGTGTCGAGCCACCTAGTTAGAGATCTATGTAGGAATCTGGAATCAAGAGCGTAGTTCCAAAACGGAAACCAGACGCGAATTAAAAGTCTGAACGAGTGTATAGCCTGTATAGCGCAAAAACATTGGAATTGCACCTGTTGACTGTTGCTCGACACTTTTTCCCTTCCCTTGGATGCTTCGATGTTCATCTTCATTCTGATCCTTGCGCACCACATCTTTTCCCGGCATACTTTCTGTCAGAACGTACAACCCGTTGGTCAGTACGTACATACGCCCGTGAATAACTAGATTCTACCCGATCTTGAAAACTCTGTTGTGAATTTAGATTCGAAATAACTTCGCTAGTTTATAGATCTCTCTATTTTTTTTTTTTTTTTTTTTTTTTTTTTTTCCATGGCCTTTTTTGGTGTCCTGGTACGTGTAAGTAAGGTACGGAACGAGACGGATAGACGGCACTCCCGTACCGTACCCCCACTCTTTCCTCCACATTACCATTACGTACGGCTCTACCATGGCATCACCTAACTGATTGACTCCATTATGGAGGAGACCGTATGATGTCTCTGACTCTGCTACAGTGTCTTCTTCCACACAGTAAGTTAATTTCTTTCTTGTGGTCACTACCACTGACTATGATGTAACTACAACTATTCCATAGCAGCATAAAAAAAATCCCTCTAGCTTCATTGTTTCATTTTTTTTTCCCCTCTTTAGCCTGTCTCCTCCTACTTAGTCCGTACCTGACTGTGGTCCGACCGTCGGATCTACTAAAAAATGTGACCATCATACCCAGGGCCAAGGGCCAACCAGTTGCAATGTTTCATCGTGAGGAATTCCATTCTGGCGATCCTTTGCTCTTCCCTCCATTTATTTTCTTCGAGTTATTTCTTATTCCCTTCTCCTTTTTTTAACTGACCATGTTAGATAGTTCACTCAGATACACGATACTGATGACACGGTCGTACTCAGGCTTAATAACATATGAGGAAGAGGGTTTGTTCGATGGAACCCCTTTAATTCCATCGTACGTAGTTACCGGACTAACTGACTAACTATGCAGCGCATACACTAGCCTAGACCCTTTAATTAATACTTTGGCTTGTTAGGCTTCAGCCCCAGAGCCTTACTTGCGCTTGTTAGGGCGCGATTATCAAGATCAGATTATTGCTTACTAAATACGGAGGACGAGGTCCGTTCTCTCGCCCATCGATCTGTTGTCCAAAAAAAAAGAAGAAAAAAAGAAAATGCAATGCAAATGCAGATGCAGATGCAAGTATAATTAGAATGCCAGCCAAGTATGGGCTGCCGAAAGAGGCCCGGTAAGGGCTGAATACCCGTACAGGGCTTAATTCTGTCATAATCGTCGACAACCACTACGGAATACCGAGTATTCCGGACTCTTGTTAATTTTCATGTACGAGGTACTCTGTGCCATGATATACCGGCTGACTTTCCGTGACTGTAGTATAGTTAGTCAAAAATACTAGTTATGGTGATTTCCAGTTCCACCATCACGAGGAGAGGCTCTGGTCGAAATCTCGAAACTAGAAGACATGGAATGGGGACGATGAACAAATAACAACAGGCCAAAAAAAAAAAAAAGGAAAAATAAAAGCCGCCCAATGAGACAAATCCGCCAGCTATCCCGGCGGCGTCCGGGGCACAGGGAGGGAGGGCTGGCACTGGGTCTGATTGGATTCTTTGCAGGCGTCTCACCGACGCCTTAAAAGCCCTTTTGCCCTTTTTGGGTAGGTCGTCTAAATTACCAGATCTGAGTCCTTTAGCGTGCGCAATGCGTGGATTTGTTAGGCGCCTTGGGCTCAGTTAATTACGGGTAATACGGGTCTTGTTTATACTACTTGGCCGCATCAAGGGATAGAGAGAGGACACTTAGCATAGCATGTAGTCGTCCTACGAGTACGGAGTAAAGAGAACGCAGAGGGGGGATGACTGAGCAGGATTCGAAGGAACGAGTGACGAGAATTAAATAAGTGGATACGCTTCTTACCCCATACTCGTAACTCCGGATTCCTACTGCAAAACCTGCTGTTTATGCAAGGGAGTCCACGCGAAGTCCACGCCCATTTGCCCGGCCGGTTTCTTTGCTTTTTCTCCAGGTTCCGCAGTGTAAGAACGACCGACGATGACGCTGGGCACCGTTGGACGAACTCAATTATTCGAGGGGGGGGCACGAGTCTGCTGTACTAGCACGGAGTAGCACGTATCAAAACGAAAAGGCATAGTTATAATAAGCAGTATTTACTACTTAGTGACAAATACAATGGCTGATTGGCAGGGGACCAAAGCAACCTTGGCGCTCCCCGCATACCAAATTAGTGCGTCTGCATCGTACGGTAAGCCAGTACGTACCTTACGCCGTACTGTTACAGTGTGTCTCTGCTTGGACCCTCTCGCTACGCCCCTACCTAGTAGGTAAGCTCTGTACGGAGTAGAGGGAGCAGAGCGCAGAGCAAGACTACAATACCATTGCTATTATCATTGCTATTACGTGTTGCTTGCTGTTGGAGGCATGCTTGGCCGTCGACAGCTCCTGGTTGATTGGTTTCTTTTTCCCTCTCGCCTTTTTTTTTTTTTTTTTTTTTTTTCATATTTTCATATAAGCACAGCCATGCTTCCCGGTCCGTTAAATAGGCCCTGTGCCCTTCTGTGCTGAGCGACTGGAGGTTTTCCTTCCCGTTGGCGAGGTTTCTTGCTAGCCTCGTGTTCCTCCCTCGACTGTCAGTGACGCCTTCCCCGCCTGTCTGTCTGTCACCTGCCTGTTTGGAATGTAATCATAGCCAGCCATCTCCTCCCACCTCACGCTGCACAACGCCCAACCCAACCCAACCCACTACCTACTACCTAACCGCCTCCGCCTAGAGAATATCTTCTCCTGCTCACCCTCTACCATCATCCTACATATCTCCTTCTCCGCGCCCCCCACTCGCTCTGCGCCGGCCGTTTCGCTCCTCTAGCCTGCACCGCTGCTGTCGTTTCTTATTCCCAGCTGGATCGCTGCAGTCCGGGGCTTGTCGCATGTCGCCATCCCAATGTTGTCCATGCAGAACCATCATTCCTCGGTGCTGCATCACTCGTCCGTGGTAAGAACAAAATCCACTGCCAACGGTGGAGCCGGTCCGTTCCGTCAGCCGCCAACCGTTCCATCAGCAGCGTCGCTGGGCCTGTCCGTCCTGAACACCACCGCCGCCACCCTCCAGTCTGGGAGTGCCGTCGAAAGCCCGTCCTCCTCTGACGGCAGTCAGACTCCCGGCGTGAACGATGATATCTCGGTCGAGTCGATGAACTGCTGGCCTCAGGACGCCCGCTTCGACCCCTCCAAGAATGTTTTCAGAATGCGCCGCGAATCCGACCAGACCTCTCCCTCGTCCGCAACGTCGGCCACCTTCGGAGCCGACTTCACTTTCAACCCCGCCGATTCCATGGACCACGACTCTCCCGATACAATTCCACCAAAGATCGAGGAGCTGGATGACGATGGGGAGATTCTGATGTCCGTCAAGCCTGGTGATGACCACCCCGCCGACGAAGCTTCCACTGCCGTGTCAGTCAGCGCGCCACGAAAACGAGGCCGCCCACGCAAGCATCCGCTACCCATACCCGGCGGGCAGGTTAAGATTGCCAAAGGTCGTTCAAAGACGGGTTGTATAACTTGCCGGAGGAGGAAGAAGAAATGCGACGAGACAAAACCTGCATGTAAGATCCCACACATAATCTTGTAAAAATTCCCATGAGTGCGCGGGAGCTAAGTACTTACTGCGCAGGTTTGAACTGCCAGAAAAATGCCGTCGTTTGTGAAGGCTATCCACCGAAAGAAATTTGGAGAAGCGGGAAGCAGAAATTGGAAGACGGTGAGTATCGTGCATATCCGGCATCTCTCGCGCCTATGCTGATTTTCTTTTTCTTCCTCTTTTTTGGTATGCACCAGCGGTTCGAAGGGGTTCAATGTCACTACTGCCACGAGGTCTTCCCATCCTAATCGATGGAATTGAAACAGAGATCGACCGCCGGTTTCTCGACCATTTCGTCTATGACTTTAGCCGCGTGCTCACCCTTATCAACGATGACTCCAATCCTTTCAAAGAGATTTTGCTTCCCATGGCGACTCAGCATCGAGGTCTGATGCACTCTTTGATGTGCCTGTCGGGATCTCATCTATCAGCACGGGATCCGGAGCCACGTTACAAAGAGAGAAAACACTACCATTTCGACCGAGCCATAACCGACTTACGAGAAAGCATCAATTCAGCCCCTCAGGCCGAAGACGCGGAGGAACCACAGTTGTTGGTAGAGGATCCCATCATTGCATCCACGCTGGCTTTGTGTCTAAACACGATCTGTGAAGGAGAGACGGGAGGAGAGTATCGCTCCCATATGGACGCTGCCCGCTATCTCTTAACCTCGCAGAAGCCGAAGAACGAAAAGTTCCGACAGTTCATTATTGAGTTCTTCCAGTATCATGACGTCTCCAATTCGTTGACATCGTTGGACCGACGACCATTGCAGCTAACCGGTGACCTTCGCCTTCCGGACTTTGTGCCTCATGCCCAGGCTGGCACTTTTCTTGGTATCTTTGATGGCTTGTTCAATTACATTTCCGAAGTAACCAGGCTCAGAGATCGTATTCGACGACGCTACAATGATGGGTTTGAGCCTGCTGTCGATTACCAGACCCTGAGCGAAGCGGTTTCCATTGACTCTGCGCTCCGAGTTTGGGAGCCGTCGTACGAAGCCGAGACTCCAAACTGGTATGCTTCCCAGCTATATAGACAGTCGACTTGGGTTTACTTGTACCGAACAATCCGGCCATCGCGCCCTAGTCAGAAGATCACTCAAGTTGTCGATGATGCTTTGAAATACCTAGATATGCTCCCACAGGATGCAGGGGCGTTTAGCATCATGCTTATGCCGTTATTCCTCCTCGGGTGCTCTGCATTCTTGCCTCGTCAGCGCGAGAGAATCAAGAAAGGTTTCAATGCATTGGTTGAGTATTCTAGTCTGCGCAATATCGAACCAGCTCTCAGAGTCGTGGAACAAGTGTGGACAGTCATGGACACGAAGATGGAGGATAGTTGGGACTGGGAGAAAATTATTGAGAATATGAAGATGGATTTTTTGATTACTTGAATAGGTAAATATCTACGCGTTTTTTTTTTCCCTCTCTCTGCTTCTTTTTTAAAGTCTGTATGGGATATGGTCATGGGTTATAACGATTGGGCATCTTTGATGATGTCTTGCATAGCAATCATGGGTGCGGTTGTCTGTTTCTGTTGCTTCTTCATCTATGTTGCCATATTATTCCTGCTTGTGTTATTTGTTTGAGTGACCGGATTCTATTTCCATTCTTTCTTACTCTGACTGGAGCGCTTGTTTATCTTGGGAAAAGCTAGGAGGTACTATGAAGATGCACACCAGAGGACACAAAAAATAAACTATCTGCTGAAAAAACTGGGCTGGGTGGTTACTTTTTATTGCCCCGTTCTTTTCTTTCGATCTGAAGGAGGAAAGCAGTACGCTCCTATTCTTCTTTCACCATTGCAATTTACAACTCATCTCTTGATGAACTGTTTGATGACTGTCTGTGTCTGATTTACATAACGTATATTTATCTATCTATCTATCTATCTATCTATGAATTCGATTCTTTGTACCATTTCTTGTATTATTTTTCCACCTTTTTGTATCCAACAATTTATGTGTACAGGTGCCTACCATACTTACATTCTATCCAACCTCACTACTATACGACAGATACAAAACTTGGCTACTAATTTGGACGATCCTCGCAGATTTTCCTAAAACCAAGGCCCCTACGTATGATTCATCAAACAGAAACCAACCAACTACTAGCCGCCTCAGCCAACAGCTGACTCGTACATACATCCATGTGACCTGTGCTGATCAATGCTCCCCAGCCCAGTCTTTTATTTACACGAAACATGGCAATGGAATCACCCACCCTATTGACTCCGGACACGGGTTGGAGGTCCGAAACTTCACCGCTAATATATACACAGCCAGGCAAGGTAGGTTATATCTACCTGCCTAGGTAAGTAGGGACCAACCATCCAGGTAGTATGTGTACATAACGCCGTTATGCCCAGACATGAATGAAATGAATAACTACGTAACTGGCTGACTTACTCTCCGAAAATATGGAGCACTATACGATATATTGTAGGCTGCAATATTAGCCTATGGTACTATTAATGATAAGCTGCTGGGCAAACGACTATAACCACCCGCGGAGTCGGGGTTGGGTAAGTATGCGTGTAACATACGGTACGTCCGACGTTACGCGGAGTAAAGCAAGGCATTGGAAGGGCTGAGCTGAATGCCAAATACGTTTAGTACGCTATAGAAAGTGATGTTGTACGAAAAAGCGGGGTCCCCGCATTTTGTTTTCGTTATTCTTAGACTTGGCATAGTGTATTATTGGAGTTACGTATCGAGTTGTTATGATTGTTATCAGCCTGATACCATATGTCTGTACGACTAAGATAGACAAGGCGACGATAATATGATGTACGCATATAGCTTCTTTATTTAGGTAGGGCTTGTATAACTGAAATAAGGCATTATTGACTAGATCTAGGTGCATCACGTAGCACAGTGGACGTATGCATATAAAACAAATTCTCTACCTAGGTATACAATATAATCTATTAATCTCGCTTCACTCCAACCTTGCCAATCCTCCGCAGCCCAAAGGCCCCAATCAGAAACGCAAACATCATCCAAGCAAATGCAGCCCAAAAACCAGCTCTATAACCCATCAAAAGAGCAGCGGGGGAGTCGTCGTCATCTTTACCAGCATCGGGGGATGAAGCAGCAGCATGTCTCGTAACTGCGGAGGAAATGACAGCCATAATGGTCAAACCAAGCGAACTTCCAAACTGAGAAACAGTATTAAACACCGCGCCTGCGAGGGCCTGAGTGCGCGGCGGAAACACGTCGGAAATCACCAGTAGAGCAACCGTGAAAAGGATGTCGGCACTCAGTGGAGCCAGTAACTGTGCAAAGAAGGCGTCGGACCAGTACGGCCATTGAACGTTGATTACTGCCATGAGCAGGGGGCCGCCGGCACTGAGCAGCATGGAGCCAACTACCAAGTAAAATGTTGAAATCCGATGCACTAGGAGCCCTGTGCTCAGTTGGCATATTGAGCCTATTGCCATGCTAGGCAGGATGCGAAGCGAGGCTTCAAGAGCTGAGAGGCCTTGAACCTTTTGGAAGCTTTAATTTGGGTTTTCAGTTAGGAAAATCTTTTTTTTTTCAACCGAGGAAGGGAAAAAAGGATGACTTACAACAAACTGCAATACATCTCCATCACGTTGAGTACGGCCCATGCAAACAAGACCATCACGCACACGTTTGTAAACACGGTGTTTCGCCATAAGGAGTTCGGAATCAAAACTGGTCTCCCAAGTCGTTCTTGACGCTGTTCCCAGAATAGGAATGAGGGCACGAGACAGGCGCAGATCACAAGCATGACGATATTTCCGGGGTTTTTGATATTCGAGGTGTTATTCGTCAATTCCCTAGTAGGAAGTCATGAGGATGAAACCCACTCCTGTTTCCGGAAGAAAGGAAAGAAGACTTACGCCAGAATGTACGAAAACATGGACAGGCAAGCGCATGACATAAGACCTGCAATCCAATCGACCTCCTTCCTCAACTTCGCAAGATTGGTCCATCCCCCAGCTCCCTGATCCGATGGCAAAACCCATATACTAATCCCAAACAGGGCAAGAGTCAGCCCGCCCGATATATAATAGCCATATCGCCACCCGATAGTATCAAGCATGACACCACCCAACACCAAGCCAACAGAAAACCCAGCTGGTTGGGCGAACCCCAATATCGAGAAGCAAATGTTTCGTTTCCTTCCCGTGGACACCGCGTTGGAAACAATAGCGACCGATGTAGGCAAGCAGAGTGATACGGCCACGCCTTGTAAAGCACGGAACATGATCAGCTCAATTCCTGTTCGCACCAGTCCACATGCCATCATGAAGCATCCTACTAGGAAACAGCCAATTATGAACAAGATTCGATTGCCAACTACATCGGCGACGGATCCTGCGAGCAGGAGACAAGAACCGCTTGCCAGTCTATTGCCGGTTAGCATATAGGCTTGAGAGTCATCAAAAAATAAAAATTTCCAGGGAAAACTCACGAATAAACCGAAGAAGGCCTACCGAGCAGTTCAGTACAAGAGTCAGTGGTAATGAATTTGAGAAGCTGGAATTTACCATAGTATCAAATCCTCTGAAAGCCCAATATCCATCGCGGTGTGCGGAATACCAATCGTGAGCACACCAGTAGAGAATGAGGCTAGGAAGCTAATGCCAGCTACCGCTAGGACGATATTAACCAATCGCCAAGTTGGAATGTTACCATTATCATCATCATCATCATCATCATCATCATCATCATCATCATCATCATCATTTGTTATTGCTGCTTCTGCGGTTGCTGACGCCGTTGAAGATGGGGTTGTCATTTGACTATCTGCAGTCTGTGTATTTCTGTTGCTATCAATGTGAGATGTGCGCTCGGTTGTGGCTGTAGTGTGGTAGTAATTTGGTTTGAGCGCTCTTGTTCTGGCGTCTGATATTGCGGCATGAGACATCAATGAGCTCAAAGTTATGCCGTCCAGATCATGTTTGCCGGAGCCTCGGCTCTCAATTGTGATGAGTGGGTGTGCCATTTGAGTAAGTAGTAGTATATTGATACCATGCACGAGCTAGGTAGAAAGAGAAGTTGAAAGAGACCTTTTTTTCAATCAAAAGAACTGACTGAGTTTTAGGGTTTAGCTCGTCACAGGGCGTCAACACGCTGGCCAATGAAAAGCATTTCATCTGACCATTTTGTGGGGACGAGGATCAGATAAGCCGGTGTCTTACATAATCTACTGATCAGCCAATCATATTCAGTGTGTTGGAAATGGCCCCCAATAAGATTATTGCGACGATTATAATTTGGCTTTTGATTGGCTGTGAGCTTTAGAGCTCTTCCCCGCACGGTCTGACCACGTACAAGTTATTAAGAGTCCGCACGCGATCAAACCTTGGGTGTTATTTACACTCAAAACGGTATCAAACTTCCTGATTCTACTTCAAGCTGACTGGTCCTTGTTGTCTATTAATTAACTAAGACCTAAACAGCAACCGGGAACCACAAGTTGTCTCAGGCAGGCGTGGTGATCGGCGAAAGGAGTTTGGAGCGTTGGGAAGAAACTCGAGCGCCAGGGAGCTATATATATATCTAGGTACAAGATGGCGTATTCACGCCCATCTACAGCCATAATTTGTGCCGTGCTTCTATGGTCATCTATTTTTATTTCGTCCACTCTCGCAGCGGGCATCCAATACTGCCAATCCGACCCTCAATTCTGTTTCGCCGTGACGCGAAACCACAACGAGACAACCAATGACCACGATCTCTATTTAACGCTATCCACAACACCATCCAAAGATGGAGGCTGGTTTGGAGTTGGGCTTGGAAGCGAGATGAAGGATTCTCTGATGTTCATTATCTATGCCGACCAAGATAGGGAATCGCTCGTAACGAGTTTTCGGACAGCGGATGGTCATTCCATGCCCAAGGTTTTTTCGGAGTCGGATGTCACGGACCAAATTACTGTCTTGGAAGCAACTGCTTCGATTGACAATTATATGGCCCAGTTCGCTTGCTATAATTGTTGGTCGCCAGAGCTCTACGACGGGGGAGTCTCCCCATACATCTATGCTGGAAACACAAAGCAAACTTTTCTTTCCGCCGACAAATATACAAACTTGGAAATACATTCTTATGCAGGCGTTGTCTGGGGAGATATGAATCTCGCAGAACTGGCAGATGATGCACAGGACTTGGTACCTTCTATTCAAGGGGATAAGACCATTGGGTTTACTCGCGATGCACCAAAAGCAGAGGGGTTTTTCACTGCTGTTCGTGTTCATGGTATCATCATGACATTCTCTTTCATGGGCTTGTTTGTTGCAGGCAGTGTGACTATTCGACTTCCGCTTCTTCGCTCTTTCAAATATCACTGGGTAATACAATTATCTGCATCCATTTTAGCACTCGGCAGTGGGCTATACATGTTCATGCGCTCAACGCACTTTGGGGTGCACAAAATTATAGGCCTTATAGTTATCTGCTCTTTGATTATCCAGGCTGCCGCAGGCTACAAGCATCACATCGACTTTGTCCGGATACGCCGACAAACGATCTTTACACTTGTGCATAGGTGGCTTGGACGCGGAATTCTTCTCCTTGGTACCTTTAACGTTGGTCTAGGGATGTACTTCCGAGACTGGTCGTCTCTCGGCATGTTGGGCTGGTTCCTGATTTGGAGTGCCGAGATTACGGGCTATGGGTACATATTATTACAGCACGAGCGTCGCAAGAGGTCAGCACGCGGACAAGCTGTGCCGAAGGAAGACCTGGATGATATAGTGGATGCAGAGGTGTTTGATATTGGCGATGACTTCGAGGACGATGAGGACGATGTCGAGGGCATCCCACTGATGGAGCGTCCAGGGAGAAACGAAACGAAATGATTGCTTGATACGTACTCGATTCGAAGAAACCATCCGAGACGCAGTGGTCTTTCTTACTGAACATCTAGACCACCGACTTGCCTTTTATACATGCATTCTGTATAAACTTATGAGCCTTGCGTTTACGACTGAGCTTTTGGTTTTTCGATTTATTAGAACTGGGGACGGAAATGGGAACGAGTCCGATTTGGGTGCACTGTGTGACACATGAACAACATGCCATCATATAACTTAGCCAGAAGAGAAATAAGAAGGCTGATCAATGCGGCTAGCTAAGGATTATGATAGTTGTCGTAGGGACATTTGGACATAGCCATGGTAGGTCCTCGGCTTAAACCTGCAAGAGTAAACCTGTATCCTCCGTCCCTCTGTCCTGGTCCTGGTCCTGGTTTGTTGAAAGCATAAGCTAGGACGGCCCTCAATTGATCCAGGAGAGTAAGTGAGCAACAACTAGTAAGAAGAGCAGCAGCATGGTTGATGTGGGTATATATGTTCTAAACACCCAGTGCATTGACATGGCGGGAGATATGAGCCGTGGCAATAAGCAGAGCAGGCATTCGGAAAAGTAGCCATGGGAGAAGCAAGGCGAGCACCGGTTACTACATATCCACCCCCTACCGTCCTACCCGACGGAGTAGACATATTCAAAAGGGAAGGAGGAGGATAATATCCAAAGGTCGGTGACCCGTATGTATTACAGGGAATCTCATTGCTTGTATATGGCGGCGGCGGCATTGGTGGTAATGGATACGATGTGCCCACGCTGGGTGATTCGGGGGCATGTCCGTTTTCACCCAGGTAGCGCCATATAGTTCTATCATTTCCAAGAAATGAGTTCATATAGGGCATTGTGTTTGTTTGCACGTAATGCGGTGGGGTTGCTGGTGATGACGATGACGACGATGAGAGATGTTCACGAGATTCCGCGGTATCAGCTCTTTTTCTCCAAGGACGGCCTTCCTGGTCTCTGTGGCCACGATGCCCTCTATCATCTCTATGCGAATGTCTCTCCCCATTCTCCTGCTCCTGTTGCTTAGTCCGAGGTCATTCGTCCATGAATGAATGAAGAGTAGTCAAGCTTACACAACAGCCATTACAGAACCTATTCACAGTCAGATACAATGGCCGTAAAGGTTCATTACTTCTTCGCGGCGCGGACTCGATGACGCTAGAAGAAGATTTCCTGTGGCGTGACCTTTGGCGTCTCGCCGAGTCCTCCTGGGGTCTTGGTGGTTCATCGTTGACAGGGGTCGATTTGGAGGACTTATATGTGTAGCTATAGCGGTATGAGGGCATGTCGTCTGCAAAGTCTGGCAGTAATCAATCACTAAGATGTTGTAAAATGCTAGTTAATGACTGAAAATTGCTATGGTGCAGAGACTTGAAACTAAGGGTTGCTATTTTGTAAGTAACACGGACGGCCGCGGTCATACTTATAGAGATGCCGCGCAATGACTCGCCATGAATAGGTCGTCGACGGAAACCGTTGCTTCATTGGGAGTACTTGTAAACACCGCGATTTTTTCTTTATTTGTTAAAGAATCGTCAAGACTGTTTCTTTATTCCAACTCCTTTGGATGACAATGTGTCACGTTGAACTCCTCGTGACTAGTTATTACTATGGCTGAGATTATTAGGATCATCTCGGTAGATATAGAATGTCTTTGTAATCCGTTCGTGAATTCATGTGACATCTGATGTCATAGTATACATTGATATTATACATGATCGGTTAACCACCCGCAACAACTGCAAGCCCTTCATAAATCTTACGTTTCACAGCTAGAAAGCTGCCAGCACCCCTGCGTTCTGATGCGAAAGACTGCGCTGCAGCCTCAACTTCAATGGCACCGGTGCTAGACTTGCGGACTGCTACCATGCCGTCGATTAGTAACGTTCCCTCTCCGCGAAATTCTGCTTTATGCCCCGCAGATATCATGAGTTTCCGCAAGTCGGCAAGCCGAAGATCGCCCACGTGCAGCGGGCGAGCCATGGAGCGAGTCCCAGCTGCAATATTAGCCGGAAGTATGTCTAGAATGGGATACGCATCGGTCTTCGATGCTGATGAGTCATTAACTCCGTCAACCGGGGTAACGACAGCATCTGGCTCACTTTCCAGCAACTTTTGCTTTTTATTGGCTGACTCATTGATATCGTTTTCGGCAGCAACTCTCTCTGGCGGCTTAAGTTGGGCAGTAAGAGCTACGACACCAAGGCTCCGTACATGTTGCCACCTGAGTCGTCTAACCAGGCTGTTGCTCAGTTTCACCACCCAGGCATTGGTGTCAACACTGGCATCAATTGCTTCCCCATTGTTTGGTGTGAAGACATCAACAGCCACAGATTTATCGCCTCCGTCTTTACCTGCAAGCAAGTTCCGACATTCAGCAGCAAGGCTTGCTATCTCCTCTTTCACGCCACCCACAAGAATCAGTTTGCGGGGTTGGATAAGAGGAATCAGCATCTCAAGACTTCGCTTATCATGCAGGCCCGTGTAGTCAACAAATGCAATTCGCGCATTAACAGTGATAGTAGAGTATTGATACGCTGTTTTAGCAGGCCCTTCAAATGGCGGTTCGTCAATTTCATTGTCAGATAGATCCGCACCGTCGCTGGGAGCAGTCAGGTCATCGCGAAGACCAAGTTCTTCCGCACTGCCATCCAGAACTCCCTCTTGAGATAGTGCTTGACGTTTGCCCGTACCTCCGGTAGGGCCCTTCTGACCTGTTTCATCCCATCGGCGTTTCTGTCCAAGCCTCATTTCGCCTTGCGGTCCAGAAGCTTGCTGTTGAATATCTGCTGTTTCTTCACGCTCTTCTGCTCTCAGGTACTCCTCTGGGCGGATAAATTCTCCATACTCATCACCGCGTTTCTTGGGAGCAACATAGGGAAACATGCGCTCACGGCCTTTCTTTCCACGGACATCATAATCAAAGACATTTTTGCGTCTCAGAAGGACGTTAATGCCCAGGTCCTCATCTCTTAAGCCAATCTTACTTCGATTAGAATGTGCCAATGAGGTCGAAAAGTTAAGGATCCTTCCTTGCTGTTCTGACTCGGAATCCTCGGATGACGTTGAACTAGCCCCATCGTCAAGAGCATCCGCGGCAGTATCCATATTGGAATCCCCGCGTGCCTGGGATGTATTCTGGATTTGCCTTTGGGTTGCAAGATATTGCTGATAGAGTACCTGCTCATCGACATCAAGCGGAACCCGATCTACATCCGTCACTGAAATTTCTCGTCCACCCGAATGTATCTGCTCAAGTAATTCTCCGCTCGAGGTTGTTTCCATAGCCACGCCATCCTTCCTTTCTTCATACCATCGCCAAATCATCCTCCCAAGAGTCATTTTCTCCGTTTGTTCTAGTTCATCAATCTGATAGCGAATCGGAAGCGATTCAGTCAGAATTATTAAATTTTGCGAGCCCTGTGCCAGATGACGGAACGTCTGCTTTGAATACCCCCAATCTAGCGAAGTGTCTGAGGCAATGATAACTTTTGGGGTGCCATCAGCTATGATTTTCTCCAGTTTCTTTTTTTGCTCAACAATCTTCAAGTGCTTCAATGTAAAGGGTCCCAGTTTGACGGACTGTTGTTTGTCTCGCGAAGGGGGGGCAGCACTACGGCCCTGGCTGTCAGTTCTCTTGTGACTTCGAGCTGCTGTTGCTGAATCGCCTCCCTCGACGGCCTCGAACTCTCTAACTATACCCTCGTCCATCCATTCCAACATACTTCTAGCTAGGCGCATAGTACTGTGTGCTTTCCGTCCAGCCAAGTAGAGCTCAGCATTTTTGAACGCATCTTCGTGATCCTCAGAATCAGCCGCATCACGCCAAGCATGTTCTAAAGCGTATGACAGCTCAAGGACCCGGGCACTGGTATCTGTAGGAATTAGAACAGATCCACCCTTTGCAAGGCTACTGCGGATCATGTCAAAGAGCAATGCATCTCTTTTCTGCAGGCCGCCTGGAGGGGCAATTTTGTCTCCACCCTTGGCACTACAAATCAATGCTGTAGGCTTGCGCAATTGTTCAATAACTTCGGTCCCGGTACCTCCAAACCAGGCAGCACCCGCTACCACATTCTCCCTCGCTTGATTCCAATCTACAGCGTAGACAATAGACTCCATGCCATGCTGAATATGCCATATTGTTCCTCCCACTGTGTGACCGGCGCTGTACGCAGTCAAAGTCAAGCCGTCAAGTGGAGGAGAAAAAGGCGAACAAAGGGGAGAATGAGGCTGTGAATATTTAAGCGGGTGAATAAGTGAGAAGTATCGAGCGATTTCCTCGGCATTAGGTGGTTGAAGGAGGATCCTGCCAGTTGTAGCAAGATTACTGCGACTGTCTTCGGACCCTTCTGCAGACGCTGTTTCTGCTGTTGCGGACGCTGCCGACGTGGATGCTCCGGGCTCAGATAGAGATGCTTTGGGTAGAAAGGTCGCGGCGAGGGGCGCCGATGCGTACATGTCTTGGAGTAGCGTTCTCCCGAGCGAGATAACCGGGCCGGTGGCATAAACTGGGATTTGATTGAAAAGCGGAAACATCTTACAGCAGTGCGCAAAAGCACCGAGGTGGGATATGGTCGCATGCGTTAGGAGTACCAAGGAAAGTGTGGGAATATGCCTGCAGTAAAGATAGGCGTTAGTTCAGAGATTACTTGAAGTAAAGACAGAATGAAAGTTACTTTTCTAGCTCGGCCAGCTCCAAGGCATCAAAAGTCTCGTCCCAGCCAACATCGACAAGAATCTTAATTCCACCTTCAAGCTCGAGGATCGACTGCGATGCTCTTGACGAAGAGAACTGGGCGCCCAGAAGGGGCGTGAATGTAAACATTTTGAAGACGGGCACCTGATGGCGCCGACCCCAACGTGGTTGTCCACACGATCAGACCAGCTGTCTCTCTTCAGGCCTCTGTAAGTTACTAGCAACGCACTCGTCGTTCTGGTACTGAAATATCACCGCAAGGATGCAGTGGATATAATTTTGTTCGGAGCTTTGAAGATGGCACGAGCTTCCGCGGGCTCCTTTGCTGGGCAGAAGTTTGCACTGTTTGCATCTCGGCCAACTTGACTTTACCATTATTGTCATCTGGGCGACCTAATATACAACGAATAACTTTTATGGCCAGACTATGAATCGAAACGGCAATCGGAAAATACAGCCAAAGGAGAGTCCTTTATGTCAATTCGGTCATAACATCTTGCGGTCAATTGATGATATTAAAAGCATACAAAAAGAGACACAAGAATATCCCAACCAAGATAGCTACTGCCACGAACCAAAGATTTTTGTGTCTGCCAATGTGTTGGCGGACTTCATTGACTCCATCGTCCGTCCCTAGCCCTGCTAATGACTGCGTTTGGATACTTCGAAGGAGAGGGACCCGTTCGCCTGAATGTTCAGCAGTGAAATCTTCAGGGTCCCACAAGTCTTGCGCAATGCTGTGAAGTGGCACATCTCTAGGAGCATTCATCGAAGCCGGCTGAGAATTTACGCGCCGCCTTCTGTCGAATTGAGCTGCTGCAGAATAGGCATTCTTGTTCGTACGTATGCCAACCGATTCTGGAAATGCAGAACTACTTCGGACGTGAACCCGAGGTGGCTTCTGTAAGTTCCATGCTGGGTGATATGTCCATTCGTCTGGTTTTCCAACAGCTGCCCCACCTTTCTGCTGGTTGTCCCTAGGTCTAGTCGATTGAGGCTGGTTGATGTCCGCCTGCCGGCTTACGAAACTGTTCGTCGAGTGTGGGTCTATGAGTACCATGGCTGGCCCGTGGATCTGAGAAGGACTTCTATTAGCCTTCCCGTCAGATGATAAGCGTGAGGTTGAAATGTTATTTTCAATCCGCCGCTGATTGATGGATTTGATGTGAATCTCGTTTCTTCTAAGCGATTGCCGTGGAAGAGGGGGGCCCACTCCTTCCATGGTCTTGTTCCCAATACCCTGCCCGGAAAGATAGCAAGACTTGGAAAGCTCTTTTTCAATTTTCCGGCGTTTTCTGGGTGAGGGAATGTCTTGCTCGACTATTCGAAGATTAGCAACGCTCAATGTTCAGTGGATATTTATTCAGCTTACCCGGCTGCATGATAACCAGCAGCTATTCTCTTGTCTAGTCAGACTGGTCAACTGATTCTTGGTCGGACTTTGGCTTTGCTTAATTTCTGGTTCTTCTCTTTTTGATTGACGGTCTGATGCAATCCAATCCCACGTGCTGCTAAGATTCGAGTTCATGTCAGGAAATGCAGGGACAATGAAGATACGGAATGCAACGTAATCTTGCAGTTACATTGACTGCTCGGATTTCCTCAGGAAATTGCATGAGATGTTGATCAATGACAGCAGCACATCCTAGAACTGTTAAGTATCATAAGATCGACAAAGAAAACTGTGGAGGAAGCATCAATCAATATTGATGATGAATGGATTGACCACTTACCAGATATTTCAGCTTATTTTGAAAAAATATCATTTTCCTTGATATGACAAGGGCCAGTTTCCTCCTTTTAGGTAAGATTTTGAACGTTCTTAAAACCGAACCCTTATATATATATACAAGGTAAATATAGTCTACCCTGTGTAACTTACCTACATTAGGCGGAATTCTCAATCCCTCATTGTATTACTCAATAACTAGGAGTTTGCATCGAGTTGCAGTCCGAGACCCCAGTCTTTACATCTTCAGTCCACATCTGGACAGTAGAAATACTTAGCTTTAAGCCACAAATTGTTCTTACTGACCTGTCCTCATGACCTACAAAACACATGCTACTGGCGCTTCTTAATTATCTAATTTTTCTACACATTTGCGCCAATGACATAGTTGAGTGGATCTCGCTCTCCCAAGCACAGCATACATCTGACGTTAATAACATTCCTGAGCACGGTTGGATGCATTGAAATAGTTGGACAGGAATAGAATGTGAAGGAAGCCAAGTAAAAATGTTCAATAGATCAGACTTACTTCATACGAATGTAATCTTGGTCTCTTAAATCTCCCCTTGTCTAAATGGGCTGTCCAATGGCAGGCGAGTTGGCATCAGTCAGGAATGTCAAGAGAAGCCCTGTGCTTTTTGCTTTAGGCTAAGATCAAGGTCAATGTATCAATAAGAATTCCCATGAATTGAGGTAGCCGCTAGACACGGAGAATTAATTCCCTCATAGGAAGTGCTCATGATGAATTTATTGGGGGATGTTTTGAGGAGTAAAGAGTGACGCCGTGACCGTTAAAATGATTCCCTCCAACTGCCCAGGTGGATTCTTCCCTTTTTGGTAGTACGTACGGAAATGAAAATTTGCATCGCTCATATACCAGGAACAAGTCTTGATACTTGTCTCAAAGCGTATTAAAGAGTATTCGACAGTAGTCCAAATTGGTCTTCTACTCAAGAAAAGGCCTAGCAGAATCCTAACTGCGCACGTACACGGTTGGTATGTGACAAACCTTCTTGAAAGCCGCACCATTTCTCCAAATTATCCCGTGGAATGAGATCAAGCAGTCATTGTATGCGGCGTATGTTTTTCAAAAATTTCCGATATTGAATGAAAAAGCCACATCCTCGCAAAAGATGACTCATCGTGTCATCCTAACGTATTTCCCAGGTAAACCGCGCACCTGTAATTCCTATACAAAAAAGACATTTTTACCCCCTGTAAATTCCACAAATTTATATATAAAGTAGACCTAAAAAGTTTATATATTAAATAATATATATATAAGAGCTTATTTATAAAAAATAATAAGAATCTATCTATAGATTTGTTAAGATAATAAGAAACACGCTAGTAATTATTGTAATTTTTAATACGAAAGGGTTTATAAGATATATAGAATCTATAAAGCTATATATATAATAGTATATGAATATTATTTGATAGTTATATAAACTTTTCAAGTCTAGTTTATATATAAATTTGTGGAATTTACAGGGGGGTAAAAATGTCTATTCTGTATAGGAATTATAGGTGCGCGGTTTACCCGGGAAATACGTGAGTCATTTACAGGGGGGTTAGTTATTTCTCGGTCTTGTGTGTTGGAATCCATTTATTTTAGGATCTAAGCGACCTGGCTATAAAAATGCAGGTTGATTACGCTAACATTTGACTAGACGCGGAACATAGCTCCGTTTTCCGCCATGCAACAACTTATAAATACAAACTATCTAAGTTACGGAGCGTGGTAGTTGCCTCCGCATGTTTGTTAGTGCAATTTTTCTAGAAGCCGGAAGAGCAGATGGTATCGCCGTTACGGGGTTACTGCCAAACTCGTGTCAGACAGCTTTAAATTTAATATAAAGTAAGACAAGTACTCCGTACAAAGAAAGGTTTTTAATATAAACAGCCAGCCAAATGTGTGAGATGTGAGCACTTGGCATCCTTCCATAAGCTCGGCACTGGGATTCACTAGTCGTCGACTACAGAGTACTACTCCGTATTAAGAATTTAAGTTAGTAGTTACGAGGACGTGTATTTCTCGGCTTTCGGTCATCAGTCCTTAACCCTCTATTTCTATCAGTCAGTCTGAGATTCTAACATGATAACTGTGGCATAGCTCGGACATTGACAATTGGGCACAAAGCACAGTTCAGCAGGTAAATGTAACCTACTACTGATTGGTACGGGCATTGGATGAACGGATGTATGCTGTGTCTATACGAAGTCAACATGAATCGTATCTCCGGCGACTTTCTTTTCTTTTTCCTAGTCCGCTTTTTGTTAGTGCGGCCTCGTCTCGGCCACGCACGCCACGCATGCATTTATTGGTAAGCTTTTAGCTTGCTTCAGGGATTCTTGGCCTTGGCTTGATCTAGGTTATTTTAGAGTCTCGGGGAAACGTTGGACCAGGGTCAACCTGAATTCTACGAGGTTTGTAAGTTATACGAACTACTAAGTTTGAACGCTGCGGCCTGGCAGCTTGCAGGTCACCGTATTTATATTGCTACTTAGTATTAGTAGTGTCAAGTAACGTAATAACTCTCTGAAAACAATTATTACAATTTAGAAGACTATAGTGTATCAGTCTAGTGTATCAGTAGCTCCCCTCATGTGAATGAGCTTCTGAGTACCCTATATAGTAGGCTGCCTTGTGACTACTGCTTAGACCCCCCGTCAATGCAATGTGATGCAAGGAGACGAATATAAGCTGAAAATCGGATATTGAGCATCATTTCTCAAAAAAGAAGAGTCCGCAGCACCCGCTTCAACCGCTCTCTCCGAACTACGTATTTACATTTTTTTACGGAGTACTTTGTACTCCATATGGAGGAAACAACACTGTTATCAGATGGGGTACCAGACTATTGTAATTTATGAACGTAATCGTATATTCGGAGACAATTTTAACTTAAGATAACCTTTCAAACCCAATCTTCCACATGGCTATCCGGTCTCTCCCCATTGGCGCGCTAATCGATTCTGCCCTATTGGGGCATCTCACGGAGTATGCTTAAACCTCATGGTTACGGAGACTGAGACATATCCTACAGAGACTGGATGCTTTTGTCTTTCCACCCTCGGGCTCATTTACCAGTTACTACGTACTAAAACTGAAAGCCGGGTCCTGAATTGCTGGATTCATGAGTTGATGATCAAGAGTGGCCCGATCAGAGTCAGTAAATCTCGGTTATATACTCTGCCGTAACAGGCACTCATTCGCGTCATACTTCGGAAGTATTCCGGACGCAATATCAGATAATAGCTAATTGTGTACTCCGTAGTGCTGAGTGGACGGGGTACAACGTCCATTCACAAACAAATACTTAGGCTAGCTAAGATAGAGTGATGCTCGCCTCCTGCAGCTAGTACAGCATTATGCATGTCCTACGCCGCCGCTTAGCTTTCCCTGTTGGGGAAAAGCCCCGGCTGACTTGAAAGTTGGGTCAAGCTTAAAAATAAAGACTAAGATAGAACTAAATTTAAGTAAAAATAAAACCTTTAAAATTAAAAATTAAATCGGGCCCGTTTTAGACCGTACGGAGTTACCGACTTTACGTGTCGGTGGATATTGATAACTAGAGTATAGTTATATGGTTACGGAGAACTAAACAAGGTATGACTAAGAAACTAGCCTAATCCTGTGTAGGCTTGGCAATTTTATTTCCTGCTTGGGAATCTACACTTAGGGATGCATTTATTGTGTTGGATACTGTAGCATCCTATAATTGTTGATGGACCAATGTAACGAGATGGCCCGATCTACCAATTACTACGCGGTACGGAGTAGTTGGTTACGTAGACCGGCGAATGCAAGGCCAGCCCTCGTCATACACTTCGTCAACTCAGAATCTCAGACATGTTATGGTGGGATTGATGCTGAACAAAGCAGGTATAGTGTATGATTTATTATTGATAAGACTGTTGTCTTGAATTTGATGTACGTATGTACATAACCCATAGAAACATGCTCCGTTGTGTTTGTCAAAGGGAATAGACTCATTCGATAGGAAACGCTAAAGTACTTCTGCACTCCGTATCCGTATTCCGTACAGCTATATCAGCAAGGGGCCTAACAAAGTTCCAGGTTATACATAAGATAGTCACTGACAATCAGCTTGTAATCACTCGCAGGAAGATGGATGTACGCGCTGTACGACGTTAAAAAGACATTCAAGACAACTTAAAAAAGGTGTGGCTAATCATACTTAAACCTTAACTGTGATGAAATTTATAAGTAAGCTAGCTAAATGACACCTAGTATGTATATAGTACTCTGTATGTATATCCCAACTCCTTTCCAATTCGAATACAATGATGTCCAGTATAAATTCCGTACGTACTAGAAGTGTAAATGTTATGTGTAGCAATACTCTGTGTCCCGATTCCATAATAACTCCATACTTTGTAGGTAAAATACGGAGCCGGCGGGCATAAGCTGAGTGAGATTTGAATGCGTAATCCTGTGGGGGCTGCATAGTTATCCCTACATCTGCCTGACTGCGCCGCACACTACCATCATACCATAACGAACATCAAGTCATCATATTCGTTTACTATCCGCTGCTTAGCAGGCGATCATCTTTCCGAGAGTAGCTACCTTTCTGGGTATTTATCAGCGCCAATCTATGTAAGCAAGAAGTATTGGGCGTGTTTCATATGCGACGATGCTGTGGATAAATCGATTCTAACTTTATGCTTAATTCATGAGACATCTGGGCGGAATTATCCTTGGCAGTTCATAATCTCTCGTCCTGTTGGCTGGAAACGTAAGCATCCAACATGGCTCTTATTCCCGAGCGCAGCATTGGCCCGACATTCGTGTATTCAGGCGTGCTGCCGCACATCTAAAACCAACTTAGCTAGTTAGTTAGTTAACTAGGTTAGTTACTCACTTAAGATAATGCTTAATAATTAACATATACTACGCCGTATTAGGTACTCCCGGGCTCCGTACGCACATACTATGGAAATATATGTTTATTCCCTTCAGCAGACTTAGCCGAGTAGGAATTTAGAAAGATGACGGCTCTAGACTTCTTCAACCGAGTCAGTCAGGCCCCCTATGAAGGTGCTGAATTGCTTGGTGTAAAGTCTTGGGTTTCTGAATCAAGTAATCACTCATTCACCGGTTTCGCCGACATCTATTACTTGAATCGCTTATTTTAAATAGTACTACTGATGTCGATCCAAGACTCTTTTTGTTACAGTCGCATTTTTATGGATCTGGCAACGTAAGCGCCTGACATGCATATAGTTACTTATATTTAGCAATCTAAAATTTACGTAGTTTACAAAACTTCATATGAAAATGAGAGTCTAGTTGAGCTAGCCTCAAGCCTAATTTATTATCAACGATTAACTAAGCACCTTTTAAGTGCCCCGCTAGCCCCTCCTGGCTAGCGCATCTTGGCATGACGTGTGTCGCGTGCTCGGCTTACGTGATCACCGAGCTTGTGAACCCCCCCAGCCCTAACTCTCGACATATGATACTCTGTGCTTTGCACGGAGTATACCGTATCCTCTATAGTAATTATATAACTACTACATGCGACATGCTATGTAACTACATCTTAGGTAGTACTGGCATGTACTAGCCAGATATCTCGCAACTAGATGCTGCTTCTAGTTAGCACCTACTAATATGGTAATTTTAGCTAATACCTCGTACACGGAGCATATCAAGTTTAGCCTCCACAACTTTAATTGTCATTGTTTGCCACTACTTGTAGCCAGTTACACCCTGTCTTCTAGAATACTATATAGTATACGTAACATTGAATGCACCAATAACAGCTGTTCGTAGACGAGCCGCGCCAGTTTGCTACCGCTGGATACGACAACTCTATTCGGTATTCCACGCTCAGACTCCGTGTGCATCGACCGACCAGGCATATAATATAACCAGATCTATGCACAGGGTATATGACTGTATGCACTGTGCTGTGACATATCCGTAGGTGACCTCGTCTTGGCGAGCATTGACCACGACTGAGCGCTGATTAAGATTTAATCAATAACAAACTAAATGAGCAACCTTACTGTGAGACTTGAGGAGTGAGTTATGAATATGCATTGTAAGGATTAGTGCAATGCCTCGTGTGTTGGATTAAGCTTAAGCTTCACTGCGCGCGCTAGTTCCAAGACTGTACCAGTGCCATGCCAACCTGACTCAATCAGCGTATTCCCCCGTATCTAATAAAATGCCGAAATACATGATCAAAATTATTCCGTAGTTACTTTATACTTATACTCCATATTCCTTATGTAGTATTAGTATGTAGTAATATGTTTGTCCACTATAGTACAGCAGCATTCCAAAACACTCCGTCATTCTAGACTCGTAATATGCTTATTAATGTGGGTGCAGGACCCTTATTTTTACCTTTCACGGCACTATTGTGCCGGTGGAACTGTAACTACCCATATCTATTATTTAGTATCTATTGCGTCCTCTGTAATGTACGGAGTAAATCAGGAATGCAGGGCGCAACATATCCACACGTAGGACTCTCGAGCCTCCTGCCTAATTGTGGCGGTGTCCGGGCACTCGGCGACCAGGCAAATGAATTTAAAGATGCATCAATCAACGTTAATAATAATAGCCGACGTGTGGTTCGTCACAATACTTTAATATATAGTGCGTATTTACTACTCAGGATTCGGTAATTTACGTATTAGTTTCAAGTTTCCACGCCGTTCCTTGGTTCTTGGGTTCTGCGAAATTTCTTAATGCAATCCACCCATCATTGACCACCCCCCATACCAAGCCTTTTATTAGCATGGACCAGGGTAAGCAAAGGTCTGTGCCAGCCAAATCTAAAATCTTACCATCGGCCTGGGTGTGGAGCCGGCTAGCACTGATCTTACCTTATTATGTACTGCATATCTGGCCTGAAACATTATTTCTTTTCCTTTTTTTTATTCTATAATCGTCCAGCCTACTGCCTGGCACTAGTGAAGTATCTGCAAACTTGATCCTTCAAGGCTTCGGCCAATTTTTGCTTTTATCTTCTATTGGTAGTGAGACCACGTATCTATTTTATTTTTATTCCCGTTCTGGTTTCACTCTATTTCGGTCCACTGTTGACAAGGAAAAGTCAGCTTGTTTAGGATGGCCCCGCTGTTGGATTAAATTTATTCTTTCAATTATTTTTTTATTTTTTCATTTTCCATTTTTTTATTCGTTTGATGCACTGCGCCGCATTGTTGACTCCACCATCTAACAAAAACTAAAAGTAGCGTACGTAAGTTGAGTTATGCTTGGGCCTTGCTCGATACGGGCTAGTACAATACCATACCATACCATACACCATATCCAAACTTAATATCAGCGTGGCCCCGTTTGGTGACGTACGTATCATACATACCTGCCCACATGGATGCATCGATCTGATATCCGAGAGCCCCTGCCGCTTCTTATTTTATGCTTACTCTCCCTCTCACACTCTCGCTCGCTCTCCCTTGATTGCTCCCTCTCCTTCCTTCCGACCTACACCTAAGTCGTCAAACAAACAACACTAGGACACGGGCAAGATACCGATACAAACCGCAGGACAAACCCTCAACGACCCAGAGCAAAGGCTCTTCCTCTCACTCACAAATGGAGACTTACCACGGTCTCGTCCGCACGCCCGCGGATGCCATCATTCTATTTGAGGCCTGTCGACTAGGGCTTCTCCCTCGCGTGCAGCGCCGCTTGTCAGAGAAAGAACGCCAGGCCATTAAATCAGGGTCTGTCTTTGTATGGGACGAAAGGGAAGCAGGCATGCGACGGTGGACCGACGGCAAATCGTGGAGCGCCAGCCGAGTATCCGGCAGTTTCTTGACGTACCGTGAGATGGAAGGCAAGCGCGGCGGCGGTGTTTCGACTTCGCGAGCAGGCAAGACACCCGATAGTCGAGGGAACAGCGATGATGACCGGGATGGCTCCGAGGAAGGCCAGGATGGCTACCGATACAAGCCAGACGGTCTGATGAAGCAGTCCTTCAGCATCACCACGTCGACCAGACAACACCTACATCTCATCAGCTACTACGCTCGCTCTCATCCAACCGCTCCTAACTTCAACCAGCCTTCTACCGATCCAGCGCTACGACACATTCGTCCACAAAAGGGCCTCTACCCAGAGTCAACGGTCACTGATCCGCAGAACCTTCCAGTCGTGACGCGAGGCCCTATGCCTGGCACGATGACACTATCTCCTCACATGGCTGGCTTCCCTCGAAACAGCGCCACCCACCCGCAATCCTACGCTCCGCTCTACAGTTGGCCTCCAACCCCTTCGGCGACCCCGCCAACGGCTACCATCCCGTACCCTGGGCCGAATTACCTGCCTCCTCTCGCTGGTGCCGGTCCTCCACCATATGCACAACCAGTACCACATCCTCAGGGTCCTCCTGCTCCGCACCAGCAGCTTCCTACACCATCAGAACGACCACAGCATCTTGAAACGACACTCCCGCCACCTGTACCGTCCGCTACAATTCCCGCACCAAGTATCCCAGGTTATCTTACTCGTTCACCACGCCCAGGTCCCACGTCTGTCGATGCCGTTTATGCCGCAAAGGCCAGTTTGTCCGTTCACATTGATCCTCACCTGATCTCTTCCCAGTCTCAAACACAGGCAATAACCGAAAATCGGCACTCTCCTATGCAACCCTTAACACCAAGTCAGTCACATTTACCTCTCCCCAATAGTCGTGAGGCTCTAGGGTCGAGTTCGACTGTGCCCAGCATTGTGGCTTTGATGAACGGGCCTGCTCCTGCGCCTGCACCCTTTTCGAAACTGAACGGTAGTCCCGGTTTACAGACAGAGGGGCCAAAGGATATTCCCAGTGATAAGATTGGGTTCGGGGGAGAAGATATGCGGGCTCTACGACAATTAGATCGAGTTTTTACGGCTTGATCTAGTTAAAAACAGTGATGTATTTGCATGTTATTTTCAACCTTATTCTTTCTATTTCCTCTTTTTTCTTTTCTGTTGTTTTTGATTGCTTTTCACGGGGTTATCATATCAGCCTACGGGCTCATGGGATGGCGTTGAGTCATTGCTTATGGATTATTATTGCATGGGCGGTTGCTAGGTTAGGTCTATGATACAGGGCATTATGAATATTGCTGGTTTTATTGTATGTTATTAGCTGGGTTGATTCCCCTGTCTTATTATTGATATGAGTGACCGAATAAATATTAAATACTTTAATACTTATTAATTTGATTTCGCCTAAATTATTTTTTAAAAAATAAAAGTGCCAACATTCTAGAAGGAATGAACGCTCACTAGTATTGTTACAATAGCCATAACAACCACTCGCAAACATACCTAAGTATGGCGTAGCTACTGTTGGTAACTTGGCATGCATCGTAATATATAAATATTGGTTCGTCGTCAGCTCAAACTCAAGTCTCCTATCCTACACGAGTTAGTTGCCTGATACGTAATAAGCATACATTCGACTACAACTATTTAGGTATGTCGTAACAAATCCTTGAGACCGTCACACCCGGTGGCGCAGTCTAGAAACATGCAGTAATATAGTATAGTACACTATGCATTGATAAGCGTACATTGCATATGCAGGGTCATTCCATTCACTCATTCAATCAAACAAGCAAGCATTTAATTAATTAGTTGATTAACTGCAGCTGCATACATATTTACCTACATACGTACGCATTTGTGTCACATTGACTTGACAGCTATCAATATCCCTGGCTCTATTCCAAATACCTCTGCATGGATAAAGGTTATACATACGTCGTAAGTTAACTACCAGCCTGTGAATATACATATATATGTATGGTACACGGATACGAGTATGTCGTTGCCCGGCTCCCATTGGCCGGCCGGGCTAGGCATTGCTTGGCCACCGCCAAGCCAAGCCAAGCCAAGCCAAGCCACGCCAAAGCCTAATCATAATACCGCGTATGCCCCTGTATGATATCGGTTTCTTACATACGGCGGCGTATTAATGCTTACACGGATCATCAGCCGAAACACTATTCGGCTCTTGTATAAGACAGGACAAGGCACGACACGAACAAAGAAGGACTCTGAGACAGACTAGTAAATATCTAAATAGCCAGTGAGTTAGTCGGCAACAGCCAAAGTTAATAATTTGCAAGCTTTGGTTGGTATACGAAACCTTGCTTACTCCTTACTCTGGCACCAGCAGCATGAAGTACGAGAACCAAAGAACTATAATAATATTAAGCATAAGCATATTCTTATGCTTTTCACTAACTGAGCACGGATGTAAGCAAGTACGTACTTCTGCTCACGGAGTTTCTTAATACACGGCTAACTAACTGCATGCCATAGTTTGTTTGATTTAGTTTACACTTTCGGCCCGTGTACGGGCAGATGTCGGACACGGAGCACAGGACGGAACTCCGTCTATTTCTGTCTAAACGAACACGAGCCTCTTTCTCTTTCTTTCTGCCTATTTTGCCCCCTGCGTTGATTATAATCCATTCAAGGCGATCGAGTTCTTTGTCTGTAACATACTCGTACAAAATGGATCTAAATCTGAAATCCTCATCGATCAAAAAAACAAACGTTGCATTTTAGAAGGATCCCGAAACTGCAACTAAAATTAACCTTGTTTGAAATCCTTTGTTCTTCTTGTTTCTTTGTTCTATTTTCTGATGTCGTACTCATAGATAGGTACGATTACGTCGATGCCTAGGGCTGGGCGTTTTCCTTTTTCGGTAAGGGATAATGGTTAGCTTGTTGTATTATAGTACAGATTACATAGTACTATATATATAGTAAGTAGGAGTGTTGAATGAATGATATGGATAGCACGCAATCCTCCCATGAGTTATTTGTTGAACTCGGCCCCGTGGAGCAGTGTAGTTAGTGCTGGAGTCTGAAGTTTATAAACTTTGTGTCACTTCAAAGTTCAGCGTCAATGTAACTATGACAGGTAGATCGCGAATCGCTGCTGTTCCTATAGTCCTGAAGCAGTAGATGTAGTTACTGATGTAGATGTTCTTTCTGGTGGCGTCAATCCGGGAGTGGCTTTTGTATTAGCCCTATCCAGTAATTGTTCAGCATGGTAAGTTTATAACTATCAAACTGTATTTCTTATATTTGCTAGTTACTCCGTACAGAGTATATAATTTTAATACTCCGTACGGAGTACTGCCATTATGATAATCCTGATTAGCGCTTATTAAATACAACGCGGAGCGGTCCTCCATCCTCCGTCCGTAGTACTACGTATATGATTATGCAATATGCTCACCCTCGCCCCATTGCAGAGTCATGTATCCGTAGCTTAGTGAACACATAGCGAATCACCAAGTAGATTAACTAACCCTCCATGCGAGTCCCAAGTAAACGTCCGTGGCTGGTTGGTTGGTCACTGCGTGTGTGTACTGTTCAGCTAGTCAGCATTAGGCGCAGATCTCGGGCACGCAGAAAGGTTTTGTCGACTGCCTATTTGGGTAAATACTACGCGTTGTAGACTGCCAATTATGATCTTGGATTGGATTGGATAGAGGTAAGGATAACTCATCACAAATTTGCCTGCTCCATATTTAGTAAATATACTCCGTAAAAGACATGATGCGGGCCGGCATAGTCGAAACTATAAGTTAAGATTAAGCTTAACTAAACATGGATTTTTGTGCGACGGAGCCAGTTTGTTGGCCCCCAGGTTTTGGAATTGTCAATCATGCCATGACTGTCTTTTCTCTTACTAACAAGGTAAGAAACTACGAATGGGTGGAGTCTATTATTGATACCCAGTCTAGGTTTTTGTGTTTTTCCAATGTAATGAGGCGTTTCGTAAAGGACAAGATTTTGTGGTTTTTTGACTCTTGAGTCGAAGACTATCACATGAGCATCCAAACCCTAATCCATTCTTCGGTCCACAGCGCTTCAACTGACGGATATTCTGGGAATTTTATTTTTAAACTACGTAATTCGTACTTTACATAAATCCAAGACGTTATCTAAATTCATCCGAAAGTTCGACCAGTGTACTAATCAACTAAATACCTGTAATAGTTAAACCAATTACCCTCTCTGTATGGCATACTTCAAGTGAGTATATATTTTATCCAATGCTCACAGTCAGTCTATACTAGCCCTTCTCGATCTACTTAAATAAGGATGATCAAAATTTGCCATTCAAAGGTCTTCCGGTTGATCGCGGTCGAATGTTGGCTCATCGTACTCGTCATGCGGGATTGGCTCGATGATCTCTTTTGTGCGTGGGCCAATGTACTTGCTATATCATTGTTAGAGATAATCGTCACATAATCCGTGTCCGGTTTATTCTCACCTCCTTGCTGATAGCCACCACCACGATAGTGAGAAGACGGCAATGAACGCGGCCACACAAACGGCATAGTTCCTACATATGAATAACACGTGAGTTGGCTTGACTCATCAACATAGGTAGATACTCACATATTCGTCGCTGTAACAGGTCTCGTGGGAGGAAAGAATAGTACAACGCTGATGAACATAACCCATGTAATAGAGATAAGGTTGATAGGCCTGCCCCATCGTCCAAGAGTAAACGGTCCCTCTATAAACCTGACGCGATGTCTATATATCTGGTGAGCTAGAATAACAGAGATATACGAGATATCCAGCGCCGGAGCGGTGATGTTGAAAATAGCTGATGCTGTCTCGGTCGACCCAATCGCAATGAGGTTGAGAGCGGCGCTGAAAAATACCACGAACCAGACGGAATTCACCGGTGTGTGCGTTGTCTTGTTGACTTTCGCCAGAAACCTTTCCTAGTGAGCAGCAAATCCACACAGACAGGCAGATAAAGAAAGAGATAGTTACTTTGAAAATGGTAGGGCTTCGTCCCGAGCAAATGCGTATGCCATGCGAGTATCAGCCAGCATGGCAGAACATCCAGTGAAGAATTGAACGAGGATCACAAAGAACCACATCACGGTTCCTCCAGTTTGACCGCCAGCATTGAGGAAAATCTGTGCTGCAGGCATTTTAGTAGGGCTGTTTAGAATATTTTCCAAATCATCAATGCAAAAGCACATGGATACGGTAAGCATCCACCCGAATAGCCCAGACACAACAACTGCGGTACGAATAGCCAATGGACCTCGGATTGCTGCGTCGTGGGTCTCCTCTGACATACTACAAAGCACTGTTAGTGAACCAAGTCATCAGATCGGTGTGACAAGAATGCAGAGTCATACTGAGTAGTTCCGTCATAGTCGGTCATCGTCCATGCCACAGACAAGAATCCAAGAAGAAACGAGAAAAACTTCGAGCTCCATCCCGATCCGTCCGTCACGTTAGTGAAAACCCATTTGGCGGATTGTTTTTCAGGTGTTAAGACTAGGATTGCAATGCATATGCCAATTGTTGCTAGAACTGGATAGGCAATTAGTTTGAGGCTCCTAATCAATTTACACGGTCATATCTCACTATTCACTGGTGCAAACCAAAGGACAATTCGATGCAAAGTTTTGGTCGTAAGGGAACAGATTACTCCCATCACACAAAGTAAAGCAAGCGATACGAGCACTGTCTGTGCTGCAGTCCTGCGCAAAATGTTAGTAAACGCCAGATTTGCAAACAGGGTTAAACGAAAAAACTCACGGCGAAAAAGAGTATTCGCCCTCGCCTAGATATGAAGAATTCATGCTTACACAAGCTAGCAGCATCTGGCTAACAGTGTATGCGACGCTTGATACACCGGCTGTCTGACCAAGCAGATTGCACCATCCTTGCACCCATGCAAAGATAGCAACCTGATCTTTGGGCACTACATGCTTGGTGACAAAATACATGCCACCTGCCGTTGGGTAGGCAGATACCAGCTCGGCCACAGAACTGCCGATGCACATTGCCATGCACGATCCTATGAACCAGCACCAGACCGCGGCACCGGGCCCTCCAGCTGCAAGGGGGTAGGAGAAAGTAGCTGGGACTGATCCCAACACCCCGAGAATAGAAATGGCATAAGAAATAGTCGACCATTTTGAAAATTCGCGTCTTAGTTCCTATTGATCAAAATGAAGTCAGCACTAACTCAAAATCTGAGGGATAGCAAGCAGTCACCTGTTTATAGCCTATCCGTGCCAATAGCCGCTCGTCGTCATCATATATGGTGGCCATCTCGGGCTGGCGTCTATCATCTGGAGGTCTACTTTTAGATATGCTTTCAGTTTTTGCCTGGCTCACGAGGCCATCTTTGAGCTGTGTATTCGAATTTAGCACCATTTTTACTTGCTGTACGGAATAGTGTTTGCACAACAGCAGTCGAGAAAGACGGAGACTAAGACAGACAGACATACCAGGATATAAGTAATCGCGTATTGGGCGGTGGTATGACGGCCAATAGCTCACTTATCTCGACAGTTTTGTTTTTCTGTGTATTGGTGCTACTAGTAAGCCATTGCATTCCAGATAAGCGGCCGACTACGTTTTTGGCGCAGATCCATGGATGAAGAGCTGCAGCGTGATATGAACGAATGGAGGCGATTTGACTCACTCAATAGCGAGAGGGGCAGGACAGCAACTAAGTGGACGCTGTCATACTTCAACCAAATGGACATGCGAGAATGGTGTAGCAGGATTGGCTCGTCTAGCGAAGTCTATGTAGCTATCCATGTGCGAGTGCATAATGCATATCCGGCGACCCACCTTGAGCTGTTTGTTGTGTTGATAACGAGCTGAGACGCGTCGACCTGGAAGGCTCTGCAGCACATTACATGTATCTGTCTCTCCGGGTGGTTGCCTTCTTGTTTCAAGCAGGGATCAGGAAAACAAAGGAATGAACAAAGGAAGGCACTCGACGGCATGATGCATAAGTCGGCCTAAAGGATCGGGCAGAGATCGGAGATGGAGCGGGAGGTAGAAGGGACGGCCCGCCTTCGAAGTCTGGCCCAGCCTATTCTTGACGTCAACTGGCAACACAAGTTTTTTGGTTTACTTGTCTAGCAGAGCTAGACTGACATATTTTAAGCTTTATTTAGCTCTCTGTAGGACTATCCGCTATCTAGTTTATATACGTATCTATGATAGTGTCATCTAGGCTGTGCCAACTGGTCTCTGGCACGCTGAGCTTGATTTAGGATCTATGAATGAATTCCAGTCAGAAAGATGAAAATCCCAGGAGGAATCTGCAAGTCTACCCTGTGCACAACGCCATGAAAGTATATAGTCTTAGAGGGAGACGACCCCACGAGTGGCTTGGGAAATTCTCGATTATGGTAAGACGGTGAGCGGCATCAGACTAGGGTTTTCGACACAAAAGTTGTTCGCACAAGCATCATCCACTGTATAAAATATATCTAATTCACTACTCATGCATTCACGGCGAAATAAGATAATAATATATTATAATAATAATATAAACAGCACGCATCATGGCTGACTGCCATAGTTAACTGCCCTTTTATAGGAGCCAGATTGCACGTGCCTTGGCCCCACTGTCGGCGCCAAGTAAATCCGCGATGGCCAACCAGCCAACCAGAGACCTTTAGGTGGTCAGTTCAATTGGACCGCAGCTTCACCAATTGATACAACCAGACACGTTTTTGCGAAAGGGCCAGCTATATCCAATTTTTTTTTTTCAACGAAAATACCACGTCCTACAGTTCGACCAGCTACTGAGACAATAAGGGTGATGGCACAATTCTAAACGTGGCCAAACCCGGAGTTACGTTGGGAAACCCCCGCATTTGTTGCTCTCCTCCTTGTCACTTGCCCATGAGTCGCAATGGCCGACTACAGTACCTACCATAGCTCTGGCTATGCTGGCGCACCAGGGGAGAACCCAGATAAACAGCAGCCGGTGGCCTATTCCTATCCGAACGCCTCTCCCAACCCGGCTCCACAGCCGCAACCCGGAATACCATATGGAGGACCGCAACCTCCTCAGTTCGCTGCGCAGCCCGGCACAGGATATGCTCCGGGACTGATACCTTCAACACCAGGTTTGCAAGGGAATGCTATGGGGGGGTTAGCTTCTCAAATGGAAGGACTGGGAATAACGTCAGACGCCGGCGCCCGTGGGCACAAAAAGAAGCATCGCCATGCGCATCACGACTTTGGAGCTTCCGCCCCGCATGATCTGAACGCATTCCCTTCGCAGCCTGAGCCACAACCACAGTTCCTGAATACGGGGCTGAACCAACCAGCTCCAACAGCCTTTCCCGGAGTTCCCGCGGGCCAGATACCATCCAACATCGCGCCGGGCACAGTTGCAGATGGAGGTTATCAGCCTACCGGAGCAGGGTCAGTTGCCACGCAAGGGAAGATAGATCCGGAGCAGATCCCTAGTGTTCCTCGATCGCGAGACCTCGCCGCCCAATACTACTTTAACCATGTCTACCCAACAATGGAACGCCATGTACCGCCACCTGCCTCGATCCCGTTTATCGCCCATGACCAAGGAAACTCTTCGCCAAAGGTCGCGCGTCTGACTCTCAACAACATTCCTGTCTCATCCGATTTCCTGAATTCAACCGGCTTGCCTCTGGGGATGATTTTGCAGCCATTGGCTAGGTTAGATGCGGGCGAACAACCAGTACCAGTCATAGACTTTGGCGAGATAGGACCTCCAAGATGTCGAAGGTGCAGAACATATATCAACCCATTCGTGACATTCAAACACGGAGGCAATAAATTTGTTTGTAACATGTGCACGTTTCCGAACGATGTGCCGCCGGAATATTTTGCGCCAATCGACCCATCTGGAGTGCGTGTTGATCGCTTGCAGCGACCCGAATTGATAATGGGAACCGTCGAGTTCACGGTGCCTAAAGAATACTGGGTGAAGGAGCCGGTGGGCTTACAACAGCTGTTTTTGATCGACGTTAGTGTAGAGTCTGTGAATAGGGGGTTTCTGAAAGGCGTGTGTGATGGCATCCTCAATGCACTTTACGGCGATGAAGAGGAGGAACAAACAGAAAGTACAGAAACCGAGCTCAGAAAAATCCCTGAAGGGTCAAAGATTGGTATTGTCACATTTGACCGAGAAATTCACTTTTACAATCTCTCCGTAAGTCGTGTTTCAATTCCGTTTTTCTTTTTATTTCTTCCTTTTTGCTGATTCCATGCAGTCTCGCCTTGAAAAGGCTCAGATGATGGTGATGACGGATTTGGAGGAACCATTTGTCCCCCTCAGTGAAGGTCTTTTCGTAGACCCCTATGAGTCGAAGTATGCTGGATTTTTAAATTGGAATTTACGTTTATACATACTATGGAATGTGCTAATTCATGTAGGACCGTCGTCACTTCTCTACTTGAACAGCTACCGACTATATTCTCTCGCCTTAAGACTCCCGAGTCTGCTTTACTGCCCACGATAAAAGCCGCCATGTCTGCGTTACAGTCAACGGGCGGCAAGATCATTTGTTCTTTGGCTAGCTTGCCCACATGGGGGCCCGGCAAGTTGGCTGTACGGGACAAAAGCCAAGCACCTGATGGTGAAAACAAACTGTTTGCCATTGATAACCCGGATTGGAAAAATGTGGCCACAAAGCTGACAGAGGCTGGCATTGGCATTGATTTCTTCGTGGCCTCGCCTGGCGGGAACTTTATCGACTTAACAACAATAGGTGAATATTTTATGATCCCCCTTTTCCCATCTGTATTACAAATTAACACTGTCTGCTAGGGTATACTGCATCCATTTCTGGCGGAGAAAGCTTCTTCTATCCCAATTTCCACGCCCCACGGGACGTGCTCAAACTATCCCAGGAGCTATCCCACGCGGCCACTCGCGAAACAGGCTATCAAGCTTTGATGAAAGTTCGATGTTCCAATGGGCTCCAGGTCTCAGCATACCATGGCAACTTTTTGCAACACACATTCGGCGCCGATCTTGAAATTGGAATCATAGATTCCGACAAGGCGTTGGGGGTGCTCTTCAGTTACGACGGAAAGCTGGACCCCAAACTCGATGCACATTTCCAAGCTGCGTTATTGTATACATCAGCGAGCGGCCAGCGACGAGTGCGTTGTATCAATATTGTGGCTGGCGTTAATGAGGGTGGAATCGAGACGATGAAGTGTATCGATCAAGATGCGGTCGTTGCCATTATTGCCAAAGAAGGTAAAATTTACTAGTCCTTTACCCCCTCTGACGATTGACTCTGAGAACTAAATTTTTTCTCCCAGCTGCTTCCAAAGCCGGCGACAAGACCCTGAAGGACATTCGCGCCAACATTACGGAAAAGACCGTAGATATCTTCTCCGGATATCGCAAGAATTTCTCCGGGTCGCATCCTCCTGGTCAACTGGTTCTACCAGAAAATCTCAAAGAGTTTTCAATGTATATGCTCAGTTTGATTAAGTCGAGAGCCTTCAAAGGTAAGATAATCGTCCCTTTAGAGGTGGAGATTGTTATTATGAAGCTAAATAAAATTCCCTCTCTAGGTGGTAGCGAGACGGCAGACCGACGGGTGCATGACTTGCGCATGCTCCGTGGCATGGGATGCTTGGAAATGTCGTTGTACCTATATCCGCGGATCATTCCGATTCACAACATGAGTGCTGAAGATGGGTTTGCCAACGAGCAAGGCCAATTACAAGTTCCTCCTACATTGCGTGCTACGTTCTCCCGGATTGAGGAAGGCGGAGCGTATCTGATTGACAATGGACAAAACATTCTGCTCTGGCTGCATTCCTTTGTGTCCCCCAATCTCCTTGAGGATCTCTTCGGCCCTGGATTTACATCACTCCACGCATTGGATCCCAACACATCATCCATTCCAGTTCTCGAGACTCATCTCAATGCCCAAGTGCGTAACTTACTCCAATACCTGTCTACGGTGCGCGGATCAAAGGCAGTCACCATCCAACTGGCGCGGCAAGGGATGGACGGAGCCGAATACGAGTTTGCGCGATTACTACTAGAAGACCGCAACAATGAGGCGCAGAGTTACGTGGATTGGCTGGTGCATGTACACCGCCAGATCAATCTTGACCTGGCAGGACATCGAAAGAAAGATGATGCTGTTAGTACAGGGGAAGGAGCGCTCTCTAGCCTTGCAGGAATACGAGCGCCATTGTGGTGATGATTGTTGATTGTTGATTGATTGATTGATTGAGTAGATTTGGCGATTACTCATTAAGTTTCTCTTTTCCACCTAGTTTAAATAACGACAAGGATATTCGTTTTGCACACTTGAATTTTGATGCATATATTGTTTCCGATCCTTATCCATCTTATTTCATTCTGTGACGAGCACTGGACAATTAAAAGTCATTGACACGATACTATCAGCATTTGAAATATAGTAATAGAATACTTATTTTCAACTCCTTTCAAGTAGCAACTGAACGGTCAGCGGTACCTAACGTCGGATGGAGGGGCAGATATCATCAATGGCGTCATCGGAGTGTCCCTCCCTCACTAAATCAACCAAAATTCCACAACGCCAGAACTACTATAAAAATCTATTTCTATTAGCTTTATCCATCACACGCATACATTACTTCGTAGGTATTGATTAAAAGAGCAGAAATAACAATATGTCTGGAATCCACCAGCAAGGAACTGCCGATGGCTGGCACGGCATTGTCAAGTCCGGCGGGGAATTTGCGCCGGAAGCTGGTCGATATCATCTTTACGTTGGTATATACACGTTATCACTTGTGCTAGATGATAATGATAATAGCTAATTAACGAGCACAGGCTTGTTCTGTCCCTTTGCGCACCGCGTCAACATCGTCCGCCACATCAAAGGTCTACAGTCCATCATCGACCTGTCGATTGTCGCGCCATATCCAAAAGGCGACTCGAAGGGTTGGCCTGGCTGGAGGTTTCCCACCGAGACCAATCCGTATGAAGGCGCCACTGTGGATAAGCTGTTTGGAAGCGAGTATCTGCATGGTGTCTACTTTAGAGATGATAAGGAGTATAAGGGAAGATACTCGGTGCCGTTGTTGTGGGACACAAAGACCAACAGAGCAGTGAACAATGTAAGATTTTGATTACTTTGATTATTGGGAGTCCAACGCTGACTAGCAAATGACTAAATAGGAAAGTGCAGAGATGCTGAGATGGCTTCCCACCGCATTCAACGACCTAATCCCCAAAGACCTGGCCGCTATTGATCTCTATCCCGAGACTTTGCGCAGCCAGATCGATTCCATCGCTGCCTGGATGCAGCGTGACCTTAACAGCGGGGTTTACAGAGCGGGCTTCGCCGAAGAAGAGTATGACGACAAGGTAATCCCCGTTTTCAGCGCTCTCAACCGACTCGAGCGTCTCATCCATGAGAACGGCGGTCCATACGTCCTGGGCAAGCATATCACTGAACTCGATATCTTGCTGTATGTGACACTGGTCCGTTTTGACACTGTGTATGTGCAGCATTTTAAGTGCAATCTCGGCACTATACGCCATGATTACCCGGTGCTCAATCACTGGTTGACACATGTATATTGGAAGGTGCCCGGGTTTAAGGACACTACTGATTTTAGGCATATCAAAGAAAATGTAAGCTTTGTCTTTCTGCCTGGAGGTTAAGAATAAAAGATGTGCTGATGATGGTCGTAGTATACAAAGAGCCATTACGGCATCAACCCCAAGGCTATCACGCCGAGGGGCCCTTTTCCGCATGTAGAAGATTACGTGGAGTTGGACTGGAAGGATTTGAGGGTAGGAGGCGTGAACCTCCCGGAGGTGTTGGAGTATGAGGCAAAATTGTGATGTGACGCATCCGTTTAGGCTCAGTAACTCAACTACGTAATAGTACATACTTCCTACCTACAGAGCTAGCTAGTTTAGCTAACACGATAGCTACATCAATAAATCACGCATTCAATCGGACACATATATAAAAAAAAAGTTTTCATGTAGTCTACTGTACCGTGCATTGCTTTCCATTCCAACGAATCAGACACAATGCAAAGCCCGTTCTCATTGGCTGCGCGGATGCAAGGTACCAGGAACAGACTTTAAACCCTAAAAAGTCCGTAGACGAATAACAAATAACTTGTCAATACGTGGTTTTCTTCTTCGCGTGATAAATCACAATCATAAATCAGATTACATCATTGTAATATATTTCCTGCCCGATCAAATACACTGATGAAGCTGAATTCATTCCGCATGATCGGACGTGGCTTTACACGTGGTGCGGTTCGTATCGATAAGATCGTAAGCCCTAACTGACCAAGGCCCAGCCCGGCCTATGACATATGTTGGTACACTAAGTGGTAACTAAGCAGGCACTTGAGAATATCGCATCTGAAAATTGAAATAGCATGCAGGATAAAAGTTTAAAGAAACAAGACAAGAGTGGAATTGCGGTGAGGCGGATACGAGACATTAATCAAAATTCCAACTCTTTACGGAGCAGGGAAAAGAAATTTTTCTGTTGACTTTGCCACTGTCTAGACACAGAGAATGGCCGTTTGTGCAGGGCGGAGTCCCTCGGAGTGAGTCTGCTGTATCCATGTAGTATTTATTATGCTCATGCAAACAGGCTGATCAAGCGAGGTAGATTCTAGAATGTAAGGCATCAATCACAAACAGCGGCGGGTTGTTCCGTGACCGTTGCTTATTGGTAGAAATGTCGCCTGTTTGGAAGAGTCTGTTCTATTCGGCTGACTCCGCCAACGATGGTCGCCACTGCCTTTCTCTGCTTTTTTTCCCCCCCTCTTACTAAGTAGTAGGACTGAGTACTAGAAAATTCTGAATGTGGGTGTGGACAGAAGAGGAAAGCGGAAGTGGCAGTGGCTTTGATCACTACTTCGGATTGACTCTAATTTCGCCCATCCCTGTCTATTTTTGCCATTCCGCATGGCCGTTGATATACTCATTAGTACGTATGAATGATGATTGCCACGGCGGAAGAATACAGCCACGCACTGGCCAATCATAGCGCGCGAATCCGGCTGGATACTCGCCGAAAGAGGCCGTCGGCGCGGGACGAGTCGGATGTGGCCAGCCAATCATCTCGAGCGAGGGCCTGGCCGCTGATTGGCTAGCAAACGAGCCAAACATCGACCCGACGTGGACGGACAGCCGATTGGCAGTGCCTTCCAACGTCTCTATGGATCTCTCTGCGACCATGGAACCAGCAAAAAACGTGCCTGACCATATGCTGGCCTTCCGGCATTTGCTACTGCTATTGCTTCGACGCTACCGTGTCGACTGCCAGCTCAGGCACACCAATAGCGACCCCGTCAGCTCGTTTTTCGGCGTCCGCTGATGCAGCTAAGCGCACGATTTGCCGTGGATCAGCCCGATCGCCTGCCAATCCGATCAATGGACGATGTGTTCTGGATCCCTTCGCTGGACGGGGCTTCCTTACTGGCCCTAATTAAACAAGATCTTATAAGTTATGGCTCCGTGTCTGGCCAGCGCCACCGACTGGACGCCCAACGGATGCAGGCTTACTCCGTTGTCAGACCTCGCACTAATCCAGCCTGGCCAGCAAAACGCGCTACAGAAGACCGCAAATTTCAAAGTACCTGACGCCAAAACCTCAGCGGTGGGACACCGGCTGCAAGCAAATTTGCTCCCAATCGTCCCCGCTGCTGCGGGCCCTGCTAGCACTGAGATGTGGATTGCTCCGAAAAAAAGAAAACTTAGAAAGGCAGCCAGGTGAAAGAAATGCGAATAATGGAGGACTCTGAAACGCAGACCCCTCCCTCCACACACCCTCCCATGCCTGTATATAAGCAGTCCTTTGACCCTGGTTGTACTTGATTTCTGTTTGTTTCGTTCTCCCACAGAGGCTATCACATCCACTCCTTCGAGAGTAGTCATTCCTTAACACAAACCAAACAACCTCACAGTCACTCAATTTCAATCTCTTTGATAGAGATTATCCAGTCTTTTTCGAAAAGATACACTCATTTTTGGAAAGCCTCCTGAGAAAAAAACGTTTTTTATTTTAAGGATAAAAAGAAACCAAATCAAAATGTTCACCAAGGCTATTGGAATCTTCGCTGCTCTCAGCGCTGCTGCGTCTGCCCTCCCGACTTCCCACAATGGTCGCCGCCACGCCCATGGCCACCAGGTCGTGCCTCGCGATACCACTGTCACTAGCGACGGCGTTGAGATCACCAATAACATGGACCAGACTATCTACCTGTGGTCCGTCTCCGACGTCTCCAGCGAGATGTACACCATCAACAGCGGAGAGAGCTACTCCGAGAACTGGCGCACCAACCCTAATGGTGGCGGTATTTCTATCAAGATGTCCTTCACTCCTGAAGAAACCGACGTGCTTCAGTACGAGTACACCTACGACGACCCCATTATCTGGTGGGATCTCTCCTGCATCAACATGGGTGACAACTCTGGGTTCTCCACCGTGGGCTTCGCTGTGACTTCCGATGATGCCGACTGCCCGTCCGCCATCTGTGCACCCGGCGACTATGCCTGTGCTGCTGCTTATCTGTTCCCCGATGATAACACTGCTACACACGCATGCACCAGCAGTAACCTGCTTCACCTCAACTTGGGATCTTCCAACGTCACCATCACTGCTTAAGAAAGAGCTTTTCTTCTTTCAAGCAGACACAAGGTCCTGGTTGACCAGCTATCCAATTGCACTGAGTGGATTGAATTTTATTTTTCTTCTTTTCTCTTCTATCTCTGACAAGCTACGAGTCAACTCTTCTGCTGTCCACATCAGACCAGCGACGAGCCAGCTTGTCCTTTTTTAAACATTTCTCTGCTGGACTTGGGACATTATCTTTTCTTCTTTATTTGTCTCCTTTTTTCTTTCCATCCTACTAGCTTAGACAGGATTCGGAAAACTAGAAATTAGGAACAAAGACATGGAAAAAGGAAAACCCGAATTTACGACGGACAATACGATCAGGTCAGGCCCGGTTGCCTTCCTAAATGGATAACATGATATATGGTATACGGGACATGGGAAATGGGAAACGGGACATGGAACTGTCAAAAATTTTGTGCTTTCGTTTTTTTTTTTTTTTTTTCTTTTTGCTTTTTTTTCAGGGGTGAAGGGGTTTAGGGATAGATATACCCAGGCTTTCGCGCCAGCAGATAGTTTTATCTTCTTTTGATATATTTGATATATTTTGTGAATTTATTTTATATACTTCAACTTGCTTCCACTGTGGTCTTGGTACATGGTTTCACCGGAGATTATCCTTCTACCAATCTACCTAAGGTATAAGTGATACTCAAGACCAACATCATTCCTCCATTTGTCAATCCAGGAAATTTGAGGGCGCCGCAGACGGTGAGGAATGACAAGCCGAGCTTATAGATGGGGGCGAAAATGGGTGCATTGCTGAAACAGTGAAACATTGATCGTTTCACGCACACACTCGATTTCTTGTCCTGCTGATTAGTATATCATTCAAATTACATAGATTTTACTGTAATGTTTTAGTATGGCATTAAAGGGCCATTTACTCTATATACGGACGAACGAAGAATTGAGAGAAGCAAAACAAATACTGGGATCAAGGGGCGCGGCGCCTTGAATGAAATCCAGGTTATTGCTTACTCTGCATAAAGCAAGCATTCCCGCGGTGTTTTGTTTTTTAGTATAATACAGATATAATATAATACATACACATCATCTTCAGTATCCACCCCCAATACTGTACATACTTCTAGCAATCGGCTCTCTTGAAATATCTCGGGAACGGAACTACATCGCGAAGACTGCTGACTCCAGCGAGATATCCAATTAAACGATCAAACCCAAGTCCGAATCCTCCATGTGGCGCACTCCCCCAGCGCCGAAGGTCAGCGTACCACTGCAAATGGCCAAGGTCCTCGCCCGGTTCGAGATACGGATACTCCGAGCCACCCTCATCATCTAGCTGTTGTTGTGATGTGGCTGAGTACTGGGTAGAGTGACGACGACGCTGTTTAATCAACCCGTACTTGCGCATTTTATCGATCAGCGCAGGTAATCGATGTTCACGAAGGGATCCGCCTACGACTTCACAGATTTCAGGGAAGAGGAGATCGAAACACGCCACCGTTGCACCTCCTTCGGCAGAGGGCGATGGCGCCATGTAGAAGGGCTTCACTTTTTGGGGGTAGTCTGTGACAAAGACGGGTACTCCGTGGAAAAGGGTGTCCACAATATACTTCTCATGCTCGAGCTGAAGGCCCTCGGACCATGACGGTTGGTGGGTAAATGAGGCTCCGTGATTAGTTACCGCATCCTGAAGCATTTCGATCGCCCGCGTATATGTAATACGAGGCCATTCAGGCCCGGATAGTAGTACATCCCATCTTCTGCGAAGGGCTTCATTAAAGTCGACTGTATCTAGACCAGGCTCGCCGGATCGTTTAGCTGACAATATTTCCTGTCCGACCGGGGTGTCATGAAGCCGCCGAGCTAGATCTCGAATCAAATATTCCACTAGATCTAGGAGACTGGATAATTCATTGGCAAAGTTCACTTCGGCCTCGAGCATGTAGAACTCGCTCAAATGGCGCGGTGTATCACTCTTTTCCGCTCGGAAAGTCGGCGAGAGTGTCCATACATTCCCGAGTTCGGCAGCATAGGCTTCTAAATGAAGTTGTGATGAAACCGTTAGGTATTTGGGACTGCGAAAGAAGTGCTCAACTTCCTCTCCGGGTGCTGGCAATGCAGAAGATTCTGGGGACAAAGTGAATGTCTCTCCTGCACCCTCACAGTCCGACGAAGTAATCAGCGGCGGCTGTACTTGTGTAAATCCTCCATGTGGATGTGACCTAAACACCTGACCCAGCTGGTATATGCACTCGGAGCGAAATCGAGAGAGTAACGAGTTGAAGGGTGTCCGTAATCGCAAGTGAGGAATTTGTCTTAGAAAATCCGAAGAGTGATATTTCTTCTGGATTGGATAAGTCTGCGCACATTGATCAAGTTAACATTGGACTTAATCCCTGCTCGTTGTTTGTGCTAACCTCTGGATCCGCATCTCCCACGACTTGTATCGTTGTAGTCTGCAGCTCATGTGTCTGCTCCTTCCCAGGTGGACAAGCTTTCCATATACCAGATATCTCAATCGCGGCACCGGTTGACAGGCTTTGGAAGGGAAATCAAATCAGCCAAAAGGGGGCCCTTGGTGAAATTCTTCGAATCGCATATACTCACTCAGCTGCCTGGTCCGGTGTCAAAATCGCCTGCAACGACTGCACTGTTGAGCCGTCCGATATTTCAGCAAAGGCAAATCGTTTCTGCTTCCTCACTGAACGAATGAATCCTTTCAATGTGACGTTCTCATTCTCGAATTCGCGCGCCTTGTCTTTCTCTGACGACACATTTAAGAGTTCTGCGCATCGCAACCGATTGCAACTACCTAAGGCGCTCGATTGGCTGTATCGTATAATGGATGTGGAGAAGGACCGTCGCCATGTCCGCATTGCGAATGGTAAATTTGACAGACACGCAGATAGGATTGCTTAAGGGTTGTGGTGAAACGTAGCTCGGTGACTCAAGCAATTGATTTCAAGGTGGAGCCGTCGGCAAGTCTCCGGCGCCGCGCGCAGAATATTTACTCCTTCTTAAGCGGCTTAAGCATTGATTGGGATCACAATAAACAGCTAAGTTTACGCCAGTTCAACTGTAGAGAGAGTTTATTTGTAGATTATTTTTCCACAGTCAATTTATTTGTCCCTATCCCATCTAGCAGTGTTCTCTGTCTTGAAATTTAATCACACCTACAACATATCATGAAATCGACAGCAACAACAAAAGGAACATTCCATGATTCCAGAAAGAGCGTGACTATAACCAGTCCTCAAACATAAAGCACCAATCAGGTGTTTGCCACGTAACGCTCATAGGCTGTCCTCTCTTCCTCAATCATGTCGATGGCTTCAGAAAGTTTGCCATCAGCGGCCTCCGCATATATACTGAGCCTCTGTCGTCCGCCATCGACCTGACTACCATACCCAAAATTGATCAATTTATCTACACAATTGTCAATAATACTTCGACGCATTGCAGTCCTCATATCCTGATCTGAAGAGCCATCGTCATCGCTAGTTGCTGGAATTGGCGCGTCGTCCACGGGGAAACTACCTGGGAGAGTGCGAGTTCGTCTTTCGTAGAGGCTTGAGGAGCGTGCTTCTCGAGACGCATTCTCATGTGCGAGATGGCGCAAAGGTATGGCCTCTGTGGCTCTGCGTCTAAGAGCATGCGCGCTACTACGATCTCTCTCGAACTCACGAGGGTATCTTTGATTTATGGTTGAAGCCGTGCGACGCGGCTCGCGCAGCCGGTGGGAACTAGGACTTTCGACGGCTCTCTCGGCAGAAACTCTTGTCAGTGGATGTGCCCGATTGGGGTTCGACAGACTGTGTCTACTATCTGTACGATTCCCGGAGCGATGTTGGTTTGCCAATAGGTGCGCGTCTAGTTGGGAGACTGGGGGAAAGCGAGCGATCTCCGAGTTAGGACTGAGCGTCATCGAACGCTCAGGCACAGCCACGGGATTTTCCTGAGATCTAAAGGTTGGGAGTAAAGAAGGGTAGCGAGCAGCAAATTCGGGACTTTCTTCTGGGTGGTTTTGAGAGGTATCACCTTCAACTAAGGAGTGGCTGGAAAAGAGTTTCGGGGGAGAATAGAGGTTGCTTCGAGCATTGCCGCTGGTGAGATTTGGTAGATTGTCGCTGCTAGAGGCCATCAACGACCTGTTCTCTGGAACTTGTGGCGTATTTTGTTGCCACGAATGACGGTGGTGCACTCTTCGGTTAAGCGAGGCGTTGGAAGTTATACGTGTCGTCTGACTGGCAGGGGCTTGTGTTTGCAACACATCAATCGGAGAATTATCACTGTATTCCAAGTTCAGAGAATGGCCATCAATGATGATACCCTGAAGTGTATCGAGAGCAGCTTTTGCGGAAGAAGCTGAATGAAAACGAGCATATCCAAAACCAGCGTGTTTCCCAGTAGAAGAATCTAATGGGAGCTGGACTTGAGCCGAGAAGCCCTTAGAGGCAAGAACTTCTTCAATAACTCGCGCGGTCACTTGAAATCCAATGTTACCCAGGAAAAGGGATGCGACAGAATCACTTGGACGCAATGTGTTAACGCTCTCTAGGAAAGAGGCGGGTTGACGATCTGTAGAAGTCGGCTCAAATGGCTGAACTTGCCCATGGTTCATAGCATCCATAGATCCTGATGGTCGAGTGACTGTGGATGTAAATGATGATACAAAGGCTGGACGGTTTGGCCAATTAGAGAATAGGGGTTTCACGGGTTCAATCGGACCAGCTGCCTGCGGTTGATTGTTTGAAACAGACTTGCCTGCAGTCTGTGACAATAAGGAAGATTTTGGGTGAGGTGGCGGTGGGCGTTGATACGAAGCAATTGGAGAAACGACTGCTGCTGCTGCTTCTTCTGAAGACTTGTTGGAGGAATCTAAGGAAATGTCGGCTTCTGGAGAAAGGGTCTCCTTTTCCGAACTCTGATCAAGTGGTTCGGGTGAGGCCTGATCCTCGTTAGATGTTGTTTGAGGCCGTGTGGAAATTGCATCCTGGTTGTGAATAGTGTTAGGATCTATAGCATTTGCCTCACTGCTATTGCTTCGTTGACCAAATTCAGCCTCGAATGCGGCAAACAAGGTTTTTCCAAACTCTTCAAATTCATGAGCCATATCGCCAAGGCCGCTGATAACCTGCTCGGTAGACCTGAGTTCGGCCCGGCGTACCCTTTCCGCAGCTTCACTAGAGGCATTAGATGCATTCTGTATGACTCGTGCTAGATTTTGAATTTGTGTCTCGACGGCTGACAAGGCATTATGCATGGTAGCGCTAACATCCTCTGGGATGGTTCTCTGTGCATTGGCCAAGTGACGTTCGACTTCCGGAATTTTCAATTTAAGCTCTGACCCCAGATTTTCAATGCCGCCTGCGACGGTTTGCAGAATACCGGTTATAAGATTGACAGGCCATTTCTGCTCAGTGGAGCTAGCAGAGCGAGCACCAGATTCTAGAGGAGTAGTGGAATTGGTTGGTTCGTTTGTATGTTCCTTGGCATTCTCTTCTAGAATCTTAGCCATCTCAGCTTCGAAAGCCGACAGAAGCGGCTGTGGCTCTGTCCTAGCTTGTGAAAATTGAATAGTTGTAGGTGGTTTTTGAATCGAATGTGAGGAGTTCTCGGAGGCCAGTCCAATTGAATCTTCAGACGCATGGTGACTTTTGGTTTTCGTCACTGCCTGTGGTGGGCAAGCCCAATGGTTTTGTTGGTTAAGTATAAAATTAGGCACTGCTTTAGAGCCAGCAGGTATATTTTTGAAGCTATGGAAGCGGCTCCCTGCTTCCTCTGCCTGCGAAAAGTAAGCTTAGAAGGTTTTAAATCCCACAAACATTGTCACTCACCTGACGTCTTCCTTCAGCAGTAATCGCAGATAGGGACATGATAGTTGATGAAGGTCTTTCCGATGCCGTTGGTTCGGAAGCAGGCTTTACGTCACAAAGGACATGATCTTGTTGTCCATGCTCTCCAGTTTCCTTTGGTAAAAGCTGAGGGGGTCTGCAGGCATCTAACCACTGTTTACGCAGGTCCACAGACTGGTTGATTCCTAGCTCGCGGGTTTCAGGCGAATGCTCATCTTTACCGAAATTCACTGAGTCACCTGCCCCTGTGAGTCCCAGCTGAGTTATGCAGTCGGGTGTAAAGCGGCGCCGGGCCGAGCTTTGTTCAACATCCTTCCAAAGCTCGATTACAGACCTCGAGCGACGGATGTCAAACAAATGCATAGGAGTCTCATCTATCTGGGTCGACAGAGCGGCTCCTACAACACTTATTGCTTCAACTGGTTCGTCAAGGCGTTGCTCGAGCTCGAAAGAGGATCCAACCTGAGAGGGCTATTAGCATCAAAGTGACAAGACGAAAGGGGGAAAAGACTCACGGTGATGATATCACCGTCGTCATCATCCAAATATGTCAATCTAGCATTTGGATGATCGCGTATTATATCATCGTATTCCGGGCCTGTCAAGTGAATAAGACCTGATGGTCTACACCGAGTCTCATCAACATGGGAGCTGGAAATGATGCTTTCAGTTGAAGAGTCATATAGATTCTCTTCCACCGGATAGAGATGCAAGTTTCTGATTTGAAATGGCTTGAACATTTTGCATGCAGTAATCCAAAAAGCTTCTGCAAGCAAGTAAAACGTGCAAGATAGAGGCGTGTGGAAGAAACGTTGAGGAATATCAGCGATGTATGATGATGGCAGCCTAATTAGGAGCAGCTGCAGTGGCGATCAGTTACACGAATCAGAGGCAGCCCGAGACCGAGTAAGACCGGATCACGGAATGCAGTAACAGCATCACAGCTGGAAGCCTGGAGGATACAATAAGTACTCATACGAAGTGGAAGAAAAATAAATAAAGTCTGTTCCAGGCAACCAAGTTCGTTGAGGGGGAGGAAGGAAGCAATGATGCGCGAGCGAATGATATGGGGCGGGGGAAGAAGGGAGATGTCTCCGGCCCCTACGGTCAGGTGCGTCGTTTTATGGGCAGCTTGGCTGGGTGGTCAAGTTAGCCGAGTCTTTCTCTTTTTTGGCGCAATCTTCCCTTTTCGAATCCTGCGACTACCGGGTCGGGTCCAATACATAATACTTGCGTCGTAACGCAGGAAAAGGATGAAGATTTAATCGCATTTTCATCTGATCGAAACGAAAAAAAAAAAGAAAAAAGAAAAAGAAAAAGGATCTATTACTTAATGCGCCATGCCACCTGATTGATGCCTACGCTCGCTCCACGGAACCTCGCTTTACCTACACTCACAAACACTCGTTTATCATCACAGAAACAGAAAATTCAGCAAGTACTTGTACGCATATGCAACGCGCGCGCCTCATTAAAACGACTCGATCCTTGTCCTCCCCGATGACCCCCTCCAACCCCGCAAAGACAGCAAAGCAGCATGTCGACCGTGGCGTAAAGCGCGTTGTCCTTGGCGACCTGTCGTTCCACACCTGGTATCATTCATTATACCCCGAGGAGCTCGTCAGCAAAGACTCCGAGCTATTATATGTCTGCAGCTGGTGTTTTCGGTATACGTGTGCCGCTGGAGCCTACGCGACCCATGTGAAACTCTGTGACCGCCGAACTACACCTCCCGGAATAAAAGTCTACGAACACGGCGGCTATGCAGTATGGGAGATAGATGGCGAAGACGACAAACTGTTTGCACAAAATCTGTCCTTGTTCTCGAAACTTTTCCTCGACCACAAGTCTGTATTCTTCGACGTCTCTTCATTCTTATATTACGTGCTCACATTCGTCGATCCGAAGGCACCAGAAAAATACCATGTCCTCGGGTATTTCTCCAAGGAAAAGCTCTCATGGGACCCAAACAACCTTGCTTGCATTCTTATATTTCCGCCGTATCAACATAGGCGATTAGGGAGACTTCTGATGGGGGTCAGTTACAAACTAAGTGCGTGGGAATGGGATCCAGGACTAATCGGAGGTCCCGAAAGGCCTCTGAGTGAGCTGGGACTTCGGAGCTATACACGCTTTTGGGAAGAGCGACTGGCAAGGCACTTCCTCCTTGGCCCGCCTAAAGGAGAACAGGGCAAAGTTGTTCAACAAAAACAGGCAACAATGAAAGCAGCAGCAAGGAAAACCCCTGCCCGGGAGCGCATGACCGTACAAGAGATTGGCCTAGCCACCGGTATGTTAACCGAAGATGTTATCACTGCTTTGAAAAGCATGGGCATTGTGGAGCCTGAGCACACGAGGAACAAACGCAATACTACTTCAAATGATCATGAGAATGCCGGTGAAACTGTCGTCATTCGCAAAGCAAACGTACTCGAATGGACCAAGATCCACAATGTCGCCCTCCGAGACCCGGTAAGGGAAGATGGCTTTATCGGCGAGTGGGCTTCTGGGAATCTCCAGCTTCAGCAGGAAAGCGAAGGTTAGTGTGGTTCATCCCTGATCGTGCTTTAGCGCTAGGAATCGGTTATGTTTGATGATAGGCAGCAATATTTGACCACGGCGGGTTTTATAGGGTTGTAATTGGCGTTGGAGTAAGATAGGATACTATGCGGACGGAAAAGGATAATTAGATACCCAAGTTTTATTCATTTATACCTGTTAATCGAGTGACATTTGATTTATCGTGGCAACGTGAACTCGTTCAATTCTAGCAAGCACACTTTATATGTAGATTTTGAGAAATCTGTTGTGGTCATTTCTCTTTAGGAGTGAATGTATAAATAAATATTTCAACGGAGTTAGTTTTCCACCTTTTTTCTTAGAATTGAAATTAAAAAAATAAAAATGAAAATAATTGATGTACGTTCCAAGATCACTGACCCTGTTGTACATATGGCACTCCTAAACGCGGTGAGCTTAATTCTGCCAAAGTCCGCCCACACTGCCGATTCGTACTAGCGCGGCCGTCGAAGGAAAAAAAAAAGAGCTTCCGCGACATCTCAAATTCTTCCTGCTCCAAAAGCCAGCGCCGCCCAATCCACGTTCTCTCAATTGTGCCAATTGAGGGTTTGCTGGTCGAGTATTTCCGCTGACTCGAGTCAATCACTCTATTACTATTCGTTTGGAGCGGCTCACGACAAAAATTGCCATGGCTGACTATCTTCTCTTCGAAGCCCCAATGGGGTATTCGCTCTTCAAGGTCGTGCACGAGGCCGACACCGTCGGAAACCGCTTGAAGGAAGTGCAAGAAGGTGTTTTGGATCTTGCAAAGTTTGGAAAAATGGTTGAGCTTGTCAGCTTTTTACCCTTCGAGTATGTAGACTATCCCTCATCGTTTCTGTCCAATATTCCAACACTGACATTTCTCCCACAGGAACAATAAGCAAGCCCTCAGCGAAATCAACGACATTTCGGAAGGTGTCGCTTCCCAAACTCTCGTGTCTTTCCTTGAACTCAACCTACCCAAGTCCGGCAAGAAGAAGAAGGTCAGTTTGGGAGTATACGATCGTGTTCTGGCAACAAGCATCAAGTCCGCTTTCCCATCTCTTGAGTGCGAGACCGGAGACACTAGTGAAGTAGTGCAAGATATGCTTCGAGGCATTAGACTTCACTCAACAAAGCTGTTGAAGGGTCTTAGAGAGGGTGATCTGGATACTGCTCAGTTGGGTTTGGGTCATGCCTACTCTCGTTCCAAGGTTAAGTTCTCCGTACAGCGGGACGACAATCATATTATTCAGGCTATTGCCATTCTTGACCAGTTGGATAAGGCTATTAATACCTTCTCAATGAGAGTGCGAGAGTGGTACTCCTGGCACTTCCCTGAGCTGATCAAGATTGTTTCGGAAAACCAGCGCTATGCCCAGGTTGCACTTTTTGTTCAGGACAAGAAGACATTGACTGAAGACCGCCTACATGACCTCGCTGCCTTGGTCGAGGATGACGAAGGAGTTGCTCGAAGTGTCATCGAGGCTGCAAAGCACAGTATGGGACAAGATATCTCCGAGAATGATATGGAGAATGTGATCTCCTTCGCAAAGCGCGTTGTGAGCTTATCTAACTACCGGAAATCTCTGCACTCGTATCTCGTTTCTAAAATGAGCGTTGTGGCTCCAAACTTGGCCGCGCTAATTGGAGAGATCGTTGGTGCTCGACTTATCTCCCACGCAGGTAGCTTGACCAACCTGTCCAAGTATCCTGCTTCCACTGTTCAGATTCTTGGGGCAGAGAAGGCGTTGTTCAGAGCACTCAAGACCAAGGGAAACACACCCAAATACGGTTTGTTATACCACTCGTCATTTATCGGCAGAGCAGGACCCAAGAACAAAGGCAGAATCTCCCGCTTCCTTGCAAACAAGTGCTCCATTGCCTCCAGAATCGATAACTTTTCCGAGGTTCCCTCTACAAAGTTCGGAGAGGCTCTCAAGAAGCAGGTTGAGGAGCGCCTGGAATTTTACGCCTCGGGTGCCCCTCCCACCAAGAACGAGGTTGCTATGGTATGTCATCTTGTATTTTCTTCTCAATAAAGATGCATCGTACTGACCTGGAATGCAGAAATCTGCCATGGACTCTATTCTAGCCGACATGGAAGTTGACGAGCCCCAAGATAGTGATGTGGAAATGGAAGATGAGGAGAAAGCAAAGAAGGCCAAGAAGGAGCAGAAGGAAGCCAAGGACAAGGAGGAGAAGAAGGAAAAGAAGGAGAAGAAAGATAAGAAGGAAAAAAAAGAAAAGAGCAAAGATGACAAGAAGGAGAAGAAGAAGCGGAAGCGCGACAGCGAGGTTGATATATCCAAGAAGAAGTCTAAAGCCTAATCTTTACGGTTATGCGTGGTCATTTCTTTTGGCGTTGTTTGGATCTTCGGCGCAAATTGCCTTGCTTCATTTTTTTGTCAATTATTGATGTCAATTATGCGTGGTTTTCTTTCCTCGAAACCTAGTCTTTTCTGTAAAAAATACTATTGCCAGTCTCTACAGTTCAACGTTGTGCTAGTTGTTAGCGCGCAGGAAAAGCCTCAGGTTCAACGCCGCCCTAGATTGCCGCTTACTTCTAGCAACATTACTCACTCCACTGCCACCGCTTGCCACAACGCCTTTAGAATAGATTGCAATGAGTGAAATAACCATCTGAGGTGATCACATTCACTTACGCGAGAGTAATCATCAGCCTTATCCTGAAATACGACTCGACGGAGCTCCGGAATAGTGCCGACCCCGCACTAGATATGGTGACTGAGGCAACATCATACCGTTCGCCGAAGCGCAAACGAGATGAGTTTGAATTTGAGCTTAGTCCGCCAGCTTCGCCTACTTCTACTCTCTCCGTTGCAAGTCTCCCAGGAGCTCGCTTGCGCGAAGAAGAGGAAATTGGGCGCTTTAGTCCTCGAACTGTCGTCGCTGGTCGACTGAGAGATCTCGCTCTCCAAGAGGCAAGCCTCAATGCAGATGCACCGCAATCTATCCAAATGGTGCAGTGGCGTAGCTCCTCTGAACCTCTAGCAGAGCATATTGGGCTCTCTGAAGAAATTGGACAGTCACATATACAAATATCACCCAGAGGAAGTCCGGTTCGCCTGACTGAGCACAGCAGCCGTGATGCTATTCAACTTGAACAGCATCTTTCCAAGCAATCATCTAAAACTACAAAAAAGTCAGCGAAAGTGATTGCCCGCGATAAGTTGCCCGCAAAATCACGGAAGAAGAGTTCGCCTCCACCGTCTGAAAACGATCCTCCAAATTCGCTGACATGGAGCGATTCAGAGATAACAGGTCACAATCCAACTGATCCTAATGACGATGGCTATGGGATCAATGGCATTGGCTTCAAGCCCACTGCTGCAATTGCGTGGGCGCGATCACAGAAGAGGCAGAAGCAAATGACCGACTGGAAAATCCGAGAAGCTAAAGAAGCACGGGAAAAACGCAGAGCGCGTCGAGAAGGTGCCTCACATATCAATCCAGAACACAGAGCCAATGGCACAACTCACAAAAAAGTGAAATTTAACCTCGGGTGAACACTGATGTGGATTCATTAAGGATTTCACTCGCTACTAGCATAAATTAGTTTATGTGTCTATTGATACATGGTTTTGTGCTCATGCAATGGAATCATATGTGTCTTTTTAAAAATAATTTACAGGATGTCTAACCATGAAATGGACATGGGAGAAAAGGTATATATACACAGCCCAGAAACGCCCAGAAACTCCATCTTGATGCCGAAGATGCATTTGTTTACCAAAATTTATAGTTCGAGAGATTGGTCCAGCTTTTTTGTTTGCGAAGCTCCTCCTCCGCTGCCTCCTGAGCGGCTTTCAACTGTTCCTTTTCCTTCTGCTTTTTCGCCTTGAGCTCGGCCATAAGTTCCACGGCCTTTTGCATGCCCTTCATCTCGCTGACTCGGCGCCTTTGACAAAATTCATAAGAAGCGATGGAGGCAATTGCGAATGCTCCGACAGCCCAGTTACAGGCAGGCCACATGGCGGACAAACCTGAAGACAGAAAGAGTCAGATAAATATGAAAAACCACATGGCTATAGCATTGAGAAGTGAAACCAATCTCACCTCCAACTATCCCGCGCACTCCCCCAATACCAAAACCGGTCCCGAGTCCAACCAACAACGAATCTCGCGCGCATGGCTTTTGGTGGAAGGTGCCGAAGTCTGACAACGATATTGACTTGAGCGACTCAGATAGCGTCACGTCTTTGAGTTTTTCATGAGTAGGGTTATACGTCGCTCCCGGGTGGACGTTGATTGGCTCCTCAGGATTTCCGAATGCCTCCCATAGCTTCCCAACCTGAGATTTGGGAAATTCGTGTTTTGGCTTATTCGTAGGACTTGGTTGGGATGCGGGCTCGCCGCCCTGCGTGCCTTCTGCCATGACGTAGGCAGATTGCGAATGTTTTCGTTAAGGACGAGTCTTGAAGGCCCGAGGATGAGGATGTGACAGAATAACGCGACGAACGGTAAACAATGCTTCGAGCTCACCAGAAAAGAATCATTGCATGTTCCTCTCTCTCCACATGGCACATAGAGTTAATTAAAGCCAGTAAACTTCGCGCGGCGGGCTCGGCGGTCGGGTCCTAATTCTTCCGGGACGAAGGTAGTTAGAGGCCGGACTATTACAAAAGAAGGCTAGTTGCGTCGTCGACGCGTATAGTGGAAAAGGAAACGCGGACGCGTGTGGATCAATAATGCCTGTCTAGGGTCGGCGCAACATCTGCGATCATTTTGCAGACCAAGAGTGCCTTATACGAATGTGATTTTGATTCAAAGGAGAAGGGAAGAAAAGGGAAAGAAAATGCGAAATTGCTGTGTCACTTGCATTGTTCACGTTCGCTATTTGGTTTGATTCGATTCACTGATTTAACGAATTCAACGTTCTTCGCCGGATGCTTGCAACACAACACCATGCCTTCACGGAAACCCAGCAAATATGGAAATAAGTTCCGATCGAGCGCGGCTTCCTTCAATCCGAAACGAGCGAAAACGATAGAATTCAATTCTCTCCGCGCTACGGAAGCCACCTCTCAAGATGAGAAATTCGAAGCAATCAGACAGGCCAATGGCATCGACGAGTCCATGGGCTTTCCACGCTACGAAGCCGGAGAGAAACGAGCAGGATGGTTGATTAATATGCACAGCACCTCTGTTGAGGATCCTAATATTCCTGGTGGTCGAGCTGGTGTGGATTTTTATTTCCTGGAAGATGATGGTAATAGCTTCAAGGCCACAGTCGAATACGACCCATACTTCCTCATTGCTGTCAAAGGAGGGCGAGAAGCAGAAGTTGAGGAATGGTGTCGAAGGATATTGGATGGTGTGCTCAAGAGTGCTCGGAGAGTTGTCAGAGAAGACCTACAGATGCCCAATCATCTACTTGGAAATCGAAGGACGTTTTTGCAACTCAGTTTTGCGAACGTCGGCAATCTGCTAGAGGCTCGAAAATTGCTCATGCCAATTGCTGAAAAAAATAAAAAGAACGTGACCGCTATGGATACATATGCTGAGATGGCCAGGTTGGAGATCCCCCTTTGCCCCCCTCTGATTCTTGCGCGGAATGACTGATTCGAGGTAGAACATCTGCTGGCTTTGATCTCTTTGACGATGAGATTGACGATATACGACCTAATGCCACCTTGAATGCGAGCGATTTTATCATTGATATTAGAGAATATGATGTGCCTTACCATGTCAGAGTTGCTATCGATAAAGGTGCGTCCATAACCCGTTTGCACCTTGGATTATTTGAACTAATAATGGCCAGATATTCGAATTGGAAAATGGTACAATGTGGAAGCGAAACATGGAGTTACAAAGTTAACATGCATTGAAGAGCGGCTTCAAAGAGCTGACCCCGTGGTCCTCGCATTCGATATCGAAACAACCAAGCTTCCCCTGAAATTCCCGGATGCTGTCATTGACCAGATTATGATGATTTCTTATATGATTGATGGAAGTGGATTTTTGATTACCAATCGCGAGATCGTCTCTGAAGACATTGATGACTTCGAATACACACCTAAACCAGAATACAACGGGCCGTTTGTAATTTTCAATGAGCCCGATGAACGCCATGTCTTGGAGCGGTTTTTCAGTCACGTGAAAGAGGCAAAGCCTACAGTCATTGCAACTTACAACGGCGACTTCTTCGATTGGCCCTTCGTCGAAGCGCGCGCAAGTGTTCTAGGTATCGATATGTATGCTGAAATCGGCTTCAGAAAGAATAGCGAGGACATCTATCAAAGCGATCATTGCGCTCACATGGACTGTTTTGCTTGGGTTAATCGAGACAGTTATCTTCCACAAGGCAGCAGAGGTTTGAAAGCTGTTACAGTGGCCAAACTAGGATATGATCCAGATGAACTAGATCCGGAGCTTATGACTAGGTACGCTAGTGAACGACCGCAAACGCTGGCTGAATACTCAGTATCCGATGCCGTTGCGACATACTACCTTTATATGAAGTACATACATCCTTTCATCTTCTCGCTCTGCACCATTATTCCGCTAAACCCGGATGATGTCCTCCGAAAGGGCACAGGAACGCTGTGTGAGATGCTTTTAATGGTACAAGCATACAAGGGCGAGATCATTCTTCCCAACAAACACAAGGATCCACCAGAAGCATTCTACGAAGGCCATCTTCTTGACTCCGAAACATATGTGGGTGGCCATGTGGAAAGTATTGAAGCCGGTGTTTTCCGTAGCGATATACCTGTCAATTTTGCCGTAGACGCCACGGCCATTGATGAACTGCTAAGCGATCTTGATGCCGCATTGAAATTTAGCATCGTGGTGGAAGAGAAGAAGTCATTAGAGGATGTCACCAATTATGAAGAAGTGAAGGCTCAGATAGTTGAACGGTTGACGAGTTTGAAAGAAACGCCAAATCGCTCCGAGCGGCCACTCATTTACCATCTTGATGTTGCTTCAATGTATCCAAACATTATGACTACGAACCGTTTACAACCTGACTCTATGAAACAAGAGTCTGACTGTGCAGCGTGTGACTTCAACCGACCAGGGAAGACTTGTGATCGTCGGCTTCCATGGTCGTGGCGAGGCGAGTTTCTGCCCGCCAAACGAGACGAATACAATATGATCCGGCGCGCTGTCGAGAATGAGAAGTTCCCGGGGAAGAACAAGAATGCCCCCATGCGTTCTTTTGCAAATCTGCAGACAGAAGAACAAGCCGCCATTATCAAAAAAAGACTACAAGAATACAGCAAAAAAATCTATCACAAAATCCACGACAGCAAGACGATAGAGAGGGAGGCTATTATATGTCAACGGGAAAATCCCTTCTATGTCAATACTGTTCGCGACTTTCGTGACCGAAGATATGATTTCAAAGGGAAGCAAAAGGTGTGGAAGGGCAAGACAGAATCCTTGAAGTCCGCCGGCGCATCAAATGTCGAGATTGAGGAGGCGAAAAAGATGATCGTTCTATTTGATTCTCTTCAATTGGCACACAAAGTCATCTTGAACAGCTTCTACGGCTATGTTATGCGCAAAGGTTCACGCTGGTATTCCATGGAGATGGCTGGAGTCACTTGTCTAACGGGCGCTCGGATTATTCAAATGGCCAGAGAGCTAGTTGAACGCATCGGCCGACCTTTAGAACTCGACACGGACGGTATTTGGTGTATGCTTCCAGCTACCTTCCCCGAAAATTTCGCGTTTTCCCTCAAAAATGGAAAGAAATTGACTATGTCGTACCCCTGTGTGATGCTTAATCATCTTGTTCATGGACGATTCACGAATCACCAATATCAAACTCTCATTGACCCAGCATCGTTTAAATACGAAACAAAGAGCGACAACTCAATCTTTTTCGAAGTTGATGGACCGTACAAGGCTATGATTCTGCCCGCATCTAAGGAAGAAGACAAAAACTTGAAGAAACGTTATGCAGTCTTCAATGACGATGGATCACTTGCAGAGCTCAAAGGATTTGAAGTCAAACGCCGAGGTGAGCTCAAGCTCATCAAGATCTTCCAAACGCAAATCTTCAAGTTCTTCTTGGACGGAAAAGACCTAGCCGAAACATATCAGTCAGTTTCTCGCGTGGCAAATAGGTGGCTTGATGTGTTGTATGAACATGGGGCAACTCTTGCTGATGAAGAACTCATTGACTTGATTTGCGAAAATCGAAGCATGTCCAAGACGGTGGAAGAGTATGGCTCACAAAAGTCAACATCTATCACAACCGCCAAACGACTGGCCGAATTTCTTGGGGAACAAATGATCAAGGACAGAGGTCTCAATTGTCGTTACATTATCTCATCCAAACCAAGAAGTGCTCCTGTCACAGAACGAGCCATTCCTGTTACCATATTCTCTGCAGAGGAGAATGTCAAGCGATTCTTCTTGCGCAAATGGCTCAAGGATGACCCTGGTGACATGGATCCTCGTTCTGTGATCGATTGGGACTACTATCTCGAACGATTGGGTTCGGTTATCCAGAAGCTGATTACTATTCCAGCTGCACTTCAAAAATTGGGTAATCCTGTTCCCAGGGTCCAGCATCCCGACTGGCTTCAACGGCGGATCAACATGAGAGATGACAAGTTCAAGCAAAAGAAAATGACCGACATGTTCGAAAAGAACCCCCTTTCTGAGATGTCGACTAATATACTGGATCATCGGGTGCATCACACCGCTGATATTGAGGACGCAGCAACACAAGCAACCGATAAGAAAAGATCATCACCTTCTAGCAAAATGGTACAGAAGCGAAAGTTGCCTGAGGGTCCTCCGACAACATCGCTTGACCCCTATGCCAGTTTACCAGCTGTTATGCCATCTATCAACGAGGATTATGAAGGTTTCATTAAGTATCAGAAGCAAAAGTGGAAGATTCAGAAGCAAGCTCGAATTCGGAGAAGACAGCTTTTTGGAGAGAAATCAAAGCTTGCAACTGACTCTCTAAGTAACTTTTTCCGGAATCAAGCAGAGTTACTGTTCATCAGCACATGGACAGTTTTGCAGCTTAGAGAAACAGACGTTCCCGGAGAAGTGCGAGCATTTGTGCTGATTGACCGCAAAGTACATGCTCTAACCGTCAGGGTTCCGCGGCAACTGTTCATCAACTTTAAGGATGATTCTCTACCGGAAGTCGAGCTTCCTGACTGCGAGGTAGAAAAGGTCAATAATACTCTGCCAAATGGCCACCCTTCGGTTCATCTCTTCAAGTTGACATTGCCGGAGGATGTCTATTTAAGAGAGTCGGAAAAAATAGCCGCTCTGCTTAATCATCCTAGTGTCGAGGGTGTCTACGAACGTAATGTTCCACTCACTGTTCGCGCTGTCATGAAGCTGGGAAGTACCTGTACGTTTGATGAGAATCAACGAGGGGTTCTCGGTGACGGCTTAGATCGCGGCTTCGAATTGTCATCCTTATTGCACGCATCTTCTGAAACCCCTTACTTGGAAGGCCCATCTTTAACATACTACTACTTATACCACATCACGTCTGGCGATCGACAAGTCTTCGCCCTTTTCTCAACCGCCAAGAGTGAGGCTAATATTGTAATCTTGAACCGCAATCGTGATGCTCAAGGCTTGCCGAATGTCGATAAAATTTATGCGGAGCTCCTAGGCCGCAAAATTGCAGCAAACACTGAAGCCTCGACAGGCGCATTCGACTATCAGGAAAAGATACGTTTCAAAACTACTCAAGTGACTACTCAGCGCAAAGCTTTTCTAGAGATCAGTGATCTCATAAAGAAATTGCGCAGCGAAGAGATGCAGCCTGTGGTGTTTGTAATTCAGTCCCAGCAAAGACGAAAGCTGAGCCATGATATTTCAATTCTTAGGGAATATCCCATCCTATCTGTCAAGCCAGAACTTTCAGACATGGATATGCCACCGCTGGGATGGCAGTCATTCATTGCGAAGCGGTTGGTGACCCACTATTTGTATTTGGGTTCGTGGATTCAGCATCTCAAACTACTTGCACGTTATGGAGATGTTCCTGTCTGTAATTTGGAGGGTGATGATCCTCGGTATTTGATAGACGTCTCGTATGCAAGGCGACTTGAGAAAAGCAATGTTGTGCTGTGGTGGTCAGCAGGACCGCGACCAGACCATGCTGGGTTTGAGAAGGATGATATCCTAGGGTCTCTTGATACAGTCGAGATGCCTTGTATCAATGTACCAGGCACCTATACAACAGTCTCTATTGAGCTCGAAGTACGAAATCTCGCAATAAACACCATTCTTACATCGTCAATTATCAACGAGTTGGAAGGCAGTGACGCACTTCTCGCTTCCGGCATTGAGACAGGTGATGGGAGTGGAGTACTCTACTCGGAGAAGGCCTTTGCATCTGCGGGCGTTTTTGTCTTGCGTGAGATGGTCAAACAATGGTGGGCAGAGGCATGTGCAGGCAACACAATGGCCGATGTTATGGTTCAACATCTGGTCCGCTGGGTAGAAAGCCCCAGCTCATGTCTCTATGATCGATCGTTGCACTATTATGTTCGAATGATGTCTAGAAAGTCATTTCAGCAATTGATGGGAGATTTTCGTCGCGTCGGTTCGAATGTTGTCTTTGCTAGCCCAACACGACTGCTGCTACAAACAACTAAAACAGAAGTTGGCACGGCGTATGCTTATAGTCAGTACATCTTGAAATCTATCAGAGCCAATCCGGTCTTTCATTTCATCGACCTGGAGCTCAAGGAGTACTGGAACTTTCTGGTATGGTACGATGAGTTCAATTATGGGGGCAAGGGCTGTCAAGAGGTGGTTGAGGCGGAATCTCAACAGCTCGAAACCGTTATGCATTGGCAGATGAGCCGATTTCTACCAATCCCTATGCAGGAAGTCTATCATGACTGGGTAATCGAATATATTGATCTAATGCACGGACTCAAACGAGGAGATGAGGATAATCCTTCTACGCCTCGACTTACCCAGATACCTAAACGTCTGACGGAGACAGACGATGAAGTAACGTCGATTCTCACAGAAGGCTTCTCCAAACCTTTGAAGAAACAAATTGTGGGTTTGATCCGGCGACAACGGGATGAACTTCTCCATCCCGAGCTTGCATCAGACTATATATTTCCCGTGTTACCAGGAGTTTTGGTTGATCCAAACAAGGAGAATCGAAATCCCGTGCTGGAGCTTGTGAAGTTACTCATGCAGGTCCTCAGTTTGTCTAAAATCACGACGCTAGAGACGCGAATTTTGCGCCGCGAATTGTTAGCATTGTTTGAGGTCCGTGAATTTAGCAAGGAGGGACGATTCGAAAACCCCAGTGCCAGCTTGAAACTGCCAGAATTAACGTGCAGCGCTTGCTGCTTGATACGCGACTTGGATCTATGTCGAGATGAAGATGTTCTTCCAGATACAAACACTGATAACAAAAAAACATCTCCCAAGGCTTGGCGCTGTCCCTTTTGTCAAACCGAGTACGACCGTCTGGCGCAAGAAGAACGACTCATTGGGGAGGTGTATGGCATGGTAGTCTCGTGGCAAGCGCAGGATCTGAAGTGCTCCAAATGCAATAGTCTCAAGGTCAGCGCTTTCATGGAGCACTGCTCCTGCAGTGGCGAGTGGACTACGACAATAGACAGAAACGAAGTTCTCAAAAAGCTGCGTGTCATGCTTAGTGTAGCTAAGTATCATGATATGAAGCTTCTCGAAGGAGTTTCTGAAGATGTTTTGCAGCAAATGTAATCCAATATCATTTTCTTTCTCTGTTTGCCTTGTGATATGGTCATAGGCTGTTTATTTTTTTCACCTCATGAAGATGAATTTTGATGTATGGTTTTTGTTTCTGGTGCCGTTTACAGGTTTTGGCGTTGGTCGTGTCTCAAAGACACGAAACGAATCATGTACTTTCTGTCAATATACCATTTAAGTGTTTAAATCAACTACCCGCTACTACGTCGACTTGCTCAAGAATGAGATGGCTATCTGATGGTTCTCAACCAGAAATCTGTCCAGGTGATACCTAGATATACTTCTTTATATCGCGGCTTCGCTTGTAGGTGATGCAGGTAAATATTTATAAAAAACTCATGGTTGTCTATCGTAGCCCTCCCTTGGGAATCTAGTTGTTGCTTTTTTCCCTTTTCCCTTATACGAAATATATGTGTAGATGTTCAGTATACCGAGATAGACGTTAATAGTGCTACCTAAATAGGCTAATATGGTGGTGAACCGTGAAGCCCCCACAAGAATGACCCCTCCGGCTCCCTCTATCACGGAGCTTTCTCTCTCTCTTTTCTAAGTCTGCCCCTGATTTATTTGTCGACTCGCATCAACCAAAAAGGATATCGCTTTCCTACATTCACTCTCTTGGTTTGCTATTTTCGTTTCGCTGGTCGGGATGGCTACCCCTACACAACCGAAAACACAACCCCAACGACCGCAAATACAACCTTGTCGGTACAAGACTGGGAAAACTCTAGGAGCTGGCTCCTACTCCGTCGTCAAAGAATGCGTCCATATCGATACCGGGCGGTACTTCGCCGCAAAGGTCATCAACAAGCGATTGATGGCTGGTAGGGAGCATATGGTAGGTGGTCTGCAGACGGATGGTAGTTTGGCTGGTCGATGAGAGTAGACTATGTACTAACGTTCGCTTCTCCGTTACATATAGGTCCGAAACGAGATCGCAGTACTCAAGCGAGTTTCGATGGGCCATCAGAATATCTTAACTCTCGTCGATTATTTCGAGACCATGAACAATTGTACGTTTTTGGAAACCAGTTTTTTGACTTCGACCTGGATCACTACCGTTACCGTCAATCTGCTGCTGACAAGTGGTCCCCGCGTCTTCCTTCTCAATTGTAGTATACCTTGTTGTCGAACTGGCCTTGGGAGGAGAACTATTTGATCGGATATGTCGCAAAGGAAGCTACTTTGAAGCTGATGCGGCGGATCTTGTCCGAGCTATATTATCAGCTGTTGCATACCTACACGACCATGGCATTGTCCACCGAGATCTTAAACCGGAAAATCTACTATTTAGGACCCCAGAAGACAACGCCGATCTTTTGATTGCAGATTTTGGCTTGTCCAGAATTATGGATGAAGAACAATTTCACGTTCTTACAACAACGTGCGGAACACCTGGATATATGGCACCGGAAATATTCAAGAAGACTGGACATGGGAAGCCGGTGTAGGTGGTTTCGTCCTGATATCTGAAAAGCCAAAAGGAGTGAGGGAAGAAAGAAAATTACTAACGCTGAAAATTAGGGACATTTGGGCCATTGGCGTCATCACTTATTTCTTACTTTGTGGCTATACCCCCTTTGACCGTGACTCTAATCTAGAGGAGATGCAGGCCATTCTCGTCGCGGACTACGCCTTTGTACCTATTGAGCATTGGCGAGGCATTTCTCAAAATGCCCGTCAATTTATCAACCGATGCTTGACCATTGATCCCAAGGCACGAATCACGGCTCATGAAGCTCTTCAGCATCCATGGATCACCAATGACCTATCATCGAAACAGGGTGAAGATCTTTTGCCCACTGTTAAGAAGAACTTTAATGCCCGACGGACGTTACACAAAGCTATCGACACCGTCCGCGCCATTAACAAGCTTCGTGAAGGCGGTGGCTTGATGATGGACGGTGCGGCCAGCATTGAACCTCGTCCTGAGCGTGTAGTTGGAAATGACGTCCATGACGAAGATCATCAACATCATTTTCAGCAGCGACATGACGATGACCAAATGAAGATCGATAGTCGTAGCAACGCTAGAGGTCAGACAGAGGAGCAAATTCGTGAGCAAGAGCGCAAAGTGAAGGAGGTTGTAACTGGTCTATGGAAATCGGCGGCGAATCGCCAGTGAAAAACATGATTTGTTGCATTGTGCATTTCATATTTATCTTTTCTTCTCTGATAACTGATATTCTGGGAAATTACGAATATTATGTCACTAATGGACATTCTTAAGCCATTGTCTTCAGGAATGATTTGACATGAAACGGTTTGACTTCTATTTTCATTTTTCTCGCCTCAATTTAAATATACATACATCATCCAGTCACTTATTCTGATTTTACTGGAGACATATAATCTTTCTACGTGAGGAAACTACGTGTCGAAAGTAATCCTTAGCGATAGAAATGAGAAATCCGTAAATACATTATCATCCCGCTAATTAAATACCTAGTCATCATCATTAATTGCACCGAGATTTCATCTAAGCCAAGTTGCGACATCGATACAAAGTATCCGAACATGCATAACAGCAACAGAAAAAAGAAAACTTGGGGCTATAGATCGGTCTGGATTTGGAAAGCCCTGAATTATTCAGGACGGACTCTTGTCTATAGGTGCCTTGACTTATCAGCTTCAACCCATTCCCTCCACTCTTGCCAGTCACTGTAGTCAGCAGATGTCCGCAAGCCCTGGTAACGAGTGGCCTTAAAATCGGCCACTTCATCCCACGGCTTGCGAATGTTATTATTATGATTGTTATTGATACTCGACCCGCTGCTTCCTCGAAGAATTCTTCTCGTCATGCCAATGCCACCGCCACCACTGCTAGGACCATCCCACCCTGCTTTACGCATTAGGCTCTCAACAGTCTCTTCCTTTGTCCAGCCTTGTTCGAGGGCGACGTCTGGAAGGTATGTCGACCCATATCGCCGATTCCGGTGAATGAAGGAAATCCGTAGCCCGTGTGTGCCCAACTCCCAGTCCATAGCATCCGCGCACGGTTCAAAGTTGCCAAGCAAAGTCAAAGCACATGAAAGAGATGGCAGTTGTGATGGAGGGATTGGAGAGAACCGCGTATCATCAAAGGCACTGTCGTACTTTTGTTAGCCCCCTTCCGTTATACATATATATGCGTGTATTCCTCCACAATGATAAACATTGATAAATGGTAGAATATAAAGAATGTCGACTGAGAAAGTAGGGTCTTACGATATAAGTGCGTATTTTTTGAGACCGTAAGAGAGCTTCTGGGCTTCGAATGTGCCAATACAACCACGCAGAGATTTATGGCCATGTCTCGAAATCAAATTCCATGTAACAAATAATGGATAAGATTCCTCCGACATACTGCTCCTTTGAGAGCTTAAAGGATCATCTGGGGTAGTCAAAGTTGTTGAGTTTGACAGCGCCGAGCGAGACGAATTAGCTGATAATGTAGCAGTTGTACTTGACGACGAATCTGAGGATACATCTTGTTGAAGGCGAGATACGGAGGGCAGCTTGATATTCCGAGGACGAGTGGTATGGCTGCTATGTTCAATTTCATCCTCATCCTCCTCTTCTTCGACAATTCTAAGAAAGAAATGCCAGTGTCAGTTCATCTCGCTATGTAATGCCAGCCAGGGCAAGAACAGGAATTTTAGGGGAACCCACGCCCTGTTCTCCATAGTTGCTAGTTGCTTAGATTGACTGAATTGCCAATAAGAACTCTCTATGGTAGCAAGACTAGGAGGTTCCTCGTTCTTGAATGAGGCAGCCAAGCTTTCGAAGCAATAGAAGCACTGTGCCGGCGAAGCCATATTGGAGTCTGTGGAGAGAAAAAAGAAAGAAAGTAAAAGAATAAAGCCTTTGGAGTCTATACTTTACGTAGGCTGTCTTGGAATGGGCGATAGAACAGTAGTATTTAGGCCACGATATAACAAAATGTTATCAATCGAAAGAAGCGCCCTCCCAACATCAAGCGGACCGAGGCTTCGAGTGCCGGCACGTCGTAGGGAATGAAGGAGCAAATACAAAGAAGCAAGCTCACCAGGGGCAGCGACGAGAAAGGTGCCTGTCTTCCCTAGGACCTCAACTGCCTGCTGAGAGTGATGAGATGAGGTGAGGTGATGCGAGGTCTGTAGTCCATGTCATCGAGCGAGCGGGGAAGGCAGGCTCATCTAAGCAGGTTCTAGGCCCACCAGAGCGGCCACTAGCTGATTGGCTTGCGGATCTGTCAGCCAATCACGGTACAAAGCTATATACATACATAGAGTCATATACTTGTACTCCGTAGACATTCTGGCATTTAATGGACCGAACGAATTAGGAGTATAACCACGGCCTTGATAAGTTGCGTCCGGGCTCTGTCACTTTGGCAGTGTACTTAGGAGCTTGACTCTCATTCGTTAAGCACCCGCACATACTGGTTATGGGAAAGTCTGTTCTCAAGCGGTCTGCAGATATCGCGCCCAAGTCAGCATTTAGATGAAAATACGTGATATCGCATAGCATATGTGCGGGACACGTCTCTATCCCCTTCAGACAGTATGTTGGCGGTTGTATCACTTGCGATCATCTTGAGGCATCCTCATGCCCATCATCCCGAGAATATTGCTCGCAGGACCAGGCATACCGGCCTGGCTTTGAAAACTTTCAAGGAGGTTCTTGGCAAGATTTATATTCAGAGAGCTCTCATCGTCGGATTCTTCAGCCTCGGTCCTTCGTTTGCCCTTATCGCGTGCATCAGTCGGATTCCGGGCGGCCTCTCGTCTGTTGTGGTTCAAAACACCAGTGGGTCTAAGCTCTGCTTCCATCTGTCGTGTGAGTTCTTCGATCTCGTGGCTATCGTCATCTGAAGAGTCAAGCTCCTCGATTCTTCCTTTCGCACGTGCTGACTTGAGTTGCGATCGCAAGTCAATGCCTGAATTTCCGCCCGTCATGTCTCTCATCAGTTTCATGTATTCCTCTTTATCGAACTTCAGGTTTTCGTCTTCTTCATCTTCGCTGCTCAAGCCATCCTCGTCGGCTTCATCATCTGTGTCGGAATCGAATAGATTCACACCGTCAAAATTGGCGGAATCATCTTTCAAAAATTCTTCGAACCGAGCAACAATCCGCTGGAGGTTTTCTTGTGCACTCGAATTCCCAAAGGCTCCAGAGCCTTGAGTCTCGCTAGCCTTTCCCTTTAGTTCCCTGTCGAGGTCCTCGAAACTAATATCTAACCAGCCCTCATCGTCCTGCTGAAGACTCCAAGAATGTTTGATTTCTTCGGTGGTTGGCAAACGTTCGTCCCCGGTATCAAGATCCTCAAGTAAGAGTTTCATCTCTCGAACAATGGGTTTATCTTGATTTTGTGGATCACTAAGCAGCATCTCGAACCCACAAGAGACTTTCATTCCTGATTCTGCCCTGGTATAGGCCTCGCCATCCATTTGGGGCGGTAGACTTTGCGCCCATGATGCGGGAGTCGGGAAGTCTTGACTTCTGAGTTGGGCATATCCTACTCTAGTGAATCGAACACTGACCGTGACAAGATCGTCAGGAGAAAATAGCAAATCTTGTTTGCTACTTGCTCTCAAAGTCCTCAATGAAATCGGATCGCGAGTATAGAAAGCCTCCACAGCTGGTGAAATATAGGAAGACTTTTTGTGGACTAGATATGCAACCTTGCGCGGGATGCTCACCAGGGCGCAGTGGAGATTTTCTTCTATCTGTTTGGGATAATTTCGCAGGCGATAGAAAGCTTCTTCTTCGATAGAAGGGGAGCGTAATAAGCGTCCGGTTTCATGCATGGCAATTCTCATAAAGTCATCGAGCGATATCTTCTCTGTGACTCGTTTTCGGTCTTGTTTTGGCTGTATGATAACTAAATGGCCATTGTTTATCCAAACCTGTAAATATATATTAATATCGGTGATATATGCTTTCATTCATAGAAGTATGAAATACCCTGTAATCGGCCACTTCGGGCTCCAGCCACGCCGGCAGACTTCCAGCTGCCTCAATGAGCAGAAATTCGCCATCACTGTCGACGACACGAACCCACAAATCTTTATGTTTTCTTGTCAACTCCCGGAGCAGAAATACAATAACCCATTCATCTTCGATAGAATCGCCGAAATTGGTTCGCCCCCGAAGGTACGTTATATCTGATGCCGCAATGCGATGTCAGTGCCTCGCGCAAAGGAAGACATCCGCGATTATGACAGGCCGACTTACCATTATCTTTTGCGATCTCGAGATTGAAGGGATCTCGCTGCCAGATGTAATCCTTGAGAATGTCTCTTATAAGCTCGGAGGCACTCTTTTGGACCTCCTGAAGGCGCGAACGTGTTTGGACAACTGTATCTGTCGTGGCGGGGGCGGGGTCTGATGAAAGTAGATACAGCGAGTACTCAATAGCGTCCTCGGGCAGTTGAGGACGTGGAATAGGACGAAAGGTCGACTTGAACCATGCGAGGTCCTCTTCTGACATGGGCGGCATTTTGGCTTTTTTTTTTTTTTTTTTCTTTTTTGATAGTATCGCCACCATTTCGTCGGCTTTTTGGAATTGACCTCATTGAAAAGTTGTCCGGAAGAATTGGAAAGGCCGCTCCGGGGTAGATAAGCTCTAAGCCGCATTCAGCTAAACATCAACATGGCGGGCGGAAAACACGCGCATCATGATTTATGATTGATTTGCTTGCTACAACACGTCCCATCGATCACACAGCCATCCATTTTCTGGCTATGGACACGCGGACCACAGACATTATTATTTACTCCTCGTGATAGTCTCTACCCCACACCCTATATGTAGAAGAATTCTATCTTCACAATGCCGCTACCGTACATAGACACGCCGCGGACCGAGATCGACGGAAACGCGACCTATTTGACAAACGGTCTGCGAAGCGCCTACCGTGGCAACTTATCTGCATTGGACTCGGTTGAAAACTCTTTTCAGACACCATCGAAAGATGAAGACATCATAAAGACTTTGGAGGCCCGAAGACGCGCTTCCAATGGAGCAAACCAAACACCGCGCGCACCTGGTACCGGAGTCAGAAATTCACGAATCGCCCTCAATGATCGACGGACACTGCCAGCAAATCCGCCACCAAAGGGTGAATTCACCCCCATGATGCGAAGCGTGACGCGGAATAACTACCTTCGAAATATGTCAGCCGTGAGAGCTAGTACCGGTCCCAAAACGCCAGCCTATCTCAAAGACGGCTATCGAAGTAACGGCAATACCCCGGGGCTTCCACAAATTGATGCAACCAACATTTACGAGGATGGAGTAAATTCTTCAATGGCCATGGAAGATGTAACGCCTTTGCCTCAGGTTGCTAGCAGTAGTGCGCGAAGTACACCGTTGCCATCTATGTCGCGCAAAGGAGGCCTCGGACTGTTGAGCTCTGACCAGAATATGTTGTCTTTGAAAGAACAAGAAAATGTAAGAAAACCTTGCGGGAAATCAATGGTAACCCTAATAACTGATGAATTTCAATGGACAGGCTATCGACAAACTAGACAAGGAGAATTTCGGACTGAAGATAAAAATTCACTATCTGCAAGAGCAACTCGAAAAAGCCGGTCCAGCGTATAATCAAGCGGCGTTAAAGGAAAATACCGAGTTGAAAGTGGCCCGACTTACCATGCAACACGAAATTTCTCGCTATAAGAAGAATCTCCACCACGCTGAACGTGACCTAGAAGCATATCGTTTACAGCTACAAGAACTTCGGGAGAAGGCCAAACGCAGACAAGCTGACGAAGCGATGCAGCGTGAGATGGAATATTTGCGCGAAGAAATCGCAACTCGAGAGACCCAAGTCAACAACCTCCAGGAAGAACTACGGAATGCCAAAGAAAGCGAGTCTGAGGAGGTGGAGCGGCTGCGTGATGAGATCGAAGACCTGGAAGCAACAGTTCGTGAAAAGGAACGCATGATTGATGAGAAGGATGAAGTAATAGAAACCCTAAAAGAAGATGAGGATAAAGATGGCAACGCGGTCGCTGAACTGGAGGCCGAGTTGCATCGGGCAAAACAACAATTGGAAGAGTTCCAGAACGATTTAGAAAAGGCCAGGACAGACGTACACGAGGCCAACCGCAATCGAGAACAAGCCATTGAAGAAAGGGAGAAGGCGGAGGAAAATCTCAAAGAACTTCAGGATGAAATGGCAAACAAGTCATTTTATACGAAAGGTCTCAGTCGCCAACTCGAAGAGAAGACTGAAGATCTTGAAAAGGAGCTTGATCGATTGCGCCAGGAACATGCTGATCTGAAGGAAGACTATGCGGCCAAGGAGCGTCGAGAGGAAATGCTTGAAGGCCAAATAGAAGAACTTCAAGAGGACCATAGGTCAGCATTGGAAAAACTTCGCAATGAAGCCGATCATGCTCAACGGCAGAGTGATCAATATCTCTCAGAGCGGGATGAGGCTCTGGGCCGATTAAGACAAGTTCTTGACGACCTGGATCGCAAGACTGATGAGAAAGAGCTCCTTCAGACGCGTCAACATGCCCTAACGGATGAGTCAGCTGGCTTACAGAGGGAGCTGGCGAACGCTCAATCTACAATTCGGCAACTTGAGCAAGAACTAGAAGACGAAAAACAACGCGGCCTTGACAGCAATCATAGTCTTCGAATGCAACATAAGGAAGAATTAGAGCGATTAAGTGAAGAGATCATGTCCTTACATCAGGAAATTGAAGACAAAGAAGGACAGTTTGCACTTGACCAAGACCGTTGGGAAAGTGCAAAACGTACTCTGCAATCACAAAAGGAACGAGTAGAGGAACAAGCCGCTGGATTCCGACGCACTATCGAAAAGCTTCAAGATGTAGAATTGACCGTTTCTGGACGCGAAGCCAAACTTCAGGAAGTGATTGATAGCGAAAAGGAACGTCATCTACAGGAAGAGGCTGTCTTGAACCGCCAGATCAAGGAGCTAGGTGAAGATATAGCATCTAAGAGACAAGTCGTCAGCGAACAACGGAGCGAATTACTTACGATCAAGGAAGAGCTTCGGGTTGCTCGCCGTGAAGAGGGAGTTCTCAAAGAGAAAGTTCAAGCCTTGGAGGACGAAATTTCAATTTTACGTGCAAGCCTGCAAGAAGAAAAGGAGTACTCGAAGGATAAAACCCTCAACAGAGTATCTGACCAAGACAAGCAATTGCAAAAGGCTTTGGCCGAGCGTCAAACTCTTCGAGATCAACTCGCCAGTGCAAACCTTGAACTACACAATTTACGCACCTCCGCTGCGGAGGCCGGGGCTGAACGCGATTTGCTTCAAAATGAGCTTAACCAAGTTCAGAGCAAAACTCATGGAAGTAGCAACTTTGATCACGAGAAAGTTGAGCTCCGAAAAGCTAAGCTCCGACTCGAAAATGAGCTTCAGCGGCTGAAGGACGAGAAGACAGCCTTAGTAGAAGCGCGGAAATCAGTTGAGGAAGCATTAAACACAGAGATTGAACGTTCTACAGCAGAAGAAAATCGACTGTCAAGCGAAATAGTTCAATTACAAGATAAAGTACACGAAAGATCTGGAGTTCGGGATCGTGAATTGACCGCAGCGAAGGGCAAGATTCAACAATTAGAAAGGAGAATATTGGAGCTCGAAAATTTGCTAGACCAACAACAACAACCAGTAAATGGGGATGGATCAACTGTCGGTGCGGACATTCAATGGCTACATCAGAGTCTCGACGAGGCCCGAAAGCGAGAGAAAACGCTGCTCGAACGAGAAATTGAACACAAGAAATCCATACGTGAATTGAGAAATCGAATATCAGAATTGGAAGGAGCTCTCCATGAAGCTCAGATGCAAAAGTTGAATATACCATCGCCTGAAAGGTCATCATCCGACAGTCTGCAGGAAGAAGTGCGGACGATGCGTACAAGGCTAAAGGAGGCACATAGGATTGTCATTGAACTCAAAACAAAGAACCGAGAGTTGGAAAGAGGGGCAATTCGAGCAGAGGACCGGAAGGACCTCCACGAATTGCTGAAGTCATCCACACTCCAGGCTGAGTCGCTCGAACTAAGACTTTCCGAGAGGGAGGCTCAAGTAAACGATCTTAAAGCATCGCTTCGAAGGATCCGTGAAGAACGTTCTGCGGCGCTGAAAAAGTCAGAAAAAGCCAATCGAGAATGCGAAGCTCTTCAAGAGCAATACAATATACTCATGGATGATGTAAATTCCAAAGCAAGCCGGAAGACTCGCCACGATAAGGAAATTCGCGGGCTTGGAAAGGAAATTGTCTGGCTTAGGTCAAGGTTGAGGAGAGAAGAGAAGTTCCGTCATGATTTGGCATGGAGCAAAGGGCTCATGGAACTTGGCGAAAGAGTTCGAGCAGCTTGGTATAGTCCCCTTTCTTTACTCACCTTCGCAAGCACAAAATACTGATATGAATAAATTTTAGCAATGAGGCGGATCTTCACATGATTGCTCAGATGGGTATCCACGCACCTGAGCCCAAGAAAGTTCACGATGCACGTCGTAAGATCCGCACAGCAGGCCTTGCGGTGATAGCAACGGTTCGGATGCAGCGCATGAGTCAAGAATGGAGCAAGGCCCGGAAACTTGGAGAAAGTCTTCGCCGTGCTAAGAATGAACTCTCAATGAAACGAGACAGTCAGAGGCGACGTGAAGGATCTCTAGGAATTTCGGCCTCTTAAGGTTTATAGTTATATGGAATTGACAAATTCTTACAAGCGAGCATTGGCGTTTGTTTTTGGGGAGCGGTTCATTTACAGTGTTCTCTGATTTTATTCTTTTGATTCTCTTCTATTTCATATTTATCCTCTACTTGGCAAGGATTGTTTGGAAGGCTGGTTTCAGTCTTCCCCTTTCCTGTTCGTTTCTGTCTGTTTTCTTGTCAGGATGTATTGTTCTTTCTCATCGCCAATAATGATATCCACGAGGCATCGCATGTATTCAAATTCCGTTTAATTCATATGAAGAATTGCATCAACAATCCTAAAATGGTCACATGAGTAAGAAGAGTCCAGAGAGAAATTCAAAGTTATTAATACCGCACAAGGGATTTCATCACATTGACTCGTCTTGAAAGTTGAAACTAGGGCGCGTAAGCTATATACGTATATGGTTTAGTATAGCCTTCATGGGCTGCTCATTAACCACCACGTTGGTCACCCATTGCTAGCTTCTCCAAACAGTATAGACGACGATGGAGTTGCTGTTGGCTTGTGTCTGCATGTCTGCAATACAAATCTTATCCACACTTTTTCAGATGCGTGCAGACGAATTTGAATGCTAGCATGTCAACAAGAAACTTCCAGTCCGTGGATATACATCATATGATCCTAGCAGCTAGAACTGAAGAATCGTACACAATGCCTAAGTAGGCTAGCTAACATTAATGCCTCAAAGTAATATCATAGTAAATGCTGCTCGGCTTCGGGATACTTCTTTGAAAACCAGCACAACCAGCGTAACGACTGTCGTAAGAGTCCCCTTCTGTTTACAAGTAGCGAGGAAGGTTGGGTAGAAAGTGAGTCCCAAGCAATCTCAGCGATGGCCGAATATCTCGATGGGATCTATCTCATCTTCGTCGTCTTCTTCTAAACCAAGGTCGTCATCGTCTTCTAGCTCTTCGGTAGTAACGCTACCGAAGTCACTTTCGCTTTCATCACCACTTGATCCGTCATGGCTGCCGAAAAATGTGTATTTCCGCAGAGGCGACGTAGCCCAGAACCCAGGCTCCTCATCCTCATTTCCACCCTCACTTCGACGTCTAGAAAAGATAGACGCGGCCCAGGTGGTGTCTCTGGATAGCTCGAAATAATTGCCAACAGTGGGTGACACTGCACGTTGTCGAGATGCAATAGGGCGTCCATCAGCTGAAGTGGCAGTGGATGGCCGCCAGCGTAACTCCGGCTCCGCGATTGCTTCATTTACCAGACTAGTGGCAGATAAAGGTTCATAAGAATGGTCGGGAATGGAGATTGGAACAACCCGGGGTCTTGATATCAAGTCTGGCTCGTTCATATCGTCAGCACCACTCAAAAGACGAAGCTGTGCTGTGTTGTATGATTCACATCTAGGCGCCAATCAGTTTAACGACCCACATATAGACAAAAGACACACTATGAAACTTACAAATCGCACTTCAGGCCAAGCCAATGATACGGTACGTCTGACTTTGCACCGCAATCATTACAATAGACCAAAGCCCGGGTATCTTCGAATTCGATGGGCATTGGTTGGCTTTCAATTGTGCGATCCAGGTTCCTAAAACGCGCTTCCATGTTCATGATGCTCTTGCTGCAAATCGGACATTTGTACGAGTTCTTCGAGAACTCGTCATAACACTTCTGGTGAATGCTGTGCCCGCACCTCATAAATACGACAGTATCAGTTGATGTGAACATATATTCTCCGCAAATTGGGCAGTCACACTGCGTCGAACGTTCAATGCAGCGGTGGGTATTCTCAATAGAAATCGGTATGCAAACACTACAAGTCTAAAGTTGAAAAGTCAGCAATCGTGCCGAGACATGAGAGGAGAGAGAGAGAGAGAAAAAAAAAAAAGGGGGGGCCAGATTGAACAGCTTCTTTTGTACCTTGCAGTGATAAAAATCCTTCCCAATTCCTTGTCCAATACGGCAAATGCCACAATCATGGCAATGATATATGCTTTTCGAACTATCGTTGTCCCATAATTTACAAACAGCACAAAAGTATGATGCTGCTTGTTCACCACATTCCTTGCACCATTGCGCTGCTGGCTGAGGCACTCCACAAAGCATGCAGAGCATATTCTCTGTCTTTCGACGTTCAAGAGCATGATCCTCAGTTTCATCGTGGCAAAACCGACATGTATACCATTTTTTGCATGTGTAGCATTGTAACTTGACATTACGCTTATAATGTTGACAGCCTAGAACCAGTATATCTTCGTCCGAGTAATCGTCATTACTGATGTTATCATCAGCTTCAGTTGTTGGCCCAGAACCAGCAGCCGGAGGCTCGCCAGAGTCAACATCCTTTGGCGCGAAAGTTGGCTGTAGGTCCTCTGGCGAGAGATTATAGTAGATTCTGTCAGGTGTAGCTGTTCTCTGTTCCGACGAATCAAGAGAAAGCCTATCGATGGAGCGCCGTGTTCTCGGTGACGATGATGAAATCGGAGAGTGCTCTCGACTCCGGACGCTAGATGGAGATTGTGATGGAATCTGTCGTTCACTGAAAGTTTTCCGGGCAGCTTGGTAGCTCTCGATCATTAGAGAGTGGATTAAACGGGCTTTTTGAATTCCGCTAGCATCATTGTCTCTGATCGCGTGGATCTTTGTTCGCAATTCCGTCATTCCATCGTCTTCGGGGAGTTCACGGAGGGGAAGGTTGTCGTCGTGTCTACCACTGACCGCATCGCTGGTAGCAGTTGCTATGGCGGGTGCCGATACTTCCTCGGTATTTTGGCGTGAGTACGTGCTCGCCACTTGATGGGATTGAAGTATTTGGCTGTCTTCGCTGTCGCCGGGTTTTTCACTGTCGGAATCGTCCATTGTCCCTCTCAGGTCGTCGTCGGCACTGGGCCTACATGCCACCAGACGCCTTCGAGTGCACTCTAAGTCTGTGTCCAAAAAAGTCGGCAGAGCTACTGGCGGAGAGTCATGACTGTTGATCTTCTGTAGTGAAGTGTCCGGAAAGTCTGGCTCGAGGTCATGATTGCCTGAGGCAGTGGGCACCACCACTTCGGGAGACTCGGCGGAGTGAGGGGAGAGGCGGCGAGCGTGTCTGACTATGGGCTCGATCAGGAGAGATGAAATGTAGTCGCTCATCAGGGCATTCAGGCAGTACGATAGAATAGCACAGGTACGAGTATAGTGTTTGATTGTGCATAGAGTGGCAAGCGAGTATCTAAGAATATTTATTTATCTATACTTTTTTTTTCTGGGATGTGGCGTGTTGTAGCCGATGTGAAAAGCATGTGACACGTCTGCGGTCACCTTGCATATACTATTAGATATCGTTTCACCGTGTATACTGCGCAAATTTCATGCAGCTTTACGTGTTTTAGAGAACAGTCCCCGAATAAACGTTTCAGTAGCGTCGATCGCATTTCCCTGCGAAGTAGAGTATGACCCTCAGACTCCAGTCCACAGAGGCCAACTACTGGCTGGTGTCATACGCGTCTTCATAGGGGATATTGACTGCGCTCTCCATGGTGCGTTGGAATACCAAAAATGCACATTTTCCCAGCTTGTTATTTCATTCAGGCCAGGTTCTGCGATGTCCACGGCGCGGGGTGTTTGCGGGAGTACCCCGTAGAATCGAGATCATCTTAGACAAGTACCGAGACTTTCGTTCAGGAGCATCAAGGTCGAATTGAAATGGGCGTTCGCAGATCGTCGAAGGTATTTCTGTGTAGCATTATTGTCTCGACTGCTGTAGAGATCAGTGGCTGCTTCAGTTATTGACGGATCTAAGAAGCTTACATTATGTCCGACTTCCTCATGCTTGGTTGTTCAAAATATCTGACATGTAGCAGGTTTTTGATAATCTTATGCTCGTAGCTGTTAGACTCTGCCGCACGATCCAGAAACTCCAGCGTGCGCGCGATCTTCTCTGGATCGAAGTCGCTCCTATCCCCAGAGCGAAACGACGATCTTAGTTGACCACGCAGCACATTGCGTGCGGGAGGAGCATGGCGCACGGCCTGCAGTCCCTTTTGAAACAAATGCCGGTACGCATGAATGATCACACGGTCCTCCATTGGACAAGGAAGACCAAAGGATCTGTCAAGAAAAGGTGAAGAGAAGGCGAGGAAGGCGAGAAAGCAGACCGATGGAGCGGCGGAAAGCGGTCACGCGCGCAACCAATCAGGGCCGCGCTCTCCCCTCGCATGGCGCCTGCCCGACGGCATAAAAGAAGCTTCCCAACGACGGTCTCGCTGGGCATCCACGGCGCTTCTTCTTCCTATGCTTTGCTGAAGAGAGCTACGATTCGAGTTCTCTGTGACATATGGGGCGGTCTACTTTGCCTTGCTTTCGGCAGACATGGTGGATTAAACCTTGTTCATGCTCTCTTCCCTACTGCGGCACATAAAAACACCATACTAGGCTGGTCGATGCCAGCTCTCACTACACACAACGAGCACTTCCCAGATTCTTCTCGCTGGTTCCTTCCGAGCCTGTGGCTTGAGAAAGCCTAAGAGGAAAGGCAGTTTGTTGTCATGTCTATCTACCTCACGCACATATCCCCGCACATTCTCTTGAGGGGCTGCAGCTCATTTGGCTTGACCGACTACCACACTTCTGAAGAGTTACTGTGAACTCAAGCCAGTACCGTCAGTGCAAGCGACCATGACACGCTTGCCAGGTCGTGTTGGGGCTGCTCGAGCTCAGCACAGCTCGACTAGAGCTAAGTTTCGAAAGCACAAGGTCATTATGGAGAGCGTGACTCAACAGAGAAAAAAGCTCCGAAGTATTGTACGTTGGTCCTGACCCAATCTCAATCTAAATACTTATGCTAAATCTCAGCTGCAGATTTCCTTCGAAGCAGATGCACCCCCAGGATACACCTTCATCCCCGCTGGCAATCCTCAATTCACCCTCGCTTGCAAGGAGCTATGCCGTGAACAAGGATTGAAGGTGTTCACAGTCACTGTAAGCTTACATTAGCCTTGATCAATGACAAATTTCCTAACTGCTTTTTTAAAAAGACGACCCCTCACCAGAACACCCATGGGCTGTCTCAGCAAGTGCACCGGGTGGGTTACCATTTCCCGAGCACAGTCGTTGCCAAAAAGTGCATGGATCTTGGATTATATGTCTCGGGGAATGGGAACGTCATGCCTTTTGAGAGTTTTGGCACCAAATTCACTAGAACCGATGGCGACGTGGAAGTCTCCCAAATTACCATAAACACCGAAGCAAGAGACGTCATTCGTGACCTATTCCCCAATATCCCCGACGATGATATAAATCAGATCATCAAGACTGCTTTTCAGAAGGTGGATTATTTCTACCTTTCTTTTTTTTTACTTTTTTGCCGTCTAACTATTTTAATAGGGTCAGCGCAAGGTCGGTACGGCTGTTGAGCTGCCTCTCGCTCGTAGAGCACAGCTTGCTGTTGTTGCTCATATTCGACACGTATACACGGATTACGACAAACTCTTGAAAAAAACTTCGTTCCAAGAGGCAAGGCGTCAAGTAGAAGACTCTACGTTGGAAAGGCTTGTACATTGGCGCGGTGATGACGAAAGTGGAATGCCAGAACTTGAAGATGTCTTCCGTGAGGTCATCGTGATCTCTGATGATGAGGAAGAAGAGGAAGAAGAAGTCGAACACAATGACATTGGTTGCAATAAACAAATCCCTTCCGGAGATCGAGATCTCAGTGTCGAGATACTGTCAACGCAAGTTGTTACCGACAAGCTTGACGTTAATGCAAACGACACTGGCAATCACTCTGTCAGCGCCTTCCCCGTGAAAGCTAAAGAATCAATTTCAAATGAATACCATTTTGTTGCAGGAGCGAACACTCACACCTTTGGTAAACAGAAGATCGACCGTCGCGGCTTCAGCCGGTACCAAGCTTGGGACCGAGCCATGAACCGCTATCGTGAGAAGAAACAAGCCCCGGATATTCTTCGTTTCCCTGACGGGTCTGTCTTTGGAAAAATACCTCCGGCCACATCGAATAAGAGAAGCTCCCACTCAATTGATTTTCCATCTACGCCTATATTTGTCGCAGGGCCAAGAATATCATCCGAAGGGACACTTGAGAAACTTTCCAAGGAGATAGATTTGATCGACTTGACGGGTGGGGAAGATGCAAACGAGTTTCCCAAGCGAAGGAGATTAGGAACGCGCAAATACTCTCGCGAGATTCATCGCCCCTCATCTTACGCAGATGACTTACCTTATTCCTACACGGGAAAACCGGTATCTCAGCATGCACCAGTAGTGATGCGCAGTCGGTACCTTGAAACGATGCGAGAGGGCGTCAGCGTTGACAGAATGCCTATTATGAGAAATGATCCCGTTCCACTTGTGATCAACGGGTCCAGAGAAGAGACTAGCCACCCACTATACCACTCAATAGCATCCTCTAGTGCAACTTCTGTAATGCCGACAATACAGTTAGAGTCTCCCGAAATCTACAATGGAATCGGATCCTCAGGTATGGGTCGCCCGCGTATGAACCCTGCGCCTCTGTACAGGGACCACAGCTTCAAGGTTGATGGTTATGAAACGGATTCCCCGAGACTGACTATGCTTCGAGAGGACCGTCCGGCCAGCAGCCACCACGTTCGTGGCTCCGGCTCGGATGATGCAGTATGGAGGAACAAAGCCAATTCCTACATGTCTCAAAGAAGGTTATTAGAAACCCGGGATTCTTCATGGTTGGCAAGCGCACCTAAACCCTCATTTCACCTGAGGAGGGTTCAAAGATCCGAGCGAGTCACTCACAGCCCTGCGTTTACCCAAGAGGACATTATGGATCCGTCTCCAACTTTTAATGTTGACGGCAGAGCTGAAAATGCACTTCAGCAATATGGGATTCAAAATCGTCGAGTCTCTTCACAACCTCCTCTATCAGATACGCAGAGAAAGAGGGACACACTTCCCGCGTCAGCAATGAGGAGATATGAGGTACAGTTAGAAAGATCTTTGAATTCTCGTCGGTATGAGCCTGCCCCTCATCAGGAGCGATGATATTCTTGCTTTCGTGCGAATAAGGGGTTGTCAATCAGTGACTTGTATGAGTCTCACGGATTGTCAAGGTTCGGAGAAATGTGGTTGAAATTCAGAGCGAGTATTTGACTCAATGTTTGAATATACTGTTGTAATGGCTATACATGTCATTCCGAGGCAGCGATACCGAACGGCGCTCGTTAGAATGATAGTGATTAACTATTTTTATGATTATCATGATACCCTGATTGTATGCACTACCGACATGTTATTATTCTCACTCGTACATATTGATTGACATAGTCGGTTGCAAGCCAAGCAGAGACGTTGTTTCACTAAACTTGTTCTTGATTCATATGCCTAAACCTGGTCACATTCACGCATTTATAACTCATAAAAAGTCGTACATCAAACTCCCAATCTCCCCAGCATGGCAGAGAATGGCAGTTGAGTCATGTCATTTCTCAGACCACCCATGTATATGCACAGCAGAAACAGTCTTCAAACCAGTCGGGACTTGATCGTTTCCTTTCCTGTAATCAATCCTGGGTAACCAACTCTGCCCAGTTCCGCGCTCGATTAAACAGCCTGGACGGTGCCATCGGCCTCTCCGCTGTTTACAGTTTTGCCAGTCTTCTTGATAGTCTCAAGGACCTTTTCGTAGCCCAAGGAGTCCTCGGCGATGACGGTAGCGGTTTGCGATTCGAGGCTCACGTCGTAGGATTTGACGCCTGAACAATAAAGAGACATTGTCAGTCAGGGTTCAAGTGAAATGAAGAGGGGGGAAAAAAAGTGTGTAACTGCGCTGGTTTTGCAGTGCTCTTGAACTCACCATCAAGCTTCTTCAGGACACGCTCAACAGCGCCAGAGCACCCGCCACAGCTCATGGAGACATTGAACTTGTATTGATGTTCGGCCATCTTCTCTTGGTTTTATACTCCGGAGTTTGCGGGGTAGGTATCTGAGCGAAGACAGTGAAATTGATAATATTTGCAGAGACTTATGCGACGTGTCTCCTTTCGTGTGTGTGTGTGTGTGTGTGCGTGCGCGTGTGTACGGAGTATCTATTTGGTTCTTCAAAGGATTAGAGAGAGGAAGTAGTAGGGAAGCTGTTGTTGTTAGTCCTGAAGGGGAGCGACTATTTATTGATTGTTGATGATGCCACTTCCGCCCGCATGCCCGTCGCCGTTCGGGAATGGCTGGCTGGACCGAATTACAAATGCGCTCCAACTAGCCAACTAGTATGGGGTTTTAGAGGTTATGAGTCTGGCTTTTCAGAGGTAATCCTGTAATGAGGGATGATCATTGGACAAAATTCCTGGCGTGACTACTAGCTACATGCCGACGCATAAATCACTCAACGCAAAATTGTCTCACAGGGGGACGTTTCACGTATGCCCGTTCTGGCTGATTGGATGGCACTGTGCATCGGACTGATTATTAATAAGATCTTTGACCTGTCAGTTATGTTACGCTTCAACTAGAACTGTCTAGTAACCTCAAAACCCTGCCGCCCTCTTCTTCTTCCTCGCCTTCGCGTTGCTCTTTTTCCCAGCTTCTCTGCTGCCAAACAGACCCCGTTCGATCTGGGTCATGGGCAGCATGTCCTCGCTTATTTGGCTACTTGGAAGGGGCAGCCTGGAAAAGCTCTGCTGTGGCTGGCTGCCAGGGTACGCCACTGTCGGTGCAACTGGTGAACTCCGTAGAACTTTGAGGCCTTCGCTAGGAGCCCTAGATCGTGAGCGTGTTCGCGTTCGCGATTTCAACCTAGGCCGGCTGTCCTTCTCGCCTGTATCCATCGTAAAAACACTCACCCAGTCAAAAGATTCGGGATTACCCCCAATGACCCAATGGGACAGGACTTCATGCGCCGCACCGGTTGCAGGAACATCCATGATTGGCGGGGAAACGGTCTTGAGCTCCAACATATCGTGATCATCAGCTTGTTCTGTCATTGTATTTGGAGTATCTGCTTGGTCTTTCACCGAGCTTTCCCGCTGGGGAAATGAAATTTGCGACGAAGCCACGGTGTCACCGTCAGAACCCGAGACGTCTACTTGTATGATACTTGCCAGAGACAAGTCAATAGATACTTGTCGGATCAACTTTTCCTTGAAAATCCGCGTCCAACTGGGTATACTTCCATCTAGGGGAGATAACCAGTCGCCCACGAGTTTGTTGTAAAGCCCCAGCAGATCCAAAGGCTGCAGCGAGCGGATGACTCTTGTCTTCCCTTGTAAAGGATTGGCTGAGATCTGAAGAGGTAGAAAACACAAAGTAATTTCTGTAGATATATTGACGGGTGCAAATTTAGATCTAAACCATTCGAGCCACTGGATAATGTCATCGATGTCGGAAGAGGTAGGCGGGTTCTTTATAGCCTCTAGCCTATACTCATGGGTCAGCAATATGGAAAAAGCAAACGTGATGAATGTGTCCCTACATAGTTTGCATATACGGAGGCCCATCTTCGACAGAAGTAGATACAGCTGTTACCAAATGCTCAACATATTCCCTAAAGCTCTGGAACTCAAGGGCCGCGACCAAGGACTTTTTCACGTATCTTGTATCACCGGTACAAAGTAACGCATAGATCTTGTTCAGATCTACAGTTAGTTGGGAATTCGTCCTCGTCTTGCTTCGACTTTTTCTTGATGCTGCTTTGTCTGATTCATCATTGAATATTGTACGCATCGCGGTATGTCCTTCCCTTCTGCGAAAAAGCTCAAGTGCTTTCCCAAACGACATTATCTCGCGATTGATTGCTTTCTCTCCATCCAATGAAGAAGGATCATAAGGCTTTGAAAATATGTATTGGTGAACGGCCAGCGCACTGTCAAGTACAAAAAGCTTCATGAAACTCTCGCGTGGGGTGAACTTCTCGCGGAGACTGTAAGGGGTTTGTTCGAGTTCCTTGAGTTGAATTTGTCTGATAGGAAAGTCGTATCGAATTGTGTCCAACCCATTAGTGTCAGCAATGCCAGGGACATAAACACGGAATGGATCCGACATGGAGGAGTTGGAATCGTCAGAATCGTCAATTAGGACTTGAAAGGCTAAGATACAAGAGTCAAGCCGTGAATAAAGGAGTAGATAATAATCTACCAAAAAGAGTTGATCAGTTATCAATTTTTATGCGGTGATATCGGCATTCATACCTTGACCAAGGGAAAGGGAGGTAAATCGCAATGTAAGATCGTCTGCGTCGCGATCGTGTTGCCGTGAGAATTGTGGCAGAAGAAACGAAGATTCGTGGTCACGCGAACTAATATCGAAGCATAAAATCCGCAGCGTGGTGAGAATAAAGACGTGAGAAGGCTTCCGCAAAGAAGTTTTCACATCTAATATCCATTCAGTTGAAGATTGCCAGTTCATCTTGATATCGTAAGGTACAGGGGTGGCATCTTCGAGAACATAAAGCATAGCAATGCGTCGACTACAGGCAATAAACGTATACATATTGCCTGTCCACTGGATTATTCCCCAGCCATCGTGTGGTATCTGAGCCGTGTCATCGTGATGAGTGATGTCGGAAGAGGGCAAAGAACCAGAATGCTGCCGTTCGGGGGTAACGCCCTCACGGTGTTTAACAAAATTATGCAACAGCCAGACACTCCAATTTCCACGATCATCAATGACTGCAAATTGTTTCTGATACCAAGGATTGAAAGCCACATCGACATGGGTATACCCACCGGTCTGAGAAACATCGATTTCAGTCATTAAATTGGGGTCTATGTGAGCCAACTGGGCCTTGGAATGCGTGCCTTCGGCCGTTTGGGGAGGATTTATGACCAAAGGCTCCTGATAATAAATTGGTCGAAAAATGGATGTGCGGGACTGAAGTCGAACAGCGAAAAGACATTCAGACTCTTCGAAGCTTTCTGCAAATCTGATTTGTTTGATAGGTGCTTCACCACAAACCCAATCAACCGTATTCGAAGTACTTATCGTAGGCACACGAAAATTTGATCCATCCTCGTAGCGCCCATATATCGGTTCATCGTCAATTGCACAAAATGAGAGCACATTTCCGTTTTCTCCTGTCGCTAAAGCAGCGATAGGAACGATTCGAAGGCGAACTTTCCAGCGAACAGTCTCTGAAAGCCGAGCATTTCCAAATTCAAACAGTGAAGATATCCGAGGATCAAAGTACGAAGTGGCCTGGGAGATGAATCGCGACCTTTCCTCCTCGCGTGCAAAAGACGACGTTAACCCGAGCAACTCTCGATATTCTTTCAACAACTCCCGCTCCTGCTTATTGTTCTTCTTCACTACAGGCGAATCAGAGAACGACGGAGGTATCAATCTGTTTGTCATGCCCGTGTAGGAAATGCCATGAGCTAGAGACAATTAGCCTTCATCATTCAATGTATTCCTTCCTAGTCAATGGGACATACAAGGTCTGAGACGCCGCGCGAAATGCCATGCCTGTGCACTTGAAGAATATGACGCGGGGCCCGGATTTCCGTATTGCAGAGCAACACCGTGAGTGTGATCATCCATTTGGTTCCGTCCTTATCAATGTTGCAATTTCCGTCGGTTCATGTAATCGGCCAGTCATTGCGACGCAAACAAGACGCATAATCTCGACTTTGCTGGTGGAGAATTTAAGTAAGTAGGAGAGTCGCGTTTTGACATTTTTGCCGGCATTATGAATGCAGCCCTTCACCGCCTGCCTCCAAGTTAGCCAAATTAAGTATAGCTCCAAATAAGTTTTAGAAGGCTCAAAACTATTGCCAAATTAGGTTAGACATTCCGCTCACATACTTTTCTTGAGCCACTCAGACGGATGGCCGCAGTGTCGCCTTGTATTGTAGCTATATGGAGGACAGTTTACAGATAATATGCACAAGTGGCCGAATAGTTCAGCGGTAGAATTTGTGATTCCAGCTATTCCCGAATAGGAACCCTTACCGATTCCTATCGGGTAATTCGGATTCCACACGGTCGTAGGTTCAATTCCTGCTTCGGTCATTTTTTATGTATTTTTAATACCGAATTAATGGTTCTTTTTTTGATATAATTTAGAGAGCTTAGGAAAGAGTACGTAGTGATAACTTTTTGTCGCAGTATTGGTTTCCGGTTTATCAGTTGGGGATCATCTCATTTAAGTCGTATTGGCCATCCGTCTGCATTACGAGGTTTGGGGCTCTGATGATGTCCAAATCTTTATTCGTGCTGCTCGCGAATTTTGACAAACATACGTGACCCGAGTCTGAAGTTCAGTCGCAAGGATATAAGGGTGATCCTAAGGCATATATGCTCAATATATTAGAGATGTGGATGTGCTGTGCGTTTCAGACGCTAGGCGTAAGAGATTTGATGTCATGGTTGCCTAAACCATGAGCTGGACGTTATTTGAATGTCGTATTCCCCTTATAGCAACGACTACCCCATGAAGATAAAGATTTCGAAGCCGAAAATACTGACCGAGTGAACTTTCAAGAACAACTTTTGACCAGCCAGCAATACGCAAGGGCATCGGGCTCTTATATTGCACTTCGTGACTCACCGAATCCGAAGATACGAACCTACTACATCAAGCAGCAAAGGATAAATACGGCGGCTCCGGGGATAGAACAGATTCGGAAATTTGAGGCATATTCCGACTGTCTAAGAAATGGGATAGAAACAATTGTGCGTGTCTCCCCAACGGGTGGCTACATGATTCAGTTTCGCAAGTTTGTTTTCATCATAAAATAGACCTCGAGATTGGGGTTAAGAAGGATAATATTGTCTGGATTAAGCCCTGGTTGACAGAACAGCCGCATCCTGATCGATATGCGCAACATGCCTTGGACACTGATTCGTCGAGTCGTCTTCTAATAGGATGAGGACTTCGCGCTGGGAAGGGTGGCTTTTCTCTCCTGGCAAAAGGGCACCTCACAAAATGAATTATCTTGTTGACGTCTTCGAAAGAATACCAATTAATGAGAGCAGACTCGTGACAAGAAGATGGAGGGTCAGCAGGAAGGATTATAAGTCGCGGACCAGCTATACCCTGACAAATGCAATCATGTATGGCACAGTATCAGCCCTAGAAGCTCTTTAAGAGTCTGTTGACTGTTTTCCTGCCGGCCGTCTGTCAGGTTTGGGAAGATGCTTCTACCAGAACGAATAGTGCTGGCCCGTAGGAGTAACAAACCAGTAACTAATATGAATTGCAAGATGTCAAGATGTGTGTTTTCTAAGCCTATATAACGCTCCCGTTCGAATGCTCTCGGACGCTAATTGTCGCCTATGTCAACGACTGGCCCATGAAACTAAGACTATAAGCATAAGCACAAAAATGATTACCAGTTGCCTAAATCCCTGATTGAAAGGGCCGAATATGGTAGTGGTAGAGTGTGCAGTTTCAGCCGCTCACTAAAGGGAGAAATTTCATTCCACAACGTCGAGTTTATTCCGGTTTCGGTCTGATCTTTTATTTTTTTTTTTTATTTTCATCACATCGAAATTGATGGTTCTCTAACGTCTTCTTCTCGATAAGTATACTTAGTTCAATAATGACCGAACTTTCTGCCGGTATTATGAATGCAGCCTTTCACCGCCTGCCGCCGAGTTATCCAAATCAAGTATAGCTCCAAAAAGTTAAAATCGGCTCAAAACTAGTGCCAAAGTAGGTTAGACTTCCCGCTCACATACTTTCCGAGCCAATGACCTTTTTGGGCCTATCCGACTAAATTTTGGGTCACCGCGATTTGTCGCAGTGTCTCCCGTTTTTCAGCATTTTTTCTAAGAATTCTTGATCAAAACCCAGTAGATGGTTTTGTATTTTATTTTTGAAATATCATTCATCAAAAATTCAAATATGTGCGGCCGAATAGTTCAGCGGTAGAATTTGTGATTCCAGCTTTCCTATACAGGAATCTTTCCTGTATAGGCCTTCTGATTCCACACGGTCGCAGGTTCAATTCCTGTTTCGGTCAGCGTTTTTTTATTTTTTAATATTTTCAAAAGTTCCCTCTTTTTCTTTTTAGCATAGCTAAATCAATTTCGAAAAGAGTACGCGGTGATAGCTTTTTATAGCAGTAGTTATGGAAATCCGGTGCAGTTGATAATTTTAAGACGGTTGCCCCGCAACTGTTTATCGCGTGCCGTGGTCTTGGCGCTCAACTATACTTGCGAGCCAACGCGCACGCCGCTATCAATCTACCAGTTCTCGACACGCCTGCGCCTTCTAGTCCTTTCTAGTTTTGAGGGAACTCAATCACACTGGAAATGTCTTCTTTTGAGCCGTCACTCTCTACCAGCGCTATGCGACCGCCGTTGGCTTCTGCGGAGGCCCCCTCTATGGCGGATTCGCTTCCCAGCATCAACTTTGGATTCGACGATCTGCGGAGTCGAATGGCGCAATTCACGGCCAAATTCGATGCATTTATTGAAAGGGGGCGAAAGCAGGTGCTACAGGAGCGCAATCAGTTCCACAGCAACTTGGCCGAGCTTCAAAGTAAGATCCTATATGGCTGGCTTTAAGAGAATAGGAAATGGTCTGCTAGCTAACAACTGCGCGGGTGTGCTACAGAGGATCAGGACATGAAGCAGAATGATATCAAAATACTTACATCAAAGACCCAAGACCACCAGCAAATGATCCAGAGGGAAGCCGCCGAGGGCGCAGAAATTCATGCACATATTTCCTCAATCACACTTGAACGTGACAACCGACTAGCGAAACGAGATAGACTGAAGCGACAAATTGCGGAAACACAGAATGCTATTGATCAAAAACTGCAAGCGCAAAAGGCACATTCTCAGTATCTCGACTCACAGGCGCGGCTGAATGTTCCCGAATTAGAATTCTGGCAGGATTACCTTTGTATGCGAATAGAAGGCGCCGGCAGAGAAGATCGCCTCAAGATAGTATACACGCATCTTGTTGAGAAAGATTGGGAAAAGGAAGCATGGTTCGAATTGAGCACTGCTTCTAGAGACTATGAGATTCATCACACAAAGCCCAAGTTAGACAGGGCCGCGGTCGAACGCGAATTGGAAATTGTCAACGAAGATCGAGACTTCGGGGCGTTGCTCAAAAGAATGCGTCGACTTTTTGTTGAGACGATGAAGTGATAGGACCATTTCTCTTTTTGTGTGCAATACGTATTGGATGTTCACAGGTTACAGATATTTTACATTATAATGATCATGCTCCGAGTCCGGATAAGCTATTTTGCAAACACACCCAGTCAAGAACCACTTCAACATAATAAGAGAGCCCTTCCTCGCACTGTAGTTTTAACACGTTCATCTCTATAGTGTTCCGCGCCTAACCACCTGTTGCTTCCCTGTAGAAGGATATGCTACGAGAAGCACCAGCAGTCGCAAATCCTTCGGTTCTGCCCACCTTTGGTAACCACTTAACACTCCATACAGCTTTGTCCGTTTCTGAGTGTGTTGCAACACACGCTCGGCGTTCAACAGACCATACTTTCACCTTGCCGTCGAACGATCTAGTAATGATTAGAAGGGGGAGATGGTCATATAGAGCTCTCAAAACATACCCGCTTAGAAGGTATTCACCAGTATGGCTCCAGTCCAAAGATAAAATCCACGCCGAGTGGCCGGTGAGTTGAGTCACCTGCTCGCCTGATTCTGTATCATACAGCACAATAACTTTGGAATCGCCGGCTGCTGCGAGTAGCTTCCCGCCAGGAGAAAATGCGACTGCGCGTACTGGTTTTATAAGTCCTATAGAGGCGAAATAATCAGACTCAGCACTCCTCGTTTATAAAACCTTCATTTCAGAGGGATCTTTACCAGACAGCGAGAATCGCATACGGCCAGTTTCATTGCTAAACATGTAAATACTTCCACTCTGATGACCGCTTGCGATGTACTTCCCATCACTTGACTGTGGTTTTTGGTTAGTGGCAACCAAAAGCATTCCATGTCTACCAAATATAAACGCACCATGTCGATGCAAGACCCAAAGGTTCCCTTGGTCTCGTAATCTCTGCATTGTTCGCCCTTGCTATTCAAGTCCCAGACCTTGACATGACCGTTATGTGTAGTTCCAGCGAGATACCGAGCATCATCTGATAGGGCAATTGCCCATGTGTCTGGTTCTTTCAAGGCATCTATTATGGTTTCTTAGAGTGAAAGCTTCAAGCCTTTCTTCCGCATTCTGTATGAAACATACCTGATAAAGCTGTATCTTCACACCACTGTCCGTCATCATTGACCCAGGTCTTGATTTCGCCCCCAAATCCAACGCTGGCAGCTTTCAGGCCGTTCCTCGAAGTGACGACATGATGGCATCCGATTTTGTGTGCAGCCAGTATCGTTTGAACGAGTGGAAAATCTGCATCAGAAGTTGAATGAATCTGAAGGGCAGATGCGCCGGAAGCTGATATTATCTGATTGGAAGTTACGGCCAAAGAAAAAATATCAATGGGGTGGGCTATATCATCCGTCTACTCAGTTGACTCGCTCACAGAGAAATATGGAATGGGGGTGAATTACCCTTGTCTGCTGAGCCCCACGAAAGGTATTGTTTGGACTGTTCACACTCGTCAGAACCTTTCGTAGTGTTGAATCAAGGCATCAATCCTCTTACCATGTTTGTTTTCGCAGTCCTGTCTCTAGAACAGAGGGGTTTGTTGCGGGGAGGAGAGGTGATCGTTGATGGTTGCCAAGACCTGCGGAGCTATTCTTATGCGTCCAACTTTTTAAAGCATACGGAAAGCGTTGGCTGCAGGAAACGTACGAATGTCGAACGGTGATGGTTTTGTTATTATTCTTCTCAAAATACATATAATATACAGATAAAATGGGCCCGACAGTATATAGAAGAATGATAAAATGGAAAAGAAAAAAGAAAAGAAAAACCAACCCCAATATACGCCTAGTATCATGCACATACACTGGCTACCTGGGACAGGCCAGACAGCTCACTTTCTAAACACGCAGAGTCTTTGGCAGTGCGCGTGAAATTTAATTTTTTCCCGTCTTCATTTCCTCAATAGCGGCGGCTTGCTCGGCAGCACCATTTTCTTCCTTGATGGCAGCCTTTGCCCTTCTGGCGGCCTCTGCCTCTTTGGCAGTCTTCTCCTCCATAGTTGTCTTTTCCTCTTTGGCGGCCTCTTTCCAGTGTTCCTTGATATCTGCGAGAGGGTGTGGGTTAGCTGTCTGAAGAAAAAAGCAGGCCAAGGATACCGGCATTGTTTACCTGCGACGCAATTAGGACATAGAACATGCGATCTCTTCACCTCGCCACAGCCGGGACATTTGCTCAGATTCTTGACATCCTTCAATGCCTTGCCAGCCATTTGTCGATGTCGCTTCTTCATGTGTGAGGTCTTCTTCTTCGGGACCGCGCGGAGGACCGATTCCCAGAGACCGGCTAGAAATGAGGGAACCTCATTGGCAATGTATCCGCTCAAGAGAGGCAGGCCATGAAGCAAAACAAGCCGTGGGTAGATTGTGCCCCATCGCTGGGATTGTGGCAGAAGCGTAGATGCGAACGACGATCGGAAAGGAAGCGTGGAAAGGTGTCGGGCGGCCATTGTTAGGCGAGCTGGAACCGCCCAGCTAAGCAGATGCAGCGATTAAAAAATGAACAGAATTGCAGAGCAAAGCGTTGGGCAGCCAGGCGAGGCTTGGAGACGTGACACAGAACGCGGACGGCGGTAGACGGTGAGCGATAGCTTGCAAATTTTCGGCGGCATGAAGCCTTTCAGTCTCAGGTGAAATATCGAGTGGAGAGAATGCGGCGGCTCTGATTGGGCAATTGAAGCTGTTGCGCGCTAGGCCGGCTCGGGGCTAGCGCGGTGTCGCCGACCCCTGATTGCTTCGCCTGCCCGCAACAACAACAATAGGGGCTGCTACCGAACGTCGAATTCTGGGGTTCTCTTCTCTTTTATTATCCTTTTCGTCGACTACTCAGACGATTTCCCATACCCCCCCGGGCTCTTATCCTCAGCGTGTGCGTGTGTTTGTATTTCCTTCGCTATGGCCGCGGCACCCAGCGTTGCAGCTTCTCCGAGCACCGTCTTTCCTCGCAGCCATGTCGGTTTCGACAGCATTACATCCCAGATCGAGAGGAAGCTCTTGAAGCGTGGATTTCAGTTTAACGTCATGTGTGTTGGTTAGTGTAGCAACCTCTTCATACGCGTATTGCAGTGATGAGGGATGAACTAACTGTGCAATATGATAATCAAAGGCCAAACTGGTCTTGGAAAGTCTACCTTGATCAACACCATTTTCGCTTCGCATTTGATCGACTCAAAAGGCCGTCTGACCCCCAATGAGCCCGTTCGCTCTACCACCGAAATCCAGACCGTCTCTCACAGTACGTCGATGGGATCACATTGCCCACGTGTTTGGTTTTGAATACTCAAATGTTATGTTATCATTGTAGTCATCGAAGAAAACGGTGTGCGTCTGCGTCTGAATATCGTTGATACCCCCGGTTACGGTGACCAAGTTAATAATGATCGATGGTACGGTTTCGTATTTCAACAGGAGAACACTTGAAAGCTAATTTAAATGTTTAGCTGGGACCCCATCGTCAAGTACATCAAAGACCAGCATTCCGCCTATCTCCGCAAGGAGCTCACAGCGCAGCGAGAACGCTACATTCAGGACACGCGTATCCACTGCTGCTTATTCTTCATTCAACCATCTGGACATGCGTACGTAAAAAGACGCATTCTTCTGGAATCTTCCTTGCCGGCACTAACAGCAGCCTTAGTCTCAAGCCAATCGACATAGTCGTGCTCAAGAAGCTTTCTGATGTCGTCAATGTTGTTCCCGTTATCGCCAAGTCGGACTCCTTGACCTTGGAAGAGCGACAAGAATTCAAAGAGAGGATCAAGGAAGAATTTGCTTTCCACAACTTGAAGATGTACCCATACGACAATGACGAGCTCGATGACGAGGAGCGTGTGATGAACGTTCAAATTAGGGTAAACATTATACATGCCAATAATTGCTTCGTTGCTCAACTACTAACATTGGCTAGGACATCATTCCATTTGCCGTTGTCGGGAGCGAGAAAAATATCGTTGTCAACGGAAAGCAAGTCCGCGGCCGACAAAACCGATGGGGCGTGATCAATGTTGAAGACGAGAACCACTGTGAATTCGTATATCTCCGCAACTTCCTGACACGCACCCACCTCCAGGATCTCATCGAAACCACTAGCCAGATCCACTACGAGACTTTCCGCGCCAAGCAACTCATGGCCTTGAAGGAAAGCAGCGCCGCTGGTGGCGGTCACACCGGTAGCAGCAGGCCCATCAGCCCATCGGCCGATCGTGAACTGAGTCGGAACTCCCAGAGGGTCACTATGAATGGCTATTAGTTTCAAGCATCAGACTGCGAACACAAAGGCCTGGTGTAACGTTACATATAAACTAATGGCACACCACCAATGATCAATGTCTATGTAGGTTGACGACGCTCTGGAGGGGACGATGAAAGGGTCGGTCTGTGTGTGGATGCAGATGAAATGCAAATGCAAACAAAAAAACTTACCAATATAATAATAAGCCCGTCGGAGCGTTTTTTTCCCTTTGCTTGAAATTAACAGATATCCATTTTTAAATGCGCATTTCCTTCTTGTCTTTTCTTTTCTTTTTCTTTTTCGACTACTGCTACTCGAAGTACCTTCTCTCCCTCTTTGCCCCCCTTTTTTTTTCCATTTGTCTCTTTTATTGCAGGAGAATGGCTTGAGCTTGATTGATTAGCTACATTTTTTTTGATGAAATCTCTGTCCAATCATATGCGTAGATATTTTAAATTTAGATGACTTTCGATGGGCTTCCAAGGTTCTCTTCAGGCAAGTAGAATTATACGGCAAAGGAGGTGATAATGATGATTGACACATTATGAATGATCTGACATGGTCCCCTGTCTAGTTGCGTAAATTATATAAAACCGTTCTTTGTGCATATTTAACTAACCTACAATAATAACAACCTTGGAAACACATGAAGAACTTCTTTCCTAATTGCAGATAGGAAAATGTATGTATCAAAGCGAACCAATACCCGCATTAGATCCCCGCTTATTTGATGTATTATCTCCAGCAGCTTGAGCTTCCTGTTCCAAAAAGTTTGACCAGAGCTCAGCGAGAGTCTCTTTACCGCCGCCTGCGTTGCCATTTTCCATGTAGTCACTCATTAATGACGGTGTGCTCGGTGTACGGTGCATGTAGAAACTCGGCACTTTTAGGCTGGTGGAGATGCTTGGAGTAGTCGATGTTCCGGGGCGGCTGAGTCCGGCTTGTTCTCTTTGATCTGAGGGAGTGTTAACAGATTATATATATATATACCGCAAGGAGAATAGAATAGTCTACCTTCGTTCCATTGTAGAAGAGCAGCTATGAGCTGCAAGATCTGGAATTTCTTTGGATCAGACCGGTCAAGAGTAAGGAAGTGTAGCAGATGGTTCGTCACAACGTGTCTGATGATTGATTGGTCAGTCAGTAATCCTTATTTCTGACACTTTTAAATCAACTCACCTATCAACATTGTCCTCTGGTTTGCCTCTCTTCAAGAATCTCAACGCCTTCGTCAAGTGATCGTTCAATGTGACAGCCTCATGCCGCAATTTCCCAATGAGAAGATTCTTCTCCTTAACCTCCTTCTCGAATGGAAGAAGTCGGTCTAATTCTGTCTGCGCCTGTTTTAGCTCCATGTTTGCTGAGTCCGCTTTCTTCTCAACTTGTCGGAGCTTTTCTTTAAGCTCATCAAGCTGCGCGTCGGAGCTCTGCACTATTTCACGTAGTTCTTGCTTCCGTGCTGTTTTTGTATATTGCAAAGGTCAAATAAATCTCCTACGAGGACTCATAATGTACAGGGTTGAGAGAAAGTACTCACCATCTTGTATTTCTTGCAGTGCTCGTTGTAGTCCGTCAATCGTGACCGATTGTGTATTACCGTTTGTAACCGCGGCATTGTACTCATCCCGAAGAGTAGAAAGCTGCTCTTCTAAATCATTGACCTTTTCCGCCAGTCCTTCTCGAATTGAGCGTTCCTCCATAGCCAGCACTTCCCAATTGTGCATTGCTTGCTTTGCCTCTTCAAACTCTGCATGGATATAGGACTCTCGCTCAAGAAGCTCCTCCTTCTCCTGAAGCCAATTCTGCTGAGAGAGATTGGTCCTGCTTCGCAAATCTGACAGTTCTTTGATGTTCTCTCGGGCGTCCTTCCCCAAGTCGGCAATGGCTGTCACTTTTGCGCTCAGCTCTGCTTGTAATGCTGAGTTTTCTTCTTCTAATTCCTCGATGCGAGATCTCGCCTGCGAGAGTTCCTCCTGTAAATGTGTTAATAGCTTGACTGTAAGAAAGATGAAAGCGAAAGCAAAAACATACAGCATCCTCTTTTAGCCTCTCCCCGAGCTGCGATTTGATAGTATTGACTCTTTCCAAAAGCTTCTGAAACTGGGTTTCGGCATGCGATTTCTTGTCCTCGGAATCATCTAATTTCTGTTGCAGCGCGTCCATTTCTTCCTGGTGCCTGTGCTGGATTTGCTCAAGCGACTTGCGAAGCTCGGTTACCTCGGCTCGAAGAGAGTCACGGTCGCGCACGAGATCGTCAAATTTGTTATTTTCCTCCGATTCATGCCTGGCCGGTTTTGTATTCGCTGGCGTTGTCGTCTCGGGGTCTCCTTCGCCGTGCGAGTCAGATTTCTGGCTGTTTGTTGAGACGACTTTTTCTTCACTGTCCTGTTTAACGGTTGGGGCTCCATTGGTGTCTTCGGCCTGATTCGATCCAGACTGGTCAGTGAGAACAGAAACAGAAAGGGAGGCGGAGCAACGCTAATTGCACTGACAGCGACAGTTGTTTCCTCGACATCCGAGTCATTCTTCGATTCCTCAGGGTCGTCCTGCACGTCATTACTCGAGCCTCCGCCGCTGTCAGCAGTGTTCTGGCCTTGTTTGTTGGCCTGGTTCTTCTTCTTGTTCTTCTTGGACTTCCCGCCTAGACACGGCAGACAATAAAGACGGCGATCAGCTCTGGAAGGGTCTCTCAAATTTGGCAGTGCAACTCACCTTGAGGGTTGGAGGGCTGTTTCTCTGGCGACATAGTGACTCCTGATATGACTCGCTCGCAATTGACAGCGGTGTAGCTGTTGCGGTTGTTTTGGTATACGTAGGTAGAGTTGCTAGCAAGGAAGTCGCCAGCGAATGCGGGCCGCCGCCATGCAATTTAACTAGCGCGCGGAGGAGCTGTCAGCATGCGCCTATCAGTCTACTAACTATATCTACATCCATTTATGCTTGACTCTTGGTGATAATTCGATCCATTATAGACAAGTTAATTCATGCTTCGTTGTCTTTGGCGTAAACAGAAAAACGTAGCAGGAGCTAACTACGGTTAATCACATAAAGTCATCCAGAAAATCCGCATCCCGGTCCTGATTATTGCTCTGCTGCATATTCTCCTCACTAAAAAGATCATCGTAAGCATGCTCCTTTTGCCACTTCAGCTGCTCTCGCTCTTGTCTCTCCTTCTTCTCCGCCGCCTTCTTCTCGTCCTTGGCCCTCCTCTCCTCTTTCCTCTTCTTCTTCAATATCTCTTCCTTCTCCGCCTGGAGATCGGGGAACCTCTCGACTCGCGTCTTGTTGAGGCGGTTGACGATCGGGTTGAGTCGCACAGGCACATGGATTTTCTTCACCATCTTCTGGTTGTGGAACGATACCTGGCCCGTGGCCATGGACGCGTTTTTCAGGAGGTTGGCCCATGGGGTGTATATGACGGTGATGTTATCCTTTTTATTTCCTGCCGCCGCGGTTCCATGAATTAGCATGATGATGATGGTAGAAGCGCTCGTACAATGTCAGACCCTACCTTCAATGGAATTGGCCTTGGTCAACTGCGCGCAGTCTTCCAAAACCTCCTTGGGGATATTATCCCATGTTTCGCCATCCCTTAGACGGAGGTACACGTGGGCACTAGACAGATTATCGACATGAAACTGTAAGCCCGTTAGGCTTTCTTTCTTGAACGTCTTAACGACGGGGAAGAGACACAACGAACCCTGACATTATAACAAGAAAAAAATAATCAGTATAAATGGTATCCTTGCAAGATTCCGAGGCGACAAGTGATTTACCAAACGTCTGATTCTAGTCCGTGTTTTATGAGATCCTCGTCTGGCAGGGTATTGTAAGTATTCCTTAGTCAATAAATATCTAACAGGCGGGCCTGGCTTACTCTCGAACTTGTCTTTGCCGACATAAATCGACGCAGAGGGAGCCACGACGTTGGAAGTGAAATAGTATACCATTTTGCCCGTCAAGAAGCAAGGCGCAGAGATGTGTCCATGGATGAGCTCTTGGTGGGCGAAGTTGCTGGAGGTCTAACTAAGAATATTCAAAGATCGAGGTGGGGCACGGCATCTCACCAATCAAATCCAGCCTTTGATTTTATACATCCTCGACATCACTGTAGCATACATACATTGGATGGAATCGATCCAGAAAATATCAAATGAAGATATTAGGTGCTCTAAATGGTTCTAAAAATGCCGTGCATCAAAATCGACTCACAAACCTCCCGGCTCTAGGAAAGTACACATAGTATTCCGTTCTATATAATACAAACGATCGCCAGAAAGAAAAATTAGAAAACAAAACTACTTGTTCACAGGCGAGTCGGTGTGCAACATAGGGCTTTGCTTCTCTGTACTCGAGAGATCGCCCTTGAGTACATCGGCCGGCAAGTCTAACAAACAGTTAGTTAGGTCCATTAACATGTAGAAAAGCAAGGGACATACCAAGTCTGGCAGAGCTTGGTTTCTCAATCAAACCTCGAGCCTTGCCTTCCTCCACATCCTTCCTTGAGAGGCTGACATGGCTTTGAGGAAGGCCCATGGATGTCAAGAATTTGACTGTATCATTCCATTCCAGATTCTTCCTCTTCTCGTCCCACTTCAATTCCTCGGCCATTAAATCGATGACTCCAGGTAGCGCCTCGAGGGCCGCTTGGGCATTCAGGAAGGCAAGTCGGGTTCGACGAGCGACGACGTCCACCGCGGTTTGAGCATACTCGTGTCTTACAGCGTAACGGATTTCTCCATCAATGAACGGGTACAAAGCAGAGACCCGAGTTCCGCGAAGAGGGAACCGCGCAGTGGTAGGTGAGGATAGAGCAGCCACTTGCCATGCACGATCACCATATGATACTGTCAAATGCTTGGCAACATCCGTCTCAAGGCCGTAATGCTGAATCAAGTTGATGAAGAGCGTCTTGGAAAATCCATGGGCGCCAATGAGCCGGACTTGATGGGTTTGGCAGGAGCCGTCAAGGTTGAAATTGTCGGTTTTCAGTCCTGTGCCGCTCACGTCTGGGATCTGCTCGATCCTGTGAGTGCGGAGGGCAAACGCTTTGATGGCTTCATCAACTGCCTCTTCGGCCATTTGTCGATAGGTTGTCCACTTTCCACCTGCACAGGTCAACAGACCCGACGAGGATATGGTCACCAAATGGTTCCGCACGAGCGATTCCGTATTCTTAGCCTTGGGATCTCGGACCAGCGGTCGAATTCCCGACCATGCTGCGAGAACATCTTCTCTTCGAACATTGATGTCCGGTGCGAAATAGCCACTGATTTCCCTCAAAATCCAGTCAATATCCTCTTCGTTTGGTTGGGGATGGGGAGTAATCTCTGTTGGTCGGTCGGTTGTTCCAGCGATTGTGTTTCCCTGCCATGGCAGGAAGAAAATCACACGACCATCTGAGGTAGAAGGGTCAATGAGACCCATATTGGAAGGACTGAAGTATCCAGGCAGAATTACATGGACACCGGAACTCGGGGCAACAATTTCCTTCGTGTCAGGTTCGTCCATCTTGCGAATAGAATCCGAGAAAGGACCAGTCGCATTGATAATACCCTTGGCACGGATCTTGAACTCTTTCGTCGGTATCCCGTTCTTTTCATCAACAAGGTCCTTGACGATAGCTCCATTGAGTTTGCCAGATTCGTCCTTGGTCAGGCCGGTGACTTCCAAGTGATTGACGACTGTGCTACCATACAATGCGGCGGTCATTGCTAAGGAGACGTTCATACGGGAGTCATTGTGTGCTCCATCTACAAATTGTGTGTCAGTGCAGGCATTCTATACAGATAAATGTCCATCATACCATAGTAAACCATAGCACCGAAGATTTCCTCTTTCTTCAGCATGGGGAATGCATCTAGAGCTTTGCTGTGGGTGAGAAAATAAGAGCTTTCAATGCCTTCTGATCCAGCTAGCAAGTCGTATGCCTTGCAGCCTGCCCAGAAATACGGAGCTTGCCACCACTTTTGTATCGGCACCATAATGGGCAGCCACATAGACAAATGGGGGGCGGTTTGCAAGAAGTATTTACGCTCGCGGAGCGCTTCCTTGACCAGCGAGTATCTAGCAAATGGCAGAACACTTCATCAGCTGATAATTTCATCAAAAAGAAAGGACTGTCTTTATGTAGAAGCATACTGGGCATAATCCAATTCCCAAACGGCCTTTTCTAAATAGCGAACACCGCCGTGGACTAGCTTTGTGCTCTTACTACTCGTGCCGGCACTGAAATCGTCTCGCTCGACAACCGCAACTTTGAGGCCTCGTGTGACAGCATCGAGCGCGATACCTGAGCCGGTAGCGCCTCCTCCAATGACCAGCAAGTCATAGGTTTCGCCTTCGCCCTGCGCATCGGCACTCCGCTTCAGGTCGGCAATCTGCTCTTCGCGGGATTTGATGCGCGGGAAACTGGGAGGCACGAGTTTCCCTAACCGATAGCCGGGAGGAGGAACGACAGCTGGCTCTGAGCCCGGAATGGTGCGCGGACGGTATGCGACGTAGAGGAAACCGGCGCCGGTGGCTAGGGCGGCGGAAGTATATAACAAAGGCCGGACAAAGCGGCGAGAGTGTTGAGAGGCCATTGCTTTCTGCTACGGAGAAGGAGAATAAAAGAGAGAAGGAAGAACAAAAAGGGAGGCCCCTGTCGGAGTAGTTGGAGGAATTCAGAGTGGAATTTGCTGGTTCACTGCCCAGATTTGAGAGGTGGACGCGATGACGTAGCTCTCTCTCTTCCTTACCTGCCGAACCAGGAGTCGCTTTATAACATGCAAAGCAAGTGGTAAGTAAGTACACAGAAGTAGGACAAAGGTTTCTTGTTCTCGTCCAACATGTCCTTGTTCAAGACGATTGGCCCATGAAGATAATCTGCATGTAGCCAGCTATGACGCTCTTCCTGGTATCTGGCAGCATACTTGGCTACTATACAGAACGTCTCCCTCCATTGACCACCAATCCCCTGAAAGAAGCACCCGCTCCTCACAACAAATATCAAACAGTGCTCTATTCCATTCGCAACTGCTCCTCAATTGGTCATATACATTATTGGTTATGGTAACTATCGCAACGGTTGACTCCGGACGTGTCGGAACGCAGTTCTCCCGCCAATCAGGCCGAGAGCAATTCCGCTCGGCATGCCGACTACAATGTGACTTCAGTATCTTCAGTATAGTTACACTCTTTGGATTCGATGACTTGAACCAGGACTAGGAGGCGACTGGCAGCCTAACAGAGTTCTGTCCCTGGAAGTTTGGCACTAAATGAAATCATCGTATACCCACTGTGGAGTAGTTAGCTGCGATATGACTCTGAAAATGCGGAGTCGGCCAAGAACAACCTACGAACAACCTAACGATTCGTGTTGATCAAGACGGAATAAAAAAGGAAACGAGGCTTTTATTTTTTCCTCCTAAAAGTGCTAGATCATAAACAAGTAATTACATAGGATGATTGATGGCCCTCCTTTTTGAAATCAAATCCGTATCCAAGATCAATACCGTGCCGAAATATTACCCAACATGCCAGGGGTCGTAAATGGCATATGCATTCTGTGTTAAAAAAGAAATGAAAAATGAAAAATGGAGAACAGCCCAGTAAAAACATAGAACAGTAAAGACAACTCCGAGTTCCTTGCCTGTTTCCTTGATTCCAACGGGATAGAAGGATCTCCAAGCTAGTCAGGTCAAGGTGATGATGACGATGATGTTACAGCAATAGACCATCCTTGCGCCGAGCAATGAACCATGATAAGTCATGACAACAAAAAATAAAAAAAAAAAAAAAAAAACAGTGATACCATGCTGTGTCCGGTATGATATGAAAACGGTCCAAAACGCCATATAGTAGGGTAGACCCATGCTCCGGAGGGAAGATACTGATGCATGCCCATTTTTAACCCCTCTTATAAAGAATTATACACACAAAGCAGTGTTGAATCATGAGTTTGTCAACCGTCTCTTCCAGTCCCGGACCGGGTCAAAACACTTTGTATAGTCCTGCAATTCATGACGGACCTGGTTTGACAGTGCCACGGATGGCGAGAGTGTACCTGTAAGCGACGAAAGGGAGGTTTGGGACGAGGTCGAAGTGAGGCTTGAGGATTGCTCTTGAGAGTTCGAAGAAGATGAGGAGGAAGAAGAAGAAGAGCTGTGGTGGATTGAAGGTCTTCCTTTGAGCATGGAAATATTCGCTTTCGGCTGCATTGTCGATTTCGCGGACACTGATGCCGAGTAGCTAGATACAGAATCGGAAGCATGTTGGTCCAAGTCGGCCAGTCGACAACCTTGAGAGCAATACGCTCCTCCTCCTGAAATCTGCTGGTCGCAGACCAGGCAGAAGTCCAGTGACCATTCGGTTGCCATTTTTGACTGCTAACTAGGGTCGATAGAAAGATGGCGAGGCAGAGAGCAATGCTTTGGTTGTGCGAGTCTGCTAACGAATGGCACTCAGGAAAGAATGAAAAGCAGGTCACGTATATATATATATATATATTCTCTGTACGTATCATACGGTTTGTTTTGGCTCATGAAAACCACAAAACGCTGCAGCCTGCTTTATACTCCGCAAGGAAGAGAGGCCGACGCTGCATTGATTATAAAAAATGTGTACAGTGGACCATGTCTGTCAGACAGGATGACAAGGCTGGATGCTCACTCAACAAGGCTGGAAGGCGAGAGACGAAAGAAGAAAAGAAAAAAAGACTAGGACCATTACAACCGAGTGTCATCAACTCAATGAAGCCTCACTGTAATGGATCCTGAAGTCGACGAGAAAGAAGAGAAGAAAGAGGGAAAAAAAAAAAAAGAGAGAAAGAAAAACAGATACTGGCTGGTAGATATAGAGTGAGGAAGGGGGCGAGCGTTATCAACGACATGGTCGACAGTTTCCCCACAGCTGCACTAAGGATTAAGAGCAATGATCACGATAGCGCCATGACCTCGGCGACGTCAAAAGCATCAAAATCACACGAACCGGTTATCGACGCTGGCGGTGGTGATTGGCGAGCGCACGATCTTTGAGCTTCAAAGGTGACATGCCGTTGGCCCAATTCGGCAAGCCGCTTTGGCGTGCGGGACGTATGGTACTGTACCGTACGTCCCATCCGTGCCGCCCGAGCAGGCCAAGGCAGCGGCCGCCCGCAAGATTAATTTGCTCATTACGGTCACGGATGCGTAATAGTACAACAGGCTACCGCTAAGCATAACTATCAACTAGCGCATGTCTCCTGCATACATACAACCGCAGCAGAACCCTGCAGTGCGTACCACATCGAGAGGAATGCCAGTCATATGATTTGCCTCCCCTCCCCTCCCCCAAAGTCGTGATCGATGGTCATCATTTTATGCTTTATTGCATATCATCTTGCTGTAGCGTACAGAGTGCAAAATTACGAAACCTGGAGCCGAAGCCTAGTACTAGTCCTAGTGCAACTACTCTGTGCGACTTGGCCGTCAGTGTGATTGGCCCTGTACCTCGCTAAGTGCATACATCGCCATACTATTGCATGTAATACATGGCAAGATTGCTCCGGCAGGATCAATAACAGCATGCCAAACCATACTACGCCACTGGTCCACGTCAGGGGTGTTGGTCGGATGTTAAACACTCTGGTTTTTATTACCTACTACTACTACTACAACTACTACGACTACAGTGCTACAGACTACCTACACATATTACATTCCAGCAGATGAGGGGAAGCCTACATACATGGTACATATCTGCAGCCTATACGAGCGTGGCATTCTGCGGCCTGGTTATATACTCCGTAGGCTAGATGGAATAGTATGATAGCCCCGCCAGCCAATCACACGGCGCGCTGTATTTTCTGGCGTGCTTCGGGCGCTTACCGCGAAAAAGCCAAGCCGGGCCCAACTGCAGAGCTTATCTCCAAAGTTGTCCGTCTCAGGACGCTGAATATTCAGACTCTTTTATGATATTAATCACTTTTTAGTATTTCTATCTTCCACACAGCGGTCCCACCACGAGACGTTTCATCGTCTCCTCCCCGACTTGGGCGTGCTTCTGCATGTGGTGATCGCTGCTCTGTGTCGGCCGAGCCATTGCCGCAGCACATCTTTATCGATGCGTGTGGCTTTTGTTGCGAGCGACCATTGCGTTTGCAAGAAGAAGGGTGTGGCCAATTAATACGGGGCGTGGGTTGAAGCTGTCCTTTGTGCTATTCATCAACCGACAATCGATCCTGAGCCCACTGCAACACGTGTGGTTTGCGTATTTGTATATTCGAGTATAGCTGTCGTCAACGCGAGAGGTTGGTCGTTTTGATGCAGCCAGCACATGTCTTCATTGATCACGCATTGGAAAGCGCATCAATCGATGCTGTGGGTATACGGACGAGCGTTGATGGGCGATTGTCAACGGTGGTCGGATCGGGGACGTCTTGGGCACTGGCTGCAGCTTTTTCTAAACATCCACATCGTTAGCAACCGTAGTCGTGTCTTTACTCCTCAGCAGAGCTTACTGGTCGCCATGTTGATGGCCTGCAACACACTTTGCCAGTTGGCCAGAACGCATGCAATGGCTAAGGAAGACTAGTCAGTTGTGATCAGCCGTCGCTTTAAGTTTTGCCGCATACCTTCCGTGCCGTCCTTTAAAGTGGACAGCTTTGCCTCGAGAGCCTGCATTTGCGTGGCAAGCGCACTGCTCAAATCCCGTAATTGGCGGAGGTTCTCCAACTCTGCTTTTTTGGCTTCGATCCGCATGGTCAAAGCCATAGCTTGCTGCGACGTCGTGGGATAGGCATTGTTCTGACGGAAAGGTGCGTTTATCGACGTTGTCGGGAGCGCCATGGCAACTGTGAGTGTACTAGGCAGGTCAAGTTGCAGCTATGTAGGTAGAAAGCAACGTAGAGATGTGGTTGTGCATCGGTGGGGTGGTGCGCCACTCGCGCCTGAGGCTTCCCATAGCCAGACTAAACCGTATCCGGACAAACGTCAACAAGGCCAAGCAAGCTTCAACCAACACAAAACCATCAACCGCCTCTTCGCTATACACCACACCACTCGGCTGCGGACCTCGAGTACGCGCACTATAAAAACAAAAAAATCGACCCAAGGAGCTGAAGACCACCCGCCGGCTTAGTCTGCATGCGCCTGAAAACCACACTTGAGTCTGCGACATGGCGCGATTAAATGATCTCCCCGGCCCAACAGAGTCCATAGAAGCCCGTAAGTTGTGTCTTCCAAGCCATAGACAACAACAAACCAATTATATACGCTGACATGGCAATAGTCAAAAGACGCTTTGTACGGCAGAACCGCGAAATCGCAAGAGTAAACTCGCTCCAGTCGCTGCGAATACAGAGTTTAGAATCAGAACTATCTCACCTCCTAAAAGAGAACGCCGCTCTCAAAGAACAAGTGATTTCATTGACACACGATGCCGAAAAATTTGCAGCCGGTCGAGCTTTTCATAAGGACATCTATCGGTGTAAGGAGAAATTTGCGGCCAAAGTTTCCGAATTGAACTCGCTGGTTAGCGAGCTGGGCATGATTCCGGAGAGCTTCCTTAAAAAGACCGCGCATCTCACAACTGCAGATGCTAATATAGAAACTCAGCGCTCCTTTGACTCTGGTCGGAGACCATTGACGTGGGACGAAAACGGCGACAGACTTCCAACAATCTTAGAGGATAAATATTTCCCAAGACGAACTCTTGAGTACGCGTGGATCACTTCCTATGCTTTTAATTCTCACCACTAATTTTCATCTGCACTTATATAGCCCTGAGGAATTGGCAGCAGTAGCAACACAACAAGATCTAGACTCGCCTACCATAGGATCTCCTCCAGTTGCTCACTTTGATGTGGATCAGAGTCCACTTTCACTGAGAAAGCATGACGACTTCGACCTTTCTACGAAAGACATTGCTTCCCCAGAATTGGAAGATAGCATGCACTCCGACAACAACAGCCTTTCCTATTCTCCAAACAACACCAACGAAGACGTTCCGATCCCAGAGCAACAAACCTCGCCATCTAAATATGTCCTACTTCCTGTCCTGTCTGGATCAAAGCGCAAGTTCAGCGCAACGGAAGATGAAATCACGTTTTCGCCGCCTCCTGCAACCGCTGGTCCGGCAATTGATGATGATTTCCAGTTTACACGCTCCGTTGATATTTCTAGAGCGCGACAACCAAATGTGGCAGTCGAAGTAATCAGTGAGCCTACAGCAGGACACGGGAAGAAACAACAACAAAAGAAGGGAAATCTTGCGAAGCGAAGAGTACTAGAACCAAGTATGTTTTTTTCTCAACATGACAAGAATCAGGCTCTATTATTCTATTGAGAACTGAACTAATAAGCTAACGAGACATGAATTTAGAAACCACAAACATGGCTTCACCCACGAAGAAAACAGTACAGCAGGTTGGTGATGGCAAACCGGAGAATACACCAAGAAGGCCTGGCGAAGAAGAGAACGCGCGCAAAACGGAACCACCAAACAACGCTTCACAGTTACAACCCGATCAGACGAAAAAGACAAAAAGAGCAACTGCAATGGCTGCACACGAGGACGAAGCTATCAAGCCAACATCAAACAGTCGTGATTTTGTGGCGAAAGAACGCCAACGCAAGCAATCATTCCACGGTAATGACATAAACAAACCTGCTGTAACAGAATCTATGCCTCTTCCCAGTCTCACATCACGACCGTCCAGGCGGGCGAGAGGAGCCATCAGCTACGCAGAGCCCAATCTGCGAGACAAGATGCGAAGAGCCACAAATGAACTGACAGATGCTGTGGCTATTGAACATGCACAACGTACAGCTTCGCTGGCGGGTAATTCTGGTCAGAATTTCGAACCAGAAAGCCACGATAGTTCTTCGCTCGATCCTAGCCTGGTAGCTAACCCAACGATTCCACATGATAATCAACGGATTGTTGCCGAACTACCCAAGCACATGGTAACTGAGAGAAAGCGGAGAACATTGTCGGCTAGCACGAATGAGATTACGCGCTTAAACAAGACCGAGAGCGAGTCAGACCTGAGGCAAGACACCGAGGGTGACGGCACAAGGTCACCCACCACTACCACCAATCATCCAACACAAGAGCATCTGCGACGGCGATCGGCAAGTCTAAAACCGCAGACACATCGACATTCCTCAAATCCTGCAGGCTATGACCGCGCAAAATCCAATCAATCCGATAAGTTGGCTAGTCATGAGACATCAGAGTTGGACGGTGAAAGCCACGACAACGACACCGTATTGGAGGAATCCCTGCCACATATTACGGTCATCAACAAAGATATCGGAGCAGCAAACACTGCGAGAGTAAGAGGAACACGAAATCTGACGGAAGATAGTAGTGCCCAAGCCACGCGAAACCAGCGTGTCTCGTCAAGAAGGCGAAGCACCTTGATATAAGGATGGCGGCATCAATGGAATGGCTTTATATTCGAAAGGACACCCTTTGTGTCTGTTTTCTTGTTTTGCAAAGGAGTTAAGGAGAGAGGGCTTGGTTAAAATATATACCCGCCAATGTGCCTTTTGTGTTTATCCCATTTAAAATTCTCTCTTCGTGGGTAGTAGTGGTCCTCTTCGAATTCATATATGTCGTCAGAATAAATTAGAAAAGCTTTATGCTTCTTTTTCCTTAAGCCCGCTTGTGCTCTTCTGACAACTTCACAGAATCTTATTAAGCTTGCGATCGTTCTTGGGAATCCTTTCGTAGGCATTTGGCTTCTTCTTCTCCCTTACTCGTTTGATGTCGTGGCTATGTCCCGGACATGAAGCATCATTACCAGCGTCACCATGTTCACAATCGTCTCGATGTCGCCGCCGCCGTCGTCGCTGGCCGGATCTCGTATCGCGATCGTCATCGGTGTCAGAGTCATCAGAGCTGGACTCGGAATCCGAGGACTCGGAACTGCTTTCATCTAGCGCGCGTGGTCTGTGATAAATACAGCATACTAGTAGTAATAGAGAATTAGCAGATTAGTCGTTTGAAAGAAAGCGAAAAAAAAAAGTGCCACCCCATGAAAAATTCCATATTTCAAACTCACCTTTCGAACTCTTCTTCCCCATCCCTTCGTTATTGACAACATTCTCGTCCCACCTAACACGCCGCGAGTTTGCAGATTGCTGCTCTAGGCTACTAGAATCAGTATCGGTCACCTCGCTTTCGCCTCTGAGGCGCAGGGTACGAGGGAGAGTCGCGGTCGACGGTTCTTCTTCGGTCGTAGTAGAGCCTGTGCCGCCGGCATTTGCAAATTGCTGCGGTCGTTGCCGTTGTTGAGAATTTATTGGCATCGTTACTTGTCTCTTTTTTCTTTTCGCGTCTGGAAACTCCCTGTATTGAATGGGCAAGGGAACCGCGATATGTTCGTAGTTGGCGAGTTCTAGGCGTCAGAAACGATGGCAAACTTGTTATTATTGCGGGGAGAGATGTTTGGTGGAGATTTGATGGATGACATAATAAAATAAAATCTGTCAGGGGGCTCCATGAGCAGGAGGGGTTTTCATTCCTTCCTTTTTTTTTTCCCGGTGTAAGAGTGATATATGTGTATTTTTCTCCTAACAGTATCTCTTTGGTCGCCTTGAATACAATAAATCCTCCATACTCTTACCTGTAGATATTCCATTAGACACTAACATTCGAGGTAAAGTCTTTCTTTCAGTAGTTTTAGGCATAATTGAAGTATAGTTATTATTTGAAATTTTGACTGCTTAGGACTTTGCTAAATTGCACCTTCTCGAAGACTCCATCAGAGAATGGCCAACGAGACCAGACAAGACAAATTTTTTTATTTTTATTTTCAGCAATCCCTTCGGGAAAAAGCAACCCCTAGGCACGTGTGCTGAAAATGCGATTTAGTATATCTAAACAAAAGCTTCAAGAAGTAGTCATGGGTTCACACCTGAGACTCGAGCCGTCTCCCAAATTTCACAAAGCGGAGTGATTTGTTTTGCTACCAAGAGCCGATAATGAGCCACCACCATCAGACTCGCCAACGGGTTGCTTCAAGCTTCCAACTGGACCAATCATAGATCATCATCCTGATCCATTTCAGCTGGTTTAAGTAAACCTCCAACCCTCATGGCACGATCTCTCTCCGCAGCCTTGGCATCCTGTAGTGCTTGCTCGCGTTCTTCTGCGTAGAGCTCAGCATTGTCTCCTGCGAATTCTTTGAGAGATATCAAGAAGTCCCGAAGATGTGTCTTGAATTTAGTAAAGTCGTCGTTATAGGCGAACAGCCCAATAACAAATTGCTTGATTTGAATCCTGGCCGCGATGTTTAGCAAACGAAAAAAGACAAACGGCCAATATTACTTACTCTTGGAGATTCTTGAAAGCCGATTGAAGAAGGCTGGCAACATATTCTTGTAGGAAATCCTTGTTGGAGGTGCCGGCTGGTGCTTGCTCTGGTGAGTAAATAGGTTCTTGTATCTTACCAGATTCGACGAAGTAAAACATGCGCGACAGAAGCATTGCTTGTGATTTGAATCCTATTCCGTATCAGCAATAGCCCTCAAATTACTTAAACAGACCTAAGAAAAAAGAAAGAAGGGGAAAAATAAAAAAAAAAAAAACTCACCAGCTTTATGATCGGTATCAGTCACTACAAAGAAGACATCCTGGAGAATAGATAGGTAGAATTGACGGAAGAAAATTCCCGAGGTTTGCAGATCGGTCTCGGCCATATTATTCATCAGCTCAAGACACATGGTCAATCCTGTGTTTTCCACCTCGCGGTTGTCGTGCTTGCTTGCCCACATGCATGAATCAATGACGAACTTGAACTGATTGGCGTCCAATTTCAACAAAGCAGGGAAACAATACAAGTTAATTGATTGTAGTAACTTGAAGAATTGAACACGATGTTCGGGGTACTCGTGGAAGTCCTTGTTGATCATCTCGAGAGTGCACTCAAAGACACTCTCCATGATCAGCGGCACTTTATCGTCCATGAGATTCTACACGATAGTCAGCACCAGTACCACATTACGTAGCGACTATTAATTCTAACCGAGAAGCGTGTAGTTCGAGGGGTCCAACGTACATGAAGCTTGTGAATGATAGTTGTCATGACATTCAAAACCTCTGCTTCGCGTGCATCCGGGACATTTCGATTGTAGTCCAGTAACACAGCTTCGAGCAATGGAGGCACCATATTCTGGTTGACCATTTCTAGGTCATCCGCCTTTTGAACATATGTGTCGATAAGCTTGAGAATCTCTTTTTTGATGGTGCGCAACCCTCGCACTCGGGGTGTTTTCGTTGCAATAGTTCCTGAACATACATCAGCATGCCATGTGATTCCTAATAGGAAACATATGTACTCACCATCTCTAACCACAGCATCAGATATAAGTTGACTGGAGGCGCGATACATGTTGAGCATGTCATGATAAATGCGTCCAATTTGGGGGTAGAAGTAACTGCCAATGGAAGAGCATGCTGCAACATTGGTCTTCATAATGTTTCCGACAATTTTTATAGTCTCCGCATCTTGGAGAATAGAGGAATCTTGATTAGCCTGCGCAATGATGGCATCCCATGCAGAATTGGGCAATGCCATCAAACTCTCAATCAAACGATCCTGGAGGCCCTTTTGGCCTTGGGCCGAGATCATGTAGCCACAAGCCTCGTAAAAGGTATGCACTTGCTGTGGTGATAAGTCGCAGGTAATCTTTCGCATATTGCGAACTATCTCTTCTATAAAAGGTTCAGTCTCTCCAGGCTGGTGAGCCACGAAATGGCGTTTGCATTTGTTGGCAATCTTGATGAAGGTATCGCAAGCCATGTCCTGAACACCTAGTACATGTTAGGATTAGGGAGAGAAGAAAAATATATCGATAGGCTGACAAACCTTCATGAGTTTCGTGCATGAATTCGAATAACTTGTTCACCACAGTCTTCAAAAACTTCCAATGGGCTTTCAAAAATCTCGGGTATTGGCCAACAATATACATAATGTTACTCGCAACGACTGCCTTGTTATCTTTGCCACGCTTCTGTTCCGTCAGACCAAGAAGATCCTTGATCACAGTTACTAGGAAACGCTTTTCTGTCTCCTCGTTCATCGCACCGGAGATGGAACCAATGGCCCAGCACAGTGTGTTGCAGTTAGCCCATGACCATTCTGTGCCGTCGACCTGTTTGGCAAGTTTGTCGGCCATGATACTTTCCGTATCAATAACATCAAGATGTGTGAGGTAGACGAGGCACTCCCTTGTTGTTTTGTATAATTGGATAGTGTCACTTTCCTTGACGAACTCACGAACGATTTCACCCTCGTCATTTTCCACAATCAGAACCTCTTCGGGGCGCACCATCTTTTCGATCATAACTGTTCGCAGGCTCGACAGTACCTCTTGGTATTTGTGCTTGCGCAGAGGATAATTTGCAAGTGTACTGGGATGCGGAGCGCCACCATTTGATAGCGCACTCACGCCCATGTTCACTAAAGGGTTAATATCCGTGATTGGGAGCTGCTGCATCTCTTCATACAGTTCCTGTACGAGTTTGGTCCAGTACTCCAAGCAAATTTTGAAAATTTCACGATCGTCAATCTGGCTGATTCGTATGAGGTAGAAGTGCGCATGGGTGAGATAGTCTAAATTGGGTAGTTTTTCGATGAGCTGTTGGGGTGGTTAGAAATTGCTCGAGTTTGATGGCAGAGGGCGATTTGACTTACATTTAAATGCACGCTGAAAAAGTTGCAAAGAAAAAGAGCAAGGTTCAGGACGAACTCTTGATCTCTCGAATTGCTATTTGTGTAGGTGCTCTTTAAATCCATCGATAAGGGAATAACCTCGGCCACCCGCGTAAGCGTCTCTGTGAACATCTGTACAAGCTTCTCGTCGTAGGAGTACTGAGGACCGATCTGAAGGCCACCAATTTCGGTCAAACATTTCAGTGTCACATTGCGAGTTTCCTGCACGCCGAGAAACCTGGTCAGAAGAGTGCTGATTATGGGTGTCTCGAAGATATATCCCAAAGGAATCCAATTTAAGAATCGCAATAGAGTTTCCAAAGTTGCCTTAATCAGAGCAGGCTGATTTGCTGTATTCAAAACCTCTGAGCATAGTTGAAAAATCGATGAGAACTCCGATGTCATTGTTGTCTTAAGATTCTTTGCTTTTGTCGAGGTCATCTGGTCCTGCGAGTAATCAAAAACTTCTTCCGACAGCAATCGAAGGATAGCCATATTGTTCTCGCAAATCGAAAGACTCGTATGGCAGGACGAAATGATCTCATTGGTGAAAGTCGGCCAGTTATGAGGCCATTCTTGCTTCAGTATAGAGACGAGGACGAGGTTCAATTTATTTAGAAAGGCACGTTCGCTCTTCAGTCTTTCTTCGGACTTGGAATGCTCGATAATCAGATTGACGACGAAGTTGCGGATTCCTATATTCGAATCAAACAATCAGCATCATTCACCGACCAATCACTTCACTTATCTTAAGAGGACAAAAAATTCACCTTGACATTGATCCCGTGGTAGAACTTTCCACCTTGTCATGATCACCTCGTCCAGAACCTGCAAACCGAGATCTGCCAAAATTTTCATCAGCATTTCCAGGGGAAAATGTCTCTCAAAAGGCACACTCACACTTTGTTTGAGAGTATGATGATTCTTGCAAAATATCTCCCACCAACAACCACGCGTCGGGGTTTTGTTTGAACTAGTCTGTCAGCCGATATGTCTGTTGGAGAAACTGCCACTTTTCATCATACCTCCGTAAGAGATTGCTGTGCTTGTTTTTGCTACATAGAAAATGACTCATGGTCAGCTCAGTTCTTTTTCTTCCTTTTTTCTTTTTGCGGGTTTGTTTCTTTTTCTTTATTTTTTCCCTGAAGGCATGGCGATAGACTCACCACTTCGCCTTTGCCCTCATAGAAGGCGCGGACAGTGTTGTCCAATTCTTGCACTGAAACAGACATTCCGCACCAAGCACTGGCGAGGCCGCCTTCAGCTTTACTCGAACTCTAAAGTCGCAATGTATCTGAGAAGGGTGATGATAAGTAAAGATCGCAAATCTAGTGGGGTTGCGGTGGAAATATTGATGGAAGAGAGCCGGTTGAAAGTCTGAAGGCGGGGCAGAGAGATAGCTGGGCGGTCAAACGCGAAACGGCGCGAGTAGTCGAAAAAATTAAGACGGAGGAGCGAGTGAGCAATGCGTGTAAAGCTCAGGTAGCGCTCGAAAAAAAGAGATTTGACGAAGGGCAGGTCTTTCAATGAGCGGGACTTGGCGAATGAGAGATTCAAACTTCTCTGGGATCCGATGAAGCTTGGTGAGGCAGTAACCAACTTGGCAATCGCCGTCATGCTGAGTCAGCCGCCATAACAAACAGTCAGACCAGCCTTTGACAGACGGTTCTCTGACTATGCTACATAGGTTTACGATGATATATCTTATCTTTGCATGCGTCTTTTGTCCATTCTTCTCATATTGCCTCATTTTCTTCTGTCCCTGCACGTGACTTAAGTATCGATAGACATACATATAAAACTACACTATCCATTATTTATGGACGTCTCGACCCTCACAGAAGTCTCACTCCAAGACACAAGATGTACCCGCATGCTACAGCACACACAACATCGGCAAGACAAAGAACGGGGGAGCATTAATCTCATCTTTCTAGAGGCTACTACTCATTCGCTCGCTCGCTCGCTCGATTGGTCCATGCGAACAAAGATCATGCCGTGTGACGATGATTGGTTGATTCCACCAGTCGCGTTCAGATCGCCCAGTTGTGGATAGCGCGAGAGACGCCATCAGTTTTGTCAGTTATACTTACTGACTGCAGTCAAGATTGAAGAAACACAAAACGCCAAAAATAGCACGCAGGGAGAGGAAACAATTCTCGTCTCACGTAGACGCCAACCCTGGACCAGCGGCCAATCAGCGTGACGGAGCGCCTGAAGGGGGGGAGGGACCCGCGACGTCAATGGTCGAGTAGGGTATAATACGATAAATTACGGCAACGGAGCAAGTCTTTTCTGGCTTGGTCTTGTCCTCTCTAGCCGCGCCAATGGCGAATTAGATGATAAGTGTGCAGCGTGCAGCGTGCAGCGTGCAGCATGCACCACCGCGCCCCCCTCCTCGGAAGGAGGGAGGCCCTGGGAGGTTGTATAGACAGAGTACGGAGTACGGAGTAAGCGAATCCATCGTGGCACAGCCGCCGCACTCTGTGGGCGGCTCTTGTTTTGTTTTGCCCTTAGCCTAGTTATGCTTTAGAGCAGTCATTGAAGCAAGGTATAACAAACATGTCGGCCACGGATATGTATAGATAAATAAAAGAGAAAGTGAAAAAAAAAAAATAAAAAAAAAAAGGAAAGAAAGAAAGAAAGAAAAGAAAAAGCCTTGAGAGAAGCAGGCAGCAATGGCGCGCAAACCGTGTGAATGTAGGATCGATTATGCGTTAGCGCTTGCTGTCTTGCGCTCTGGCGCGCGGCCCAAACTTCGAGAGGGCTTCCGTATGGTGGTACCGGTAAGCGGGCAGTAAATACGCGGCCCATACTCCCACATCGCAGACAAAAGACGGTAAAACGAATACGCATACGGTGACAACCCCCACCCCACCCGAGCGATGTGCACCCCTCCTCAGCTCGCAAGAGGGGACAATTGCTGGGGCTAATCACGCGCTCCATTGGCGGAGGGCAGCGCTGCGAACGCTGATTGGCGGACAGGCGACAGGGTGTGTAATAAGCCCCCGGGTGCCGCCAGCCAACCACAGCGCGCACAGTCGGTTCTGCCGCCGCCGATCGCGCGCCAACGTCAAGCCGCTCGCACCCGCAGCGCGCCCATTCCGCCTCATTGTTGGGCTGGCCCGCTCTTCGTTACCCGACCTCTCGCGCGCTTGCTTCTTGCTTGCTTGCAACTAAAAGCCCCCTCCCCTCCTTCCTCTGCAGTTTCGTGTGATGTTGCAACTGCGCCTGCCTGCCTGAACGGACGGCCCAGTCGGGGTGCCTCCTGCCGCCAGTGTACCCGTCCCTTCACAAAGGAGTGATTTGTCTCGTTTTATTATATAATTAGCCGCCAAACCTCCGTGGAAGCTTAGCAGGACCGACCTCTTTCTCCCTCTCTCTCCTCTCTCCTCCCTCTCGTCTGTCTTCTCTCTCCCTTCATCCCCCTGTCTTCGCTTCTATTGTTTGCAGCCTGCCTTCTTTGAACAGGAGATTTCTTCTTTCTCTGCTGTAGGACTTTCGCTATTCCTTCCTCTCTCTTTAATCACGCTGTCCGTCCGTATACATGCTCGCTGAGTCCCGCGCTAACGTGCTGTCAAGTCTAGTCCTGCGATAATCTTCCCGGCTTCAATCCTCAAATTGCGCGCCTCCTTCATCCCGAGAAACCCGATAAGCGACAAAGATAGTGGATCTGTACTCGCGGCGTCGCAATTATCTGCTCTTTTCAAGGCTCGCAGAGCTGATTCTAGATCGCCAAGTTGAGCGCGACGCCGTTCATTGACACTAGAAGCCAGTGGCCTTGAATTTCTCTGTTCATTTGAAACTTATAACCAAACACATGCCTCTCGATATATTCAATTCGACCCCGGTCTTATAACCCGACATCTTTAGATTTCGCGAAAAGGGTCTTATTAGATTTCGAGCAGTCTTTTGCAGCATCACAGACAGACAGCACAGCTTGACTCAAAATGGCCACTGTCGCACAGCCCGCGTCTATCAGTAATGGGACTCATGTGCAAGAAAACGATCAACATACCGAGCACGGTCCTCCGCGTTTTACTGCCGTGAATGGGAAGGAAACAACAGCATTGCACAACCCCAGCATTCCGCCTATGACCGTGAACCAAAACCAGAGCAGAGAAGCTACCGATTTTGTGGGAATTAATGGCAACACAAATAGCTCACGGCCAGAAGAAAGCCCACGCAAACTGTCAAATGCAAGCAAAGAACAAGCCGACGAATATGGATCGCAAGAATTATCGTTTCATACAACACCCGGTGGAGCGAACAAAAATAAGAGAAAGCGATCAGAGTCTATCGAGCATCATTCATCATCTCAGCAAGACCATTTGCGTTTGGGCGGCGACGTTACAGGAATCCCTGCTCGCGTCGTCTCGGAAGGCAATTCTGAATTGTCTATACAGTCAGAAGCAACCAACAGCACCAAGTTACTCCCTACGAATGTTGACTATTCTAATCCGTCTCCTACAAGCTACTCGCATCCGGAGGTCAAGGAAGACCAGGCGATCAATGGCACCAGCAGCTCTTGGCATGATTACGATTCGCATTTGATTAGTCAAGCTCAAAAGGCGCAAAATTTAGATACATCTGATGCTCAACTCGTGGAAGTTCTGCAAAGAGAGACCCATTCCACCGATTCAATCGAGCACAAATCATGGGTTACTGGCCCGACTTCAGCCTCTGGTGAGTCAGATCAGCGGTCTGTTCAACCTTATGCACAGGACAAACCACAGGCGGCTATTCAGGTCGGTCCGAAGAGGAAACGGGTTTTCAGCAATCGAACTAAAACCGGCTGTCTGACATGTCGGAGGAGAAAGAAGAAATGCGATGAACAACATCCAGCATGTGAGTTTTATCCTTATTCTTGTTCGCATAAATCTCATCTATTTTCGTCCCTTTTGATGGCTAATTAAGCATTTAATATCAGGTAACAATTGTATACGCGGTGGATTCGTCTGTGAAGGCTACTCTTCTAGGAGTACTTGGCAAAAGCCATCAAGCAGCAAGGCTCCAGTACCACTACAGTCTAAGGAAGGATACACCGACGCAGGCAATCATTACTTGCAAGATGCTGGCGGCCGGCATCATGAACGGGGTCCAACGACACCACAGCAATCTGAAGTGAGCAAAGTCAGACCAGTCGCCGTGGAGGAAAACGAGGGTGCCGGGGTTCAATACTTGGGCAGTTCAGCAAGTGTTGCGGGAAACCGGAACGCCTGGCCGAAAAGGAGCTGGCCAGGTGCTTCACATCCTCCTTACCTGGCGGAACATATGGCAAAGCCTGATTATCGTGAAGTACCTCCGATTCATGAACTCTCCCGCGAAGGGCAACCAAAAGCAGAGTATCATGTTGTCCCATCCATTCGGGAACTTTCTCAACAACAAGGTTCGCACGCGAAACCTAGCATGCCCATTTTTCAGAGTCCTGTCGATCAAAGACCCCCGCATCCCAGTCCGTTGGACACTAGTAGTCCACAAGCACAAGCCCGTCTAGCTTTAAGCATCGAACACCAGCTGTCGGCACGCCACAACGCTGGGGAGGACACAGAAAGAGAAAAGATGGTCCATGGGGAACTATATCGTCCCTTTGATATCCAGTTAGTTGAAGACCGTGACCGTTGCAAATCAGCCTTGTGGCGATTCAATAATGCTTGTAATCCACAATCTGGGATAAGTTCCAAGGAACAGAATCGTCTTCTTCGGGAGGTTATTATACCTCCCGTCACCAGCTCACCTTCAATGTCTCCTATTTCGCGACCTTCTGGATCTATCGGGCCAGGGGCTATTGTTGAGGCACCCTTTCGCTGTCATTATGGTTTCAATATACACATTGGCGAAGATGTGATGATTTCCGAAAATTGTTCCATGATTGACGATTGTCCCATCAATATTGGGGCACACACGTGGATTGGACCCAACGTTACCATTCTAGGCTCGATGGCTCACGCCAACATGCAAGAACGTAAAGGTTCACAAAGTCGATATCAAGGTCGTCCAGTTACCATAGAGGAAGATTGCTATGTTGGCGCAAACTGTACGATCTATCCTGGGGTGCGTCTTCGACGTGGTGCCTACGTTGCTCCAGGTGAAGTAGTGAAATCAGACATCGTTGCATATGGGTTTCAGGGACTTAAACCAAGCTATATGTGAAATTAGGGTTCCTGTCTTTTTCCTTCCCTTTTTTTGATCTATACTTGTGCTACATGATATGATACACGTCCAATTGTAAATGAACCGAGTTGAGCGTTTCTTATGTTGCTTATCTTATTTTCTCTTTTGAAAAGACGGCGTTAGAATCTACGTTAAGTTTTTTTTTTTTTTTTTTTTTTTTTTTTTTTTTTTTTCATATCATACATTAAAATGCATCACTAGTGATCTGTAGTAAAGTCTATATGATTTTATTCGGAGATGAGGGGGAAAAATCATAGAGCCCGAAATCGTATATTCATTAGCACGAAGGCCACATTATTACTTGTGTTTGGGACATGGATGCAATACTGCGGGTAGAGTCAAGAGTGGCGAGGTATCGACAAATTCTTATATGTTAACATCAAACGGAAGTAAATAGAAACTGGACTCTCAAGTAGACAGCCAGTCAAGGAAATCTGGAGTAAAATAGCTGATGACGATGCCAGCACCGGCCCTCAGTATCCCCTGTGTACTCTCGAACGCCATTTCTTTCAATCCAAACACACCAGCCTTAGCACCAGCGTGAATCATGGCGTATTCTCCGCTAACTTGGTAGGCTGCAATAGGCAAGTCCTTGGCTAGTTCTTTTGCATCGCTGATTATATCAAGGAATGTGCTCGCTGGCTTCACCATGATAATATCAGCGCCTTCGGCAACATCGCGTACAATAGCGCGACGAGCAAGTCCACGGCCGCCGGGTGGCAATTGATAACACTTACGATCGCCAAAAGATGGCGAAGAGCCAGCAGCATCTCTGAAAGGTCCATAGAGGCAGCCGCTGAATTTCGCTGCATATGACATGAGGGTAACCTGGTGTGAGATTCCTGCCTCGATCAATTTCAGCTTTATAGCACGGATACGGCCGTCATTCATATCCGAAGGAGCAACGCAGTGTGCGCCTGCCATGGCGTACGCCACGGCCACATCCGATATCCGTTCAACGGATTGGGTGTTGTTGAGGCTCCCGTCATCGCAGAGGATTCCGCAGTGGCCATGGGACGTGTACTCGCAGAGACAAACATCCACGGTTATATAGAGACTGGGAAATGTCGAGCGTAGCAATCGAATAGCCTGTATGACAGGGCCCGACGGATCGTCGGCAGCGGTTCCCAGCGGGTCTTTAGCTGTTGGGTTGAGTGGCACGCCAAAAAGCATGACAGATCGGAGGCCCTTTCGCACAAGCGGCGCCAAGAAGGGGACTATTCGATTCAAGCCGCGGCGAGACTGATTCGGTAAGGAGGGGATTGGTGTTTCTTCATCAGGATTATCGGTAATAAATATAGGATAAATGAGCATTTCCTAGGTCGAGGGTTGCCCGTCAGTGCGTGCTTCTTTTTTTTTCCCTTTCGGCCAAGAGGATGTACCTTTGTCAGTTGTCTTTCGGACTGCCATGTTCTCGCCAGTGGATGACTGTAGCCAGCATGCAATTGACTGGATATGTCACCCGAAATGCTAACGCTCGTCGCGCGAGTGCTGGTCAGCGAGCGAGCTGTGGCTTGCGAACGAGCATGGGAGATTTGCGAGTCACGCTCGCCGGGAGGGGCATCTCTAAATGCTATATCAGAAACAAGTGTAGAGAACGACATTTTCTAGTAGTCTGGTTGCTCTCAATCCGACAGTCGAGCAGAGTGTTGAGAACGTGGTCACAGTTCTCTGGAGATGAGAGGTTGATGAGAGTCCGAAACGGCGACAAAGCGGCAAATCGGCAAATCGACGAGCAGATTGATTGTCGTGTCATTGGTCGGTCTGTGATTGGCGGACTCGCCCGCGATTTAATAATTCAAGCCATATCATTGGCTGCTGTGCGCCCGAGTCGCGACAGCAAATCGGTAGTTTCTTAGAGTTTAGGCCCTCCTATCATCGTATGTACGCAAGTCGATATGAGAAATATAAGTCGAGGTAGAATTGCTTTGTCGCCCGTCTCTGACCGTCCGAGCCATTTCCGAATATCGCGTGTCGTAGGCAGCTGCCAGAATCTGCAGTCAAGCCCATCATGGATTACAGAGAAGCCAATCTGGATATGCATGGCAGAGAGAACATCCATGGATCAGGTTGTTCTTGACTTTTAAGCATCATGATATACTACGTATATAGTTAGGCAGTCGCCTATTCCGGTTTAGAGCGGGTAACTGGCCAATCATGGTGCAGATCCGGGGTATTTCGTAATTTACCCCAGACTGCTATGAAGTCATGTGCTCCCCCTCCTGCTACTCTCTCCCACCAGTCGAGAATAACAACATACGACACTCCTCTCCAATACTCAGCCCTTCAGCTTCAGCCAGGAACTCTTCTTTCATTTCCCCTTCGTATGCCAACTACAGCCAATTGATACAGCCAGCCTCTGTGCATACATTTACATTATCCCCTAGATCAGATCGACCATACGTCCTAGTCATTACAGGGCCGTCAAGAGTGAGTGCGCCTCCCCCCGCCAAGGTTGAAGCTGCATTGCCCATCCTTGAATGCCATTCTCATACCAGGCAGTGACACGCTCCCACAAACTCAATGACCAGGACCATTCCGCGGTTTCTGATGACCCCTCGATGGCTCAAGACCCCGTGCCACGCTATTTCGGAAAGTCAGGGCCATTCAATGCTGACCCCTACAAGACCAAGAAAGACGGAGGTGGTAAGGGAAACTGGTAAGTTGATATCAAGGCTTTTGTCGTCTCGGTTCTAACACTATCCTTTCCTCATCAGGGGTCGCTCTGGCGATGAAGTCCAGGACTATGACTACAATTTCACCAATGCTAGACGTCGTTCAAACAGCAGCAACCACGGGCTCTCAGAATTCAAGACCAAGTTTGAGACTGTGGAACCTGAACCAGTGTTTGAGGAAGAGGTCCCACCCGAGGTAGATGAAAAGGGGGCCACTGAAGTTGTCCGTCAGATCGAAGCGGGCTCTGACGGCTATGGTACCTATTCGGTCAGGGCATGAATGGGTAATTGATTGGAGAGAGCTGTATTGATATGACGACTTGTTTCAACGGATGAAGAGCCGGGTTTACAAAGTCTAGTACTAGTTAATCGGTGGTAGGGAGAGACGACACGACTGCACGTGAGGGTTCCGTGGATCATAAGCAAAGTTTGAGACTTGATGATGGAAGAATACAGAATTCGCCGCAATGGGGAATGCTAATCTAGAAGACTTGATTGGCCTATTGTAGCTGGTAAAACTCATCTCTACGCTCAATGCTGAGTTTCGAGAATAAATCTCAATACGTGGAACGATGTTGCTGGAAAGCAGCCTATTCAACATATGATATCTCTGATAGATCTAGCATAGTCTTCCCAGCGCTTTCTCTGGATATCACTCTCTGCTATATAGCTCTTTATCTTGGTCAATCCTTCAAGTGTTTCATGCATTTTCGCCACCTTAGTCGTGCCACAAAGTATACTCATTTCGCAACCACCTATACTTCGCATGATAGCGTAGAGTAATATCTGCTTAGACACCCCAATTTCTTGTCCTGCTGTCTCGAGAATTTGCTTCGGATCGTCCAGGACGCTGGGGTTACCCCAGAGCAGACCCCATGGTGCATAAACAATCCCATGAGTTCCACAGTATTCTCGAACGTCCCGATCAAAGCTAACTAGCGGATATGGCAGGTTTGGTGGCATAGCAGGATTTGGACGACCTGCTATGTCCTCGGTAAAGCGATTTTGGACGACAACAGGTTTGATATCAGCAGCCTCCCAGAGTTGGCGGAGCGACTCGAGATCGCAATTAGATACACCCAATGAGGCTACTTTGGAAGGCACTAAAGCCTCCATTGCCTTCCATGCGATAAGTGTGTTTTGAATGTCCTGGTAGAGCGAATGAAGGACTAGGCAGTCGATATATGTGGTACGCAGGTTAGCGAGTGATGAAGCTACTGATTCCTCCACCTGTTCAGAGATGCTCTTGGCCGTGTCATACGGATAGAGAGCTGGGTCTTTTCCAGCCTTGAAGGGCGAAAACTTAGTCTGGATCTATTGATAGTTAGGCATACGTCTGGCGCTCAATTGAGCAGGAAGCATCGGTCGAGCGCTGAACATTCGCGACAGTCGTACTTACGTAGAGCTCATGGCGCTTGACATGTCCAGATGTAATTGCCGAGTCAATTGCGTTTCCCACAAGATCTTCCTGGTATGCTGTCCTGCTGCCCGCCGTGTCTATCGCTCTAAACCCGGCTTTTAGGGCCTCCGAGACGAGGGACGCACTTTGTTCAAATTTGAACGCCGTTCCATACAAGATATCCGGGATGCCTTGAAAGCGCGGTAAACTTGCCATAGCCTCTTATTAGCTGTGATTACACATTTATCCACCTAATTACAGGTTTGAAAGCGGTGATTATTAGATTATAAAGCAGTAATCTCTGAAACTAGTAAAATTAGGCAACTACGTTTTGTCGCCTTATCAGTATGTAATTAACCCGGCAAGCCCTAACTAGTGAAGGGCTAATAGCATCCATATTTCATAAGTTGTAATTAGTTAACTAGTTCAAGCCTATTACTTACTAACTTATTGGACAAGGAATATTTCTCCTTATTCTTACTTGATAAGAAGCTACTCCATGGCCACTGACAACAGTTCATTACCACCGAATATTATCTTCGCCAACGGTACATGACCTATCAGTTGAAAACTGTACGACCTCTTTATACCTAGGACTTGCCTGGATATCACGCTCTAGCTCAAAGGAGCAGATTCATCAAGCCCGTCAAGTATATCGAATAGATATATTTGTAACTCTCCGCAAAAGCTATCCTGACCTACAAACATAACTGTGATGAGCTAGTCAATTCAATGAGAGTTGTGGTATGCTTCTCCGAGGTAAGAGATTCAAAAAAGTTTGCGTACGGAATATGGGTTGCAGAGTAGGGCTACTCGCCATCAAGGATGTCTAAGTATACTACAACACCACAACCAATCCAGACCTGGAAACCATTGCGACAGAGTCAATCAGATTGAATCCGTTTAGATATTACAGTCCGACTGCCGAGGCAGATTGTAGCGTATATGCCTCGGAACGTCAAGAATTCGAGATGTTGGCTGTGGAGCACTGTGAAGCGTAGCTTGGCTGCAGAATTATTTACACACAGAGTTTCAAAGCACCCCTCTATCCACCTCTGAAGATGTTCCAAGAAGCCGTAATCTGCATGTCCAGCTTTAATACCAATCACCAATAATTATACGGTAGGTATCTGAATATCAGACCCTTGAGGGGGGGGGGAAAGGTTGGTTTATTCACGATGATTGGCTGTTTCGCACTGCTTTCCGAAAAGGGAAGCCTACTGCCAAAAAAGGAAAAAAGAATGCCACATTGAGGGGGAAGCGGAGGGCATCTGCACAGTGATGCTGTCAACATCCAGGCATGTACGGGGTCGAATTGTAAAACCGGGGGTAATGTCAGAAAAAAGTATGGTCGAGAATGAAAACGAACTACGAAAGTAAGATGAATGGCATGGACTTTCAAGAGTTGGATTTAGTCAAGACGATGGATTATTTAAAGGCCTTGATATCCTGGCCATGAAGACGTTGTTCTTTCTCAAAACGCTCAAGGTACAACCAGGTTTTGGTCAGTTTTCCAGAGCATCAATCCTTCAACAAAGCACTGCTTCTATTATCATGCATACCTTTACCCTAACCAAGTTATCCCTTATTGCCCTTCTCGCTACGGCATATGGCTCGCCATTAATCCAGGAGCGCGCAACCCTAGGTTCGTCTACTCACAAATCTACGTGCGTGCTTCATGAACTACAGTGTCTGCCAAGGACCTCTGTCACAGTGCCTAGGTAAGAATTTAGCTGACATCAACGTTCCTCTGGGAAGGGCACTATTCCTTTGGTACTACTTAGGACTCTCTCATGGCCTAGTATATGATTTATGGAGCACCGCATATGTTGTTAGGGCTAAGACAATTTGTCCGTAGGAGCGAGCTGGTATTAAATGTCGGAATGAATTGCTGGTTGGAGAGATAAATCTCTTAGTCGTGTGAAGGACAGACTTATTAACTAGAGCACGAGCGCCACTTATGATGTATATAGATGCAAATATAGGCAAATTGGGAATCATTATCCACTTTAGGATCTGACCTTTATAATTGGCGAGGTCAGGGATGTAGATTATTTGGATGGGAATATGATGTTCTCCATACTGAACAGCCTATCAATCATGACAGAACCAGCTGCATTCAACCTTTTCTGGAAAACTGCATCTTTCACATCAAAGGCACCAGGGCCAAATTCATGGTAGAAAGTATAGATTCAGGCTGAATCCTCTATACTGTAGCTAAACAATGTTTTGTTTAGGACCTTGCCATCGGCCAGCGTCAGGCTGTGATTTCGCGTGCGTAACCCTCCATATAATGCAATGAGAGAATGTTGTATCGGCCGAGAAGCACTTAAGAACTCGGAAAATCCGGGGAAATTATACCAAGTCAAATAAGAAGGTCTTTCCAAGTATACTGGCCAGGAAAAGACGGATGGAATGGGACTTGAGCGGAAGTCGTGCGGGTTGGGCGGAACAAACCCTAACTCCTATTCCGCTGCAACTACCAACTACTCGTTGAGACAAGCCTAGTGCGATGCAAGCCCAAGTTAGGGATATGAGGGATTGAAGTAGCTCTTTTCACATAAATACATTTGATTGATTGTGTATTGTCTGGTCCAGTGAGATAGCTGCTCTAATGCGCAGTCCTGACTATCCACCGAAGAATGCCACGGCGTGATAATGTAACTATTCAAAGGTTGTCCCAATACACGTCTAAGACAGGATCTATCTGATAAGCCCCGTGAAAGCAAGCGAGTCACCGGAAATGGCGGCTTGAGGACGGCAATGTCGAAGCTGATGTGTTTCGCATCTCCGCTTCACTCCACTGCCAAATGGATCAAACCTCACGCCAACCCCCGCTTTATTCATACAAAATGCGGAGAGTAGTTACGATCAGCAGGGCTAAAGGCTCATCCCCCGCATAAAATGGTACTATCTATTTGGTTGTGCCCGAGGGCATAAGATTCCTGGAAACCGGGATATAAAAGCTCCAGTCTTTCCGTGCCTGCCCTCCAGACGGCTATACCAGAAAAAAACTAAAGAGACCGTATTTTTCATTATATTCTCTGCTACAATGACTTCGTCAAGCACTCTTCCTCACAGCTGGGCTGACCGTGTCATACCCAATGTCCAAACCTATCCACATGATGGTTTACACTTTGATCCCAGACTTAGACCCAAGACCTACAATATGGCGGGTACGCCAGCCGGCTCTCAGGTGTTGTTTTTAGACGTCAATATTCTTGACTCTACTGGGAGAGAGCCGTACAGAGGAGATGTCCTTATCCAGGGCGAGCGCATTGTCGCCGTCGGAACCGTGCCCGACATCGAGACTCTCCGCAACCAGGACGGAGTAGAGGTGATTCAAGGCGAAGGCCGTACTCTGATGTCTGGTCTTGGAGATGCACATGCCCACCTCACTTGGAACAACAATGCTCTAGGGTTATTGGGAGATGTTGGCGTTGAAGAGCATACCCTAATCACTGCAAGGTCGGCTCTTAGCTACATTGACTCAGGGTATACTATGTGCTATGGCGCCGCGTCAGCAAAGAACAGACTGGACTCTGTTATTCGCGATGCGATCAATAGTGGACAGCTGCCTGGCCCGAGATATCTAGCCAACGCAATGGAAATTGCCAAGCGTGATGCCGAATTGGCGTCTGGTATTACTGCTTTCGCAGATGGTCCTCTGGAAATGCGCGAGGTCATTCGCCACCATGCAAAGTTGGGAGTAGATCAGATCAAGCTTAGCATGTCTGGAGAAGCGATCATGGAATCGCGGTCAGCCGAAGAGAGCTTTTTCACGGACGAAGAAACAGCCGCTTGTGTTGATGAAGCGCACCGTCTCGGGCTTCGGGTTTGCTCCCACGCTCGTGCCCGAGACTCTATCATTCAATGCGTCAAGCACGGTGTAGATGTCATCTACCACGCCTCGTATATCGACGACGAAGGTATGGATATGTTGGCAAAAGCAAAACATAAACATGTCGTTGCACCGGCGATCAACTGGCTGTACACCACCGTACATGAGGCTGAGCCGTTCGGATATACATTTGAACAGGCGGAAAAAGTGGGATACAAGAAGGAGCTCGAGACTGCCGTCTCAGCGCTGAAGGAAATGCGCCGCCGCGGTATTACGATCCTTCCTGGCGGTGATTATGGCTTTGCCTGGTGTCCACACGGCACCTACGCTCGAGACCTTCAACATTTTGTGAACCTATTGGGATTCACGCCCATGGAATCAATCATTGCGGCGACCGCAGGTATTGCAAAGCTTTTCATGCGAGAAGACGAACTAGGCAAAATCCTGCCGGGCTTCTACGCAGACTGCATCTTAGTGGACGGCAATCCACTAGAAGATATCTCTGTTCTGCAAAATCATTCGAAGCTCCAGGTCATCATGATCAATGGCAGAATCCACAAGAGAAGCTTGCTGCACCCCATTCGTCATGCAGTTTCCGCCAAAGAAAAAGAGCATTTCAACTACATTTCATACGCAGATGAATCCGGCAGACCACGAGTTGGCCATCTCGACTTAAACGACAACAAGGTCTACCCCCTAACGATGGCTTCGGGTTCGCACCTCGGAAATATGTATGAAGTGATCGAGCTCGGCGAAGGAGGAGTAGTTCGTGGCACAGGCCCTCCTGTTTCTCTCAGTTCCCTAAAATTGTTGCCTCCGCTTGCAGATCGAGACGTCCTATGCATCGGTGTGAACTACCGGAGGCACATCAAAGAATACCAGGAGAGTGGTTTCAGCAGGAACAACGACGAGGCTAATGGTAATTATTCATCCCTTCTGGGTGTTCAACGTCTGTGTACTGACATCATGTAGCACCGCTCCCAGTCGTCTTTTCCAAGAGACATACAAGCATTATTGCTGCCGACGAAGACATATATCCACACCCCAAGTTTACGAGGACCGTTGACTACGAGGGAGAAGTCGCGGTGATTATAGGCAAAACAGGATATGGCATTCCCGCTGAAAATGCGATGGAGTATGTTTGGGGATATACCATTGTCAACGGTTCGTCTGCATTGCTATTACGGAAAGGGATGATTATATGCTGACTTGCACTCGCTAGATGTTACTGCCAGAGAAAAGCAACGGGATCACCAGCAGTTCTATATCGGAAAGTCACCCGATACCTTCTGTCCGATGGTATGTTGTGTTATCTCTGCTCCTACGTGTTTTCCTTTCTGACAGCGAGGAATTAATAGGGCCCGGTTGCAGTTCCTGCAGCAGCGTTGCCTCCAACACTCCGAATCCAGACATATGTGAACGGAGAAAAACGCCAAGATGGAAGCACAGCAGATCTAATTGCTAGTATTCCTCGAATTATCGAGGCTGTATCCAGCGGCATGACTCTGCAGCCCGGTGATGTGATTGCGACGGGCACTCCGCACGGTGTGGGAATAGGCTTCCATCCACCAAAGTTCCTCAAACCTGGCGACATTGGTAGGAGCTCTCTTTCTATCCTCTTTTATGATGAGTATAAAACATATACTGACTTGCCTATGCTATGCTCAGTCGAAGTGGCCATTACGGGGTTGGGCAAGCAATCTAATCAGATCGCGATGTCATGCTTAGAGAACCCTCAAACCAGCAAAGCAGTCAGCAAGACTAGTCTTCCAGTACATAACCTAGATCGGACTTGGGGAGGCGTATCGCTTACACAGCTTCGTCCCAATCACCGCGTCAACGTGCGCGAACTTGGTCCCAAGAACACGGAGAAGGACACTCTTGTCTTTATACACGGTCTCGGAGCGAGTCTGGAGTATTACATGCCTTTGATCCAGGCTGCAGGACTAGAAGAAAGCAAACACCGCATCATAATTTACGACCTCGAAGGACACGGATTGACTCCGACTCGGTCCTCGACAACTGCCACCCTGCAGTCGTATGCGAGGGATCTAGAATTGCTGCTTTTGGTCAAAGACGTCCATCGTGCTGCAATTGTCGGATGGTCTCTGGGCGGACTGATTGCCATGTACTTTGCACAAACACGGCCTCTACTGGTTTCCAAACTTATCCTCTTGGGCCCGGGAGGCTCTCCTCTACCCGCTTCGGCTGTTGAGTTATTCACCAAACGTGCTGCCCTCGTTAGAGACCAAGGTATGGATGATATCGCGCAGCAGGTTGCAACAGCGGCCACCTCTCCGCTGACTCAGTCGTCCCGACCTCTTTCATTCTCTGCGGTACGACAGTTCCTGGTCTCTACGCATCCGGAAGGCTATGCGAAAGGGTGCATTGCGCTTGCCAAATCACCAGACACGGTGATCGCGGTCGAGACACTGCGAATGCCTACATTGGTCGTAGCAGGGCGAAACGACGCCATTTCGCCAGTACAATTGGCAGAGAAATATTGCAATCGTCTACCAAATGGACGATTGGAGATTTTGGAAGGCGTTGGGCACTGGCACGTCCTTGAGGATGTGGAGACGACAGCTAGAGTAGTGAGAGGATTTCTCGAGTGATGACACGATTTCTTTGTAATTTGATAGCTGTTTGTTTTGAGTTTAATCTCTTCTTAACAAGTCAAACTTAATTGAACTCTACGTACAAGAAGCGCTATCGTATGGCTAATAGACCTTCTCTGATACTACCACTACTACAGATTCAACAGATCATGCAATAAGTATTACGAGCATTGCTATCATAAATGAACCATACAACCTAGCTTTGTCCAATTGAAAACCGCGCAAATTCGACATGCTCTGTGCTGGGCTTATCATAAGGGTTATTCACTTCCTTCGTCTTGCCTATTTGGAGCTTGGACAACCATGCGTTCGTCCGAGAGCCGTGAATCTGATGATACTGCCCTGGGATGACAGAATCAGATAACATTTTCTTGTCAAAAGAGAAAACAAAAAAAAAAAAAAAAAAAAAAAAAGGTGGCCAAACATACATGAGCAGTCTTTGCCTGCAAAGTTTTTGATGGGCGCCTCCCCCCCAGGGTGCTGACAGGCAAAGCTGGTACAGTCATAGACCACGTCATCGATCACGAGCCCTATATGAAAGAAAACGTTACTAAACTTCCTCGCGTCAAGATGCAGTAGATGAGTTGTGATTCGCACACAAGTCAGAGTTATCCTTGCCATTTCGTTGCTTTACCTCCTCGGCAGGTATAAAAGGAAGCTGCTCTGGCTTGCGAGGAACGAACTTCAATATCTGTTTTGCCTCAAACATCTTGCTCATGGCGTAAAACAGAAACTAGAATAGAAAACCTGTTTTTCTTATAAATAATTGAATATGCATAATGCGTGCACTCTGAAAAAGTACGGATACTGCGGGTGCAGTGCGGTAACTCGGTTCTCCGCACATCCGCAGACATGTCGATCCTTTATTAGAATTTGGGGACAGAGTAAGACTAAACCCGATTAGGTCTTATTGCCCACTTGCGATGCAAATCCGGGGGTCTTTAATTGTACGGGGGATATAGTGCTTTGCGTTCTGATTGGTGGCTTGACTGGGGTAGACTTAGCACTACTCTTCACAGCGTTTGTCTGAGAGGATTGTGGCAATTGCACTCTGCTCCGTTGCCTAGACAAAGGTCAGGGGCCGGAGAATTGGCAGCTAATCGAGGAGGTGGTTGAAGTCCCGGCTAAATTCTGAAGATGTGCACTGGATACGACAATTACTCAAGATGTCCTGGCTGGTATCTGCTTTCTTTTCGGGTCACTACAAGTTGGTAACAAATGTACAGATGCTACTGTAGTTGTGGTAAAAAGCATTACCACTTTTGGAAACTTACAACCGCAAAGGGTTTAGCGTCCCCATAATCTTGTGACACTAGGGCTAATGGCAATTGCTATATAAAGATTTCATATATTCGTGAAAGTTGTGTCTGGGTTTCAATAATATTTGGTATGCTATAGTTATAGCAAATAGCAAGATTCAGCAATTGGCCATAATGGAGCCTCTCAGAGCTTTTGCGAGATGGTGACCCTTTTACAGTCAGAAGCTGAAATTGAGGATAGAGATCACAAGACGCTGTCAAGTCCTCAGTCCCTGTGGTATGTGTCCGTAAAGCGTCAAGCATCGTAAAACACATACAATAGTCGGCTACGACCTCCAAGATAGACACACTGTTCTCGAATCCAATCTCTCTCCATGCCTGGGGCAAAGATGATATTTGTGGATTTTGCCTGATGCCGGCCTAGTATTATGAAGGGAATGGACATCGACTCCAAACTCTTCAAGAGCGCCAGGAAGGCTAGAAATTCAACACGGACTTATTGGCACTGAAGGAGGTGATGAGGGCCTGGTCTCAAAGTCGAAAGAGAATAAACTTTTCGATCATCAGCCCTGACCATGGTGCTGCAGGAACATTCTATGAGCACTAAGAAAATAATTTCACTGTCATTGTGAAAACAGAACAGTACGTAACGACACTCAATTCTCTGAAATGCAAGTCCAGTCGAAGCGGCTGTTGCTTGATGTAATACGAATAAGTAGATATGACTAGAAAGTCTTCAGATCTGTTAGTATCTAAGGCTGACGGCTAAATTAGCGTGTCCATTGTCCTATTCCAACTCGAGTAGCCATCAGATGTTGAATTTGGCTCAAAATTTACTTGGATTACCGCTCACAGTAGTATGTTAAAGTTTTTATTGCATTAGTTGGATGATAGTATCATACATGAGTCCATTTGTCTGCGAACAACCTCGTTACGAGGTCAATGATCTCAGCAGGCATCCTTTCGTCGACCCTTTATCTTGTTGGCTGTGAATTCCAGGTGCTCAATATATTTTCCTTCTATCCATTTCACCGATCCGAGAATCGATGCTATGAGGAGATTTAGATGCAGTCCAGGGAAGGTGTGCCTTCGCAGATGCAAGGAGAGGTGCTGGAAGAATGCATGCAAACGCAGCCACCCTCGAGGTTGTTGGTAGATCCGGTGTTGTAAGCAACGCCGGAGCAAGTGCTGGAAGAGCCCTCGCAGCATTTGTTGACCAAGGCCTGGGCTTCTCCGTGGAAATCAGCAGCCTCAACACTGACGCCGTTGGTGATCCATTCGATGGTGCAGTCTCCGGAGGTCCATTGCTGGTCCTTTGAGCTGCTGAGAGTGCCAGTGGTAGGAATGAGGTTGAAAGCCGCAACACAGTCGCTCGAAGTACCTGGGTGGCAACTCTGGCATGAATAGGTGCTACCGGCCTGAGCGATGGCAGCGAGGCCAGAAAAAGCCAAGATGGTCTTTGCGAAGAGCATTTTGAAGATGGAGGAAGAGAATTTGAGGAAGCTGCTAGAGGAAGGAAGAAAGTAGTTCTTCTTGTTTTTGATGATAAAATTTCTCTCATCTCGAGGTACATCTGCCCTTTTTATACCTGGCAGTCCAGGACCTCGGAGTACTTTGTCATTTCCCGGTTGCATTCAATGCCACTCACTCGCTTTCTCTCTCTCTCTCTCTCATTCACACGCAAGCACACGCAGGTGGTGGATCGATTCCACATGGTGTCTGTCAGAGCCTGCACTGTCTGGTGATGTCTTTGGGGAAGATGGGAGATATTTACAGGTGGACCGACGATCTGCAGCGCACTAAGTGGCGTCTTAGTAAGACCTAAGCCTGCATATACCAGGAAAATTGATCGAAAGGATTGCTGGTCCACTGCGGTATTAATATCTGACGTCAAATGTTACATTAAAACTAACAACATGCAAACTCCAGTGATCCCCGACTTGAACCCCATGGCCCGGTGGAATAAACAGCGGGTCTCGGGATATTTACTTACGGCCGATCGACTCATGATGATTCCAAGGTTTCTTCCAGTATGTCGACTCTCCTAGCAAGCGGTGCTACAGTTCCAGGGATATAAATATATCATTATCTCTAGTATAGTATAGGCCGAATTATACCACGCCCACGTTGCTAGTCGCCTAGTGCTCACTTTATGACAGCATCGTCAGGGGCCCGGATCGTGTGTACAAGAGAAGCAGGTTATATTTGTTCTACTTTTACTTTTTTTTTCCGTTGCACTAATGCAGTCTAGGTATTCCAATAAGCTAAACAAGGCACAGTCGCAGGTACGTATTATTAATTGCAAAATAAACAAAGGGTGAGGATCATAAGAGATATAGTAAGGACTACGTAGTCTTCAGCATGGCCAGTAAGGGAAGTGCCTTTTTAGTCTCTGATATCACGTAAAAGAACAGCTACAAGTCGTGGGGATTCATCTACAATGTTACATATGGTAGTCATTAGTAGAACGCTGATGCGGATATTCACCCACCGTGTCTTGAATTAATCACTAAAGTGCATTACTGATGAAACCGGTTTGGGAAAGTCTCAAGCAAATCAAGAGGCCGGTTTCTGATCATTTGCTCTCTTGTTGCTCCAAGAAAGACACTGGCAGCATGTTCTTACTCGAAGCCCATGTCCAGAACAGAGATTTCGGGGTAGCTTGGGGCGATGCAACTACACTAAAATGCAGAACCACTTCGCGAAAGATGGGGCTTTTTTAGATAACCTGCAAACGCGAGTGATATTTGCTAGACAGGAAGTGTAAAGACGTGTCAAGAAGTAGCTGGAACTCTTCAACCTACTAGTTGTAGCACATTGAATATGCGGGATACATGGCTCAGTGTAGCCGGCTGTTGTCGATGAATTTCTCTGCGGTCTTTGGGCTTGACATGAATAGAGGTGGAGTTTCTATGGCAGACAGGCCGAATTTGTACCGAACTACTTACTCAGAAGTAGTTTTGGTATTATAAATGCCTCAGCCGTTCCAATGTAACACCAGTCAACACTACAGCACTTTCTCCTCCTAAAGACACTTCCTCTCACGCACATCACAATCAAATAGCGAAACCCTAATCCATTCAGAGCACAACCCACACAGAAGAATATATTCGTCTTCAATGCCATTCATTTCTACCTGACTGAGCCGTCGACAATTAGTTAACTACCTAGATGCCTTCCGACTGTTGGTCAGCATTGCAAGCAAGTTATAGTGAAAAGGAACAAAGAAACAAACCTTACTTGATAAGAAGCATATCCATCAAACTACCTAGCATTGAAGCTACCCAATCCGACTCCGTCAGCTATACATACTCTCATATATTCAGATATCTCCATGACTTACACGGCATGGTTCACAGCAGGCATGATCACTTGTATCACATCCTGCAGAACAGTCATACGCGTTGGCAGCAGCTGCAAAGCTGAACAGAAGAACAAGACCGGCGTTGAAGATCTTCATTTTGACACAATTTAGATATTCAGCGTGGCCGTTTTATAGGAAACTGAAACCGCAACGAAGCAGGGAATTATGGATTATATCCTGAAAAAGAGGTTATAAAAGGGCAACGAACTGCTGTTTAAATAGTTTTCAGTAAGCTCTGAGGATGGTAATATCACTCACGGTCTCCTCATTCCAGAATGTTTGAGGATCGACAACATCAAGACTATGTCTTCGTTGGTAGCTAACTCAACGAACTTCTGTAAAATACTACCCAACAGTCGCATTCACCTCAGCAAAAGATAATGATAGCTATGGCTTGCTTTAGAGTTCATGATCATCGATGATTGACTGTTGAGTTGCCTCAGCCTGATTCCTATCCACAGTTTGGCCCTTTACTGCCCAGATAGACCTGTCTCGCTGCCTTTTTGACCCCTTAGGTGGGAATTTTTGAGTTTCCTCTGTAGCCGGGAAGGGAAAAAAAAAGCCGCTGGTAGGGGGAATAAATGGCAAAAAATGAGGTGAGCCGAGATCGAATCGGCGACTTTTCGATTACAAACCGAAGTTCTCTTCAGTCGAATACTCTCCCAACTGAGTTATCACCCCTTGATGGAAAGATCGCTCTACTTCAACATTATATGCATACATTCAACCGAGCGCGCGCAGTTCTCAGACGCTCGGAGATTTAAAAGTATCGCCAGGCTCGGCCGATGGAATGTCGAATACAACCTCAAAGTCTTGGTTTTCGACAGACCCACTGGCATCCTAGCAGAGCGTCGGCCCTGCCTCTCAATCGCAGATTTTTCAGGCGCCTTGTCTTTCTAGATTTACTAATGTCCACTGTTCCACCTGTACATACCTAGGTAACTGAGGGTGAGACGGAAAGATGAGAGTCAGAAGTATATAAATAAGCCCGGCGTGCTGCTGAATAAGATAAGACCATCCATCCCTATAAATGTAATCTCGTACCAATGCTACTGATATCTAGGACTCCCCAAAGCCTAGTATACTGTAGACTTCTTTATAGAGAGTGGCATAAGATGCTGATATGATCCACTCAACGCCAATGTCTAGTACGTGAAGGTGATGGAGCTGGGAGAAGACAGAGCCAATCCTATTTCGGCGGCCAAATCAAAGAAGAAAAGTGAAAGACGGCCTTCAGCATATTTGAGCTGCCTAGCTTTGATATCAACAAAATTACGGAGTTGAGCCCTGGCTGCTACGACAGATCTCGAACATTGTCACGACCTTCAGTTCATGCATTTCGACTACGGTAATGCCCGAAGGCCCATCCGCCGTGCGGCAAGTATGAAAAGGAACACTTTTGGGAGAAAGTACATGTAGATTCAATACTCAGAGCCAGGGTAGCGGTTGTTATACTGGCATTACTGATAGCTTACAGTGGCACCGACTCGTACGGGCAGAAGCTCATTGACCACACGGATAATGCTCAGGATTACAAAATTTGGATTTAACAGACCATGTACCTCCAGCCGCATTGCGCCGTTCGAAGACACGACTCCTGCAGGGCCGGTGCAATATGCTTTTGCTTAGCCAACGTGGGAATATCATGAACAAGCTAGTTACCTGCCTGTGCTCGTGTACTGTGAAAGATTTTGGGCTTTGTTTCCCTGCTAGATAGAGTCCCAGCCATGGACGCGTAAACCTCATCCAGCTGGGCTAAATCAATCACTAATATTGAGCTATTAATTTATTTGAACTCTGCACCAACGATGAGATGATCTGACCCATCGAAGATGATATTTTGTGGCTGTATGATTTGCCTATCGACTACGGAGTTTCTAATAGTGAAAGCTTAACTAACTACTACGAGGTATTGTTGGTAATATGCTTAATTTCAGCACTATCTAAAATTTCTTCAGGATTTTTGTCCTGGTACGTCGGAGTAACGGTGAGGACTGTCACATTGAAAATAGCATTATTCCGTATTATTCGCCTTTCCAATTTTGTCATGTGTTGTGTCAGAAAATTTCAAGGCTTTTGCGTGGCGAAGACATGCACATAGATGGTTGAAGAAGCTGTAACTATGCGAATTTAAACTATCAGACTTTCTCATGAATTTACCAGAACATCTTGCATTAGAAACGTAGGAAAGAAAAAGGAAAAAAAATTATTCTATTATCAACAGCCTTTTTTACTTCCAATAGCTTGCCGTCATGGGCACAATTCGAATTACACTTTACTTCTACTAGAGTCAAATCGGTTCTAGAGAACATATCTGAAATACAGATTCTCCTTGTCAGTCAAGTCTTTGAATGCCACGCGCTGACGCTCGTCTTCATCCAAGTCCAACTTGTCTCGCCTACTGTTTTCTCTGCGCAGTATCACATAGAGAATTGTAGAAAACAAGATGGTGAGACAGTAACTAGTTCGCGATAGTTAGCACTAGGAAACCATATATGTGAGCAGCTACGCCAAGGGAGTTAGTTATCTTACCAGATAATTAGTCCCTCCCAGAGTTCAGGATAGTGCTCCGACTTGGTCTGGCTCTTAATGAGCTGCGGGCCAATGATATTGCCTACACAATAAGCAATAAAGACTACAGCAGCCGTGAAGCTCTTTTTTGTTTCGCCAGCAACGTTGCCGGAACCAAGAGTAATAACCAAACTGACCACTGGGCCAAAGAATCCAAGCAGTGAGTAACCGGCAACAGGTGTGATAGGTTTATGTCCCCAGGTAGATTTCCAAATCATTACAAACCCTGCAATAACTGGTAGGCAACACAACACCAGCAAGGGAATGCGAAGGTTGCGATAGCGCGACGAAAGCCAACCAGTTAGCGGAATACCGATGGCGCAGACTGAACCCATGGGAAATTGAAAGAGAATACTCTCAAGCGATGAGTAGCCGAAAGTTGCGATGATCAGAGGCCCAAATCCGGAAATAGCCCCATTCACAGTATATCTAGAATGGGGTTAGCAACGGTTTTTGTAATTCTCTCCGCGAATGAAATTAGGACTCACGCTGAAGCCATAGTCAAAGCAACAAGCCAGACCTTGACATCAAGAAGGGATTCCTTGATCTGAGCGCCCTTGATTGTCTGGTTATGCAGTCCGGTCTGCCCAGAACGAAGACGTTCTACTGCAACGAGACGTTCCTCGGCCGTCAAGAACCAGGCGTTGAGAGGCGAGCTAGGCAGAAAGAAGCACCAGATCCCAAATAAGAACGTCAAGAAACCTGCAAAGATATAGATATACTGCCAGGTTTTAAGCGCGCCACCGTCGATGTGCGCAAATCCGTAGTTTAGGGCAGTGCCAATAACGGCAAACCAGCCGGTGCCTGAAAACCACCAGCTCTGGCGCAACGCCTGGTCAGCTTGCGTGTAATACCCGCTCACAATGACCATGAAAGACGTGGGAATCACGGACTCGGTGAAGCCTGGATAGAAATTGTAAGCGCTTGAGTTAATCGCCACGCCGAGCTGGCCATTATCCATACCGAGGAAGAAACGCTGCACCAGGAGTCCTTGCCAAGTGGTGACTCCAGCAGTGGCAGCACAGATAATAGCCCATATCATCACGGCTGGGCCAAGAACCCGGCGCACCTCGAAATGCTGTGCGATGTATGTCATGGGAAATGAACCTATGAGCTGACCGAAATAGAAAATGGAGGTTGCCCAGCTTTGTCTCGAAGTATCGGTTCCCACCGAGAGTTGCAGATCCGTTGACATGCCGAACAGCGCGGCGCTTCCCAATATGGCTTTGTCGTAATAAACCAATCCATATCCTTGTGGGTGAAAGGCGAAGTTAGCTTTGCAATATAGAACAGTACCAGCGCAGGGGAAAACTATACCCAACACCATTGCCGGCATCAGAAAGAGATCGATCTTGCGCAAAGCACGTCTCTCGACCTCAGGGTCGAATGCCTTAGCCTCATCGCCGACAAGTGCCAGATTAGCATTTGAAACAGCAGGACTCTTTCCGTCCCAGGCCCCGGCTTGGGGAGGATTCTCAGCGGTGTCGGTAGTTGCCATGATGGAAATTTGACGTCGATCGAGTGTCTGTCGCTGCGCGGTGGAACGATTATCTGCGAGGGGAAGAAGTCGTCTCGTGATGGGTTCGCACTTTGTATAAATACCTAGAGCGGACATGTATGGCGTCAATGGCCCTAGCATGATGCATTTTTTGATATGTTTAGCACGGCCTTTGCCTGCTTTTCCAAAACCAGCACACCTGTGGCCTTATGGATCCTGATGATAAAATTACAAAACCTTCAAAACCAAAGGCCGGGAAATTGCATAGCCTAATCACTGACTCGGTGTACCTCTCCCTCAAGGAAAATTTCAAATCACCCTCTGCCTACCCGTTTCTGCCGGAGTATTATTATAAACTTATAAAGAAGTGGTTTTTTTTTTTTTTTTTTTCTTCTTTTTTTTTTTTCACTTAAAAAAATTAAAAGTTGCATCCCTGGAACCAACTCTAATACAGTACTACTAGCCCAGAACACTCACCGCATTTGGATTTCACCATATTCATAATTGTGAACACTCCGAGTGGAACGATCTACCCAACAAAAGGAAAAGAGAAAAAAAAAAAAAAAAAAAAAAAAAAGAAAAGAAAGTGTTTCCGCAACGTGTCTGAACCCATGACCTACGATCAGCCTGGTGCAAAGGAAGAGCTGGCTGCAGACCTGTCGAGGAATCCTCTATCAAACTATATTGCTAAAACCAGCACTCACCTGATTATCGCACCACCCCCAAAGATTACAGAGACTCGCTCTATTGAACGAAAAGATTCTTGATGCTGACGGCAACCCAGTCAAGGCAGGAGAACCTTCTTTATAGGAAGGCAAATGTATTAGGATTGACAATTATCTGTTTTCATTTCTCATGCTTTATTTTATTGCAGGTCATCCATCATATCCTCGTCTATATCGATATTTTGGTCTTTCGGTCTTCCCACAAACCCACCATCCTTTGAAGTAGCGTCGTTGCGTTTTTGAGTCTTACGCAGATAGTTGACATACTCCTTGCTGAATTCTAGCTTTCTGTCGCTGGCTTGCACGCTACGAGCGAGATGCTCTAGCTTCTGATGCTGCAATCTCAGTTGTTCCTCCAAGGAAACTTCGATGTCAATGCTTGGTTCCATGCGGTCTGTCAAGAAGCGGAGCATCGAGGCTTTTGAATCCTTCGATGGATGTATCAGCGAAGTAGCAAACCCCTCCTGAATCGCAAGAGCTACAATGAATCGCTCGGTCTCAAGCACATCCATAGTGTTTGACAAAGCCCGCTCTGAGACGTCCGTCGTAGTAACCGCAGCGAAAGTAGAACCAAGGCCGCGCACTGCTTGCCTTCGAAAATGTATTAAAACCTGTTGTACCAGGCCGTTGTTTTTATCCTGTACAGACAAAATCTCATTAGCTCTGTAGCCTGGCCGGTTCATTCAGCAAAAAAACAAAAGACTCACTGTGCGCCATATTGTTTGCCCAAATTCCGCCTCATCCCTTAACTTCTCCCATTTTCCTGATATAAAAGCAGTTGCCAATGCATCATAAGGGCGTGCAAGTGCCTTGAAGACTTTCAGCGCAAGAGGTGACGTGACCTTGGGTGGTGAAGCAGTCTTGAAAAGTTAATATCTAACTTCTGCCAAAATACATAGTGGGATCACTCTTACCGTGCCGTTCTCGAGGAGATTCACCAAGACCCATTTTTTGTAGGCTTCTACCATAATCCGACTAATTGAATTGATCACGGGAGAAGATATGACGATGCTCAGGAAGTGTCGCGCCTTGCTCCATTCTTTCAGTGCCATATATATCATTCCACCGTAGAGGAAATATTTCATATGATCAGTGTACGTGAGTTGGTCTGCCGCACTAGGAATCGCAAATATGGTTTGGTCAAGCACTGGCCGTGCCAACTTGTATGCTCTAGCTAAAAGACTCATTCGAGCCAAGTAGACGTGGGCAATTGTAAGAGTGGAAGATGCTGGGTCCAATTTAAATATGGCATTCTTGATGGGTCGGACTGCTACAAATGGCTGAGCGTGTCCATTAGCTTCGCAGAACACCAAGCTCATGCCCAATATTTACCTACCTTGTTCTCCATCTCGGCCACCTTAAGAATGAAACCCAATATATTGCGGTACTCGTTTGCTGCGTAGCTAATCTGACTGGGATCGAACGTGTTTAAAAAGGTGAGTGTCCTTGGCAAAAGCTGTCTCCCAGCTCGCAGGTCATCGAAGGCCGCCTTGGGGGATTTCCTTTTCGTCTCGAGAATGAGGAAATTCAAGAGGAGGAGGTAGGAAAGCGAATGCGTGGAGGGGTCAACATGCTAACAACCGTTAGACATTTCACGAAGCACGGCCACAAGAAGAAAAAGGCTTACATCTAGCAAAGAGTAAAATTTATCTGAGCCGTCAAATGCGTTGGCAAGCACTTCGCGGGTAGAAGCTATGAAGTCACGAGCATGCGTCTCATAGGTCTCGTGGGCGGTGACCGACGGGGAAGGGAAAGAGAGGAGTTGATGGAGAGCGTCCTCCATGTTAGAATCTTGTCTGCAATGAGGACGACGAAGAAAGTAGGGGAAAGACGAGGAACGAGCGAGCGAGTTTTTGTTTATGCAGCTCCTCCAGGCGTGGATAAGAAAGGTACCGCTTGATAACGCTGGTGGAGATGCGTCAGCATTAGCCGCACTCACCGCCCGCGGCTTAAGGTTAGTCCGAGATCGGAAGAGGACGTACCCCGCGGAATCAGCTTCATTTTTTTTTGCTTTCTTTTCTCCCCAGCAGGGATTTGGAAACGATCAAATTGAGATATAGCAAGCATATAGCGTCGCGCGGCGTAGTACAAGCCGTTTACTTTACATATCCATAATTGCTCACAGCTCTCTGTGAGCCTGCGAGGACAAGAACTTCCTGCCTAAAAAAAAAGTGGATCCATCGCTTTCCAAAATCATCCTCTTCCAGTAATCCAAGTCAAATACATCTTCTTTCAACGGACCTGTGCCTGTCGATATCCATCCTCGGAATCATAATGTCTCTGACCGAGTCGTCCGCATCGGAAATAGCGCAGAGCGCATCACTGGCCTCACGCCGCTTAGCCACCCTTTCGAGTGACTCACGCAATGAAGCACTGACTGTACTTCATGCGGCATTGTCAGACGAACGCGACTATATACTGCAAGCGAATGCGAGAGATGTCGCCTTGGCTACGCAAGCAGCCGAAAATGGCGAATTGAGCCAGAGTGTTTTGAAACGCCTTGATTTGTCTAGACCTGGGAAGTACGATGATATGCTGCAGGGAATACTGAGCGTTAGGGACCTTGAAGACCCAGGTATGTGATATTTTCCTCTCCAGTCTCGAACCGGAAGGAACTTGTTAAAATCCATCCAGTTGGTAGGGTCACTATGCGGACGCTCTTGGACGATGATCTGGTTTTGGAACGAGTCACCTGCCCCTTGGGAGTACTCCTCATTATTTTCGAGGCTCGTCCGGAAGTCATCGCCAATATTGCAGCTTTAGCCATCAAGTCTGCAAACGCAGCTATCCTCAAAGGAGGAAAAGAATCGACAGAGTCTTTTATTGCCATAGCCGAGGTCATTTCAGCAGCGCTTTCCAAGACAGAGATCCCCATCCCTGCCGTTCAACTGGTCAAAACGCGTGATATTGTATCGTCACTGCTCGCACAAGATACCCTCATTGATTTAGTGATTCCTCGGGGCTCGAACGAGCTAGTCCGATATGTCAAAGATAATACAAAGATCCCTGTCCTTGGTCACGCTGATGGTCTTTGCTCTGCGTATCTTCACTCCGATGCTGACGTTTCAACTGCCGTCAAAGTCATCGTTGATTCCAAAACCGATTATCCAGCCGCCTGTAACGCTTTGGAAACGCTCCTTGTTCACGAAAATGTCCTCGAAAGCGTTTTGCCTGCCGTTGCTGAGGCCTTGCTCGCGAAAGGCGTCTCCCTCCGTTGCGATCAAGCTTCGAAGAAGGCTTTGACAAAAACTCTCCCACCAGCAAAGGCTGCTCTTTTACAAGACTCCGTTGACCAAGACTACAACACCGAGTTCTTGGATCTAGTCCTAGCGCTCAAGACGGTGCCCTCCCAGGCTTTAGAATTATCTGCCGTACAATCAGCTATCGCCCATGTGAACGCCCATTCTTCAAAGCACACTGATATTATCATTACCACTTCGAGGGAAGTTGCCGAAACGTTTATGGCTGGTGTTGATAGTGCAGGTGTCTACTGGAATGCCTCCACACGCTTTGCGGATGGAATGCGCTACGGATTTGGCACAGAGGTCGGCATTAGTACAAATAAGATCCATACTAGAGGTCCGGTTGGCTTGGAGGGGCTGACCATTTACAAATATCTTATCAGAGGTCAAGGGCATGTCGCGGCCGACTATGCTGGATTGCCGGGAAGCAAGAAGTGGAAACATCAAAAGCTGGATATCGTGCCTTGAACTTCATCAAAATTGGGATGTATTTCATTAAAAAAAAAGGCAAATACTCGAAAAATAAAATAGACAATGCACAGATGATCATATTGAATCCATGAACCATGACAGTCTCATTTCATGACTAGTGCATATTTTTTTCATTTTTATCCATGGGTATCCACTGACAACTAGCCCGAGAAGAACTTGAATTACAACATAGTTCCATACCAGTAGGGATAAATTGTCCGAGTCCATGCAATTGAACGGCCAAGAAAAGAAAGTATTCCAGTAAAAATTCCTTCCTTAGACCTTGAAACCACGAGATCGTCTGCGTCCACGAGCACGTTCGAATTTGCGGCCCTTGCTTCGGACATATGGTTTCTAGAATCTGGGTTAGTAACACAATAGTGACAAGAAAATAAAGCAATTCCACAGCATTCCCATACCTTGTGACTGTGAGGGCCAAAGCCAAAGTGTTTGACGGCTTCCCGAGCGTTCTTGGGTCCACGGAGCAAAAGAGTGTTGGAGCCTGTGGGAGCACGGAGAGCAAGCTGGTCGAGAGTGAGGATCTCGCCTCCGGCCTTCTCAATTCTGGCACGGGCGGTGGCAGTGAAGCGAAGCGCGGCAACGGACAGCTTGGGAACAGTCAAGAGACGGTTGTCATCTGTGATAGTTCCAACGACAACGACGGTCTTTTCCTTTTGGGCCTCGCTCACATTGGAGACGATACGAGACAAGGAGACAGGTGGGCGGTTAATCTTGGACATGAAGAGTCGGCGAAGGATAACCTTGTTGAAGTTGGAGTCGGTACGACCTGGAAGTGAAAAAATCGAGTTAACCTCCTGTCTTCGAGTCCTGGTTTTCTTTCCCACAACTTTTCATTCTTCCGTCTCCTTATTTGTGCGTGGCCTTTTTCTCCCATCCCCTAGGGTATACGTACGAGCAAGGAACCGGTACAACTTCACCAAGAGCTGAAGGTAGACGTTTTCGCTCTTTGGCGCCTTGCGATGTGTGCTGCGCACATGATGACGATCCAAGTCGATACCTGGCGCATTGTTAGCATTGCTCGATCCAGACAGAGAATAGCAGTCTCGCTGTTTAGCACGTACCCATTGCTCCTGAAATGCGGTGTTCTTTCGGAGGTGGTTATCTGCCGCACGTCGAGAATCTGAGAGTGAGAATCTCTAAAATTCGAGATGGAACGGGTTTGTGTGGGCTGAGCCCTACGCTAAGACGCTTTTGGTGGGTGGGTCCGACAAGCAGGCAGAGCCGAATGTGAGCGTCACGCGTGGACTAACCCTAATGGAGCATAGGCCATAAATGCAGCCAATCACAGCTTGTTCTGCAGAATATCGTTCTCTATCTTAGTTAAATTTGACTCGCATTACTCCAATACATCACAACTTGGCAATGGGAATAGCATGATAGCAGTTTTATTTAAACAAGGAAAAAAAAAAAAAAAACTTAAAAATTCTATCTATCGATTACTCTTTTTTGAGACTGACAAGTAGATCACGCGTGATCTCGAAGCTAAGCCAACTGCTAGCCATGCTTGGTGCGACCTTCAGTAGGTTGGGCACGATACCCTTGTACATGCCTTGAATGCCTTCACGAGCCACTATGACCCTGACGGCGTCCCAAATCGAGGTATATTGATAGCCCATGCCCGTCATCGTGTTGATTTGAAACCGGCGACGGAGGACATCGCTGCGGATAGTTAGCAAAAGCTTCTGGAGGAGAGAAAGCACTTTGTGACTACTACTTACAAAGGATAGGTGCACGTTTGGGCAACTGCACCAGAGAAAGCTCCAGCGAGTAGTTTTCTCGCTGGGCTAGGGTTTTTCTCTCCGGGAGGTGTAAGGTAGATACGAGCCGACTCATACACCATGAAATTCAATCCCACCTGTGCCCATGCTATCAATAACTGAACGCGATGTATAAGCTCCAAGTGTGCAGACTTACATATGGTGCCACACCAGCCACTGTCGGGATAATGCCACGATATAGGGCAGGGATCCCCCCTTCATTTCTGTACATCAAAATCATGGTTTCAAACATACCCGGCAGCTTTTCGCCGGCTTTTCGTTCGCCCAATTCCGCAAATGAGGCAGACTGGATTGACAGTCTGGTACGGACGATATCGAGAGGGTAAGTAACGGTGACAGAGGTGATTCCGGCAAGTGCTCCGCAGAATAGGCGACGTATTGGGCTCAAATCAACCCCCGGAGCCGTTTCTATAAACTAAACAGAGAGTATCAGTACCGCATGTGTGGTGATCGTTTTCGATTTTGGGTGTGCCCATTACTGACTGGTTTGTATAAATTGTAGCTTCCAAATTGCACTGCTGAGTAAGGAATGATGCGAATACAGTTGGTACCGTTGCCGCGCATGAAGCCCCTCCACCCTTCCTCTTTTCGCATTTTAACCAAAGCCTTCCATATTGACAATCGGTATTCTTCTCTGCCAACACTCTGTATTTGCAGCAAGATTTTTAACCGCTCAAGAGGCGAAACGATTGTTCTCGATACAGCTCCGGCGACACCGCCAGCAATGAAAGCTGCAACGACCGGCTCGGAAATGTTATTTCTCGCTCTCTGCAAAACTGATAACGTGACGGGCTTCTGCAAACGCATTAGCAGAGGCAATCAGAGTTAGTCAGTTTTTTTTTTTTTTTTTTTTTTTTTTTGCCCTGACAAGACATTTATCCGCCACGACCGCGATGGCAACTGGCGATTGCGTGCGAGTTGACTTACTGCTGGATATTCGCTCGTTAAAGACGGAAGGGCCGAGGATCCCTGGAGTCCATCACCATCCCTTTCCAACTTCTCCTCCCGAGCCGACTCCTGCCGATTGAGGCTCATTGTGTGGAAATGAAAACTCGCCCAATCGTGACAATATTTTAAAGAATATACGCAGTTTCAAGATGTAGATCAAAACCGGAGATTCGGATATGCCAAAAAGGGGGGAACAGGTAGTAGCTTGCTTAACCCGGTTGAGAGGAAAGTAGCACTAGGTCCGAGGTATGCGAAATGACTTCCTGTCGACTAAATTCAACTTGTCGCTAGCGATGCTGGCCATGAAGAAAAGCGCAGTCCTCGCCGTGGCATAGAATACTTTCAAATGGTTCTAGGAAAACATCGTAGAAAGAGAGAACTGATTAAGAACGCGGAATCTGGTCTCCAGCCCTGTGGAAGCTGGGCGATATATCGTGGAGCTCGCAGGCGGGTTTTGTGGTAACTCTCGCGCGGGGATATTGCGTCTTCTGAGATCTCAAGCGTTTCACCAAGGGTGTGAAATAGCGGTTTTTCGGTCGTCTGTTGTGACTTGCACGTATGAGACACGCTTCGCACGGGGGCAAACTTGGCCATAATTACTACGTATGGACGGCTGGTATCAGCGTTACCGGCCAATAACCATCCGCTTGTTACGTAGCACGTAATTAATACATACACGGTGCCCCGAGACCCTGTAATTATTACCAGCCGATACAGCCCGAGTTTTTTTGGCCTTGTTTTTGACACAATGTTTCCTCTTTTTTGGCGCCAAGACTCCAGGCTGGGCCCTTCACCGCCTGCCCGGACAACTTTTGAAGGTTTGACTTTGACCTTCCTTTCCTTCTCTTCTTCCAAAGCTGCCTCCAATCGCGCACCACTCCTTCCATTCCATCGAGCCGTTATTTCTCACGCAGCAGAATGTCTCGCTCTGGTGGCACCACTCTATACGTAACTGGCTTTGGCCACGGCACTCGAGCACGCGATCTCGCCTACGAATTCGAACGGTACGTCCCAACCGCCGATGGTCTACGACCTGCTCGGACCCTGCCCGAATGAATCCCATCATTACCCCCCCTCGTATCTTTCGGTCAGAACTGCCGGCTTCAGAATTCGCTATGCGTTCCTAGTGCGCTCCTACGTCGCCCTTGAACTCTGCCCCTCCTTAAAAACAAGTCGATAGTGATTCTGACGACGTCGAAACTCCCTGATCTCCTCCCACCCATCGCTTTATTATCCATTTCATTGACTACTGTTATATGTCTCATCACGTTCCTCTCTATGACTGAAGTTCCAGCTGTCTAATCCGAACGCCACAGATATGGCCGACTTGTTCGGTGTGATATTCCTGCACCACGGACAGCCTCGAGTCGCCTGTGAGTAACTAGTGTCTTATCTTTCACAATCCCTCAACTAAGAACTGGCTTTTCTAGGTTCGCTTTTGTAGAATATGAGAGCCGTCGTGATGCAGACGATGCTTACCATGAAATGCACAACAAACGCATTGGTCGTGACGATCTACTGAAAATCGAGGTAAGTTTGCCCAACAGAGACAACATTAGATTTGTTGGATCCATCCTGACCATTTACCAAGTGGGCTCGCACTCCCCCTTCTGCATCCTGGCGTTTTGACTCTGGTCGTGATCGTCGTCGTGACCGTACCCCTCCACGCCGCGGACGTTCTCCATCTCCTCGCCGTGGACGAGGTGACTACTCGCCTCGCAGGGACGAAAGACGCGATAGAGACTATGATCGACGTGACCGGGATCGTGACCGTGACCGTGAGCGCGAGCGCGAACGTGACCGATCTCGCAGCCCTGAAGATCGTGATCGAGATCTTAAAGAAGACCGCGACAGACATGACGACAGAGACCGCCGTGAAGACGATCGCGAGAATGGCACAAACGGTGACGATAGAAAAGGTAAGCACTTTATTTTTGTTGTAGTATTTTACTTTGAGTTTCGTTTCTTGTGCTAACTCACGTACGCATAGCTCTGGACCCGCTACCATCTGGTCACGACGAGCTCGACACAGCCGAGTAAGCTAAGTTCGAGAAACTGTTGTGATTACTCGGTAGGCATTCCAACTACCTCACTACCTCATGTCACTGTAGTGAGAACTACACTTCACCTGCCATTCCCTTTTCGCTATGTTGTACACTTGATCTTAGCAGGGCGGCGAGTGAATATCGCAATCCTCTCTTCGTTACGCTGCAAAATTACCTATATTTACTCCAATCTCTTTCCTCTGTCCTGTCTGTAGTTCGTAATTATGCGGCCTTTTGTTTTTCTTCAGTATTATCTATCTCGTTTTCATCATGTATTCTCTCCGTGTATCTGCATTAAGTTGATATTATAGCTCGTTTCCCAAAAATCAATTTCAAAATCCCCATATTGTTTTCAGCATTATTCTTCTGTCGTTGTTCTTTCTTCTCATTATCGTGCAATAAAACGAAAATATTCGAAGCAATATCGATGGCTATTAGTTGGATACTTATATATTCAGAAATTGGTTTTCTTGCAAGTCACCATCATGAAATGGGTAATAAACGTGGTTCGATTTTGCAACGAACAAAGAGAAAAATGATAAATCAATTGCTCATAATATAACCACAAGCTATAATCATCTTAAAAACAATAACTAGCTATCTCATAGCTGAATCGTCAAAAAAAATAAAAAATAAAAAAAAAAAAAAAAACAAAGATCAAGAGTACCTGTACTTTTCCCTCCTGCAGATAACGGTGCTAGTGAGAAAGTGCATTCACATCTTCTCAAAGGTAGCCATCAACGAGCCTGTATGTCATTGTCAGCATTTCTGTCTCTCTTTTCAAGAATAGGAAAGGCCATGGGCACATACCAATGAAAGTTGTTACAAGTCGGGATCTAACTTGACAAATATCCTCCGGCACTAGCCATATGGTGGCGCCCATCTTTCTCGCGATACTGATACTTAATTTGGCATTTGCGTACGCATCTTCCGGGGTATGACCCGGAGTGACCAGGTCGTAATCGACGTAGCTGCTCTTCATGCCGCTCAAGACATCCAGAAGGAATACACCAGTGCCTATAGATCCATCCTTGAAGCTGCGGATTGTGGATTTACGTCCACCCTTTTGCGACATTTCGTTGGCCCACCGAATCATTTCCGCATCGGTGATTTCGCGTTTACCTAACCGTTGCGCTAGCGAGGATAGAGTGTTTGTGATATCTTTGCGCATGAGCTGCCAGACCAACCCCAAGGTCAAGGTTCGTTGACCATCCGTGATGTCAGCGCCTTGAACACCCACCAAGGAGAAGCGATTTTGCTTTCCAAGCTCGATTGCGTAGTTTGTATTTTCCACTGCTTTGAAGCGGAGCATCTCTCCTCCAGATGCTGGGGCTTTGTTGACATGTCTCCAGTTGACACTACCAGGGATAACCTTGTCGTAGGCTTGAAGAAGAATCGTGCCATCTCGCAGATCATCGAAGAGAGAGTTAACGGCAGGCTGCACATCCAAGGAGTTTAGCCATAGAGTGAATACGCGAGCCTCTCTTTCGCCTTCGGCGTCAAAGTCTTCGACCTCTAGTTTCTCTTCTTCTGTGATTGGGTCAAGGCCAGGATGGGTGTTGAAGAGGTTCGCAACAAAGGCAAGGTTCAGTTTCGGGTTTCCAGCAACAAGGGATGTTGGGGTCAGGAACTTGCGACAATCCAGCTTCTCCGCGTTTGACAGGACTTCTTCGGCGCGTTGAAGAAGATCTCTTGTCTGCAATGGCCCTCGAGAACATGTTTCGGGGGCGAGTTGGTTGAGTAGCACGGTGTAGTTTTCTCCGTCCTTAACATCGGTAGAGAAATTTGAGACCCTGTTTTATCTCCAAATGTCAGCGAATAACAAGAATATAGGCTAGGTAGAAAAGAAACTGACCTTCGTTCCCATTTTGCGTTTTTCAGGTGATAGTTGAACCACCGCAAAAGAATTTGCTCAGGAGGCAAACGCAAGAATTGTTCCAAGGTCTCATCCTCCTCAAGTAAACGATATAGTTCAGGGTGCAGTTTGATATCAATTTTCCCCAAAAGACCACGACGAATAATCTGCCAAATGAGCCCCAAAATCAGATGCTCTCGGACCTCAATAATATCACCACTTCCAATGTTCACAACCGAACAACCAATGCCTTTTGCAGAGTTGATGACGATGTTATTGTTCTCTGTCATGTGGAAGGCGTTCAGCTGCTTAATTTTGGTGCCTGCTTTGTTTAAAACACGTTCATCAATAGTATCTGGTACACTGTCATTGATGAGTTTTGCCAGAACTAGACCATCCTTGCATTTATCAAACATCTCAAAGGTGTCGGTTGGAAAGGGGAGAAGGTCGCCAATGTCTCGGTCTCCAGCCAACACAGCGTTGATATGCCTTGTAAATTCGGTCCGTTCATCTTCGTTGATCGTGTGAGTCACGTTTGCTGACGAGCCTTGAACGTGTATTTTGCCCCCGATACTTGCTTTCGACACATGACGAGAAGAACCAACGCCATGGCCTGGGGCAGCGGCGGGACTGGCTGCCTGCACCGGATTTGGGACCGTGGCCGGTGCATCTCGCACTTTGGAGATGAGCTTTTGGGATTTTTAGTCAGAGAAGAATAGATTTAAAAGGGAAGCAGGTGCCCTTACATCGACATAATCCTCGAATTCGACACGGCGGGAGCTATCCAGCTCCACCTCCTTCAGCGCCTGTCTCACCACATCGTATGGCTGACGTTCCGACTGCTGAGTCGCCTTGATAGCTGTTGATTCATCGAGATAGCCCTTGTCATCAACGTCTAATTTGCGAAAAGCATCCTGTAGAGTAAACAATTCGTTCTGTGGAAATTGGGGGTATTTCCTAAGCCACAGTCAGCATGAGTAATACCATTGCGTAGCGACTAACAGACGCAGTGACGATTGCGACAGTCCAAATATTCGTGCTACTCAATTCCGATCCATGGATAGGGGTTTGACAACGTGCCTTTGAAGCTTAAGGAAGTTCATGATGGATTTATTCGCGGGTATGTTCGACAGTAGAGAGGCGGGGTAAGTCAACTCGCGATTGCAAGAGACGGGCAGCGTGAGAAACAGGAAATGTCAAAAGCAAAACAATGCGATCGCGAGAGGGTAGCAGATGTGCAAGTTAAGGGGGATGATGCCTGGGAGGAGTGGCAGGGATTGTGAAGATGTTATGTTGTGGCCTGGAGGCGATGATGGCTTAGACCTTTGTTGTGTTGGGTGGGAAGGTGCACCGGCGGGGCGGCGCTTGCCTCTGAAAAGTTGGAACGCACTTGCCAATAGTAGAAAGTCACGCTCGCTCTTGGAAGCAGAAGATGCCAGTGCGCAACATTAAATCTCTACCGAGTCTAAGCAATGTACCAATGCGCCCTGTACAGGCCTTCAGTGGCATCCATGCTATTTGCGAGCGAGCTTTGCAAAGAATGCCTGCAAAGCCGGCGGGCGCCGATGACGTACCTTTGCATGCATGAGATAATCACGTTTGGTGCCCGTTTCTGAAGGCAGCCGCCGAGCTTAGCTTTTGTGGGGCACGCTTTCACGTGTCGTCCACGACATCGATTGCATTTCGATGCTGTGCAGGACTTGTCATTATATCACCATGCTGTCAAGCTCTAGAGGGGCAAGGCTAGGCGAGCACTGAAATGATTATCTTATAGCAAGTGTTTGTGTGAGTTATCTATGCTCTCGTTTGCGATCCGAATCTACCGTTCCTCCTGACTCGTTTCGAATCCGCATAGAATAAGAACCAAGAAGGATACCACTGTCTCATCTTCTCCCGACGGTCAAGTTGGCTCGGCTCTCGCGTTTTCCGAGGCTGCGGCGGGTGACGATGCCCGGTAGCGATGCAAAGCCATCATTCCTCGAATCCATTTCACCGTGGTCTACTTCCCGAAGTACGCCGCCTCAGCCTGAACCGCTCCCCCGGACAGAGTCTCTCAAGCAAACTTCAGGGCAGGACCATGTTACGTCTTCCAAAAAGAGACTGAGTTCTCTACGATACCCGAGTGATTGCCCTCCATTACAAACAAGATGGTTCTACGCTGTAGATACGCCCAAATCGAAACCGGATTTCTCAGGCCTTGAGAAAACCGAGCCGAAGCCTTTGCCTCAAGCTAAGAAATTCGTTCCGTTTTCTTCAAAGGACACGCAAGCCATTGAAAAGGCCTTCCAGCAACTTCTTCGCCAAGAATCTAAAGATGACACAGAATCTGTGAATGATAATGCTGCACAAAATACCATCAAGGTCCCAGTCAACGAGGACTATCTGTATGACGTGGATGTGGATAAACGAGAACTCGGCCCCGCGTACTGGCTAGGACCCATCTATGAAGTCAGGCGTGGAACCTGGTTTTTTCAAGAGGGCTCCATCCTGAAGCCCTGTGAAGAAAACCTTGCTACCCAACTTGAAGAGGGTTATCTGAAGCTCAAGCCCTGGCAATCCCAATACGAGCAGAATAAACCTAAAACGGGAACTACGTTACCGGATTCAAAAAGTCAGGTGGTTCGGCCTCCAGAAAATTTGAATTCAGCACATGGTGCAATAGAAAAAAAGGTTGTCGATGAAGGTAGACTGACACGGGGTCGTTCTGACAGTCAAGGGCGATCTAGTACTCCTGTCCAGACGCTTCCAGTGCACCGTCTCTTTGGCGCATACATGAACAGCACTATTACGTACCAGGATTCAACTGTAGCGTGGTTAAATCATGCTGATTTCATGTCTCGCGTAAGTAGTTCTGTTTACCAGAGACTTGGCGGTGTGGGCGGCACGAAGGTCGTCAGAGGTTACGTCGAGCAAGGAGCTCAGAAAGAACCAGTCGACGGCAAAGGAACGTCAGCGAAAGGTTCTTCAGCACCGACTTCTCGTGTTGGAGAGAGGGAAGATATTCGGCTATCCCAGGACAAATCCGCAAGGATGACTGACTCTCATGATCACGGACTGGAGACAGTCAAAGCCCAGCCGCTGTCAACTGGCCACCGAACAACGTTGCAACGTCACATGTCTTCGCTGAATGGCGAGACCGAGGACACTGCTGAGCTGGAGGAAGAAGCAAGAAAATTGGAAGAACAGGAAATGGAGGACTCCAGAGAGGCAGACGACGAAGACAGGGATCGAGAGATTGACCACCTCGTACTCGTCACACATGGAATTGGACAGCGTCTGGGACTCAGATTGGAAAGCATCAATTTTATCCATGACGTCAACGTGTTGAGAAAGACCATGAAATCCGTATACGCCGTATCACCTGACTTGCAGGCGCTGAATTCGTCGTCTCCGGACTCTAAGAAGAACTGTCGAGTTCAAGTGCTCCCTGTGTTAGTGTACCGACTCAAAATTTTATAAACATGGGCATTTGCTGACAAATATAATAGATGCTGGAGACATCTTCTGGATTTCCCTCGTCAAGGTCTACGGCAAAATCGTAGAGAGCTCGACCTTGCTGACCCTGATAGCTTGTCCTCCGAAGACGAACAGTATCCAAGTTTGGCAGATATAACTCTAGAAGGTGTACCAGCTGTCCGCAACCTGATCTCGGATTTGGCTATGGACGTGCTCTTATATCAGAGTGCGTATCGAGAACACATCATGCGTATCGTACAGCAAGAATGTAATAGGATATTCCAGTTGTTCAAGAAGCGAAATCCATCTTTCAATGGCTCAGTCAGTATGTGCGGCCATTCTTTAGGGAGTGCTATTATGTTCGATATCCTATGTCGCCAGAAGAATCCTCCTCAGATGAATCTCGGAGACAAAGGAAAGAGAAATGATTCGATACAAACTAGTACGCGAGATGCAGATGGTGACTATCCCCTTGACTTCGATTGCAAAGAGTTCTTCTGTCTAGGCTCTCCAATAGCACTATTTCAAATGCTAAAAGCAAAGACGATTGTTGGAAGATCATTTGAAAAGAGTTCCCTTGAGCAGAATTTGTCTTTGTTACACAGCCATGGGCCAGTATCTCCATCGATAGACGACCCACTGGAGCAGAAAGCCTTTGAATGGAATTCGAGTATTTCTTCACCTCAGTGTGAAGAACTGTACAATATTTTCCACCCATCCGACCCGGTCAGCTACCGTCTTGAGCCACTAATTTCACCGGCAATGACGGCCCTCAAACCTCAGCCCCTGCCTTTCGTGAAGAAAAGCATTTGGACCGCTTCTGGTCAGAGCCTGTCAAATATTGGCTCTCGCGTTGGGTCGATGTGGACAAATTTCACGTCTGGTGTCGCAAGCAGCTTGTTAAACCGCAGTTTAGGCATACAGCCTGAGGAGCCATCGGCTCCGAGTCACTCCCGCAATGCTTCCCAGCATTCGATGTCCGAAATAAAGGTCGATAAAGAGAGTATCAAAAACAACAAATTCCCGGCGAATATGAAACTACACGATAATGAGGTGGAGTTCCCAACCCTCATAGATTCCGGATTGGAGACACTCTATGAAGGCTTCGAAAAAACCAGACGCAGTGATGCAAAGAGCGCTTCCGAAAGTGAGATTGAAGCCGAAGATCGTTCTCGAAGGCTCAGGATCGAGGAAGCCAAAGTCCGGGCTCTAAATTCAAATGGCAGGGTGGACTACGGCATTCAAGAGTAAGCTTTCATTATTGCCAACGAATCTGTCAATTGTAGAGTGAGCAAGGGCTGATCGCATCAATACAGGGGCGTTTTCGATATATCACTGATTGCAAGCATCGCAAGCCACCTAACTTATTGGACTGACGAGGATGTAAACCACTTCATGCTGTCGCAGATGTTATCGAGGATGCGAAGAAGACGCCAAAAATGACGACCATGAAAGCAACTGTGCTACAAATAATACGTGTTACGATACCTCATAGAAATAAAAGATAAAAAGATCTCTTCTTCTACTCCGGATAATATTAATTTATGATGGATGAGGATGTTGGGCTTGAATCGGTTAGTTGATTTAAAATGAATGCCGTTGATGCCTTGGAGCCTTGGCACGTGTGGAGTCTGTTCAAAATCTGTTTGTTTCTTTTTTCTTTTTCCCTCCCGTCGTTTTCTTCGACACCACACTTTCCCAGCTACCGCGTCCACGACAACATGGCCACCGCACTCGATAATGTTCTTAATGTTTGGAGCAGAATTCGGCACAATAGTCCAATCTACAACTTTCTCCTAGAAGATGTCGAAGTTTACGAGGCGAGCAAAGGCGTGGTTCGTTCCAGGATACAAGTTTCTGCTCGTCATTTGAACTCGAAGAATGGGCTACACGGTGTCTTCTCAGCCTGCGTTGTGGACTGGGCTGGAGGGTTGGCAATCGCATCTCACGGTCTCGAATCCACCGGCGTAAGCACAGATATTCATGTGTCGTACCTATCAAAAGCCGTTCTCGGGGACTGGCTCGAGATCGAAAGTCGGACCGACAAAGTTGGCAAGACCCTTGGCTTCACAAATGTCACAATCTCTAAGCGTGATAACGATGGCCAGCTTAGCGTAGTTGCGAAAGGTTCACATACAAAGTACATACGGCAATGAACTGTTTACTTCATGACTTGCACATCGTGGTTTATTGGCATTCATTCCACACCCACACCCATACCTATTTCCCCTTTTCTTTCCTTTCTTCTTTTCTTTGCTTTTCATTTTCAATCTATATAACGTCACCCGCTTTCATCTTTGCATCCGGTATGATTACTATTTCGTTGAATGCTGGATTCACTCAAACTGCGGAGAAGAATTCTCGTCCAAATTGCTTTAGATACCTTGTGTTGGGCTTCCTACCATGAGACAAGGAAATGAGAGGACGATACATATGACTTTAGATCATGATAGGAATAAATACAAATATACCGTGTACTGCAATTCCAAGTTGGGTAGATCCTCGCTGTTGCGGGAAAGCACGGGGTTTGTTCTGGTCCATTGTTGACAACGGGGCGGGAAGGCAAGGCGTCGTCATCCGCCGTTCAACAACTCAACTTGCTACAATCAACTTCCCTGCTGATTGCCTAGACCAGCTAACTCACTGAGCTGAGAGTTTTGCGGTTCCGCGTGATGCCTCCATCCTCTTCTTGACTACTTCTCCGCCAATGTAGATAGCGATACTATGGATGAAGCGGGTGCTTCTTCTAACCCGAGTCCGGAGAATGGACAGCCTGACCCTGCTCAACTTCAGACGTCCGCCGAAAGTAACGACCAGGTCCTCTTGACGACTCCTCAAGATGCAGAGCCTCTGGCATCGCTGCTGGGACAACAGATGTTGCGCTACCTCGCGACAGCCAACAATGAAGTACTGCTTGCGTCTCTTGGCGCGTTGGCGCTCCTCACATATTTCGTCCTTGGACGACTGGGTTTGCTGCTCATTGGCATGGTTTCGGGATTCCTGCTGCAGGAATATTTAAGGGATATTACAGACCATAGTGCCCATCACGTGGGAGACCGCAATATCCTGCCTTCTTCCAGAAGGAAAGAGCTTGGGATTGAAGTTGCCTCTCGGCTACTAGACTGGACCTCCCAGAACGCCACCATTCAAACGGATCGTGTTGTCGAAGTCGCACAAATCCATGACGCTGCTATTGCTGTCGATACATCTCGCTTTCGTCCCGCAACTGCTGCTGCGCTCTCGGAGTTAATTGATGCTATACTGGGAAATTATGTGAGGTGAGGGCATGTCTTCTCTTTATTTTATCAGGCTGTATGGCTTATTTTGAAATAGTCACTGGTATAGGCCTATTCTACCCTCCGAGGATTCGTTTCCGAACGCTTGCAGAAAAGTTTTAGTCGGTTTCATTAACTCGCTATCGACGCATATAACTCGCAAACGATCAGCGGATACGTTTCTCCAGTTTGTTACGAATTCGAGCTCCATGATAATAGTGTTTCTGAATGAGTTATCCTTAGCGTTACAAGCTGCAGGCCCCGATTCGTTGTCGACCGAACACTATGTACGAGAATATTTGAAGCAGTATCCAGACAGCAACTTAGCCAATGTGCTGTCAATAGACCAGCAGCAGAGGAAGCTGAAAATGATCGCAGATGACTTGCTTTCAAATTTCCTCGACGCTCCGGTTTACCAGTGTGAGGTTGTCAAAAACTTCCTACGCGAAATATTTGCTGGCGTTGTCCTCGAGTCAGTGGTCAAAAGCTGTTCAGAGCCGGATTTCATAAATGGGTGGATAGTGTATCTTTTGAAGGAAGGCGAGCCGGAAATTATGAATGCAATTGATGCTGGACTAGAAAGCGCCTCGAAGGGCGACATAGCAGCTCTTTCCGGAATCGCAAGCCATACGTCTCAGGACTTAGCCAAAGCCATACCTACCAATACGACTAAATCACATGGAAAGAAGCCTTCCCGCCCTGAACAGGAAGCTGTCGCTTTACATAAGCCCATTCGTGAGGAGATTGCCCTACCAAGCGACCTATCCCATAAGAGAGACAAGTCAGGTTCTTTGGCTAGGAATGACTCCGTATCTAGTATAAGTACGCAAGGAGCTACACCAAGTCTCTCTGCAGACCAGCTTTCGAGAAAAGATCGGAAAGACACCGAAGAAACTCAGCGGCAGCTGATCGAGACTGAAATCCATGAGCAAAGCTTAAGTGAAACCAAAAACAGTGAACAGGAAGCCGAGGATGCTACCATTCATATCCTCTATGGTGCCTCCGTGCTAGTCGATGACGGCTCGATTCCTGGCGACAAGGTCACGATGAAAGCTAAGCCGACAACTGAATACATGCTACAAATTGAGCCCGCCTCGACACGATATCCAGGTTGGATGATCTTCAGGAGATATCAAGATTTTGAGCATTTGCATCAAGGTCTCGAGACATTATCTAGATATCACCACGTTTCATTCCTGGAAGCTCATGCTTCTTTGCCTACTTATCGCGATCAAACAAAGTCTTCATTAGCAAAGGCTTTAGAGCGATACCTTCGTGATGCATTAGAATATAGAGAACTAGCGACATCGGAACGTCTTCGGCGTTTCCTCGACAAAGACAATGAGCTGAGCCAGGCGGCACCAACACCTCCAAAGACCGGGTTATCTGTGCGTGCCTCGAGCACATTTGAAAATATGGGAAAAGGCATGCTAGGTGTACTTTCGAATGCACCAAAAGGTGTCGCTGGTGGTGGGAAGGCTGTATTCGATGGGGTATCCGGCGTTTTTGGGGGCGTGAACCGAAGCAGGAAGAGCGTAGATATCACCCCGTCTCAATTGAGCAGCTCGTCGGTTGGTGGCTCAAACGGTACACTCAACAACATTCAAGAAGACCAAGACAACGCATCTTCACAGGATCACGTCTCCCAAGAGCAAAATAGTCCTCCGATAGTTGACCAGCAAGCCAATGAGTCGTCCACTAGTATTGTCGACATGCCTTCGGCAGGAACAAATGAGCAGGAACCAACGGCAGATGACTCGGGAGGGCAGAGTGCTGGACAAGCCATACAAACAAGCCCCCGATCATCAGCGGCTCCTTCTATACAGGAAACAAGTCTTGTGAGTGAGGAGACGAAATCTCAACATTCTGATGATGTTGTGTATAGTCAAGTGACAAGCGATGACTCGAATACGTCGACAAAAGAACACGCCGATCAAAATCGCGCGTCCTCGAAAAACAGTCCTATTACTGAAGAGGAAACGCGCGTTGCCGTTGAATTGATTTTTGCAGTCATCAATGAATTATATACGCTGTCCTCTGCTTGGAACATTCGAAAAACACTACTTAATGCTGCAAAAACCTACGTACTACGGCCAAGGAATAATCCTCATTTAGAATCGATCCGCGCCCTGGTACAGGAGTCGATGATCGATGCTCATACTAAAGATGAGGCGATTGCCATTAACATTAATAAAATAAGGAAAAACTCGCTGCCGACAGAGGAGGAACTGAAAGCTTGGCCGCCTCCATTAAGCAAAGACGAAAGCGAGAAGCTGAAGAATGAAGCAAAGCAGCTGCTCATCGAAAGAGGTATGCCTCAAGTTCTGATGAGCGTAATGGGTGCTGCTGCTTCTGGAGAGGCGCTTGGTAAGGTCTTCGATTGCCTTCAAATCGAGGACGTTGGACGAGGGTTTATGTTCGCTCTGATATTGCAAGCTCTGAGAGCTGTGATTATCTGATCCTTCTTTGACCATAAATGTATAGCTATTATTCGATTATAAGACATTGGTTTTCATTCTCTACCGCCTTGCCTTTTCGTGTATGCGTTAATATTCCCAGGATTAACTAATGATACATCAGCAAAAATGAGTGGAACGCAATCGAATCTCAGAATACGGGGTAAGCCAGATAAGATAAGGCCGATAGCTTAGCTACACACGTGATTCATCGCGCGCTTTCAAAGCGCGCTTTCATCATCAGATATACGTCTGACTTACACAAAAACCGAATTCTGCATCCTAACTTAACGCTCCAAGAAAAAGATAGATACGAATCCAGAGCTCCCCCATAACCACACCAATCTCACAGCCCAGTCATGGGGCCAAAGTCGAAGAAGCGTTCAAGCGAATACCAATCCGATGACGGATTTGTGATCGATGGCGATGACCAGCAGCAGCACAAGAGCAGCAAGAAACTGAAGACCACAACCGACACTAAGCCGGGACCCTCGTCGTCATCTTCGAATCAAAAAATTGACTCCAATGGCGACGTCTACTGGGACATTTCCAGTCATCGCAGAGTCACCGTCTCTACGTTCAGGGGAAGAAGCATGGTGAACATTCGAGAGTATTACGAGAAGGATGGCCAGGAACTTCCGGGGAAGAAGGTATGTTTGTTCTATTCTACTTCGTCATCACATACAAGCATATTTTATGCGATTTGATTGCAAGGGATTCTAATTTCAAGTCATGAAGGGCATATCTCTACCCATCGACCAGTTCAGCGCCCTTATCGATCACCTTCCAGAGATCGAGCAGGCGCTTTCTGCCAAAGGCATCTCGGTCCCTAGACCTTCGTACAATGGCACTTCAGATGATCAGGAAAATGATGATGAAGACCGATCTCCGTCGAACGGCAAGAAGAATATCGATACTACGAGCGACGAGGATGAAGATGATGACTGAACATCTACATTACTTTTTTTTACCTTCAAAATGGTTTTACCCGTTACGTCACGAAGTTTTGGATTTCTTCTTTTGACGGTAATGACAATCATGCGATGGGGATACATACAGAGCAGGGCATGTTTTTCTGAAACTGGGTCTTCTGCCTGACAGAGCAGACGGACACTTCACTGTATTCACCAAGTAGTGGTTACTGTGTCCATAATCATCAGGTCTTGCTTATTTGGATCTTCAGGCGCCATGGCTTGGGGCAAGATGAGGTGACTTGAGTTTCACTTGACGTGCACACACGAGGACGAACGGGAATGAGGATGTCCACTACGCGGTCATGTAGCTAAATCAATTGATTCTCACGGAGAAGTTCAATGCATCCTCACATTTTTCCTCGGTTGTACTATCCAATGAGGAGACCAGGGGAATCGGGCTAATTAACATATGCATATGTGATTGTCAAATACGAAATAGTTAGATCTAATCCAGACACGACTAGATACTAGTCTCTTGTGTTGCGAGAATATTTGCAATAGAACCACCTCTCCACGCGTGTCGTGCATCAAGCTTCGTGCGAGCTTTACTCTCCTCCCCTGCAACGCCCCAGCCGCCTCCTCCCGGCGTCATGATAACGATGCGTTCACCAGGTTGCATCTTTATGCTATTCTTGCCTCCCAAATTGATAATGCGATCTTCCACGGTCTCGTTTCCGTCTTTGTCCTTCTTAGGAATTCTTCGAATCCACAAGTTACGACCAGTCAGGGCATCTTCACCACCTTCTAAACCATATGGTTTATACACCCGCCGTTCCGAGAGAATCGATACCTGGACTGGAATACGGAACTCGATGTCTCTAACGACGCCGTCTCCGCCGCAATGCTGACCTAATCCTCCAGAACCAGGCCGCAAGCTGAACTCTCGTAGCAAGACAGGATATCGTCGTTCGAAGACCTCGGCATCTGTTATACGAGTATTGGTCATGTGCGTGTGGACTCCTGAGGTGCCTTCCCAGTCTGGACCGGCTCCGCTACCTCCAGCAATGGTTTCGTAATATCCGAAACCCTGGGTTGCTTTCTCTCCGGATACATTGCCACCAAAGCCAAAAGTCAAGTTGTTTGTGTCTCCTTGAGACGCAGCACAGGCTTTGAAACATTTTAGGATCACGTCTGTGACTCGTTGACTCTGTGTAATGATGGTATTCATTAGTATCGAGGTTGACACCATCACTATAGAGTGGCAATCTTACCGTCAAAACATTTCCCCCCACGACAGCTGCTTTCTCCGATGGTGAGAGGAATGAATTCTTCGGAATGTGAACGTTTATCGGTTTCAGACATCCCTGGTTGAGTGGAATATCCTCTGAGATCAAGCATCTCAGGCAGTATATGATAGCTGAGTATGTTACAGCTTCGGGTGCATTGATATTTCCTGCCATGATTTAGTCTTTGTTCCTTTTCACAGACAGGCTGCCAAATATATATATATACATACCATAGACCTCGGGTCCAGTACCGGCAAAGTCAAAGGTCGCTGTACCTTCTTCTGCGTCGATTGAGATGCGCAACTGGATTGGACTCCCGTCGTCCATGTAGTCAATAGCAGTTAGGTCCTTACCTTTAAACCTCTGGCTGACTTCCTTGAGGAGGTTCCTAACACTTAGCTCGGCGTTTTCTTGAATCTTGGTCATATAATGCTGCACGACATCCTGTCTATATTCGTCGATCAGATTGGTTATAAGGTTGATTCCCTTCTGGTTTGCCGCTATTTGGGCTTTCAGGTCGTTCAAGTTATCTGCAAGACATCGTGTCCCACTGCAATCCGGATACTGAGCCGGCTCACGATAAAGGAGCTCTACAATCCGCTCCTCGTTGAAATGGCCTTCCGAGACCAATTTCTCTGATTTTATTGCCGCACCTTCCTGATAAAGCTCTTTCGAGTGAGGTGGCATACTCCCAGGGAGAATTCCTCCAATATCCGCTTGTTAGATTGTTAGCGACCTTTCTACGACCAGGGCTTTTGTTTGCTTCAACATACCATGATGCGCCCGAGACGCTACATAGAAGATGATCTCATTACCGGCAAAGGCTGGTGTAATGACGGTAATATCTGGAAGATGAGTGCCTCCAAACTCCGGGTGATTAGACACAATCACATCTCCCGGCTTGAGCTTTCCTTTCCATATATTCGCTTGAGTTCGAACACACGTCGACATGCTTCCCAGGTGTACTGGTAAATGTGGTGCATTGGCAACCAAACCACCATCAGGGTCAAACAAGGCACATGAATAGTCCAGTCTCTCCTTCACATTTGTGCTCACACTCGTTTTTTGCAGAGCGCGACCCATCTGCTCTGCAATTGCCATAAAACGGTGGCCGAAAATGCTCAGCATGATGGGGTCGACCCCGCTGGTGTCAGCCTTAACTCCAAGCACCTCACTCTCGCCAATGTTGATGACTACATGTGTTCCTGTAACCAGAGCACTGGCTCCAGGAGTCACAACCAGTGTCTGCGTGTCGTCGGCGAGGATTGCTGGCCCTCTCACACGGTCATTGACCTCAAGATCATTGAGCCTATAAATTGGGGTATCTTGACGTCCTCCCTCGAAAAAGACCTTCTTCGTCTGATACACTTTTTTGCTATCCACATCACGGGGCGCTGACTCTCGTAGTTGTTCGTCAACTGTCTTTTCTGATGATTGGAAACTCTTGCCGATACCACGAGCGCGTACGTCGTCAACTATAATGTCTCTATCTGGCAAAACAAATCCGAACTCTCGCTCATGCTGCTTGACAAACGCCTTTCCAAATGCCCATTCATCTCCTCCGTAGTCATTGCGCGCCTCCTCCGGAGTTGGCTTGATGATCATAAGCGATGACTCTGTGCCTCTATATCTCATGTTGAGATATTCTTCGAACTCGATGGATTGGTCGTTGAAGCCCTGAGCACGAAGCTTCTCCGCCGATTTACTTTTCAACTCTTCCATCTTAGATTTAAGTCTCTTCTGCACATCCCCCACAGCCCAAACTTGGGATTCCGGCTCTTGCCTTTCATCTACAACGTCAGCCAAGGCCATTCCATATGCAGAGAGTACCGAGGAGTATCGATGCACTAATATCTGCCGTATCCCAAGTCCCTCGGCGATCGCTACAGCATGCTGACCACCAGCACCGCCAAATGTTGCGAGGCGGTGTTTTGACGTGTCATGGCCTCTAGCTTCAGTTAGTGAACGTATTGGGCGTGTCATGGTCTCATTAGCGATTTTTATAAAACCGTATGCCACTTCGTCCGCGGTCATTTCTTTATCTCCATCTGATTTAGACAACTCCTCATTGATTTGTTTAGTAAGTTCTTCGAATTTTTCACGGCTGGCTTCTTCATCCAAGCCTTCATTCTCATTCTTGCCGAATATCTTCGGGAAAAAGTCTGGCAAAAGTCTTCCAAGAAACAGATTCGCGTCTGTCACAGTCAGTGGGCCTCCTTTGCGATAACAGGCAGGACCAGGATGAGCCCCAGCAGATTCTGGGCCGACGACGAAGAGTCCGTTACGGAAGAACAATCGAGAACCACCACCCGCAGCAACGGTGTTTATGTCTAACTGAGGCGACTGTATAGTCACTCCTGCAGTTGTCGTTTCGAAGACGTGCTCATATCTGCCCTCTCCATAGCGGCTGACGTCAGTACTTGTACCACCCATGTCAAACCCAATTACTGGCGTCTTATTTTGATGGTCATAAGAAGTGAGAGCATAGCCAACTACTCCTCCCGCTGGCCCTGAAAGTATAGCCTTTAGACCCGAGAATTGGCTGACATCAACCAGACCACCGTCTGATTGCATGAATTCGCATCGCGCACCCTTATGTCCACTGCTTTTCTGTACAGACTCTACACCTAACCCCCCTTCAAAACCGGCCTCGAAGCCAGCAATATATTTCTTGATTGCAGGTGTGAGATAGGCATCTGCACATGCAGAAGTCGTCCTAGGGACTAATTTGATCATTGGCATTAGCTCATGGCTGAGGCTGACATGCTTGAACCCGATATCTCGAGCTAACCGGCCAACCAATGCTTCATGGTCTGGAAAGGTGTATCCATGCATAAGACAGACTGCGATACTGTGGAAGCCATCGTCGTACAACTGCTGCAGCTGGTCTCGTACAGTATCCTTTTCTGGCCGTTGAACGATCCTCACTGCCTCGGAGGAAAGGCCACGGACCACATCTGCATCCAACGCTGTCTCGCTTCTCGGAGAAGTTTCTGTCGTTCGTCGTGTTGGATCTTCCGCATAGTCTTCCAAGGTCACCCGTTCATCAATCTCAATGACTTTTTCGTACAGAACCTCGGGACGCCTGATGGCTAAGTCGAAGATCTTCGGACGAGATTGGTTTCCTATCTGCAAACAATCCTTGAACCCTTTGGTTACTATTAGAGCAATCCTCTCGCCCTTCCGCTCAAGAAGGGCATTGGTTGCTACAGTCGTGCCCATCCGAATACTTTCGATTTTCGATGTGTCGAGGGGTTCGCCTCGGGGGATCTCGCGGCCGGTAAATTTGGAAAGCAACCGACGTATACCCTCCAGAGGCGCATCATTATAGTTCTCGGGGTCTTCTGATAGCAATTTAATTATAATATCATCTTCCAGTTTTCCCGTTCCAGGGTTCCCGACGCAATCGGTGAAGGTGCCGCCCCGCTATCATTCTTGATTAGCAGCAATGCACAAGGAGAATAGCACTAGTCAGGTAAAGTAGGATAGGTTTCACATACGTCGATTGCGATGCGTATTCCTCCGTTCGTGGATGCCATTGTTGCGTGATCAAGTTCGATCTGGTCGATCTGATAGATAAATATATCGAGCTATTTCCCCGCATTCGACACTGACAATTTGCAACGATATCGACGTCGTCTATAGTCTATTTTCTTTTCCCCGTTGCACTCCTTGGCACGAGCGCGAATGGTCGTACAGCGCGAATCTGATGCACTGAAGAGCTGGGGATGAGGTGTAGGTACACAAGAGAGAGAGAGAGAGAGATAACTTATCTCGTGGTTGAACGATGACGACACAAGACCCCCAGCGTTTCTGCCACCGCCCTGGGCTTACAGTGTGGCTCATTGGCTCTACAGCTATAGGTAGTTGAGAGCCTTTCACAAGAACCATCGACTACTTGCCTATGACTATTATACAGCCAGTCACTGTACGATATCAGCTCTGCTATGGAGGTCTTATCGAGCAGCCAGGACGCCTTTCAGGAGCTATGCGTTTATTAGGCAGGCTACGTGCATTTGCCATTCGCCGACGCCCCATCTCGTTGTATCCACGGTTCGCTATGCGCGGACACGGAGTTAAACTTGCTGGCGTTCCTGGCCCAGTTCCCATGTTCCTCATAGGACTCTCTCTCGACGACTCGACGTGACATGGCCCCAATCTCTCTGGCTTGGGGCCGAAGATCTGCCTTGTGGCACAGGGTTCTGACCGTGCGCCTGTTTTCGAGGCAGGGAGGTTGGTTCAGCCTTATTTTTTCAGCCAAAACACATTTTCCTGATCGTGCACTGCACGCCGGGGGGTTATGAGGCTGTAGATATTTGCAGTCCGGATAGTTGAAAGAGCAAAGGGTAACTAGAGAAAGTAAGGAAGCCGCGTCCCAGTCTGCGGCCCCACGCTACTCCCGATAGGGACAGCCAGCCAGACTCGGCTTCCCCCTTTCTCTCGAGGCCGGCCAGCCAATTATTCCACCGCTGCATGCGCTCTCTTCTGGATATCACTCTATGGCCATTTTTTCTGCTGTGTGATCTCACATCACCGAACGTGGTTGTTTATCATACTATACCATACATACATTAAGCACTTGTTCTCTGCATTGATTGCGTTTTCCATCCATCCATTCTTATCTTCTCGCACATCGCGGGACACTGGCGCACCATATACCCTTCCTACCAATTGATCCCACAATCGTTGCTGCCAGATCTGGACTGAGGTTATTGTGCGATTACTACGCTGCCACAATTCACGCAATCCGATTCCTACCTGGACACTTTTGACACGAACCGGGAGCCGTGGTGATTGTTTTGGCGACGAGGAGGAGTAGACCACGGCTTGGATATAGACAACGTTACACACCGGCGCCTTATAACCTACTGCAGACGTCGTTATGGCTGTTGAATCATGAGGCAGCTCCAGCCTGAGTGTTGGATTTTGGACGTTTTGCAGGGCGGAACTTATTTGCTCCGCAAGATACGATTGATCGTGGACACAAATGACGCTTATATCGTTGCGATTTGATCATCTCTACAAGTGCTCGAGGTCTGGCAGAACACGGTCGTTATTTGGGTTGGCATAAACGTTTTGGCTGTTGGTAGGAAGAATACTGGGCGGGGGAGAAGGACACCAAAAAGCCGTTGAGACACGTTTACCCCATACACAAAATTAAAGTACTGACATTCCCCTCCTCGACCCTGCGCATACCATGGATAATCCAGTGGGTGTACCGAGCTCTCATACTAGAGAGCACACTGCAAGACGTGAGCATGAGAGGACCGAATCTAGCTCAACGTCGCCGCAGCGCTCCCGACGGCCAGGCGGCTCAACGCAAAAAGCAACCCTGTCAAAGGCGCTACAAAAGGCGAACACTGCAGTATTGCTGGACAATGCAGCTAATTTTGAAGGTGCTATCGAAGCCTACCAGGATGCATGCGAATTGTTACAGTATGTAATGTTGCGGAGTAACGGAGGCGACGTTGAAAGGTACAAACTGCAGGAAATTGTAGGTTCCTCTTACTCCTAATAACGCCCGTCTTCAGAAGCACGTTCGCTAACCGACGTAACACAGCGAAACACTTACTTGAATCGTATTGAAGAACTCCGACGATTAAACCTTCCATCGCAGAATTACAGCAACAAAGCTCTTCCTCACAGGCCGATGAGTGGAGATAGTATTGAACGACGTGAGGATTCACAACCAGTTGAGGCGGGCTTTGAAGATGATGGCGCGAGAAGCACTTCTGCCGGGGAAGAAGAAGAGGAAGAGGAGGAAGAGGAAGAGATCGATGATAATCAGTCCCATGTGCCTGATTATGATACCACGCCTTTGCAATCTTCCTCGCACGAAGCATTACTAGGCCTTGCGTTGGATAATTCAAATCGAGACACGGATAGATTCACGCCGATGCAGGAAGATAGCGAGCTTGCAAAGGATTTCATACCGCGTCTTTCTCCTCGCCACAATTTCTCTTCCGATGCAGATATTTCCCAACATAATACTGAAGCACAGGTTTCGAAAACACTTGGATTGCATACCTCGGAAGGGGAAGCTCCCACGAACGACCAATCAACGTCATGGTTAGATACAATCGATGAATCTGGGGCTTCATCGCCTGCCTCAACGCAGACGAAATTATCCCTATACATAGGCAGCACTCACTCGCATAACGCAAGTAACGGCACCGAGGCAGATTTTGACGCTGCGCTAGACGCGGCAGTAGAAGCGGCCTATGACGAGGGATTGGAGCCTGCTCTTAACCAGAAGGAAGGCTTTTATGATGATAATGATGACGACGATGATTATGATCACGATGATGTAGTATCAAACGCCAGAAGGAACATTGAAATTGCCAAGCAACGAGTCCGAGAGGCTGAGAGAGAAGCCCAGGCTGTTATGGCACGACAAATGCATGGCCAAGCCGTGATGGCCCACAACGATAATCTTGACTCGGATTATATTGATGAAGAGGCTGAAGAGGAGGAGCGGATACTAGAAGAGATGACCAAAGGCTATGTTATGGACGATCTTGAGTTCAATCTCCATACAAAAACTGCATTACCTCGACAATCGGACTCAAGTACCATCTCTGGCAGAACATGGGGCAGTTCGGTTACATCGAATTCAGCTACTGCGGGCACGCCCCTTTCGACATTGACGGAAGAAGGAGATTTCACGCCTTCTGATGCAGCAGTTCCAAACAAGCGACTTCCGCCGATCCCCAAGATACCTACGGGAGGTGGTGGTGCATCGGGTCCTGTACAGCAAAATACCTCAATCATGTCGCCATCTGGCGGCGTACGGGCTCGCCGTTTCTCTAGGTCGAATGCGAAACAGCTGAAAATCGATACTAAGCGCATTCCAACGGGCTTTGAAACATCCAAAAAGGAGCCCTTTTCCGCACAACCCGCACAACCTCCCTCACCCGTGCTGTTAGATGAGCCAAAAACTAGTCTGCCCATATTAACCAGTACAGCACACAGTGGCACTTCTGAAAGAAATGCTGCATTTGATAATCCAAGAGGAGAACATTATGATACGGGTTTAACGAAAGTACGCACCCAGGACAGTGATGCCGTGGAGCGATCCGCGCCACCCTCACCTCCTCGACACATTCATAAAATCATTTCTGGACCGGGCATGCTTCGAAAGAATACTTCATCATCTAGCCTAGGGGGGCTGAGAGGTAGAGGGATATCTATATCTACCCCCGATACTTCAACAGATTCACCAAACACACCTTCTGGCAGCTACTTTCCGCCCTTTGATTTGCAACGGAATCTTGTCTCAACCGGAACATCATACCCAAGAAGTTTGCACCTATTTGATAATGAAATCCACTCGCCCACCACGCCTGGGTCTCCTAATTTAGCAGCCACGAATGCGCCTATACCGCTGGAACCTTGTCCCGAGTCTTTTCTGTTGCGTCCTTTCTGGCTGATGCGTTGTCTGTACCAGACGCTTGCACACCCTCGTGGTGGATATCTTTCTACCAAGCTGTTTATACCCAGAGAAATATGGCAAGTAAAGAATGTCCGGATTAGAGCTATGGATGATAAAATCTCACTATGCGACTTGTTGACGGCGGCTCTACTTAAAGTCGCCCAAGTTGATAAATATGACGCAGATGCGGTCTTGGAAGAGATGCAAACTTTCGAGAATATATTGGACCAAGCGCAGGCTACATTCGCAAGGAAGCTTGGCAACGAGGTGGGAGTTCATGGCGCACTCCCGCTCTTCAAAAACATAAATAGCCCAGACGAGTCCCCTGTGCTTTCGGAGGGTTCGTTGTCAAGGAACTCGAGCCACCCTGGCAGATCGTACCTTACGTCGTGGAGGAAACTGCGATCCAAGAGCTCCACGACGACGAACTCGAGTAATTTCATATCATCGTCGACACCGAGAGACAGCGGGAAAGGAGGTCTCAGCATGAATACATTGCCAATGACAACGTCTTACCCAAGCGAGCGCTTTGCCAAGCGAGATGTCATGCAGCTTCAATTTAATGGGCCGAATGCCAACTATATGGGAGCACTGGCGCGATTGTTCGATGCTGTTCAAGTTCTGGGTAAGTTTTGTACACGTTTTCTCAACCTTGTACTCAGTATTAACCTCAAACTATCAATATTCAGACCAAATCGCGCGTCAAGTGGAGGATCCCGGTCTAAAGCATTCTTCACCTACTCACGTAGGCCTCGAATTGAGCACTCGCCATGCAGCAGAGTTTTTTGGATTTTATATCTGCCGGTTTGCGCTGAACGACGTGGGCTTGCTACTCGATAAGTATATAAAACGAAGCACTGAATGGGTGCTTTTATGATGGATAAGTGTTGGCAAGGATTTCTTGTGTATCTATTTATTGATGACCATGCCTGATGATTTTGAGATACCAAGAAAAGCAGTGAATTTTGAATGTATTTATCATGAGACATGTTGACTGAATCGAATAACTGCATTGGATGCCTCAGGCCGTAGCGGCGTAAGAGCGGGACGTGCATAAGGCTAAGCGCGTCAGTCAACAAAACACCACGCGTCGTCGCATTCAACGTCTGGCATTAACATCCCACTTTGTGCTCATTACTCCATCTACTGCACGCAATATCGATCATTTCTGCCTACGACAGTCACCCTGCGAACGAAACATACAAACCAAACCCATGCCACGCCCTCCTGCCCGACGAACTCGTACCGTGCGCCAGCCGCCGGCAGACGTTCCTAGCAGACCAGTCAACAAGAACAATGGCGATGCGCAGTCCAATACCGAAGCGAAGAAGCGAGTCACAACGCCTCGGCGGGCTGGCAATAATGACGAGCAGGGCGACTTGACGCCCACTGGGAACTCCAACGAGAATGCCATCGCATCGTCGCCGGCGGAAAACACCACAACTACAAGTATCCGACCGCCGACTCGCGCGCGAGGCTATTCAGCAACATTGTCTCTTGTTGGACGAAAGGGAGAGTTCAATTCGCGCATTGGTAGCACTCCTGGCTTCGAAAGCTCGATCCTGAGCAACTTCAAGCGAAGAACAAGACAGCCTAGCTTGCTCCAGATGATGCAGGCTGATGATGACTCGTCGGACTTTGATGACGATGATTTTCTGGGCGGCCTTAGTAGCCCCCAGGATGAATCAACTCCGCTGAATGCTACTTCGCGAGCGCCGATTGTCGATAGTCAGTTGGCGGTGTCTCCTTCTCGTCCGCCAGTCGTAGCGTCTCCATCCTCTAGGGAGTCCAGAAAGAGAAAGCGCCAGTCGCAGGAGGCTCGCAACGACCAAGACTCGGCCAATAGTCGAAGCAGTTCATTGTCGACACTTACCCGAGTTCCGGAGACGCCCTCGGTCAGAGAGTCTGTTGATCCACCAAGTACAACCATGGCTACCCCTTTAAGTACCGACACAACTAGTCCTACACGGCTGGGTCTGGACAGTCAAGTAAAACAGTCAACGACCTCTGAGGGAGCAGCAGATCCCTTACCAAAGGTCACGACATTGAATATACAAGCTAAATTTCTCCCGCAGCGTCGAATCCGCCATCTCCAGCGCGCAGACGACAGCGACGACGCCGAGTCAGCAAACGAAGATACAGATGAGGATGAATTAAGCAGGGCAGTTATGAGGCGGCCTCAGAGACCACGGAAGAAGGGCTTATCAAATGCTACATCAGACAATACAAATACAAAGAAGGGAAGCAACAGCCATGGCGGAAGGAAAAACAAGGGAAACGCCAAGGGTTCTCACGGCGATGATGACTTGCAAAGCAAGTCTCAGCGCACATATTCCCGCCAGAAACCACAAGCATCGGACAAGGAGAATCTCTTCTCTGACGACTCCTCGGCCCTCTCATCACCACCGCCGTCCGAGGATCTCGCTACTCCGCCACACAGCTCGACGAAGAGGATATCCAGCCGCGAGTTGCAGCAACAAGCGCTAAAATTCGCAGAGGTGGATAAGTGGGAAATGGAATTCGAGGAAGTCTCGTTTTCTGAAAACAGTCCTTCACGATGATCTTGGGAGTGGAATACTGCGATTATATAATGTTTTAAGATATCCCCTGTTCGCAGCTCTTGTTTGTTTCGTCTTTCTCGTGTAAACCGTATATACATATATATATATATGTATGATTCTCAAATAGTATACAAATAAACCAAGTAGAGATAGATGGCCAACACTAACTGCGGGGCGCGGGGTAGCTGAACCTCTGTTGGCTGTTGTTTTGCTTCTACATCCTCCGCGCCTCAAACTCCTCCTCAATTGCTCGAGACCTCAACATGACATCGATCGAGAAGATCCTCGCGGGTAAATACCCGGCGAAAGCGCATGCCCGCAAGGTGGTTGCGCATCTGCGACAGAATGGATTCGAGGGCGACGGAGTGATCTATCTCGAAGGCCAAAAGACACGAATGGTCGAGGACGATGACACCGAACAGCCATTTCGGTGAGCACCATTGACTGATGGGAATACTCTGTAACTTACTCATTTCATTCCATTTCGATAAAGACAGCGCCGCTATTTCTTCTACCTCTCAGGATGCCTGCTCCCAGACGCGCATCTTGCCTACCACATCGGTACCGACAAGCTAACACTCTTCATCCCACCGCTCAACCCGGAATCCGTCATCTGGTCCGGACTGCCAGTCTCTCCATCTGAAGCCAAGGAACGCTACGATGTTGACGAAGTCCTGTTTACGACCGACATCAACTCTACACTGGCACACTTGGGCTCGGAGGTGGGCAAGAGCGGATTTGTGTTTGCGATCGAGGGCCAGATAGCGGACGACATTTCATTCACCAGTTTTCCCGACACCGACGTTGTGGCCGTGAAGAATGCAATTGAAGAATGCCGAGCCATCAAGGATGCGTATGAAGTTGCCATGATCCGCTTTGCAAACGACGTGACTACCAAGGCTCATTTGGCCGTTCTCAAAGCTGCTAAGACGGCAGTGAATGAACGCGAACTGGAAGCGGCGTTTATTGGAACGTGCATCGCGCATGGATGTCGTGAACTGGCCTACCATCCTATCGTTGCGAGTGGCACAAGCAGCGCCACTCTTCACTATGTGGACAATGCCCAACCTTTATTCGACGCCTCCACAAACAAGAAGAAGTTGAATCTGTTACTCGATGCTGCGGGTGAATACAAAGCCTACTGCGCAGATGTCACGCGAACATTCCCATTATCAGGAAAGTTCTCACCGCAATCCCGGGAGATCTACGATATCGTGCTGGAAATGCAGAACGAATCACTGGCGCTCATTAAGGAAGGCGTTTCCTGGGAAGACGTCCATGTCACTGCCCATCGGGTTGCAATCAAAGGGCTGCTCAAACTTGGCATACTGCGCGGCTCGGAGGAAGAGCTGCTCGAGAAGCGAATCAGTTCGGCTTTTTTCCCACATGGACTCGGCCACTACCTCGGAATGGATACGCATGATACTGGCGGCCATCCGAACTACGAGGACAAGGACATTATGTTTCGATACCTGCGTGTCCGGGGTAAACTTCCTGCAGGAAGTGTGGTCACGGTGGAGCCTGGGGTATGATTTATTACCGTTGCCATTAATGATACAGGACTAACGGAAGAGTAATATAACAGGTCTACTTCTGTCGGTTTATTATTGAGCCATACCTCCAGTCTCCCGACCTGTCCGGGTTCATCAATAGCGAGGTCCTGGAGAAATACTGGGAAGTTGGAGGCGTGCGTATTGAGGATAACATTCATGTCACGAAGGACGGATACGAAAACCTCACAACTGCGCCTAAAGAAGCTGCTGAGATTGAACTGCTGGTCAATGGGGCTTAGACATACATACTCAAGCCAGCCCTAACTCCGAGCGTCAAATAAGCTGACACGCGTATATCATAAGCATGACATGACTATCTGAAATAGAAAGCTTCGGATTTGTTTTTTTTTTTTTTTCCCAACCGTCAACTCCGAGTCTTACGCATCGGAATTAGCCGGGACAGCATACATAGTAGCTATCAGTTGTATACTCCATAGTGAGCGGGATAGAAATATATGCGCGGCTATCGACGGACTGCCCCGCCGGCGACAAACGATAAGATGTAACTTCACTCACAAAAAATATGGAACCCCTCCAAAGATCGTTCTCCCGTGTGCTATCGCGTTGGAATCGCCAATTGACTGTCTCTCTGCCAAGTTCAGCCAAGCTATCTAAGATGGCAGCAGCAACGCCCATCCTCCGCCCTCGCGACCCCAACACGCTGAGCAACTACACCGCGTGGCGCTCTCGCCATGTCACCGCGAACTTGGAGATTGACTTCGCCAACAAGCGCCTTGCTGGCAATGTGGTTCACCAATTGGTCTCCAAGACCAAGGCTGAGACCAGGGAAATCATCCTCGATACCAGCTTCCTCGATATCCTCGGTGTCAAGGTGAATGGCAAGACTGCGCCGTGGGAACTCCTGCCGCGTTTCGAGCCGTTCGGAAGTGCATTGAAGATCCAGCTTGAGAATGGCGTTGACGAGCAAGTGGCTGTAGATGTTGATGTAAGTACTGCAGGGGAAACAGTGCTTCAAGCCGCTCATGCCAGGTTCCATTAGATTTCACTTCGCACCACAGAAAAGTGCACTGCGCTTCAGTGGTTGACAGAAGCTCAAACATCGAACAAGAAACACCCGTATATGTGTATGTTCCTACCTTTCTTTTTTTTGGTTCACCCTCCCTGTATCATGCTCAGTTCTGACCGTATGCATCTGTCAAACAGTCTCGCAATGCCAGGCTATCCATGCCCGTTCAATCTTCCCGTGCCAGGATACACCAGATGTCAAGACTACCGTTGACTTTAACATCAAATCTCCGCTTCCAGTAGTCGCCAGTGGATTGCCCGTCCGCGATTCTGCGTTTGGGAGCAACAATACCTACAAATTTCAGCAAAAAGTCCCAATCCCCAGCTATCTGTTCGCTATCGCAAGCGGGTATGTATATTCTTTTTTTCCCCGAAAGAGTCGATCAAAACTACATTGCTGAGGACAATTTAGCGATTTGACCGAAGCAGCTGTTGGCCCAAGAAGCGTGGTTGTCACCAGCCCCGATAAGATCGAGGAGTGCAAATGGGAGCTCGAAGCCGATACTGAGAAATTCATGGAAGCAATCGAAGTAAATATTTTACCCCGAAACTAATCATCATTGCTACTTTACTAACCTGGAACCAAAGAAAGTAGTTTACCCATACGCATGGGGCGAGTATAATGTGCTCATTCTTCCACCGAGCTTTCCATACGGAGGAATGGAGAATCCTATCTATACCTTTGCGACTCCGAGTTTGATATCAAAAGTACACGCACTCTCTCGTTAAATACCTAGCGTCTTCGTTAATATATGTATCAGGACCGAGAAAATGTAGACGTCATTGCGCATGAGTTGGCTCACAGCTGGAGCGGCAATTTGGTCACAAATGCGTCTTGGGAGCACTTCTGGCTGAACGAAGGCTGGACTACCTACTTGGAGCGAAGAGTAAGGATTCTTATATTGAAATATACTTGGACGTTCTGGCTAACAATACATGAATCTTCCAGATTATTGCAGCAGTGTGAGTGGACCACTCGCTTGGAAAACTCTTTTGAATACTGACCTCAAAAAAACAACAGACACGGAGAACCATACAGACATTTCTCAGCCATTATTGGCTGGGACGGTCTCAAAGAAGCAGTTGAAGAGTTCGGCGAAGATCACGAATTCACCAGACTGGTAGTCGACTTGAAAGGAAAAGACCCAGATGACTGCTTCTCAAAGATCCCTTACGAAAAGGGATTCACCTTTCTGTTCTACCTTGAGAACCTGGTGACCAAAGAAGCCTTTGACCGCTTCATTCCACACGTAAGTCCATTCTCTCACAGCTCAAGTCCGGGAAAAAAAAAAAAAAAGGGAAAGAAAAGCTAAGAAAAATCAAGTACTTCTCCTTATTCAAGGAGAAATCCCTCGACTCCTACGAGTTCAAAGCAGCAATCCTCGACTTCTTCTCCACCGACGCCGTTGCCTCCAAGCGCCTGAGTGAAGTTGACTGGGAATCATGGTTCTACTCACCAGGTCTCCCACCGAAACCCACATTCGACACCTCGCTCGTCGACATCGTGTACGAACTAGCCGACAAGTGGAAGGAGTCAGCATCTGAATTCACGCCCACGAAAGAGGACGTCAAGGGCCTAACAGCAAACCAATTCATCGTCTTCCTCGAGCGAGTCACGTCCTTCGAGGACTCGTCTTTGACCCCAGAATCATTCCGACTGATGGGCCAGGTGTACGGCTTCGCTGAGAGTGCCAATATCGAAGTTACGAATCTGTACTTCAGACTTGGACTGAAAATCGGCGATAGGACGGCTATTGAGCCGACTGTTAAGCTTCTAGGAGAAATTGGTAGAATGAAGTTTGTTCGTCCATTGTAAGTTGACCCTTCCCCGCCCTTTCTTTTCTCTTCAAGACCATCCTAATTCGAGATATAAAATCAGATTCCGCGCTCTCAAAAATATTGACCGTCAGGTTGCGGTGGAAACTTTTGAGAAACACAAGGGTTTCTACCATCCTATCTGTCGTGGACTGGTAGAGAAGGATCTCGCTAAATAAACGGAAATGTCTGACCATATATCAATCGTTCAATAGGTTAGAACAGATAATTTCTCTTTTTCAACATTCAACTGCGGGAGAATAGTAAGAGTGTTCAGAAACGATCGTAGAGAAGAAAAAAACAAAAAGAAAAGATCATATTGTACATCATTTAACTAGTCTAGAGTAATGGAAACTAATATCACTTTTACTTCCTCCCAGCGAGTTTCAGGTCAATCTCATGAAACCCAAAGATAGATGACTTTTTCCCTTTTCCTCCTGCTCCTTCCACACCAAAAACTAGATCAGCCTCGCTCATTTCAGACAATTCCGACAGCACACGTCGCATATAAGCCACGACAGTCGCTATTTGCGACCAATCGAGTTCCTGACCGTCGTGTGTGGTTGCACTTGCTTTCCATATATTCCTCCATACGGCGGCGCCAAGGACTGCGTCGCCTTTCACTAGACCCTCGTCGTATGCAGCGACAACGCCTCGCCATTGGATGAAAAGGTCTTTGAGGTATTTGTTGCGAATGCTTCGGCTGGAAATGTTGTGTAGCGTGGCCATGCGCTCCTCGGCGTTGAGGGAGAAGTGATCCACTAAATGGCGCGAATGTGTTCGGACGCTCTCTATCGATGGAAGAGCACGGAGACGGACTGTCAAGAGGTACATGTGCAGGAATGTTACTTGGGACCATGTAGAAAAGGTAGGAGGCAAATCAAGGTCTGTAAGACTCCAGGTATCAATTATCGATATTCTTGAAATGAGCTAACTTTGACAGTCAGAATTATATTTTAGCTTACCTTTATACCACCACCCTTCTCCAACCCCGAGATCCTCCCCGCTGGCAGTCTTGGGGATTTCGGCACCTTTCTGGGCTAGTTGTGGAATCCGGTAATCTGCCGGCGAGGAGCAGGCTTCGTACAATTTCTGAGTAAATCCATATGAAACATAGGTCTCTGCCGCACCTCCCTTACGAGAAGCTAGGCTGTTGAGTATTCCGGAGGGAGCTGCTGTTGTCGCCGAGAAGTTTCGGCGTGCGGAGGGGCGGAGGTTTGGTTGACATTGGGAAGCACAGTCCTCGGATCGTCCTAACAGCGAGCTTGAACTGTCTTTCCATGTATCATCGTACCTCCGATGAGCCGCTAAGGAGAGAGATCGAGTATGTACAGACTTGTACTGCTTGTGAGGATTGATTAGTTGACTGAGCCAACACTTGACGAGAATAGGATATAAGACAATACCTGTTCTTTCGCGATTACGCCAAAGTGTGAGCTCAAAGAGCAAGTAGGACACAGTAGTTTTCTTGACATGGCAATTGAATTGGACTGGAGGTTTAATAAAAATTGGGCACTGCATCGATGGAAAGGCCAGCGCGTGAAATCATCGGAAGAAGATTATTTAGCGCCAACTTTCGGAGGTGTTTGCATTGTTTGCCCCGCGGGATGCCGCCCACCCAGCATCAAACATCTTTATTCATCTTGACTCGCGAGTGAAATTTGCTCCAGAGAACTATCAACAAGCGGCAGAATCTGGGCAAGTCTGTTTGGATCCCTCATTATCGCTGCAATGTCCTCCCGACCGGTGACCAAAGCCTGTCATTGACCATGTGTTAGCATGTTATTGTATCCCGTGTAGATGAGAGACTTAATACCTTTCTCACGTCCTCATAGCCCATTTCTCGGGCCTGGTAGTCCCTTATAATCTCTGCCTTGTTGAAATCCACGTATATCCTCGTGTCTCTCAGCCGGAAGACCACGTTGTCTAATCGCATGAAGAATCGAGCCAGCAAGAGAAGACGATCCGGCATAACGCGAATTTTGCAAGATAGCATGGAGATCCCATTGTCCGCTAATTCATCTTCGTATAGTACTACATCGTCGAAAAAAAGGATTGGATCGGGCCTTTTGAGGAGCTCAATCGGTATTTGAACGTCGGAAGAGCTTAGTGCGGCGGCATCAGAACGCAGGGTTCCCTTGTAATCGGTGCTGTAAGACCAGTCAAATGGTTTCACCACCTCTTTGATTCCCTCATGAGTGTGTTCCCTTATGGAATATAGATATCAGCTGTACGACTCTCATGCAATTGCCTTGCCGCAAAAATAAACGACTTACCTGCTCTTCTGCCATTCCTTCGAGTATGCAACCTTGAGCATTGCTGCACCCGTCTTGTCGACTCGGTCCAGGGCATCGTATGCATTGAACGATATACCCCATCCACTGGCGTTATGATCAATGGCCACAAAGTTGTCGCCGAATATCATTTCCGGCGGAGTGATCCCCAGCTTGTTCGCCATGGCTTCAATAGGCGCGGCCTTGAGAATAGGCAGTTTCTGGGTCGTGATTGTGAACCCTTTCCTAACGAAGGTCTGCGGCGGGGGGGGCATCTGTGCTTCTGTTGTCGTGTCGGTCGCCATGCTTGAGCGGTAACGTAGTGTAGGTAGATTTCAACGATTTCAACGAGTTCGCGTGGCGGGAGTGGGCGTCGGGAAGCTGATGTGCTGGCAGTGGAAGAAAACAATAGCAACGTGGCCAAGAGCGCGACCAGCCTCGATCGATAATCTGTATCTAGATATGAAGACTTTAAAGATTCGGAGGTGAAAGCCCCGCAGTGCTGGACTTTCCTTTCCGGTGGTCTGTGCACGTTGCTGGGGCGATGGCTCCATAAACATTGCCTCGTCCCTTCCTTCTCTGATTCTTGATTCCACCAGATTATCCCACGCCCAGAAGACGTATATAACTGCAACGCGCAGCCTGTCATTCAGCAGAGGCTTCTCTTGACTTGTTCATCACTTGGTCTATTCGCAGTATATCAGTCATGGCAACGAAAACTTTAGAGGCTCGATTTGAGCATCTTTCGGTCAACGACGAGAACGACTCTCATGCTGCGGGAAAGACTCTAAGCAAAGCAAAGGTAATTGAGGGCGTACCCCCTATGGATTCGTTTCTTGTTTGCTTACTTCGTGAAGAAGGGCTCTGTTTCAACCGCGGTGTCTTTGACTGGCCTGGGGCCTGCCAATCCACCAGCAGCGAGCTCAACCCGCAATCAACTGCTCAAGATTGCGCTACAGAACACGACTGAATCAAAGGTTAATGCATCATCGCCAAACCTCAAAGACCACCAGAAAAGCTCAACAGTGCTCTATGAACAACCCGCACCGAAGACCCTGCACCTTGGCATGTTCGAGATCGGAAAGGCGCTAGGAAAAGGCAAATTTGGCCGCGTTTATCTAGCTAAGGAGCGCTCCACCGGCTTCATCTGTGCTCTGAAGGTGCTTCATAAATCCGAGCTCCAGCAAGGTGGAGTCCAGAAACAGGTTCGGAGAGAAATCGAGATCCAAAGCAACCTGCGCCATCCTAACGTGCTACGACTCTACGGCCATTTCCATGACAGCAAGCGAATCTTCCTCGTTCTGGAATTTGCTGGCAAAGGCGAATTGTATAAGCACCTTCGCAAGGAGAACCGTTTTCCCGAGTGGAAGGCGGCTCAATATATTGCACAAATGGCAGCTGCTTTGAAATATTTGCACAAGAAGCACGTTATTCACCGAGACATTAAACCAGAGAATATCCTCGTTGGCATTCACGGAGAGATCAAGATCAGCGACTTCGGATGGAGTGTACATGCGCCAAACAATAGAAGACAGACAATGTGCGGTACACTTGACTACCTGCCTCCAGAGATGCTGAGGTCGGGCTCGCAAGATAACTTTTACAATGAGAAAGTGGACCTTTGGAGTCTTGGAGTCCTGACCTATGAATTCTTGGTTGGAGAAGCCCCATTTGAGGACACGCCAGTTATGACTCAACGAAGAATTGCTCGAGGCGACATGTCTATCCCTTCGTTTATCAGTCCGGAGGCTAGAGACCTAATTAAAAGGGTGAGTTTGCATACACGAAGGTTTCTTTGCTATGATATGGAACTAAAACCCTTTGGCAGCTGCTTGTTCTTGACCCTGAGAAGCGAATTTCGTTAGAAGAAGTCCAGCAACATCCTTGGATTTTGAAACATTGTGTCAAGACAGAGAAGGCATCGCAACGCAGTTCGAATCAAAAATAAAAGGAGGAGAAACCTGATAACGCGCTCATTTATTTTCCTAACATTTTCGCATTTTTTGTTTGGAGTTTGGGTTTGATCTTGCTACTAGGTGCTGGTGTTAATAGGCAGGATAAGCGTCTACGGGGTACAAGGTACAATCAGTAGCATGAACGTGAATTGGATTTCTATACATATATATTGGAGAGAGAAAGTCTAAAACGCTGTTATAATGAGTAGTGGTAAATAGTTGTCAAGTAATGTACAAGGGTATCACGGAGTTTCTATCAAATCATCGAAAGATTTCATCAAATGGCCGTGTATCACGGAAACAGCTTTCCCACACCTCGTTGACGACCTTTTCTGCATGAGCCTCATCCTTACAGAACGGTCTTGCCCGCACGGAAAGTATTGCTCGTCGCCGGACACACTCCTGATGCTGTTGTGTAAGCTTCCATTGGCCTCGCCGGAAAAATTCTCGCGCCCAGCGACACTCGCCGCTGAGTGAACTTGCTCGAATCTAAGGCAAGATTAATCTGTTAGCACATCTATCTGCCTTTGATGGTATATACATAGGAGAAATGCCTACCTCTGCGCACGCCGCATGTCTCAAGTCACTGTCCCAGTTCAGTTTGAAGCGAAGGTGATCATAAGCATGGACCATTTCATGTGCTATCGTATCCTCCAAGTGACCCTGATCCCGCATCTCATTCGCGCATATCTGAATACCATATTCTGGATCAAAACCACCGGCTTTCCTCGTAGTACAACGACGACAATAAATATTGTGACTCGACAGGTCGCCGCCTAATTGACGAATGTTATCGCTTAGATACCGGATGATAGGGCCTAAACACCAAAAAGGCGTCAGTCAGCAAAAGCCAATTCTCGAGCTTCCGACTTCAATAATGCTTCACTTACTATAATTCAAAAGATAATCTCGTTGGTCTTCGCACCGTTTGCAGTCTACCGCTTCGTTTCGAATGTCTTTCGCAAGACGAAACTGCTCCTTGCCCTCGTCAGACATGCGGCCGGTCAGGATGGCGAAGATATTCCTCCATTGGGTGTAAAAGTCGTCGCCTTCAATATAGCCCGTGTCGCTTTGAGGCTTTTTTGCCGACGAGGCGTCTGAGTCCGAGTTCGACATTCTGCCTTTTTTTCCTTTTGATCGAAATGAATGAAGTGCAATGGAATTGACTTTCAGCGGAGGAAAATCGATCTCATACAAACCGGGCGGAACCCCCCGGCAGAATCATCTCCGATTATGACTCCGCAAAAAAAAAAAAAGAAAGGACGAAAGTCTGTTTTGGTCGTATATTTATGTTTCTAAAGAAAGACAAAGAAGGCTTTGAAACATATTCTATGTTCACAATTGAGAGTATCTTCTATAGAACACAATATGGACAAATTAAGTGGATCACAAAGCCTAACAATTGTCATTAAGCTAGGTACCTAGCCTTCTATACTTGATACAAGAAAGAAAAGAAGGGATCCACATATTAACTTCAACCCCAGGAACAAGTTCAATTGTTGATGAGCGCACACACGAGCCTATCTTGTCTATTCTGTCAGTGATTGTTGAAACAGTCGCAAAACTTCGCAATGATGGCCACAGGGTCATTCTAGTATCTTCCGGTGCCGTTGGCGTCGGCTTACGCAGGATGGATATTGACGAGAGACCCAGACATCTCCCTCGGATTCAAGTAAGTGCCTTCGAACTCAGATCGAGGGCCGAGGCAGGGTACTGACTGACTGGATAGGCACTTGCTGCTGTTGGCCAATGCCGACTTATGAGCCTGTGGGACAATCTGTTTGGGCACCTTCGAATCCCCGTTGCGCAGATTCTTCTTACTAGAAGTGACATTGCAGACGTAAGAACGCCTATATCTCGCCTCGTGATATGTGTGCTGATATATAAAACGCCAGAGGACACAATATATAAATGCTCAAAACACGTTTGCGGAGCTGCTAGACATGGGCGTTCTCCCGGTAGTTAACGAGAATGACACACTGGCTGTTGCGGTAAGCATTCGAGAAATCCAGGGGCATTCCAGATAAATATAGAGTGAATACTAACGCAATATTTAGGAAATCAAATTTGGAGACAACGACACGCTTTCGGCCATAACAGCAGCCATGGTCAGAGCCGACTATCTCTTTTTGATGACCGATGTTGATTGTCTATACACTGCAAACCCTAGACACGACGCGAACGCACAACCTATTGAAGTGGTTTCAGACATATCATCGTTAGAAGCTGACGTGTCTACGTCTGGATCGTCCCTAGGCACCGGGGGTATGGGCACAAAAATCGTTGCTGCACGCCTTGCGACCAGTGCTGGCGTTACGACCGTTATTACCAAGAGTTCGAAGCCTGGAAACGTGCATGAGATTGTGAAATATTTGCAGGAATCTCAATCAGGAGTTCCTGTGTTTCCGCACACAATAGATAAACTCGAACAAACACCTCAGTCATCATCGGGACTGTCGATGCCTCCACTGCACACGCGATTTCTCCCATCAATCACACCAATTCAGTCACGATCATTCTGGGTCCTACATGGTCTCTCTCCCCACGGCAATCTCTACATTGACCAAGGAGCGTTGAGCGCCTTGCAGAAAAAGGCTAGTCTGCTCCCCGCTGGCGTCCTAGCCGTGGAAGGACACTTTGGGCAACAAGAGGCTGTTCGTCTCTTTGTTGTTGAGAAACGTGCAGACACTGCTCTAGATGGCGATTTCGTATCTCATGCCCAGGAACCCAGAGAGATTGGACGAGCTATCGTCAACTACGGAAGTCTAGAAATCGATCGCATCAAGGGTATCCGGAGTACTCATATCCACGCTGTTCTCGGATATGCGGATAGCGAATATGTGGCTTTGCGTGAGAATATTTCATTCTTTCCGAAGAGTGAAGTTCCGAGTGGCGCCGTCACACCTGGCCTTGCGGATAAGATATGAGTTAATGATTATTTTTGCTGGGTGTTACCAAATGAGACTTCCCTTGGCTTCTAGTATAGCCAAAAGTCTGAAGCAAAAGATTATGTGTATACGACTATATGAAACGATGAAAAAGCATTGATTGATATTCTGCCAAAAGTGTGAAAGGATGAAGCTACCAAGACGATATGATATGCATGACACGCTTCTTCATTTACATACAGAAGAAGAAAAAGAAAAGAATCTGACATGGACATGTCTTTGCCAGTATAGCAATCCTTTCAATTGGAAGCTCTGCAACATGACTTTTTCATGCATCGTCGGCCCATCTCCTGAGGAATAGTTCCATATCGTCTTTAGGATGAGGCGCCGGTGTCGCCTATGACGTCCACTTGGTTAGCATCAATTAAACATTAGGGCTATCCCTCTGGGGCAAGGAAACCTACAGGATTCTCGATACCGGAAGTGGACAAGGTCTGCGGGGCAGTCAATGTCGTCTGCCATGTAGGTATCGGCAAGAAAGTGCGGGCAACAGAAAAAGCACTGGTAGGAAACACGGGCGGAGCACTCTTTGCTGTAATTGTGGTGCCGGGCTGTCTAGCCATGGGTGCATATTTGGTGAGCCCTGTGGACTGTTCAGGGTACGGAACAGTATAGAGTGCCGTAGCACCTGCAGCCTGTCTCTTCCTGAGATCTTGGTGGGAATCAGCGTCGTTTGTCAGAGACAGACCGTACCAAACGCGCTCGGAAAATTGCCCCTTCATGCCGTTCACAGAGAATCGTTGGGAATAATTCACCGCTGTTGCGTTATTGGGCCCTCGGGATATCATCTTCAGGAAGCTAATCATGTTGTTATTAGCAAATGACAGAATTCCACACGTATATACCGGGCTTCTCATACTATGCATCGGGATAAGGGGAACCAAGATTTGGTTGGATTTGGAAAGAAACAGAGTTTCCCCTCTCAAAAAGACCGTCTTGTACAAGGAGGGCCAAGTCCTCCTGTGAGAAGGTGCTGTCAGCCTAACGACCCAAACTTTGTGTGTATCAATTGGAATCAGCTTGTATCGTACCGAGTATTCCTCAGAGGGGCCTCCAGCGCATAGAAAGAGGTCATAATCACGCAGGTCTAGTAGACTAGGCGCCTCCCCAGAGTCTTTCCAGTAAGCTGTCAGTATGTCGCCACTGTTGACTGTTGAGCCAGGATCGGGATGCGTGAATTCCACATCAGCATATGCTGCTAGAGGAAGAGATATCAGTGCTAGCAACGAGGCTGCTTTAGCCAACGTCATCATCCTTGCAGTCAGTCAGTCAGTCCGTCCGTCGGCTCCTTTGTTGATGCTACTGCAATGGTGGTTGATGGCGAAGGCTAAGACAGAAAAATTCAAGGAAGACAAGCTGAGGGCCATCTCTGCAAAGACCGTGGCAGCCTCCTCCTGGCTTCACGAGCATCGAAGCTCCAACCCTTGAATGCCAGAGCGACAAGATGGAGCGTCATTATTGGCTGCGGGACCCGCACGTCGCATGCCGTGAGGGCTGCCTGAGGCTGCCATAGCTCCTTCCTGCGGAAAACGCGTCCGCACTCCGCGACTACCTCCTCACACCTCCCTCCTTGAACATCTCAGCGACTGCAAGCGTGACGCCGCTGGTGACAAAATGGACTGGAGTCAAGTCGAGTCTGTCGCCACGACGCTACTTGATGGCAACCCGATTGCAATCTTTCTAGCACTTGCCGTGGCCCTTGCACTGCCTGCTATACTCCACTGGGCACTGTATCGCAAAGCAGCAAGCCCCTCCCTGTCCACATTCGTCCTGCTCGGACCGAGCGGAGCTGGAAAAACAGCTTTTTTGACACTGGTATGTTTGTGTTCTATGCTTCTGTTTCAGTTACACCGACGGCGAAGCAACACTAACATCGCCCGTTTCAACTTAAAAGGTTGAATCCGCGTCATTACAGCGATCAAAGGCAGCACCAATTACCCATACATCTCAGGCGTCGACATCTACAACCGTCACCCTTCCCCCCTCCGTCCCCATATTCTCCAATCGTTATCGATCTGTGAACGACTCTAGCCTTTCCGATTCGAAGAGGAACCCTGTTCAATATATTTTGAAAGACACTCCTGGCCATGGCAAACTCCGATCAGCTCAAATATCCCAATTGCAAACAGACTTGAGCTCAAAGAAAGAGGCATCCCCTACTCGTGGTATCGTTTTCTTCGTGGACGCTGCATCACTCTCGGAAGAGGCAGAGAGCCTAAGGGACAGTGCTAGTTACTTATATGATGTCCTCCTGGTGCTGCAGAAGGTTGTATTGAATAAGGGCAAGTCGTCTTCAAAGGCCGGAACAACGGTTCCTCTTCTAGTAGCGTCAAATAAGCAGGATCTATTCACAGCGCTGCCACCAGGATCTGTTCGACAAAAGCTGGAGTCAGAGATTGATCGGATCAGGAAGACACGCCAAAAGGGCCTTATGGATGCGAGTGCTGGCTCCGAGCTTAATGAAGACGAAGATGAAATTCTGGGAGGGGACGATGGTCGCGAGTCGTTCAGTTTCCAAGCCCTGGAAGACGACATTGGCATTAAGGTCGAGGTTATTGGGGGATTCACCAAGGCTGAGGACGGGGACGCAGACGGAGGGGCTGGTGTCCGGAAATGGGAAGAATGGATTGGAAAGCGTCTCTGAATGCTCTCAGTTCGGCAGAACGAGTAGGAATCTGCCACCGCAGCTAGTGAAACGTTTTTGCAAGACCAGGGACAGCTCACTCGCGCTACGTATCAAATCACAATGCCCTAGGCTCCAGACCTAGGAGCAAGTATCTTCAGGGCAGTGGATGGCAGACGCAGGGTTGCTTCCGAAACTAGTGCCTTCTTGTCCTCCGGTCATTAGTGCCAGTATCGTTGTCACGATGCGAGAAGCGAGGAGAGGATTTTCCTATGGGAAATGATTTCTAATTACGGTTGCAGTTGGCGCCTTTGACAACTTTTCCATGTGCCGTGGATAAGAAAGAGATACTGGAGAAACGCTTTATCTGCACCCTGACTCTCAACTAGCATCAGCTTCTGAATTATATATATTCTGGTCTATCTATCAGACTACCTCACATCTAGCCAAGCTCCCAAAGCCAAAGCCAAAGCCAAAAAAGCCACCGTACCCAATCGTTCAAAGCACGAAAAGAAAACCAACATTAAGAGACAATTTATTATAAATTTATGAGTTTTGATGCAGCAACCAAGTAAGCAGATCAACCTTTGTTGCGACTGCAACAGGCTTGATGGTACCATTCTCGTCACGCTCAGTAATGATAGCAGCACTATTCCATTCAAAGAATCGGTTGAGAACGCTGAGCGGCGTGTCCCATGTAATCTCAAAGAACTTATTGCGATTCTTTGGAGTCTGCTGCTGTTCTCCATCTGTTTTGGAAGTAACAGCCTGCAACGAAGCTCCGATATCCCTAGGGTCTGTGACGACCTCGGGTAGTTTGGAGAAGTCGAACATGACATCGGCAACAGGGCTCTTGCCAGCAGCTCGTCCGCGGGAAATCCAGCTCAAAACGTTACCAAGCGTGACGAGTCCAGCAAGTTTCTTGCCATCTGCGGTCAAAACGGGTAGCTGATCGAAGCCCTTGTCGCGCATAAGTTCGATTGCGGACTGGCATGAATCGTTGGCTCGTACTGTAGTTACAGGTTTGAGTCTGAGCGAGCGAACTCGGCCGTTGGCAAAGACGTCTTTCTTGTCATCGCGGGCTGGCGTCTCGGAGGAGATGGTTGAAAGCTCAGCGGGCACAGAGGGGAGTAAACCGTTTGCAGCTAGCCAGTCATCATCCGCAAACTAGAAATACATTCATTAGTTGATGCAACAACAGGTTTTCGTTCTCATGTCCGATTTACCTTGGTGAGGTAGCTTCGAATACTATCTGGGCAGACTACTACAACCACGTCGTCCTTGGTGAAGGCATTGTCCTGATGCGCCTTGACGAGAGCAGCAATGGCACTTCCACTGCTACCTCCGACCAAAAGACCCTCTTCAGCAATCAATCGGCGGGCATATTGGAAGGACTCCTTGTCATCCGTCTTGTACCATTTATCAACGGCATACTGGTCGAGGACGTCAGGAATAAAGTCATAGCCAATCCCTTCAACCTTGTACGGCTCGTTCTCGTGCTCCACATTCAGAGCCGCTGGAAGCGCGAGAATCGAGCCATACGGATCGGCGGCAATGACCTTGACGGCGGAGTTGTGCTTCTTTATGCCTCTTGAAATACCGGTAATAGTGCCTCCGGTGCCAGCACCGCCTACCACCGCTGTGATTTTGCCCTCGGTCTGAGTCCAGATTTCCTCCGCGGTACCATACTCATGCGCCAATGGGTTGTTGACGTTGCTGTACTGGTCGAGAATGTGAGCGTTTGGCAATTCTTTCTCAAGGCGTCTGGCAACTCCTATGTGAGACTCCGGGGAGTCGTATGCGGCTTGTGTGGGTGTGCGGATGATGTTGGCATTGAGAGCGCGGAGGACTGAGACTTTCTCGGCAGACATTTTCTCTGGTAGGGTGATTATCGTTTTGTATCCTGTACAGAAGATTTCTCGTTCAGCACTCTGCAACCGACAATGAATCAAGGAAGTGTGCTCTTTCCCCTACCTTTGACTGCTGCTACAAGTGCCAAACCAATGCCACTAGAAATGGAAAATGTCAGCCTGCACAATCAGATGGAGGGCATAGCTGATGCCTTACGTATTGCCACTTGTAGGCTCTATCAATGTGTCGCCAGGTTTGATTCTGCCAGACTTCTCGGCCTCCTCGATCATTCGGAGGGCAATGCGGTCCTTCACACTTCCACCGGCATTAAAGTACTCGAGCTTTGCGTAGACAGTTGCATCAATACCGAAGCTCTGAGGGAGACGGTTCAGTCGGACCAGAGGGGTGTTTCCAATGTGTTCCGTGATGCTGTTCAGCACCCCCGGGGGGATGACTGATTGTGAAGAAGCCATGGCAAATACACCAGCTGAGCAAGGACAAGAAATATCAAGTGAAGAGTCGAATGAGAGTGAAATTCAGAGAGTTTGAAGAGTGGTTTCTCGTTGAATGTAGGCTGCGATGGTTTTTTTTTTTTCCCAGGTAGCACTGGCAAATTGCGCGATGGAGTCTGCCCCTCGCCGCTTCTAGCCGCGCCTGCCGTCCTTCAAAAATCCTTGGATGGATATTAAGCCCATGAACGAGCCAATGCAAGAGCAAGAAAACACCTATATACTCAAACAAGAAGAACCCCAAAGCATCACAAACCTGGGAAATTGTATAATACTAACATTATCTCTTGCTGTATCGATGCGCCGCGGGAGATCTGCCGGTGGAGAAGGCGCAGTGGAGCTTCTTCTGCATCAGCCCAACGAGTGTCCTCACGCTCTCTGAGCAACCATGCCAGCAGCCGACCTGCTCATCTCAGCTCTTCGGGAGCGTGGCATCAATTTCAAGAAGGAGGACATCGAGCGCGAGCTGCAAAATGAATCGCAACAAGGCACAGGCAATGCGCAGTGGGTGATGGAGCACGTCAGTCCCCACACGTTGCTCTCAAAAGACGAAGCAGCCCTGTACGTCCGAGACTGCAGTATACACATCTGAGCACTCACTAATGGCGGTGCCAAACATAGAATCAACGTTTTGGAGCGCTCCGGTGCCCTCGAGACCTTCCTTCGACAGCCCGAGTTGGCATCGATACGACCCTTGGCCGACGACGAAATCCGCGCAGCTACGGCGACTTTGAAGTCTTCCACTGCAACATGTGCAAACCAAGTAGCAACGTTGAAAGCACAGTTGGGGCTCGCCAGAACACTACAAATGAACCGGCAGGAAACCGATCAAGACCATGATCGATATGTGACTGCACTGAAACGGAAACATCTGCTGGAGAAACAAAGGACCAAAGCTATGGTACAGCTCGCATCATCTCTGAATCGCACAAACGATATGGTACTGTGTTATTTACCAGGCCTTAGGCTGAGGAAATCGTGAACGATTTCGAAAGCAGAATGCTTGACTATCAACAGCGAAAGAACACGGGAAAAAAGCAACTCCTTCAAAGCGTGAGCTCCAGGTTGATGAATGACGACGATATTCTTTTTAAAATAGAGGAGCTGGCCGCCGAGTTAGAGCTAACAGAGATGGACGAACAAACGGAGAAGCGAACGCCGGAACTGATTTCCACCCTCTCGAAACTAACGTCCGAGGAGATTCGTTGCCGCTTAGATCGAGTATATTTAGAGACACTTCTTACAGGCGCTGATGCTCCGGCAGATGTTCCTGATAATCGCGATGCGTGCATTGCATTGCAAGAGGACCTGGAGTCACTCTACTCTGAAATTGATGTCTTGGCTGAAATGTCTGCGAGACACGAGTTTGGACAGCCCATACTTGACGAGCTTCAGAAAAAGAAACAGAGTTCTGCTAGTTCATTGGAAGATAACTTCGATGTGGTATGTGTTTTCTTCCACCAGTCTGCATTTCCTTTCTCTTTTAGCCTAATTATATTCAAAGATGTTGGATTTGCTCTCCGAAATGACGCGTTCCACGAAACAAAATGTTGACAGAGTTCTCTATTATCAATCGCACCGCGAAGCTTTGGACCAGCTGTCCGCCTTGTTTAGAAAGGAAATAACCTCTAAGCAGGCTATGGAAACCCAAAGCAAAAAGTCTCATCGCCGAGAATCATCCATATCGTCTATAAAGGTTCAGACATCAAAACCTACACAGTCTCAGCCAGAGGCACAGGCTCTCGAGAGCTTCCTGCGGCGTCTAGGCATCTCAACGGCATTGCACGGTGAGGAGTCTCTCGCCGATATTATTTCAGAAAAGCGGTCAGAAATGGCTAGGATAGTCTGCCACAACTCGATAGGCATGTCCGCAGAAATGCCACTGCTTGCATCGCTTGGTTCTACCGACGAGGCGAAGGAGCTTCTGACATGCACATTGCACGCTAATGATTCCTCCTATGCATCAGAGCCGTCGCTAGCGGACCCAGTTCAGCAAGGAAATCTTGCGAACCTAGAGAAGGAGCTCATGGTTATTCAAAAGGAAATCGAAAGAGTTGATTTGGGTATGCTGGCAGAACCGGATAGGTTTCGGGATAAGTTTATAGAGAAATGGAGACAACCTTGATTTCCCCCCTCCCTAAGCATACCAGGTATCCTTCCTCCGTCTGTTCAGAATCGTGCCAGGTGGCCTGCTTCCATTGAGAGAAAGTTTCCGGCATGAATGAGTCCTAGTCAAGTGTAAACTTCATTGTTCACTCTGCACAACTCCATCTCCGTCGTACTAATTCAAGGTTTCGACTCGGATACAACGAGATCCAAGTCTTTATTCCCACTGAAAGGCATATATTTGCATTATGAGACACATCCAGTCTGAATACCAGTTTCATGCCGAATCCACTAGTCTCTCGGGCTATATTCTGCAGTTCTAACGCGATCTGATTGGAACTGTTGCACGTATGTAGTAAGCTCAAAGCCTTTGTGCTAGTCGCATGGTTTTTTTTTGATTCTATCTCCATCTCTTTGCCTCTTTCCTTTGTGCATTTTTCTCAAACGCAGGTTTAATGAGCATTGTAGTAGCATGAAGCCGGCCGAACAAAAGGCTTTGTCTATCTACGGTGACAACACTTGAACATGAACAGATCCATTCAAGAAAAGAAAGTGGAACTGGTTTGGTAAGACGTAGTGGGATTGCAGTACAGAGAAAGAAACATAATTCTTATTCATGCCAAGGTTAGTGGTAAATTGCAAGCGGCACAGATCCTTCTGTGCGAGATAAGCTGCATTGCATACCTAGGTATCCTTGGTTATCACCATCTAATGTCATGTTGTCCAACCTTGCTTCACCGTGTTTTTTGAGTTAGGCTGGGCCTTTGTGGAAAGGTTTAGAATGGCAATGTGGATGAAAGACTCGTGTCCTTGATGACATGAAAGGGGAAATGAAGAACGAAAGAATGCATTGTATATCGTGTTTGAAAGATGTTTTCAACAACACAAAATGCACCATCGACCTCATCAGGCTTCAATATATAAATCGCACTTTTCTCCCAGTCTAGGGACGAATGTGTCAAAGCAAGAAAACGAAAAGAACCCAAACTCCTACAGATCGACTTCAACAACTCTCAAAGTTGTAACCACCTCAGGTGCAGTTCCTACTCATTGCCAGATATTCGCAAAACTTCCAGCGGGTGATTCAAAAATGCCTAGTCGAGAGTCAACGCGCCAGGCAAGCCAGACAGGCAGAAGCTCCTATTCCACAAGCTCCAGAGATCCATATCGTGGCCACGGCCGTGATAGTTCACGCCTGGACGCTGGTAATCCCACGAGCACAACGAGGAGCACAGTGAGGAGCGTTGCGAGGAGCATTAAGGATTCACTGTCGCTAAGTGGAGATAAATCACCGAGCTTACCAGGTTCAGAGCGACATTCTATAAGCTCCTCGCGGACAGGACCGGTCTCAACAGCACGTTCAACAGCATCTTCAAGAGCACCTTCAATGACACCTTCAATGGCACATTCAACAGCGCAGTCAACGGCACGTCCAATGGCATCTTCAATGGGACATTCAACAGTACTGTCGACAGCACGTTCAACAACACGGCGAGATGGAACCCAGAGGCCAACAACCGGTGATAGCCTAATGCGCCTCATGGATGGTGAAACTGCTAGAAGTAATCTTCATATAATGGGAGGTGCAATCGAGGCTCTGGGACGACCCGCGGAAGTTCGTCATAAGCAAATGTCTATCACTGAGGCGAAATACGACGATGGTAGTAGTGTAAGGCTTCGGCGGGTCGAACGCTGCACCTCACGCCCGAGGGACAAATATCTAGAAGGGAGTCGTCGAATTACAGAGATAGAGTAGAAGATTCTCCTCCCAGCAGGCATTCCACTCGTGGTACCTGAGGACTAGGGGTAGTTAGCGGTAGTAGAAGAGGCTGTCAGACACATCACAGTCATCGTGTTTTATTGATCTTCTCTCCCTCTCTCTTTTCGAGGTCATGTTTCGCATCTAGTGAAGAAGATTGACAACATAATGTAATGAATGGATGAAGTTCTCGAGATGCCTAAGCTGACACTCCCGGCCAATCAATGTCCTTGGATGGAAAAGTGGAGCGCAAAAACCTCCGACATCCTTCGTCCACCTCGTTATGTGCTGTTAGGATTCGATACGACTACAGCTTGCAACATGCCTTCTCTCATCGCTGCCGATGAGCTCACTCAATTCTCGAGCTAGAACACACATCTACTTCTTCTTATTCTTGATTCCAAGACCCTTCTGCTGCGCCTGCGCTTCAATCTACCCATAGCGGAACGTTAATCGGCGGCCTCACAAACTATTCGGAGGACAATGCAAGGTCTATCCAAATCTTCCTTGTGCGCCTGTAGTCTCAGGTGTACTCAGGATACGCTCGTTTCCAATATACCTTTGACGCCCTGTTAGTAGCTTCTGGCTGAACAACATGGATGCTCAGACTGAGCTTCATGAAGATGGAAAAGAGCAGCATGCACCTGCAGAATCGGCGATTTCTCCAGCGGATACGCAAGGTGTGGATATATTCCAGATACCTGCTACCGATGCTTTGAAAGCCGTCACTACCCATTTGACCGAACTAGCACGTATTACGGGCGACGTTCCGGCAACCCCATACGCGCCTAACCGGGCAGATCCTGCCCAAGACGTGGGCGTAATTGCGGATAAACAAGACTCGACTGTTATCATTACCGAACTGCATTGCGCAGATGCGAAAGATACCCCGGAACAGATGACTCCTGCAGGTGTAGTCCAACATAATGTGTTGGCGAAAAGGTTCTATTCCAAGAGAGCACCACCCATTCCTTTAGACGAGTATCTACTTCGTCTTCACAAGTACTGCCCCATGTCGACTGCTGTCTACCTTGCGGCAAGCCTCTATATCACAAGAATGGTTTTCGCGGAAAGAGCTTTATCGGTTACTCCTCGTAACGTGCACCGTCTAATGCTTGCAGCGCTTCGAGTGGCAATGAAGGCACTCGAAGACCTTAGTTATCCGCACGCCCGCTTTGCGCGAGTCGGTGGTGTCGCAGAGCGCGAACTCACTCGCCTTGAGATCACATTCTGTTTCCTTACAGACTTTGATTTACGCGTTGATGCTCCCGCATTGCTGCGCCAGGCGACGTTACTCCAAGATACACCGCGTATTGGTGTGACTTACCTAGCGCCACCACGCACAGACTCCAATATTGCACAAAACATTGCTTCAGGGGCCGCTGAGATCCAATCGTGAAACCGTCCGACCTTGGGTTAATTCTTTGGTCTATGTATATGGACGGATTTTATATTCTCTGCTCGCGTCTGTAGCTGCATGCCCATGTCCATGCCTTATGATTTTGCAGTGCAGAAGAAGGATGTCTCTTTGTTTAGCTATTGCTTGCCTCTTTAGGTCTGAAGGCAGCTGGCTAGCTAGCTATTAGTTTGGGATGCCGAGTCTTGTATGGAATTTACTTGGTAGTTCGTGAAAATACCCATTTACCCTACCCTGTTACTATATAGCACTGTTTGAATAGTCATATGTACTAGTTGGATTATCTATCTCAGTAACAGTGATTTTAAAAGTTATTAGTAATAACAAATATCATAGAAGACTAGTTGTCTAACTAATTGAAGGTTAAAACCAGCGAACTATCTAGGGAATTATGAATTTCAGGAGCTGATGACGTTTAGTCACAGCATACAAGGACTAACTTACCATCGTCTCTCTGCGGTGAAGGGAAAGATGAATCACCTGAAATAGAGCATATTGATGAGACCAAAGAAAAGAGATTTAAGAGGCTATTTCACGTTTAACGTTTCACGGGCCACGTCACTTTTCCTCCTGTGAGAGCTTCGATCTTTCTACCACGGCGTCGAATGGTAAAGGCTAGTTCCAGATTTTGGGGGGGGGGAAACGAAATCCTCAATTTGAAGGTCCTTGACCGTGTCAACAGTCGGCAAGTCATCGTCGTATAAGAGCTTATTTCTAGCTTGCCATATCTCAACAGAGACATTATCTGGCAGCATGGGGACAAGCTCTGCTTCCAAGTCTCTCCACAAGGCGTTTTCTGTTTCAATTGCGTCAAACCACGAGACGCATTTGTGGTCTTCGGTGTGTTCGTTCAATGCCTTTAGACCCAGTAGGGCCATGGCCTGCCAAAGTCTAGGCAGACTTTCGAACTTGTTAAAAATTTGAGGTCGATATTGGGTCATCCATGCTTCTAAAGTTTGTTCAGAATGAGGTGGAAAATCGTCAAGATGCAGAGACACTTCATACATCCTATCATGAAGCTCGATGCCAATGCCGCGTAAACTAGGGATTCCACGGATTGCGTGATGGATATCGACAACGGCCTCTGCCCATGTGTTGGCGTGTGCTTTCTGTTGTTCTGGATCAAATACACCGTTGACAAGGACACGGAAATGATCTTCAGGAGGGCTACTCAAATACCGACGCTGCGTTCGATACGCCAGGGTCAGAAAATTGCTCCCATAAGAGCCTCGATAGGCGATATGATGCTTGTCTAGAGTGATGCTGGTTCGAGATGCCGGATCTTGCAAGTCGCGTTCTGAGACATTACCCGAAGACGGAGACGTAATGACTCGTTCATGGCAAAGACGCAGCCATCCAACACGGTACTTCCAACGTTTGTCCACATCATTGGTCGTGATATGCGTGTTGGGTTCCAGGATGGAAGACTGAAAGAAGGGATTAGCCAGAGCTTTGCATAATAGTAGGAAATAAAATTGAAGTCTGAAGTGGAGAGATATACTCAGCTGGGAGGACCTTCATATATATCAATATGCAGATATCAGGATAACGCCGGTAGTAAATTCTAGGGAATACCCGCAGAATGTGAGCTGAAGACATGTAAAAGACCCATGTTAGTCCATCTAACACACAAAGACTGGCCTTGTAGAAGTTGAAAGATACTCACTGATTAGAGTCAACTTTAAGTACTGTGAGATTAGACCACTTCAAAGAAACTGTCAACCTTGGAAGTTATGAATAAAAATAGGGTGGACGCCTAGTCTTTATATTGTAGGCAGTAGCCTGGACTCGCCAGAGAACTAGAAGTAATTTTTCTCTTTAATTAATCATATTTTGGTTCAAACCAAGTTTTGACAGGCTTCAGAGTCCTAGATTTGCCCGAGCATGCAAGTGAATACCGATAAGAGGGCCTAAGATTGTCAATTTGCTGCAAATATCCGTTTTCGCTTAAATTAACGTATCATGAGTTTCATGCTGGCTGAAAGGAATATGATAGTTGGGAATGGAGTCAAGTCATAAATAAAATAGGGTTAGCAACCGGCAGCTAGTTTACCCGCTACCCGCTGCTCAGCCACGCTTTGCTCAGCCACAGGGCCCGAGGCTCCCGCAATTCCGAAAGCTTCATATCAACAACTTAAATGGCGATTCTTTTCCATCAAACCCATGTTACAAAAGAGCTCTAGAATCGACTTTGCGCTTTTTACCCTTTAGTCCTCTTTTCTCTCTCTTTAACGACTGATTATGCTTGAGATTTGCGCGATCGATCTACGTTAATCAACGCTTTCCTATTTTGACTTGATACCAGCTGAAGCGCAACATCGAATTTCCCTCGTGTTTGTTTTGTCGCCCCTTTGACATTTAAAAAGAAAAAAAGAAACATGCCCTCGTCTACCCCCGGCAGCCAGCAAAATGGCACCGCCGCTGCTCCGAATCCTACTATACAAGCAATGCCGAATGGGAAATCGTCAGCGGCGCCACCACAAGCCTCGACAGACGGTGTCGAGCTCAAGAATATAACTACCGCAGGCGGACAGGCTGGTGACAAAGCTGCGCTTCCAATTGAATCAGATATCATGCAGTTGGCTCGTTTAGGCGAAATTGGCGCGATGCAAAAGCTTTTTGACACGAAGAAATTCAATGCCAAACACCACGACGAGGAGGGTATAACGCCGTTACATGTAAGTGTCCTCGATATATCACGGCTTGACACATGCATTGTATCTAATCATTCTATTTTGTCTGGGTAGTGGGCTGCGATCAATAACCAGTATGCGATGTGTCGGTTTCTTCTTGACTCCGGAGCAGACGTGAATGCGAAAGGAGGCGAGTCCGTCGCAACACCTGCCATGTGGGCTGCACAGCGATGTCATTACTATATCGTCGATCTGCTGCTTCAACGGGGTGCTGACCCCCTTCTCACCGACGTCCAAGGATATAATATCTTGCATTTGGCTACCATTGATGGAAACGCTTATTTGGTATTTCTTTTGCTACATCAAGGTATCCCAGTTGATATCCCAGATCCTCAGGGACACACTGGTTTGATGTGGGCAGCGTATAAGGGCCTTCCGGTTTGCGTTGACCTGTTTCTGCGATGGGGCGCCAACGTTAACGCGGCCGACGAGGGCGGGCTTACCCCGTTACACTGGGCATTGGTCAAGGGTTCATATATGTGCGTTCAAAAAGTACTTGAATATGGAGCAGACCGGTTCGCGAAAACAAGAGACGGAAAATCGCCATCTGATGTGGCTGGTGAGATGAAGTCGCTTCGAGTCTATCATCGAGCTTTGAATGACTATGGATACGATAAAAACGGCAACCTGAAAACGCTTCCATTGGGCATGACCATGTTTGTGCACAATAAGAGTTTATTGGCCAAGTTCTTCTTCCTATGGCCGTTCCTCACGCTATTCATGTCGATTTGGATCCTCAGCAACTCGGCTATCTACATTGGCATTCCAATTGCGGCAGTGCTCATCTTTGGCATGCAGTATCTGGCTCAACAAGTCGCTAGTAAGGGACCTGGAGAATTTCGTGTGCTGCAGAAGACGGTGAGCCCGGTTTGAGTATTTCTATTTATTTGAGCATTGCTTGCTAATTGACTAATAGCCATACCTTGCTGGTGTCTTTGCGGGGAGTCTTTTCTGGGTTGGAGCTACATATCTCTTCCGAGTAATGGCTGGTGAGATTTCTTCTGCCACAAGACAAAAGAGACAAAGTCACTAATACGCAGTAGTGACGTGGTCCACGCATCCGATCTTGAACGTCTTCTTTGCCATCTTCATGCTCTTAACGGCATATTTTTACATATTTGCTATGATTGAAGACCCTGGCTACGTACCTAAGCTGGGCAGCAGAAATCAGCAGAGAGAGACTATGCGAGAGCTGATCGACAACTGGAAATTCAACGAAGAACATTTTTGCATTCACTGCATGGTTCGAAAGCCTCTACGAAGCAAGCACTGTCGTCGGTGTTCTCGGTGTGTCGCCAAACATGATCAGTATGTACCATGTAGTAACTTTTATTCAGCATATCATCGACTATAGAGCTAATATCGTTACAGTCACTGCCCATGGATCTTCAACTGTGTTGGTGCGAATAACCTCCGACACTTTGTCATCTACATCCTGTCTCTGGAGATCGGTATAGTGCTTTTCATTCGATTGGTGGTATCCTGTAAGTCAAGGTTTTATTCTCTGCTACATACGGATTGAGTCTGATTGGGTGTCATTACTTTCAAGATATCGAGCTGCTCCCTGCGCCGGAAACGCTCAGATGCAATATCATTAACGATAATCTTTGTACGATATTATCGAAAGATACCTTTACCCTTTTCATCGCTTTCTGGGCTGCCGTGCAGTTGATTTGGGTAACCATGCTATGCTGCGTACAGCTAGTCCAAATTTCGAGACATCAAACCACGTATGAAAACCTTCGCGGTGCTTCGTTTGATGGACACTCAGCTTCTCAGGCCATCACATCAGCTCTTGTGGCAGGAACTCCATCTCCTGCCGCTGCCGGCCTTACTGGCGCAGGGCACGGTCCTGCACCTCCCACTGCTGGTCCCGGAGGACATGCGCACCACCACCATCAGCGTAAAAAGGGGTTCTTGGGACAATGGATGGGTCTACTGGGCCTCGACACATTCTTCGCCACTGCCCAGGGCCGATCAGCGCAACAGAAGAACCCATATTCCCACGGTGTTGTCACAAACTGCAAAGATTTTTGGTTTGATTCTGCGCCGATATTCCGAAAGCGTGAGCCTGGCTCTGGCATGCTTGGTGGCGAGGTTGTCAGCTATTATACCATGTACGAGCCGCCGCTGAGAATCCACGGTGGTCACAGCCGGAGTGGCGCTTATATGAGTGTCTCCAATGATGATCCCGAGTATGCAGTTTGATGAGCATTGTTTTTACGGACTCGATTGTTTCCCTCCTCTTTCCTAGACTTTAGCCCCTCTTCGTTCTCATTTCCTGCACAAATAAATCCCTTCATCCTTGAACAGTCCTTCTTCTCTTCCATTTTCACGGTGTCATTTGAATGTATTTATTTGTCCCTGATGCACAGGCTTGCTGAGCGGGATGCGCATATACTTTGTAGATAACTACAATACGGCTCCTCATTCAAATATATCGGACAACCGGATGGCTAAACCATCGTAACAAAACCACTTAGCGGTAGGATTTTTCCTTAAAAAAAATAAATAAATAAAATAAACCTGCAAGGCCCTCAGTTCTAGAATAAACAGGTAACAACCAACAATTCGTCTCAGAACGAGCGGTAAGCGTGTCATTTCCAGTCGTAACATACATATATAACTTATACGTACCTTGTGACCGACTGGCTTCGGAACGGAGATATTACCGTTTCGCCCTTCCTATTCCTATTGCTTATGTTTCTGTGTCTATCTCCGTCGAATCGAACAGCGCCGTTTATCGGACACGGAGACTGACTACGTAGGAGTGTAGGGTGGATACGGCCCACATAGGGCGACAGGAGATTTTATCTGATCATCTGATAAGTACGTATAGAACCGGTATGTTACGGTACGGAGGATGATACATACATACACTATGGTAGGGTTTGAAGCTACAAAGTAAATTGGCTACATGATTGGCTTTTTCTTATGAAACTAATTAGATTACTTACGACTCCGACTGAGAATTTCTGTATTAATGCCCGAGTGTGTTTGGTGTCGTGTATTATTACGAGTTACAGTACGTGTATTGATCGTTTTGATCAGATAAGATGGTGTCTTCTGCTTATGATGCATGCTCTTTGATTTTAGTCTACCTTCGCCCTCACCCTTTCTCTACCTCTTTCGCTTCGCTTGTTATGCAACGCTCATGTCCAACATGTATGTTTTGCTTCGGAGATCTGAAAACAGACATCAATTCTATATCTAGAATAACATCCATTACCTATCACCTACAACACCGCGCGAATGCCGTTCCGCGTCAACGTACTATGACCACTACTAAAAACCGATTCCACTATTTCTCCACTTCGCGTAGCCAGCACCGAAAGCAAGCTGTCACTGATGCCATGGGTGCTCTCGTTGCAACCCTGAAGCCAAATCCCAGCGTCCGAGCTTACTTTGTTTCGATCTAATGCCAGGCTGTAGTTCCGGTTTATTTGCCAGCTGTTGTCGGGTCGGAGATGTTCCACAGGTGCTAAAATCTTTTCGTGTGCGTTCCTGGTGTATCCGGTTGCAACTATTAATGCATCTACATGCAGGATCTCTTTTCCTTCGTTGCCCGTACTCGTGCTGTCATGCTTATCCACTGGTTGGAGATGAAGTCCCAATCGACCATCTGGCGTACTCCGGTCGACCCGACCAATTTCGCGACGAGGTAGAATCCGTTGCAGCCATTCGCCTTCATCGTGGCTCTTGATCTTTTGCATGTATATGTCATTATATATCTTCTCAATGAGCTCAATTCGAACCACGCCATAGTTTGTCGCTCGGTCAGACGCGATTGACCTTTGACGCTCTGCCTCCGAGTTGGCGTAAAATCCGTCAACCTTTTCAGGATTGAAGATCTCGTTCACACTAGCCATTTTGTTGTCACGATGTTAGCAAGGCTTAGCTATGCGGCGTATCTGGAGGAGATAATAAAGGAAGAAAAAATGTTGCTTACAACGGTGAATCGTCACTTGGCCGTAGGGCGGAATCTCTCATGATTAATGCCGTCTTCGCGCTAGGGTATTGTTGATGCAGGTCATGAAATACCTCTGCCGCACTCTGCCCACTTCCCAATACTGCAATATTATAGGGTTTAGTAGTGTCCTTCAATAATTCCGGCATTCTTGTGCAGTAGCTAGACGAGTGTATAATCCGTGGGTGATTCGGGATGACCTGTGGCATCCTGGGCTTCCCTCCAACAGCAATGATCACATTCCTTGCTTGACGTGAGAATATTTTCCCAGAACCCACGTCCTGTGACTTGACCAAAAATGAATCAGCCAGACCGGAGGAAGTCGCTACAGGAGATATTTCCAGTACCTCCTGACCGTACGTCACAACATCCGCAAAGTGACTGGCGCACCAGCGCATGTAATCTGCGAACTCTAGCCGCGATGGTAGAAAAGTTCCCAGATTCGTGAAATCAATTAGCCTTCCCTGGGTCTTGAGGTAGTTTAAGAAGGTGAACTCGCTTCGTGGGTCCCGGGCCGTGGCCAGATCTTTGATGAATGATATTTGCATCTTAGATCCAGGAACCATCATGCCGGAATGCCATGCAAATTGCTGCTGTTTCTCTAGAAAACATAACTTTGGCTGTTTCGTATTATGGTTTGGTGTACGAATATCCAAAATATCGTGTATTGCAATGGCAATTGCTAGAGATGCTGGCCCAAAACCCACACAAACCACATCGTAGAGTTCCTCAGTGAAAGTGCCTCTAGGCGATTCCATTATTGTTGTTAGTTTCACTTATGCCCTGGAGTATCGAGTAGCTAGCTATTGGCTGTTCTGGCAGAGACTCAAATGCAGTGCACTTGTACCTGCGTACCGTACCCCGATTTCAATGTCGACTGGCAAAAAGCTTTCTTGTAAATACAGCAGCTTCACGAAAGTCAAAAAAAAAGCACCGGATGATCCAAATTGGAGGTAAAGTAGGTTGTTCACTGTTCAGCTCTTCGAATGATATTTCTCTAGTTCAGATATCAAGACGTATTTTCAAGGGAACGTACAGGGTACTTAACAGATACCGCATGACGAAGTAATCCAATCCACATTGAGCTTAATTATTTGTTTGGCCTTTAAATTAACGGCCCAAGTGAGGGTCCAGAGGGTCAATGCCTCTCACCATGGTCGCAAAGCGAAGCAAGTGGGATGTGATGCAATGCCCCGCAGTGCCTTGATTTTTTTTTTTTTTTCCCCTTGCGCAACATGGAATGGCCCCTGCTCTTCACGTTGAATGAGAATACCAGCTACTTAGGTACTTATGCGGCTAATGACGGATCAAGAGATTTTGAAGTTTGAGAAGATGAATAAATGTCATGCATGCATTCAGGAGATGCACGATACATGCATCGAATCCTCCCATCCTCGTCGAAAGAATCTCAAACGAATGACCCTCCTCATCAACCCACCAGCCCTGCGATGAGCTCGACTTGTCGATCAAGTCCGAGCTTCCTCTTCTCGGAGCCGACTGCTGACCAAATCGTAGCAAGTCGGGCGATGGGTCCGACGTTCAGAGTGCTTCGCCATAGGTCGTGTTCGTTAAGCAGCCATGTTGATGGTGATAGGGGCCGCGTATGCTGCGGTGGGATCCCACGCGCATTTGGCATCTGCCAATACATGTAGAACCAATACATCCATGAATGGATTGGATTTTGCCGTCCAAGCAGCACGTTCGACGCAGTAAGGTAACCAACGAATCATCCGAAGTGGAGTCGGGCGAATATCCACAGCAAAGCAAGTTGTAGTCGAGCGAGCCTGGCAGGTTTCGCATCTTTGCGCCGACGTAATTAATAATTAACCGCGCTGTGTAATTTTCTGGGAAATCACGATCCCCGTTGTCGCACCTTCCCCTCTCGGTGACGGCGTAACCTCCAGGCTCCTTCCCGTATGTAAACTAAACTATGTATCAATACGTGTTTCCCGTCGTCATTTCGTCAATTTTCACAGAAAACCTCATCGCTACAGCCAACAGCCAACAGCCAACAGCCCTCCTACCTCACTACCCCTCAGTGGGGATGGCTTGATAGCTTATTCTGCTCACGTTGTCTCTGTCTATTCTCCCTCCTTCTCAGATTGTTGCATGACATGCGTGGATAGGATAGTTCAAGAACCTCTAACATCATCAGCCAGCCCAATGGGAGAGGGTTGCCATCATGGACAACAGATTCACCCAGATCCCAGATATTTATCCAACTGGAGACAACGCCACACAGACAAACCTCTCGTGGGCCTATATCGATGGAGCGCCCGGCATCTCAGTTGAGACAGTGGTGCTGTCATGGGCGGCCCTTTTACATGCATACACCGGCGACGAACTGCCTGTATTCGCTCTGAACCAGCGAGCAGTCAAAGTTATCCTGGCGGAAGAGAGTTTTGACCCCATATCTTTGCCGGAGATGGGAGAGACGCCTTACACCGCCGTTAACACCATCAGACTAGAAGGAGAGGATGGCATCTTGCAATCGGATGCAGGCCGAGTCACAGGCAAGTGTTCATTGTCTTTTGACATTGATATGGCCGCAGGTTGTGGTGTTTTACGATCTGAAGTCGGAATCCTACAGATTCACCTAGAGCAGATTGGATTACAATTGTCGCGTTTCATGCGAAGGTTTGCTCAGTCTATCATACCATCGAATACTACTAGCTTGGACCAAGATTTGCGATTGTCCATAGCTAACCACCATCCTCACGTGTTGCCGGGTCCTCAATTTCTCCATCAGCTCGCTTTCAGTCACGGACTACGGGATCTTCCAGCCTTAGATTTTCTCGATCACGATGAATCTGTTCAGAGTCTGTCTTTTCATGAGTTGGATTGCCTCTCGACGCAGATGGCAAAACGTATAACTCATACTCTCGGGCCTCCGCGTCCGAAACTAACGGGCCGCATTATTCCTGTGCTTCTCGCCCAGTCAGTCGAGTTGTATATCGCATGGCTAGCGATTTTGAAGGCGGGTGCGGCTTTCTGTCCACTTAGCACGGATGCGCCAGAAGATCGAATTCGTTTTATCCTAAAGGACGTCTCAGCGGATATGGTAGTGACTCATAGCACATTCAAAAAGAAGATAGCCAGCGCAACGAATGTTTCACTTCTATTCATGGATAGTCCTGAATTAGAACCATCCCCGAACATTTGGCAAGAACCCGTCCTCTTTCCGGAAGATCTTGCCTATGTCATGTACACCTCCGGTTCAACAGGTCGACCGAAAGGCGTGGCCATCTCACATCGGGCAGCTACGCAGTCGTTACTCGCACACGACGGTCTTATTCCATCATTTAGGAGGTTTATCCAATTTGCCTCGCCAACTTTCGATGTCTCAGTGTTCGAAGTATTTTTCCCCTGGTTTAGAGGAGCCACGCTTGTTGGCTCAGAGCGAAGCAACATGCTTCTAGAGCTGCCTAAAATTATCTCAGAAATGCAGGTAGATGCTGCTGAGCTGACACCAACTGTGGCTGGAGAGCTTCTGCGTAGTCGCAAGAGCGTACCGTCTCTCAAGGTACTTCTCACCATTGGTGAAATGCTGACGAAACGGGTTGTCGAAGAATTTGGATCCTCGCAAACGCAAGATGGGATACTTCATGGAATGTATGGTCCGACTGAGGCAGCGATACACTGCACAGCTGCGCCAGGTTTCCATTCTGACTCAAGAGTAAACTTGATCGGCCAGCCCCTAAACACTGTCTCTGCTTTTGTAGTATCCCTCGACGATTCACAGTCTTTATTTGAGCCTGCGATCTTACCTATTGGTCAAATTGGAGAGCTGGTAGTTGGCGGGTCACAGCTAGCTGATGGTTATATTAACCGTCCTATAGAGAATTCTAAAGCTTTTATCTGCAGCAAAAAGTATGGGCGTTTATACCGCACCGGTGACAAAGCACGATTTCTACCAAACGGAGACATCGAATGCTTTGGCCGTGTATCTACGGGTCAGATCAAGTTGAGGGGTCAACGCGTGGAGCTTGGAGAGATCGAAAGCGTGGTCTCCATGGCCCCAGGAATTCGCAGCACAGTTGTGGGAGCTGTCAGTGGGATCTTAATCGCATGGCTGCTTGCTGAAGTGGAGGATGCCATCCACCCTAGTGAGATTCGAAATTTCTGCCAGGGAAAGTTGCCCGGTTACATGGTTCCTGGGGACTTTGTAATCGTTAACGAATTCCCGCAACTCGAATCTGGAAAAATAAACAGAAAGGCTCTGGAAGCTGAGTACACCAGAAACCAAAAAGAAACCTTTGTGGAGAGAAACTGGTCTTTTCGAGACCCACTGGAGGAAAAAATTGCCGAGGTCGTTAATAAAGTTGTTGATACATCGACCGATAGCCTTTCAGCAGCAGGACTGGATTCCCTGAAAGGCATCAAATTAGCAGCCAAGTTACGGGATATTGGGATCAATTTGGACGTCAGTGAACTGCTTGCTGCAGATTCTGTGAGTGGAATTTGGGATCTTGCTCGAGGTACCAGAAAAATATCAGATATAGCACCTCAAATGAGCAGGAATACCTCGACGTCCGTGGTCACAGCAGGTTATGAAGAGCTCAGCTCAGAGAACCTTCAGTCTCAAATTGAAAGAATTGAACTATGTTCCGATACCCAACTTGCGATGCTCTCAGAGTCGCTCCGGGACGGTAAAGCATACTGCAACTGGATTGAGCTCAAGTTTTCGAAAAGTCTTGATCTGGCACGCATAAACCAAGCATTTTGCAAACTGATAGAAAACAATGAGATGCTACGATCTGCGTTCTTATTGCTTGACCTACCTGGTCATCCCTTTTGTCAAGTCATATGGAATAATTTTAATATGACCACCTACTTCCAAGAGACAACAGCGTTCAATTATGACTGGAGAATGGATACTAGTTCTAATATTCTCACTCCATTCAAAGTACAATTCATCCAAGATGAGTCATCAGTGCGAAGTCTACTTCAATTACACCATGCTATCTATGACGGTTGGTCTTGGGAACTTCTGCTAAATGATCTTCAATTCGCTTTAGCTAAGGAGCCTTTGGTTCCCAGACCATCATACTCAGCCATAGTGAAGCATTATATGACATTAGCCACGTCAGATTCAGCCGTGAAGTCTAAATCATACTGGGCTAACTATCTTCAGGGTGCAGTCGCATTGAAATTTCCGAATTTTCACGGTCGACATGGCTTAACGAAAAGAAGTAGCAGATTTAACCTTGATCTCAATGTTTCTTTGCCAGAGCTTGGGGCACAGGCTCAGTCTTTGTCGATAGGTCGTCAAGTCTTTTTCCAAGCTTCACTTGCATATGTTCTATCATTCTATCTCGACTCGCAGGACGTGATTCTAGGTACAGTATTCTCTGGTCGAACTGCACCTGTCGATGGCATCGAAGCAATAATAGGGCCGTGTCTTCGTATATTGCCAAACAGGGTCAATCTCTCATGGGTGCGAACGATTTCCGACCTTCTAACCGTTATCCAAAGAGATAACCGCAAGGCACTGCAATACGGAGACCTGTCGCTCCGTGAAATCAAGAAAATTTCCGGGGTAGAAAAAAGCAACAATCTATTCGAATCTCTCCTTGTTTGGCAGGAGACTTCGTTAGAGTCTTTGGAGTCATATACATCCTTCGAGCAGGTTGCATCTGCAGATTATTTAGAGTTCCCCTTGACCATTGAATTGGAACCAAATGATGGAAAAATAACAGCTACAGCTACTTTTGACGAATCTACTTTTCCGGCAGCCCAAGTCCATCTACTACTCAAGCAAATTGATGCGATTGCCGAAATTTTTATTCGCTCACCAGAGGCCCTACTCAGCTCCGTCAATGAACAGCTTCCTTCTTCTGTTTTATCAATAGAGAATGATCACTTTACGCATTTCAACAATCTCGCGCATTTGGCTTACCAAGTCGAGCAAATTGCTGCCAATGAACCTATGCGAAATGCTATTGAGTTTATTCATTCCCTTGATCCGGATACAGGAACAATCCATCTCGAGACTCTTACTTACTACGATCTCAATTCTCGAAGCAATCGTCTCGCTCAACATCTGCTCAGCAGTGGTGTTTCAAGTGGGGACTTGGTTGCAGTTATCTTGGACAAATCCATCGAATTATATGTCTCAATACTGGCAATTGTCAAGATCGCCGCAGGCTATGTACCTTTGACACTTTCAACTCCCATTGAAAGGATTCGTGTCGTTCTAAACGAAACGAAACCGAAGTTAGGTATTATCGATTCCAGTGTCCTCGCCGATTTAGGATCTCTAGTTTGGTTTCAAACTTTAGAACTGGAAACTTGCACGTTTATGGAACAATATCCTGACGAAAACGTGACCGTCGTCCATCAAGTCTCTAATACCGCATATGTAGTCTTCACATCTGGAAGCACAGGAGAACCCAAAGGAGTTGCCATAACTCACCACAATCTGCAAAGCAACATTGCAACGCTCACTGAAATTTATCCTACTGGACCAAGTGCCAAGATTCTACAAGCTTGCTCTCAGGCCTTTGATGGTAAGCCTCTTATCTAGAGTCGTATATTCAAGTGAGAAATACATTGACATTCTTCGAGTCTCGGTCTTTGAAATATTTTTCGCATGGAATACTGGGATGACTCTTTGCTCGGCCACAAACGACATAATGTTCCGTGACATTGAGGCCGTCATCAGAAATATGCACATAACCCATCTGAGTCTCACACCAACAGTAGCCGGTTTAATTCGCCCTGAAAATGTACCAGAAGTGAGGGTTTTAGTCACAGCTGGCGAGGGTTTGACAGCGAAAGTCCACCAAGACTGGGCAGGAAAAGGCTTATATCAAGGTGAGACTTGTTGAGAGAGATATGTGGGGAAATGGGAAGGATTAGGGCTAATTAGCCAACTCGCAGGCTACGGTCCATGCGAGACTACAAACATTTGCACAGTCAATCCTAATGTCTCTATGTTCGATGATCTAAGGAATATAGGAAAGCCATTGAAAAATACCTCGGCATTTGTCATCTCCGGTGGCTCTGATTTTACCCTCCTACCTAGAGGAGCTGTGGGTGAATTCTGCTTCGGCGGTGACCAAGTTGTAAGATCGGTATCTAAATTTCTTTAAGCAAAGGACTCGCTAACAACGGATTAGGGCGAGCAATACCTCAAACAGCCCGATTTGACAAAAGAAAGGTTCCTCGATCACCCTAATTTCGGCAGAGTGTATCGGTCTGGAGATTTTGGACGGCTGTTGTCAGATGGCTCCTTAATGTTTACAGGTCGTAGAGATGACCAAGTCAAGTTGCGCGGCCAGAGGATTGAACTGGGAGAGATTAGCAATGTGATCTTACACAATGAGAAGACCCGGGATTGTACTTCGATGATTGTTAGTAACAAGGATAAGGGCCAAGAACAACTTATATCTTTCTTCATTCCAGAGCGTTCGAGGTTCACAGAACACGAGTTTGACGATGAGCTAACGGTTTTGATAAACCGTCTCTACGAAGACTTGTCTGCCAAATTACCGCCTTACATGATTCCATCTTCCTTGATACCTATTGCATTGATTCCGATGACAGCGGTAAAGAAAATTGACACCAAAAAATTGACGGAAAAATTCCATTTACTGACTCCAGACGATCTACATCGATACTCGCGCTCAAGGCCGATCTCAGTTACGGACAATTTGACATCAGCCGAAGAAGGAATAGCAAGGATTATCTCCCAAGCTACTCAGACACCGTTGGAACATCTCAGAGTGAATACTTCCCTATATAGCATAGGTCTCGACTCATTATCTGCTATATATGTGTCGAAGAGGCTTAGAGAATCCGGGTTTGGCCAAATCGATATCTCTCTAATTTTGCGCAATAGCTCCATTGGTGAGCTAGCAAAAGCTATAGAGAGAGCGAAAGATGAAAGGGATGGTTCAATCGGTCTTCCAGCACTAAGAAAAAGCGGCTTTTTCGAGGATGATATTGTCCAGAAAATTATAGTCGATTTTGAAAAGATAGCGAACCTCAAAGTTGAATCAGTCATTCCTTGTACTGCCTTGCAGGAAGCGATGCTTTCGCGCACAGCTTCGCATGATAAACATGTTTATTGGAATCATATTTTGCTCGAATTCTATGGAGACGCTGGAAGACTTCGTGATGTCTTACAACAAATGGTTTGCAGACATGGGATTCTGCGGACATGTTTCGTTGGCACCAGTGACGCCAGATACTCATTCGCACAAGTCATCCTAGAAAGCATCTCGTTGCCCTTCATCTCAGTTGAAACAACAGACATGAATGTTGAACTAAGGAATCAGAAGTCGGCTCTCGCACAACACATACATGAACCATATAGAGTTCCATACTCTATCTCAGTCGTTACCGATACTTGCACAAAGCAAAAATTTCTGCTCGTCTCCATCCACCATGCGATACATGACGGCGAAGCAATGTCATTGCTTTTCAAGGAGATTGAAGATGCCTATGAAGGAAGTTCCTTGCCCCCCGCAATCCAGTTCCACCAATTCGTCGACTATATGTTAGCAGAAAACCATACGGAGCATGGCTCCTTCTGGGTCGAATATTTACGTGACATTTCCGTGTCACATATTTGCTCCCAGCGAGCAGCACCGGAAGAAGGTCCTCAATTCGAGATATTTCAGCAGGACCTTGGCATTACCCTGACAAATTTCGAGACAGCCTGCAAGAATCTATCTGTGACACCACTAACTGTGCTCCATGCCTCATGGGCGCGACTTTTGTCACTCTATACGAACTCTTCTGATATCTGTTTTGGAACTGTTGTAAGCGGTAGGACAGCGCTCCTAGATGGAGTGGAAGACATAATTGGGCCATGCTTCAATGTACTCCCTATTCGTGTCCAAATATCACCTAATGCTCTGAATATCGATGTGGTGAGAACAGCACAGAAAGCCAATGCCGACATACTAGCCCATCAACACACGTCACTGCGAGATATTCAGAAGAAATTCTCGCGACAGGGTAGACCTCTCTTCGACTCAATCGTCCTTTTCCAGCGCCCTGCAAGGGATATGAAACCCGAATTATGGAGACTGGTATCAGAAGAAGGGGAGATGGATTTCCCTATCATTCTTGAGGTCATACCGTCGACAAGGCTTAACAACATATCTATACATCTCCATACAGACGCTTCTCAAGTGCCATCTGCTGATGCACGTATGATCGTGGACGACTTTATCGATCTAGTATTTCATACGATAAAGTATCCGTTGACCCGAGGCCTTGACAAATTGTTTAGCCAAGGTGGGAAGCTACCGTCAGTTGTGCGGATAGCAAAAGAACTAAGGATCATGGACTCGACAACAGAGAATGTGACATCACCATCGCATGTGATGGCTGGGATTCTGGAGTTATCAGGCGAAGAAACCCTAGTCAGAGACGTCATGTCTGTTTTGTCCAAATATGAACAGGGCACCATCAAGCGCGAGACTACTATATTTCAACTGGGGCTTGATAGCATCAATGCCGTGCAAATTTCAAGGATACTGAAAGACAAGGGATATGCAGTGTCAGCCGCAGATATTCTAGAGGTAAGCTTCGAAGAAGAACCTTGTGATTGTTTAGAAGCAAACTAAATATGGAGCTATAGAAACCGAGTATGAGCCAGATTGCGGAGTTACTGCATAAGCCAACTAGTGGAATGCCATTGCAGTCGTTCGATTTCCAATCATTTGAGTTGGAGTATAAGCATCAAATTTTAAAGAAACTAGCAATCGAGGGGTCATGTATTGAGTCAATACGGCCATGCAGCTCAATGCAGTCCGGAATGCTTGCAAAATTCACAGAGTCTAAAGGAGAGTTATATCTCAATCGTCTTGTTTTAAAGATGAAGGAAAATTTAGACATCCTGCGCTTGAAAGATGCCTGGTCCAGGGTTATGGCCCGCCATGAAATGTTGCGAACTGGTTTTATACACCTGAAAGATCCGAAGTCTCCTTTCGCAATGATAACATATACCGAGAAGTATGCCACTCTACCATGGATTGAACGCAACCAAACACCGTCAGAAGAAGAATATCAACATCAAGCACGCTTGATTTTTAAGAATATGCATTTACCGCCATGGAAGCTTGCTTTGCAGCATTCCCAATTTCAGATGCAAGTCGAATTGACAGCTATGCATGCCATATATGATGCGCAGTCTCTGGACTTGGTACTCTGTGAAGTAGCTGAAGTGTATAAAGGTTCCGAGCCTCTTTCATTGCCAGTGCCTATTACACCTATATTGGGTCATATCCTCAACGCTGCATCATCTCAAACAGATTCTGGTGCAGATGCCTTTTGGAGTACGATGGAATCACAATTTCAAGCTACCAAATTTCCGAACCTGACCCCTTTCAACATTCGCAATTCTAATATGGTTGTGAAAAGTCAATATGCCTCAAAATCACTGAACACTATTAAGCAACGGTGCAAAAGCCTTGGAGTTTCCTTGCAAGCTGCAGGCCAGGCAGCATATGCCAGGCTTTTATCGAATTATCTAGGAGAAACTAATGTTTCTTTCGGTGTGGTCTTCTCTGGCCGTGACATTGATCGCCATGCTGAAAACGCAGTCTTTCCTTGTCTAGTGACTGTTCCAATCCAATGCCATGTTCAGCGGAGCAATAAAGAGCTTGTTTCATCTATCATGAGAACAAATGCTCTGCTCCTGAAGAATCAGTTTACACCACTGTCCCGAATTCAAAGGCTACTCAAACATGAAGGCCCCCTCATAGATACACTCTTTGTTTACCAGAAGTTATCTCGTAAGGAAACAGAGTCTCAGTTGTGGGAAGTTGCTGACGAGTATGCTAAAATTGATGTGAGCTAATTTCGATGCATGTCTTCCAATCATGAACAAACATACTAACCCCCTCGCAGTACCCATTATCCGTAGAAATGGTTCTCGAGGGAGACAGTTTAGCACTACGTCTGACATGCAGAAGTGACATTATCCCTCAGGAGCAGGCTGGTCTTATGTTAAGGCAATTGGATTCTCTCCTGGTAGGCTGTCTGTTTATGGAAGACTCAGATAGCATGGACATCTCAGCTTTACACCCTGACCTACTTTCTGTCACACCTGCTAAAGAAAAGTACATACCGTCTCCTATCTCACTATTGCATGAGTACGTTGAGAAAACGGCACGAGAATTGCCCGATAAAACCGCGCTTGAATTCGTTTCGAGCGTCCTTCCAGAAGAAATGAGGAAAGAATCTTGGACATATCGTGAACTTGATCAGATGGGTAACAAGGTTGCAAGGCTTCTGCAATCTCTCAAAACTGAGACAAGCGGCCTGGTAGCAATTTGTTTCGATAAATGCCCATCAGCTTATTTCGCTATTCTTGGAGTGCTGAAAAGCGGTCATGCATATGTAGCCCTAGACCCCACCGCTCCGTTTGCCAGGAAGCAGTTCATAATCGAGGACTCGGGTGCTCGCGTTGTTTTATGTGCTTCAGACCGGCATGAAGAATTGCAATCATTGACCGGAGCCGAGGTTATTGCACTGGACCAGCAGCTCAATTCATTGAATGAAATGTCGTCAGATCCACTTGACCTTTCGACAAACATTGATCCTCAGGATACCTGTTACTGCCTTTATACATCAGGCACGACAGGGACACCGAAAGGATGTGAAATAACGCATGAAAATGCCGTACAGGCGATGGAAGCTTTCACGAGGCTTTTCAGCCCGCACTGGAACCAAGAATCCCGTTGGTTGCAATTCGCTTCTTTTCACTTTGATGTCAGTGTACTGGAGCAATATTGGAGCTGGAGTGTGGGGATCTGCGTCACATCTTGTCCTCGAGATGTCTTGTTCCAAGATCTTCCGGGGACTATCAATCGTCTTGAAATCACGCATATTGACCTAACTCCAAGCCTCGCCAAACTCGTTACCCCTGAAGAGGTTCCATCACTATGTAAAGGAGTATTTATTACCGGTGGCGAAGCTCTCAAACAAGAGATTCTTGAGGCATGGGGAAAGCATAAGGTCATTTATAATGGTTACGGGCCAACAGAAGTTACCATCGGTTGTACTATGCTTCCAAGAATGGATGAGAACAGCAAGTCGTCTAACATCGGCCCCCAGTTTGACAACGTGGGTTCATATGTTTTTCAGCCAGGAACGAATATACCGGTACTACGAGGATGCATAGGCGAATTGTGTGTTTCCGGTGCTTTGGTTGGCCGGGGCTACTTGAACCGGCCAGAGCTAACTCAAGAAAGATTCCAATATCTCGATAACTTTCGAAAAAAGGAAAGATTCTATCGTACAGGTGACCTTGTTAGGATATTGCATGATGGCAGTTTCCAATTTAATGGCCGCATTGATGATCAAGTGAAACTTCGAGGGCAACGACTGGAGCTTGGGGAGATCAACGCCGTGATTCAAGAGGCCACAAGTGATGTATCAGAAGTTGCGACATTGGTCATCAAACACCCAAGTCAGCAGAAGGAGCAGCTTGTGGTGTTCGTCTCATACAAAAAGCAGGCCACAGACAAAGCGAAAACGGCCAATTCGCCCGAGGTTCTCAATGATGACCACGGAAAAACCAGCGACTTCCTCGCATGTATCAAGCAAGCGGCTCAAAATAAGCTTCCTGGATACATGATGCCAACGCATTTCATTCCTATAAAGTCATTACCATTGACCCCGAATAACAAAATTGATGTCAAAGCTTTGAAAACTTTCTTCTCGGCACTCTCCCTCGAGCGTCTTCAGGCGTTAAGTTCTTCAGCCAACGAAACGAGGTCATTGATTGAAAAGGATATCCAAGCTGTTATTCGAGTTCTTGCACAATTTGCCAAGATAAGTTTAGATGCTATCTTTCCAAATACTAGTATCTATGATATCGGACTTGATTCTATATCAGTGATTGGGCTTGCCCAACATTTTAGAGATGCGGGATATCAAAATGCACAGGTTTCAATGATCATGAGGAGTAAGATTATTCACAGTGATTCCCCTATTTTTGTTTAAATGAACAAAAGAGTTGTCCCTTCGAACTGACATCAAATAAAATGACTATTAGATCCTACTGTTGCGGATATTGCGACGTCATTAAAAAGCAATGCATTGAGCATAAAGTCAACTGATTTGCAAAGCGCAGATATCAAACAGAAGTTGAAGGCATTCGTCCATGAAAACTCCGTGAACGGCGCAGAAAAAATTGGTATTTCTCTTCAAAGCATCGAAGATATGGCGCCTTGCACACCATTACAGGAAGGCATGATAGCACGGTTTCTGGAAAGCTTCCGCGGTCTCTACTGTTCATCTTTTAGGTTCGAATTGAAGCCCGAAACTGATCTTGGTCGATTGAAAAACGCTTGGGCCGAAACCCAGATAGGCGTCCAGCTTCTTCGGGTTCGCATGACCCCATTGGTAAATGGATATGCTCAGATTGTTTTGAAGCATGATGAGCTGCCATGGATCGAAATGGATGCAGAGAACGAGCGTGACATCCCCTTTGTATTTGATAATAACTGGAACGCGTGGCGCACTGAACTACGAGACTTTTCCTGCGCATTATGGAGATTGGTTGTCGTCAAATCCCCAAATCGTAGGTTTCTTTGCTTGAACATATTTCACGCTCTTTATGATGGCAATAGTCTCCCGATATTGTTAGAGCAAGTGGCTTTGAGATATCACGGCAAACCTATTTGGGAGAATATACCAAAGTTCATGGATATTTTACCCTATGGTCCGTTACGAATATCACCGGGGGCCAGAGAATTTTGGATGGAACATTTAGTCAACACCCCAGGCGGGCGTCTATTCAATGCACCCAAAACCGCTGCACCTGAGTCTATTTCTTTAACGCGAGTCCTGGACCAAGTGCCAGATTATGAGCATATCAAAGCTACTCTTCAAGTGACGGAAAACTCCATATTTCACGCATGCTGGCTTCTCACACTACAAGAACACTTTTCTCTTGTCCCACCTCTGGGAATCGTGGTCTCCGGGAGAGCTCTGGATATTCCTGGTATTGAGTCTGTTACTGGGCCACTTTTCAACACAATACCAAGTTATATACCGCTACATAACCTGAAGACCAAAGCTGACCTCATAAGATCCTGCCATCTATTTCATGTATCGGCGCTTCCATTCCAACAAACCCCGCTTCGAGACATTATGAAGTGGACGAGAAGACGACCGAGAAACCCTCTTTTTGAAACCCTTTTCGTATTTCAGAAAGAGCTCAAAAAAGCATCGCCGTCTCCCGCAACAAATATCTGGACAGTGATTGAGTCGGCGGATGCACCTGCTGACTTCCCCCTCTCTTTCGAGGTTAGGCAGAGTGCAAATACTGTAATATTAACCCTAACATCGCAAGACTTTGCAGTACCTGCAGATACGGCGAAAGCACTTTTGTCAACTTTTGAGAGGATCTCCAAGGATATACAGTTCAATCACGTATCTGCTCTACCTGACGTAGATGAATCTTCGAGTCAATCAATTTCGAACCCGAATATTCTGCCACAATCAAATGGAACGGAAGTCGAGAATACCGTAGATGAGAGTGATTGGTCCTCCGTCATGATAGAGGTTCGCAATGTCGTCGCTGATCTTGCGGGAGTCGACATAAGCACAGTGCATCCGGGGACATCTATATTCGAGCTTGGGCTAGATAGCATTGATGCTATCAGGTTATCCTCGCGACTCAAACATCGTGGTATCGATCTTCCTGTCAGCTCAATTATGAAACACCAAACAATCTTGAACATGTCAGAAAGGTTATCTGTATCGACGACTTCATCGAATGGTATCTCACATGTCTCCCTTGCTCAGCTTGAAGATGAAATCAGAGCAAGCTTAGGGCAGGCTGGCAAACTACGGAGTGATGCCATCAAGGTTCTACCTTTAACAGCACTTCAAGAATCTATGGTCGCTGAGATGCTCATTTCAAAATATCAGCATTATTATGGCGTTGAGGTTTTTGAGGTCATGCAAGATACGGATATCCCAAGACTACTGGAATCCTGGGATGCTGTTATAAATGCCAATCCTATCCTTCGAACATCTTTCGTGGAGATAGAGGATCCCAAACTCTCCATGTCCTTTGCTCAAGTTGTGCATCCACCAAAACATCGGCATGTTCAGGAAATTGATATACAACAATCGTCCATAAATGATTTTATTCAGTCCAAAATCTTCGATGATGTTTGTCCTGCTTTCTACGTTAATGGAATTCGAAAGGCATATAAATATTATCTTATCCTCTCTATGGCCCATGCTCTTTACGATGGGTGGTCGCTTGACCTTCTGCACGCCGACGTTGAAGAAGCATATCGTGGAAACACCGTGGCCCGTCCATCATATGAGCCAGTACTAGAGCAGATACTTAATGAAGCTGGAGAAAGCCATAGGCAGTTCTGGACAGCTGCACTAAAAGACTTCAAGCCGCGAACTTTTCCAATTGGGCAACATCCTGGTGGCAATCGATCGGAAGTGCATCGAACAGAATTATTATTTGATATTCCGAGCGAAACAATTAAGCACTTCTGCCGACAATATGGAATAACAGTGCAAGCATTAAGTGTCGCTACCTGGACTCTCACTCTGGCCAGCTTTGTGGAAAGTCTTGATGTAGGTTTCGGGCTTGTTCTTTCTGGACGAAGTCACGCAGACGCCGACAAGGTCATGTTCCCGACAATGAACACAGTTGTTTTTCGATCTATTTTACATGGCTCCAGATTGGAAATGCTTAAGTATGTCCAAAACAGTCTAAATTCTTTGATTGAGCACCACCACTACCCTCTTCGTAAAGCTGGCAGTGAAGTTGCAGCTGGAAATTTGTTTGACACACTATTCATCTACCAAAAACGACCGACTTTCTCGTCATCACGAAGCCCAATCTACAAATCTATCAGTGGAAAATCAGACACAGGTTATCCTCTATCAGTAGAGATGGAGCTTTTGGAGGAGTCAATCATCTGCCGTCTCGCAGCTCGAGATGATCGTTTTGGCATGAAGGATGCAACAAATATTCTCGATCGCGTGGCCCAAGTTTTCCGACTTGTAATTTCTAAGCCACAGCATCCAACAATAGAATTTGCTGATACTGGAATAAGAATATGTGGAAGCCCTTTCTTCCATGAGAATCGCATTGAATTACAACCAGATCCTAACGGTGGCGAGGTTCCCACGTCGGAAGTTTCGACATCGTGGACTACCCTGGAATCTAAAATTCGCGAAGTGCTTTCAGTGATCTCAGGTACAGCTCAAGAAGATATCAAAAAGGATAGCACACTATTTCATTTGGGACTTGATAGCATTAGCGCAATCAAGGTGTGCTCATTATTGAGAAAGCAGGCAATTGTTCTACCGGTCAGTTCCATGCTGAAAGCCGGATCCATACATAAAATGGCTGCTGTGGCTGAATTGGGACAAGAGCATATCGAGCAACATATTTCTAGCGACGATGATGCGTACATACTTAAGAAGGTTTTAGGCGCGCTTGATATGCGAAACCTACTATCATTGAACGGCATCTCTATGCAGGAGGTCGACACCATCCTTCCAGTCACCGCAGGACAAATTTACTGTCTTGTTAGAAACGCACAAGATCCACAATTGTTTCACGCGAGTTTCTATTATAAGGTCGCAGGATTAGACAAAATTCAGTTAAGTGAAGGGTGGAAGCTTCTGATGAGACGGCTTCCGATTCTGCGCACGGCATTCATTCGCACTGGTCACAGGGAAACCCCGTGGGTGCAGGTAATTATGAAGAATTTGGATAATTCGATATGCTGGCATGCAACAACTGAGGATGTCGAGTTCTTGTCTCCGGTCCCGCGTTCTGTCGCCGCAGGGCCTGTTTCTCTACACGCGGTGGAAACTGGACAAGGGCTAGTGATAAATCTGCATATCCACCATGCACTTTATGACGCGATTAGTCTTCCCAGGATCATCGATTGCCTTGGACAGATCTGTACTGATGTCAATACGCAACTGGATGGCAATATGGACTTTGCCAAATTCATAATATATCAGAATGTTCACTCGCTATATACTCATCGCCATCAATTCTGGAAGACTTACCTCGCAGGAGTCCGTCCCCGTATTTTACCAGTTCTGGAAACAAACCATGACTATTCCGGTCAAGAAAGTAGGCACGGTTTGTACCAACCTGGACTATTTGAGGATATCGAAAGCATAGAGGCGGTGGCACGACAACACGGTCTCAGTTCACAATCTTTGTTCATGGCAATATACGCAAAAATACATTCAGAATTACTGACAGAAAGCCTCGCAAATGGGGAAAGTAAGGGAGGGAATCATCACCCAGTAGAGGATGATTTCGTCGTGGGTGTATATCTGGCCAACAGAGGATATGATCTCGAAGGACTACAAGATATGATTTCTCCTACTTTGAATATGGTACCGTTACGTATTGCGGCACTCCCTTCTTCGTCGTCTTGTTCGTCCTCTCCCTTGATCGAAAGCGCGCATCAGATCCAAAGGGATTTGCATGAGATTAGCCGCGTGGATCATTCGGGAGTATCACTGCTAGAGATCAAAAACTGGACAGGCATCCGTGTTGATATCTTTGTGAATTTCCTTAAGTTACCAGATCCCGGATTAGAAGAAGAAGAGTTAAAAGAGACGGTTACAGGCCATGGAATCAGTTTTGTCCCATTGCAAGCAGAAAAACTGGGGAAAGTCACACATGGTGCCTCGTTGGCTAAGAGTCATGCTCATGGCAGGGATGGGCTAGGGAGTCCACGCAGCAAGGAAGAAGAGGAGAAATGGAAGGAAATTTATATGGTTCGTTAATCTTACACAATCCCCTCCCCCTCCTTCCATTGTGATTTTTCGAAATTTCGCTAATTCATGAGAAAAACTACAGAATTGCATAGATATCGAAGCCGCCGTCCGGGGTGGGAAACTTGATGTTGGCATTTTTGCCCCCGAGATGCTATTAACTAAGAACAAAATTGAGGCCCTTCTGAGCCGGATACAGAGAGAGTTGAAGGATATGTTGCTGCTATCTTGAGTTTCCTTCTGAAAAGAGTTTTGTTTTGTGTGTTTATGACTGTGAATGTATTGTATGGTCCAGTTTAGGTTTATTTTCTGTTTTTCTTGTACGTCATTTATGATGGAAATGATTATAAATTACTAAAGCAACATCTTGAAGCCATGAATTAGTGAAGATTTCGGGAAGCTATGGCAGTTCCCTGGAATTACTTAGCTAGTCGATACTACGCATAGGTTAGAGAATTATCATGGTTTACTTTCATATAATCGACGATCCATGCTTCCGTACAATTTAGCATTAGAACGATATGCTAACACTGTTGACCATGCAGGGTCGTCGCATATCATATAGTTCTGTAGGAATGAAGTACCGCAAATACAAACCGAGATGCAGATGATGCATTAGAGATATTGACACCACTTGAATTTTGTCGGTCAGGATGAATAAAATACCAAAAATTACTTTTAGCTCAAAAGTTTGTTGAAGCTTTTCTTTTGGGGCTCTCCTTCACTCCTGACTGACAATTTTGGCCATCAATTTCTGGTATCCTTGATTGGTGGTACTACTCACTGGGTGATCGAAATCAACGACGTATGTCACGGCAATGTTCGCGGCAGCTGTTGCTCCAAATCCTTGCATGCTGTAGGCGATAGCAGCGCCAGCCAAAGAATGCCCCTGCCAAAATAGCAATGTTGAAGATTATTGACAAATGACCAAGTTCATGGAAATGAATAAAGACCAGTGCTACACTGGGCACAGGGCATCCAAAGCTGCGGTTAGAAAACCGCCGACTGCTCGCGACGCAAAAAGATTACCATACAATGTCGCAAAGTAGCTCCAAATGTTCCAAGAATTGTAGTAGTACAGAGGAAGAGAATCGAGAGGTTACACTAGGCGTTTCCCAGTTTTCCTTGCCATGAGCTTTTGAAATGAATATAAGCAATCGTTAGTGCAAGCGACTCCCATATAGACGAGACGAATTGGTAGCTACTTACCCAAAGCAAGGCTCCAAAACCCATTGCAAGCACATTCAGTGATGATGGCTACGGTACTAAGAAGGGAACAAAAAGAAGTGCCGCATCAGGTTGCAATACTTACTCGAATAACTAGCTTCTGTCGAAGATTCTCCAAACTGCTTAACGACTTCCTCGACTGCGGCAGTAAAAGCAGAGGAGTTCATAAACGGCAGAAACGTAAACCAGCAAAGTGCTTCTCCTATTGCGGCCAGTTCTAGATTATATTTATTATCAAATTACAGCCAAATCGTCTCTGTCGTGGGTAGGATCGCATTGTTAGCGGGTTGTTTGGGCATTCCTCGGCTGTGGGCGTAATATGACGTCTGACTTAGATGTTTTTCCCGTGATAATGTCTTCATTAGCAAACTCATAATGTAGGTAGTTGATTTTTTTAGCCATAGCAATGTCGATGAAACCGCGTGTGTAGGAAGGATTGAGCCTGCAGAGGTGCGTGCTAATGCTAGCCTCGAAGGAGCAAGCTTCCCCTTGATACTCCAAATTAATCTTTGTCTCACGGAGAAGCATATCGCCGCCGATTATGCAGCTAGCCGTTGCCAATTAGTATCGCCGGAGTCTTCTTTACCCCACGGGGGAATTTCCAGAGTGTGAAATGATTAGTTAAAAGGACAGCTATCACCCCACTTTTACCCCGGACAAGCTTAAATCCACCACGTGGAGGCTGCTTAGGCTGCTCAACACCCAGGACGGGGTTTTCCCGGAAATGGGCGGAAGAAGCCTTTTCCAGACCACTACCTTGTAGTAATAACCTAACTTCTGCGATGACCTCCTTGTTTGAATTTGTATCCTTTTCCACTTTTAGGCGGTCAGCCACGACGTCGAACAAGGTTACCGTCGCATTTGCAGCCCTATTGTATGACCGCTTCCAGCCATTGCAGTCAGGAGAAGGGCTACCCCGGAAAGAATCGATCTTAGTTCTCTTTCTCTGAATCATTTCAGAGATGTCTTTGACTGCATGGCTGGTGGGAAAGAGTTCGATGCATCCGAGCTTAGTCTAAGCGAATACATCTGCCGGTATGCAACTGGCGTCCGCGACTTCGTTGTCCCGTGTTTCTGTCCAGGGCATTTCGACACATATATATCGCATTGATCAGCAACAGTGTCAAAGAACGCAAGAATCTGAATGGCAAAAAGATTGGTGTGTCGCTCTACACCATGACCGCAGCAGTCTGGAATGGATCCGTTCTGTGCTCGAACAACATGGAGTCGATCTTGATAGCGTGCAGTGGTGCAAGGTTCTTTGATGAGCACCACATCATCTGGAAAACCAGCGCCGATGCCCTTGACAAAGCCCGTGAATATCATACAAAACGACAGTGGCAAGTCGCTAAGCTAGAGGATGATGATATTACTGCAATATTTGGAGTAGACCTTCCACCTTCTTTTCGCACAGCGGAACATGTGAAGAGATTATTTCCGGATTGAGAAGAAGTTGAAAAGACATGTTTTAAAGAAAGGCATCTTCCCCATAATGCACACTGTTGTCGTGAAGCGAGAGCTGGTGGGCAAGCATGCATGGCTTCCATCTAGCCTGTTTCGCGGTCTATATGATGCAAAGGAAGTTGCAAGGGTTCGGATGCGATCTCTCGACGTTTTGAGATATATCCTTCGGAGAGATACATGGGTTTACGGCATCGAGCCGAACCGCAAAACACTTGAGGCGCTTGTAGATGCTTTGTATGACCAAGCAATAATAAGTAGCAAGCCGAGCCTCGAGAATCTGTTCGCTCCGATTCGGGGCCAAGATTGGAACTGGCTGGGGGACAACGGGCCCAAAGGCTTCACGCTGATTTGCCCTGGTAGTCATCCCTAGCTTATATGGTAGTTTATACATGCCTACTATGTAGTCGAGGGCTACTGCCTGTCATACAAGACGTGTAGGTTGGTTAAGATCTACCTATGTACGTACGTATCTAATTTTATACATACCTTCGCCATTGAATTCATCCCTACCAATGTGGTTCATGTAGCAATAAACATCAAGTGCCACCAAACGAAGCCAACACTGCAAATACTGCAGTCCGCAGGATTGGCCATGGATTGGACTTCCAACTCATCAGAAAGGCTGCTTTTTCTTGATTTATTCGGGTCACTGGCTCGATCTTCGATATGCTTAGGAATCTTAAGTTTACTTCCTAGGCCCGCCAGACCGTGAAGGACAAACGTTTTGCGAACTGGATTTCTCCAAAAAGGGGAGATGTCGTTGGATAGTTGAGTCTTTCACCGTGTTGGTCTCTCCGTACCTAGGTAGACTTGATAGTGACTCTTAGCCAATAAAAGTTGTCAGGTATGAGTCGGGAAAGCATGTCCTGTGCACCCTCGCATTATCCGTTTGGCTGATAAAAATCACCATTGACGGATTGGAACTTGGAGAAAATAGTTGGGCCATTGTATGAGTCCTTGGCACACGTGATGAAAATGTTCCAAAATGCGCCTTCTCGGACAATGTCGTCCTCCCTCGTGGATCCTGGCATACTACTACTCGCCCAGGATTTCTTCATGAAGCTTTAGCTCGCAATGTTATAACCTATATCCGCTATCTTCACAAGAGCAGGTTTTTGGGAGCCTGGCCATTATGCTTTGACTGCCAAATGATTGATGGACATAAAACGTGAATTCCGAGTGGGAAATGGGGAACCGTGCCGAGCTGTGGTTCAGGAAATTAATGCCCATAGACAGAGGAACCACGCTTCTATCTCCTAGGAGCCCCTAGCATAGACCTTGGAGGTCAGAGATGCTCCTAGAAGCCTTCAACCATGCTCCGGGGACGCGCATGCCAAGCTTCTAAATACAGAATTTGAGTTTATCCAACTCTGTACATAGTCTAGGCCGAGCTGCTTGGTCAACAGCACACCATCCCAAATGGTCAATCAGTAGATCATCAAGCATAGTTTGGAGGTGAGCACTAAAACGGGAAAGGCCACAAGCGACAAGAAAACGTATGCGCGTTTTGTATTAATAATAGTATCAGGGCAATGACGGCGAAGACACTTGACGGATCATAGGCAGTATTGTGTAGTCTTAGGTAGTATTACTTGTTAGTAAAATTAGTAGCACAACCCTAGAAAAAAGGGAGAGAAAGAGAGAGAACCATGATGGACAATCGAACTATTGATGGTCCCTTCCTTTCTGCTTCGGAGGCAACCAAATAGTACCTCCTGAAAGCGTGGACCGGGAGCGTGGGTGCTGAACATATGTAGGAAGAGCTAGTAGTCGCAAGTCGATAAATAATTGACGATGGTAGAGAAAAAAAAGCAAGGGTGGTGAGATGTGATATGTCGCGGCCCGCGTCAGGTGACCGGCGACACCCTATTGGTCCTTTTCGCGGTCTCGTTGCAAGAAGAGACGAGGTGGATTTTCTGAGACTATGGGGTAATAGAGCACCATATCACAAGATCAATCACCAAAAAGCAAGCAACAGCACATGCATTGCGATGCGATGCGATTACGGCTCTTGTTGATTGACGCCCGTTCCTGTGTATGGAGAATTGCGAGTCTGGCTTACGTAGATTTCGCCACAGCGTGTTCTGCATTGTTTTTCGGTTTTGTATGTTTTGCTAGGCGAGCGTCGGGCAGTGCTAGGTTCTAACAACAAGACAGTACGTATGCCACAGGCAGATATCCCGTGGAGATTATGGATAAGGGAGGATGGACGATAGTCGAATCTAATCGATAGACGATAAGTCGCAGCAGGAGGGAAAGAGAGGGAAGAAAAAAAAAAAAAAAAAAACACGTCAGATAAATAAATGCCAAAACGAGTAAGCAGCGCGTCCAGAACTAAACAACATCTGGCCCAAAGCGGGAAGGCGGCCCCACGTCAACAACAACGCGCGCATCTGAGCGCGTGAGGGTGCGCCTTCCCTCTTGGAAGTTGGACCGCGCCTGCTCCCACCACCAACCAGTCGCCGCTCGCTCCTTCCACGCTCGACACCAGTCAGGTCAGCAGTTGCCAGTTTGAACTTTGCCAGTGCCTGCCCAACCTACACCTCCGTACACACCTCGACGACTCCTCTTATCATATTTATTCTCTCGCGCGCGCATCCATCCCCTCACCGACTCCTCGACATCCATCCTCAGAAGCAACTTGCATTACTCTTACCAGCTCGCTTCGCTTCCTGCCTCACTTATATTTAATCATCGTCTGTCTCGCCCGCCATCCGACATCGAAACCCGTTCTCGACCTTTTACTCACCTTCATACATACGTACATTCCAGCCCAGATCTGCATTCCAGCCGTCTCCCACACCTGAGTGAGACATCCTTCGCATTCCAAGCGTACTCGGATCGCCTTCTTTTTTGTTTTGAGGTCATACCTCCTTTGGAACATTCCCCAACCCGGAGAATCGAACGCTTGGCGAATCGGTCCAATCTCGTGTTTCACCCCAGGCGCGTGCCTGTTATCGGAGGGAGGGGAAGAAACATTGGTGATCCAGGAGCACACATCGGACGACGTCAGAAGGTGCCAGTCAATCGATTTAGGGGGGTATCAGGGGCTCTGGAATTCCTCCTAATGACCTAATGCTTCAACGCGACTGGATCGTGGCACAGCACAAGTCCTTCGTATTCAACCACATTCCAACCGCCATTTCGCTTCCTCGACCCTTGACACCGTCCACACAGCCACCCAGCACACCCATAGGGACTGTTGTTTTCTGTGGGCGTGGCAAGTGTAGACACTTGAAATTGTCCAAGTGGCATTTGAATAATCACAAAGGCTACTATAAACCATCAAAGAGAAAATAGGCAGGGGTGGCACAATAAACTAACCTTTCGTCCCCCCAATATTCTCACTCTTGGTTGAGACAATAAGCAAGGGGAAAGGAAGAACAAAAGAATAAAAACAAGTCTTGGTTCTGAATATCGTCCACTATTGCGGGCTAAGTCAAATTTATTTTCCGCCCAGCATTCCTCAAAAGCATGGTCGCAACATTTTCACCACACCGGGATGCCGGAGGCACCCTGCATCTCCCATCACCTACTGGAATTCATCATGTGGATGCCAGCTCAGCAATAAGGCAGCTCCGGCGGTCTTTGTCGCGCTCTCCTTCAAAGAGTTCTGACTTCCGTTTCTTGTCGCGGTCTCACTCCCAAACCCCAAACACGCCATTTATTTCATCGCCTTTGTCGCCATCACGTCGCGGTAACCTGTTTTTTGTCCCAGCGACTACATCGCACGTCTCACCATTTACTGCATCAGTACCAGCGAAATCTACAGCATCGACTCTAACCACAACTGCTACAACTTCGTCTGCAACCCCTGTAGCGATCCCCTTCCCTCCAAGCGCCAAGATCAGTCGCCCAGTAATGCGCAGGACTGGTTCGCTACCCAATGCACGCTCTCGTACCTCTCCAAAAAGTCCCTCAAAAAGAGTTTTGAATGTGTCTAGTGACCAGGGGAATGCGACAGCTGCACCCCCCATTGCTAGTCCATTTATTGAAAACGAAAACCGCGTCCAAGAAGATAGTACAACATCAGAAAATTTCCAACCCTTCTCAACCGATCTATCTCCAGAAAACATTAACACCAATTTCGCGTTAAAACCAAGCCTTGGTCGCATTGAGAAGCGACGAAGCGGTAACTTTGGGTCCCTGGGTTCAGCAGTTAGCCCTTTAAAAAGAACTGACGGGGCAATGAACCTCGATCAAAACGAATTTGCAAGTCCGTCAGCAAAACGCCGCAGCCTGCAGTACATTAGTGGAGTGTCCGATTTTAGCATCTTTGACGCAACAGACAACTCTCAATCGTCTAACGACATCTCAAACAACATGGTTCGTGAAACTGAAACACAGCCTTTTGCGTTCTCCAGTCTTCCCGGAGGCAATTTTGCAACTATTCCAAAACGCTCTTCATCGCTGCGTCGTTCAACACTTCAGCAACGAGGTGAACGGCCACTCTTCAGTCGCTCGCGCCTGATGAATGTTGACTACCCTGATTCTCCTCCGAAGAGTCCAATTGCTGCAATGCGCCACCGCCCATCTTTGGATAGCAGTCTCTCTTCATCCATCCCCTTTCGCGACAACTTATTCACCCCGCAACCACGACCTGCGTCAAGCAACCCACTTTTCGCAAATGTTCAGCATGGGATGGCCAATTCAACTCCGCATGCGGCGCATCCCCTGTCCCGCACCATCACCCAATCTTCTTCTAGTTCTAGTCTAGCTGATGATTCTCCAACTCACGAACCCATCCATAAGAGCGATCGTCCAAGACCTATCTTCAACTTTTCCAAATCTCTTCCAGTGGGCACTACCAGACCCGAGCCCCAGCGTCAATTTACTAGAGAAGATTCCAATGCTTCAACGGACTCTTTTGCCACGCCAGATAACTATCGACAGGCTAAGCCATACGCTGCTGCATTCATGTCAACTGGGTTAATATCAAAGAAGAACCGCAATGCAGAGGATTCACAGAGCTCGTTCGGCGCTTCTACTAAGAATATGCCAGACACTCCGTGTAAGCGGTCTACAACCTTCCTTCCATCTGCTCAAAAGGCGCTACCCGTGCGACCCGTTTCACGCCCGAAGTTAGTCCGTCAGCCATTCCTGGCACCTTCCACTCCTTCTCAGCATGCGGTTCCAGCTTCAGGCCCATTCTCTCGGGGCAATGGTGTATTGAGTAATGTATTCAACCGACCCTACCACTCTCGACGAGACAGTTTTGTAAGTATTGATGGGGACGATGGTTCAATTTCTCAATCACCCTCGGCTCGCCATGGTAGTCAACAATCAAACGAGTCAGATTTCCCTCCAACCCCAACAAAGCAAACTCCCGCCACCCATGAAATTTTACCTGGCTCTCTTCGTGGCACTCCTCTTGGAGAAACGTCTATCAAAGTGCCAATTGATGCTCAAGAAGCAACCACTCCTTGCACTCCCAAGGACAGCATATTCCCTCCAGACCCCAGTGGGCTATCAATTTCTGCTCCCAACGAGCCTGCTCTAAGCCTAGACGATCTCAATGCATCCACCATAACTTTTCCTGCTACGCCTACTGCATCGCGCGACTACTTTGCGCCCACTGGCAAGCGGAAGAGTATGTCCCTGGGTGGATTCAATGCTATGGATGTGGACACTAGCTTGACGACCCGTTTTGACAAGGTAGAGCTCATTGGTACTGGAGAGTTTTCGCAGGTATATCGGGTTTCCAATCCTCCCGAGACCTCGCAATATAAGTCGATCTTTTCGTTACCATCAGCTGGTTGTAACTCACCGTCAGCCTTATCCGAACGTGTCTGGGCCGTTAAGAAGTCAAAACAAGCTTTCGGTGGCCCCAAGGACCGCACTCGTCGAATGAGAGAAGCGGAAATCCTTAGAGCACTAGCCCATTCAGATCACGTCATTTCTTTTATTGACCATTGGGAAGATAGAGGACACCTCTATATTCAGACCGAATATTGTGAGGAGGGAAGTCTAGACGTGTTTCTTGCTCAAGTTGGACTCAAAGCCAGGCTTGATGACTTTAGAATTTGGAAGATACTTCTGGAGTTATCACAGGTATGTTTTGAAATTCTTTATCGTTATAACATACTTATACAAAATGGCAGGGTTTGAAACACATTCATGATTCGGGCTTCATTCACCTCGATCTTAAACCGGCCAATGTATTGATTACCTTCGAAGGGGTACTCAAGATTGGTGATTTTGGCATGGCTACAACTTGGCCTGCGGAGAAGCACATAGAAGGCGAGGGCGATCGAGAGTACATGGGTCCAGAGGTCTTAATGGGCATGTACGATAAACCCGCCGACATCTTTGCCCTTGGCCTTATCATATTCGAGATTGCTGGAAATGTTGAGCTTCCCGACAACGGATTGTCGTGGCAGAAGCTCCGCAACGGCGATATCAGCGACGTTCCCAGTCTGACTTGGAGCTCGGAAACAAGCATACTACGTGATGCTTCGGGGAACCCCCTATTTGAAGGTTTCTCTTTTGATGAACTTTGCCATTCTGACCCCGCGTTCGAAGATTCGGGTATTGACTTTACAGGGTCTCGTTTACCTAAGCCACATCACCTTACACGAAGCGGAGAGCTGGTCGAACCTCCTAGCTTCATGGTAGATGCGAACCACGAAGATGCTTTGGATAAACTTGTTCGCTGGATGATTTCTCCAGATCCTTCCCAACGGCCTACCGCTGATCATCTTCTGCAAGCACATGGAATTCAATGGGCCATGACACGTCGCCGGGCTGGGGCTACCGTTTTTGAAGGAAACTGGGGTCCGGCTGACGAAATCCTCCAAGAGGATGCAGAGATGATTGATGTTTGAAAAACTAAGAATGGTAGTGAGAATCGTACTTTATACCATGGATGCGGCGTTTTTTCGGAGTCATGTTTGGCGGCGGTTTTGTATTACGATCGACTACCTTGCTACACGCTAGCGAAGGCTTTTTTTTCTATTGGCGCATTAAGTGATGCAGTCAGTTCAATTTACCACAAATTAGCGTGGTGTGCAGAGATGGCGCTAGTTTTTTTGAGGTTATATTTCTTTGGAAAGTTTCCCGGTCTTTGTTCCATCTCTCGAGCGTTTTTGTGGTTACTTTATTTTTGTGTCTAGGTATTAGCCTCATCTTGTTCTCTCGATATCCCTATCCGCATGATATTGTTATCATCGGTCTACTCATATATTCCCTTTGTCTTGTGTGTGTCTATGTACGTGCGTGTGTGACTGTTCTTTTGCATTGGATAGCCCTGGTTTTACAAAGCGCTTGGGTTGGTTCCCTTGGAAGAAACGAAACTAATGACGGAAATGATGAATACTCCTGTCTAATTGATCTTAACTTACGACCATCTTGTTCTCGTTCGTTTGTTTGCACCCATGTACAGTATGTCTTGCCGTATACAATTCCATATTGGAGGTATTAAATTGCTACTCAGTCTGGTGCAGCACATGCTGTAGTGACAAGCTACATTCCAACCAACATCAGTGATATGATATAATGTCTCAGCAATTAAATGTGGCAACGCTCTGTAGGTATGTAGTTACAAGACGGTTGGAGAGTTAGGGCTGATTTGCCACCCATCGTTGAACGGTTGAAGCGGAGATGTCAGGAAAGTCTTGGCATCGACTTCCACCCGGCGACGGCACGTTCACTTTTTTCTTTTGGACATACATTCATGCCAGTAATTCATTTTCAAACCTACTCAGTTCTTGTATCATTTTTTATTACTTCCAGTTGATAGCGGTCGCCTGTCCTGGAACGTTACATGCTTCATATTACAAATTAAAAGCTAGCTCACGGACTAGCTTAGCCGTCGCAAGCAAGCGGCCCTGCTTTCAATAAAATCTCGCTCTAATCCGAACAAACCTTGCTGGAGAGAAAAAGAACGAAAGGAAAGGTAAAATGGATACTCGCACCTTTGTCTCCGACTCCCTCCTCCACTTCACAGGGGCGTCCGACCCGACAATTGTCGACTTTGTCATTGCTACCGCGAGCGATGCGAAATCGGCGGGTGTACTACGAGACAAACTTATACCGTTTTTAGAGGGAGGCGATGAACATGGCATTGACGCGTTTTGCGCCGATCTTTACGGGCGAGTGGGTTCTGGTGCTGGTGCTGGGAAACGACAACGTTCTAATACCGCGGCCGAGTCATCGTCAAGGAAAAGATACCAATTAGTTGAAATGGGGGATGATGATGCAGATCTAGCATATACGAGTACAAGTCGGGAACAATCAGATAAGCGCAGACGCAACAAGGGGAAAGGAGATGGTGGTAGCGCGCGCAGTCGTTGGGAGAACGAGGACGAAGACTCTGAACAGCAACTACAACGCAATCGACGGCGCGAGAAAGATGCGAGCAGTAGTAGTAGAAAGAGGGATCGAAGTCGAGATGCCGATGACCGTTCCCGCCGTTCGCGGAAGCTTCGCAGAAGAGGAGATGGTAATGACGATTTTGAGGATCGCTGGGGTGATGAAGAGATACCCGAGGAAGAACTACACAATGAGGAGGAGGAGGAGAATGAAGCGATGGAATTACCGGCGAAACGCACTCGGCTGGAAGATGGTTCGGCATCGCCTCGATCGGCATCGGACATGGATGAAGGTGCCCGGGCGGAACGAGATCGTCTGCGCGACTTGAAGGAGCGTGATGAGTTTGCGAAACGGTTGGCGGAGAAAGAACATTCCAAGTCGAAGAAAAAGATAGTTGAAGATCGCACTCGCCGGGCCGGTGACTCAAGTCGTCGTGCTTTGGCAGACGACGCCGAGGCCAGAAATGCAGCTATGTCGGATCTTCGGTTGCGGTCTAGGCAGGAATATTTGAAGAAGCGAGAAGTGGAACGAATCGCACTTCTCCGGAGGCAGGTCGCGGAGGAGAGCATGGAATTACGTGAAAACCCTACTCTTACTCGCCGAGAGAAGGAAGAATTCGCAAGGAACCGCGAAGTTCTTCGCATAGCAGAGGAACGACTCCGTATCGATGATCACCGCGATGGCTATATGATGCCCGAGGACTATATCACGGAGAAAGGCAAGATTGATCGGAAGAAGAAAGAGGAAGCTTTATACAAGCGATATGTCGATCGCGATGAGCAAGGTCAGGAACGGTTTGTCACGGAACAGGAGGAATGGGAGCGCGAGCAAACAGCCAAAGCAAAAGCACAGATCTCGCGAGCCGAGTTTGTGGACGAGGGAGATTACGAATACGTATTTGACGATGCGCAAAAGATCAATTTTATCATGGATTCCAAGCTTGAGGGCGATAGAAAGCCATTGACCAAAGAGCAACGGATGCTACAGCAGCAGTTGGATGCGGCCGAAAAGAAAGCGGCATCTATTGAAGAAACGCGGAAGAGCCTTCCTATATATCAGTTCCGAGATGAAATCATTCAAGCCGTGCATGATCATCAGGTGCTCATCATTGTTGGAGAGACCGGTTCTGGGAAGACCACGCAGATCCCCCAGTATCTACACGAGGCGGGCTATACGAAAAATGGTATGAAAATTGGTTGCACACAACCACGACGAGTGGCTGCCATGAGTGTTGCTTCTCGAGTAGCAGAGGAGATGGGAGTGAAGATAGGCAACGAAGTTGGCTATGCCATTCGGTTTGAAGACAACACTAGTGACAAAACCGTTCTAAAGTACATGACGGACGGTATGCTTCTACGAGAGCTCCTTACAGAGCCCGATCTGAGTGCATATTCTTGCCTTATGATCGATGAAGCTCACGAACGTACACTCAGTACAGACATAGCCTGTGGACTGCTAAAAGATATCGCCAAAGCACGACCGGACTTGAAGCTTCTCATTTCTTCGGCGACGATGGATGCCCAAAAGTTTCAAAAGTATTTCAACGACGCACCTATTTTCAACATCCCTGGCCGCCGATACCCTGTCGACATTCATTACACTTCCCAGCCGGAAGCTAACTTCCTTGCTGCTGCTATAACTACGGTCTTCCAGATCCACATCACACAAGGGCCCGGTGATATCCTGGTGTTCCTGACGGGTCAGGAAGAAATTGAAGCAGCGGAACAAAGTCTTCAAGAAACGGCGCGCAAGCTGGGCGGCAAGGTGCCTGAAATGATCATCGCTCCGATTTATGCAAATCTGCCATCGGAGTTACAGACGAAAATCTTCGAGCCTACGCCTCCGGGAGCAAGGAAGGTTGTCCTTGCAACGAACATCGCCGAGACTTCTCTGACTATTGACGGTATAGTATATGTTATTGACCCAGGGTTTGTCAAGGAAAATGTGTTCAATCCTCGCACTGGCATGGAAAGTTTGGTGGTTACCCCGTGCTCGCGAGCATCTGCGGGCCAGCGAGCAGGGCGCGCGGGACGTGTTGGTCCGGGCAAATGTTTCCGGTTATACACCAAATGGGCATATCACAACGAGTTGGAGGAGAACACGACACCGGAGATACAGCGTACGAACCTTAGCAGCGTCATACTCATGCTCAAGGCTCTGGGCATCGATCAGCTGCTTGATTTCGACTTTATGGACCCTCCTCCTGCCGAGACCATCATCCGCGCATTGGAACAGCTCTATGCATTAGGCGCACTCAATGACCGTGGCGAGCTTACTAAGGTTGGAAGACAAATGGCAGAATTTCCCACGGACCCGATGCTGGCCAAGTCCATCCTGGCAGCTGATAAGTACGGATGTGTGGAAGAGGTGCTCTCGATCATTTCGATGCTTGGCGAGGCGAGCGCTCTTTTCTACCGGCCCAAGGATAAAAAGATCCACGCGGACAGCGCTCGAGCACGATTCACAATCAAAGAGGGCGGCGACCATCTCTCGCTGCTCAACATCTGGAATCAATGGGTCGACTCGGACTTCAGCTACGTCTGGGCCCGCGAGAATTTCCTGCAACAACGCAGCCTGACACGGGCGCGCGATGTCCGCGACCAGCTTGCAAAGCTGTGTGATCGCGTCGAAGTCACGGTCTCATCGGCGGGGGCCAACAATATCATCCCGATCCAGAAAGCGATCACCGCGGGATTTTTCCCGAATGCGGCGCGTCTGCAGCGCGGTGGTGATAGTTACCGGACTTTGAAGCAGGGACAAACTGTCTACTTGCATCCGTCGAGCACGCTCTTTGAGGTCAATCCGAAGTGGGTTATTTATCACGAGCTGGTGCTTACGAGCAAAGAGTGTATGTACAAACAATGCCACCTCATCCTTTTGCGCGTCATACTAACACAGTGAAAAACAGACATGCGCAACATAATGCCCTTGCAAGATATATGGCTCCTGGAGGCAGCTCCACATTATCACAAGAAGAAGGATTTGGAGACGCTGGGTTTGGATAAGAAGGTACCTAGAGGGGAGGGTGCGGCTGGAGAGAGAAGCAAGATGTAACTATATAACTAACTACTTACTAACTTATACCTTGAGTTTGTTTATATGGAGGGGCTTATATTGGTGGCTTGGCACACATAGACTGACTAGCCCGCTTAAGTACGGACCCAGCAAGGACAACAGCCAATCAACAGCGAGGTATTAGTATGCTATGCGCGGAGTCATTGCCGAACCTCGGCATGCCACCTCATTCAACATCTACATAACTCAAGTTACCTTTAGTTGATATTATTATAATATTATTCCACCCTACACATATCTCTGCGCCGAATCTCAAGGCATCTATTTTTTCAAGAAAAGAAAAGAAAAGAGAGACAAGTATGCGTCCCGTGTCCCGTCTACAGCGTACCCGAGACCTAACTAACCTGCTCGACAGTTCAGTTCCCATTCCAAAAATTAAATAAAAAATGTCCAAACAATTCACCCCGGCCGACGTGGCAACCCACAACACCGCCGACAACGGCCTCTATATCATTATTGACAACAGCGTCTTTGACGTGACCAAGTTCATCGACGAGCATCCTGGCGGCAGTAAGATCCTCAAGCGGGTTGCGGGCAAGGACGCGACCAAGCAGTTTTGGAAGGTTTGTCTTTCTTCTTCTTCTTCTTCTTCTTCTTTTTTCTTCTTCTGCACCGTTCAAAGAGCCAGGGCTGATTTCTCATGGTGTGCATAGTACCATAATGAATCCGTTTTGAAAAAGTATGCGCCCAAGCTGAAGGTTGGTGAAGTCAAGGATGCGGCCAAGCTGTGATGGACTGCGAGCAAATGAAGAGCATTCTGAGGATTGGGTGCATTCTTTAAGTAGTTAGTTAAGTTAGCTAGTTACATTTGATATTGGTTTAGAGTCAGCGGCCTCGGAGAAAATGTAACCCAGGGTTGGTTCCAAGGCGGCTAGCCATTTTCTCTCCCGCAGGCAATGCTTGGCATGGCCCAGTTCGCCAAGACTTCCTCCTCCACCTTGAATTGTCACTTCTTATATTCGTCTCGCTCCTTCGTCTACATCAGAAACCAACAATCCTCGCGTGGATTCGGTTTCTCACTCCGCGACGGCGATTTTCTCTGCAACATGAATACTGCAGTCACGTCGTCTAGGGTCCTCCCAGCAAGAACTCCAAGGTAACCTCGATCCCTGTACAAAATCATGAGCATAGGGACCTTGCGGGCAAGGCGTAACCCAATCACGCATCGCATGGCATCTACCTTTTTCTCAAAGGTACTTATTGTGGACAGATTACCTAAGTATTACTGCTACTCCTACAAGGTACGAAGGTGGGGGGAACTGAAAAAATAATAATAAAAAAAATGAAAGAAACTGAAATCCTCGACTTAGGGCTAGCCCAAGTCATGTACGTTCACAAGGTCCTCATGCACGTTATTAGCCCGCCACATGGATGAAAATATCTACGCCTCGACAGAGACACCAACACATATAAAGAGGGCGTTCTCGTCCCTGCAAGTAACAGAATCGATCATCGCCTTTCCTATCATTTCTCTTCCCATTCTGAAGCATTCCCGATCCCATTATGGCATCCTCAAGCTTCGATCCGACCAATGTCAACCTCAACACGGCCAGCATGGCCGACGTGGTCTGCTACATGAACGGCGACGGCAATGACTACAACGGACACCTGGGAGCGCGTATCTCCTCTGTCTTTGTCATCCTCTTCTGCTCGACCGCAGCGACTCTGTTCCCCTATGTCGCGCGTCAGCTGCCCCGCCTGAAGATCCCTGTGCATGTCTACCTCTTTGCGCGCTACTTTGGTACCGGTGTCATTCTAGCAACCGCGTTTGTGCATCTGCTTGATCCAGCATACAGTGAAATCGGCCCTGCTTCCTGTGTTGGTCTGACTGGCAACTGGGCTCTGTACTCTTGGCCCCCAGCCATTGTCCTGACATCTGTTGTCTGCATCTTCCTGCTGGACTTTGCTGCTGAGCTCTACGTTGAATCCAAGTATGGCATCGGCAACAGCTTCGCCAACGGGGGTGGCCGACCCTCGTTTGTCCAGCAACATGACCATTCTTCCATTCTTCCTGGCGCAGATCTCAACAACGGCGGTAACAACAACAAAGACGCCGCCGACGCCGCCACCGGCCCCAAACCCGAAACCACCCTCAAGAACTGGGACACGTACAGCAGCGACCTAGATTCTGAAAGCGCCGAGCGTTCCTTCAAGCAGCAAATAGCCGCCTTCATCATCCTTGAGTTTGGTATCATGGTCCACTCTGTAGTCATCGGACTGAACCTGGGCGTCGCAGGCGACGAGTTCTCAACTCTTTACCCCGTCCTGGTATTCCATCAGAGCTTCGAGGGTCTCGGTATCGGTGCGCGTATGTCTGCCATCCCATTCAAGAAAGGTAGCTGGTTGCCTTACCTCTTCGGTGCGGTGTATGGTCTCACAACGCCCATCTCCATCGCCATCGGTATCGGTCTGCGAACAACCTACAACCCTAACTCGAACACAGCTAACATTGTGTCTGGTATTCTGGACTCCATCTCCGCCGGTATCCTGACTTACACCGCTTTGGTGGAGTTGTTGGCTAGGGACTTCTTGTTTGACCCATGCAGAACTAACGACAGACGTCGTCTGGCTTTCATGGTCATTTGCACGGTTTTGGGAGCAGGTATCATGGCGCTTTTGGGTAAATGGGCGTAAACTTGTATGCCCGCCCAGGTCATACATTACCGGCCATCATGCTGTGCTGTGCTGTCGGTCAATGAACGCAATGCAGTCACTCAAGATATAGATATCTACATTCAAAATGTTTTGCTATGTACTATTATCATAGTACTACTATTTCTACTTTCTACTTCTATTACTACTACTTTCATAGATTTAATCTACACATGACTATACACACCCCACATATAGAGCTTCTATCTCTAAACCCTTGGATGAAATTTTTTCTTTCTTTTTTTGGGGGGCGCTGCTCAATAAAAGGCAAGAATCAACCCCTCTTCATAGCAACAGTCTTGCAAATCCCCTTACCACCATACCGCGCCAGATCAAGCGGAAAAACTTCAACTTCACGCCACCCAAACTTGGTGTACAACGGATACCCAGCATCCGTAGCTTCGAGAAAGGCCTCCTTCAGACCCAGAGCATCGGCATCGTCCAATCCTCGCTGGAGCATTTTGCCGCCGATGCCGAGACCTTGGTACTCTGGGTGGATTGCCAGGACGGCAAGTACTGTTTCTCCCTCATATGTTTAATATACAGAAACAACAATTGGAGACCCCGGGGGTGACTATACGTACAAGCAAAAGTCTTCCCGCCCATGTGCTTCGTGCGCAAACGTTCCAATCCACCGAAGAATTCATTGCAGGCCGTGGGATTCGCGGCCGATTCCCATGGCAAATCCTTCCAGGTGTTGTGTATTGGGAAGGGAGTGGTAAAGAATTTCCATGATGCAAAGCCTACTATTTTCCCTCCTTCTTCTCCTTCTTGAAGAACAGCTTTGTACGTCCGATTCTCCGGATTAGATGTAAGCTTCTCTGCAATCTCACGGGCACGAATGGCGTCTTTCTCAGCGCTGGGTGCGCCGAACATTATTCGTCCCAGGGTCGGTGATGGGATTTTTTCTCCTTCATTCTTGGCGAGACGAGCAGGGGGAGGAGCGTCAAAGGCAAGGGATTCTATCTGTGCGAGAGATAGAGTGTCGCGTTCAGTGGCTGGCAGCACTGATATGGCGTATTTTGGTGGCATTGTCTGCTGCTTCTTGGTGTGTATATATTTTCCTTGGACGCAAGTCTTTGTGAAATTTTTGGCGGATGATGATGATGACACATAGAAAAGTACGGCGGGACGGAAGGAAAATCCAGCAAACTGCAAACCACCCACAGCTGTATATAAATGATTTATCATATTCGATCCCAGGCAGCAACTACGTGAAGTGATTGTAAGTAGCATGCAGTCAGTGATTGATTAAGTTGTGGCCACGCTAACTCATTCCGTTCGCCGACGAGTACTATCAATGGTAGTATTTTTAAAAAAAAAAATTTTCAAATGGCATCCTTGAAGAACTAGAAAGCCTTTTACCTTAGGCTGTTCGCCATATCCTAGATATGCAAGCAGATATAGAACCAATTATACAGGGGCGTGCCAGGTATGTAACGGAAGGAGACAATTCTCATAATGTGGCGACCTTAGAGTTCATGATCACTACACACAGATCTTGTTGAAATGTTATTTCAGTGTTCATACGTTATAGGCTTGGCTGTAGATTCAAAAAAAAAAAATATAACTCGATTCAAATGGTATCATAAAAGGACTAACTAAAACATTGTGCCGGTGCTGACTGGCAATATTCCCTGGCTCCATGTGGAACGGCAATAGAAGTAAATATGAATAAATAAAGAAAAATAAAAGGATAGTCAGGGGGGAAATATTTTACAGAAAGAGAGTGAATTGTTAAAACCCATGGAACATTTCATCATTCCGATAATGAATCTCACTGCCATCTTCCGATCTGGCGAAGTCGAGGTCGTTGCCTGCATGCCATTGGACATTATTCTCGCGCTTGCGAGAAGCAGCAGCCCGGTTGCGTTGGTTAGTACGATATCGAGGCAGTTCGACATGATCAATGAACGCCTCCATGCGCATCGTGCCCACGGGGTCAAACAGGCCGCCATTCACGATACTCGACGTCGGTCCGCTGGCTTCAGATGTCCGGCGACTGACGCTGCTGCGCCCGCTGATCAGCCCCGGTGCACCTGAGGAAGAGGGCGCATAGAGATCGGACGACGCAGCGGTGATTGCACTATAGTTCGAGGGCAGTGTTGCATGACTAGAGAAACTGCGAAACGCAGCCGTCAAAGGAGCTTTGGGTGCAGTGTTGCTGCGTTTCCGTGTATGTCCTGAGTATCTGGGAATAGTTGGTGGGTCTGCTGCATCCATAATCGGGTCAAGATCGAGTCCCGCGCCAGATGTATATTCCGGAGCCAGGGCGGAATGGTCGGTGAAAGAGCGTTTACTAGGCTGCGGCCGAGGTTTCCCCTTGGCTACTCTTATCGAGTCACGTATAGGATTACGGCGCAGAGTGGCTGCTGGAGGCCGCGCCGCTGGGTATTCTTCCTGCGGAACGGGTGGGAATGAGGCTAGGTCATTGATGCCGGAGTGACTCAAGAAAACCAGAGCTCTTAGCCATACATAATGGCGATCTAGCGACAGTGCCGTGAATTTCAGAGCACGTTGAGGAGTAAGGATAAGGATCGACCGGTTGAATTGACTCTGCGGGTCTCCCCCTTTCGGGAGAGGCGTATCGTCTTTGACATCAAGCACAGATTGGATTATGACTAGTATTCTTATTAGTTACGCCATTGACCCTCTGAGAAAAGTAACACTGAAGGGGAAAAAAAAAAATTACTTACGTTTACGCCCGTTCTTACCCAACAGAGCAGGACCGCTGGTTGGCTGCTTGCTGCTCCACATAACAGCTCGCTCGTACGGTGCGAGCCATACCCATCTCTTGTGCCGAACTCCAGTGCCTGTAATACCTGCCGAGACCTCTTCGGTGCTCTTTCCAGCCTCCATTGTGTCTTTATTATCTGACATACCGAACGATTTTCGTCGACGAACGTACTTGTACATCCACTCGCCCACCATGGTTTGCGCAATAGCATCGACGACGCTAGTCGATTGTCCATAATCCGAAACGGGCTCTTCTATTGTATGCGATTGGGTCTGAGACCGAATCGAGTCAGGGCGGCTCGACGGGATTCTTCGTGCGCTTCGCCTCGGGCGGTATATGACGGCTTCATCCGTTGTTGGCATTGGAGGTAGTGGAGGCGGGAGTTGCGGGCTATCAGGAGTATAAGAAGAATGTGACATTCCAGAAGCAGTAGTAGACGTGGGAGGTGGCGATCGACTGCTTGCCCGGTCCTGTTGGTTCTTTGGCACTGTTGCGGCAGATCGAACTTTGCGTAATGTCGGCTGTCTCGTGATGCGTCTAGATTTCCGTCTAGATGAGAAACTGTTTCCGTCACTGTAAGGCGTCGGACTCTGATTGCTGTCACTATAAGTTGGAGTTGGTACATTTCTAGAGCTGAGCCGCACCGGAACAGGGAATGGCGGAGGCCGTGCCGCTCCAGTAGAGGCACTATCAATGCTAGGGTCGCTCGGACTTCGTGGACGATTTCTCTGATGCGCTGCAGCGCCATTGGAAATCAGAGCCGTTCGCCGTATATCAGGTTGCTTCGACCCAGAAGCATTCTTCGAGTTGAGTGTAGATCTTCGTCCAGAGTTGGTTCCATTCTGCATAGTCGAGGGCAGATCGATATCAAACTCATCTTCTTCTCGGAGAGGATCGTTGCCCAGACCCATGCGATTAACCATCTTACCTGACCGTAATGTGTATGAAGCCATGGGACGGCTGTACATCTCATCATCGCTGAATACGTCAGGTAATTCGGGCAAGGGGCCTGGTAATTCATCATCGTCCAACGAGTCAAATCCTGCAAACAAGCTACTTGATCGGAAAGGTCGACGTATATCGGATGCATCGTCTTCTGCTAGAGGACCATTATCATTGTTTCCGGGATAAGCTTGGACCAGGTCCATCTGTTTGGTGCTCTTATCCTTATACGTTGGCTCCGAACGCAAAAGTGGCCTATGGGGAGAACGCGGGGGAGGTGAGATAAAGGGCATTGAGAGATTGTCTATATCCGTCTTCTCTGTAGGAAGTTCGATAATTGCGGACGGAAGGAGGCTCGCCGGGAGTTTGATTGGTCGCTGATCGATTCTTATCTCCTCCGTTTGCATAGCAACAGATCGCAAGCTGTGGGACAGTTCAAAATCGGTCTGACATGAAATGCTCTTGGTGTGCGGGGGCAAGACAACGCTGGTTCGTGGTGAGGTAGGTTCTGATCCTGGAGGAATGATTGTTATCATTGGCACAGTAGAACTGTATTCGATTGCAGTTGCAACTTCATGTATTTCATCATACTCTTCCTCCTCTTCCTCTTCCTCAGGTTCTGCCTCGGTCTGAGTAGACGTAGAAGCCATGGGGACTCTGACAGACTCCTCTGTGGGCTCTTTCATCTCAATAGGCTCAGGGACTGAAGGAACGAGGATTTGGTCGGTTTGGCACGATGTAGATACCATTTCCACGACTGTTGTTTCAACTGCACTATCTACCATTTGAGGAAGCACACTCTGGGTGTTTGCGGGGTCATGTTCTGGCGTCTCGATAACGTTCTGGGGCTCACTCGGTGGCAGAGAAGGAGATGGGGGCGGTGTGTATTGGATGCCCACGTCGCGATATTCTACTCGTCGCTTGACTTCAACAGGCTCATCCGCAGGAGTGGATTCGTCTAAATGTAAGAGTTCCTTTGCGCCCTTGATAGAAGAGGCATCCATCGACAAACCTAGTATCCTCCGTGCTTTCATTGACATGTTGAAAGACGATTGAGACGCGACTGACGTGCGTCGCTCCTCCATCGACTCATCTAGGAGATCAATGTAATCGTCTTCCTCGTCTTCGTCAAATGCCAATTCATCCGCCAAGTTGAGGCCGTCTGCTTTCGGGCCACTTGCATTGACGAAACTCATGGACGAATATCGGCCGCTGTTCAAAGGCTCTCCGTCATATGTGCTAGCACTGGTTGTACTAGCTCGGCGTCTGTCAAAGGCGCTGCTGGAGCGAATACTTGCACTATCCATAGTAGTGTTGTCTTTCGTAGTGTCATCATCACCTTCGTGCGTCTTCTGAAAGCTCCCTGCAGCTTGCGCCGCTGCGACTTCGTTCAAGACAGCTCTGAGTCGGTTTTCAACTACATGCACCTTCCGCTCCCAGTTCCTCTTTTCTGTACCCCATGCTTGCCGATCTCGTTCCCAGAGCATCTGTGACCTCTCAACTTCCTCCTCTTGAGACTTTAGTTTCTTCTGGGTCTGTTCCAATCGTTTTCGAACATCGGCAATGTTCTCAACAGCGTCGTCACGCTCCTTGGCTATTTCACTGATTGCTGAAAAACTGCCCCCTTCAAGTAGCTGCATTTGCTTTTTGAGGGAACGGTTCTCTCTGGTGTATTTGGCGACGTTCTCATGCAGGGTGTCATTTTCGTTCTGTGACTCGTCAAGTCTCGTCTCTAACTTGACAATTTCTTTGCTTTTGCTCTCGAGGTCCCTCCTCAGGGACAGGATTTCAGAAACCAGATTGGCGTGAAGCGTGGGAGTGAACCGACGCGGGTCAAAGGCCGAAAAGGCGTCATCCCCGACATTGTCGTCGGGCCCAATGTCGCGGTCATCTTCACCTGGAGAAAATGATTGAAGCGGCGAAGACGATACCTGGTCAACAGAAGAATTGCTCCGGCGACGATAAGAAGCCCTAGAGGGAGCTTGGAAGGGCACCGGTGGCGGCGAAGTGAACGGCCCCGTGTCCATAGTGTAGCAGTGTCCTTCGCCAGTGGATGTCACTACTTCTATTCGGCGATGATAATTATTATAATAACATGTCGTCCAGCGTCGGGTTGGTTTCGAGGGGCGGTTCACATAGGTCCAGCCTGGTTTTTCGACTTCGGCGGCAATAAAGCTAGGCCGTAATCAAATGGTCAAGTTTAGGGAACTCCCTTATAAAACGGGGGCAGAGAGAAACGACCAGCGATATTCGACCTCCGTCACGTAAAGGAAAGAAAAGGAAAAAGGAAAACTGCGATGCGCATACATGAACAATTAGCGTAGCTCTTCTCAGTAGTTATTGTTGACAATGCCTGAGGGCTTTGGTCTTACCTAATTAACGAATGGGAATGAACGAAATCGGGACTCTCTGCGACACTTGCCACAGTTTAAAGCATACTGCACTGCACTGCACCGTGGAAAAAGATAAGCTTGTGAGAGGCTTGGAAAGGAAAGACAATGATAGAATGGCCGAGCCCACGAGAGAAGTCGATCTGGACTAGGTTAAGGAGAAACCGTGAAACGTCAAGCAACGAGCTCTCTCTCCAAAGGAGTGGAAATGAGTGAACGCCTCACCCCACGCAGCAGCGTAGACATGTTTGGAGAACGGACCAGTTTCTCAAGGTTTTTGAGAGTCGTTCAGCTAACGGTGGGTCGGTGCCTTAGCCTGAAATGCGAGATGGGGCTTACATGACGCTTCTGAAGTAATATCGAGCTCTGGTGGGTATGGTTTAAGGTAGTCTGGGTGCTCAGTGCTGCAGTGCTGAGTGGGCACCTTACGGAGTACAGGTTCGAGCCATTCTGAAAAGGAGAGTAGTACGGTTAGGAAATACCAACAGGGTGTTAGTATTACCCACTTAAGCTCGAGGCAAGGTACTCCTTTTCTTTTTTTTTTTTTTTTTTTCTCTTCTCTCCCGTTGCTTTTTTTCCCTTCCTGCAGCAGTTATTTCTTTTGACATCATGCCCGCGGACAGCCCCCCTCACGCAAATAATTAGACGACGACGAATCAGTTCGAATGGGGGATCCGCAACGGCACTCGAGCAAGGCGAATTGATTGGATTGGGGAAGTGCACAAAATTCGTAGACGTGCAAGCTAGATGATTTAGCACGGTCTGCTCATAAACATAACCATCGCAGTGGCGGCGCTGAGCCTAAGCTAGTTAGCATCGGCTGGTTAGTTCAATTGCATTGACACCCGCAAGTCGCAAGGGTGTTCGTGTCACCAGCAGCCAGGCCAGGCTGTCTTCCCTTTGTCTCTCTGGTTCTGTCTTTTCTTCATTCCTCCTCCCTGCAATTCTCATCGCAATTGCCGTCGAATGCTTTACAGCGCAAGGCATACTCGCCAGCGTAGGCATCAACAATGACTTTGTCGGGACGGCTCGGCACGCAGCACTTGGCTAATGAAACCGCGACAGAAAAGGGACTCGTGCATATTATGGATCGGGTTGCCCGTCGAGCCAATTGTAGCACGTACTAAATTGAAAGCGCGTATTTCCTCCGTCGTCCCCGGCGAGACGGCGTGGTTTTCGCGATGCAGGCGATGGCACGGACACCGTTGCAATCACACGGATTCGCAAGGGTTGGCACGACGCACGTTGAAAGATTAATAGTATCGTTATTATCAGTTGGTTGGGTAACTTGGATGTATCGGGATTGAATAAGTGCTTCGAAGAGAGCGCATGTTGTTTGTGTGGATGTTTCGGGGTTGACACTTGAAACTGGCGATCGGCGAGGCAGGAGCGACGGCACGCGCCCTTTTGGGAAAGCGCAACGGACGGCCGTTCTTTCTTCTTTCTTATCTCTCTGCTGCTTGGTTGCTTTATTGCGGGCACTATCATATTGTCATGTGACTACAGAATACTAACTATTGCCATTGTTGTTTATTATTCTCGCGATGATCAAACACCTCGGCAGATTTCGACGATCGCTCACAGAACGAGGTGCTGGCAAAAGGGGCGATCTGCTAACTTGACTACGGATAATCGAGCTAGATCGGTCTGGAATACACCCCCGTATTGCTTCTGTGAGACCGGAGGCCCTACCGAGCAGGGGTGATGCAAGGAGTACGGCCGAGATACGTATCATATGTACGTGGTACACGACTGCCACGAGCCGTTTGACAGACACGGCTCTAATATTCGCTTGGCTGTTGCACATACGACGTACGAACTTGGAAAATGGACATTGCAAGCCAACTTGAAATATACTCCGTACAGGCCATACACCATGATCATTTGCGCAACCGGGAAGGTTACTCACTCACATCCAGCCCGGCGTACTCGTCACATACCTCGATCAATGCATTCTGCGTGCCCGGTTCCTTGAAAGCCCAGCCGTAGTCAGCCTCATAAGACCACTCCATCAAACACATCAAACAACAAATAGATAAACAAACTCACCGTCGCACTGTGTCCCGCATCCGCAATCCAGATCAACCGCGACTCTGGCCATGCTGTATGCAAGTCCCAAGCATTCTGTGGCGGGCAGACAAGATCATATCGACCTTGGACTATGGTTGCTATAGCCAACCCGCCCCCCATCATTAGCTCCCGACCCAGGTAGCTTCTTGAGCAGCAGTAGTAGTAGAGAGTGGGAAGTATACCAGGAATATGCCTCATCGCATCAATATTCTCCTTCTTGAGGATCTGCCCCTCCTCCAACCACGCTCCATTCGCCTCATAAAGCGCCTCGAGCGTCGCATGCCCAAGCACCCATTGTTCATCCTTCAGCTTCTCAAATACCGACGGTGCATGCGTAAGCGCCCCGATCGTCAATTCCCATCGATTCCATTCCCGGGCCGCAGCAAGTCTTGCTTCCTGCTTATCCGGATCCGAAGAAGTGCAAAGTATATACTTGCTATAACTTTCCGCGGGATTCTGCCTCTCGGATTCAGGCAGAAAATCGACAAAGCGCTGGTACGCCTCTGGGTACATGCGCGCTGCGCCATCTTTCCCTCGCGCCCATTCGCACTCGCTCTTCCGAACAGTGAATATGCCCCGAAGCACGAGTGAGCCAACCCTCTCGGGATACTGCTGGGCATAGAGCAGCGCAAGCGTTGACCCCCAAGAGCCGCCGAAGACAAGGTGCCATTTTGCGATCTTGAGGTGACTGCGTAGTGACTCGATGTCGTTGAGGAGGTGGTGTGTAGTGTTTTCGCGCAGCTCGCAAGAAGGAAGCGAGCGGCCGGCGCCGCGCTGGTCGAAGAGGACAACGCGGTAGAGGTCCGGGTTGAAATATTTGGCGTTGGAGGACGAGGTGCTGCCGCCTGGGCCGCCGTGTAGGAAGATCACTTCATGCAGTCAGATTGTGTTGTGTAATTGGATTAGGTAGGTTAGGTCGTATACACACCTGGCTTCCCATCCTCTTTGCCATACTGTTCGTAGTGTAGTTTGTGGATAGGGCCGACTGCCAAATAGCCCCTGTCAAACGCAGGTTGGTGAGCGTATTCCCGCGATTCGACTTGGTTACTTGTCATTATGTCTATATTACACACACTGTCGTCCGAGAATGTTATTTATTTACACCCCTCTTTGTGAGAGGGGGAGGAAGGGGAGAAATATTCCATCTTGTCTAGTTATTTTATCAAGATAGCTCTGAGTCATCGATACGCAGGGTTGCAACCAACAACTCCACTTTGCCGTAACTAGACTGGGCCACTATTTCATTAGAAGATATATACTCTAACTCACTTTATGTACGATATGGTATGGCGCGATTCCCGTGAATTGATAGTGCAATACGATGGTACTAAGGAGTTGTTTTAGGGCTACGCGTCATGTGCCCTTGAAACCTAGAAACAACTAGGCCGGCCTACGACATGAAATAATTCAAGCTAATACCTTTAGGCAAACCCAAAATCACTTTATTTTGATTAATGATGATCGTAAAACGTCGCATCTCAGAAACCAAAAAAAAGATTTAAAAAAATTTTTCAAGAATGGAATTCAACCAATGTCATAAATCACATAAATCTCTTGTTCTTGTTATTGTTATGATATAACCTCCGCTCTAGCTGCACATAAGTTCATCTACCGGCCCATACGAATCACGCCAGCTGCAACCAGTTTCTGGATCTGGGTGCGCACTTGAGCATTCTTCATATGCTCCTGCAGAGCCGCGGGGTCGCTCTTGGCTTGCTGGAGGATGCTTTGCATGACGGGGTCTTGGAGGATGGACATAATCTGGAAGGATATTAGCCATGATATTCCATAGATAATTGTGGGGACGACTAAAGAAAAGCATACCTCTGGGTCTTTCTGAATACGCTCGGCTGTCTGCTCCTCTGTCTCGCCGGCACGCGCACTGAATTGAGTCTCCAGGATCTTGTTTTGTTGCTGCTCAATCTCCCTTGCGTTCTTGCCCGTGCTATCATGCTCTGAAGCTTCCGTCAAAGAATCAAGAGCCTTGTTGTACTCCTTCATGGCGAGAAGCGCCTGGGCCTTGCGGATATAAGCACGGATGAAACTAGGGTCGCGCTTGATAGCTTCGTCGCAGTCCTGAACAGCCTGAGGGAATGCCATGAGCTTGACCAAAGCAGCTGCACGGTTCGAGAAACCACGAGGGTCTTCAGGAGCCCGCTTGGTCATCTCGGTAAATGCATCCACGGCACCTGGCCAGTCTGCCTCTTGGAATTTCTTCTGGCCGAGTTCACGAGCCTTCTCGGCTTCCTCGGGGCTGATATAGGCGTCTTTCTCGGCCTGGGCCTTGGTCTTCTCAGCAGCGCGGAGTTTTGTAAGGACATCGGCAGTGCGGTGCTCGGTAAGAGATCGGTTGTAATACTCAATTGCCTGAGTGAGGTCGCCTAGCTTTTCGTATGCGCTTCCGATACGAGCAAAAGACCTTTGGACCGTCAGTTCATCGATCTAGTCTACAAACAGAAAAGAAGAGACTAAAGGAAAGCTAGAATACTCACTTTGCGATTGTCTTAAAATCAGCCCGTAGCTCACGGCCCTCCTTGACTGCCTCTTCGCAGATCTCGATAGCTCCCTTGTAGTCGCCACTCTCGAATTTCGCAGCACCGGTATTGTTCAAATAAGTCACGTCCTTGTTGAGTTCCCATGCCTTCTGGTAGTGTTCAATTGCCTCGGCAAATTGCTTTTTCTTGTAGTAATCATTTCCTATCTTCTTCTCGGCATCACCAGCTTCTTGTGCCTTCTTCTTAGCGATACTTTCATCATCCTCTGGTACAGGCTCGGGCTCAGGCTCGGGCTCTTTCTTGGGTGCCGCAGGCTTAGGGCGAACATCTGGCATGGGAACGTCTTCTTCCGCCTCAGTGGTTCCAGAGGGGCCGCCAGCGCCGCCCGGTGGAGCGCCAAATTGCATATCAATACCGAGGAGGACGCTCATAACTTGCAGAAACCTGGGATCACCCAACTCCGATCCAATGCTGTTTGGGTTCTCCCTCAGACGCTGTAGTTTTGCCATGAATTCGTGGTCGGCGAGCAAGGCAGAGGTCTTGGGGTTGCTGGCCAATTTCTGAATGAGTTGTGGGTCATTAAATATGCCTCCCAGTCCGGACGTATCTCCTTGAACACCGTCGGCTTGGGCTTCAGCATCAATTGCCCGCTTCACCGAGTTGAAGCTAGCCTTGAACTGGCTGTTGCTGGGCTCCAACTTTACCGCCTCCTCGTATGCATCGTGAGCCGAGACTAGATCCCAAAGATTAGCATTCATTCATCGATTACTAAACAGAGTCGACAGTTGAGCATACGGAGATCTCCCAAGCCACGGGCAGCGGCTCCCTTCCGGCTCCATCCCTTCGCCCAGTCGGGCTTGATCTCAGTCGCTTTATTGGCATCATCCAGGGCCTTCTGGTACTCTGAGAGCGCAGCGTAGACAGCCGAGCGGTTCGAATACAGCACGTGGTTCTGGGGCTCGATCGCAATAGCCTGGGTGAATTTGTCACTTTTCGAGGGTTGTCAGCACATCCATGATGAGCGGAGCGGGGAATACGTACATAGCCGTTGGGTAGTCTTTGGCAGAGAAGGCCTTGTTGCCTTCTGATTTTAGTGCGTCGGCCATGATGGTAGCTCACACAAGAAACGATGGAGATCTGGCGTGGCTCGATGTGTCTGTAGGAAGTGTAAGAAGTGTGGGAGAAGAAGAGTAAGACCGGGAAGACTAACAAACAACTCGCTGAGCTTCTGGAAATTTCGAGCTTCAGCGCAGCTCACGTTAAGAGTGGGGAAGAGCCTGAGGCACGGCGCCGTCACACGCTGCCCGCGCTAGGCCGCTTTGGGGCCGACGAGGCATCCCACCGCATTTTATTGATAAATGATAAAATAAAATAATTTCTTCCTTGCACGACTCAGCTCAGAACACACCAGTGCTTCCCACCTGCCCCTCGGTTTCCCCAAGCCGTCCATTCGAAAATGATATACTGCAAAACGCTTCGGTGATCGACAAGGTTATCAATCAATTAATAGAGAGAGTGTGTGAGAGAGAGGGAAAGAAAATAAAGCCACTCTCCCGCCATGGCTGGAACAAACGATGATATCGCCAACAAAATCTACGGGCAATGTCGCGAGAAGTTCTCCGCCAGCCAGCTGATTTATCAGAACGACATTCTGAACCTGGGCTTAATTCCGAACAAAAACCTAGAGATTCTCCTCGCGTGCACCCAGATACTAGTCAACAGGAATCTGTTTCGGGTTTATCAAGATAGCGATAACCGTATAGCTTGGAAGCTCATAGCTGCAGAGGATGCTGAAAAGTATGTTCTGATTCAGGATTAATACAAATAAGAGAAAGAGAGAGAAAATTCTAACCATACATGACCTATCACAGAATTCAGAGCTTGAACGAAAATGAGAGGATCGTATACAACGTCATCCATTCAACGGGACGCACTGGTATTTGGATTCGCCAGCTGGGAAAGCGAACCGACCTACACAAAACAAGCTTAGACAAGGCTCTCAAAGCCCTTGAAGGGAAAAATTATATCAAGTCAATCCAAAATGTCAAACATCCCGGTAAAAAGGTGTACATGCTCGCCGAGCTCACTCCGGCCGAAGACGTTACGGGAGGCGCATGGTTTACAGATGGAGTTCTGGATGCAGAGTTCATCGGCGTGCTTTCCGATTTCATTGAAGACTTTGTCAGCAAGAGGACTTGGTATGCAGTAACAACGAAGCAGACCGACAGCGGCAGCGGCGGCAACAAAAGGCAAAAGTTGAACAGCGGCGAAATCATCAAAACAGAACCCACGACGACGACAACACCGACAGCGGTAGAGAAGCGATATATCCCTTATCCATTTTCCTATCCATACTTTCCGACAGTGAAAGAGATCACAGCCGCAGTCAACAAAATCGGCATCACTCCTGTCAATCTGAACGAAGATAGCATCGATCAACTTCTTCGCATGATGTGCTTTGATGGCAGACTCATCGCTGTGAACGACAACCAAAACTACAAGTCCTGCCGCCGGCCCGATGATGTTGCAAAGTCGCGTGCAGCAGATGCAGGTCGTGTACCGGAGGTACAGCAAAAGATTTTTTTTAACGGGAAGAATGGCATAGCCGAGGCGCCTTGTGGACAGTGTCCCGTATTCAAACTCTGCCAGCCTGGTGGTGCTGTGAATCCGGACAACTGTGAATATTTTGATCCGTGGATTGAAAAGGCTTTCCAGTTTTGACGGACACGACAGAACTAAAAAAGGATTTGACTTGTACATTTGCATAGCGGTGGAGTTTCATGATCATAGTGGGATATCTGAAGTGTTAAGACGCATATACTTTATAGTTACCAGTTTTCATCCCATCCCAGATACGGATAGTAAAGACCAAAAAGTTTGCTGGAATATTACAATTAATCATGTAATGGGTAAAAAAAAAAGGGCAAAAACGTGGGTATATTTCATTATTATACAGTTAATAGAAAAGACAACTCATTTTCCAAGAGTCTGTCTGCACTCGTCACAATACCAAGTGCCCAGAGGCTCCCTGGTCAATCCAACGCATTTCCAGTGGAACCACTCATAAGGACAATTATCATTATCACATGCCACCATGTCTCCATGGCTGACGCTGCGACAAGTACAATAGACCTTGGTATCCTCGCCACCTTCATCCTCCTCTTCCTCCATTTCCTCATCTGAATCCGCCATATCACCACCGCCAGCACGACGACGAGAAGCTCCAGTGATTTCAGACTCAGAGCCATCGGCACTGCTGAGCATCGAGTCATCATCTTCATCATCTCCGACTCCAACAGCAGACGGCGACTTTTTGTGACCGCTCTTAAACTTCATGCCAACGCTTGACGACCGCTTGATAAGTTTCGCATTGTTGCTGCTAGCTTTGATTTTCTTTACTTGCTGATGCGGCGCCACTTTCTTAGTGGCCGCCTTCTTGGTAATGCCTCCTGCGCGAGGGCCAGCACTGCCTGCACGGCTTGTCACGGGCGTTCCGGCCTTTGGTGTGCCAGGACCAAGCGACGACTGGCGCAGGTTTGAAGGTGCAGCAGGGAGTGTACCGAGAGATGCATTTAGGCGCCTTCGTTTGCTATCAACTGCACCCGCTGATGATTCCCGCTGTCGCTGCTGAAGATGGAGAGCTGCCGCAGAAGGCGTGGATGGCGCGGAGCCGCGGGTCGGGGTTTGGCCAGCTAACGGGTTGATGCTAGTAGCACGGGAGCTGGTTTGGCTCATGCGCTGAGCAGCGGACACGGGAGTCGAGGCATTGCCAGAGGTCGGGTTCAGAGGTGTGTATGCTGTAGAGGTTTCGGGGGTAGATGTGGAATCGTGCAAAAACGCGGCCGGAAGATCGCCGTATTGGATTTTATTATCGAATAGCGACGGAAGCGGCGGGTCGTTTGATAATATTCCGTCCTTGACGAGATCGCGGATTTTGAAGTCCAATTTCTTGATTTGACGATCGAGCAAGACGCATGCTTTCTCGCTAAGATGGATCTTTTCGTCCTGCAGATTCTGGCATCGATCTAAGTTCTGGAGAATCGTCTTGCTGTATTGCTCCTCTTTCGGATTGGGCGCGAGGCTGCCGTTGAGTTTGATAAATTTCTGGATGCTGTTATCGCGCGAATTGATGGTTGTCCGGCACTCTTGGATTGTCTTGTCTTTGGCTTGTATTTCTTCCATTAAATGCGTGATCTCCGCCGGTAGATTGGCAACTGGGATGAAACTCGTTAGTCCTTTCCTCTTTGGCAGAGACAGGCATGGCCGGCGTACCATCGTGAATGAACTGTTCAAGGACAGTGGCGCAGTCCTCGGTGGCCATTTTCACCTAGGTGATAATCGAGAATCGAATTCTCCTAGTTGTTGTTGATGCTGTCTAACGTCGTCGCCGTCGAAAGCGGCTGAGCGGCGAGCTAGATCACGTGTCCTAGCGCCTAATATGGCAAGGCGCGGTCTGAAAGCCCGATCTGATTTGCCCAGTAGTTTTTCCCTGTGCGACTGCAACTTATGTACTAGTAGTATGTACGCAGTATTTGTAGGCAAATGAAGTTCGGCATTCATAGGTGAAATAGATCATCTGCATTGGAATATTGGACATAGGTATTCGCGCGTGCTGGAAGTTCGCGTCCGCCAGTCAGGCACGTCATGGCAGCAGAATCGTCCTGATCAAAGATGACGATGATGGCTGCCTATTCGACTTATTCTTCAGCTGCATACCGGTGCCTAGTTAGATACTTCAGTAAAACACTCCAAGAGACAAATTTCATGCATGAATTGCTCATTGCGGGGCCTCTTATCAATCTTGCACTCCCCGCAGTGACTAACGCCTGGCCGCGCAATCGCGGATATAACATCATCGCAAGCATGCCCACCACGCTGCGGCGATACAATTACCGCTGTTCCTCTTCCTGTTCTCCTTCTACAGCTAATTCCAACCGTTCGCCCGTGCGCCGAGTCGAGAGGAAAGCAACCTCAAAAGATGGGAGCTCCGCCAATTCCAGAGGGGATTTCCTCCCTTCTCGATACAGATTTGTACAAATTGACCATGCAATGCGCGGTGTTGAAGTATTTTCCTGACGTCCGTACGTCGTCTGCCATTTTGCCTCCTCTTCTTTTAGGCTTGGTTGCTGACTCAATTCAGAGGTTACTTATGGCTTCACGAACCGCACTCCGGATATGAAGCTGTCGCGAGGGGCGTATAAATGGCTACTGGAGCAGATGGACAGTACGTTCGAATTCCGAATACGGATAAACCTCACTCATAATGAACTATAGGACTGGCAAATATTACGGTTTCCCCCGAAGAAATCGACTTCCTCAAACGGTCCTGCCCCTACCTCAACGACGCATATCTGCAATACCTGCGCGGCTTCCGCCTCAAGCCATCCGAGCAAATCCACATCAAATTCACGCCAGCGCCCGAAGGAGAAGACACAGGCAGCGACGATGTCGTTGGCGACATCGAATATGCAGTTGCTGGGCTCTGGGTAGAAACCATCCTCTACGAAATCCCGCTGCTCGCACTCACCAGCGAAGCGTACTTCAAATTCGTCGATACGGACTGGAACCATGAAGGCCAGGAAGAAAAGGCATATGCAAAGGGGATGACGCTGTTGGAGAACGGGTGCATATTCTCTGAATTCGGGTCGCGACGCAGACGAGATTATCATACGCACGACCTCGTTATGAAAGGACTATGTCGGGCTGCGGCGGATGCGACACAAAAAGGCGTTCCAGGAAAATTCTCAGGGACTAGTAATGTCCATTTTGCTATGAAATATGATGTGATCCCGGTGGGCACGGTGGCTCATGAATGGTACATGGGTATTGCGGCTTATACGGACGACTATGAAAATGCGAATGAATTGGGGTTGCGGTACTGGTTGGGCTGTTTTGGAGAGGGGGTATGTACAGCCTACTGCCTCATAGCATCATCTATTTTCAGGACTCCTCATGTGCTGACCCAGGGGTTATTTTCTAGGTCCTCGGCATCGCCCTCACAGACACATTCGGCACACCGGCGTTCCTCGAGGCATTCAGCAAACCCATCCCAGACGTCACCACACCAGCGAAGGGGATCGATGCAACAACGCCTTCCAGCGCCGCAGTCACAGTAGGCACAACTCCAGAGAGCTTATCAGACACAAAACCACCTGTCGAAGCACCACTCCATGACCACCCTGACACAACAACGACGACAGCAAACAAACGAACATACGCACAGGTCTTCCAGGGCGTCAGGCAAGACTCCGGCGACCCCAAAAACTTTGTCAAGCTAGCCCGTACCTTTTACGACAAACACGGAATCAAAGAGAAAAAGGTGATTGTCTTCTCGGACTCACTCAAAGTAGACAATTGTTTGGAATATAAGGCTATATCTGAAGAAGCCGGGTTTCAGCCTACGTTTGGAGTGGGAACTTTTTTTACCAGTACGCTTTTGTTCTCTCATACCCCTCCCTTATCACAATCAAAATAATACTGATCACTGGCGAGAAGATGATTTCATAAAAACATCCACCGGCGCAAAATCAATCCCACTCAACATCGTCATCAAAATCGCATCTGCGGCTGGTCGTCCGGCTATCAAACTGAGTGACAACCTGGGTAAAAACACGGGTGACAAGAAATTAGTTCAAGAAGTCAAACAGCGATTGGGCTATGTAGAAAATGTTTGGGAAGGAGGCAATGAGGCGACGAGATGGGGGAAGAGGGGAGATTGATCAAAGGATTACTTTTTGTTTTTTTTTTCCCCCCTTCGTCTTCTTTAATAGATTGGTAGATTAGGTATAGGGATAGATATCTCCATGTTTCAGCCAGGGGGCGGTGGGTTATTTGCTCGAGTACAATTTCATTTCATATTCGTTACGAAGATATCTGTACAAGTGTAGGTATATATCATATAAATCCCAGATCCCTCTCCAAATCTCCTGTGATAAGCATCCCTCCGTCGTCTCTCAAGGGGGAGAGGGTTGACTTCGGTTGGAATGTCCAGAATTCAATAGAATCGTCGCTATTTTCATTATTCTCGTTAGTGTCATTATTGTCGTCATCATCATCGTTATAAATCATTAGTCTCTGCGGCGCAATTCCCTCGTCACCAGTACTTTCGTCAAAAGTGGAAGAATGCTGCTCGGTAATGGATATATTCAGATCTGTTGTATTCGCAAAACCAGGCCCCCATTGGCGATGGGTAATGTCTTGCATAACAAAAGAGGGCAATTTCGGCATGTTTTGTTGTCCTTGCTGCATTTGTTGTATGGCCATCTCAAGGCATGCACTTTCATAGTCGGCTGCTGGATAGATATCTCGCATGCCACTTATTACCTCGATACAGAGGCGGAAGTTCCATGTGCTTCTGTCCCTTACGACTGGGTCGGTTGACCTCAAATTTGTCATGTGAACCACTGCAGCCGGTGTCATTACAGTCAAGCCGTAGGTGGGCAGATACGGTGTTAGGCCAAGGTGGCGGAGACGATATGCAAGTTCTGCGGTTTCAGATGCTGCATCTCGGATCTTTCCCCTAGCTACGGTGATTGACATTTCTGAAGTCCCCGACGCGCTTTTAGTGCTTGAAGTCGAAGCTCGCGGGCGATATAGTGCAGTGCATGTCGCGTGATAGACCATTTGCAGCATTGATGAGTGAAGATAAAGAACATCATCTCCGTCACTGAGTCCCCTCTTCTCTCGTGGGCCCATGAATGTCGCCTCGTCTGGAAGTTTGTTCAGCCAAGCATCTAGTTTCTGACTGCAGCGTTGTAACTCCGCATCTGTGGATTGTCGAGGAATCAGGGTGATAGTAGTTTCTCGCGTGGTTCCAGTAAGACCATTGAATGGCACGTATTGCGCGAACAGCACTCGGCCTAGAAATTGGCACAATTTCACTTTTTCAATAAACATGACCGCCAAACGCCGCTGAAAATAAACATCTCCCATATAGCTACAGTCAAAAAGTATGTCGTTTACTGCAGCATGAAAGGGCCTTGTATCAAAATCAGTCAGTGCCAGCAACGGAACGTTGCAGAAACCCTCGTTGATCTGCGTAGGTCGATGCAAAGCAAGAGCAATGAGCCGGTCTCGTGAATAAAGACACCACCAGAGTCGAATCCGCAGGCTCTTTGCATCACTGGTCATGTTGGACTGGGTGGGATCACGATGCAGCCCGATCGACTGTGCCTGGGTGTTACAGACGCCAACCCAATGCCAAATATCCTTTTGTAGACTCTCATCTTTCTCATAATAGTACGTCATCAATAGAATTGACTGGATGGCAGCGATGCGGTCTTCTTCGCAGTCCAACACATACAATAACTGTATCAATTGCATATTAGCCTAGTCCATAGTATAGCTCGCTGGCAATGCCGATAGCAATAGGCACCACTCACTCGTGCGTTGTTGAAGAAAGCCGTTCGGGCTTCTCTCCTCGTCTTGAAGCCGGCAGCTCTGAGATGGTTGATGTCAACGAAAGCCGTGCCGGCAAACATGACGGCTTGGAAAAGCAGCAGGCTTATGCTAGCATCGGCATCGTTAGTAGCGACTGCTTCGAGAAAGCTATGCAGATCTAGCACGGGCAACGAGCTGTAGACCCATTTGACATATGCCCTCAGCAGCTCGTTTCGTAGAGGAGTGTCCGGGACGGTGAGGGCACCCTTTGCCCGCAGATAGTCCACATCCTCCGGGGCCATGCGAGACGGCAAAGGCTTGAGAAAGCGTGGCGATTCGTCGTCACCTGAAGCAACATGGCCGAGCTGTTCAGGACGGAAATCTGGGTCGATCAACTGCCTAACCGTGTCCAGCATGTGTGACGGCAAAAGGCATGCCCCGACATTTCGGGCCTGGCTCTTTCTTGGAAAGTTGAAAGACTCTGCATCAAGGTTGAGCAATTTGCGCTTGGGAGACATGACGGCTTGGTTGTGCTGGGGGGGTGCATTGCTGGATGAGGAGACTTTGGAAGTCTTGTGTAGCATTTACCTAGTGACTACCTAGCCTATCTACGCAGTTATACATGCAGTGTGACACGGGGTAAGAGCGCCCCCCGCTGCAGCTTCTCCGCACTTGCTCCTTCTTCCTCCAAAATCACGTGTCGGCATTGTCTGCTGCTTGCCTAAACCCTAACCCTACGTCCACATCGAAGCATAGAAAATAGTCCGCCACGTAGTTGACTACCTAGATACTATTTCATATGCTAGCTATGAATAGAAGCGGCTATTTTTGTCGTGCTTCCCCAGTTTCACGTTCACAGCCACGGAGAATCCTGCAGCCTGTCAGAGACCCAGTGCTCCAGCGGACTGACTGAGGGCAGGAATGCTATTCCGGAGTATACACACTCGAATGCTCAACGAGAATCCCGCGCGTGGGCCAAGTCATAGATGATAGTCATTAATGGAAAGGGGCTCGGCTGGAGCTTAGGACCATCGGTGGATCCGAGACAATGGAAATAGTTACAACTTCGGCAACACTTCGAGGCTCGCATACTGAGCCAAGCAGCCATTGCTTCTGCCACGGACATGAGGCACCATCAACATTATCGAATACTCAAATAAATAAGATCTATACAGAGTACGGCTGCGTACTGAGGAGAGCAAACAGTGGGGCAGCTGATGTCGAAATCAGATGGCTGCTGACTAACCGGCCCAGCAAGGCTAAGCCTCTCTCCCAAGTCCGTTAGCCGCCGCCACCACCCAATCACAGCGTGGCTGCCTCAGCCTGCTGCGTTTCAACTTTCAGCGACCTGCCGCCTCCCCGTTCCGTTGTTCGTATTTAATTATTTTCCCTGCTCCGTGTTCTCTACGCCCATCTCGCTTATTCCATCATCATCGCTGCCTCCGTGCGCCCTTGTCAGTCGACGGCATCCACATCCTGACAGCTAACTCCGTATACGTTAATTGTCAGCAGTTCTTACGCGTCAATTGCCCTGCGGTCGCTGTTGCCTTCGACCGGCTTCTCCAACCGCATTCGACGTCGCCATTACGTTATATAGACATTTCCCAAGATGAGTGTGAGTTCAAGACGACTATAAACGGCTTGCGCGGTTGGTATGCTTTTTACTGACTGTCTGATGCGTATCAGAACTACGACAGCCAGCAAGGCGGTTATGGCCAGTATGACCCATACAGCCAGGCCAGCAACCCCTACCAGCAGCAGCAACCAAGCTATGGAGCACCAGCCCCAGCTCGATACGGCGACTTGGAGCAAGGAAATGGTGGCTATGGTGAGTTGGCCGAAACTAGATAATGGCCATCCAGTACGGCAATTGACTCATTTGTTCTGCAATAGAAATGGGCTCGACCAACAACACAACCAGCATTCTCAACAAGTGCAAGGAAATCAACGAGGGTATCCAGGACCTCCGAACAAAAAGAGAAGGCCGACTGGCGCAAGCGCAGCACGAGCTCCTCGATTCCAGCACGGGCAAGGAGGATCAGGCCGCTCGCCAAAACTTGGACTACGTCGAAGATGACATCAACAACACTTTCCGCTACCTCCGAGATCTTTTGAAGAAAATCAAGCAGACCCCAGGTTCTGGCGAGGCACGCGTGCAGACTCAGATTGATGTCACCAGCCGCAATCTGCGCAAGGAAATCGAGCAGTACCAGAAGGCTCAATCCGACTTCCAGAAGCGTCTGCAGGAGCAAGTCCGCCGACGATATGAGATTGCCAACCCCGACGCGACCCCAGATCAGGTTGAACAAGGTGTACAGAGTGTGCTTTTGGGCCAGGAGCAGAGCTTTCAGGTATGATCATACCATCAATTCATGTAAATTTCGTTGCTTATATACTAATATTTTGTTTGTTTTTTTTTGTTTCAGTCTACTGGTCTGCGCACGCGACAGGCCAACGATGCGAGACAGGCGGCTCTTGAGCGATCTACCGCTATTCGCAAAATTGAGCAAGATATGATTGAGCTGGCCCGGTTGTACCAGGAAGTTGCCGAGTTGGTTCAACAGCAAGAGCCGGCAGTGGAACAAATCAACCAGGGCGCCCAAGATGTTGTCGAGAACGTCGACAATGCCAACAAGCAGATCTCCAGCGCTATTGTCAGTGCCCGCAAGGCCAGGCGATGGAAGTGGTATATCTTGCTCGTCGTTAGTACGTTTCTCACCATCTTTCTCCCTTCTCGGATAGCGTAGCTAACGGCTTCTAGTCATCATTATCGCAATTATCATCGGTGTTGTCGTTGGTGTTACCAAGAACTAAAAACAGACTGGGACGGTTTCTTTTTAGCGAACAGAATGACGAATCTCTCAACCCTTTTACTATCCTGCTAATTATTTCTGTTTGGTAGTTGTACAGCTGTTTCCCTTTTATTTTTCTTTGATTTCTGCAGCCATCGACCTCTCTCTACTACGTCCCGGCCCCTCCTGTCATTTCCATCTGTATTCACCGATTCCCCTTGACTGTAGTCTACTTGGTTAATCCTTGCTTTGCTTTGTATTTTTTTTTTTTTTTTTTGCTTCTGGTCTGTGTTGTTGCAAAAGCTCTTCTTGTTCTATTATATCTACGTGACGGCTTTGCAGCCCGTTAATGACCAACACCCCCAATCAATAATTTATGGCAACCTTATATGCTGCTCTCGTCCATACTAGACTGTGTTTCTTGATTTTTTTTTTATTTTCTCTCTTTTCTTTTTCTGTCTGCTCGCTTCCTTTTTCTCCTTTTTTTGGCGCTAGTTTATTCTAATAAATGAATATTTGTATTTCTTTCGGACCGGTTAGATCTATCTACACATAATACCTCCCTTGTTTTCATGGTGATTTATTGTTTCTCCTGCCTCCTCTCTTCTTCGGGTGTCCATGTGCGTAACTGTAATGCATGAATCCCGCCTTCGCGGGCCATTTCGTCTTTCAAGAGGGCATAGACGAGTCGATGACGCGCCGGTTGCGGCTTGGATTGGAACGAATCGGATGTTATCGTTACACTGGGCGCAGTTATTTGTATGTCGACAGATAAGATAATTGTCAGAGTTTAAGAATAACGAACTGGAAATGAGTCTCTTTAGAGGTGCTCCCTTGCATGGGCGCATGGTGGGCGTGTAGATGCGAGTCGTTGCGGATTATGAGTGTGGTAGGTGTGAATGCGGCGACGAGCTGAATGCGTCAGCATTCACATACACCTAGATACTCCTTGGAGGTTCTAGGGGGGGAAAAAGAAGAAAGAAAGAGGGCGTAGGATAGGTAGATACCTTGTCGCGCATAGCGTCCTCGACGGGGGTAAGTGATGACGCTGCTGTTGAGGACATGTTTCTGCATGCGGATGCGAATGGTACAGAGAATGGTAGTCTGGTCGCAAATATGCGCCTTTGGAGGGAGTGAGAGGCTGATGCGAGCATTAGTTTTGCTTTATCTTTGCGAGCGATGGATGAGTATCCAAACTTCAAGCCTCGAAGATAATCATGATCGATGGCTCACTAAGCAGAGCTAAGCTAACTAACTAGTTCAGGACCGGTCGGACCTTAGTGAGCGGCGGCAGGCACAGACCGGCCAATCACCGTCTCGACTTTTCCCGGCCCCGTCTTGCTCTACTTGACATTTCTTTTTGATAATGCAATCATACAGTTGTTACTGCCTGCGTGCTGCGATTGCCAACTAATAAGCAATAAATGCTCTTTTGCAATCCGCTGGTAGCGGCCTGCAAGCAGGTCCGTGGTGATGTGTTGCGACATCTGAGGCTGAGGCTCAATCACAGCAGGCAAGCATATCAGATATATCATGGAAGAAGCCTTCGATTATTTCAGTCAGCCAGCACAAACACGACATCACTCGTCCGACTTCTACAAACGTATGAACCAGAGAGCCTAGTCGTGAAGCACAGCAAATCAGGCCGCTCATTCACCTATGGCGATCTCACGAGAGATATTGCTCGGTCAAGAGAACAACTGCTACAAAAGTATGGCTCGTCTCTGTCCGGGCAGAGAGTTGCATTTTTGGCGGAGAATAGCTATGACTACGTAGGTCTGTTTCTACCTTGCCAATAGAATTTTCACAAGAAACACTCCATGCTAATTCCGTTACAGTCATGCTGTTCTCTATACTGGCCAGTGACGCCATTGCGTTGCCGCTCTCTCCTGGGTTTCCGGCTGTAGAACTCAAGTACATTTTAGAGAACTCGGGTGCTGGGATGTTACTTGCAACTGAAAAATATGCTGGCAAAGCACGCGAACTTGTTGATCAGTCCTATAATAAGAGCGGCCCGATTGTCGATATTAGACCTAAGATTCTTACCCAGGCCGGTGCTGGGAAGTCTGGCTCGGCGGAACAGCTCCGCGATATCCGGGATTCGGATTCAGAATCGAAAGGGGGACTCATGCTGTATACTTCCGGGACGACTAATCGGCCGGTAAGCCTGCCTTCCTCCTCCTTTGTTCTTCCATTAGGGCAAGGGAAACAAGCTGATCGTCAATAGAAAGGCGTGTTCCTGCCGCTGTCGGCAATACTGGCACAAACCCAGTCTTTAATTGAGGCATGGCGATACTCTCCACAGGACTATCTCCTACACCTCCTCCCACTACACCACATCCATGGCCTTGTCAATGCGGTCATCGTGCCTGCTCTTGCAGGCTCGAGTATTGAATTCATGTATCCCTTCAATCCAGATGCCGTATGGCACCGACTCGCCGACCCATTTCTACAAGACAGTGGCGAGCCACGAAACAACAAGATAAGCTTTTTAACAGCCGTCCCGACTCTGTATACTCGACTCATGGCGGCTTTCCCTAGCCTACCTGCTGATGTTCAGACAGCAGCTAAGCAAGCAATTGCACCGCATAACCTACGACTCAATATATCCGGGTCCGCAGCACTGCCAACGCCCATTAAAAAGGCCTGGACGGAACTGAGTAATGGCAATGTACTCTTGGAGCGTTATGGTATGACGGAGGTGGGTATGGCTATCAGCTGCGGACTAGACCCGAATGACCGGGTCGACGGCAGTGTGGGCTGGCCTTTGCCGTCTGTCGAGGTCAGACTATGGGACACGGACAAGGGTGAGACGATCAAAGCGGGCGAGGAAGTGGATGACACTGGTCGGGAACGGGTTGGCGAGATTCAGCTACGCGGGCCTACGATTTTCAGAGAGTACTGGGGTAATCCCAAAGCAACTGCGGAGTCGTTTGTTGCGGATGAAGACAACGACAGCAGTAGCAAGGGCGCTTGGTTTCGGACGGGCGATGTTGCAGTGCGAAGGGCAGTGGAGGGCAGTGGCAGCAGCAGCAGTGGTGAATGGGCCAAGGGGCCGATGTATTTCATCCAGGGCCGTCTTAGCGTGGATATCATCAAGACTGGGGGCGAGAAAGTGAGCGCACTCGAAGTGGAGAGAGAGCTATTATCGTTGTATGTGGCTTCCTTGTGCTCGTTATGACGAATGATTACTGACAGCTTAACAAACAGACCGCAAATCGCCGAGGCAGCAGTGGTCGGGCTCCCCTCTGAACGATGGGGACAGAAGGTGGCCGCTGTGATTGTTCTAAGTCAGGACTCTGGTGGCGGCAGGGGCATGGAGAGCATAATGGCCGTGCGGCGGGCATTAAGAGATCGTCTCGCGATGCACAAGCTGCCGCAGGAACTGAAGGTTCTGGCTGGACCGATTCCACGGAATGCGATGGGCAAGGGTATGTCTAGTCCTGCGCGGTGTGGAGAGGAACAGACAACTGACTGATGCAGTGAACAAGAAAGCGCTCATTCGAGAGGTGTTTGGCGATATCAGCGTATAAAGCCGAGTGCGGTGCCTGAGGCCTTGCATGAATCGTACGGTGGATAGTGATACTACACAAATACAGCCCCACGGAGGTGGGCCGTTAATCAAACGGGGCAACGGCAGGTCTGATTGGGCTGTCCCTGGCAGTAGCTGAGCACCGCGCCGCAGAGTACAGTACAGTACCGTACAGCACGATACGATACGATACGATGCAGTTCAGGCGTACCCATAGGCAACTAGATTAGAATCCCCTGAAGATCTCTCTCTCTCTCTCTCCCCCCTCTGCGCCCACTGATATTCTGCACATCCTGCCGTGTCCTCCGTACAGCACCGCAGTGACAAGCAAGGACGTGGCCTGTCCTTGCTTGCCACCCGACCTGTCAGCAAGGATCACCATCTTGGGTAGCATCGCCAAGGTGCCAGTGCTAAAAGGCGCACTAGGCGGCCTAGCGCGGGCTTAGTATTAGTATCGGCCGTTTTCCCGCTCTGCCGTGCGTTCCCTTTTCTTCCTCTTCTTATCTCACGCGCTCTTTTAAAGCTCCCACTCCGGTCGTTCTCTAGCACAACCGATTACACTCGTTGAATCCCTAATCTTCTCCTGTCCAATCTTCCAGACCATACATATTCTTTCTTTTTTATACCTTCTTGCTTCTCGTCATTGAAAATGCGTTTCACTGCCGCTTCTGTCGTCGCCTTGGCTGCTGGCGCCCTCGCCTCGTCCAGCTCCAGCGCTGTGCCCTCCGTCGTCACCGAGGTCGTCACCTCCTACGAGACCTACTGCCCTGAGGCCACCACCTTTGTCGCCGGTAGCTCGACTGTGAGCGTCACCACGGTATGTCTTCGATCTCTCGTTCCCTCAATTGAATCAATACTAACGTGGCCAGCCCGGTACCTACACCTTGACTGGTACCTACACCGTGACCCGCCCTCTCCTGAGCTCCACCGTCACCGTCTGCCACACCTGGTATGTATCTCGCACGCGTCCACAGTCAAAGCGAAGAAAGAAAAAGAAGACTAACAAACAACAGCGGCACCGTCGGCCCCACCGCCCCTGTCCCTGTCGGCACTGGCTCCCCCAAGCCCTACACCAGCGTCGCTCCCGCCCCCGGCACTGGCTCTAGCACTACTTCTTCCGCTGTCTCTCCAGCCTACACCGGTGCTGCTCCCCAGGTCGCTGCTGGCGCTGGTGCAGGTCTCGCCGCTGTCTTCGGTGCTGCTGCTTTCTTGCTTTAAAACTTTGGTTCGTGATTGAAGGAGCGATGGCAAAGAATAAATCAAGAACGATGAATGAATCGCTATATACCTGACTTCTTTTTATATTATACCATTCTACCTGCGCCAAAGTCATTTGGTTTCTTTGTTCTTAATTTGTAATATAGCCTTTGTATATTTTTTGGGGGTTTAATTAACTTTTTTCTATTTCATTCATCCACGTGTAGAACAGAACTATCAGATGATTTAGCAGCCGTCAAAATTAAACCGCGTGGGACAAGGCGAAGGAATCCTACATTCCAACCTTATCTCTTACCCCGACGTTCCTGATTTCTTTCTAGAAAAAGGTAAAAAAAAATTCAAAAAATTCACAATCTCGCCTTCGTTTTCTTCTCTTTGCCTCTGTCAACGAAATACTCCTTCACCCTTGCCCTCGCCACCTCGATAACGTCTACATCCTCTATGGTCGGCGGCACATTAACCGCCTTGTCATAACCATCACTGTCAGAACTGGCAGCAGCCGCAGCAGCATTCTCAACCAGCTCTCTCAAAACGCGCCTCAGCGTCTTCCCACTGCGCGTCTTGGGAATCATGCCGCGCCCCTGAATCACCCCGCCCAGCGAAGCGATAGGGCCGATGTGGGTGCGAACAAGGGCGTTGATTTCGCTGACGAACGCGGCGGGTGGTGTAGCCGGTATGTTCTTTTCAACACCAGGGCGAGACTTGAGCTGCACAAATGCAAACGGGAGATGTCCCTTGATTGCATCCGGGATGCTGACTACGCTTGCCTCACTGATGAGAGGGTGCGAGAGGATGGCTTGTTCGATGGAGCCTGTCAATCACTCGGTCAGTTTACTTCATGATGAACTGTCTGTCGTACAGGGGAGAGAGAGAGAGAGAGAGGAGGGACCTGTGCTGAATCTATGCGCCGCAACATTGATGATATCATCCGACCGAGACATGACATGCACGTATCCGTCTTGGTCGATCATGCCTGCGTCACCTGTGTCGAGCCATCGGCCTGAGAACCGCTGGAGGTAGCTTTTATAGAATCTCTCGTCGTCGTTGAAGAGCGTTGTGAACGCCGTCGGGGCTAGGGGCACACCAAGGACAATGTTGCCCATTATGCCATGCACTACTTCATCCCCGTTGTCGTCTACGATGCGCACATCGAAGCCTGGCATGGGCATGCCCGCTGAGCCTGGTCTGATTGGCAGGGGACGATCATACTCCACAGCTAGTGGAAGCGAGGCGGTCATGGCAAGCTTGGGACGTAATGCCAACCCTGTAATCGGCGAACCTGATTCGGATGACCACCAGTTGTCAATCACCAAAGCGCCAGGCGCGGCCCATTGCGAGAGCAGGTCCTGATAGCTCTGTACGATGCTAGGCTCGCTGCGTTCTCCGGCCAGGAACAAGGCCTTCAAAGATTTCAATCCGCCACGTTTTCCGACTTGAGTGAAATATCGATTGTCTGGATCGTCCTTGCGAATCGCCCGCAGGGCTGTTGGTGCCGTGAAAAGGACGTTGGCTTTGTTTCTTTCAATGACTCTCCAGAATATGCCTGCGTCTGGTGTGCCGATGGGCTTGCCTTCGAATAAGATGGTCGTTGCGCCCACGAGGAGCGGTGCGTATAGAATGTACGAGTGTCCTACGACCCAGCCTATATCGGAGGCGCAAAATATGATGTCTCCAGGTCCGCGGATGCCGAACATGTATCTCACGGATAGACTGAGGCCGACTGCGTGTCCACCGGCTTCACGCACCACCCCTTTGGGGAGGCCGGTGGTTCCTATTCATTTGTTTTATTTTCCTCAGCACTTATCTACTTTTCTCGCACAGTGCATGGGGGCATGTTACCACTTGTATAAATAATATACAACGCCTCGTCACTCCTCACCGGCACCGGCGCAGCCCTCATATTCCTCATACGCCCGCTCTTGACAATGCGCTGCCAATTCCGCTGTCCACCGAGTTTATCGGGATGATTCCAGCGCAACTGCTCTCGCTGCCAGATAATCACCTTCTCCGGCTTGAAGGCACTCTGCTGAATTGCGCCTTCTACCAGCGGTCTGTATGCTAGTGCGCCCTTAGACCCTTCTATGCCGCAGGATGCGGTCATGATAGCCCGCGGCTTTGCGGCTTCAATTCTTTGAGCGAGCGAGGGCGCGGCAAAGCCGCCGAACACAGCTGCGTGGATGGCGCCGAGGCGGGTAATGGCGAGGGCTGCGAAGAGAGCGGCAGGGATCATGGGCACTGAGATGTCAACATTTCTCTCTCTTCAGGATCTCTCTTCGCATACAAGAAGAGAGGCATACTGTAGATGATCACGACATCGCCTTTGCATACGCCTTCCTCTCTCAGCACCCCGGCCAAAACCTCTACTTCGTCCTGTAGCTGTCGATAGGTGTATTCCTCCCTTTCCCCGGCTACGGCGGATTCCCAGACAATGGCTACATTGTCGCCGTTGCCATTTTCGACATGTCGGTCCACGCAGTTGTAGGTGGTTGAGATCCGGCCGTCGGGGAACCACGTCCAGTGGTCGTGACTGCTGCTGCCAGCAGAGGTAGTGATTTGCTTGGTTGTACGTCGCAGTGCACTGGTTGGTTGTTGGTGCCAGTGCAGGGAATTGGCGTGGTAGGACCAGAAGGACTCGGGGTTGTCGAGGGAGTGTCTGTGGTGCTTCTGCTGACTCATTTTGGGTTGTTTCGTCACAGCCGTATAGGAGCACAGATGAAGTTGTTAGCCATGCCTCGCTATAGCCTATATCTGTCCTTCTCTTGTGCAGTATGAAGTCCTTCAAAGACAGACAGACAGACAGACAGAGAGAGAGAGAGAGAGAGAGAGAGAGAGAGAGAGAGAGAGAGAAAGAGGTTAGCGTACCCACCCCTTGGTTGACCCATGGGGAATGTGCATCCCCGCATTAGCTCGGAGTACGGAGTATTATGAATACTATCTCAGGTTGCCAACAGGGTATCTCATTCAATATATCCATATATATAAAATAATATATATATAACGACTCTCCTAGCTTTGCTGTTTTGTATTCTTTTTTCCCAGACACTGACCTGTCATTTCTGTAGAGCCTAGTCCCATCCAGTAGTGCCGCTCTTTCGCACCGCGATCTATATAACGATAGAAAGACAAACCCAATCCCAGTCCATCCTGGCTAACAACTCGAGAGAAATCCAACAAGACAAAAAAAAAAGTACTCCTCGACAACACGCAAGCAAATCAAGCAAGATTGAGAAATACTGATCAGACCGATATACCAACAAAGCCGATAAGAGATGACTGACGAAAACGGGGAATCGCCTAAAGCATGCATATACCAAACGAGAAGACGGATGTTTAAAACGAGAAGACAGCCACGAACCACGCTTCGTAATGCAAGAGAAGAAGAAAAGAACGAAACAAAACGAACGAAGAGAGAGAGAAAAGAAAAAGAGAAAAGAAAAGAAGAAAAGAAAAGAAAAGAAGAAAAGAAAAGAAGAAAAGAAAAGAAAAGAAGAAAAGAAAAGAAGAAAAGAAAAGAAAAGGTTATAGAATCACACACCGGAGACCGCCGCGGTGTGTGCGAGGGCGGTCGGTTCGGAACGCTTTGGGGTATTCCGGATTCGCTTCCCGGTCTCGATGTTGTCCTGGGAAGCCCGTTGTTCGTCGCTCTTGTAGTCGACCACCGCCAAGCTGCTGCTGCTTTTGTTGGCGCAGGAGCCGCACCACATCATAAAACGCCTTCTCCACATTGATGCAGTTCTTCGCCGAGGCTTCCACAAACTCACAGCCCAGCTCTTTCGCCAGCGCAGATCCTTCCTGCGCAGAGACGGCTCGTTCGACGGTTTTATCGCTTTTGTTGCCGACCAGCATCACCGGCGCCGGGCCCAGCGGGACGCCCGACGCAGCAGACAGCGGAGAGTTCAGATAGCTGGCGCCGGTGGGCGAGCCCGAGTTGGTGGATTCCTTGACGCGCTGGATCTGGTGGTAGAACTTTGTGATGCGGCTGAACGAGGCGCGCGAGGTGATGCTGTAGACGAGCACGAAGCCTTCGCCATCGCGAATCCATTGATCCCGGAGCGCGGTATATTCTTCCTGCCCGGCGGTATCCAGAACCTCCAGCATGCACGACTGCTGGTCAATGACGACTTGTTTCCGATACGAGTCTTCGATTGTTGGGTCGTATGTCTCGACGAAATGATTTAAACAGAGCTGTTCAAGCAACTTGAGTTAAAGATATGATTGCAAGCCGGGGCCAGCCTCGTTGCCTGCCTACCTGGATGGTTAGCGCTGTTTTGCCCACGCCTCCGTCTCCCAGCACCACCAGCTTATACATGGTCATTTTGCCCGCCATGGTGGCCGATGGTTGGTATATCTATTGATCAAAGGGGCGGGGGTGAATGTATGGGATGTATTCTTCGAGAATCAACTGAGGTCCACGGCAGGAGTGGTGGCGCTGCAGCAGAAGAAGGACCAGTGGGGTCGGGTGGAGGGGGGTGACACAAGACACGAGAGCGACGACAGAGAAACCGGCGGAGAGCGACTGATGATGCAGGCGACTTCAAGCGGCGCAGGCCAGGGACAAGCAGAGACAGGGCGAAGTCATTGAGGTCGATTGGGTTGTGCAGAGTATGGAGGGAGCAGCGCAGACGAAGGGAGAAAAAAGAGAGGAAGAGGGGGGCGATAGTAAGCGTACTGTACGGGCGGGTAATCTTACGGGCCGGGGCCAATCGCGGCGGGCGGGCCAGCAGTTGGCCGTGTCCCGGTATGTATGCTAGCGGAAACTATTAATTAACGTTGGTGAGAAGTTAGCTGCGGTCTGGGCTGGTCTGACAATATATACTATAGTCAGGTAGAACACTTTGTATCCTACCTATGTATGCAGCAGGAATACATACATATATACATATATACATATATGTGTGTGTGCGTGTGTATGTATGCACATACACTCAGATACATGCTCCGTTCTCTACTATATATATATATATACACATGCAATGCAATGCAGTCAACCATTACTCATGCTGACGCCTCAGGCTGCTCCCGAGGTCACGGGCCAGCTGGCGTGGGGCGGCGTTGGATGTGCCAAACAATGATATTTTAATATATTAATATATCAATAGATTAAGATATTAAGATATTACGATATTAATAGTATGCCTCGAATATTCGCTCTCTGCAGAGTTAACTGTTTACGGAGTATCAAGTTAACTAACTATATAGGAGCCATGACTTATATCGACAATAGAAATACAGATCGACACCGGATCCATCAACGGCGTTCTCAATAATGCGGATACTAGTTCTGATTGGACAGTATACGCGAGCGACATTAACTTCGCTAGTCTCTGTAAGTGCGATAGAATACTCTGAGCAGCGTTCATGCAGCTTAATTTATGAACCCAACCTCTCCGACAACCAGTATCCCGGGACCTTGTCCGGAACTAACTATGGCATGGCCAGGCTTACTTACAGTCTGCATATGAATGCTACTGTTCTCCGTTGTCGGTACGGAGCAGGCCATAAACTTATCAGAGTAGCTAGGTTCAGCCGACTTCGATAATCGAGTCGCCGCAGTGAAATGGCGGTCAGCCTAGCATCAAGAAGACAGTGGACACTTAATGAACAGTGCTGAGCAGGAAATGTATCTGCAAGTTGATTGGTCTGGAGCGTGCTGGTTCATGTCACCGTCAAGCGCGACAATGGGTGTAGGGTTAGGGTTTTGCCCTAATTATGTACAGCTTCATCTGGTAGGCAGACGTGGATGGGAATACTGCGCTGTATTATGTATGTATGCAGCAATGAGCAGCTAGGAACTCGAAAGAAAACGGCGGGGTAATACATCATACTAGTCATCATACAAGTACTACTGTAGCACTACAACTCACTCCAATCACTACTGCATTCACCTGTGTAACAATGGCAGACACAGCCTTTCCGCCCTCCTCCCTCCGCCCTCTCATCGAGGAAGTCAGTTCTCTTCTCAAAGAGAGAAAGGAGACTGTTTCCGTCGCCGAGACTGTACGTCCCTAGCCCATCCCATCTCGCAGGCCATACGCTGACACCGAAGCACGCAGGCCGCAGGCGGCCTCCTCTCAGCATCCCTCCTCTGCGTCCCGGGAGCATCGGCCTATTTCAAGGGTGGATTAACCGTCGGTCTTCTCTCTTTTCTGTCTCCCTGCAACCCTATCTGAAACATGAGTACGTGCTATAATAGTTATACACTCTCGAATCCCGCCTCGCCTTCGCCGACTGGACGCCCGAGCACATCACGCAGTATCGCGGCCCAACGGCGCAAATCGTCGCTGATCTGGCCGTGTCGACGCGCTCAAAGCTGCTTTCTACGTATACCGTGTCGGAGAGTGGCACTGCGGGACCGGGTGGTGGCAGGGCTGGCCGGACGCCGTATGAATATGCATTCCTCTCTTTCTTCTTACATACTTCTATGGATGTTTCGGGATGTGCCATACTGACGGAAGATCTGTATAGAGGGGTCGCCTTTATAGCGGTCGCTGCTCCCGACGGCAAAACGTACACGCGAGAGATCGATACCGGGTTTGGCGACGAGAGGGAGAAGAACATGCTTGGATTTGCGGCCGAGGGGCTGAAGCTGCTCAGGGATGTCATCAAGGGGGATGCTAAGCTGTGATTTGGCTCGGCCTTGAGACTCCGAGTTATTATATTGCATGACAGAGTAACTATTGTATCACGATCTCTATGGAATTATCATTCATCCTTCCACGGAATACTAAACGTCCCAACCCAATCCTCCACTTCTTGTCGTAACTGCACAATCTCGGAGATATCCTCGCCATTACCCACATACTCCATAAACACCTTCAGAATGCCCGGGTTTTTGCGCCCCTTGGCCTCGGCACTTTCCCGCGCTGCCTTGTCCAGCTTCTGTGTAATAGTCACTGCCCGATCGACAATGTCGCCCACGCGCCGGAAGTCGGTGGGCTGGAATCCGCGCGACGTCATGGCCGGAGTGCCTATACGCAGACCGCCCGGCTTCAGCGCTGACTTGTCGCCTGGAACGGTGTTTTTGTTGGCTGCTACGCCGCACAGTTCAAGAACGCGCTCGACACGCGCTCCATCGACGCCGCGGTTCTTCAGGTCGACCAGGACCAGATGGTTGTCCGTGCCGCCCGAGACAATGTTGTAGCCTAGCCCGCCATCGTTGACCGAGTTTCCGAGCCGCTCAGCAAGAGCTTGTGCGTTCTCGAGCACGGTGAGTTGGTAGTCTCTGAAATCTTTGCTCTGAGCTTGACCTAGAGCAACAGCCAAAGCCGTGATGGTGTGGTTGTGAGGCCCGCCCTGATGTCCGGGGAAGACCGAGGCGTTGATGGGACCCTCGAGATCGTACAGCTCCTGGTTGCCCTTCTTATCCGTGCGACGGACACCTTTTCGATAGAAGATCATAGCACCGCGTGGCCCGCGTAGAGATTTGTGCGTCGTAGTAGTGACCACGTCGGAGTATTGGAACGGAGATGGAATGACGTCGGCAGCAACGAGGCCCGAAATATGCGCCATGTCGCTCAGAAGATATGCCCCGATCGATTCGGTAATTTTGCGCATGCGTGCGTAGTCGATAAGCCGGCTGTAGGCTGAAGTGCCTGCGACAATCAGCTTGGGGCGGTATATATTGGCCAATTCTTCCACCTGGTCATAGTTTATGAGACCGGTCGACTCGTCGAGACGATATGGGACGGTTTCAAAGTATTTCGAGATGAACGAGATTTTCTTTGTCGGAGTTTGGTAGCCGTGAGACAAGTGTCCGCCGTGAGGCAGGTCAAGACCCATGAGGCGGTCGTGCGTGTTGAGCAGAGCCGAGTAGGCATATAGGTTCGCCGGAGAGCCGGATAAAGCTGGTTCGTGTCAACTAGGCACTTTTTTGTGTATATATATATGGGAAGAAGCGATCTCACGTTGGACATTGACGCCCCATTCTTCAGGATTTAATCTGAAAGTCTCTAATGCACGCTTTTGACACAGTGATTCGGCCTCGTCGATGAACTCGTTGCCGCCATAGTACCTCGCCCCGGGGTATCCTTCGGAGTATTTGTCTGGATACCATCAGAATGAGAGTTTTCGAACAGTGAAGAAAGAATAATTACTTTGCATAACACTTCCGAGCGCATCGAGGACAGCCTGGGAAGTGAAATTCTCGGACGGAATCAAATTGATGAAATGCTTCTGTCGTCGTTTTTCCTACAATACAACACAGACAATCAGCACCTTATAGGGATAGATCCGGGAAGATAGCTTCACGCACTTTCTGTAGAATGGCATATATCGTGGGGTCGGCCTCTTCGAGGTGTGTGGAGAGTAGCTGCGGGGAGAGTCAGTCGATCGGTATCAGCAAGACAGTGCAGGAGGGGGGGGGGGGGGCTTTTTTTTTTCTGGAATTGGCAAACCTGATGCTGTCCTTCATGGCCATCAGAGACGTATCGTTGCTGCGAAGCCACTCGCGAGGGATGGATGCTGGCGACCCTCTGCGAGCGCGACCCAGTTGCGGAAGCTCTGAGGGAGCTCCCAGCCAGCAGCTTCGAGGCCTGGCGGCTGCAGCGATTGAACGACATGGTGTATCGGCCAACCTCAATGAGAACAGAGTCAGAATCAATTGCACGACTGCCGGAGACTCGTGTGTGTGTGTGCAGAGCAGCAAGGAGGAACCTACAAGCCGTGACTATCGCAGCTGGTGAGCTTATTTTATCCGCGGAGACTGAGATAACGGTTGGCGCCTTGTGGCCTGATTCCGCGGGAAAAACGCCGGCCCGCGTTTGGTTTCCCGCCGAGAAATTTTTAAGCGTCGCTCACCGAACATTTTTCCCTCCTTCTTCTCTCCTTCTCTTCAACACAACTAAATCCAAGATGAAGAGACGGCCTTTTTTTGGCTTCTACAGCTCTCGTCACGGTCTGTCTGCGCAGACTGTGCACGGGCGATGCTGATATGTCCCGGGTCCCAAGCACCATCCTTTTAGGGGCAATGTGAAACTGTCCGATTGGAAGTTGTGTCGATTTCATTCTATTATGCACATCCATATCTGCCTACTTTCGCATATGTATTTATGAAATAATGGGATACGTTTACTTCTTACAAACCTGGCCAATCTGGTCTAATATTAGCATTCACCAGAGAATGAGATCCACTGTCTGAGAGAAGCGACTTACCGAATGTCGTCCGTTCCGTGGCCGTCTTGTCGACCCTCACAGCGTCTCCAACGCGTATCTTGGCCACCACCACATCCCCCTTCAAAAACCCATACCGACCAAACACAGGGCTATATTTCGCTCCCTTGTCGACACGTCGATCTTTATTCAATTTCTTGTAGACCATCCCATCGTCCGTCTTGTGGAAACCCCCCGTGTCGAAGTCGACGTCCAACGAACGACACCGAACGCAATTCGACGTCAGCACAAGCTGCACATCACCTCCCCCAAGACTCAGCTCTGCCCAAAAGTCTTCTTCCCACGCACTCTCTGCTCCGCCAACTACCAGATTGGGCCGGAATCTGGTAACCTCAACTCCGCCGTGGCCCTCTGGGAATCGACTCGCGACTTGCTTCACCGACATGTCATTAACCACCATGTAAGCGGCGCAGTCCGCGAACGTGAGTATTCCTTCTTCTTTTTCGTCTTTGCCGTGCCCGGGGCCAAGTCGCGGCACGTAAGTTGTAAGTGTAGATAGCCAGCCCTCTCGACGAATGTTTGGATTCATCGATCCTAGGACGCGCCTTCGATTCTGCCCTGTGTATGCGAGCACGACACGGAATCCGAAGCAGTCGCTGAACCAGTCGCTATATTTACTGCCCATGTTGTAGCCCACGATGGGACTCTGGTGCATCGTGATGGAAATTTCTTCCAGCCCATCCAGACCAGGCTGCAGGGGTATCTCTAGAGTTCTTGGGTTTCTGCATGAGGAGACTGGCGGTTCTTGATAGGTGACGATGATCTTGCCATTCTTCTCCTCGGACAAGACGAGTTCGGTCAAGAAAAGGGACATTTGTGGGAATTCTGGGACGTGCATGTTCTTCAGCCAGTTGTTTGGGGCATCATCCACAACTTTCAGGAGCATGAAGCATCTGTCGTAGAGGATGCCATGGCGAGTGATGGTAGCCTCTGTGAGTCTGGTTGGTTGGAGGGATTTGATGGGATACACATATATCTATGCCGGTCAGTTTCATACAAATCCAAGCATGCGAGCAGTCGAGATTATGCGCACCTCGCTGATGTGCATTGCTATGTAGATGATTTCTTTCAGATACTATACAGACGGTGTTCAGCAATGGTGAGCGCGGGGTAAGTTAGGCAGTTAACTACCTAGTCATTACTAATTCCAGCCGCCCCCAAGACAAGACATATCTCTCTCTGAAATCTCGTCAAGAGATGAGTTTTCAAATGCAGCACGGATTCGATCTGCAATCTGTGAGTTTATCTGTACCTGGTAGAGCATCTTTCCATCTCACCCAGTCGAACAGCATCGCTCGGATTCTCGTGTCAGACAGCCGATCCCACCGGAACGGCTGTATGCCAAACTTCCTAGCCACGTATATCTCAGCAGAGGCCGGAATTATGACAGAAAGGAGTGCATCTGCTGTTCGCGCGGCATTCAATAAAGGAATGGTTATAGACTTCTCTTCGCCGCATTCCGTTCAGCCTTGATGGGTCTAGTCGAGGGTTGTCGAATTGACACTGCTCTGAATGTTAACAGCAAGCTAGGAAGGCATGGGTGCAAGATCGGGCTGGTCTCACCATCTTCAACGCGAATTGCTTATCGTCAATGACGACTTTGAACACATAGCCTGCATTTCCTCCGCCGGCATATTCTGAAAATCTAATCTTTTGCTTTTTGTAAGGGAGACCGCCTGAGAAGGGTCCAGGAGTTCCCCTTTGACCACAATTTCTATAACTGGGTCTGAGTCATTATCCATAGGCTTTGTTCACGCGGTTCTTATAGTGTATACATGTACGTCTTCGTGGTTAGATAGGAAACTTTTTACGGATTAACCTCTAGCTTAGGGTCATTCAACAACCGCAGATATAGTTAGTTAACCTCACGCATGATGGATAATACTTACGGGCTGACTTCCATGCTAGATAGATAGTCCAGGTATACATCTATGGATAATCTCCGGAGCGTACCTAGGTAGTCAAGAGCCAGAGCATCAACTTGTTCAGATTTGTAGTGAGCGAGATACTAGATTGGTTGAGACTGACTCGTATCATACCTAGGTAAGAAAAACCAGCTCCCTCCCTTTTCCTTGCCTTTCTCCGAAAGGAAAAAGAAAAAGAAAAAGAAAAAAGCAATATCTATCGATGACAGCCTCGCCCGCCCTTGTGTCAATGCCTGATTGGGTTGTACAATGGCGAGGCTGTGAATGTAGTTGCTGTCCGGTGGTTTGAGTATATCATAAACGCCACTATCTGTAGATATTGAACATGCTTTTAGCAGTTGTCTTCCTAATGAAGAGCTTTGCATCAACCCTTTCATGTAATATGCCAGAGTGCCAGAGTGCCAACTGGTCTACATGCCCAATGATCCGTGTGGAAGTGACGAGGCTGCACCCCCTCCCCCTCATACTAGGCACATATGGTGCACGATATCTGGATGAACTGCCCAGGTGGTACCCTCACTATGCAGTCTCCTTTGCATTGTGTCGTACGTGGTTCCAATCGCTGTTGCTATCGTCATCTCCCCCTCTCCTTTTGCACTGCTTCTTATCGATGGTCTGTCATAGCATGCGCAGATGATTGCATCTAACATGCATTCATCCTACTCACCCTGGTTTTCAGGCAGCCATTTAGATATCAAAGGAGGGATGACGCAAATCCGCTCGTCCTTGACAGTAGAACATGGAGAAAAAAAGATATTGGATTCCTGGGGACTCATATAAAGATAGTGCATGCTAGTAAGAAATAGCCCACTTTTCAGACATTCTACAAAATGATATACCTATCTCGCCTTGTCCTGTGTCAAGCAATGGCCAACCATAACGAGAAGTCAGAAACCGAGAGAAAAGCGCAACGCCGCAGAGACAAACGGACTGAACGCCGCTTTCTCACAAGGAACAATATCAATAATACATCATCATCCTCCAGCGAGAACGAAGCACCAGCAAGAATGCCCCAGACTAATGGTAAACCGTCGTCGGCGGCGGCTCCAATCCTGGACCACAACCTAAGGGACGCCATTGTCAAATTGTTATCCGCTAAGGAAACTTTCGTGCACCTGTCCCATGTCGTTGGTCTTCTGGAATACGTGAGAGGCAGCGCGGCCTGCGCAGCGCTTACTTTTCAGCCTGAGATTGAGCTCAAAGCAGAGAATGAGCGTCTGCGCCATACAGTGAATGAATTCAAGCAAGTCATCGAGCAACAAAAGGTGCAGGAACTGACTGCAAGATGCCACACCTTGGAAGCGGCAATATCGGACCAGCAAGACTTGCAACGCAAAGCAGACCGGGAACAACAGCATTTGATTAATGAACGGCAGAAATTAGATAGTGAGCGAGCGCAAATGAAGGCTGAACTCACGGGAGAGTTGGAGAAAAAGAAAAAGGAGTATCAAGCCGGCTTTCAGAAGAAGCTCAAAGACGCAGAGAGAAATATAGAAAGGCTTGAAAAGTCGAATCGGGATTTGGAAGCAAAAAAGCAAAAGGCACATGATCAGCTGGAAAACCTGAAAGCAGGTAATGAAGCCCTGATGTCACAAGTGAGGGAGCTGAAATCAGAGCTGCACAAGGAAAAAGAAAAGTTTCTTGTGGAGAGCAGGGGTATTGACTTCTAGTAAGTGGTCCACGTTATTTCTTCTGATCAATTAGTCTCATAATGAAATTGTAGTCAAGACAAGTTTGAAGGATTACGGCAAGAGCTGGAGAGGTTGATAGTAGATCACATTACGGGGCCCATGAATGATGATCAAATAGTGAGTGACGAATCAATGAATATGTAGATATGCTGGTATGTTGACGATATGCCCCAGAACTCAGTGGAGAGAGAACATCTTGAAGACCAAGAAGTCTTCAAATTTGTCCCCAAAAGAAGAACACCGGTGGCCCAATACCTTTGGAGGCGCGGAGCACAGTCTTATATCATTTCCCAGCTATGTGGCAGAGTCTGGCAATCTTTTCCCTTCCATGAAGTCAACGAGTCGACTCTGCCTAACAAATCAAAGGCTGCCTTTGACGCTATATCTGATAAATTGAAGGACATTAATGCCGAGAACGAGGCTGTTTGGCGGAGTATCACCTACAAGGCAATGAGCAGATTATCAGCAGAAATTAGCAGTAGCAAGGCAGAGGAAGAAGAGAAGGATATAGCAAGACATGTCGTCAAGACTCTCGCACCGATTATCGCACCATCCAACAAGGAGAGCTTTGAGGCGAAGCTGGGCGAGATTGTCCGTGAAGCATCCAGTTTGTGGGCTGCTGTCAAGACTGACAAGTTGCGAATCTCGCTCTCCGAACAGCCACCGAGTCAAGCAAGTCCTGAACAGTCATGGCTACCGGGGTCATTAGACGGGTCATTGGAGGAGGTTGAAAGCCCGCAGGACATTTCCATCAGCCATGCCCGTTCACTCTGCCTTTTTCCTGCTGTCAAGGCAAGTGACGATGCTTCAAAGGAAGACATAGTTATCCAGCCTGGGTACGCTCTTTTCTCAGACAGCACTGCGTTTGCGCTGGGAAACAAGGAGCAGCAAGAGTACGCCAGAGAAGAGAGAGAGCTGCGATATAATCTCCGCAGAAATAGCGCGACCTCGCAGCTTTATGAAGCAGCTCAAAACAAAAAGGTCGTGGAACCGACGAGCTGAGCATGCTGAAAGTCAACCGAGAAAAGCGGTTTTTAGGATTTGTTCTTTTTTTCATTCGTTTCGGCCGGTATCAACTACCTAGGTACTTAGTATAGCGTAGTATAGCAGTATAAAATGCAGATGTACTCCCAAACCATGAATACATGCCCAATTAGGTAATACCTGTGCCTCTCGATCGAGAGACACGGCACGTAGAGTGTCGCGAGTGTTGATAGGCTGACAACTAGCTGCATTAAGTGTCGCAGCATTGCGAGCAACTAGTCTCCATGTCCTATCAACTAGTTGCAGCTCTCGAGTCTCCGGTCGCACGCGATAAAAATAGTTTGGAACCGATTGAAGCTGCGCCGCAAAGTAGCGAGTGAACGCTATTTTTTAGGTCAATGGCTTGCCCCCTCTTTCCATTCCCATTCCCATTTTTATTTCCATATTTTTCTCCCCTAGGAAACTCCTCGCGATAATCAAAAGGAACAGAAAAGAAAGAATGGAGGAAAAATCGAAATCTTCTTCCTTCTACATCTTAAATGCAGGCGCACTCCTGCTTATCCTGTCGGTCGTGGGGAGCACGTTCAGATTCATGGTGATATCTGCGACGCTGGTTTCATGGCTCCAGACCCAATGGCTGAGATATACCTCGCTCCTCAAGAAGCGGCGGTCTGCACGACTTGCAGCAGCAGCAGATGAAGCCCGCACTCGACACAGAACGCAGGTCGCTGACATCAGCGAATCTATTGGAGAGAATGTGATTTCATTGCTAGATCAGAGACGAGAGCGGGCTCTCAAGCTGAGTCAAGAGAGAGAGAGGAAGAGGCATGACCATGAACAAGTCGTAATGAAACGGGTCATGGAGCACCTGATAGCGTTTCAAGAGTCTCAGGAAAGAGAGAGGATCAACAAAGACCAACAGCTTAAAGCTCGAGAAGACAATATTCTGGCTCGAGAGAGAAAATCAAAGCAAGCCGAGGAGGCGCTACAAGCACTACAGAAGAAGCTGGAAGAGCGAGAGCAAAGGTTGAAGGCTGCAGAGGACAGCAGCGCTCGCAAGATACACTTGCAACAGGAGGAATTTAGGACGCAAGCAATCCAACCCGCGGTCGTAGCCTTCAATCCTACTCCAGTCAAATTCACCCTACCTTCAGATCTGTTGGAGTACGCCGGGGATCTGGAATTATACTTCACATGCATTGGAGTTACGAAAAAGGGCACACGCTGTCGCCAAAGCATGATCTCAAACGCCGACAAGTCGGCTGCTGCTGGCCGGATAGCAAGAATGAAGTCGAGTAACTGTGAAGCCGCGTTATTTGAACTGAATGCTCTCCGGGAGTTGGCAGACTGGATGCTCTGTCCTCTCTGGCATCGTTATAAGCTCCCGCAGGGGCCCGAGATTGCGAGCCGATGGTACTTCGAATTGAGCGATGCGAGGGCAAGACTGAAAAGCCAGGCAAATGCATTGACCCCGAATAAAGGCTTTGGAGCAGCCAGCACGCCTTCGACGGGAGTGGCGAGCGTCTTCAGCAGCAGTAATACTAGTAGTACAGGGACGGCCGCGTCGGTGCAGTCAGTGTCGTACACAGGCTCGGGCTTCCAGTCCATGAGCCCTCCAGGTGCAGGACAGCTGTTCCAGAAGCCTGCAGCGCGAAATCTGACTCCGATGTTTGAAGCTATGGCGCGGCAGCCACGATGAGTGTTTATTAGGTATTGCCAAATGCATATTGCGTGTGTATCAATGACGATGCAGGTGTAGATACAGCCGTAAAAAGAGAGCGAATGATGTAGAGTTCCGAGTTCTCTGCCTCGATAGTGAATGATAGAATAATGCTGGCAGAATGAGAGGAATGACGCAGCTGCACCGCCACACTGCGAGGGGCCGATTGGATTAGATAATCCTGTGTCTGCTTCAATTGTACGATAATCATTCTTCTACCATCGCGCAAAACAGACCAAACCAACAGAAACCACATCACAAGAGAATCCTTCTGTCGGTGGTGGAGGCTTCGTTTGTTGCTGCCCAGCCTCAGGCACTCCCCACACCATCACGTCACCTGAACCAGACGGACTTTCACTCTTTCTCTCTCTCTCTCTCTCCCCAAAAATCCTCCAACAAGCTTGATCAAATTCACCCCATCGCCACCTGCTGTCTGGCGACCTGTTCGTCTGATCCCTGCAAGTCACGGGGCCCTTGCGTCATTGGCCGGTCTTGCCGATTGTGATTCCGCGCATTTCCACCAGCCAACATCGTCGACGACGACATCCCTCGCGAGAACCAGATTGGGGCGCTCAGTGGTAAGCAGCTCTGTGCTGCCGCTCCCCTCATCACAGAGTACAGAGTACATACGAGAATAACAAGCATGGACAATACGCCGTTGCGGAGAAAGGATACAACAAAGGGCCCGCCTCTAAGGGTGCTTTCCTTAGGTGCGCACACTACCCCAGCACAATGGGTTCTGAAACTAACATCTAGTCCTTTGTCAGATGGAGGTGGCGTGCGCGGTTATTCGATGCTTATTTTGCTACAAGAGCTCATGTATCGCACATACGTCGAGTGCGAAGGGAGCGCGCCGCGACGAGACCAGATCCCCAAGCCATGCGATTACTTCGACCTCATCGTCGGCACGGGCACGGGCGGGCTGATTGCTATCATGTTGGGCCGACTGCGACTGGACCTGGAGACGTGCAAGGAGGTATATGTTCGCATGACGCGGAAAGTCTTTGAAACGGACAAGACGATAGCGGGCATCCCGTACCGGTCGACGCTATTCAAAGCATCCAAGTTGGAAGAGGCAATTAGGCAATGTGTTCGTCAACACACGGTTTATGAATCTGAGGGCAATGATTTTGGAAATGCTAGCACCGTCGAATTCTCGAGTCCCATACATTCTGTGCCGCAGCGCACTCTCAGTCGATCTAGCTTCAGCTCAACCAACACGTCGCGCGCGCCACCGTCGCCTGGGAGCCAGCGGAATTCAATGTCTTTTGTTGCCGGCTATAATGGCTTTCGGTTCGGGAACCCGGACGCGGCGCTGTACGATAATCGCGATTTTCGCACCAAAACGTATGTTCCGTGCTATCTATATCTGGTTACTTTTCGGACTGACGTCGTGTAGCGCTGTTACTGCTGTGTACAAAGGCTCCAGGGCTAGCACACCGCCTGTCCTCTTACGTTCTTACGATTCTAGGAGAGAGCCTCCTCCTGAATTTGAATGCACCATCTGGCAGGCTGGCCGCGCTACTTCGGCTACGGGCCTCGCGTTCAAGCCCATTCAAATCGGCCAATACGTATTTATTGACGAAGGCGCCGGCACGTTCAATCCTGCCCCGCAAGTTCTTGACGAAGCCGTCGTGAACGAGTGGCCTGGTCGCGAGCTTGGTGTTTTCGTCAGTATAGGAACTGGCAAGCGTCCAGCGGGAACAAATCATCAGCAGCACGAGTGGTGGGAGGGCTTTTTCGGAGATGCGTTGGGAACGTTTGCTGAGGCTCGACGACGGCTCATCGCGAAGATTGAGGGCTGTGAAGAAATCCATCAAAGGATGCTTTCAGAGCATCTGGCGAAACGCAACGTGAAGAAAGAGAACTACTATCGGTTGAATGTAGAAGTCGGGGTGGGAGAATTTGGAATGAACGAGTGGAACCGGCTCGTGGATATCAGTACCAACACACGCCGGTACCTCGCCAAACCCGACGTTCAAGGAATGACTTTGGAGGCTGCATCGAAACTGGCTAGAATTGAACGGATGCATCGACGGCAGACATCACACGCAGCAGCAATGGCCACATCAGCCGATATGCAACAGCCAGCAGCAGCAGAATCAACGCCTCCTCCAGCTCCTATCATTGTACCGCCTCCTTCGAATCCCATAGCCATCGAACTGCCAGCCGACGAAATCCCAATTGGACATCGGCCGCATCATTCCCCTCCTCGCGTGTATGAAGAGAAAATTGCCATTATGGGCCCTGATGATCTCGGGCCTCAGTCTCATCTCACTTCGCCAGATGGAAGCTCACGGCGCTGGTCTGGGGAACACCTACACAGCACGTCTCCTGGATCACCACGGCGCAGCGGCGATTTGGAGGTGAACATGAATATGCCTCCGCCTCTACCACCGAAGACTCCGATACCGTATCCGGATGACGCAGGCAATGCGGGGATCGCCATGCCACTTCCGGGGGCGCCCCGACCTGTGCAGCCTGGGTATCATCGGCCACCGTATCCCGTGGATGGGCCTCCTGTGGTTGATAAACTACGGAAGCCTACCTACAACGTACGATGATCTTGTTGACTGGACGATGGGCGTTGGCGCTTTTCTTCACATGTATAATGCTTGCAATGACCTGCTTGGGGATTAACTATGATCTATTTCTTGGCTTATTTGCCTGCTGTTGATACGATACCACGAGATATCTTCTAGTTCTAGATAACATCCAATTTACAAGAGTCCGAGTGAAAAAAAAAAAGAAGAAAGAACGAAGAAGCTGATTGGCTCCCGAGTGAGGCTGTGCGGCTGGCCAGACCAGCGGGCGGGGCAGGGGCTAGCCGCAATCCGCAAGCCACGCACGTGAAACTCGGTGTCGGACCAATCATGCTGCAGATCGCCGAGGTGAAACTTTGGCTGCGGAGAAAAGCAGAGTGGCTGGTGCTGGGTGGGCCAATCAGAGCGGGCGCCAAGGACGGGAAGTTGTGCTTGCTTCGTCTGTGCTTTGTCATCTCCATGGACAACCAACAAAACGTCAGAGTAATCGACGAGGCTGGCTTGATCGGTTTGTGTCGCGGTGGAATAGAGGCCCCAGCAAGGAAGACGCTGCATACATCAATGCATTAGACAGCTTGCTGTTTCTTTTCTTGCTTCAATATCCATGCTGCAGTACGGGGTATGCAATAACACACGCACAGACTAGCGTTGGTACATCTCTGTCTCAGACACCGCCCCCCCCATCTCCGTCGCCGTGTCTGTTTTACATCTTGCTCCTGCTGCGTCTGATCTGTGTGACTTTGCCGGTTCGCTGGTCACAGCGGTTGGGCCTCGCTGTTCGTACCACGGGTCAATTCGACACTCTTCTTCGTCCAGTGGTTGATATAACCTTCTAACCGGTCTATCAGTCACCTGCAGAGAACTTGCTCATGGCGTAACGACGATCTTCTACCTGCGATATTTATACGATTGTCGAATGTACCTGCCGCTTCTTTGTCCTTATACTCTGTTGTTTATTCTTTCAACTCTCGCTCAGCACTCCTTGAAACGGCTCGCTTCCCATACAACCTACCAGCCTATCTAGTGGCCGCATCTCGCTGTCATGGATTTGACAGTAGCGGCCCTGGACCAGGCCCAGGCCTTGTATGTTCGCGCCAACTCGACTTCCTCCTCCTCCTCCTCTTCCTCCTCCTCGCAACCCGCATCATACAAGGCAATCGGCATTGCACTGGCCATCTCCTCCGGTGTCTTCATCGGCATATCCTTCGTCATCAAAAAGATCGGTCTTCTCAAAGCAAACGTGAAATACAACGAGGAGGCAGGCGAAGGCTATGGATATCTGAAGAACCTCTGGTGGTGGACCGGCATGACCCTGATGATCATCGGCGAAACCTGCAACTTTGTCGCTTACTGTTTCGTCGATGCCATCCTGGTGACACCCATGGGCGCTTTATCTGTCGTTGTGACCACCATTCTATCCGCCATTTTCCTCAAAGAGCGGCTCAGTTTTGTGGGTAAGATAGGCTGCGTTAATTGCATCATCGGTGCGACGGTCATAGCGCTGAATGCCCCGTCGGAAGCCTCAGTGAGTGATATACAGGGCATGCAGCATTATGTCCTCCAGCCGGGTTTCCTGGTGTATGCTGGTATCATTATTGTTGGCTGTCTGTTCACCGCACTGTGGGCCGGTCCCCGGTATGGTAAACGCAGCATGTTCGTTTATATCACCGTCTGCAGTCTTATCGGCGGGCTTAGTGTTGTTGCGACCCAGGGTTTGGGGGCGTCAATTCTGGCGCAGATCAGAGGAGAGTCGCAGTTCAAGCATTGGTTTCTTTACGTGTTGTTGGTCTTTGTGGTGTGTTCTTTGCTGACCGAGATCATCTATCTCAATGTAAGTCCCCCTTCCTGAGGTCAACAATGCAAGATAACGTGCTGACAAAGTCTCATAGAAAGCATTGAATATCTACAACGCCGCTCTCGTGACCCCGACCTACTACGTCATGTTCACTAGCTCGACCATCATTACATCCGCCGTTCTGTTCCAAGGCTTTGCGGCTTCCGCAATGGCCATAGTTACTATTGTCATGGGATTCCTGACGATATGCTCGGGCGTGGTGCTGTTGCAGCTGTCCAAATCAGCCAAGGATGTTCCTGATGCCGCAGTCTTCAAAGGCGATTTGGATCAGATAAGAGAAGTCAGTGAGCAGGAGGCTCCTGAAATGGAGCCAAAGGCAGACGCAATTCGAGGCGCGGCTGCGATCATTCGCCGGATCTCGGTATCCAGACAAAAGATGGAAGAGGAAGAGGCCAAGCGGTTCTTTAGGGAAAAACAAGAAGACCAAATGAGCCAACCGGGCGACAACGAGGTGGTCGAGTGGGATGGACTCAGACGGCGCAAGACTGTCATTGGCGACCACCCAACAATGACGCCCAGATCAAACCGCTCTGTGCGGACTCCTCACCCACCTTTGGGCATGGCCCATTTTCCGGACGAAGACGACAAGCCGCCTCGCACGCCTAGTGGCAACAACTCGTTCTTTGCCGACGTGCGCAGTCGAGCCTCCACCATTTTGCATCATCCGTTACACCGGCGGCTAGAAGCTGATGAAGATGAAGTGCCAATTGCCGTGCATCCAGTGGCATTGACGGAAATTGCGTTGAACAAGAACAGTCAGGGCATCGATACTGCTTATCATGGACGCGGCGGTGACGGAGGATTAGAGCCTCCATTCCAGCCCCAAACCGGCAGAGAACGCAGCAACACGCCCAGGTCGATTGTCTGGGCAGACGAGCGACCGGATACATCGCCGGCCCGGAACAGTCATCTCACGCCTGAGCCACCGCCGCAATATGCTCGACGACAGTTCTCATTTACATCGATATTCGGGCGTAAAAGGTCAGCCGAAAGCCTGTCTCATCCGCCAATCAGTCCTGGGCGCAGTATCCTGCGGCATACTGCTGAGAGGGGGCAAGATTACCGTCGTGCAGTCAAGGCTGCTACTGAAGAAGAACGACTGGGGCTAGTCAAGGGAGACCCGCAATCATCAAACATGCATCACGAAGAGGATATAGAAGAAGATGGCGACGAGGTTAGATACGATGAGAAAACGATAGTTCGGTCAGCCTCCCCTGAGATGTTTGATGCGGCCATTGGCCAAGCTTTAGAGGATGTGAAGCGCCAGTACAATCCTCCTCGACCTCACCAGATCTCTACATCATCGTCGATGTCGACGACAACTTTTCCTGCCTACGAAGACATGCATCATTATTATGAACATGCCGGACACGGTCCTGAGCCCGGACAGTTCGGAGGGTACCAATCAATTCGTCGACTTTCCTCACCACCACCGCCTCCTGAACCATTTATCTCTACCACGCCCCAAACACACTATCTTCCTTCGTCCTCAATTTCAACCGGCAAAAAGAAGCGAATCAGCAACACCCTTCCCCCAATACCGGACACTGCCAGCAGCAATCCTCGAGATCTGGAGCCGGATCTCGTGCATGTCCAAATCGACAACCCACACAATCCACCACCGGCATATTCTCGTGGTGGCGGTGCTGACGACGAGGAGGATTTCAACCCCTCGGAATTCGGTGTGAGATCTGCTGCTGTTGCTGGACTTTCGTTGTCCTCGTCGTCGACCGCATCCCCAGCGCCCGCAAGCCAGGCCTATAGGGGTAGTTATCGTCGACACGGTCATCAGACCATCGGCAGCAGCAGTAGCAATTATAACAGAAACCGACGCGTTGCTCGCAACAACAGCGACAGCAGCAGCGATGGAAGTGACGTTGGAACGCGACGGCTGGTTCGCGATGGTGCATTCATATGATGACGCGAATGAGGATAACATGAACATGAGTATGAAAATGAATGAAAATGAATATGAATATTATAACGAAGTCTCGCTTATCCATGTATAGACTTGTCATGACGTATCGGTTTTTCTTTGGTTGGTTGAATGTTATATGTACATAATATACCCATGTCCGCATGTATCTACATCTCAATTCGCTTGATGGATTTTTGTTTTGTTTTGTTTGTTTAACTAGTGTTTTTCGATAGACTAGCGATTTAATAACGGCTCTTTTCTGAACATATCATAAACACTCCTCTGTCCCACCGGCGCACCCACCAGACCAGTACTCCTCGTAGTATTCGTCGAAGCACCAAACCGTGCTTCAGGTAACTTCTTCCCAGCTTTGATGCTCTCAATGGCCCTATTATTCGACACACATTAGTACTTCGTAACCAACGCAACCCTTGAAAAGGTGACAAACCATTCAACAGTAACATATTTGATTCCTTTTCCACCACCAGCGCCAACACCTCTGCTACTACTGCCCTTTAAGCCTTCCTTCTGCAATTTCCCAGCTGCTAATAACCCTCCCGCTCTCGCTATCCCTCCTGGTGCTCCAGATGTAGGCAGAATAACATGCGTAACAGCTCTCCGTGCCAAATGCAGCGATATACAACCGCCCTCTGCTGCCAGGAGGTGTTTCAGTTTGTGCTCTGATATAATCGGGTATGTAGATCCATTGATATAGAAAGTTAAGTTCGAGAATATTCCTCTTTTTGTTCTTTCGGGGACTGGTAATGGTTCCTCAGCGTTGGTGTTGGCGTCTTCTTTGTGCTGCTGGATATCTTCGAGAATAGGTGCAGGAGGAGTAGGTTCATAAGCAGACATAACCGTCAACACCGGTTCTTTTGTCGTCGTCGTCGAATATAAAGACTCCGATTCTGACTCGTGTTGAGCAAGCTTCTCATCCATCATCCCTCGACAACTCATCGATTTCACCACTCCCATATACCGCCTGATATCGCCGACCCCCAAGTTTGTCCTCCGCGCTTCCTGTGCTGACATCCATCTCCATTCCTCTCTCGCACCCTCTGTGCCAGTCTTCTGTGCTTGATTAGGGTTGGTCGCGAGAAACTGCCCCGCTAACTTCCGTCTCCTCGTCTCACGCCATGAGGTTGTGCTAGAGTATGAATCATTTTGAGGCCGTTGGTGGCCTGTGGAGGAGGAGTTCCAAGGGTCGAAGATGAGGTGGTTTTTGGGTTGGGGTATGGTTCGTTTGGATGGGACGAGGGGTGCTTTTTTCGTACCCTGCTCTTGTTTCGATGAAGGCAATGAGCACAGTTCAGACATTAAGGAATAGGGAGAGGGGAGAGGATGAAGAGTTTTTCTCGAATTCCTTGAATTGTCTCGTAGTTCGTCAGTTCAGTAGTTGTACATTGCTTCGTGGCTGTTAGCATCTCAAATACAAGCTCTGCGAGGTTGACCAAAAGAATGACATGCCAAGCTCTCTTATCGGCTATCATCGGTCTGCGACGTGTTGTTATTTTTCCTATTTGGGACTTACCACCATGTCTAGATTACAGCTACTCATGGAGAAAAGATGTGAAGAGAATGGAGTTTTATGTACCCAGCTTAATAGGCACGTCTTCGATCTTCGCTCTCGATCATCTCACGTTGTCTCGTCCGCAACATCATCACAGAGACGAAAAAGGAAATTCGTTACATCATGGTCGTTAAAAGCATGTTTGACGCAATCACTTAAATCAACGCGAACATAGAAAAGAAAAGAGACAAACGATGACATAGAAAAAAAGTTAAAATTGACAACAAACTCAAAACAGTACAGACCGGACCATTGCTAGCATGGTATGTCGTGACATACATAGCTTTTCACTGTGAAGAATAATCCTGTCTCTTCCCTGCACACGTCCACTTCAGCCAGGGAAAGTATGTCTGGGTGTATGGTATTGACCTGCCGAAAGAAAAAGAAACGCCAAGTAAACCAGAATCTGCCCTCTAAGCACCAATGAGTGAGTACCGACACCATGTAAAAGACCGGTTCTTGATTAGTAGGCCAAATCTCAGAAGAAAATGGCCATTATTAGGCTGATTATACTAATGAAAGACTTTCAAGACTGTCTGCCTCTGCCTGTTCATCGGCGTCGCATAACTCCTCCGGCCGGCACAGGTTGCTGCATTGGCATAAAGGTACCCCCAACGGGCGCTCCAATTGGAGTCTCAGTTAATGTTTTCCGACGCTTTGTATCGTAATCGCCTTCACGCCCATCAGGCCGCGCTTGACGGTCATCATCATCCTCCCGCAGTCTTTTTGTCGAGCCAATCGAACCATTGACTGATGAATATCCCGAGTAGTTCGAGGCGTAAGCAGTGCTGGGAGCATATGTATCACCATTAGGAGCAGCGGGTGCACCCCTGGTGTCACTAACAATGTTGGAAATGCTGCCTGCCGGCAAAGCCCTGGGAGGGGTGTTGTAGCCTTGCGTCCATTGCGGTGGCGGGTTGGTGCTGGCAGTGCGTGGCGTCATCCGGTCAGCCCCATTCTGATGTGAAGGAGAACCCCCCATCTGAGAATGGTCTCCAGCAAGCGACGCCACCGATGGATTGGCGGTGTATGTGTAAGAGTTGCGGTTTGCATACGATCCCGCACCACTGTCTGGGACGAATTCGGACTCCTGTTCCGGCGCGGGTTCTTCTTCGCCAGCCCCATTTGCGCCTGCTAATTGTCCATTGGGTTGACTGTATCGATCAACCTTGACATCGGTATGGTCTGGCTCGACTGGACCTAGAGGCGGTCTCGCACCTGAAGGGCCCATATCCTTCATGAGTGGTTGGCCGTAGCCGGTAATCGACTGGGGAGCCAATGGCTGGGAAGCGTATTGGCCCTGCGTTGAAGGGGCGGATGAGTAGTAAGGCTTGGAGCTGTCATAGGCTGGTTGGCTCTGGTACGGTGGCATGCCTTGCAGGTTATTTCCCGGCGGTGTGGTTGCTGGTGTCGTGGGCATTGACCGTGTGTTGTTCAAACTTGTGTCAATCGGCAAAGACTGGGATGGCTGGACAGTTGAATTCATATTCTGGTTGTTCCAGTCATAGGTGCTGCCCTGAGAAGGGATGCCAATCAGGCTTGATGCACTGGCTGGAGGCGTAGGAAAAGTATGGGCCCGGTCAAGCCCAGGACGCCCACTGCTGTTATGCTGAGGAATAGAAGGTGCCGGAGCTTGTGACATATGCGAAGGAACAGAGCCGCTCATAGAGTGATGATGGTGCAAAGTAGGGGCCTGCGGACCTTGGGAGCTCCTTGCGCTCTGGCCACCTTCCAGCCTGCGCTGTTGTGAGTCTTGAACAACCATGTTAGTGCGGTTAGAATTCGTCGGGTGGTAGAGGAGGCCGCCAATATTGTGGACAAATAACGGATAGAGCAAGTCGGTAATTTTCTCCTTGTTTGCGAAATCGAGGGCTCTCTCGTACGGGATCCTTCAACTTGTTAGTTGCTGCTGCTGCTACTGCCTTGCGGTTGTCATTACTCACCATACACCCTTCAAATGCATAGGACCAATCTTCACAACATGGCGGACCTTTTCGCTTTTCAAAATGCCGTCTCGACGGCCCCTAGTCATACCAGCTACATTCAGCAGCTTGGTACCATTAATCATGTGGTTGTCTGTCAACTAAGTTAGAAAGTTGCGGTTTACTAGCAGATGTAGAAACATACCTTCACGCCGTGCCACACAAACGCCCTTGGCTTCAACTTGGTAGCAAAGACTGCCCTCGTCTTCCCACAGAGTTGCCGTTACTCGCGGCTTTGCCCCAGGAGGGCAGGTTTGGCCAGATACATCATGGACAGCGGGCGGTTGAGATGGGTTTGCTCCACCGACGTATCCATGAGGCGTTACGGTATGGCTAGTCATGGCTATTATTGGTTTCAAAAGTCAGCAACCAGCTACAAGTGCGATAGTTCTCCACGCATAGCAACTTACCTGGTAATGGCAAAATCTGGGTTGGGACCTGGCTGCTAATTGAATTAGAGGCAGGTTGTGTGGTCGAAGCAACGCCATTGGAGTACTGGTAAGAGTATGAGCCCGGGGTCGAGGGATAGGCGGTAGAGCCAGGCGGAAGAAGGGGTGGCGGCTGCTGATAATGCGAGTAGGGCACCATTCCGCCGGCGGTCGCACCGTGCGTGCCGTACGGCTGGGGAGATGAAAAGTGCGATGTATGCACATCCATATATGATTGAGTTTGGTTCATGGTTTAGCTGCGATGTGTATGTTGTTGTATCGTATGACGGTGTGTATATGTATAAAGCGACGTTCGTATAAGTAAATGCCGGCGACTGATCGTAGCAAGTTCGTGATGTTCGTGACGATGAACGCTGAAAGGCAGGGCAAAACAGACTCTTTTTTTTTCTCTCTCTTCCGGTTTTTTTGTCGCTACCAAATCTTGGTATCGTGACAAGAAACGCGCGAATGGGCAGGCATTCAATCACAACGCGCTGCTGAAAGAAACCTTCGAATAAACAGAGGTGGATATATGAGGATATATACCACAGAGGCGTCGTAAAAAGTCGTAAATATGCGTTGAATCACAGGTAATCTTTTTGTATCGTCTTTTCGCTTGATTGACTGCTTTTGTTTCTTCTTCTCCTTCTTCTTCTTCTTCTTCGTGAAAATCGCTGAAATGGACTGATGGAAAGGCAGGCTAGCTCTAAGCAGCAGAGCAAAACAGGAGCGAAATTCTAGACAACGCGAATCCCAGCTATAGCCGAGGACATGGGATCAAAAGTAGATGCAAATATGTGAACATGTAAAAAGGGGGGAAAAAAATAAAATGATGGTAAAACGATCGTGATCGTAGCGCAGGTCGTAACGGGTCGTAGCGGTCGTGTAGAAGGGGAAGGCGAAGAGGAACGACGACAGCTCCTTCCGCTGTTGATATTATTATTTTGTTTTTCTTTCTTTCTTCCTTTCTATTTTCCCGTCTCGTGGTGTTTGCTTCCTTCTTGTAGAGATTTAGCTTCGCTTGGGTCCAAGTGCAATGGCAGAACAGGACGCGGTGGGTAAGGGTCTTCAGAGGGCCAGGGCAGAAGAAGGTTTAGTGAGATGCATGCACGACGGGAGAGAGGGAACGGGCATGTTAAGAAGAGGCAAAGGACAGGGAGAAGCGAATTGGAGGGACGAAAAAAGAAGATGGCGCGTACCAGGATGGAGAAAGTCAGAAGGAGGAAGAGAAGAGGAGGAGGAAAGAGGCTGGTGGAGGTTGCTTGTGGAGGTCTTCGGCAGCGGCGGGCTCAAGAGCCAGAAACGCAAGGCAGATCAACCGGCGGATGATCGCGGGCTCCGAATGGCAATGCGATCAAGGAGCGCAGGGATGAAACGAGAGATGGCGATAATGAAAATAGAAATAGAATAATAATACTAATCGTAATAATAAGATTGTGCTGGAATAAAGAAGAGAGCCTGTATGTATGGATGTATGGATGGGCGTATCTGTGTATGTATCTGTGCTCTGTCTGTCAGTCAGTTCTGTTGGCGGATGGAGATCCCCCATGAATGATGCGATGCATGCAGATGGGACGATGAGGTCAATTAATCTCAGCGCGAGCGAGACTTGACTAGCTAAGAAAAGCCAACGACTCGCGGTGGGGACTTTTCTTTGGCTCGTTGTTAGCGAGTGTTAGTTAACTACTAACTAGTTAGCTAGTATTTAGTATTTACTACGCAGAGGATTGGGCTAGTACTAGCGGTATCTATGGATGGATGGATGGATGGACGTACCGTACCGTCCTAGTAATACCGTTCGAGGCGTTCGTAATTTATAATTTATGCCCGTCTGCCTGCACTCTCCAGCGATAGAGATAAATAACTATTATTAATATTTAGCACCGAACTCCCTTCCTACTACGGACGTTGCAATGCTCGGCTGGAGTATCTATCTACCATTCATAAATCATAGATAACTAACTACCGTACTGACGGACCGAAGACAGTACACGGAGCAGTGGAGTAATAATAAGGCTATTATTATGACTATGCGCTGTAATGTATGTTTTAGGGCAATGGACAGCTGGATGGCGTCAGTCGGACATAGCCCTAACTTGGTCTATTTGCTATTAGTTAGGCTATTAGCATTTTCGCAGTGTAGAATAGAGCCAGGCAAGGAGTAGAAGAGAGTCACTGCCCCATACGGCCTAGCGCGCAACAGCCTTATTCTCATGATTCATTTCTGAGTACAACGCTTCATGTTTTTCCTTTTTTTTTTTTTTTTCCTATGTTCGAGAAAACAAAAAAAAAAAATAAAAATAAAAATAATGAGATGCTTCGACCCCAAAGTACAGACTCTAACAAACAGGCCAGCTCCGTGTTACACCGCGGGCCTTTACTCGGACGTTGAGGGGCACTCCGTCCTCCAGCGAGCATTGCTTTTTCCGTGCTACTTGCTGCAACGTTTGTATTTGCTATTTACGGAGTAGGCTAATACGGGCACAATCAAATTTTAATACGCATTAATAGGCCCTAACAATCATTTAAATAACCGTGTATTATTCATTTTACTTCATATTCCCTGACTTCGAGGTGATCGACCGCTTCCGAATCGTGCATAGATCTGAATGCACGTTGTATTTCTACGTAATAATAATTAACAGGCCAGCCTTCTCGATCTCTCTTCATGGTACTCTGTAGTTGCCAGAAGATGTGACAGCCAACCTCCCCCTTTCTTCATCGTACCCCTTTATTGCAAGTCAAGCAGCGGTCAGACAAGGCTGGACGAACGAGCTAGGTAATGATTGGCTGGGCTTTGAGTGAAGGCAAGTCGAAAAAGCAAATCTAGTCAAGATTCAAATCCATTAGTTATCTCGTAACATTTAATTATCCTTCCTAGCTAACTACTGAAGACTTATCAGTAAATGGACTAAGGCATCCTGGATTTCATCCCTACTGCGGGACTTGGGAGCTAGTACAGAATTACGCAGTGAATGAGAAGACCCTGACAGCACCTGCCACTCAAACATAGTTATACAGCAACGCCACGAGGCCTGGCATAACATACATACATACATACATACATACATTGGCATATGTCGGTCAAAGTCTGAGCAGATTACCAAATACTAAATAGTTGGTCGAGCCAATCACATGCAGGATAAATTACCCCAAGTATGTACGGCGGCTGTACATTGGCCAACCAGAAGGCCGAACGGGACAGTCGAGGGTAAAGATGAAACGAGGCTTCTTACCAAAGCTGCTCTGTTGGCTTGATAGGATGAACGTTCCCGCTTAGATGAGTTGAGTGTATAATGCATTAATCCATCATAGAATCGGTGAAGAACACTAGTTACTACTAGTAGTAGTGGACATCCAACATACTACGCCGTATGTATCATGTACTCCGTACGTATTGTATGCATGTTTCTGTGGGCCCTGGCAGGGATCGACTCGTCTTGACTTGCTTCACTTGGCCTTGGCGCAAGCAGGGTCTGGCCGTAGTTAGCTGTCACTGTCAGTAATCGCTGCTAGAGGTGGGAGACTACTGGCCCAGAAGAGACCAACGCAGAGAATCTAGCGTTTCCCCTCTGTTTCTGTTTCTTCATTTTTTGATAGCAATGCTTTTGACTAGTTTTATCGGTGAGGGTGGAGATAACGCCAGGAAGATTTGCCAAATTCTAGACTTTACTACTGACTTATTGCCGCCGAGGCCATGTTTATGTGGTATCAGACAGTGCTTACTGCCTCTTACAAGATTTGACTATTCAATAGTCAGCGAATACAAATATACCTATTATTAGCTAATCATAAATCATAGATATAGTTAGATATCTGCCTAGTACTATAGCTGTTCTTCACTTCCTTGCGGTACCGAGTCGGACTAACCCCGTGCCACCCCGAGCCCTATCGCGCTAACGACAATGACATCCCAGCATATGATCAGTCACATAACAACCCTTTTCTTCAGACACCAACCAGATAATTTCTGATATCTACCTCACCGCTCTTACAGAGATACATCTAGACGCGAATATCACGGCATATGTATGTATAGCGTATACGAAGGGCACATCCGTGTTTCGTGTAACCTCAGCCCTTCAGCCAACACCTCCCCCCTTGCTTCCTCCAACTGCCTGCTTCATGCGTAGCTAGGCAGCTTCCAGCTAATCATCTCAGGGTACGTTGCGTGTGCATGCTATGTAGGTAGAGTATGCAGTTTAGTTAATGATCGTCGGGTGTGATAATATAGAACCCTCTAATTAGTTCGTTGAATGTGAATACGTATGCCAGTGGACTCTGCTAGATTTTCAATTTTTTTGGTTGGGTAACTCGACTCACGAGGTACGTAGCTCTGGGTAGGTCTGTGTTACAAAGATAGATAGCTGAGACAACAACAACAACAACAACCAGCGGGAAGGGGATTCTGCCGGGTTTTCCGTTGTTCACCGGCTCTTTCGCTTGTAGGAGGATGTGAGGGCGAAGTGTCGGTCTGAACCCCGAGTCCCTATGAGGATGCATGAAACAGTGGCTAATTCTGTGTATATGTGTGTCATTCTGTAGATTAGCAACAGTCACCTAATTTTAGATACACGTAGGTAGTTATGTGGCTTCGTGTATATTGATTGTATATGTATTCTACGTACATTTGTAGGCAGTTGCGTCCATCATGTCTTGAGCCTCAATGCACTACCATGTAGATGTTCTATCGCATGATTACAGCATGGGTTGCGAACAGATAGACAAGGTAGACGACATGAACCAGCATAAGACAAGGAATTTGACATGGATTATCTTATCCAATATGCTGCAGGAACGTTTCATCAGCGTAAAACAGACCAACTATTTCAACGTTCGCTCATATTTTAAACTGCCCGACTGTGACAGAACATGACATGACATGACAGACCAACGGACAAACCCTGCTGCTGCAAGTCAACTGCCAAAGAAAGAAATCCATTCAATGTCCTGTCCATGTCCATGTCAATGTACGGCACGGTAGCTCCGGGTGCATGCATTAGGTAACCGAGATTATGAAGCGCGTAATATGTAGTATGTATAATACGTGAAGACGACTATGCTATGGTGTCGTTAACTATTAGTTCAATGGTTTAACCTGTGAGGAGGACCATGCTGATTTATCTGCTTGCGACTTACGGAGTAATTACAGGGATTACTCAAGAACAAGATACGTACATAGTAACGAAGGATCACGGACCGCTCTTCGCGACTTAGCTGACGCCGGACGCCGTTCTGACTTCGAGAAAAGAAAAGCAAGAAAAGAGGGGTAGGCGCGAACTAGGCAATAGGTGTTCCGTGGTTGGGTTACGGAGCAGAAGACCTGGTTATAGTAATGTCGCTACTAAGTTCTAACTAAGCCTTGATGAACAGTAACTTATTAACATAGCGGGCATGTAATAATGTATTGATATGTACGGAGTACAGGGAAGTGTCCTGGCCATAGCGCAATAGCCTAGTACGATGGGTCAAACTTGGTCACTAGTACGCTGCTAGTACTAGCAGGCTCTTGCTGCTCTATCCAATCAGCTTGACCGTAATATAAGAGCCCACTTGGACTGGTATGTATGCAGGCTGGCCTTGGACTAGTCCTGTACATTTTCAGCTACGGAGTAGTCGTACTGAGCGGAGCGTAAACAACCGTGCTAAAGTACGGAGTAATGGATTTCATATAAGCTATAGCTAGTTGACGGAAGACTGCGGACGAATAACGAAGTACTAGTTTAGTTGATGTTTTTTAATTAGTACATATCCGACTGAATCTTAGTGTTATTAAAGCATACGTTCTAGTTACGGAGTACTAGTAGTGTATTTACTTGCCTAGGAAAACGGGATATCAAATCCGGCAATATCCATCCAAGACATATAGATATTACATGAGTTCAATATTCCCTTTGGAGTGGGATGGATTTGAGTTCACGGGGGTTAAAGAAAGTTGTTGGCTGCAAGGGCTTCACGCTGCTGCACGTAGCCGAAGTGCGGGCTGCGGGCTGCGGGCTGCGGGCGGACGGCAAGATGCGTCGGGTTCCGCTTTTCTTCCATTCCAGGTATGTAACTGTCTGTCATTTCCAATTTGGCATGTGCGGAGGATATTCGTATTTAGTCGTATTTCTTAGTTATTCACTGTTTCATTTGTTTATTCACCTCGTCAGATTTCGTTTCATTAGGAAGAAATATTAATGCTAGTAGTAAGTACGGTATGTATGATGGATGATGTATGATGTAGGCTGCAACACCATGCATGAACATTCTTCCTTGATTTGGCAGAGAATAAATTTAAACTCGCATGCATTCCCGTACTTGCTTCCGCAGTCCTTCGCTCAACTCGGTTAACGACGTCAACTATGTAGTTATTTCTGTCATAATATATGTATGTATGTATGTAGGTACGTTGCGCTGCTCGTGCACGGATAGATCTACCGTGCATGTAAGGGTGACAAATGTATAGATGTACGGAGTAGTTAGTTAGATATAGATGATATTGTTACCTAAGTAAATTGATATATTTGTTGACCATTCCGGAGTCTCATTCTCCTGGACTGCCATGATAGACCAGGCAATGGAGGAATGTCCACCATTCAAGCCTCCCGAGAATTCCCGGATGGTGCAAGTACTACTTACTCCCTCTGCGAGTCCGTACTATGTAACAGAACAGTGAGTCTCAGAGTAAAGAAGGTGGTAATTCGACCCGTATGTGTGTAGTACTCCGTAATGTTGGAAAATACCCGCAATAGCCCCGGCCTTTATCAATATCCAATATCGCTATCAGGATCTAGTATCTAGTATAGTAATCTCCTAATCTGCTCCGTGCTCCGGAGTGGTTTGCACTTCGGAATGGCAGCATGTACGACGTCTGCCATGGTCACGTAGCTATTCTCGGGGAATTATGGTAACAAGTTATTCCCCATCCAATTAGCATAATATTCGATCACTTGCTCTTTTTAAGGCTGCCAACCCGCCAGGTATCCGTACGTATAGTATGATACATACGTCGTAACGTGGTACGCAGTGATTACCAGTATATTTAATAAACTTAAACTAAAAGAGGTTCGGCAAGCTCCCGTCTCCGTCGGCGGGAAGCCCCACCCTCGACCCCTTTGTGCACTGCGGATTGGCCAGATGGCACTGATGTACAGCGCATATCTTAGACTGCGATCTACGCGCAGTCATTGGCTGTTACTGCATTCCGTGGCTGGGTCATGGTGGGGTCCCATGGGTCCCATCTGGGGGCGCTGACTGGTGCTCAGCACGACCACGTATCTTTCCCCTCTTTGACTATAGTTGCTAAATCTACCTGCTCTCTCTGTGCTGGGCAAATGATCCGTCAGCATCATCGCCAGCTGGCCCCTCTCCCCGCTAAAATTTGGCTGGAAGGTCCAGAGCTTTGTCTCTACTTTGATTTTTTTTTCCTTCCCTCGCTGCTGCTGCTGCTGGTTTTTTTTTTTTCTTCCCTCTTGCTCGTCGCTCGGTCTTGTGTTCTAGTTCATTGATAAGAGAAACGTCTGAGTATTGCCCCCAAACGTTTATTGCTTGCTCTCCGAGCTTCCGTGATTAATTACCTCGTACATGTGATTCGCTTAATTGTTAGTCCCCGAGACAACTGACCGCCGACGTACCCCTCTTTTCTCCTCGGCTTCCTTGATGTTCTTTCACGATGAGTCTCGTCTCGTCAGTGGGTGCGGAGTACTTCGTATCATGATTCTTCAAATGTCAGTCACGTTTCAGCTGTGAGGAAATACTCCAATCAGAGATAAATAAGCCACTGTACGTTAAAACATTCGTACTACTCTACCGCTCTGTACTAGAAATAGAATCTGTTATAACAATCCACAAGAATGGATACTAGCCAATCGGCCCCCTCCTTCGCGTTGTTATTCGAGCGGTTTGCGAAAAGTTGCTCCAAGTTTATTACCCAAAAACAGGGGGAAAAAAAATTAATTGTACGAGGCCGCGAGCACGTACGACCTACCGCACCAAGTTAGTCAATCGTGCGAGATGAGATAAAACAAGAAGTCTGCAAGAAATCTTCCACCCATTTCCTCATCTCTCCATATTCGCCCCTTCCTCGTCTCATGTTTCACCTTTCTTTTCATCTTAACTACTAGTTTCCAGCAATTAGGTTAATGTATGTGCGTATGTGCTATGTTATATGTACTCCATACAAAATTAGACCCTGAGCTGCAACGTCCCGTCTTCGCATAATCAACTAAACCAAGAAGGAATTCTGGTTTGTATGCACGTAAGCAACTTTAGTTAGTTAACTAACTATTAACTAGTTAGTACTTACGTACTAACTTAGTGGGCTGAGTTATAACTTCGATTTTAACTATGGAGTAGTCATATTATTAACTACCTTGTTCGACGTTTGAGTAGGTTGTTAATGTTTTAGACCACGCTCCCCGTTTTATTTATTGAACCTACCTAGGTATGAGGCCATGAGAAATTTGAGAATGATGTTCAGTTGGTATACAATTTGGCTCATTTTTAAAATACAGGTTCTATCATCGACTCAAGCCCAACCCAGTCAGCCAGTACATACTCCGGAAATCTATCTATATCTAATTTCATTCGACTAACAACTATAACTAATAAATACTACGAATAAATATTGATCTCCTTGAATTCTTTTCATATGTAATTATATGTGATTATATGGCAAATGCTGGACTATTCTGTCCGACCCTAGCTTTACTAGGTGTTTGAGGTAGACCCCATCCTTGAAAGGCTAGCCCTTCATCAATTACTGAATGAGTCATGCCATGAACAAAGATACATATACGAGATCAATAAATATTCCACTTTACATACCTAGTTACATATCTAATAGCCTTGCAGAGTATTAGACGAACTGATCAATCCCTGCCAAGAGAGTCCATGAGATATATCACAGTGGATGGACTAAGATTCAATTCATTGACCTACTATTTATACTTGTATTAAATAGACAGCAAACTAGATGATGTGAAAATTTCCTTCTTAGATAAAGGGATGCTTGTCTTATTTCCCGGTAGTCATGGTGGATTAGATATTCTCAAGTCTATGATTGTATGACATGTCTGAAGAGAGAACGAGTCAAACTTCATACCTGCGCAAGGAAATCACAAGTAGTGGGCTCCCTGCCTAAGTAGATACCAGAACTTTCTCTATACCTAGGTAGACGACAAGAATACCTGTTCAGGTGCATCCATCCATTCATTCATCGAATATGAGAGTATGACCACCACCTAGCAAAGCAAAATGCCATCCAATTTAAAGGTATCCAACCCAATTCATAATTCTCAGCCAGAACCCAGTCTATAGACCCGCTCCAAAAAGTGAAAAGTCAAAAGCCACGGGCATTGTCACAGATTCCAGCCCAATCAAAATTATGACGCCATTACTTCTTCTCAACCCCTTTGGCTGAGAATATCTGCTGCCACAGCTCTATCCACTCTCGCTGTCGATGCGAGAGCATCTTCTGTGGATTGCGCACTATCTCCGTCATAACCTCACGCACGCGCATGCTGAATCTCTTGAAAGCGAGCATCTGCTTCCAATCGCGGACTGAGAAACGTATACGGTTGTTGTCGATAGATATTATGCCGGGGTAAATCTACAACACTTAGTTAGTGTATACACAAAAGCAAGGTATATGCGCGCGCACCTTGAATTCAAGATCACCACATAGCAGTGCAACAGCAAAGCTTTCCACTGCACTGGTCTCATGCGCATTGTAGAATCGATTGCGAGTCTGCATAATGTGGTAATATGACAGCCATTGGATAGACGCATCTGCCTGCTTGTTTACAGATGTCTGATGGAGAGACACATTCTGGTTGTTGGCAACGTTGCGCCATCCTTTTTTCTCGCGTGTCACGAGTTTAGGATAGAAACTCCATGCGATGACCGAGTTGATTATCATATCATTGGCACTGTTAATGTCCACACGCTCAGGAACAACGAAGAATTGTCGATTGCGGCCTGTCACCCGAGCCCTATCGTGGAGTTAGCACGTATACCTTTGTTAAAGTCTAGAGCTGAAGAAAGAAAGACCTTCGAAGAGATGCCTGTTCATCTACATCCAGTTTTAGTAGCCCTGCATCGACGATGCTAACTAACAGTTGCATTTTAATATCTTCAATGTTCAACAACGATTGCGGGCTAAGGAAGTTCTTGCGACAAAATGAATACTCGTTTGCTCCAGGAGTCTCTCTAGTTCTTTTCCAAGCGATGTAGGCATTATAAACGGTCAATAAATCAGAATCGCCTGTTCAATATTAGATAAGTGAATCAGAAAGCTACCCTAGCCAGCAAGACATACCTCTCTTGAAAGACAACCGAGCTGCATCTCGTTGAGAACTTGAGCCAAGTGTATTGACAAATGGTGACTTTGACGATAAAATCGCCGCAATGCTGACACATGCATCCAGACACTTGAAGATTGTCCCGTATATTATGAGTTTTCCGAGCCACACGTCCAGTGGTAACTTTGCGAGTTGCTTCCCCAAAGCGGTTAAACCTTCACCACTTGTGAGCGCCTTGACTTCTTTTAAGGACTCAATGGCCCTTCTTATATTTTTCGAAGACGGCGCATCCAATGCTTCGAGCAGCGTACTCTCAACGTCTCCCAAATTACATATCTTAACTCGCAACACAAGGTCCTGGAGTGAAAGCCTAAGCATCTCTGGGGTTTGCTGTTCTGATAACTATAAAATTTGTCAGATGAAGACCAGGCGAAAACCCAAAAACTGCCTACCTTATTGTCATGCCGATATCTTGTAAAAAGATGAAAGCATATTCCCTCCTGAACTCGTCCAGCTCGTCCGCGACGTTGCTTTGCATTGGCCCGGGATATGAATGATTCCACTAGTCGTGATAGCTGGCGTTTTTCATCAAACCTGGAAAAAAGGTTTATATTAGTTAGATGGATCACACCGCAATATGGATTGTAATCAAATTATTTACCTCATGACTTTCTCCTTCCCAGCATCGATAACAGCTGTTATGTCTGGAATTGTTATACCAGTCTCTGCAATGTTGGTAGCAATTACAATTTTCCTAGTTCCTTCCGGTGGAACAAGGAATGCTTTTTCTTGGTCCTCGCTAGCAATAGACGAATGCAGTGTATGAATAATCCATCCCTGGTTGAATGTTGCATCTGATCCAATCTCGTCGTGAAGCCTGCGAATTTCTGCTAAACCAGGCATGAAAACAAGAATCGCCTTGCTGTAGTGACTTAATTCTTGCCTAGTTGCAATGGTTGCCAGAAGCTTGGTAATCAGCCGATAATCAAGCCTGTATTCATCAAACTTCAATACTGTATCCCTTGTTTGGTAAGGATAACCTTCTAGTGTGGTTCTCAAACTTTGGCCAGTTTCATTATTCTTCCCTTCTTCAGAAGAATGGTCTTCATCATCCTCGTCAATGATAGTTGAGGTCGAGCGCGAATCTTCTAGTCGGTATCTCGTTAAATGGATGGCGTCTTCGAGATACTTGACTTGTACAGGGAAGGTCCGTCCAGGAATATTTAGTACTGGGGCACCGCCCAAATAATCCGAAAACTTCTTAGCATCCACCGTGGCAGACGTAAGTACGACTTTTAGGTCTGGTCTTTGAACTAATAGCCGTCGAAGAACAATCAACAAAAAGTCGCTATCAATACTTCGTTCGTGGACCTCGTCAAGTACGATGTGCGAAATGTCTCGCAGATCATTTGGTCGTTCCAGCATGCGAACGACAACTCCTGTTGTCCTACACTCAATGTTAGCCTTTGAATATCAATAAAGTAGAAGAAAAGCATACGCAAATATCAATCTTGTACTCTGGCTCATCTTGCTTTCCAATCTTATCGCGTAACCCACTAAAGACCTATTCGTTCCTAGGTCTTGATGTCTCTCACCGAGTTCTTCGCTCACACGTCGTGCTAAAGAAATAGCCGAGATCCTGCGAGGCTCAGTGACAAAGACTTTGCATTCGCGACCATTTGCAAGCTCGTTTTCCATGATAAATGATGGGATTTGGGTACTCTTCCCGCTTCCGGTCTCACTACAGATAATGATAGCCTGACTTTTGGCCAGCGTATCGAGTATATCTTGCTTATACGCCCAGATGGGCAAATTCTTGCGAGATTCTGCCATGCGTTGAAAGTATGGAGTCGACGATTTCTCCCCCCAGAGACCTTTCAGGTTGTCTGCATTTGTCTTTGAGCTGAGCAGTTCAAGTTTTTCTGGAGACTGTTGCCTCACATTTCCGTTTCTTCTTTTAAAGTTGTCTGACAACACCACGTCATGTTCAAATTTGCCGTGATTTTCCTGGATTAGCCTTCTCAAGTGTCTAATCGTTTCCTTGTCGGTTTCATCTTCTCGTTGCTTTTTTATTTCATAAAATTCCTTATAAAGATCTCTCCATACGCCTGGAAGCCTCATGTGGGCTTTGCTCTCCTTGGAATTTGATCCCGATCCCGAAACAAGGAAGAGGCCAAGAGTAGAAATGTACCCTTCTGCTTGCTGTTTCGTCGGAGTGGCCATCGAATCCATTGAAACAAATACAGTAAATGCGTTGCATTTGATGGACACATTCTCGATCGACGGTGGGGATAGTTCTTCTTGTGGTTTGGACCACTTTATCTCAACTGCTTTCCGATTTAGATAGGAAATGGCCGATAGATCCTTGAAAACGATTTTAGACGCCGGATCTCTGAAAACATTCATTAGCTTCCAGTTTTATGAGAGAGGCGGTACAAAAGCCAGCTGAAAGATGGGAAAAGACTTACCTAGCTTGGCATACTTCTTGTAGAAGCTTCTGAGGGCTGGTGCCGCCAACTGATTCCCCAAAGCTGCGTATTAATTTGCAGGCATTGGTCGTGTCCTGCTGAGATGGAGGCTCGTCACTTGTATCTTCTGTAAAAATGCTACCCAGAAGCGCCTCATCACCGGATTCAGTAGGTTCTACAATTACAAAGTCTTCCGCGTCTTCGGATACTGTAGGCTGAACAGCATCTTCGACTTTTTTCTCCGTGGTCGTTCGCTCCTTTTCTCGTATGAACGCAGACTCTCTCCGCAGGTCGTATAATTTTTCCAGCCATTTAACTTCTGCCGTATCACGATCAAAGAGGATATCACCCTCAATTTTAGCCAGTTTTAGCTGAAGTCTTCTCGTCTTCGGATCAGAATCATCCCCAGTAATCCGACCTCGTGTTTTCTTGCCACTGCCACCTGGTTTCTGATCAAAAAGCTGAGGTCGTAGTTGATACAGCCGGGCCTTTAGAGAAACGTATTCGTCGGCAAACTCTTCGGGATCAAGAGAACTATCAGAATCATCGAAATCAGGTTCTATTGTATTAGGCGTAGGACGGTTTGGCGTCTTTTCTAAGTGATTCTTGCTCTGAGCAAGTTTCGAGACTTGTGTATACTGCCTTTTACTTCCATCTGCAGGGGAAAGATATGAGTATCAAAATCTGACAACAGAGAGGTGTATTTACCGCTAATCCATGAAGAGGTGGCTTCCTCCGTTGTCCATAATGGTTCTTTCTTCTTGTCATAAGATTCCAGCTCAGCAGAGTCGCATTGTAATGCCAACCAATCTAGGGATTCTTCAAGGTTCCAGTTGACACCTTTGGCGTTGCTTGCGAGTCCGGAGTGATATGAAATAATGTATTTAAGCAATGAGTCTACTCGGATGTCGGAAAACCCAAGTTTTCGGATTGTAACTTGCAGGCTCCAAAGTTTGGTGATCAATTCCTCCTCTCTCACGCCATCCAGATCCCTTTCAAGAGGACACTCGAGGTCATCTTGTTCTATCTGAGCTAGAGCAAGAATCCTATCCTGCACATCTTGAGGTATCCACTCGCTCAAGTTCAGAATATTAGCCTGGGACCTCAGTACACGACGCTCAGTTTCAGATCTCGAGACTTGGCGGGTGGCTTCGTTTTTGCACTTTGACGCATATTTATCAACTAGAATCTGAAGTTCTGCTTCTTCAAAATGCTTTTCAAGTTCCTCAGGGGTAAGGGTTTGGAGATTTTGCTCGTTGGAACCTTCAGGTTGGGGTTGTCGGCTCTCTGCTACTGGCGGGGATCTCTCGCCTTCAGATATCACTGCTGACGATTCTGCCGTTGAAGAGACTGTCGTCGACTCTGCTACTTTAGGTTTTGACGGTACGGACACAGTAGCAAAGCCACGCGCTGGATTCGATGCAGCCTTCTTTTTCTTCTTGTTGGGAGGCATTCTTGGAGGCGGGCAGGTACTGTCGACCTGCCCAGACACAAGATATATAATCGGCCGCCTTCCTATGTGAAATATTCTGGCACAGATATGTTCAGTGGAACGAGGCTCGGCGTAGATGCCACAATGCCACAAAGGTGCTGTTATAGTCGAAAGCAAAATAAGGAAATATGAAGAGCCGAGTTAGTGTACCTTGGATGGTCAGTGGTCACTGACGTCTTAAGCAGTGGGCAGAGGGCAGGTGCGGCGGCCGGAAGCTTCCCCACAATAAACCTCAAAATCTTTCATCAACTGCGGGACAAGTGAACTTGTGTGTGCATTCTAGGCCAGCTCGACATGTCATTTCCCACACAAAATGGATGAACTAAAATGGGATGATATACAAAAGGGTGAATTGGGGAGCCTTGAAAATGTCCTTCTGTCGAGCTCGACTTCTCGCCGTGTGAGAGTTCTCCAATTAGTCCGAGAAAAGAACGGTAATGCCACTTGACTCGCAGCTCCTCCGCCGACTGTCGCTGACTTGATTTCTGTCTTCTCACGCAGAGAATATATTGTTGGAGGGGAATGCAAAACCTATTTTGGATCTCCTTCTTCGAACATACCCGTTATACATTGATCGAAATTCCCGCATAGCCGTTCAACAATGCCTGCGACCGATCCTTAAGTCGATAACCGAGCAAAATATCACATTCCTAAGCGGAAGGCTTCAAAAAGAATGCGCGAAACCTAGCCTTTCGTCTGCATCCGCGTTTGTCCTCGTCGAGTGGTGTTGCATTCTATTACAACATCTGAGCTCTATAAAAGCTCCAACCAGAGCCGTTCTAGACGTTATATCCGCCAATGCGAATGTGTTGGAACTATGTTTAGCTGAAACCTCGAAGCCAACTGTGCAGCAATCTGCTCTACGTGTAACACGCCGTGCGTTGAGAGCCGTTTTTACGTCGGAGAATGTGGACGAGGAGATAGTAAGTGAGTCGGTCTCACGACTTGTTACTGGGACGTCTGCACAGAAAAATGCGCCGTTTATTGGCGTAATTTCAGGTGTTTGTGCACGTCTTCCAAATAAAGAAGCTGTTTTGGCCGGTTTGAAGAAGCCAATATTGGCTTTCTATACAAAGGAGATCCTGGGGTCGCGAAGTCAGGTGCCACCACATATAGCAAATGGGCTCTCGGATTTCTTTGCATCTTTTATTGCCTACAACGATCTAGTTTCTGACATCTTCCCGACATTGGAAAAGTCAATTCTGAGGTCGCCCGAGATCGTACTGAATGGCCTAATCCCTCCTCTCTGCTCAGCTCTTCCTGCAGAAATCGATCTCTCAGAGCCAGTGACTTCCAAGTTATCCAAGCCTTTGCTGTCCAGTCTTAAATCTACAAACCCAATCATAAGGCAGGGCGCTACACAATCCTTCAAAGCTTTGATATCCAAGTGCAACTCTGAAGAGTCTCTCCTCAAAGTGACAAACGAAATTATAGGGCTATTGAAGTCTCAAAAGATTTCAAATGCTGACCAACGTGCGCTACATGCCGATGTATTGTCGGAAATTCTTTGCTATAAGACGTTATCCCAAGAAGTTGTTACGAATTTAGTTACAGTGGCTGCCAAGGAGTCAAGTGAAGTTGCACTGCTTTCTGAAATTAAGGCTCTTTGCAAACACCTGGGCTATCTCATTGATTTCGAAATACCTGCGAAAAGTGAGACAGTTTCGGTTATTGCAAAGGCATTCACTGATAAACGTGTACCATTTCGAAGATTGTGGCAGCTCCAAATTGCCGACTTGCTCTGGAATGTCAACCCAGATAAGCTGAGTAGCTCATCAAACCAAGGATTGGTCGAGTCAGTTATTACAAAAGTCAAAGACTCATTCGCCGAAACCGTTACAAACCCACTTCCCTCTGCTCAGAGCGGTTTAGTTTCTACTGCCTATGGCTATATCGCTCTATCTGGTCTGTTGAAGGACTCACAGATCGTTCCGAAATCAGCATGGACAAGTATCACTCAACAGTCGATGTCGTTGACGCCAAAACCGTCTTTCTTGCTCAATCCGAAAGTATACAGCAAGTTGACAACAGAAGAAGATTTTCGATGGAAAACGCGAGCACTTGCTGCAGTCGCCAGCGATTCTGCTTTGAATACCTATGATCCAGCAAGCAAAGCGGCATGGGGCCAAGCTTTCATATTTACTATTGCTAATCCGAGTGTCCCACGAAAACTGAGAGAAGAGGCGTGTCAAGTGCTGGCGGCTGTTCATCTAGGCGATGCTTTGTCAGTTGGAAATGTCATTGTCGATTCGTTATGGTCTTGGATACTTGCCCTTGCCATCTTTGACAAGGAGTCTGCTGCAGCTACTACAGGCGGAGGTAGTCAAGAACTACTTCACTTTGTTGTAAAAGCTATATGCCCTAGTGCATCAGCTGCTGGTCCGTTTTCAGACGAGGTTCAAAGAGCACTAGCAGATCAGTTAATCAAACTTCTCGTTCTTTGCCGCCAGGAGCTGGTCTCGAAAGTATCATGGATCGATCTTTGTCTCAAGACAGGCTTAGATCCTGGAAAGCTTGTCTCTGATCATCAGGAAGAATCCATTAAACAACTGCTACAGGTAGCGGAGGATCCTATACAGTCAAAGATCCCACTCGCAAGTAATGCTGTTGGGAGTGCTGCGGCAGACTTAGCCTTTGTCGCACCAATTGTGATGATACCTCGCATTGTTGAAATTCTCAGTGAGGATCTGGCAAGCGACCGCATATCTAAATTTACACCAACTGATGCCGCTATCGCACGTACACCAGAAGGTACAACCTTTGTGGATGTGCTAAACACAAAATCTACTCAACCGTTGTCGGACAAGAGCATTAAAGATTATGACACTTTGAAATGGGAAGAGGAGCTCCGTGCACAAATTGCCCAAAAGAGAGGACAGACTCAGAAGAAGCTGACGGCAGATGAGCAACTCAAGGTCAAAGGACAGTTAGAGAAAGAAGCCAAAATTCGCGCAAATGTGCTTTCTGAAATCAAAAAGATCGAGAGGGGCTGTATAATTGTCCGTGGACTTGCTACTGGACCGCCGACTGACACTGGGGCATGGATGAACACAGCAATTTCATCACTTCTTTCTCTAGCACGTCTGAACACTGGCCTTTTCGTGGGTGATTCAGTTTCAAAGGCCTACATCGCCTGTGCGGAGAAAGTCTCCCCACGACTTGGCCTGCTGCGGCCGTTTATCGGTGTTGCGACCCTCCGTGCGTTAGGAAATACCAACCTATCCCCCGAGATAGAAGCCGAACCGTTGGGAGACCTTGTTACGAGAATTCTGTACAGATTACGTTTCACGTCTGAGCAATTACCATTTGAACCAACATCGCTCGCCTACCTGTTGCCACTGGCAGGCTTGGTATTGAGCCGGGATGGTATTGAGGAGCAGAAAGGTGAAGGAGGCGGAGAGCAAGTTCTTCTAACATTGGAATTCCTATCATTTCACTCCTCTTCCTTTTCTGACACCAGACTTCCTCGTGGTGAAGTTCTGCAACAACTTATCACATCTCTAAGTAAATATTCGCAACATTACAAGTTGGTCAAAGATACATTGTTTGATCTATGCAGATGTATTTCTCAAAACATTTCGCACCAAGAACTCGAAACTCTTCTCGAGGGAACGATTGTGCCAGATGTTTCAGTTCGGACCGCTGTGCTGCAAGCAATTGAAGCTGAGATCGATTTGACAGATCTCGATTTCTCCGAACATATTTGGTTATGCTACCATGATCAGGTCGAGGAGAATGCAGAGCTTGCCGAGGCTATTTGGGAAGATAATGCTCTTGATGTGGATGGGGATTCGTACTTGAAGATTATTAGATATCTGGGTGCAAAAGACAGTCAACTGCGGGGTGCTGCTGCTCGAGCTCTTGCACATTGCATCGAACTAAATCCTTCAAAGTTTGATGTGGTATTGTCTGACTTGCAATCGAAATACTCTGATGAAGTGAAACCCAAAGCACCAGGAAAAGACAAGTACGGGATGCCACTAAAAGCAGATACTACCGATGTTTGGGAACTTAGAAGCGGCATAGCTCTTGCCTTCAAAGCGATGACCAAACTGTTTGAGAAACACCAGATCGTATCATTCATGAAATTTCTGATAGAGGGCGGTCCGTTGGTTGATAAAAGCGCTCTTGTCAGGGAACAAATGGCAGATTGTGGTAGATCTATTATTGAGGAGCGCGGACAACAGAAAGTGGAAGAATTAATGACGTTGTTTGAGAAGACGCTTGAGACTTCCGACAAGGCCACTGAGAGCTCTGACTGGCTCAATGAGGCAGTTATCGTACTATATGGTTCATTGGCAAGACATCTGAAAGCTGGAGACTCGCGTTTGAGCACAGTCATCAAGGAACTACTTGCTGCTCTCCCAACACCGTCTGAAATGGTACAGTCGGCAGTGGCTGGATGTCTTCCTCCATTGATCAGACTGTCTGGCCCTGAAACACAAGGTTACGTCGAGCAGTTGTTGGATCAGCTTGTGCAGTCTAAGAAATATGCATCACGACGTGGAGCTGCGTATGGACTTGCTGGTATCGTTCATGGTAAAGGTGTTGTGGCTTTAAGACAGTACCACATCATGTCATCCCTCAAGGATGCTCTTGACAATAAAAAGGATCCAAACCAACGCCAAGGGGCTCTTCTGGCTTACGAACTATTTTCTGCGGTGCTCGGAAGGATCTTCGAACCCTATGTTATCCAGACGGTACCTCATTTGCTTACAAGCTTTGGCGATCCCAGTATCGACGTAAGAGATGCATGTCTGGATGCTGCCAAAACATGCGTTGCCAATCTGAGTTCCTACGGTGTGAAACAAATCCTTCCAACTCTTCTGGAAGGTCTGGACGACCCGCAATGGCGTAGCAAGAAAGGCGCTTGTGATTTATTAGGTGCTATGGCATACCTTGATCCTCAACAATTAGCCGTCAGTTTGCCGGATATTATTCCTCCCCTTACAGTTGTGTTAAATGACAGCCACAAAGAGGTTCGCAACGCGGCCAACCGCAGTTTGCAACGCTTCGGTGAGGTGATCAGCAACCCCGAAGTCAAGAGTCTAGTTGGAATTCTCCTTAAAGCTCTTAGTGATCCTACGAAATACACCGACGAAGCTCTCGACTCGCTCATCAAAGTCTCATTCGTCCATTATCTCGATGCTCCTTCACTTGCTCTTGTTGTGCGTATCTTGGAGCGCGGACTCGGTGATCGATCGAACACTAAACGCAAAGCTGCCCAAATCATTGGCAGCCTTGCTCATTTGACCGAGAGAAAAGACCTTATTTCTCACTTGCCTATTTTGGTCGCTGGCCTGCGTCTTGCAATAGTCGACCCTGTGCCTACTACGAGAGCCACGGCTTCTAAGGCTCTTGGGTCATTGATCGAGAAATTGGGAGAAGATGCTCTTCCGGATCTTATTCCAAGTTTGATGTCCACCCTCAAGTCGGATACTGGAGCAGGCGACCGATTAGGATCTGCACAAGCTCTTTCAGAAGTTCTTGCGGGTCTTGGAACAACGCGTCTCGAAGAAACCCTACCAACTATACTGCAAAATGTCTCCAGCTCCAAGCCATCTGTCAGAGAAGGCTTCATGTCATTGTTTATATTCTTACCAGCTTGCTTCGGCAACAGCTTTGCTTCATATTTGAACAAGATTATCCCGCCAATTTTAGCAGGTTTGGCAGATGACATCGAGGCAATTCGCGAGACCTCTTTGCGAGCTGGTCGTCTGTTGGTTAAAAACTTTTCTTCAAAAGCCATTGATCTCCTTTTGCCTGAGCTTGAGCGCGGTTTAGCAGACGATAGCCACAGAATCAGACTAAGCTCCGTTGAGCTCGTTGGCGACTTGCTCTTCAATATCACTGGTATTACTAGCAATGTCGATGCTGAAGAGCAGGAAGAAGGCGCAACACAGGCTGGCCAGTCTTTGCTTGCAATTCTTGGCGAGGAGAAACGGAACAAGGTTCTATCTGCTCTTTTCATTTGTCGCTGCGATACGTCTGGTCTGGTGCGAAGCGCGGCAATTGCCGTATGGAAAGCTCTTGTCGCTACGCCTAGAACACTCAAGGAATTGGTACCTACCCTAACACAGTTCCTTATTCGCCGTCTTGGATCATCGAACATGGAACAGAAAGTTATTGCAGGAAATGCTTTGGGAGATCTCATCAAGAAGGCTGGCGAAAGTGTTCTGGCCACTTTGTTGCCATCCCTTGAAGATGGTCTTAGAACCTCAACCGACGTAGATGCCAAGCAAGGTATTTGTATCGCACTTCGTGAATTGATTATATCATCCTCTGCAGAGGTCCTTGAAGACTATGAAAAGGTCCTCATTTCCATTGTGCGGGTCGCACTAGTTGACAACGATGAGGATGTCAGAGAGGCCGCAGCTGAAGCATTTGATGCCCTACAACAAAGTTTGGGCAAGAGGGCAGTCGATCAGGTTCTTCCGTATCTTCTGTCTCTACTCAGGAACGATGAAGATGCCGAACAGGCTCTATCGGCTCTTCTTACTTTGCTTACCGAAACTACACGGGCGAACATCATCCTACCGAACCTGATACCCACACTACTTACAGCTCCCATTAGTGTCTTCAACGCCAAAGCACTCGCTTCTCTGGCAGAGGTGGCTAGTTCCGCGATGACCCGTCGCCTGCCTACAATACTTAATGCTCTAATGGATGAGATGATATCGACTAAAGATGAGGAGCTCTTGGCAGAGTTGAGCTCCTCTTTCGATACCATCCTCGTTTCCGTTGATGAATTTGATGGTCTTAACACCGCAATGAGCGTGATGATGGGTCTCATGAAGCATGATGACCACCGTCGACGGGCAAATGCTGCCGAGCGCATGGCGAAATTCTTCTCTGATGCTGATGTTGATTATTCAAGGTATCACCAGGACCTCATCCGGGTGTTCCTCATTTCATTTGATGATAGAGACAAGAATGTCGTCAAGGCTGCGTGGGCGGCATTGAGCAAACTGACATCAAACATGCGCAAGGAAGAGTTGGAAGTGCTTGTAATTCCTACGCGTCAAACATTGCGGCAAGTTGGAGTCCCCGGAGCTGCACTCGCAGGATTTAGCTTGCCTAAGGGTATCATGGCGATCTTCCCTATCTTCCTTCAGGGTCTATTGAACGGTAATACCGATCAGCGGACACAATCTGCGCTCGCCATTGCCGATATTATTGATAGAACAGCAGCAGATTCTCTCAAGCCATTTGTGACCCAGATAACAGGTCCGCTGATCCGTGTTGTGTCAGAGAGATCTGTCGATATCAAGGCGGCAGTTTTCTATGCTTTGAATAAATTATTAGAGAAGATACCGCTGGCTGTTAAGCCCTTCCTACCTCAACTCCAGCGGACATTCGCTAGAGGATTGGCAGACACGACAAGTGAAACCTTACGAAACCGAGCTGCCAAGGGTTTGGGTATTTTGATTACTCTTACACCTCGCGTAGATCCCCTTGTTGCAGGTATGTTTTTGTGTGAACGAGGCTGGAATTTGGTTAGTACTAACTCGCTTGTAGAACTGGTTACCGGCTCCAAAACGGATGATGATGGCGTCAAAAACGCTATGATGAAAGCGCTTCACGAGGTTGTGTACAAGGCAGGTGGTAGCATGAGTGAGGCATCAAGAAATGCCGTGCTGGGTCTTATTGATGACGATAGTAGCGATCGTACAGGTAACGCATCTCATGCTCATTTAACTCTAACGACACTCTGCTGACATTAAGAAAAGATGCAATGGCCATAACCAATGCTAAATTGCTTGGCGCACTCGTGAAGAATCTTTCTGCTGCTTCGGCTATCCCTCTGATTAAGTGAGTCTTATCTAGGATGGTGACCAAACGTGCGTGCGTGCTGACTTTTCGTGTTTGCAGATCTCGGGTGCTAACCACGAACTTTTCCCATGCCTCGATCCTAGGGTTAAATTCTCTTCTTGTGGAGGCTCCAGAATTGCTGCTGGAGAATTTTGCAGCCGAGACGCCATCAGTCATTTGTCAAGGCATATCGAATTCAGACGTATGTTGCTATATTCCGAGATAACTACGTTTTCTTTACAAATGCTGACTGAATGCAGCCCTATATATCCGACAATAGCGTCTTAGCTGCTGGGAAATACATTCTTGCTGAAAGTGATCACAAGAACTTCGAAAGTACAAAACCAGTTTTCGAGACACTTGCATCAGTGATACCAGCCGGGCATCCAGCAGACACCAGACGCCTGGCCCTTGTTGTCATCCGCACTATAAGTCGCCTTCATCCCGTGTACACGAGGCCACACCTGGCACAGCTTGTTCCACCGGTGTTTGGTAGTGTCCGCGATCTAGTTATTCCTGTTAAGCTAGCCGCTGAAGCTGCTTTCCTTGCGATATTCAATGTGGTTGATTCTGAAGGGGCAGTTTTCGACAAGTACATGGCCGGACCAGGTGCGGAACTACCCGCGGGGCCTAAACGAAGCATATCAGACTATTTCAAGCGAGTGGCATTACGACTTGCTACGCAAGCCCGTGAGAGACGAGAAGCGGAGGGTGGCCAGGGCGGCCTAGGCCTGTCGAACGATGAGGTGGAAGATGAGAAAGAGCTATGGAGCGTGGGAAGAGTTGACTTGGGAGAAGACAACTTTGGTGTGGAGTGATGCGTGAAAGGCTTAAATTATTCGGCATGAAGGGACTTAGAATCACATACACTTATTAAGATATGAGGAACATGATGTTTAGGTAACGATTCTCTCAACATATGATTGGTGGAAGTTGAAGCGTATGCTTCGTATTTACTATTTGCCATTGGGACATGAGATGTTGGGCATATCACAACCCTGCGGTGCGTCTAACAGGTTTAGTTTACTTGCGACAAAACCAAACAGATTGTGATAGCGAAACGTCGAAAGCATGATAGCACTCAAGACGTTCGAACAAAGCTCAGAACGTATATGTCCAGAATAGGCTTAGCGGATCGGGCTCAAGCCCTAATGTGGATGCGGCGGCGGTGCTCGCTTAGCACTTACCTAAGCAGCGCCCGCCCGACGACCAAAGCAAACTCCTCACTGAAAACCGCCCGTAGTCAGTCGATCCGACCGACGAACTTCTTAACGCCAAAACGACCGTCGATACGCCGACATCAAGATGTGAGTATATTCCTCATATTGCTTCTGTTGTACATGCGACACGTTTCCTTGCCTACGGTGTTTTCTCTCCGACGCGTCATCGTCGAAAATCGATGGAAAAAAATGCATACCATATGCACTATATCACATCATGCCACAACACACAAGAGTTTCTGAGAGGGAAACAGATGTTGAAAGCGCAGAGAGACTGATTTTGTTTTCCTGTACATAGGGTCAACCTCACCACCCAGAAACGCCTTGCGGCGTCCGTGATCGGCTGCGGTAAGCGCAAGGTCTGGCTCGATCCCAATGAGATGAGCGAAATCTCCAACGCCAACTCTCGCCAAACGGTCCGCAAGTTGGTCAGCGATGGCTTGATCATCCGCAAGCCCGTCACCATGCACTCCCGCTCCCGTGCCCGTGAACTCAACGCCGCTCGCCGAATTGGAAGACACCGTGGTCTGGGTAAGCGAAAGGGTACCAAGGACGCTCGTATGCCTAGGTTCGTATATTCGCTTGCAAAAGCAGAATGTATTTTTTTGTAAGGGAAGTTCAAAATTCTAATCAGATTTTCTACACAATAGCCAAATCCTTTGGATGCGTCGTCAGCGTGTTCTCCGCCGTCTCCTCGTCAAGTACCGTGCCTCTGGCAAGATCGACAAGCACCTTTACCACGAGCTCTACCACTTGAGCAAGGGTAACACCTTCAAGCACAAGCGTGCTCTGGTTGAACACGTTAGTTATAACCATCCATACCCATCCATTCTGCACATGCAACAACCAAAGAAGAATCAAGAGACGAAAGGTTGAAACATTTCCATATCGAGATACAATATTGACTTATTTTTTTTCTTGGATATAGATTCACAAGGCCAAGGCTGAGAAGCAACGTGAGCGTGTCCTCAAGGAAGAGATGGACGCTAAGCGCGCCAAGACCAAGGCTGCTCGTGAGCGACGACAGGAGCGTATCCTCGCCAAGCGAAATGCCGGTGAGGAGGAGGAGACCAAGGAGTAAATATAATCAAAATCCTTTGTCAATGGGAGAAGGTGTCGGAGCAGCGAGAGCAAGCGCTATGTGGTTTTAAAAACGAGGCGTTCTATGGTCTGGAAACAAACCATGGCACAAAAGAGAGAAGAGAAAAAGAATAGAGAATATCCGGCATTTATTTACTCCCCGGATTTTGCTTCTTTTTCTTCCTTTCTTCTTTTACTATTTCTTTTATTAAAGGGAATCTTAAATAACGAACGGAATCGGAAATTTTTTTTTCATTGCATTTGGTGTCTTTTCTTTTTTATCACACAACTGTCAGTTAAGAATGATTCAATCGGACAGGTGGTCCTCATCCAATTCAATATGAGGTTTTTACAAGAAAGAAAAGGAATGCTACTCTCCTGTTCCGTCATCGATTATTTTGATTCTCATAAATTGGGGTGCCCTTAGCAAACAAATGTTATGTCTTAAACATCTTTAACTTTTGCTTTTTCTCTTTCTCATGCTTTTCTCATGGGGGATTGGATACGGGTTGACTACAGAGTCGGAAGAAAATTCCTGTATTTTGATATTGTTTAAGGTGAAGCATTTTTCTGGTATACATTATAGTTCAATTCATTTCCAGAAAAGAAAAGAACCAAGGAAAGAAAGGTGGATTTCGATGAGAGCTCTTACACTCTTCGTATGTGATATATGAACAACACTGGGGGATAAACCAAAAACATCTAGCACCGAAAATGCCACCTGCGCCGTATAGCATGCAAGAAAGATAAAAAGATAGACAGAAAGAAGAAAGGTGTTGGTATCATTAGAAATATCCCTCTCGAAACTTCTGTTGCTCAGCCATAGGTGTCGGATGAGGCGAAGAATGAGCTGTAAGAGGCCGTTCCAAATCAAAAGGGTCGCTATGCGCACTCGTTCTATCTGCGGATTTCAGATCTCGTCGCCAATTCTCTAGCCGGGACTTGAAATCGGGTATTAATGGCGAAGATCCTCGGCCACTTGATAAAGTCAAGGTCGAGCCGCTGTATCTGCTCTGAGAGTTCTTTCTTTGTCTGTTGGTGGGGACGTTCTTCTTGCTGTGATTGTCGTCACTGTCCGATTCAACAACATTCCGCACGGTCAGCGGCAGAGAAATCGAAACTTGATCGCTATCATTTGCCGGAGTATGTGGCTCTGTGGGATTGTTAGGTTGATTCTCTGGCCAAGAACTGCTTTTATTATTGTTGGATTTTGGAGGATTGAAGAATGGATTGGCAAGATGTGGCACCTTCCGCGGAGGTGATGATGATATATTGTTGTTCTTACTCTCTGTTGGAGTTTGCGATAGTGCTTCACGAGTGACGCCTTTCTCAATGATTTCGGCTTGTGTTTCCACGCTCTTGTCATTTCGTTTATCCTTGGTGGTGGAACCATGCTTCCAAATGCGAGCCACAACGGCTTGCACTTTAGTACGCAATTTCGTGATGGCTTTGTTCGTCAGTTTTTGTTTGATTTTACTAACGATGTCTGCGAGACTTGGAAGCAGCCCAGTAATACCGCATCCGCATGTGCCCCGGGGGATTAATCCGCCACGTGTAGATGATACTGGCAACTGCCTGCTTCGTTTGCGTCGACGAAGATAGGCAAAAAGTACGATCAACGCGACAAGGACCACAGCGCCTAGAGAGACCCCTATCGCGACAGCAATGACATGTTTCTTTGAATCATCTGTCGTCGAGCCGCCTAGGGAATTACCCGAGATTTGCGTAGACACGGGGTTGGTATTGGAGGAGGTTACTGCTGGCAGAACACTCGCGGCAGCAGTTATTGCTAAAGGCAGGAATCACACAATGGTTATTCCCAAAGTCCAGAAAGGATTCTGAGGGAGAAAGTCAAATAACTTACTACTGGATGCGCTTATGGCTGTTGCAACAAGCGTGGTGGCACTGGTAGTAGAAGCCAAATCTGTTGTCTGTGAACCTGACGATATGCTACTACTCGTAACAGACGATTCATAAGTGGCTGTTGATGTGCCAATGGACGACAGATTCTGCCCGGCAGTCTCTGAAGCGGCGGACGTTGATGTCGCCGTGAGAAATATTGTCCGTGAGACTCTAGTGCATCTCAAACCGTTGAATGTCGTAATCGACGACTCCATGCCTAGTCCCAACTCTTTCCCCTTTCCAGGATGAATGCCTCTCTATTCTGTTTAAGTCGACACTGTTCCTCGGCACCGCATTTTGCACAAAGAAGAAAAACAACGGAACCCCAGCAGGAGTGCCCTATTGTTGAAGAAACGACTGAGGAAGAGCTAGTGAGGAGAGGTGAATGTCACCACCATGCACCCAGGCACAGTTGGCCTGAGGTGCTGGAGGCTGTTTCAGAAACGCCATAGTGAAGCACTGAAGGTCTTGGGGAGGCCTGCAGTCGGATGCCAAGGGGGAGCCCTGATAGGTGACCCGTCAGCTTCACATGCATTGGCGCCATCCCAGAATAACAGTTCTCCATCCACAGTGGTCCATGATCGTGGATTCAGCAGCATCCAGGTGGTGAGTGCAGAAAGGGCTGGTGAGGGTGCAGGCGCCCAATTGGCCAGACGCCGGCGGCTAAGTAAGGCGGCCTCGGGCCAATCAGCGGCCGTTACGGGGGAGGAGAGTCACGTGTTGATCAAGCCACCCAAAACTATGCGCTCTGCCATGAGTATGTACAATGTCAATGGACGTACTCCATTATGAGACCGTCAAGGCTGTTTGGTTTAATGTTTACTCGCTAGCATGCATGCTCTGCTCTCCATTGGCCATGATCGGATGCCCTGAGCAAAGCTGAGAACAAACTGTACCACATCGGAATACAACGACCACGCCGTACTGTACAGTGTGTATGGATACATAACCAAGTGCACTGCGTTTGCCTGTGCACACTGCACAACCTGGCGACGTAGCAGTCTAGCCTGACTGGGGAAGGCGAGCAGACGGGGCCCGTCTTAGTTGCTTGGGTAGCTTCCCCGCCAAAACATCAGCAACATCCTCCTCTACCATACAGTGACATGCCCCGATACTGTGCCAATTGGTGAGTTGTATGTCGTTGGGACGTGATATGTGAAGGAACACTGTGAGGGGCCGAGCTGTCGCTATCTACCAGCTTCCTGATATATCATCCAACATGTTCGCGTGGGCGGCTACAGGCAAGTCACTTTTGTCTCACACAAATCCTTAAATTTACTCGAGCCATGCTGCAACGAATGCTGCAACATACATCTCTGAGTTGACTAATACAGAATGTGAACAGGGGCTCCTTCGATTGGAATGGACCCGGAGCAAGAGCGGAATCCGCCGCCGTCTCCAACACCGGTAGAGTTTCCACAGTACCGTGGGGTCCAAGATAATGAAATACAGAGCGTCACAGACTTCAACGCCATTTACCAGAAGCTTCTCGCAATCAAAAAGCCACAGGACATCACGGTGGAACATGTCAAGTCCCTGAATATGAAACTGGAGACCGATATAGAGGGCACCCAAATACTCTCTGACGAGCACTTCCAGGGTCTGCCTCCATTTGTTTGGGAGAACCTGACAGAAGAGCTTGTCGAACTGGAAATCATGGGGGGTGGATTTCCGTACCCGCCGTTTTCCAAATATGACGTGGTCAGAAAAGAGCTCTTGTTCGACAATGACGACGCGTACAGAGAGGTTACAAGAATGCAGCCGAGGCCAGGCCGTAACAGGGTAAGATTAACGCAATCAAGAAAGTTTTGGGCTGGCTTGGAACGTATGGCTCAGTACTGGGATACCAGCCTTGACGAATACTATGACAAGCCTGTCACGGCATCCGAAGAAAAGACTCTACGTCAACAACAGCAACAACAAGGTGGCATTCCGATGGATACCGGGGATGAGGAAGTCAAGACCTACAAACGAGCTTACAAAGGTCGGCGTGTGGGGACAGGAAGTGAAATGCCAGTCGATATCCGTGACGACACGATGAGGGGTCTTCTTGAGATGGTGGCATGGCCGTTCCAATGCCAGGCATCAGTTCCGGCACAGCAACCAAGGCTAAATGTTCAAAAATTGCTGTTTCCGGTACGCCACACATTGGTAGCTGGTAGAGTGCCTCAGGATCGGCAGGCAGCGCGAAGTGGAATACTGGAAGGGCCGATGCTAGGAGTGCAGTGTCGAGAAGAGACAGCATTCAGAGACCCTGAGGAAACGCCGGGATACGGACAGAAAGAGATGTGCGACATATTCCGTGAGGTTGGGGCAATGCTACTCTTAGCTCAGGAGCGGTCTCGAGAAGGTACCGTTGAAGTGAAGCCCGGTGAGGGCAAATGGTGGACAACAGTGCCTCGATGGGGCGGTGCTCCAGATGATGGAGTGACGGGCGATGCAGCGGACGAGGGGTCGGCATCGACAACGATAAACTTAGAGAAGCAAAGCCGTGATAAGCCACAGGACGGTGACGATAGCAACAGCAACATGTACAAACGCTCCCGCTACAGCTATCCGCTCCGTTCAGCGCGGCGCTCAGGGCGATCACGAAAATTGACAGTCAGTGAAAGATGGAAGATTATCGAGCCAGGGCCGAGTTTGTGGGACAAAAGGACGAAGTACATGCAAATTGGAAAGCCCAGGGGTAGTTTATATGATGATGTATGCTCAACCAACCTACATTATGTTTTACGTCACTAACAATCCCAAAGATTTTCTTGCTTTCGCAACTAAATCACCATGTCTCAATTCTGCATCTCAGGGTGCACAGGCGATATATCGACAGTCTGACCAACGGCAGCAGCAGCAGCAGTAACGAGAACGAAGACGACCCTGAGCAGCCTTGGAATGTCCTCAAATTACGCCGAAGCAAATGGTATGATTTGATGGATGCTGGGCAACGATTGGAGGTATTCCATAGTCTTTGGAGGCTGTTTCATTACCTAATGAGAGCTACGTAACGACGTAAACAGTAACTATTCACGAGCACGAATATAAGCAAGCATGTGCACTTCTATTCAGATACACCTTGGTAAAGGGTGAATGTCCAGGCCGACTTCCAAGAACTTGAATCCAAGACCGGTTCTACAAATCAAACCATCCAAGGAGGAAGGCAGCCATCCTTTCGATTACCTATATCGTCCAGCGCATAGTTCCATGGAGTATATGATCCTTCCATTTGAGTAGGTAGTACGTATGTATGAAACTCCTTCAGGAAACAAAACCATACTGCCATTTACTTCTCCCTCAAGAGCCGACTCACACACGACGAGATATTACTACCGTAGTTGGAAATTTGAACGCAGCCCTTGTCCCAAGGGAGCACACAAGCACTTACAGAATGGGAAGCTACAATACCTCATCTAGCAGCCCGCTCGCCAACTAGTGAGTTGATAGAAAGCCCGACTCGGTCTGAAATTGGCTGTTTTCTTTGTTTGCCTGTTTGTTTGATCACTACGTTTAGTAAGTAGGCGGCTTTTTTCTACAAATAAGGGAGGCTCGAGGCCGGTCGGATATAGCGGAATATAGGCTATTCGTTGGTTGCCCATTAAAACTATACGATGATTAGAGTCGCAGTATTTACTTAAAAATCCTCGACTAGACTGGTGGACCGGACTGGACGGAATGAAAATGATAATGCTGTGCTGTTTGTTTGATGGTATCATGGAGTTGCCTGATCGGGTAGTCATTTGGGTGCCAATGCAAGTCGCCGAGTATCCAGAGGAGGCATACATAAGTCATTACAAGTGACGACTAGTTTAGTTGGAATATTTTTTATCTAACAGTAATGTACATGGATAGTTATCTACTGGGAAAGATAGTGAGTCGCATACCGCTCTTTCAGTTGCATTTTAAAACCACGACTACTACCGTGGACCTAGGTAGTGATAAAAAAATTTTTTTTTCTAGGTACACACTACTACGCACCTAGTGGAAAATTGGGTAGTCTGGAATTGTATTTCCATTTTTATCCTTGTTCTTGTCCGACAAACACGGCGAAGAGAGAGACGGTTATGGGCAAAGTGACAACTGTCTCGCTCGCATGAGGCATCTCATGCATGATATAGGAGCACTTTCATGCAGGCAAGACTGAATACTGGCATTCTTTCGTACTGCTTGGCGTATGATGCAGGTCCTTGGATGATTACCTGGCTATGCTGTTAGTATTTTCAGGGATAGTTTCTAAGCCTATATATATATAGTTAGGTGATCAGGTGCAATGATGTAACAGCGAGAATCCAAGCATGCAAGTGAACTGTAAATAGAATGGTATGAGGCGGTCAAGAGTTTTATCTATAATCTACTACTAATTCTGTCCCATACCTACCTACCTAACTTGAGCTCAAGCCTCAAGCGTCGACGTCAGTGCTCTCTGGTGCTACACGATCTGTAGTTATACAGACCTGGGGTTACCCCGCCAGAGCTCCCCCTTCTACAGACTGACTGTGTAGAGAATAAGATTATTCCTGCTTCGCCTGCAAGGAGCTTGGGCATTTTTATGTTTCTTGTGTAAAGGACAACTCGGATACATTTATATTTGCGCATCAGCCGACCATGACAGACAAGAAGAACGGGGAGACCTAGGAATCCTTGCCACTTTACTTCATAGTTTCGGTTATATAGGTCTAAAAACTACTAGATCAACCCGATCTCGACCGGCGTGACTAGCAGAAACATGGCTGGATGGATGGCAGGGGACAAATGGAATCGCAATCGGAGAGCTCTGTGCACCCCAGCCGCTGTCAACCCTGTCAACCCCGTAGATTGGCGCAGGGATGGCCCTGCTTAATTAGCGGGATTTTCTTTTTTTATTATTCTTATTTGCGTGCATGCATGCAGCCCGATCACATTTCGTGTGTCGTAACGCGGATAATGTGATGTATCATACTTCGACTACATAGACGATGCGTAAGGAGTTATTATATTAAGCGTCGTTTATAGGGAGGGCGCAGTTTTCACTGGTGCCTACGTAACGAATCGCCGAAATGTCGAGATCACTTGGATTTAAGGCGCACTGACAAGGCCCAAGCACCGTGCATGATGGCCCTCCCTCCCGCCTTGCATGACTTACTAGTATACTCCCCGTACGAGGTGGCAGGAATTCGATTTGAGATGAAACAATCGAGAGGATGGAAGGAATGACACCGGACAAAGCAGACCCAACAAAGAGGAGCTCGCGAGTACTTACTACAATATATCTAGTGCTTACCTGCCCAAGACAAAGAAACAAACAACATACGCATGCAATGTAAATCCACGTACGTTGGATCGCAGTTAAGACGCCGGCGTTCAATATGCCATATATGCCTATAGCTACATACTAAGCATCCCGATTGAGTTGGCCAGCAAAAGCTAATCATGCAGCGAGATCGAGCGAGATTACCTGTAAGAACGGCTGTCAAGTCCAAGTCTGAGAGGTTGCACATTTTTGTGAATCAGATGACCAAATAACTAACTAGTTACTAGGTAAATACGTCTTACGTAGGACACTAACCGGATTCGGCTGACGAATCTCATAGCAGTAATAATACATGATGTATTTCGCCGTACGTAGCCAGCCCTGTCTTCTTATTGTATCCAAAGCAGCAGTATATAAAAGCTGACCATGCCCCTAATCGAGTAAGATAGACACGGGAACGTCACCAGGGCCATGGTAAGCATCCCTACGCCTTTTTTTTTTGTGTGTATTTTATTTGCCACTTAACTCTGATATCCGCTAGTTATTTAAACTACTCAAAAATGGTCGTGACCCACACATCCTATGTAGTAGTAGTATACGCAGTTCTAACTTGACTTATTTACATGATTTTATTCTCCGTCCGAAAAACGTGCCATCCACGGTACTACAACGGGTGGGAGGACTCACTTGGTTCGGGCCAGCGCCAGTGCCAGTGCCTGGGTACTCCGTAAGAATTAAGCAAGGACGCTCCCGTCTTGGTAACCAATGACATCACGCGGACTGTTGGTTATAGCTTTCCGTTTCACAGATATTTATTTTGTATACACTCACGAGCAACGTGAATAGACACGCATGAACATCCGTTTATCCTTTACCCCAGAGTACGCTTTAGTTACTTCTCCCATGTGTTTGCTGTGTTACCATCTCAGATTTCATCCCTCTTTATTTGTGCTATCCAATATCGGAAGAAAGAACGGCCCGCCCAATCACAATCGCAGGGCGACAGGTGACTTTGGCGCTAGCCCGCTTTGGGCGCTGCTCTCGCCTTACCCGCGCCTGGATCGGGTTAGCGGTATTGTGCCTGTACAGTGTACATGCTCTTACACAGTCAGCTAGCTACTCAAGTAACAGTTAGAAAAATGTGGATCATCTGGCATAGCTTGACTACTCAAGAGCCGGACTCTATGTTCGTGTATTGACAGAGGTATCATGTGTCTTCCTGGAGTGAAGTATGTATGTAACCGCCCGTCTTTGTTAGTCCGGCTGACTCGTACTAAATAGTAAACATAAGTTACTTAACTAGTTAACTAAGTTACTGCGTCAGGATTTGTCACAAGGTTGATGTTTTATATCAAATATTCGGTGCATCCAGCTAGTCCAACTTGGCTGTAACTATGCACTACGGGTTAGTCTATTATCTGTTCCTCCGGAATGGAATCTAAGCGACCGACCGCCGCTGTACAGGAGGGGAACTCGAGTAGCCACTCGGTTGGTCGAGTTGCCCAGTTTTATCAGTTCCGGTGGGTAGACTAAGAGGTTTAGCATTGACGTGACACGCTAGACATAACTTTTTTTTTCTTTTTGTTTGGACACTGGAGGGATTCGTTAAGCTACGTGCAATCGTACATCGTACTAGCAGGCATTCCCCTGGTTACCTCCTCGTCTACTGTTTGTCAGGACAGAGGAGTAAGATATACGCAGACAAGTTATGCTAACATGGGCTGAATAGAATCGCTGGTACATGGTAACTTGAAGAATACATGTAAATTACGGCTTTTCTCCACACGCCGCAGCGTACGCATCAACTTTTGTTTAGTTCCTGGGTGGAATAACTGGATTGTTTCACACTCGGTACATAACATGGATTACGTACATAGTGTCATTTCTTTGGACCAGTTAGTTAACCAAGTTAGTTACTTTATTTTGACTACGTATTCTGCTTGTGCTTTATGTCCTGAACATAAATGATAACACATCCCTGGGGGACTGCCTGAGGCTACGCACGCTAAGGTTATTATCCATCGGGCGCGTTTGGAAGGAACGAACGGACGGCGCTCTTTCTCTTTTGTCGTTCGGAGCTCCGCTACGACCTCAACCCACGCCGTCCTTTCCCTTTCTTTTCTTTTTCTTCTTCTTCATCGTCGTCGCCCTTCCCTCCTGCTCCTCGCTGCTCTTGACCTGCGCATTGGCCAGTAAGAACGCAATTCCGCTCCTCTGCTTGTTTGTTGCTGCTGCTTGTTTTGCCGGACATCAGAAGAGGACGAGAACGATGGACTAACAACAGATCTTCAGGTTTAGTCGATTCGCTCACCAACGCAATAGAACACCCGTTCCTCGTTTGTACAGCCATCGATACACCCTGCAGGTCTGCGCCCTCATATAATCAATCAATCCTGCGCATCAGACATGTCGTGGATATAGACAAAATTACTCTATAGGAGAGTCTTCGAGCCTGTACGAAGAAGGCTTTCTAACTCCCACCGCCTGAGGCTCAAGCAAATGGCCGTGATCGCCGTGACACATCATCCATTGCGCTAACAATGGAGGCTCCCGTTCCCATGGACAACAAGTCAAAGACACTTCCTCCCTATGGAAGCATGATGCCTCCTCTCAACCATCTTCCACCCGCTCTTCACGGTCCCCCCCCTCCCGGTCCTCCTCGAATTCCACCGCCGCCTCGTGACGGCCAGCATCATGGCTTGCCCGCTCCAATCCACACCAGTCCCTACGAGCAGTCCTGGCGGTCACAACCATACCCCCCACCACATTACGAAACTGCTATCGAACGACGCCATTCATCTGCTGTCACCAATCCCCCGCCACAGTCGCAGCCTCCTCATCCTCCTACTCACATCCCTTACCCTACAGCGCCGCATCCTTCACAGCAGCAAAGTCGTGAGTTACCCCAACTACCGCCGGGAGATCCATACCACCGTCCAAACAGTCTACCAGCTCCTGCGCCCTCTCATCCAGTAGTACCTGAGGACCATTCCCCTCGCGGTCCTTACAGACCCATGAGTGGTGCGCAACCTGAACCTACCCCGCATTCCGCGCCGCCGCCTGATTACAGACCGCCGCGCATACCTTACACGGGGCCTCCCGAGTCTCCAGTCCCAGGAACCGCTAATGGCGACCTCCCAGGGCCTCCTCCACCTGGGTACATCCAAAATGTTCCTGCGGCCTACCATGGTCAGCCACCCCCGAGTGCCGCTTTTGAGGGTGGCAATTACCCTTATGGGCGCCAGCGCAAAGCTGCCAGAGCTCAACAGGTATGCTTCTTGCTTTCTCTTAATCCTAAACCGCGAGGGATTTGTTAGATACTAAAAGATTTGAATCTAGGCCTGCGACCAATGTCGCACACGCAAAGCTAAATGTGACGAGGGTCGTCCGGCCTGCAGTAACTGCAAGGATAACAATCTTGCATGCGTCTATAAAGAAGTTCCTCCTCATAAGTAAGTCAAGCATGACATTCTAGACGTTGTCTGTGCTGACAACCCCTTCCGCAGACAGGAAAAAACCACCCAGATAATCCTAGATCGCATCGAGCGAAAGGAGGAGGTGATGAAGCAGTTGTTGGATGTCATCGTGGACAAGATTGCAGCAACTGATTCTCGTGTGGATAAGCTGTTTGAATATTTCTCAGAGCAAGGACATGCTCTTCCCGATCAGAAATCTTCTAGCATTCCAACAAACAATGCTACTTCAGAATTGAGAAAGTCTCTACTTTCTACGTCAAGATCCGAAACAGAGCATGCGGATGAAGGCTCACTGCTAAAAGAGAAACCGGAGACTCTGTCGTCCTTGGAGAAATATAATCAATTGCTGAAGCAAGAAGACACGAAGGTACCTATGCAAAGTGAAATCAACGCTGAAGAAGAAGGAGAGCTATCAATTCCTATAGAACACACTACAGCTGCTCACAAGCTTTTGTCATGGCCGTCGATTAATCGACTGTTGGACCGCCGTGTCGACGAAGACTACGTCTTGACAAACGAGAGAAAGAGAGGCTTGATTCGTATCTATGGCTGTGGCGAAGGCCATGATCACGATTCCAAATACTATTACCAACGAGATCGAGCTCTCCCCTCCCGCGCCGATAGCCCCGCAACAACAACGTCATCAGCGAGCCCTCGCTATGACGAAGAATATGCACAGGCTGCTTCCCCCAATTGGGGCTATGGTTTACCAGTGACGCCCAATGGTGGTCGACCTGGAGAACGCCCCGGTGGTCTTGATCAGAATGGTTATTTAAATACTTCGCCTGATGTTGTTCGGCGCCTTCATCGCAGCTTTATGGCTAATATACATATTCTCCATCCGTTCCTTGACGCTGATACTCTGGAGAGAAAAGTGGGATTGTTTATTAGGCAGTATGGAAGAAAGAATACGGTGAACCCGGGCGAATCGCGTGGCATGAAGCGAAAACGCTCTGCCGAGACTATGCATAATAATAATGGGCCACATGACATGTCTCGTTCTCCCAGTATGCATTCGGAAAAAGCGCCGCCCCACAGGATTGAACGCTCAATTGACAATGCAATCATTCTAATGATGCTCGCCCTCGGCGCGATCTGTGAATATAAAGGTCCTATACCCGGGTTTGCTCCTGACCCTCGTGAAAAATCTCGAGCAGAAGCATTTGCAGTGTCACCGGAGGCGCAGGCCGTCTTTAACGACATTCTGTCACCGTCACCAGCATCTGCACCAGCATCGGCTGGTGTGGCAGGCCAGGCTTTCCAATCCCCCAATGTCCCATCTCCTGATCCCGCGTTCGATTGGAAGACTCCGACCCCAAGGCCGGCTTCTAAATTTGGACCAGATAATTATTCTGATGACTCTCACACCAGAAACATTGATGTAATTCCGGGGCTAGCCTACTATGCATATGCCGCAGGCATTCTGGGAGACTTGCAGGGTGGAATTGAGCTGCCTTATGTGCAAGCGGCTATTCTAGCAAGTCTTTATGCTGGGCAGCTAGCTCATCCATTCCAGAGTCACGGCTGGATTTTTCAGGCGGCTAGAGCATGCCAATTCATAGTTCGAGCGTGAGTTTTCAGTTTGTTTCTGAAATCCCTTTTGAGAACCCATGTTAACACATCCTTAGGAGAGACTATAATACCATGAAAGATGGTCCCCTAAAAGAAATGTATGAATTTGCTTTTTGGACATGTCTACAACATGAAAGGTGAGTCTTGATATAACTCAGACGAATGCACAGAGCTGATGATTCTGCGATCCTAGTGACCTGCTCGCCGAATTGGATCTCGCTGCCAGTGGTATATCCAGATCTGAGTCGCGAATAGCGCTTCCTAAAGGCAACTTTACGCTTAAGCTAACGAGTGAAATTGATGCCCCCGAAACTAAGATGATGTTTTACTATTCAGCGCAAATCCATCTACGCAAGTTTTTGAACCGGGTCCATACGGATCTATACAAGGTGGATAGGAAGAGTAAGTCCCCGTCTGCCGTATCTTTCGGTTCTCAATCGCTAATGCAGGCGCAGGAGAAAAATCGGACAAGTCGAGCGACAGAGAGTTTGAAGACCAAGTAGAGGAGAAACCGGATTCTGACAAGAGACCGAATATCCCTTACCAGGTCCTGCAAGTACTTGGTGTGAACCTTGATGCGTGGAAAAGCAGCCTGCCCCAAATCATGCAATGGAAGGAAACAGAACCGCCTGCGTCGGACATAAATGCTGCGCGTTTACGTGCGAAATATTACGGTGCCCGATATATTATCTATCGCCCGCTCTTACACTACGCTCTACATCAATTACCCCCTCCTGATGTGGAGGCTTCAGCACCCGCCGAGACCCGTAGCTTTTCAGAGCAATCAGAACCTAAACGTCGAGTCTCTTCGCTGAAGTCGCAGGGCCATCAGGCCCTTAGTATGGCGCGTTGGGCCAGCGAGCCCGGCATTCCTGATCATATCGAAGACGAAGCCAACATCTACCCGACGATTGAATTCGACAGTCTCCCTCCACAAATCCAGCAAGCATGCTATCATTGCATCAGGGCTGCAGTTCAAAGCACGATAGCGTTTGACGGAGTCAAGGGACGTCCGATCGTAACCAATATATTTGGGACAGCTCACGCGTAAGTTTTCCTTTTTTTTTTTTTTCCTACCCCATTTTCACTCACTTAGCAAACAAGACTAACAGACGTAGGCAATTTGGCAACATGCTTGTCTTATCTGCTACCTATATGTCCGGTCTTCGACAACTGGTCGAACGTGACGAACTCGAACGGCTTCTGAAGCGCACCATCAAATTCCTCGCGCAGAGCAAAGACATTTCACCGACTTTGAGGGCCGACGCGCAGATCCTGTCCGGAATTTACCATAAGATTTTCAAGCAATCACCACATACAAGTTTCACAACGGAGTCTTTTGGTAGTGTGAATACTTAATCTCTACCTTTTAACACATTTCACAGGAATTTATATAATGACGCCTGTCTATCCTCTATCTATTCTCTACATTGTGTTTATTGTTGTTTCATCTTGGCGAGGGCGGACAGCTGTTTTCAGTCTTTGTCTTCTCTTCATCCTGGAGAGGAGACAGCAAGTCACGGCGCTTAAATATGATACCACGAAGGCATTTTGATTTTTCATAGTCATTGTTATTTCATTATCATACTATACCACAACATATCATCATTGCTCATTATTATGGCGATGGAGAATGAAGGGAGGTCAAATTGTCTTTTATAACTGTCTGCATATACCTATATGCATGCAGTTTTTCGGTGGCTTTTTCTCTGGGCATTAGTCAGCGAGTGTTTTTGGTTCATTCATCGCTCTTTTTGTATATGCAATTTTGTCACTGTCGCCACCTTTTATTGTTTAGATCCGAGCCTCGGAACTCCGAGCCTTGCTTTGGTGTGGTTTGGTTGGTTGAGCCTTTACTTGATGCATGCAGTTATGCATGATACATACATCTTATTCTTCAATACGCACACCTACTCAAAACATGTCATTCTAAACTTTGGTTAGAATATTTTACCTACCTGCAGAAATTATTGCGCAGGTGACAGTTCCCCTCTTTCCTTTCTTTTTATCGCTCCTTTTCTTTTTTTGGGCGCAGTCACAAACTAGCGGGGGGACTCAGCAACTACTGACGCTAGTCTCGAGTGTCAGCCAGCCACTAATCGTCGCTTTGTCTGTTATCGATGACTTGGGCATGGCGTTGCGGATTTGGGTTCGTACCTTTGGTGCCATAGGTTTGTGCATGTGTCATCAACTCTATGCTGTTTCTCTGCCGTGCGAGTTAGTGGTCTAGTTGTCGATTCTAGCATATAGTATGTATAGCAGAACACCAAGCCAGGAACCAAGGTGGTGGTGCTTTGATGGGGGTAATTCATAACACAATATGATACTGGTGGCAATAAATCATGCATGATTGAATTGATTATAAAAATGTGCTTGTCCAGAACTAGTAGATATGCCCGTGAACTGTTCAGCTCCAGGGTCGGCTGCGTGGTTGTGGCTGCTTCGAGTTGATTGGATGCCTACCCCATTCCTCATTCGGCAAAAGTGACTCGTTTTGGACCTTGTGAGGGATGCCAAATGGCTGGCTGGCTCGTTAGGTTCTTAACTGGGCTCTTTTCTTCCGGGGGGCGGAGGGGGGGATTCTACCTATACATACGTGAAAGATAAAATCTGAAGAGTATTTATATGGTGGTGTGGTCGCTGCTGGATGCTGAGGATTGTGTTCATTTTTTTATACATACTGCACAATCTGGTAGTATATATATACATACATATATCATGGTGAATCGCATTTTGCCTAGAGAAGGTAAGTTGAACAAGGAACACCGAAATATATTGACTCATCCCCGAGGCTTCGTGTTAAGATATGAGTTCATTGCAGGCTTCACGGCCGACGTCCTCGTCTCTACCCTACGCCATACCGTTTTCGACCCTTTCAAGACACTCGCGGCCGTGCTCGTACTGCACTATGTGCCGCAGTTATTGAATGGTTCTATTATCTCTTCTCATCTGCCACTGCACAAGCGCGAGTCGGCTCTGTCCTACCTCCGTATTGCGCTTGCGCTGGGTCTCGTGGGCAGCGTGAACTCCTGGATTGGCCGGCGCGTACTCAACCGGCACGTCAAAGACAAATACGACTGGCCACGCGAGATTGTCGTTGTAACGGGTGGCAGTCATGGGTTTGGCAAAGAAACTGTTTTGATTTTGGCTGCGAGGGCAAAGGGGGTTAGGATTGCGGTTTTGGATGTCGTACCTCCGGATTATGAGTATGATGGTGACAGTGTTGTGAAGTTTTTCCATTGTGATATTACCAACGTCGATGCTATTGCGGTGGCGGCCGCTGAGATTCGTGCTGTTTTTGGGGGGGACCCAACTGTTTTAATTAACAATGCGGGCGTTATCTATGCCCGTCCGCTGCTGGAGAACACGGAAAGAGAAATCAGCATGATGTTTGAGGTCAATGCAGTGTCGCAGTATAAGCTGCTTAACGAGTTTTTACCTGCGATGGTATCGCACAATCATGGCATGGTCGTTACGGTTTCTTCGCAGGGCGGGAATTGTACGACACCCGGCATGACGGCATATTGTGCCACAAAAGCTGCTACCATCGGGCTTCATGAAGGATTGACATCGGAGTTGGCTATACGATATAATGCGCCCCGTGTGCGGACGGTGTTAGTCACGCCGGCGTTTGCAAAGACTTTTGTGACGAGAGACCTGATTCCGGAAGATAGCTTTTTGAGTCCATTGCTGGAGCCGGCAACTGTTGCGGAGGCGATGATTAATCAGATCTTGAAAGGGGAGAGTGGATATGTTGGAGTGGGTGTTACTGGGAATTGGTTCACGTCCAATCTCAGATCGACGCCTTTGTGGTGGCAGACAGGTTTTCGGGACTGGATGGGTAACACCACCAAGAAACCCAAGACCAAGCACCCGTGGGTACAACGGGAGGTGGAATGATCTTTCATTGCGTGCATGTTTTATGTAGCGATTCCCTGCTTCTTTCATATCCGGACAGTGTGAATTTTTTGATAGCTAATGGACTCGATATTGCCGAAGGATGTCGTCAATTTGACCACGCAAAGGCTGACGAAGCCGACTTATCCTCCCTTCTTGCCCACAGAAGAGACAATGGAAATGCTGCAGGCACGGCTGATGGGGTTGGCCCCAGATATAATGCAATACAGGCGGCGGCACTCTCCCGCAGCATTCGCCACTGCCGAATACTAGACTGTATGAGCAGCCACTTCCGTCGAACTTGCAGCACCAGCAGACGACAAATCCATCGTTACCACTGCTGCTAGTATTTCCGTCATCCTTGCCGATAGGGATGAGATTGCCTGGCTGGTAGATGTGGTTCTGGACGCCACATCGCAGACAGAAGCGGCGACTGTTTTCAGAGTAGCCGCGAGACCGCTTGCCTCGTAGTTGTCTGTCTGCGAAGGCGTGGACAGGCCGGAACTTGAGGCACTGATGGCAGGCCAAATAGCCGATGTTGATGTATCTAAGTAGAATAGTCGTAGTAGTCAATTCTTGGGTCCTTTCACTTCGACAGTAATTCAAACATTAGTGAGGCAACGAACATGGACCACGTCTCCGCCACGCAGAGAAAATCCAGCTTCTCTGCTTTTGCGGTCGGTGATTGACGGGTGACAACTTGTCGGAAGTAGCTGTTTGTATAAGCCAAGGCAAGGCGTGCTGGGTAGGCGAGATGATCGATGATTTCGAGATGGAGTTCCGTAGGGAGCGAAGCCAGGGTTCTTTCTTGACGTTGTTCAGGATGTGCCATCCTCAACCTGGGAAGTTGAGATCGGTGGCGGGCCACGTGAGCGATCGAATAATATTCCGAACTGTCACAAAAGAAGAAACAATCATAGATCAAGGGATGCGCAAATCGAGAGTAAGTACGGAGTAGTGCTCCGTATATGCTATGGCAATAATACCGTCGAATATAGGCGCAACGAATTAGCGCTTGCCAGTTGTATGGGCGTACAGTCCAGCCAGCCACACTGCGAGCGACGAAGTCCTATCTCGACTCTGCGTGATTGATGCACCGTCAGACTGACGATCGACGCATTTTTGTTGCGATTACCGACCACCAGCGAATGTCGTTAAACATTCTCATCATCGTCAATGATGCGTTGGATTGTTGCTTGATCATAACCGCAGCAGTCAGTTAGTTCACTAGTTAAACTACTACTAGTGAGCTCCATCGCCGCCGAGACTAACCCCGAATCAACCACGGTTCAGCTTGTTTACCTTAACAACAACAAAAACAACAACAACGACGCCATCACAACCAGGCCAAACCAAACCAAAACAACTCCAGCCACCGCAGGCGAGCAGTGTTTGTTGTTGACCGCCCTCTTGCTCCTCGTCCATTGCGCTGGATTGCCGAGTGGAACGGCCTACCTTCCTGCCTACTGAACACTGCAGCCTCCCGCCACCTTCCCCAGCCTCGCTCGTGCTTCATTTTTTTCCCGACCTCCATACAATTCATTCACTCATCCCTACTCCTCCCCCATCTCGCACCTCACATTCCTTCTTCCCTTCCATTCCTTCCCCCTCCCCCGCCCTTTATCTCTATTCGATTCCTTATCGATCATCGACACATGAATTAATACGCCCTTCCGCGAGCTATCTCCACCGCCATGTTTAGGGCTCTTATGGGAGGCGGCGGCCGCGACGATTCAAGCTCTCGTTCGTCTCGTCGCAAATCCACCACAGGCGGCGACGACTCGCGCACATCGTCCCGCCGTCACTCAAAGCGTTCTTCTGCTTCAAATGCGTCGGTGGCTTCTAGCCGTAGGTCTGCACGGGGTGACGACCGTGATCGGGACCGCGGCCTGGGAGATCTCAGCGCAACTCGAAGCGTGACGGAAGATTCGACGACGACCTACGTTACTGCTGAACCGCAGTCATACGCTGAAGAACCTATGATAATTGAGCGCACCCCTCGCTACATAGATCGCGACGATGATCTGCCCAGGACGAGTCGGAGTTCTACTGACCGCGAGTCTAGGATGAAGGAAAGAAGAAGAGACACCGACACAGAACAAGAGCGTGCACGCACTCGTACTCGGTCGGGAGATAACATGACTCCCTCAACAGTATCGTCTACAAGATACGCTCCTGTGTCGCCTGGGAACACTGCCGCGCAATTCGCCGCGGACATTGGGAATCCCGGATTCAACCAATATCCCACACATTATGATACCTCAAATATGCCCGGAGCCTCTGTCCCCTTCCATCCTCCGTTAGATCCCCATATTTCTCAACAGTTTCCGGGACAGCTTCCAGACACAACCGCACAGCCTTACATACCACCAAACCCGGCAGGGCTTGCTGCTGATTACTATGGTGATCAGGGCCAGTCAGTTGCTCACCAGCCAGGCGTGCGCCCCCAAGCTCCAGACATTATTGTCGGTGCTCAGCCTCATCTGCAACCAGCCTCTCCTATGGCAAATCCTCCTCCGGAGCCCAGTAGCCTTGGCCAAGTTGGCGCGGCCGCTGAGTACTACGCTGGTGGTGATTCCGCTGTGTCTTCCACCACCACCACCACCACCACTGTGAGGCCACCTAAACCGGGAAAGCCATCGAAGCCGTCTTCCAGTCCCCATCAGCCGACTTCGGGCGCCTCGGTCGCCGGGGAATCGGCGACATATGGAATTGGCTCAGAATTGTTGAACCAAGCCAGCTCCAGTTATCCCGCTACGTCGGCCAGTCAGCCGCGACCTCCCGCACACGGTATCGCTGGGCCTGTATCATCACAGGGTGGTGTGTCTTCAAATCACAGTATGGGGTTGGCTTTAGGTGGTGCTGCCGCAGGGGCAGCGGCAGCTTACATGATGAACCATCACGATCAGTCAAATTCAAGTGCGCAGCAGACAATACAGCCTGATCACCATAATGACACCTATGGCATAGGAATACTGCCTCAAAGCGGAAATATCAACACCTCTTTTGAAGGCCATGTCGACCCGTATATTGGATCTGGCTATGCTGATCGGCCTCCATTCAGGCCTCCCTCATATTCTTCTGGAGGAATGCAGCCCGGCACGCTCGCCTATCATCAGCGACATCATAGCCCATTTTCTGCATTTATTGACTTCTGGAGAGACCCTGAAGGTGTTGGCAAGTTTGAGGATTATACTCAGGCTATCGGAGTGTGCAAATATTGCTTCGAGCCGGGAACTACGTCTAAAGACGCACCGCGAAAGCATCATTACCATCAGCGGAGGCGCTCACCGGTCGTTGAAAGATACGGTAGTAGTAGCCGCGTTGACAAATTGACGCGTTACACCTCGTCTGAGGATGAGTCCCGCCGTAAGAAATCAAAAGGCAGTTCGTGGTTGACGGCAGGCCTTACTGGCGGACTCGCTGGTTACGTGGCCAAGTCTTTGTTCAATAGTAAAGACTTTGAGGATACATATAGTGTCAAGTCTGGAAACCGTGCTGATCATTCGCGTCGTACCGACGATGACGAAGACAGCGTCGTATCCTCCGGAAAGGGTAGTTCGACGTCAAGAGGGGTGATCTCGAGTAAATTGATGAGTGGTAATCAAGACTCCAAATCATATCGGTATCCTCGTCGCTCATCTCGCTCTACATCACGATCGCGGTCGAGAGATCGCCGAGGGGGCTCCGGTCTGAAAGAAGCAGCTATTGGTGCGGCAGTTGGCTCGGCACTATCCGTTGTTGCGACCCAATCCTCTGGGCGGGACAGAAGTCACAGATCAGTGACACGCAGCCGGAGACGTACATCTGATTCATCTGGGAGCTTCTATGCTGAGCGACAGCGGAGGCGAGGCAGATCTAGCCCCGAAGGATTCAGGTCTTTTTTCACAGCTCCGTCGGCGAACCGTCGAAAAAAGCACTCGAAGAAAAAAAGGGGATTTTTCTCCCTTTGGAACTCGTCTTCGTCTTCGGGTGACTTTGATCTAGCCTTTGGCGGATCACAGCTTCAAGGCTCGACGGTTAGTGGAAGATCTAGCGGGTCTAGTAGGTCAAGTAAGAGACGAAATATTGATGCCGAGATCTTGGGCTTGGGAGCCGCAGCCACCCAACTCGCGCATTCTTCTTCTTTCCGCAAGGAAGTTTCACCTCGGGATCTTGTTCGGCCGAGTCCTTCCAAACGTACGCAAATGGAAGATGATGAGTGGGAAGATGCAGATTCTTCAGATTCCACCGTGTCCGAAAGTCTGGCCTATGGGGTCAGTCCACATTATATACGCCGAGAACCTGTGGCTTCTCGGTCATCATTTTGGCCTTGGAACTCACGCAAACAGGAAAGGGCCAGGAGGCAGTTGGACCAAGCGTCCCCGGCGCCTCCTACGAATGAATACACTCCTTACCCTGCTGAATATGGTAGCCATGACGGTTCTGGTAGTAGTAAGGGTAGTCTTCAGCAAGTATATCCAGTTCCAACAAATGATCCGTCGCGATTTGACGTTGTGCGAATGTCGACATCATCTTCCCCCGATGGCCAGCCCGCACTCGTGAGACCGGGGCCTATTCCCCTTCAGCAGCCACAGCCTTTTACGCCGGTTTCTCAATCGGTCTACTATCCTGCTACTACAGCGCCGGTGTCTCCTAATACGCCTATGCGTGTGCGCGCCGAGGAGTCATCAACCAGAGAAATATCACGCCCCCGTCGCAGTAATTCGTCACCTGTGTTACCTCTGGTGCCTCTGGATGGTGGGCCATCACCAGGAATACTCAAACGAAGATACACAGCGAAGGACTCCGCAACCGTCTCATTCGACCTCACAGAAGAGCAAGCTGACAGACAAGAAGAGGTTGACCGCCGTAATAAAGAGCGTCAATCTCGCAGGCGAGATGAGTCCGCTGTTTTGCGGGAGCAAGTAGATGAATCAGAGCAACGTCGTGAGCGTAAGGAAAGAAGAGAGCAGCGTCGGCGCCGCGATGAAGCGGTAGTTGTAGAGGCCGCTCGCGACACCCAACTCGAAAAACTGCGTAAGGACTTGGAAAATGAGGAGAGGTTGAAGAACTTTCAAGATGTACCACCACGGGCATATGCTCGAGGAGAATCCGAGCTATCTTCATCGATTACACCGGAGGTCCTCGGCGCTGGCGCTGCTGCCGTGGCGGGCATCGTGTCTGAAAAATCATTCGAAGACAGAGGGTCAATGTCAAGTCAAAGCCGCTTCGAAGAAAGCCGAGAAAAGCGGCGAAGCGAACGACGCCGTGCATCTGAAATCCAACCGGAAGTGATTGAAATGACTCGCCAGGGCGATACCCGACAAGCCATAAACGAAGATGAGAAAAGAAGACGTATAGCTAAGATCGCAGCTTCACGCATTGCACAAGACGTGAGGACGAGCCCCGTTTATGAAAGCTATCAAGATTTTTTCCTTCCGGAGGAATTGCGGCACCATGAGGATCATGATGTACCATCTTCTGCCACCATCGGTAAGGACTCGGCTCCTGAGCAGGCATCGCGTGCTGTCGAACCATACGCTGCCAATGATACGGAAAACCCAAACTCCTCATGGCCTCCTTTGGTCATCAATATTATCCAACCAACTCCACCAGCTAGTCATGAGGGCTCCGTTAGAGATGTTCATTCCCCTGTCCCTATCTCAGAGCCCTCTGACAAAACGGCCCCGCAAATCGAGGTTGAACAAAAGCCCAGCCGTTCAACCACAGGATCTCGTGTTTCGTGGGGTGAACACCAAACCCACGAGTATGAGGTTGATACCCCTCTTTCTGACAAAGAAGAGCTTTTCGATGACAAAGATCATTATGGACAGACTTCTCTACCTGACCATCACGACGAGGACACGAACAATGACGTACCCACCGACCATGCGCCAGCGCCTCATCAAGATGACGATTCGGGACATGCCGCCGCACAATCTATGCCGGGTAGTTTTGATGACGATGCTGGATTTATTGCTACCTTGGCGGCAGGTGCCGAAATTGCTGGATTTGGACCTACGGTTGTGAGTGAGAATGGAACTTATTATCAGAAAGGTGAATTGGCCGAAGCCGGTCCTAAGGATACCTATCGTGCTTCTGCGATTGAAAGCGTGAAGGATTCTGTTAATTTTATCCCCCGTGACTCATCTCAAACAACGCTCCTTTTGACAGCAGACGAGGATACCCATGAATCGGAGTCGTCTTATCGCTCTCGAGAAGTAAAGGACGTGTCTGGGGAAAATGCGGTGGCTGAAGAGAGTCAACAGCTGCCTGGAACTCAAATATCCGATAACACTCAGTCTAAGTATGAAAGGCTTGCGGAATCCCTAGAAGATACTCAAGGCGAGGGTGATTTCCAGGATCAACCTCAATATGTACAATCTTCTCCGAGTAGAGACGATAGCAAAAAGCCAGAGAATTCGAAGAGAAGCTCAAGAACTCGCGACGACATTGACATTGAGTCAGAAAATTTCTCGCGACAAGTCGTCTCGAGTGAATATTCTGATACCAAACAATACCAAGACAACACATCAAACGACGATGACGTTGGCTTGAAGAAAGTTGAGTCGGACACAGCGAGAGACGACTGGATTGAAGAACAATACAAGGAGAGACGCCATCGGAGAACAAAACGTGCTAGCACCGAACTGTTAGATGATGCACGGTCGGTTGCTGCATCTGCTCCTGGAGCGGATGAAATGGAAGAATATCGGTCACGCAAGACTTCTTCCAGACCTAAACGCGATGAAGCGGATTTTGACGACGACAATCGATCGCTTCCTGACGCAGATTATGATGGAGAGAAGCGGAGAAGGCGTCGACATAAGCGTCATAGTGGTGCATCTGATGACGCCGCCTCAGTGGTATCTTCGCCGGCAAAAATAGATGAGACTCGTGAAAAGCGCCGCCTACGTGAGCCATCAGTGTCTAAAGACCAACAAGATAGGAGAGCCGGTGGATTCTTCAGCAACTTATTCGGCTCAAAAACCAGTTTAGAGCGCTCCTCATCTTCTCCTGGGAAGCGTGATACCTGGTCAGAGGCCGGTGTTGATGATGGAAAATCCGAGCGTAGACGCAAGAAGAGGCATTCCGGAGGTAGAAGCTCAAGTGGTGATGGACTTGGAGATTGGGAAGTGTCCAGCGAAGCCGCACAGTCTACAGCGGACCTCTCTCAGCTAGGCAAGAAGTATGACGACGAAGGAGATGATGATAGTCAATCATCTCGAAGGCGGAGAAGGGAGCAGAGACGGCGAGACAAATATGAGGACATTGTCGGTTCGGCTCGTGATGCATCGGAGAAGGTAGATCTCTAGTCCCTCGTCTCATGCGAAGTTGATATTTCTAAAGGAAATATGACTGTACAATTGTTATTTGTTTGCCATTATAAGCAGCTGATATTTTGCTTTTTTTGGTGCGTTATTTTTTCTGTAATGACCACATGCTAAGTTTCTTCTGCTTTTGCCTATATAGGAACGATATGATGCTACCGAGAGTGCCGACGATAATGACGATGAGAAACAATCTTTTTTAGGAATGCGCCCCGAAATGCCACCGCTAGATATTAATTTTAGAGGCTCAAATAGCGACAATGAGGGTGGTGCTTCGGGGCTCGCTACTAAAGAAGCACTGCTGTCAACTGCTTTGTCCTACGGCGGTGGTGAGAGCGAGCTGCAGCAAGTGCAGCAGCGTCTTAGAAGCCGCTCAGTATCACCATCCGTAGCTGAAAAAACGTTTGAACTAGCCCCAAGATCACAAAGTCGACCATCTTCTCCCGGATCTGGTGAAGAACAAAAGTCGAAGCCCAGGCGCCTTTCAGTGCTGCGAGCCAGCGATTCACCTACAGCAGTTCCCTTACATTTTCGGAAACCACCTACTTCTCCTAGCGGGACCAAGCGCATCTCCCTGAGTTCTCCTAGCCAGTCTCCTAACTCACCAAAGCATAGCCGTCGCCCAAACTCCATCGAATTCAAAAATGTTCGCGAGATCCGTCCACTCTGGCTCGTGGAGCGCCATAGTTCCACTAAATTTGATGCAGAGCCAGAAGGTCCTCTTCCGTCACTACCTTCCAGCAAGACTTCTTCTCGAGTCGCCTCTGTGGAGGACTTACGAGCAGCCTACGATGAGAACGCGGTGGCTGACTTCGACATTAGCGGTGGACCTTCGTACAGCCTGGGCCGAAAACCAGTTGACTTGCGCATCTCCACAGATCAATTACCTGCTGAAGAGGATGATTTCTTGAATTCCCAGCAAGCTACTCCTACCGCAGAAACATACAACAGCAAGCAGTTTGGTCCTCCACCTATCAAGAAGGAAAAACCAAAATACGAATTTCATTCTCCATCGGAATTACTTCAGGACTTGGGTGCATATTACGACCCGCAAATACCAGAGCCTCCCGAATCCATGGACCAATTACCACCCGTGGCAGGATCCGATGTTGCAGAGAAAGGAATAGAAAAAACACTCGAACAGCTGCCTGTGAATACAGAAATCCAGCTTGAAAAACTAGTGCCTGCTGCGGAGGATGGAGTTCAATCGAACAATAAGTCTAATGAAAAGGCCTCGTTCTTGCTAGGCGCAGGGTTTGCCTCTGTTGTCGACGCCGCTGTATCCACTGATTCTGATAGTCATGATAAGGATGCAAAAAGCTCTAATGATCACGAACTGCCCATGACTGAACATGGGGAGTCTGAATTGCTCACGAAGGACGACGCTGATGAGGGTTTGCAGGGTGTTTCGACTGAACATGTCCAACAACAGGAACAAGCCTCAAGCATGGATCATGCAGAACCCTCTGGAAACCCCGGCGATGTTGTCAATTCGGCGGTTCCTGCAACTTCATCTGGTCAATCTCTCGCCACGACAGAAAACAAGGCGGATGTATCTAAGGAAACCCAGTATGACGTACATTCATCTGGCGAAACTCTTGCAGGAATTGTTGATGCCGCGGTCGCCACTGCTGTTGATACGCCAGCCATTTCTCATGCGAAATCCACCCAGCACAACATCTCCAAGCATGAAACTGATCTAAGTACAGATGATCCACCAGACGAAAAGGTAGGAGATATCGTCGCATTGACAAAAGAACCCATAATGGAGGAGCCAAATGTTGCCGCTGAAGAAGCGACGGAAGATGCCGCGACGCAAGCTACTTCCTCTTCGAAGAAGCAGAAAAAGAAGGACAAGAAAAAGAAAAAGAAGAGCAAAGACCTCGGACTCAACCCAGAGGATAATATTGATGAGGGAGAGACTGCTGCTGCTGCTGCTGCTGCTGTTGAATTAGACTCACCTGGACAAACCGAAGCAGAGGCGGCAGCGGAACGGCCCGAGCCCACGGAATCAATCAACGAGAGCGAAGACAAGAAACCCATAGAGGAAAAAGCTGCTTCAGAAGTCGAAGAGACCAAATGGGTTTCCGGAACTTCAAGTGGTCAACTTCTCATGGATGATACAAAGGAAGTTGCCGAAGATGTCATCCGTGAGGCCGAACAACCCTTGTCAACTGTGGAGACTGAGCAGGTAGAGGCGGTCACCGCATCTGCGGAGACTGATACACGACCTAGCCCCAGTGCGGAGCACGACATCAAAGACACCAATAATCAGGCACCACATGTGATAGCGGAGCCTGAAGATGAGGATTTTTCTTCGACAACTTCCAAATCCCCGAAAAAGAAAAAGAAGAATAAGAAGAAATCACAGAGTTTGTCTGAGCCTGCTGCTATTGAGGCCAAACCCGCAGCCCCTGTTGATGAATTAGTTGGCCCTTCAACGACAGAGGAACCTCAATCGCTTGACGAGACAGGGAAGTCATTCTCGGACATTGCTTGTGCGGCCATGCTATCTGAGCAAGTAGAGGACATCGAGAATGGGCCTGGCATTTCTGTCGTACCTCAGGGAAAGAATGGACAGGGCAATAAAGAGGAACCCGACAAACTTATGAATTCTCTTCAGGAGCCCGAATTGGCAGAAGAACAAACCTCTGCCGTTGTAGTAACAGATCAAATACCTGGGATACCATCGGATGTCCCCGACAGCGAACAACAACAATGGTCGCTTGACAATGTCACTGAAGAGGCGCCTGCCCAAGAAGAAGCTACGGAAATGATGCCACCCGATGAAAAGACTGAAATTTTGCAGAATGAGAATCGGAAGCTTCCCGAGACATCTAAAGTTCCCCAGCAAATCAGTGTTGAAGACTCAATTAAGGAGGATCAAACTCTGCCTCACCCCGAGCCTCCTGCCGTTGACGATCCAGTTGAGTCCTCGGAAGTCATTTTGGCGCAGCCCTCTGATGATAAAGAGGAGGAACAGCCTGCTCTTACTCAATCAGGCAAGAAGAGCAAGAAACAAAAAAAGAAAAAAAAGGGGAAGTCGTTGTCTGTGGATGAAAGTCCCAACGAAGTGCCCCAAGAACTCTTCGCTACTTCTCAAGCCCAGTCTGAAAGTGCCGCGATTGCTGCATCTGTAGAACCTGCAATTGCTCAAGGTGGGGAGGCAACTATGGACAAAAATCAGGACGTCGTTGGTCTGGAACCGTTCAGCAGCTCTGCTGATCCTGAAGCCTCCCAATCACATGACATCGATACTCAATCCAAGGAAACGGAAGAAATTCACGTTGAAGACCCAAAACTAGAACCAGACGTCTTGTGCGCCCAAACAGAGGTCTCACAAAACCCAGATGTTGCGGTAATTTCTGGGGATCAAGAGGCATTGATAGCTCCAGGTTTTTCGGTTGTGCCAGAAACAGGTGTGGAAGGTGAACTTCACGATGAATCAGCAGAAATTAGAGAACCAGTCCAGCTAGATGAATCGTTGGTTGCTAGACCGGCACAAGCTGGGGAGATTGTTGAACCCGAGACATCAAATATTGCTCACGTTTCCATCGATCCTGGTCTGTCCGAGGCACCCCTCCTTGAGCAGCCGGCTGGTTCATCCGACAAGCAGTCAGTGGAAGCAATTGAAGTGGCAGACTCCGCAGTCAAAGAAGAGAAAGTTCCCTTTTCCCACGAAGAAACCTCCAAACCGGCGTCCTTTGCGGCTGCGAAGTCTAAGAAAAAGAAGAACAAGAAGAACAAGCGACTTTCCTTGGTCGAAGAGCCTGAGATAACTACTGAGATTACAGAAACTGGGTCATCGACTCCTGTAGAACCCGAAAAATCCGGCGCCCCCGAGCAAGAATCAACCGCCCTCGTCGAGTCTTCATTACCACCAATTGTAGCAACGACGCCAATACCCACAGAACCTGAGCCGTTCGCACCTGCGGACCCTGAAATCACACTCGTAGAAGCTGCAGTGCCCACGGAAGCAAGCGCTGACTTGCCAACGTCTACTGATACAATTGTTTCACCTTTTGTCGTAGATGCCGAATCTCCTACACAGACTGAGCCGCCTACTGCCGTTTCTGATGAAGGTTCTATTATGAAAGCCCAGGAGATCTCAGATCAAGGAGATCAAACGAAAGATCTGGCTTTATCACAACCTGAGTTGCAAAGGGAAGAAAATGAGAACCCTGATGATCAGTCCACGGCGCAAGAACTTGTACCATCTCAGACTGGTAGCGCCGTGAAACCCACTTTAGCCGAAACGGAGGATTTTCAAGTGGCAAATTCGAAGGCCAAGCGCAAGAAAGACAAGAAAAAAGACAAGAAAAAGAAGGCAGCTGAAGCTCTCCCAGGGGACGATGAACCATTTGATAACCATGTCAATGAAAATCCCACCGAGCCTGTTGAAGCTACGATCTCCCAGGATCCAGAACCGGAAGGATTAATGCCGACTGAGCAGTTCAATTTGATTGACCCGAAGACAGAGGATGTCAAGGAAGATAGTCCAAAGTCTCAAGTTTTGGAACCCCCTACAGAAGAGGCCAAGACCGTTGATATTGGCAAAGATGGCCCATGGGATCTCGAAACCTCAAACTCCAAGACGAAGGAAGATAAAGAGAAAGACGCAGCAGCAACAATAGCAACTCTCACGGTGGATGAAGAACCGAATTTTAGGTCTAATAATGGCGATGGCACCGAGACCCCTGAGGCTGTATCTTCGGAAAATCTAGAACAGGTTGAGTCCATATCCATTGGGCAGCCTAGCCTAGATGAACAAAAAAGGGATAATGTTACAGAAGAGTCCCAATCTCCAGAGTCTCCAGCAGACGCTCCCACAGACGCTCCCACAGATGCTCCTGCAGAAGAATCTAAGCCCATAGACAATGCAGAAGACAATAGCTTGTCCGCTGAGACTTCGAAGTCCAAGAAGAAGAAAGACAAGAAAAAGAAAAAAGCAATGGAGGCTCTTCTGATGGCAGACAAACTGTCTGACAGACCTGTAACAGAGGACACTAAAAAGAGTGTTGAAATTGTTACTCCTGAGGAACCAGAACAAATTGAATCGGTATCGGCTAAAGAGCCTACTCCAGATGGACGGACTCCTGTTAATGTCGTGGAAGATACTGGCGCAGAGTCTCATCCTCAAGAGATATTGGCGGAGACTGCTGCAGAGATTCCAGCAGAAGAAAAGCAAACGGTTGATGTTGTGCAAGACAGCAGCCAGGTTCAAGAGACTTCAAAAGCAAAGAAAAAGAAAGACAAGAAAAAGAAGAAGGCAGCAGAATCTCTTCGATTGGAGGAAGAACAACCTGATAAACCTGCCATCGAATACTCCACGGAGCTTGTTGAACCCCCAGCCGCTGAAGTTTCAGAGCAATCTAATGCGGATGAAGTAAAAATGGAAGTCAAAGTACATGATTACAGTACGGATCCTCAACCTCCAGGAGCCCCTGCAGAAGAAATCGCCAAGGCTGTCGACATTACGAAAGAGGATGGATCGACTCAGGAGTCAAAGTCGAAGAAAAAGAAGGATAAGAAAAAGAAAAAGGTCGCAGCTCCTTCTTTGGATGATGAGCTATATAACAATAATCCCGACAACGAGAATATCACAGAACTCGATGCCGTTCCCTCTGCTAAGGGTGCAGACGCGGAAGAAGTCCCTAATACAGAAATTGGCATTTCAGAAACTCCTGCAGAAGAGGCCATGGCTGCCACTATCCCTGAAGACGGTGCGCTTCAAGAAATCTCAAAATCCAAGAAGGACAAGAAGAATCGCCAATCAATTCAACTAGTAGCTGCCCAGGAAGAAGGTGCACGTGATGCGTCAGCTGACGTCCCTGAGATTGCCACGCCTGTTGAGTCTAGTAGTCCTGCCGTCGAAGATACTACGAAAACTAAGGAAGAGCAAAAAAAGGATGATATTGCTGATTTGCAGCTCCAAGAAATTGTCCTGAAGGAGTCATTACCATTACAGCAGCCGGAAAACCTCGAAGGCGAGGATTTAAAGTCCAAAGCTGGCAAGTCAAAGAAGAAAAAGGACAAGAAGAATAAGTCAAAGGATGAGCCTTTTCCGTGGGATGCTGAGCCTGTGCCGGAGCCAGAAAAGCCGCAGGGCACTGTCACTGGCGAACCAGCCGCATCTGTAGACGTTCCAGAGCCTACCGAGTCTGGGGAATTTTCAGGGCCCATAATAAATGTTAATTCTACTTCTGATGATGCAAAGGCAGCCGAGCCTGCAGTGACCGCCGCACTCAAAGCGTCCGACGAACCCAAAGAACCAGAGTTAACTGAGGCAACTGAGGCCATCAAAGCCATGGGACTTACTGAAGAAATTACCGAATCCATAGATCCTCCAGCAGTCGAAACCAGCGAGCTGACTAGTCCACAACCTGAGGAGCCCATCGAACTTCAATCCTCAGAACCTGCCGAGAATGCGCTCCAGGCGGACTTCCAAATGCCAGTCAAAAACATGGAGCGTGGTTCCTTGATATCTTCAGTCGTTACAGAGCCGAATTCTTCCGAGCGGGGTGCGGAAGTTACAGAGCCTACTGAAGTTGCAACATTGACGGAGCCGGAACTTGCTGATTCTGATGAGCCTATAGAGACCATTCAGCGAGAAATCGTCGAGCCCGTGAAAACTGCTGGTCTCGATGCAGCGATAGACACAAAGGAAAATACGGAATCAATAGAAGATGGTAATGAAATATCGCGTCGCCCGTCCAAGAAATCCAAGAAAAAGAAGAAGCGCGATCTAATGGCGTTAGACGAGGCTCCACGTATATCAAGTGAACAGCAAGATCCTTTGGCTATTACTCCTACAGTAGAGGGTTCCTATGAGAACGCTCTTGTAGATCCACTCAGAGAAGAGAAGCCCTTCGAGGAAGTGCCTACCGATGAAGGTCAGGGGCAGCAGGAAAGAGGATTGCCAGAGCATGAGAGTATACACCCTAGAGATCCGGACGCGGAGATGCAAGATTCCAGCGCTGCAGAAACACCCAAGCCCCTCACTGCAAAGGAGAAAAGGAAAGAGGAGGCAAAAAACAGTCGCACACTGGATTTGTCAATATCGGAACTGGATCCTGCTCGAGTGGATGAGACCGTAGACGTCTCGGTGCCCACTTTACAACCAGTTAAGGATGATGAACAAAACCTGAAGGAAGCGCGGCAAAATGAGGTTGTGGTGGCTGGAAAGAAGAAGGGCAAGAAAAATAAAAGACAATCAGTAAACTGGGAGGAAGATGTTATTCAAGCCGCCACCGAGAACGAGCCGAAATTGGACGAAGCTGGGGAGATTGATAATGCTGAAGCCGTCAAAGAAACATCACTATATCCTGCAACCGAGAACATTGATTCTAACCCGGAGCTACATGGAATTGAATCAGCACCGCAGGAGACGCTTGTTGAAGTCGACGGTAAAGAAACTTTTCAGTCTTCCGACGAGACACACACCGACAAGAAAGAGAAAGATTTCGATTGGACTGATAACATGGTGTCTCCGCAGGTACAATCTCAGACAGAAGAATTTCGCTCCCCGGTTCCTTCCCCGACTTCTAATAACCACGAAGATAACGACCAGCCGCGCCCTTCCGAAGATGACATTCAGAGCGGCGAATTTGTGACCACTAGCACTCTTCCTGAAAATCAACCTCCGATTTTTGAAAAAGAGAGTATAGAAGCAACAGAACAACCGACTGTTTATTTACAACCTATTGATCCAGAGGCAGAGGATGCGGATATTACCACCACAAAGACTGGCAAGGGGGACAAGGGCAGGCAAAAGAAAATTGACGAGTCTTTGATCACCGAGGAAGATAGTTCTATGAAGAAATCAATGGTAGCAGATGATGGCTCCGATTCCCAGGTCTTGCCATATGTGAACAAAGAACAAGTTGGAGAGCCAGGAAGCTCGTTTGCTCAAGATGTTCTTGCAGTCTCAGAATCACCACGAGACCTCGGCGCGGAGAAAGGGCTTGAGCACGTAGGCAGCAGCAAGAAGAAAGGCAAGAAGAAAAAGAAGGCAGATACGTACTCATTTGCGGACTTTGGTGAATCTGTTGATGAAAGGTGTGCAGCGAATGCAGACCATGGCCCAGCTAATGCCTCTGGTGATCTATTCAACCAGAAGGAGCTATCCGTGGACAATAATGAGAACCAGTTACAAGAAGATACAACTGTCACATCAGATGTACACGGCAAGGACGATGCGAAAGATCTGATCGTCGTTGAGGCTCCTCACCACAATGAAGTTGTCCCGAAGGAACACCCTGATAATGAGGTGTCAGCAGTCTCCGAGTCTCCTCCAAGTCGCAATCTAACCAAAAAAGAAAAGAAAAAGCTGAAAAAGGGCAAGAAGGCTGTTGAAATCGACGAAGAGGAGCCAACTGCTGGTCCCATTACAAATGAATATACAGAAAAAATCAATACTAGACAACTTGTTGAAGCTGTGGAGGAGAATGTCGATAATACACCAGCTGTCAGTAGTGAATCTCCCTGGGTTAATGACCAACCTGCGGAGCAGGGGCAAATTCTTGATGAGCCTACTGTGGACGTCAAAGAGCAGCAGGTTGCGGAAGTCGATGTTGAGCATACACCCTCTCAGGAGGAGCCATTTGCACGAAACCTGTCTAAAAAGGAAAAGAGAAAAAAGAAAAAGCGTACGACAGAAGATGTGCAGGGAAGTCAGGGGATGGGGGTTGACTCTGTTGGTATTGGTGGTCAATTGGATAATCCCGAGACGATTCCTATCATCACCGAGGAGCAAGATTATGATCGCGGTCCTGTCACTGAAGAAGCCGCGACGCGGGCACGAGCGTTAGAGAAGGAAGCAGACCTCGACGTTGCAGCTTCCCTCTTTGGAGATCCTCCTGGGCCCGAAAATTCAGTTTCACGGCAATCGTCCCAGGAACAAAAAGGCAAAAAAAGCAAGAAAGACAAGAGACATCCTCAACGAGAAAACGACAATTTAGAAGAGACCGTTGAAACCCAGGATGGTGGTGACGTTGAGATATCGGCAGGCATAGAAAATTATAATATTGAATCTCAGCTCACTGAACCAGTGGAGGAGAAGTTACTGTCCTGGCCTTTGGTCGAGCCTAGCCACGACTCTGGCGAGAAGCTTGGTGAGAAAAAGCGGGCACTCAACGAGGAAGAGCCAGAACTTGAACAGCCGAAACAGGAACCGGTATCAATAACCGATGACTTTCCTGCTGAAGAAGTTCGAAATGAAGCGAGAGACCTTGGAGCTGACAAAGTTACTGCGGGTGGAGCTCAAGCCACCAGCAATCAAAGAGAAGACGTGGATATTGCAGTAGAAGCTGCTATGGCAGCTGCAGGCTTTCTTCCTTCCAGTGCTGCACCAAAGCCAAGTTCTGAAAATGACAATACTACGGGTATTGAATCTACCGAAGAGATGACGGGAACAAAAAATCTGGCTGGTGTCTACAAGCAGAGTGATTCATTAAACGATACTGGAAGATCTCTGGAGACAGCAGATGCGAGCTTCGAAACTACAAGGGGAAGAAGCACAACAAATAAAATCGCAAGTATCTTTCCAGGTCTGGAGAGAGTTACATATCGGCGACCTTCCCCAAAATCACATGAGAAGCAAGCCACTGAGGTTATTACTGTCGAGGAGCGCAGCCAACCGCCTCCCGAGGCCCAATTTTCAGACGAGATACTCAACACCACGACGGCAGCCGGGCAAGCTCACGTTTCAGCTCACGAACATGCCGCACCTGAGACAGAATCGGCCCCGAAGGACCGGTCATCCTCTTTGCTCTTCGACTCCTCCCCATCAACTAGACTAGCACCTACTCCGGACGTTACGAAAAGGGCTTCTTCACCGACAATTCGCTTACAGCACTCGAGTGGCTCTCTGCACCGTACAAAGTCGATTCACGGCCACCACACGGGCCATACACACGGTTGGCAACTGGATGATGAAGTTACTCCGACAAAACGAACAAGCAGCCAGTCTCCCCAGCCTCTGCGCGCTGAGCATGTGGATATCTCACCACCTCGGACGCCCCTCGACCCAATTAAAGAACACGATGGCCCCTATGTGTCATCGCCATCTCCAAGACTTGTGATGGGCGAAGGACCATATATCCTCGAGCGACCAGATAGTCGCAGCAGCGCCAGAAGCATGCGGTCACTCCGAAAAGCCAATCGCAGTATTAGTGCTGATCTTCGAGCAGTGGCTTCACCAGACAACCAATTTGGCGCTACTGACGATCAAGATTGGCCTAGGGCTGAAGAGCACGATAAGAAGACTAAGAGTGCTGGGCGCCAAGAGGCGGGGTGGGCCGCTCCCTCGGCAACGGACCGCTCCCAGCCACCATCCGATCCACAGCGAACAGAAGACGACGACGACGACCTTGACCGCCAACATTTGGAGAACATTCCTTCTTCCTCTACCTACGATCCCGTTACCGATAAGGGCAAACGCCCTGTTCGAGGCATGACTGATGTCTACGTAAGTGCCGCTGATTGAATTAGTCGCTTTGCGAATGCGTATGATTTTTGTTTTGGCTTTTTGATGCGTTCGTTGCGTTCAGCCCTTCTTTGTAAATGCTCAGTCATCCGCGACTAACCTCGCTGCGCGTACAGGAGGCATGGGGCGAGACTCCGAACTCGCCGCGGTCGCCGACCCGACCGCCTAGCGTTAGACGTCGCCAGAGCATGCAACATCTTCAAGAACTCGAATTGAGGCTTGATCAATTAATTTCTGAGAACCGTCTGCTGGCTGCTGCCAAGGATGAAGCCGAGCATAAATTGTCCCGAGCGGGGGTTGCTCGTCGCAAAAGCGACCAAGCGCTCAACAGCAGCAATGCCGACTTGAGGGATAAAGAAGCCGAGATTTCTCGCTTGACAAGCTCGCTGGAATGGATGCAAAGCGAAGTGCAAAGGCTAACACAAGAGAATGAAACGTTGAACGCGACCCACGTCGAATTAACTGCATCGCATGCCCGAGAAGTTGATGGCCTCCGTACACGCCAGCTCGAACTCGCAACGGGCATGGAGAGCATTGTGCGTGATCAGATTGGTGGTGCTCTGGCAGAAAAGGACGCGGAACTTCGTCAATTGCGTGATGAGCTTGCTGCTGCTCGCCAAACAGTACAAGAATTGCAGCAACAAATTGTTTCCGCAACCGCAGATGATGTGCTTTCCATCCACGATGAAGACTATTTCGACAATGCCTGCCAGCGTCTATGCCAACATGTACAGCAATGGGTCCTACGGTTCTCCAAACATTCCGACTTGCGTCGTTGCCGCCCCTTAGCCGAAGTGCGTAATACCGTTGTTGCGGACCGGTTCGACAATGCCATCTTGGACGGTTCAGATGTCGATACAATCCTGTCTGACCGGGTACGTCGGCGTGATGTCTTTGTTGCTGTCGTGATGGCCATGATCTGGGAATATATCTTTACAAGATACTTGTTTGGTATGGACCGTGATCAAAGACAGAAACTAAAGGCGCTCGAAAAGCAGCTTTCAGATATTGGACCTCGACGAGCTGTAGCTCACTGGCGCGCCCTGACATTAACCCTTCTCGCCAAACGCCCATCGTTTGCGGAACAGCGTGTGAAAGATACAGAAGCTGTTGCTTTGGAAATCATGGAGACTTTGTCTCAACTTCTTCCTCCTCCCCAATCCGCTCAAAGCCAGCTCCTTGAGTCTCTACGTGGGGTACTCCGGCGAGCAGCCAATCTATCTATCGAGATGAGAACTCAACGTGCCGAGTATGTGATGCTGCCGCCATTGCAGCCTGAATTCGACTCCCAAGGCGACTTGGCTCGGCAGGTCAGCTTTAATGCCTCCTTGATGAATGAGCGCAGCGGGCTGTACAGCTCCAATGAGGCGCTTGAGGCCCAAGGCACGGCTGTCCGCCTAGTACTATTTCCCCTCGTTGTGAAAAAGGGCACCGACTTGGGGGATGGCGATGAAGAGATTGTTGTTTGCCCAGCCCAGGTTCTTGTGGCCTGGCCAGATAATGAAAGGCCACGCGAACGAGATCGCATGTCTGCCCTCGGGAATCGTTCCGTATCAAGCGTCGTTCCTTCCGTTGACATGGGAAATATGTTCTAACATACGTATTCTCCTCTTCTCTGGATTTTTATTCTCCTTTTTCTTATTCTTGATTTACTTTCTGCTGGCGCAACAAGGTGGATATCTGTTTCTGCTTGCTTTCTTGCCCACCATGACTCGTCCGACTTGATCGAAAAGCCCAGTCAAACGACAGTTTCGGTCCCAAGGCGTCACACTTGGGCCGTTATTATCGAGAACTGGTTGACGTGGGCTGCTTTTATTCCTTACAACTTCTAATTTTGGGGGTTTTTCTCTGGCGCCAGGGCACACGTATATTCGAATGAAAGCCTTGGGAGGAGTGATGCACATACTTTGTATAGTTGTTGTTTTGTTTTGTTTTGTTTATTTCATGTGCTAGTTACCTTTTGATTTCGAGCGAAGTCCTTTTCCTTCCGCTTTCCTGGATTTTTTAGCGGGGCAAAAAAATGGTGTTTGTATGTATGTGGACATGACTTACGAATTTCATGACTTTTAGAGATGTCTGTACAAATCCAAGAGACGTTAATTTGTCTATTCCCGTGCAAAGTAAAAATATATAGCAAGCGGCTCGGTGAGAGTCTTGGCCGGCGTCTGTGCTCTCGGGCTTCGCTGCTTGCATCGCCCAAATCTTTTCCTCCCCATGCAACATCACCGCCAAGCTGATTTACCTTGATACATTATTGTTTCTCTAGTGTATCGCCCTGTGTGCTTCCTCTACAAGGCTCGGTTTAGTCGTGGATTCGGACTGGACCAAGCCAGACCGAGAATTCTTCCGAGTCGCATCTTTTTTATCGACGTCATCCGCCACATTGGCGCGGTAACCTGCCAGTGCCGGCCAGCATGCCTGCATGTTGACGCATCTTCTCCCCTCATCTCAATCCACAGCTCTCGACACGATACAATAGGCTCTGTCCAATCGTCTTAGAATAATACCGAGATAAGTCCCCGCTGCCCCCCCATAGCTTGAGCAAGCAGGGCGGCGCCCTGGATCTCGAAGGCTGATCACGAGGACAGCCACGCTGTCGCCTATCTGACATGTTATAGCTGAAATCACAATATTTGAGAATGGCTACAAATCCAGCTCAGAATCCTTCGACGCCAGCCCAACCCATGAGAGACCAGCAGGGGTCAAGAAGCGCCACCGCTACAAAGTCCAAGAAGAAGAACCGCAATCGCAGACGGCGCAATCGCAGGCAATCGTTCATTGCCTCTGAAGCTTCGGGTCCAATCGTGACCGAACTCCCTGGGGGACTGGCGCGCACAAATCCTGATGAATTACAAGAGCGGGTCCCATTCTACAGAGGTAGGAACTTGAGTAATACGAGCTTGGAGAGCGAGGCATTGTTGGATCATCGGTAAGCGACCGGCCTTGTTGTGGTTTATCTCATCACTAAAATGGACTAATGTTTGTTTGTGGAATCAAAGAGACCAACCCATGATGCGGCCACGACGTGACAGTCGTCTCAGTCAATCCTTCCGCCCCGAATCCTACAGTCGAGGAGGGTCGTACTTTCCCAGCGTGGAAGGATTGAGTCCCGGGCACCAGCGTTCGGGGCTCAGATACACGCAGCACCGGTTCGATACAGAAGGAATTGAAGGAGATACGTTGGGAAATGACAGACGCGTGACTGACCGCACGCCGCTGCTAACACCATTGCGAACTGCTAGTCCAGGAAAGCTCGCCTACGGTACGGACACAAGAGCATCGCCCTACACTGGATCTATGAAACATCGCAAATTATCCGAGGATACTACCGCATCTCAGGAATATGACGTGAACAATCCCCCGTCTGTCCCGGGGAGTCCCAAAGCAGGTGTCACGGATATGGGCTACGACGACGCCATGGTCACCGGAGTAGAATTCCCAGAAGCGCGCCGTAGCTCTGTAGATCTACTCCGCGATGCAGTCATTAATATGGAGGGAGGGGTCTCCGGAACAACAATACCCAGAAGCTCAGCGCCTCCTTCGCCTCGTACATCGTCTTCGGAAGCTTTACGCCGGCGGCGGACTATTGCGCTTCCTGTGGAGGAAGATGTGTGCTTCCCATCAGAGATGGCGGAAGATTTTCAACGCCAGATTCGTGATTCGGAAACTGGAGATCGAAGACGCCGAAGAAGGCAAGAATGGCCAGACCTTTCTGTCTTGGAGGAGTGGAGTCGTGAAGAAAAGGAGGATCGTAGCCTTGAGTATCGTGTGAAGAAGATCAGCGAGCCTGTTCTAGTCGGAGGCCGGTTGCGGCCTCAATACGTTGACTGGCGGCGTGAAGAAGAGGATGCTCCATATCGATTTACTTACTTTAACGAGGACTTTCAGAGCACAATACATGCTCAGACCATATCTGAACTTGTTCAGCCCGGAGGAGGGTTCCGGGAACTTTTCATTCCAGATCCTCCAGAATTGGAAGACTCATCATCGGATGAAGAGGACTTGATATCTTTGTATGAGCCTCCTTCTAATGGCAACGGCAACAACCAGAACCATAATTCTAGCCAACACCGTTCTACCCCGAGCTTGAATAATGAGAATAACAACACGAGCCGCGGTACAAACACCCCTGTGCGTGAAAATCGCCGAGAAAGTGGATTCCAGTCTCTTCTCAACCCCCGCTCCGAGATCGAGATGTTGAATATGGCGAATTCAAAACCCAAACGCTATGGGCCACGGCCGACATGGTGGCTGGATGTACTCTGTCCAACAGATGCTGAAATGCGCGTAATCGCCAAAGCATTCGGGGTCCACGCATTAACAGCAGAAGACATCATGATGCAGGAAGCTCGCGAGAAAGTAGAGCTCTTCCGGGACTATTATTTCCTAAATTACCGCACCTTTGAGCAGGACCCCAATAGTGAAAACTACCTCGCGCCTGTCAATATGTACGTAGTCGTGTTTCGCGAAGGCTGTCTAAGTTTTCACTTCTCGCAAACACCGCACCCTGCCAATGTCCGTCGCCGCATTCGACAGCTACGAGACTATCTCATACTAAGCTCAGACTGGATCTCATACGCGTTGATCGACGACATCACAGATGTATTCGGCCCGCTTATTCAGGGAATTGAGAATGAGGTCGACGAAGTCGACGACACGATTATGCGAATGCACACACTCGACTACTCAGGAAGCAATGGGGACTCTCCCTCCTCCTCCTCAAACAATAATAATAATGACACCGCATCTACCACTTCAATAGCCCCGGGCGAGATGCTACGGCGAGTGGGTGAATGCCGGAAAAAAGTGATGGGTATGTACCGTCTCCTTAGCAATAAGGCGGACGTCATCAAAGGGTTTGCAAAACGATGCAATGAGCAATGGGAAGTTGCGCCCAAATCGGAGATTGGCCTATATCTTGGCGACATTCAAGATCATATCATGACCATGACTAGCAATCTTACACATTACGAAACGTGAGTCCACTTTTCTCCTGTCTTCCTTTCTCTAGATGCAAACACTGACAGACGATATTGATCGCAGACTACTCTCTCGCGCACACTCCAACTACCTTGCCCAAATCAACATATTGATGAACGAACGACAAGAACGCACAGCAGACGTGCTGGGCAAGTTAACCGTATTGGGTACCATCGTCCTACCCATGAACATTATCTGTGGCATGTGGGGCATGAATGTGAAAGTGCCTGGTCAAGAAGTCGATAATCTGTATTGGTTCTGGTCAAGTAAGTTCTCCTAACCTAGATACAGGTATGTGTTAAGACAACCTAACCTCTGGATTTACAGTAACCGCCGGTCTCGTATTTTTCGGCGTTGTTTCGTTCTTGGTCGCTAAGAGGGTGTATCGAATTGTATAATTCCTTTATTCATTTGATTTATATACAGGTATAGAGACATATAGGAATTTTGGTTTTGCTATTTAGTCGCATGGAGCACGGATTAACTGTGATGGAGTTTGGATGATATTCACTTCTTGGATGTCTTATTGCCTTTTTATTTTTCTGGGAGGTTATGTGGGATCTAATTGCCTAACCAAGGACTGAATCATTTACTGCCAACGATGGTATCTATTCTATTAAAAGTGGTATTGTAGAGTCAATGTCTGATGCGGAGTAGTGATTAGTACTCCAAGGATCACTAGTATCTATGGATGTATGCAATTGGTTATGAGTGTAAAGCAAGAATAATTTTTGTATTGTCTGGTTCTCATGGTCTCATACATCATCGTTAATCATCACTAATTGTCTAAAACAAGACACGAGAAGGGGAAAACATTCCGAAAGGGGTGGGGGAAAAAGGAAACAGGTAAGGAAATGATTTCAATGAGTGCCTAATTTCGTTTGGTTTCCTTTCCTCGAATGTATTCATTCAGAGAAAATGGAATGGGAAATGCAATGACTGTCATATTGTGTTGGCTTGCGCTTTTTCTTCGTTCCTTGTATTATCGCCGCGCTCGTTTAATGAAAATAATATGAAGGGTGAAAATTTCGTATATTCCTTTCCGTACACGCTCCATGCAACGCGAAGGGGGTATTCGTAGAAACACATCAAAAGTAAAAAAGATGATTGATAAAAGATGCAAGAGTTTGAAATAAAAAATGTAATAAGAAAAGGTCGTATTTTGTACATAGTTATTCAATTAGAATCTTATGGCGGTCGTGATTGCTTTGTGGCTCATGATCAGGATTGTCGACTGACGAGAATAGAACGCTCGCCTATCGCTGGATCCGGAGCAGCTTCGATTGCATTGATGCCCACTGTATCATTACTAGGTGTGCTCGGATTGCTGCCGTCATCGCTATTGCCGTCACCAGCGCCATCTTCGTCTGGCAGAACTTGAACTTTGGCATTAATCGACGCCGACCGGACGCTTGATGTTAACGGCAGCGAATATTTGAAAACGCCACGGACGATCAACTCGAAAGGATGCTGCAAGACTCGTTCCCAGCGCTCAGTTCCGCCCTCTCCAGTCTTATTTCCTGGTTTGGTCAGACGTATTTCTCCAATAGAATCGGAGGGAACGCGCCTCCAGGGTGAAGGATCGAGGATGACAGGTGAATCAAAATTAAAAACTCTGCCTAGTAGCATCTTCTGAGCATCACCGGACGGATCGTCTATTGGGTCTGTGCCGTGATCAACACCGTCCAAAGTGTGAAGTCCGGGGGATGGGGACTCTCGCTCTTCCTCAGACTCGGCCAACAAAGGTAATCGAACCAGTTGAGCCAGTCTAGCGCGGAGCTTGCTGCGCTCAATACGAGGAAAATCTAACGACTCTGAGCCATGTTCGCGCCAAAACTTGTCGCTACCGACATATCGACTTCGCGCAAATATATCGACGTCCATGTCCGCGATGGAGATGGGAAAGATATTGGGGTTAACAGCGCTAACTCGTACGTCTAGCATAATTTCTTGCTCTGAAGCAAGTACATTCGAGAGCTTGATCACTTGTACGTCAACTAGAGGCCGCATTAAGGCAACAAGGAATGTCGCTGCACCGCCGACGAGAATCAATATTAGAAGTGATGCAACCATACACCCTCCATAAAGAGAAAAGCAAGTTCGTTGGCGATGCTCGAGATATTCCAACTGCCGCATGCTCGCACTACCTGGACGGCGACCATTTCGATTCCGAGAATGTCGAATCGAACTCACCAAAGGGGTCCGCTCGTCGTCAGCACCGTCAGCATCAAAGTCATCCGGATAATCATCACTCATGCTCTTCGGCCCACGAAGAGTTTGATAATTTGGATGAGCGCGTGGGCCGTTTCCTCGCCGACTCTGCCGAAATCCGCTACTAATGTAATGGCGAGGAGAACGAGGTGGTTGAGACTGGGGAAATGGAGAATCACTGTCAAAAAGCGACGGATATGCACCACCTCTCCCATGACGGCCAATGTGATAGTGCCGACCCGAATGACCATTGGCATCACCCCTGCCGCTAACACTCCGTTGATCCATATCGCCCATGTCACTATCAATATTAGAATTGTGATTCGTGAATTTCATACTGCGCTTAACCGTTACGCCGTTAGCATCCCTGCCGGGAAGCCGAGCACGACCCGCGAATTGCTCGGCTTGGCTTGCCATGGACGTTGCACTAGGCGTTCGCGAATGATAGCGATGTCGGCCTGGGAGAGGCTCCGGGGGATTTGACTCGTAAACAAACGTTTCATCAGAGTCAGAAACATCTGCATCGTCGATCGCGCTGGCAACCTTGGCTTCAAAGATGTCGGCTTTTGAGGACGCGGTGCCAGGAACATTTGTTGGCTTGCGGGTGGTCTTTTTCTTTTCCTTTTTAGGACGAATAGTTTCTACACTTGGCTTCATCCTAACAGTTCCCCCTTGATCATTGCGACCTGAATTGCCCCGTTCTCCCGCACCAACCCCTAGAGACACCTGTGGAATCGAACTAACGGTTTCAGTCTCAACGATCATATTTCGCACCGAACCGTCACTTGGTTTTCCTCGGCCGCTATTGAGCGAGGTAAAAGATTTTTGTGGGAGGATAACACCAGAAGGTCGGGAAGTAGAAGACCTCCGCTTTTCTTCCTTCGACTCTGAACTTTTGTTTCCACCACTTTCACTCCCGCTATCTACTGCCTGTTGGGCAGCATCGGTGGATTTGAACTGTGCATTTTCGATGAGCGTGGAACTCGCTGGCTTCGATATGGGTGTTGACGGCACGCTAGATTCTTGCACAGTCTCTAACGTGGTCCCCGGGGGGCCGGTGACCCTTCCGGATGGACGACGAGAATTGAGTTCGCCATCTTCATATGCTGTCTTGACCGGGGACACCCGACCTTCTTCCGGGCTTACAGATGATCTCTTTGTTGATATATTGGCGAGGGGCTCTGTAGTAGTAGTGGCAGTAGTTTCCAGCCGTTTATTAGTACTACTGCTTAGTGAAGGACTCCTTGAGCCATTGGTAATCGAGCTCCGCCGTCTAGAGGTGCGAGGCGGTGGCATACTCGAGCGATCGGAATCCGAGACATCGATGTTTTTGTCAGCAGCAGCGGAGGCAGTAGCCGAGTGCTGTAGGTCGGGTTTGTTGAGTTGTGCAAATGCCTTTTGCACGGCGGCCGGGGACAGGGTTGAGGAGACGGTCGTAGGAGTGGAGGTAGTTCCTGTGCCACTGACGCCACGACTGGGGCTGGGGCTTGCACTATGGTTGTGTCGCGAGAGAGAGCGGTTCGCGGTGGTCTGATGGTTGCTACTCACTATGCGAGAACTGAGGCGGACTGGAGAGGATTCGCGCGAGGAGGTGTTGGAATTATTCGCTGACGCGGACGCGGATAAGTTCACAGGGGTTGGTAATCGAGGCGCTACGGACATGGATGAGCCGTTTAGACGTAAGAGGCCATTCTTTGTGTCACCGTCGATAGAAGGACTGCTGCGTCCGGTTCCTGGAGAAGGACTCGCCCGAGAGGATTTTTGGGTAGGCCTACTGGCCGGCGAGGAGGATTCATTGGATGGCATGGCGAGCAGGAGAGGAGAGAGAAGAGGCGCGAGGAGACGATGCGAGTGCGATCATCCGACACGAATCAGATTCTTGCGTGTGAAGGGGAAATACACAGTGTAGTCAGGCAAGCAAGGCAAGACGTCGAACACGCAGGTTACGGACGCCGTGACTGGCGGATTGTGTGTAATGCGTAGGCGCCCAAAGCAACGGGTGCATTCGTCGGTCTTTCAGGGTATCTGCAGAGATGGGCAAATGAGCAACAGCCACATTCTGCGGTGGGTGAGGTGAGGGAGGTTTTGGGGGGTTTGTTGTGGTGAGCGTGAGAGGGTAGGGCTGGATTGTGTCTGGATCGGCGAAGTGCGCGAGGCGGTCTCCGGGGGAGGCGATCTAATGGGGGCTAGGCACGTAAGCACTGTGCTGGCAGCGAGCAAGGCATCAAGAACACCCACGGCGACCGAATAGAAGGCAGCAATAGCACTTGGACCCAGGAGTTGGGTTGCAGAAAAAGTATGTGCAAGATGCAGCAAGGTGAGTCGTGACAAGCGATGACGGATGGGGGAAGGAGCCGTGGTGATTGATTCCTCAGGCCGCAACTTCAGTCGTCACGTCACCAGCGTTTGGTTTTGTTGGGCCCGAAACGGTCGGGGAATTTTTCTCTGGCACAGACGCCAATGAACGCTTCCCACGTCTTGGACTTTGTTTATTTTTTTTTTTATTTCTATTTTTGCCCCTTAGTAAGGGAAAGCGCACACTACGACTACAAAGCAAGAAAACGAGGGGGAAATTAGAAAATTCAGGTGCGGAAAGGGGCGATGTTCCACATCATTAAGACATTTCACCCGCTTACAGCAATTGGAGTAGAAGAAACCGGGCTTCTGGAAGGAAAGTGACACTGCATATCATCGTAGCATTGGGGGTATACCATGACCTCATTCAAGCACCAACAGGAAGAGGGGAAATTAGTTACAAAGTAATAATGAAATCATATGGTCGTGATAAACGAAGGATTTACCTCGGGATACACCGAGTTGGAACAACATCGGTGCCTTGGAATCCGGGCTCCCAGCACAGGATACTCCGGATACAACATGTGACGGCAGCAAGTTTTTACATGCTGCGTAGACCAAAGAATACTAAAATAACGCCAACCCCTGTTTATTGCCACTTGTCATTCGAAGTTGAGAGATTTTCTGTTCTCGAAATCCTCGTCCTGGGGTTCTGGGCCTGTGTCGGCCACCTCATCCAAGACAAAAATTGCCTTACCTTCAGACTAGTTTGCCGAAAGTTCAGGCCGGCATCGGGCTCCCTCAATCCTTAGCGTGGATGGATGCAAAAATTAGTCTAACTTTGTAAATTCAATCGAGGAGTGTCGTTATCGCTAGTATCTATAGATTTTAAGACCGAAAAATCTTCGTATTCGATACGGAATATAGAGCTGAGCAAGGAACCAATCACAGTGGTCCATCATTTGCTTAGTCAGCGATATATTGAGCGACAGACGACCATCGAAAATTGACACATCACAAATATCATATAAAAAGCTTCAGTTTATCGACCTAAATATGCCCATAGGCGAGACCAACCTCGCTACCCTCCTCCGGACCCTCGAACCTATTCTCTCTCCCGAAACCTATGTTTTCATCACAACCACACAACCGCTCTCCTCCCTTCCACTCTCCACCATCCAATCCGAACTTATATTCCGAGAACCTGAGGGTCTGACTCTAATCACCTCCAAGGAATTGGCGGAATCACACGGCTACTATTACCGCCGCCAGAATACTAACCAAGATGATCATGGGTATACATTTCCCTGCAAAAAGATCTTACTAAAGGTCCATTCCAGCCTTGAGGCGGTGGGCTTGATGGCGACGATTTCGAGCAGGTTTGCCAAGGAAGAGATAAGCTGTAATATTGTGGGTGCGTATTTTCATGATCATATCTTTGTTCCTGTGGGTAAGGAGGAGCAGGCCATGAGGAGTTTGGAGGAGTTGGGAGGGAGGCGAAGGCAGAGGAACGAAGCAATGGCATCTTTTTAGTAATTGCCGGACGAGATAGTGTCCTCGTATAGAACCTCAGACACTATACTGACTGTCTAAAAGTCATTCGAGACTCGTTCAATTACCCTTCTCGATTTCTTCTTGTCAGACTTGACAGGCTAGTGTGGCTCCCTTTACTTTACCTAGTAGTCGAAGGATCTGGCACATAGATTCCTCCTCTGTTCTTGACATAACAGCCACATTCAGGAGTACAACGACCATAAACCCCGGTTCGCTTGTTAGAACGGAATAAAGAGGGGGTCACAAGTCGCTTCAACAGTTTCTCGCAATGTCCGCATTCTCTCCACCGAGGCGACAGGCCTCTCGCTGTTCCTTCCAGACATACGGTACGTCACTCAGGGCATACTGCAGCTTTCGGGCTATGACCACTTCTCTAGCATAGCAGTTGTCATCTTTGTTCAACTATATTTTCCGAAGTTTCTGTTGACTGTTGTAACACAGCCGGCGTGTCTCGTTTAGCTTGTCGTCGATTTGTATAGTGCAGACCCCAAGTCGGCATCGTATTCTGGGACTGAACGGTTTGATAGACAGCTGTCTAGATATTATTTTCGTCCTCTCGTCATCAGGGGAGCTGCAGCAGCGCGATATATCTACTTTCTTCGGCCTCGTAAGATCTTTTCCACTTTAGATCCTGTTTTGCTTTCTCTCGTACATATCTACTCCGGTAGTTAGGATAACGGGTCATTTTTCCGCGGCGAAAATATCTCACCAGGATAGATATGACAGAAGTCAAACAGTCCCTCAATCATTTTCGAGCAAGCCGCTAAGTACCAGGATGGTATCGAGACTATGGTGAGCTTTGTAAGGGAGGTAGATGAACGAAGTCATGAGCTGTACATGACCTTGGAAACTTTTAGTATAAATGGCATAAAGCATTCATGGATCCATGAACAGGCAGCAATTACAATGATATTACAAACAGATGTTATGACAAGTAGGTAAATTGTTTCTGCCACTGAGCGAGCACCGAAGAGCCAAACCTAGATTACCAATTAGTTACCTAGTTGCTTAATATCTGAAATGTCCTTCGCTCTCTATTCTCTTTTGTTCAAAAGCGTAACTGGATTCATATATGTGACGCGAGTAATGGTAATTTCTCTAAAAGACCGGCTGGTCAGCGTGGAAATACGATCGAGTGATGCAAGGCAGTTATTTCTTTACTTCCTTTTTTTGTGCTTGGCATAGCCGTTCTTTAAACAAATGGATAGAAGAATATGCTACACTATCGTTGAAGCTGCACATCCAGACGATCGATTCACTGGTGAACTTGGATATTTCGAGTTTCTAGATCAGCACCTTGACTTAAGTAACCGGTCTCTGTAGGGATATAGACCGGTGAACTCCCTTGGGATCTCTTTTTGTTGTACCGCGAGAAGAACCGCTGATTTACCGTCCGTTTGGCATGCAGGACAACTAAGGTATCGTCACTTGCTCTAGTGAGGATAATTTCCTACTGCCAGTCTTAGTGGTGTTGGTGCACTGGGAGGATCCATTCATCATAGGTCCTTTTAGTATAATAGATTCGCCACGATTGGTATTGTGTCTAGCTACGATCACTGATAAAATCAAAATCACTGTTGGAAAGGCAAAGTGATGAGCAAAAGAAAAGTAAAATAGCGTCTTATACCTAGGTATAAGCTCGAGGTCATCAGTGACTCAAAAGACTTGAATGCAGGTAAACAGGTTAGTAAGCGATCCCTACATCCTTCTGGTATGATAGATAGACAGATCAGTCGATCGATTGGAGCAGACACTCGATGAGGCTAAGTCAAAACACCCGTCGAGCAGCAATGGGAGTGTTTTTGTTTGTAGTTTCAAGATAAAAGTTAACTCAGAATATTTTCTTGTCTCTTTTTATCCTTCTGCGTTTGTGATGCATTCGATATGCTCTGGCTTAAAAAGGACTAGTGCATTTTGCGGTGCACTTGTACTTAATTAGGGTTAGCGCACGATAAGACACCGATCAGGAATAGCCACATCTTGAACAACTCCATTTCACGTGACCGTATGCGCTACCACCAGATCAGGGCTAGCTCGCTTTCGGGTAGGGCATTAGCCCACACACAAAATTAAGCAATCCTTACCCAGCTAAACCTCATCGACAATACTCGACAACCTCAACGACCATTACGAAGCTGCGCTCCGGTCAATACCGTCAAAATGGTAAGCCTCTCACTTTCTGCTTTATAGTCCCTGTGACTGCGATGTCTTTGGTTTTGGGTGTCGTGAAGAAAAGATCGCGAAAACGGGCCACGGTTGGGTGAATTTTGTTATAAATCGATGCGTGTGACAACGAAAAAATCGGCGACAACGACCACCGAAACGAGACACTTTTTAAATTCGTGGAATCTGAAAAAGATGGGGTCGACGAATTGGAGCGGTATGCGGTGATGCACAGATGGATGGTCAAGACCTCGCATATGAAGATATTGAATCGGATGGGACAGAGACAATGAAACGAAAGGACATGATTTTTTCTTCGACTATCTTGGAGAGAAGGGAAAAAAGGAAACAGATGTTAATAATCACCTCCGACAGAAAGCTGTCCACGCCGTCGCTAAATCACAATATGTCTTGTCATGCAACCGCTGCCCGAAATACGCGTGATAACGTGGAACATTTCCGATCATCTTTCGTGGCCTCCTCAAATCCAGGGATTTACGTCGCGGGGCATAACATTTGCAATGACAAAACACTGATGGAATTTTCTCTCAGGTCAACATCCCGAAAACCCGCCGCACATACTGCAAGGGCAAGGATTGCAAGAAGCACACCCAGCACAAGGTCACCCAGTACAAGGCTGGAAAGGTTAGGAACCCGCCACCCCATCTGTATATGCACATACATAAATGGCGGAAAACTTCTTGATGGACGTCTGGGTGCTGATACAAAACGCTATGACAGGCTTCCCTCTTCGCCCAGGGTAAGCGTCGTTACGACCGGAAGCAAAGCGGTTACGGTGGTCAGACCAAGCCCGTCTTCCACAAGAAGGCCAAGACTACCAAGAAGGTCGTGCTCCGATTGGAGTGCACTCAGTGCAAGACAAAGGCCCAGTTGGCTCTGAAGCGATGCAAGCACTTCGAGTTGGGGTATGTATTGCTCTGTCTCTTTCAGGAGAATTTATAGCGCTAACCTTTTTCCTATCTACAGTGGTGACAAGAAGACCAAGGGTGCCGCCCTCGTGTTCTAGATGCGCCGAAAATGAAGATTGCAACGATGCTGGAGAGTGGGGTTTCAAACTAGGTGTTCGGTTTTTGTTCCGATTCAAAGTCCTTTTTCTATCTCAATTTTTCCTTTGTCATGCCCTCGCTCTGGAAAAAAAGAAAGGGGGTATTGTCGTCATGCATTCATGTTATGGAACGATGAATCAAAGCGATTGTAATTCTTTTTTTCCGTTGACCTTGCAAAAAAAAAGAACAAGGCAGGAAAAGAGGGCAGGGAATTGTCACATACAACAATAAAATTCCAAAATTTTACGCGATTCATAGTATGTACTAGATCGGACACTGTTTGCGAGGCGGTGTTTGTTGCACCAAGACTTCTATTCTGCGTAGCGAAGTGAGGCTACGTGGGGAAGCAGCCTCGAGCCGTTTCCCTGGAATGCCGACGGGAACCACGTGCCGCAATCCATGGTTGAATATACAAAACCAACTGTATGTATATATATATATATATATACCGAGCAAATAATGTATAAACAATGGCCTAGTGAAGCGAAAATATCCTCGCAGCGCGTGGCTCTGCACGCCAAGCCCCAAGGCACAATCTGCACGCCAACCGATTAAAGTGCGGCTGACTCTTGCCTCAACGTCATCGCTCAGCCCAGCCTCACGTGAATCTTCCTTCGCCTTGTGGCTTTTCCCCTCGCCCCCCCTCCTCCTCTCCCCGGTGGCCATCTTAACTCGCTCAACCTCACCTCCTCGCTTGTTTCGTTGGCAACCAAGCAAAATCATCGCTCTGAGTTACAGCCGTCGCCCCAGCCTTGCCTTGCCTTGACCCCACCATCATCGCCAGGCCCACTGCTTCTAGTAGCTGCAGGCCCGGCTTCTCTCTGTTTCTCTGCAGTGTTCTGCACCCCGCCTGCTGATATATATCTCTTTATTTCGTTCGTCACTTTTTTCCCTTCGGGTTTTCTTTGTTTCAAGTTTGATCTCTCTTGTCAAGAACAACATATACGACTGGCAGACGCTTCGTCTAGTTTTTGTGCTGTTGCTTAGTCTAGTCTGCGACAGCAGTATTGAGACTCAACATGTCCTATACATACAGAGAAAGAGACCGCGAATGGGATGAGTACTCGCGGCCTTCTGATCATCGCAACTCCTACACAGTGAAGCGTTACGTGATTCCTTCCGAGGATAGTCGTGACCGTGAGCGTGACTTCTTTCGTCGCGATGATTCCGGCATTGGTGAACGGGAATTAGTGATCCGCCGTAGAACAGAGCCTCATGAGTCCGATTATGAGGTCCGCCGCGAGTATCGGGATTATGAACGTTAGTACCATGTCATACCTGTATCCTTGCAATGCAGCATACATTTCATGTTTACACATGCTTGAAAGCGACCCATAAATCATGATATCATTATGAGTTGTCAGCTAACATGGGAAGTAGCGCGCGGTATTTATGAACCTGACTACCAAGTTGTTCACCGTTCCGAGGCCGTTGACCGGGATCCTCGAGATGTCGAATATTACTATCAAAGACGTGTCCGCGAGTATGATGACGACCGCATGAGACGTGAGATCAGCCCCCACGACTCTATTTCTCAAGTCAGCACGCGAAGGCACCGTGATCGAGAACGGGACCGCGACTATAGCAGCGACGACAGCATGGTCTATATTCGCAAGGAAACCCGCGAGTACGATGACGAAGTTCCTCATCACAGACGCCATGTGGCTGAGGGGGCACTTATCGGCGTAGGAGCTGCAGAACTTCTCCGACACCGTAGCAAGAGCCAAGGCCGTCAGGTCTCAGGCGGTGTTGGTCGCGTTGGTAGAGATGTTGGTGCTGCTGCCTTAGGTGCTGTTGCTGCTAATGCTATTGACCATTATCGTAGCAAGAGTCGTCGACGATCGTCGTCACTAGAAGACGACGGCGGGTCACGCCATCACCACCGCCACCACCGTCGCAGTCGCAGTCGCTCATCATCTCATTCCAGAGCGAAGACTCTTGCTGGTATCGGCCTTGGTGCTGCAGCCATTGCAGGCGCTGTTGCTTTAGCTCGAAATAGCTCACAGGGCAATAACGATAGAAGGAGTCGTTCGCGTCATCGACGACGGTCACAGTCTCGCGGTGCGGATGCACGAAGCTCATCGAAAAGCCGAAATTCACATATGGCTGCTGCGGGAGTTGCAGGTGCTGCTGCGGCAGGCCTTATTGAAAGAGCTCGCAGTAAATCTCGCCATAGGTCTCAAAGTCGCCTTAGACAGAGTCTCCCTATCGTTGCAGCGGGACTAGGAAGCGCAGCTGCCGCTGGGATTTATGAAAACTACAAAGCTAAACGAGAGCAGAGTAATAAAGGCGAGAGACGTCGCTCCCGCTCCGTAAGCCGCAGTCGCAGTCGAGGTCCCATCTTGCCAGATCCAGCAAAGGAATCAGCAGGCCTTATAGAATACGGGCATGACCCTATTCCCTCGGCAGACTACTACGGCCGCCCTGCCAGTCAACAAGAATATTACAATGGCGCCGTGATTCCTTCCGATAGAGAGGCTCGAAACCGCACTCGAAGCCGCGGATATAGTACGTCTAGCTCGGGATCTGATCGAAGTCATCGTCGCCGACACCGTCGACGCGGGAAGAAAGAGCGAAGCGGTAGCCGAATTCGTGATCTGGCAGAAGCTGGTCTCGCAGCAGCTGGTTTAGGTTATGCTGCATCGAAGGTCTCCAACAATATGAAAGACAAAAAGGATCGAGACCGTCGCAGCCGTGAACGGGAAAGTCGACGTAAGTCTGAAACCTTACAAAGAATGCAAAGCTTCACGATCAGTTGCTGATCTTATTTTAGGCCATGATGATGACAGAGATACCGATTCTTACGAGGAGCCGTACGATCCAGCCCCATACACGCCGACACCACCTCCAGCAGGTCCAGTGCCGGCTTCTGGAAATTATTACCCGTACACGAATAGCTTCCCTCCCCCACCAGGAACTTCACCCAATCCTCCTCCTGCATCGTACAATCAGACAGACTATCCCTCGGCTTCTGGAGCGGTTCCTCCACCGGCCCATGGATACCCGCCTCCACCTGCAGCGCCCCCTGGCAATGAACCATACGCCCCCCAACCGCGTAGAGTTGATGATATTGTGAGTGCCCCTTTTCTTGAAGATTCTCACGAAGCAGATGGTGGGTTTTGATAAGTCCAGGAAACTGCATAATTCGGCATATGTATGTGATGCTAATGGAGTATTCCAGGTATAAGAGGACTATCGACACTAGATTTGTCCCATGATGGTCACGAAAGAGACTCGAGAAGTCGATCTGCCAGTCAACCTGAACCGTTGTCGCAGTCAAAGTCGGTTTCGTTTGACCTTGGGGACAATGCCAAAGCCGATAGAAATAATAATCAATCACACACTGCCGACGGAGGAGGATATGAGACAGACGACAGTGACTCCACAATCGATGGCTACGATCGGGGCCGTCACCATCATTATCACCATCTTAGCCATCGTAATCCAACTTCCAAATCTACATATATCACTTCGAAGGCTTCTGACTCTGAATCTACGGTTGACTTGCCCGATCGATTCGATGCTCGAGGACAAAAGCTACCAGAACGGGGAGACGATCCACTTGCCAATACTGTTGAGAACCTTTTGCACAGCGTGTTTTCTGGGCGATCTCAAGATCGTGCTACGAGCAGGGTTTGATTGCTTTCATTCTTTAATTTTTGCGTTTCGTCATTTTGTTGTTACTCTTTTCTGTTTGCTTGTTTTCTATTCTGTTCCTTTTATCTGATCAACTTACGGCCGCTTGTGATGAGATTATGATATGTTACGAAGTCCACAATGATGTATGTATTAATTCCACGCTGCTTTTATTTAGGTGCTATCCTGTATTTGTGTCAAATGTACTAATGAACCAAGTTTCTATCTACCGAGCTACACAAGTTGGTTCGTATCTGTGAATAGTGTAGTATAGTCCAATATATCCAACAACTTAGGACCAACAGCAAAGCGATTTAATACCCCTTGCCAATTAACACAGTCTCACCACCACCATACCACAACGTCCCCTTACGAAAGTCAAGACCTTTCTCTTGACCTATTGTCCAGTCACCTCCATGCGGTATACCACCAGCAGCGTCAGTTTTTGGCCAATATTGTGCTTGTAACCTATCATTCAGCTCCTCTATCTTATCAATCACACGCTTGACTTTGGCATGATCGAAGGTCACTCCATCATCACAAAGGAACCCATTCTGATTGATAAACCGGGCTATCGTAAGATGCGCCGATGGAACGGCATACCTCGAAGCAGGCTTGATGCCTGCCGCAACAACTTTGTCATAGATGTCTTTGCGCAGGTGATGATACGTAAATTTGCCCCTACTACTACCTTCCTCTAGTTCTTCCTCTGCGTTTTGTTGTTGGTTCTCTCCAGCAGCAGGCACAAAACTAAGCGCCATAGCAGCAGCATCAAAACTTATCATCGGCCGGACTAGACGCGGTCGTTGACACTGCGGCAGATCGAAAGTCGTGTTCGCAATTTTTTCTGCCGTGCCATTTTGCAGTAATGTTTCCACTATACGCTCGACTTCGGACTCCGAGACGGAGAAGATTAGTTCCAGGACGGTAATGTGTAGGTTTTCGAGGGGCATGAACCACATGTCTATTATGTCCACTCAGGTTAATCTCCCATGAACAGACTAGTTAGGTAGGTGGGTTCTCAGTGAATATACGTACCAGGCACAACACTGCGCAGTTCCTGCTGTATGTTATCAATCATGTCGCGAATATGCCGCGGCGGCCGGCCCCAAAAGACAAGACAAAATCTATCATCGACGAAGCCTGGGTCTTTATTAGGACCATCTAGTTTTGCGAGAATAGGGTCAAGAGTCCATGCTGAGAAAGATGGGTCTAGGATTATGGACCTTTGCACTTCATTTCTGGTTGTGCGGTGTGTTGAGTAGCGGGATTGGATTTGGAGCTATGTTTTCCATAGAGACAAGGTATGTTGGCTTAAGGTCACTGGCATAATTTTGGGTATGAATCTGAATTGAAGTGGTCGTACGTACTGGGTCATTGTTTGCGTTCTCTATGAGAGGCTGGTATGGATTGGCGCTTTGCGAGTTCGGCGTGGTGGCAGTGCCGGAGAGGTCCTCGAATACGACTGCTGCCATTATGAGTGATGATGAATGGTGATTTATATATATGTAGCTAAGCCGATCACTGAGTTGTTAATTCGATGATGAGCGCTTTCGTTGGATGTGTGATGTAGGTAGACAGGTTCCGCAATCTTGGACACCGAGAGATCAATTGTGCCGAGCGGAGAGAGACTGGCTATTGGTTCATTTCATATCAATAATTCCATATATGTAACTTCACCTTGACCTCTTACATTTTATGTTCTATGTTTTATGCATGTCCACTGGAACAAACTTAGAAATCTAGGACAACAATATACCAATGCACCCAGGTGCATATATATAACTATATCCGCTATGTTGTCTTCCCCGGCATCGATAGGCATGTGAGAATTTCATGTCTACTTCCACAAAAGTGGAAGCATTAGCAGTCTAACTGAGTATCACGCATATACAAGCAGTAAATAAATATAATCATCGTAGGCAGTAGTATTCAAAAACAAACAAAAAGTGAGTATATCGATAGAACAATCGGCTATGTACCGCCTAATATTCTGCCGACAAAAAGTAAACACAAACAGTGCAAACACCGCATACAGATTGCCTGAGGCATACAAGGGCAATGAAGTCTCACAGAGAGAGTATGAGGAACTCAAAAAATTACAAACAAAGACCAGAGTAGCTTGGAGGTTCAAATACGAAGAAGCAGCGAAAGCATCTGCTGGCCGGCTGATCAGTTTGAAATGCCTTGGCCCAAAAAGGAAGGCGGTGCTGCCCTTTTGTAGCCTGTAGGCAGCGTCTGAGGTGGGGTGGTTTGGTTCTAAGCACAACGTACTACGTGCCTCCATTCTTCTACTTCTTCTTTCTCTCCCTCACTTCTGTTGTGAAGAGACTTCCTGAAGCTAGAAATACGTCCTCACAGATTAACCGTCACTCGGCACAATGTTGATCAAGTGAGTCGGTCCATTCCTCGCTGCCCTGAGAAACTGCAGTGCGGGGAAGAGAGAACGTCATGCAGGCTTGCTTAGACATTGGTACTAATGGTTTCTTTCCTGGATCACAGAGTACGAACGCTCACTGGAAAGGAGATCGAGCTTGACATCGAGTCCGATTACAAAGTACGCTACCCATTCCTCTGTTGTTGTTGTTGTTGTTGTTCTTCTTCGAAGAACGACGGCCATCTTTTTGTCCCGAGCGAAATTCTTACTTGGAAAACAAAAAAAAAAAAAAAAAAGGTCTCGAGAATAAAGGAACGCGTGGAAGAAAAAGAGGGAATCCCTCCAGTTCAGCAACGGTTAATCTTTGGTGGAAAGCAAATGTGCGATTTTGCGTTGTTCTGCCCTATCCCTTGAGAGAGACTGATCATGATGATACTTTATACAGGGCCGACGACAAAACAGCAGCCGAATACAATTTGGAAGGAGGCGCAACACTACATTTAGTCCTCGCTTTGCGTGGTGGATGGTCCTCATAAATCTTTCGAATCTTCCACGTCCAGTTCAAGTCACAGTTATTCAGCCCATGACATACCCAGCAACAACATACCTCTAATTTCTCCTTTTGACCGAAACCGGCGATCTTTTATTGATTCCGACCGGATTGTTATCCTTGAAAGCGAAACATCTTTCGAGCCGATGAAAACGAATGCGTATCGTAAAGATGGAGGAGCCATATCCTTGCTGCGCCAAAGACGTGGCTTTCTCTTGGGATGCAATTACTATTATCCATTTGACCTTGACAGATGATTGAATGAAGCTTGTACTAGACGTTAATATAATGTGATATGATGGGATACCACTCTTTTTGTGCTTCGAATTGAGGAAATGCAACTTGACCTAATTAGTGTAAAAGTCTGGTGTAGAGAAGAAGTTATGGCCTTGTTCTGTAGTATGCTCTTTTCAACCTACAAACCCGTAACTATGGGATTCCATAGTAGTTCTAATGATGAATGTAAATATCCTTTGTCCGCAGAATTACCCAACTCCAGTTCTGAGTGACGATACCAACGAGACATGCCCCTTGAAATAACGCCCCGAATGCATATGCAAAATAGTGAAAAGGTTTCTATCAACATGTGTAATTGTGACCAATGAGGTCTGCGTGAGGAATATCGGATGTTCATGTCTTGCTGAGTAGTGAGAAAATCACTACGTAGCATCGGTTGATTTTTGAATATTATGTTCTTCTCTTTTTCTGCTGAATGAAAACATTCGGCTGACTTATTATAGGTCGCTTTCGAACTAGAGATTTGGCTGGCGTCGGTGAGGGACGCACGGGTGGTTCCCCTTTTAGATCAGAGTGTCCTGTCTGTGTCCGCTGCGGTGATCCGGCCGAGGGGCGTTTTAGGGGCAAAAGTGGCCGAGAACTAGGAGTTGTCTGACTCTTCGTCAAAGAGGTCGCTGACTGAGAAGTGGGTTGAGCTATCCGAGGTCTAGTAGCAGCATCCCGCGTCGGCGTCGCTTGACTTGACCTGGCGTTGGTGACCGGTGGCGTTGTAGATGAAGGGCCAGACTTGGATGCCACAGAGTCCGGCCGTTTTCGTAGCGCTGTAGATGAAGGAACTTGCTTATGTTCATCGACGAGCCACTGGGGAACGTGATTGATCCGCGACGCACCAGTACTTAGCTGATGCGTGGGAACGGCCAGAACCTTATTCCTCTTGCTGCTGAACAAGCCAGTTTTCTTAGACTCGGTTGTCCTACTGCCTGTATGAAACCGCCGCCGTGGCTTCGGTAGTCGATTGGTGTCTTTGACGAGGACTGCTGCGTTGCTGGCCTTGTCCGAATAAAACTTGTCCACTGCTTGCTTCAGCTGAAGCGCACCTTCTTCGAGTTCGCTTTGAAACTGTTCGACCAAGTCACAGTAGATATCGTACCAGCAGTCTGATTCTTCGGGGAGGTCGTACTGCTCCCATCGAGGAATGTCGCGCTTGATGAATTCCATCCATAGCTCCCGGTCATCTTGCATTATGTGGGGCGAATTTTTCTCGAGTTCTCGCTGTTTAAAGTCAAAACTCATAAATAACTTGATTTGAAAATAATGGGTAAAAAAAAAAAAAAAAAAATAGAAAAGAAAAGAAAAGGAAAGAAGAAAGGCAAAAAAAGGAAAAGCACTTACCAACTGCTTTGGACTCTCGACTTTGAGTAAGAAAGGTCTCGCTAGCGAGTACGGGATGTTCCCGATATCTGTCAGACCTGGACAATTATTAGCTTTCTGTAACACCGTTGACAAAGAAACAAGCAGACATCCAGACGGAATTATCATACTTCTGACGTTTTGCACCGCAACTCGTGTGCTCATCGCAAGGAGAGACCGCGCCGGCATGGTGAAACGTGCCGGACAAGCGAATCGGTTTCGATAGGTATTAGGGCGGTCTAGAGTGCAGGAATGGACAACACAGACGCGATATTCGGGACATGAAAACAGGTGTTATGCAAGTTGGCAATACAAAGGCAATCTTTCTTTTCAAGGCGTAGCGAGATCGAAGACAGAGAACAGCTGGGAAATTTGAAGGTCGACGTAATCGCGTCCAAGAAGGAAGGAAGGAGGCGGTGAGAGGCGACAGTTCGAAAGCGCTCGGGCCAACGCAGATATGGATAGAAAATCACGTGATGATAAGATAGATAGAATCTTTTGCACTGTTTGCACTGTGTACACACACAGCTGTCGAATAAAATCAAAATACCGAAAAACAAAACTAACTTGGTCTCCTTCAGAAAATATTGCTAGGATAGCACTGGCCGTTGACTATGACGGGAACGGGTATCGCGCTCTGTTGCCCATGGCAATGCAGGAACCGGCTGTCCTCAACGCCGCCTTGGCCGTTGCAGCGGCGCATCATAGTCGGTGGCAGCAGACGGCTGACAGTATGTCGAGGAAATATCTACACGTTGCGGTCAGGGCTTTGCGTGATCGCTTCCTGGCGTCGGATAGGATGAGGGACCCAGCCACCTTGGCGTCTATGCTGCTCTTAGTGCCATACGAGGTACGCTGTTCTTCCCAGGAATAGTCCGTGTGTTTGAAGCGTCAGATATGTGCATGATTGATATACTCACTATCTTACTAACCTGCTGCTAACATCGCATAATCACCTGAAAGGTTTTTTTCTGGCCCAACAAGGTGGAGAGGCCATTATAATGCGATTCGTGGCTGGATCCAGTCCCGAGGAAACTGCTCTGACCTTGACTCGTTCCTCAAGACGTGGGTGTGCGTGCTTGATACACAAAGCGCCATGAACTTGGGATTACCGGCCATGCCAGAACTCGATAAGTGGCTAGGTATAGAAGCGAAAAGCGGGCCCGTCGACTCAATCGACGCACTCTTCGGATGCTCAATCAGGCTGCCGAAGATTCTGGTGAGTGAGCGCTTTCACTACGTGTTCGAGGACTTTGACTCATGATCAATATTTGTAGGTAGCGGCTTCCCGACTCTGTGCAGCAGCAAAACAGCCGGACAGCGGCTTGAGCTTAGAAGAGGCAGAGAGACAGGCCAGTGAACTCCAGGAACAGCTCCGAGCTACAACTATAGACCAAAATGCAGAGCCTCTAGTTGGTATCTCCTGCTATGATTGAGATTCAAAACCATTGGCCGCCACCGTGGGCTTGGGCTGCGAACAGCTCCGACAGCGCATGGTTGCCACAGCCGAAATTTTCAGACACGCGTCGCATATCTATGTCTATCGCATAGTCAACCCAACGGCACCCCTCACGCACGAGATGTGCTGGTCGCTTGAGTCTGCTTTACAACTTCTTACAAAGGTCCCTGACGCACATGGGCCTGGAGCAAATTTGGGGTGGTGATTCTGGTATAAGGCCGTGGAATCCGTCTCTTTTTGCGAATATTGTGAGATTGGCTTGGGAGGGAGAAGGGAGTAAACCCTAAGAAGCTTTCACGGGTAGCCATGATTGGCGACTCATCGTAAATGGTCGTGGTGGATGGAAATGCCTACGAGCAGTCTGCAAAAATCCAAAGTTGCCTCTACTGGCATTAATCAGAGCCAGGCTCTCGAGCATTTCCTTTTCCTTTTTTCACGAAAAGTTCGTGCCCTTCGTGCATGGCCGCCTAAATATCGTCGAATGAAAACCTGTCAAGCGTTGCGAAGGCAGTTTGATCGTCATGTTGTTTGGACGTCCACTCAGGATTGGCCTCACAGACCGGAGCTTGAAGTGTTGCAAGAATAGAAAACCAAAAAGAAGGAAAAGGAGGCAGATTATAACGCATAGTCATGGGTTGCCCTAACAACGATTAGAACAACATTGCATCGGACGAAGTGAGAGATAACAATGAGATGGCCGCCGAAGGTATGTGTGAAAAATTAGGGTTATCTCTGTACCTAGAAAAGTTGCATATATCTCGCTTGTCACTTTTGTTCAGATATTGTTTTCACCGTATCATCCAGCCAGCCATGCCTTTCTGAGTGAAAGCAGATCATCAAAACTCAAGTCTCCTAATATGCGTCTCCTTTCGCGTTGATACGTTCATAGAAAGCCTCGTCAATTTTTGCAAGTGGTAGAGACTATGGTATCTTAGTGAGAGCAAATTAGCTTGCCCTCCCCCTCCTTCCCCCCATTCTTTCTAATAAAAAAAAGTTAATAATCAAACTACCAGTGTGCCTCCAAATCCGGGGTGGATCCATGACACCCTCCCAAACTTAAACCAAGCCACTGGCAACTTTAATTTCAAAAATTGAGTTCGCGCTGGGGTACTCGATTCTATCCTAGCTATATTTAGCGGTACATAATCCAATCGAAGTTTCCGAGAGGGCTATAGTATAGACTCACATTCAAGCTCTAGTTAACTAACTACTCAAACCTCCTTACAATATTCATTATTGACAATCTATATATCAATCAATTCGAAATTAAACAAAGAATCAAAATCTAAATTTAGATCTCTAAAAGTAATAATATGTACTGCCATTGAAATTGCCAAAATGCGTATGTAGACAAACTATGCCTAACAAATTATATAAAAGAGATTTTAGCACGAGCTACATAGTTCAATCTGGCTATTCCTTAATGAACACACCCTATTTCAACTTTGAAGCCACTCATAAACTATCTGTACCTTTGCTTCTTCTTCATTGTTCCTCACAAGAAACTTCCGAACATGGTACCTTTTCTCCTCTACCTGTGCAAAGCCCCAAATCTGTTCCGCTGTCCACCCCTTTTCACTCTGTATAGAAACTTGCACATGTGGGCTTTCTCTATCCAACCAACCCTCAGTAAGGAAAGGGTCCAGTGCTCTCCCATCCTCACTCTTAGCATTGTCGTTTAGAATAACCCATCTGCTTCGAACTGTCTGTGAACCAAACATGGTCGATGCATGCGTGACTGGGCTCCAGTTGAGTCGGTGTGTCTCCGTTTCACCCTTGATGCCACTAGTCGCCGTCTGCTCGATGCTGATCAAAGTTGTACCGTTCTCGTCGACAGTTTGTTTTAATCGACCAGTAATCGTCGCCCAGGAGACCACTTTACGAATGACCCATGGGATGCCTTGCAGTTTGAGAGACGGTTCCATGTCGTCCGAAAGCGATTTACTCTTCGGTCGAACAAAGAATGCAAAAGAATTTAGTCAGTTTACAATCAAACTAAGAGGCTGGTGATTTTGACTTTGACTAACCATAACCCATATACCACTGAGATCTTTCATCGTGACGTGGTCGGGAGCTGCCATGGTTTCTTGTATAGATCTCTTCTTTTTCCTCTTCTAATCCTTGTCGTTGTTGCTAAGGCGTTGGATTTTGGAATAAATCACTTCATGGAGCATACCGCTTTATTTATTCTTTCATTGTGGTGACTTCTTCTTCAGGCGATCTTCAGACGCCGAAAGCTGATATGATATTCTGAAACCGGAAGCACCTTATTCTTTTCGTTTTTTTCATCCCTTTTCGGCCGAATTTCGTCCTTCGTTTCTAACTGGTCAAGTAGGGTTTTGTAGATTTTGTATGTAAAAATCGTGGCGGTGAAGTACTGTGTACCTAGGTATGTATGTATGTATCGTCTCCGAAACCCTCCGAAAAAAAAAAAACAAACCCTCCGAATCCGAAATGTCCACAAAAACCATATCATACGTAGTATGTGAGGGGGAAGTAAAAAATCTACTGTGGAATGTAAAAGAAATTGGAATTCTTTGTTACATATTGACTCTTGAGTCCTAGGTGGCAATATTTCCGCCTAGCACGTACATGTACGCAATGCCTTCGGGTACGTATAATAGAGAGAGACAAAGAACAAATACAGGTGACACTAAAGGGTCTCACAAGACAAATAGAACCATTGCGCTTCCCTTTCTTATATCTTACGTTTTCCAACAATCAGTCGAGATGGAGGCTAAAGAGCAGAACACCGCATCTGCCCCTACAAGCTATCATGCCGACTCTTCAAAAGACGACAGAGAGAATGGCGGTCGCCCAGAAAATACAGGCATCTCAACAGAAAATGGCCAGGGCCAAAAGAAAGGAGTCCGGTTCTGGGCTATCATCGTGGCTATCTGTGTTGCAGGGCTGTTAACAGCGCTCGAGGCGACCATCACCTCGACCGCTTTACCGACCATTATCAGTGACCTGGGCGGAGCAGACAATTATATCTGGGTTGTCAATGGTTACTTTCTTACCATGTAAGTCTTCCTCGCCGGAAGGGGGCGGGCGTCTCTCTTCTATCAACCTACATTCGAGGAGTTTTGCTTAGTGGAACCTGAACCTTAACCTTGATCTTGACAGGACTGCCCTACAACCTCTATATGGCCAGCTCGCCAACGTGTTTGGTAGACGATGGCCAACTATCGTCGCCACCGCAGCCTTTACTCTCGGCAGTGGTATTTGTGGAGGGGCCGACAACATCGCCATGTTGATTGCAGGTCGAGCGGTGCAAGGTATTGGAGCTGGTGGGATTAATGTTCTGGTGGAACTCATAGTCTGCGATTTGCTCCCACTTAGAGAACGCGGCAATTATCTGGCATTAATCTTCGGGCTCATCGCAATTGGCACAGCTCTGGGTCCGCTTTTTGGGGGGCTGATCGTGCAGCATACCACCTGGCGATGGGTATTCTATCTGAATTTGCCCGTGGGAGGCTTTGCGCTTGTGCTCTTGATCCTATTCTTGCGTGTGAAATACCAGAAGGAGACCACCTTGGCAACCAAATTAGGCAGCATCGATTGTCTCGGAGACACCATCTTTGTCGGGTCGATTGTCTCTACCTTGATCGCTTTGTCATGGGCTGGTACATTGTATCCGTGGTCCTCCTATCGTATAATCGTTTCGCTAGTTCTGGGCTTGCTCGGGCTCGTTGGTTTCCTTCTTTTCGAAACATCCAAGTTTGCGCTGAGCCCAACCATGCCAATCCGCCTCTTCTCCAATCGAACCTCCCTCGGTGCATTTATCCTCACATTTCTGCACAGTGTGGTCACAATGTGGGCCCTATACTTCCTTCCGGTCTATTTCCAGGGCGTGCTAGGATCGTCTCCAAGCTATTCGGGGGTGCAGTTGCTACCCACGATTCTTATCATTATCCCATTTGCTGCAATCGCTGGGGCCCTTCTTGCAAAGTTTGGCCGTTACCGTCCGATTCATCATGTAGGCTACGCATTGATGATCATAGGATTTGGTCTTTTCAGTCTTCTAGATGAAAACTCCTCAACGGCCAAGTGGGTGATCTTTCAAGTCATCGAGTCGGCCGGGGCTGGCCTGGCCATTCCAACTTTGCTGCCAGCGGTCCAAGCCGAGCTGACCGACGCCGACAATGCCCTGTCTACGGCCACCTGGGCGTTTATCAGAAGCTTTGGACTGATTTGGGGCACGACTATCCCGGCTGCCATCTTCAACAATCGCGTAGATGAGCTCTCGGCTCAAATTTCCGATCCAGCCGTCGTGGCTGCGCTGGTCGGAGGCAAGGCCTACGAGCATGCGACCGCCGACTTCCTCGAAACCCTTTCACGCAACACGCGCGCACAAGTCATTTCAGTCTTTTCGGCCAGCTTGCGGCGAACCTGGCAAGTTGCCATTGCTTTCGCCGCCCTGGGTTTCCTCCTAGTTATCTTGGAGAAAGAGGTCCCGTTGCGCAGAATATTAGACACAGAGTACGGTATGACAGAGGTGCAAAAGAAGAGTGACAATATGCCATCCGCAGACGAAAATCTGCATACCGAGGCTCCGATATGAGTCTGGGTGTGCTAGGTGATTAAAAAGTATTACTCAGGTTGAGCTCTTCAAAAAAAAAAAGGATTATATGCGCTTCAGTCAACATAGGAGGACTATATGTGATGTATATCCAGGTGCAGTTTAAAGTAGATGGAATGGCCGTCCTTGCCCTTTTTTACGGACTCTGGTGATTTTGAACGTAGTTGTAATAATTCTCAGAATGATTTTTCTCCTCGTCGATATTTATTACTCTTTTGCTCCTGTGCATAGTTATGGATATAAAAGTCTAGAACCTCAAATGAACAGCAACAGCCGCAAAAACACATATCCAACCAGGCAAATCGATCAATATCAGCCTCCACCCATTCACATCGACAAAGCCCTTGAGAAAGCGATATCCTTCCTCGGGTGACTTTCTCTGCCAATCTTCAGCCGTCAAGTTGAAGTGCTCCAGCCCCACGCGAAGAGGATAGGCATGGGCAAAGACGAAAAAGATGGCTGCTAGCCAAGTGAACGACGAGGTGGACGAATAGCCAAGGTTTAACAAACTAAAAAGGATTGTTGAGAGGTGACATGGTGCAGACAGAAAGACTACTCTCTTGTAGCTAATGAAAAACGGATACCAGAGCGAGTGACGGGTGGTAGGCGGGATGCGAGGATTGATAATGGAGATCATTGTGATATGTTGCGTTGCGGAGCACATGAGACTGAGAAATTTTTTTTTTAGAAAACCATCATCAGTCACAGAAATTAATTGCTTGAAGTACATAAAGGGAGAAATGAATGGTCTTACGCAGCAGAAGAGGTTGCAAGTGGTGCAACACGGATAATGCTTGCTACGAGGCTGGACGACGCCATCTTGAATGAATCGCTGATATCTTTCTCCGAACGTGGATGTAATTAGATTTTCCTTGCCTCATATCATTATTCGTTATTGAATCTCCTTTCTTTTCTTGTAGACTGACAATAGTAATATAAATATATGCTCTCGATCATAGAATAACCCCCTCAAAACGCTTCACGAATAAAAGGCTCCGAATTTGAGTTGAATGTCTCTGAATGTCTCCGAATGAACAAGTACATAAATAACCGAATTCTGGTTGACCTCTAGAATCGATCACGTATAGGCCCGAAGGAGGACGAAGAGATATGATAATTCTACCAATAAAATGGCAATGCATTTACAAAGGGAGAGAGAGAGGCCCATAATCGTATCACGCCAACTTCACACCTTCTGTGATTTAGCTCCGAATATCCCAATCGGACGCTTATATAAAAATGGAAGCCATATATTATTCGTAAGCCTCGAGACCAGTCAGCGGGATGCCCAAGTAACAACAACATTATACGGGTCATTGAGTTCAAGTTATCCACTCTTTCTCTAAAAAGAAGGGAGGAAAAAAAAAAAAAAAAAAAGAAGGGAAAAAAAAAAAAAAAAAAAGAAGTAGCGTCGCTTCACTGGTCTCTTTATATTTCTTTGTCCCGTGTCTCGGAAGCATTACGAGAAAAAAGGAAAATGGTCGGATTTTCTCAGAGCAAATTTTACGATTTCGAACTCACGCGTCTTCTGGGTAGCGCTCCGTTTGGCGGCTGCGATGTGGCGGAATTCATCGAGGCCATAGGCAAGATCAAGAAGCACGATCCAGAAAGCTGGTATCGTGCCTGGCACGAACAAGGCGAGCGTGTCTCGGCTCTCGCTCGCGAAGCTGTGACCCAAGGTCACTTTTTTTCAGCGCGAAGAGCCTATCTACGATCCTCTAATTACTTCCGCGCGTGCTCCTATTTACTGCCCAGCTCCGATACCCGGGTTTTGGAGAGCGCAGGAAGATCCATCGAGCTTTTTCGAGAAGCGATCACGTATATGGATGAAAAGGTCATAGTACTGCAGATTCCGTTGGAGGCCGGAACCTTACTACCCGGATATCTCTATCTCCCAACGCCAGACAAGCGTCTAAAGGGGGCGGGGGCGAAGACCCCCGTCTTGATCAATTGCGGAGGGGCCGATGCCACGCAGGAGGAGTTGTATTATTTATATGTGGTAAACGGGGTGGAGTTGGGGTACGCGGTACTGACCTTCGAGGGCCCCGGCCAAGGGATGGTGTTGAGAAAGGATCGGATCCCCATGAGACCCGACTACGAAATCGTCACAGAGAAAGTCTTGGACCACGTGGTTGATATCGCAATGACATATCCGGAGCTGGGTTTGGATCTAGACCGCATTGCGGTGGCCGGTGCCTCGATGGGGGCATACTATTCCCTCCGAGCGTCGATCGACCCCCGGGTGAAGGCGTGTGTGGCCGTGGACCCGTTCCATAGTCTTTGGACTCTGGCACTGACGCGCATGCCCAAGTTCTATGCGCATCTGTGGCAAACTGGATGGATCCCGGAGTCGGTGTTCAACCTCTCTGTTCGCGTGCAACTGGCCATGGACTTCCCTAGTCGCTGGGAGTTTGGTCTGGGAAGCTGGATGATGGGCACCTCTACCCCAGGGGAGACTCTTCGACGGTTCCAGGAGTTCTCTCTGGACATCGCCAAAGGAGGGAAGATATTGGATAATGTGCGATGCCCGGTCTTTCTCACTGGGGCAGGACAGACAATCTATGCCGCAGCAGACATGAGTACCATCTACATCTATGATGCCCTGAAAAAGGTCCCGGAAGATCAGAAGGAGGTCTGGATCCCTGATAAAGTGGGCGACGGCGGGTTGACGGCAAAAGTTGGGGCCTGGGGGCTACTGGCACAGAAAAGTTATGAATTTCTCGATAAACACCTAGATCTTGAGAAGCGGCGTAGACCTTGATGGAAGAATTGTCTCTTATCCAAGACATTTGGCTGCCAAAGCCCCTAGCAGTTAGTCGTGCGCTACTGTCAAGCTCATATGTACTGGTAGGGTAACCATACGATAGGGTTATGCCGGTTGATCAAGCTAACCCTTGAAACCGCTAACTAGTTATCTTGTGTGACAGGCTGACAGCAGCTTGCTTGCTCTGGCGCTAGCCTCAGTCGCATAGATTAGCTTTGCTGGTCGGTTCTCCATGTACTTCGTTCGTATGGGGATCATCTTACGTTCGTCCGAGGCGGGTGCACATGTGATGCCAGGGTTTAGGGCGGTCTAGAACAATCTATGCATCAATACGCAAGAAGACTTGCATGAACAATTGATTATTGACTGATGGAATAACCAACTGCTACTAAGTTAAGGAACTAGTGGCCTTGCTGACAGCCGCGCAAACCCCTCTAGGTTGGTAATATAATCCGTGGCTTTGCTCTTATACAAGTTATATTCTACGGCATTCCAACGAGGAGAAAAGAGGGGTTATGTACCTGTGTCATCAGGTGCGTCTGACAGTTACGGCTAGGGGCGGGGATTTTACTTTGGAGATCTTCGGATATCTTGTCGAAAAAATGAGGCATTTAACATGACTCCGAGTCCCCGGGGACACGCTTCGGACGCCCGTATATTGGTGCATTCGATTCCCATGGATGTGCTGCATGGGGACTTTTCATGTAAAAGGTTGTCGTTTCAGTCTGGAAGAATAGACGGAGTTACTTTGAAATACAATACAATTTGTTGTACCTTGGCAACTGGTACATCCCCTTGACATCTTAGCCAGCAATCATGCCGTGAGATATGGATGTCAACCAGCTCCCCGGGTATGCATGGTATGTATAAGTAGATGATGTGAAGATCTATGTATATACGAGGGTGGCTTCCTGATTAGGGACCCTGTACACCCATTACCGCTTTTGGAATCTGCACAGTACTTCACATTATCTAGTATCTACCATCGACCCTACTGAGAAGTCATGTGTTATACGATCTACTTCTATATTTTTACTTTTGCTCCCCCCGCGCCCCGCCCTTTCTGCTTTTTTTGGAATTGCCACTGTCCACTTTTTTCACGTTTATCCTAGGTTGAAACATGAGTCAACCGCCATCCAAGCGATTTGCCTGCGACCGATGCCGTGACCAGAAACTCCGATGTCCTCGAGAAGAGAACAGTAGTGATCCATGTGCGCGGTGCCTGCGGGCGGGAGCTGTCTGTGTGACTGGCTGCACCAGGCTTATAGGACGTCCTCCCCGTGCTGCTAGTACCTCCAACACCAATGCCAACAGCGCAAGCCCCTCGGCCGTCATCGCCAGCACGGTCTCTGCACGCCGGAGAAGAGAGAGAGAGTCTCGATCCGCACAAACGAACTCGCGGTCGGCGCTTCTCAGCGACCGGCGCGGTGACCGGAATACCCTCCCACCCGGATCTACGACAATCCAGAAACCCTTTCAACATAGCGATGGTTTGGATGATGTCTTCGGCCTGCCGCTCGTAGAAGACGATCCCAGCCAGCCCAATTGGCTGAAAACCACGTCTTCCAATGGCTTGGTGCAGGGAAACCTTCCTCAGACAACCGCCCTGGAGGGGGTTCCCTCTTTATTCACTTTAGGAGCACACGCACCATCAGTAGCCGCACTGCAATCGAGCAATACTCAGGATAGCTTGGATATGATTCATGATCAGCATACAACTGCCCAGTTCTTGTCCCAGGATCTCGAGCAACAACCCGACTTCGCCGACAGCCAATTACCTGAGCTCCCTGATGGCTGCGACGCAGTGCTATGGCTAGCGAACCTGAACGGAAGTATCTCCAGCCAGTTAGCCCAGGTCCACACTCGTCCATGTACCGGCCCCTCTGATAGCCAGACAGCGATTTTCGGTGACCTGTATGGGCCCTCCCCCGATGACCCCAATCCGCTAGGCGAATTGCTTCGTTGCACCTCCCAATTTTCGAACATCTTACGCGCAATGAACTCCATGCTTCCCCCTTTCTCGTCTCCCTCTTCCGCATCCCTCCAGTCGCCAAGTTTGCAGCCGCTAGAGTTACTGGGTGATGCCCTCACGAATGGGAGACCGTCATCAACGATGGGCGGCCTTCAGCCGCATTGGACCTCGTCCTCCTCGTCCTCCCGAACTTTACCATCGAATACCCCCACGATCCTGATGATTATTACCACTCATTTGCAGCTTGTTCGGCTCTACGATGCGGTAGTTGCACGTATGTATGCCTCTCTCCTGGAGATGCGAGAAGGAGAGGTAGCTTCTTTCCAAGCTCTGCCGGGACTGCAGCTGGGAGGTTTCCCATTATCGCATGGAAATCTTCATATCAAGATCATCCTACAGGTTCTTGAACATCAGTTAGATCTGATCGAGCGAGTGATGGGCCTTCCAGCCGAGTACCGCCTTTCCACCCAACAGGAATCGCCCGAGGGCATTTTCCGAAACTCCGAGTTATTAGTGCTGCTTCGAGCAGTTATGGGCCAAAACGCAACCTCTTGCCATGGCATGGGTTTGTATTATATCGTTTCTCTAAAGGAAAACCTGCAAAAGGTGAAACAGTTGCTTCAGGGCTGAAAAGAGAGAGGGGGAGAGGGAGAGAGAGACCAGAACAAAAGAAAGGTTATTGTAGGCAGACATAAAACTATATAACTCTTGAAATAATTGACTAAAGGGTCAATTCTCGCACTGACTGTGGTGAATATTTTAGATACTTTGTCCGGAAACTTCCTGCCGTCAACGAATTGTCAGAAGCCGTTGGGGACGTGGTACTCTATGATGCATCTGACGTTCTTCGGCCTTTTCCCAACACACAGCGTAAATCCCCATTATTAGGACTCTATGAAGACATATGCATAACTCGATTCACGGTGGCGTTGGGGGTTTATAGCCATTCTTCTCTGTTTATTTTTTCTTTCCATTTCGGGGCTCTTTTTTTTTTTTTTTTTTTTTTTTTTTTTTTTTTTTTTTTCTTCTCTTATAAATTCAAATTAAGCGAGACATGTTATCTTCTTACTTTCCGCAAGCAGTCTTATATTTCTTGTTCGAAATTTGATATCACAGGGTAGTTTGGCGCGTGAGTAAAATCGTAGTAGAAGCGTTACATCAACGAATCAAGATAATAGGTTGGTTACGTATAGGCCGGGTGTGGATTTTATTTCTCGAATTCAAAATATACTAATCATACGGGAATATAATGTAGTATAATACGTACATGAAAATTTTCTAGTAGTACCATTGTAATTAACGAGTAAGAGGCGCACAACTGTTATATGACAGTCAACCGTTACGCGCAACTCCCATTTCTCGCTATGATAGCTCTTTATTACTCCATATCGGGCTCATTGATCTGATAGACCAGCTTGACACCATTGTGTCGACCCTTACGCACCATGTCTATTCCATCAATTACCCCGAGAAGCCCACCAATGCTTCGCTCATGTTGAGGTGGCACAATTGCTCCTGCGTCCAGTAACTCCTGCGTGAGTCGGAACCACTTCTCGCCGAATTCACGGTCCTGTGGCCTGGCTTCGCGGTAATAAGGTTCCTTCCAGTTGATGGGGCTGTTGAAAATGGTAAACAGCAGCATCCAGTCTGGGTGAATGTCTCGACGGGTATGAGCTCGTGTCGGAAAATGATCCAGAGCAATATACTTCCCTCCCCTGTTTCCCATAGCGTTGTAGCAGATTTTCATGGATTCCGTGTAGCTGATGCAGTCAAAGGCAAATTTCAGGGTTCCTTTTGTATACGTCCGAATATCTACCCCACAAGAAGGGGTATTGTAATCGAACGCCATAGCAGATCCAAGGGACTTGACTCGATCGAAATTATGCGGTGCACAAGTGGTGATTGGGATCATGCCAGACCTGTGTGGCGAGATCAGCCCCCGCTGAGAGGGAGGGGAAGGGAGGGTATGTGTTTTGTTATGACGAACAAGACAGGACCTGTTGGAATTGAGACTTACATTCGAATCATTTGTATTGCAAGGCCGCCAGTCGCAGTTCCTCCACCATACACCAATACATATTCTGGCGTCTCACTTGTGGGAGGAGGTCGCGGTGGCCACATGGGTAAAGGCAGCTGAAGCGTACTGTACAATGCCATTCCCACCGTTCCAACGCCAACCCCCAAGGTCGATGCTGCCTCAAACGACGTCTGTGGAGGTATTTTCCATATCAGGTCGGCAGCAGCAGCGACATATTCGGCGAATGATCCATTATCATGCCTGTCAGGGTTGTTTCCAAAAACGAAACCACAAACCCGGTCGTCTACACAAAGTGTTTCCTTCACCTCCTGACCGACCTTGACAATCACTCCCGCAAAGTCACAACCGGACGTGGCACCCACAGCAGGCGACATATCAGCAGATTTCCAGTCTTCAGGGTTCACAGCAACGCAGATTACTCGGACCAAAACCTCACCTACCCGCAAAGAAGGCAGCGAACATGACGTTTGTAAAGTAATCTGCCCTGGTCCCTGAATCTTGAGTGCTGTTTGTCTTTCTGGTAAGATTCTTGTCTGACTCCCAGAGCTGGCCGTTATGGATGCACTGAATGGCTGTGAGGTTTTTGGTGGAGCGGGAATCTTGGACTCGAAAAGATAGACCAACTTCTGACCGGAGATCTCTCGCCGTCGCATCCGTTGAACGCCACTGATTACACCGTCAAGGCCACTGTGACTGACTAGGCGCGGATGCGAGCGAATCTTCCTCGCTCGTAAAATGGTCTCGAGGCGCTTGAATAGATCACATCCCCATGCCCGCAGCTCGGGATCGGGATCGCTGCCGTATCCTTTGTCCAGGGCAATCTCTGCCCCTGACATGCGAATTCCCAGGACCCAGTCAGCCTTGATTGTCTTTCTCATATCGGCGATTAGATCCTTCGGAATGAGCTCGAAACCCACATAATGGCCCCCAGCTCGACCAATCGCCGCGTAACATAGCTTGAGCGTTCTAGCCTCGGCGATGATATCGATGACATACCGCAAGGAATTCCGAGTGTATGTGCGAATGTCTTCTGCGCAAGTTGGAGAATGGTAGTCAAACGCTCGATCGGCGCCGTATTGCTCAACTAGACCAAAGTTTTTAGGCGAACATGTCGTGATGACCCGATACCCCGATCTAGAGAGACAGTTATTATGGAGGAATGAAGATGCGCAGTCATCGATCTATCACAGGTTTGACTTGCAGTTTTAGGATCTGGATTGCCATGGTCCCACTAGCAGTACTCCCACCGTAAACCAGAACAAACTCAGATTTCTTGGTCGGCTCCTCGGGGCATCCAGGCAATGCCAGCGTTCGAAATATAGTCAATCCCACTGTGCCAACGACGCACCATCCAATGGCAGCAGCTTCGTCCCAGGCCATATCATCCGGTACTCTCCACAGTTGGTCTGCCCACACTGCGATGTATTCTGCAAACGCGCCAGACTGAGGATCTAGACGGTTCGACGCATGCACGGCTCCTGCTACCCGGTCGCCTATCTTAAGAAAAGACCTGTCTACGCTGTCGCCCAAGGCAATGACGGTGCCTGCATAGTCCGAACCAACACCTGCACCAGGACATGGGAAATTGGTGGGCATTTTCCAGTCACATGGGTTTAGAGCCACTGCTGCTGTCTTGACGAGCACTTGGCCTGGCAGAACGCTAGGAAGACCTCGATTGTGACATAGGGTAAGTGAGCCTGGTTCTTCAGCTTGTATGACTGCTCGCTGGATTGTTGGAACATCTAATTTAGCCGCCATGATTGATCGGGGGTTGGAAGGTAATAAAAGCGTATTGTGCACGGCGGTAGGGATACTTCAATCAATGAACTCCCACTGAATATCTTTTGAAGCGTGACCGACTAGTTTATCAACGTCAAACTGACTTGGCACCTTTCTGTATATCTATCCTATCTCTACGGTCCCGAATATACTTGCGAACATACACTAAAGAGGAGGCTGTATTACTTTCTTATTTGTCTTCATGTTTTTTTTTTTTTTTTTTTTTTTTTTTTCAACTCTTTTGATCCACTTCCCAACCAACGAGCATAGTATCTCCGAATATCAGCTGCAAGAGGCTTGCTCCGAATATGAAATTCGGACCAGGGAAACGCTCCGAACTGAATATTGTCAGAACTGATTTCCTATCTGGACAATAATTACAGGGCAATTCTAATTTCTGATGAGGCAGCCTATTGCAGAGGTAACCAAGTTGCTGTTTGATAACATTTTTCTTTCTTTTCACTTTCTGTTTCTTTCTTTCCGGTCATTTGTCTCACAAATTGTCCTTGCAAAGTCCTGTCGATAGTATGTATTACTTTCCGGTCCTTCTCACATTACTTTCATCTGGTCTCGCGGAGCAATGGCGGCAACAGCCCCTAGGAGATCTATTTTCAGGGCACTGGGAGAGTCCGTTGGGGGGATTTGGGCTCTCTCTATCAGAATGCAAAACCAGCCATACAACAGCATATCAGCAAGGGTATGGGCCGGTAGAATTCTCTCTCTCAACGACAGAGCATCTAGAGGTACCAAAACTATCGTCCATCAACGCCACAGCATGGGAACAATGGGAATTTGACGGTGTGTCCGAGTCTGGCAACGCCGGATTGATTGTGGGGTTCTCGCGTGATGCCTCCTACGCCTTCTTTGGTCAAGGCAATCTCCGCGTTGAGTTTTTCATGATTTTGGAGGATGGAACTGTCATTCAAGAACTTGACTACCTACAAGAATCGACCATTATTGTCTGTGATGACACCGTAACGGGCATCTGGAATAGTACCGGCCGCAGTTATTCCTTCCAGATCTCCAAGGACATGTCTCAGGCGAAAGTATGGTGGGATACTCCTCAGGCACAAGGAAGCCTGTCTCTACTGTCCCAATCGCCCCCGCATCTTGCAGATGGGTCGCTGTGGCCTGCTGCTGACAAGAATGCAACAACTGAACTCGGGCCTGGGTTACACTTCAATCAACCCATCGCTGGCGGCCGTATAGAGGCTGATGTCACGATAAGAGAGCAGCGGATCCTTGTCTCGGGAACCGGTGGACATGGCCGCCTCTGGGCCAAAGATGGTTGGTTCCAGATATGCAGTGGATGGTTCATTGTTCGTGCCTCTGCAGGGCCATATGTCCTTTCCTACTGGGAGATCGTATCCCGAATCAATCCAGGTGTCTCATACTATTCTGCACAATTGTTCAAAGAAGGTGAATTGCTAGTCGCAACGCAGATTGGAGAGCGATCTGATGCTCAGGACCACGTTCTCTATACACAGGAGCTCGGAGGCAATGTGACCGGACTCCTCAGAGACCGCTCCACCGGCCATGTGGTCGAGTTTGTATCTCCAGTGCAAAGAAAGAGGTGGCGCTTCCTTGTTCGAAATAAAAGAAAGAAGTTCGAGATGGGCATGGGTGGCGGCTCTGGCCTCACAGGATTCACAAATATTGTGACGGGAGGAGAAGTCTGGGAGAAACCATACGAAGGACGCGGATTCTCAGAGCAAGTGACCTTGCCGGACAAAATCAAACAATGGCAAATTTGGCTTGTCTACGGTATTGGCTTCCTCAACAAGGGGAAAACGTCTTTGATCAAGATGATTGGATATATAATTTGATGCGGGTTTGGTTCAATTTTGGATCGTAGAACGCGAATGGTAACTGTAGTTAAGTCGAATGATATGCTGGTTACGTAAATGAATCATGCTACTCGGTAGAATGATTCTGTGGGTTGATGAAGCTTTATATCTCTAAGCTATTCTCATATGGTGTTGTCACAATGGTTTCAGGATGACCACGCTTTTTGACACTTAAAATCAACCAGCTCTGATACTTCTGTACTTTATGATACCCAAGGTTATCGCCATCTACCCCAAATGACTGGAATCCTGTTACCCCTGGCAAAGGAAACAGACAAAAGAGAAATTTTAGCCTATATTCAATCATCCATCTCAGCTCTATGGTACGACATCGGAGATTCTCCATCATTCGGAGCCCCTTCATGATTCGGAGAGTTTGAAGAATGGCAGAATATCGGTCCGAAACTGCGGGATGATTAGTATTTGTATGTAATAGAAATATCGGAGAAGGTTGGTGTTGACCCTCTGGTGGTAGTTGGATCTTAGAATAGTACATTATGGTCAGATTAGATGCTATAAACCTGGACCTTCTTAATTTCAACTCAAGTGATCTTTATAGTGGCCTTACTCCTTAAATTGATCTACGGTTATACCTAGGTGTATTTGACTTTTCTGATTTTATATATTCTGTCATTAAATAATCTATAAAAAAAAAAAGGCCTTCCAAGAGCATCCAACATGGGCACCATCCATACGCCTATTAAAGAGGCCAATGAGCCAATTGCCGTTGTTGGTAGTGCCTGTCGATTCCCGGGATCATTGAATACTCCATCCATGCTTTGGGATTTTCTGTGCAAACCTCATGATCTCCTTACCAAAATTTCCAACGAAAGATTCAACCCAGACGCATTCTACCATCCAGATGGAATGCATCACGGTACCTCTAACGTGAAGGAGTCATATCTCCTTCGTGAAGATCACCGCGCCTTTGACGCCGGCTTCTTCAACATTAAGCCTGTCGAAGCTCATTCAATTGACCCACAACAAAGGTTGCTGATGGAGACAGTCTATGAGTCTCTCGAGGCTGCCGGAATGTCTATAGAATCACTAGCTGGCTCACAGACGGGAGTATACGTAGGCTTGATGTGCGGTGACTTCAGTGAACATCTCCAACGTGACCCTCAGTCATTGCCTACATATATGCCCACAGGAACGGCTCGCAGTATCATATCCAACAGGGTGTCTTACTTCTTCGACTGGCATGGACCATCAATGACTATTGATACCGCCTGTTCTTCTAGCTTAGTTGCTGTCCACCAGGCAGTGCAGCAGCTGCGAAGCGGCGAGTCAGATGTTGTTATTGCAGCTGGTGCCAACCTTATTCTTGGACCTGAGCTGTACATTGGGGAGGCCAAATTGAAAATGTTATCTGCCGATAGCCGGTCGCGAATGTGGGACGTCGATGCTGATGGATATGCACGAGGGGAAGGAATTGCCTCGGTAGTTCTGAAAAGGCTCAGTGCTGCTCTTCAGGATGGTGATCACATCGAGTGTGTGATCCGCGAAATTGGAGTCAATCAAGATGGCAGAACAAAAGGGATCACAATGCCAAATGAATTGGCTCAAGCTGACCTGATAGAAAGAACTTACTTGAAGGCAGGCTTGAATCCTAAAGACAAGAACCAGCGCTGTCAGTTTTTTGAAGCCCACGGGACTGGCACTTCAGCAGGCGATGCTCGTGTAAGTCTTGAGTTCCCTCTCTCCCCCCGCCCATTTTACAGTTCCATATATCAAAGCATGATAGCTGAGACAATAATAGGAGGCAGAGGGTATTAGTAGGGCATTTTTTGGCCATGAATTTGGCAATTCTGACGTAGAAAATGTGCTGTATGTGGGCTCGATCAAGACAGTGATAGGTCATACCGAAGGCACTGCAGGCTTAGCAGGGCTCTTGAAAGCCTCCCTCGCCGTTCAGCATGGAATCATCCCACCAAATATGCTCTTTAATTCTCTCAACCCAACAGTCAGCCAGTTTTATAATAACCTAGAAATTGTGACAACCGCTAAACAATGGCCCAAAGTCGAAGGACCTCGCCGAGCCAGTGTCAATAGTTTCGGCTTTGGGGGCACAAATTGTCACGTGATCGTTGAGAGTTTTGAAGATTCAAGCAGCGAACACGAGCAGGTGAAAGAAGTGCAAGTGCCTTTCACTCCTTTTGTGTTTTCTGCTGCATCTGAAAAAGCGCTAGAGGCAAATTTAATGGCCTATTCATCTCACCTTCGATTGAATCCCGATCTCAATCTCGGTGACTTTGCTTTCACGCTACACTCAAGAAGATCAGCGCTCGGGGTACGAGCAGCCTTTGCAGCTAGGTCTTCTGATAGCCTCTGTGCGGCTATAGATGAACGCATTCAGCTCCATAAGACGGACACGAGCACGCCACTCGGTGTCAGACCTAACACCGCTGCTCCATCTATCTTGGTTGTCTTCACTGGACAAGGAGCGCAATGGCCAGAAATGGGACGTCAACTGATATTATCATCGGCCTTTGTTCGTAAATCCCTAGAAGAACTGGATCAAACGCTTCAAGATTTGCCAGATGCAGATAGACCTTCATGGTCTCTGGTGGAGCAGCTACTTGCTGATCGCTCTCACTCGCGCGTTGGAGAGGCTGCCATCTCACAACCCTTATGCACTGCTCTTCAAATTGTTCTAGTAGAACTCTTAAGAGCTGCTGGGATTAGTTTCAAGGCTGTTGTAGGTCATTCATCAGGTGAGATTGCCGCGGCATATGCAGCTGCGTTCATTTCTCGCGAGGATGCGATCAAGATTGCATTCTATCGAGGTCTAGTCGCGAAATACGCGGGACAAGATCGACCAGGCGCGATGATGGCAGTGGGGACATCATTTGACGACGCCAATGACCTCTGCGCTTTGGACACCTTTGAAGGTCGTCTTTCTGTTGCGGCGTGCAATTCCTCATCCAGTGTGACTTTGTCTGGAGATGCGGATGCCATTGAGGAGGCTAGGTTCATTCTTGCTGAAGAAAAGAAATTTGTCAGAACCATAAAAGTGGACAAGGCCTACCACTCTCATCATATGCTTCCTTGTGCGGAGCCCTACGTTAGTGCGCTTCTTGAGTGTAATATTGAGCCGAAACAGCCAAAGACTGGCAGTTGTCACTGGTACTCGAGTACTTACCAGGGAATTAAGATGGAGGCTCAAGACGAGCTCAAAGGAGTGTACTGGAAAGATAACATGGTGAACCCCGTGCTCTTTTCACAGGCTATAGAGGCCGCAGCATCCAATGAGGATCCTTTCAATCTTGTTATTGAGGTTGGTCCACATCACGCCTTAAAAGGACCTGTTCTTCAAACATTGCAAGATACTTATGGCCAATCTATCCTTTATACGGGCCTCCTCAGTCGGGATAAACATGATGTGGAGAGCTATGCCAATGCACTAGGTTATTTTTGGAGCCACTTCAGTCCGACTGGTGTCGAACTTGGCCAGTACGACGATTGTCTCTCTGGAGGTCAAAAGAGACAAATTATACCCTCATTGCCGTCCTATCAATGGGATCATGACCGGACCTTCTGGCACGAAACCCGCTTATCAAGAGCTCATCGTAACCGCAAGGATCCATACCATCCTTTACTGGGTTCGAGAACACTAGAAGGGACAGAATCAGAAATGCGCTGGAGAAATATACTTCGGCCTAGCGAACTTCCTTGGGTTCATGGACACCAACTACAAGGCCAGATGGTGTTTCCAGCGACAGGATATATTGCCACAGCTATAGAAGCTGCAAAATACATGGTCAAAAACATCCCTATATGTCTAATTGAAGTGTGTGACTTTGTTATTGGAAAGCCCTTAACGTTTGATGACGACCAGTCCGGCGTTGAGATGTTGTTCACATTGTCCGATATTTCTAAGAACAGTTCGGGGTTGTATTCAGCCTCATTCAGGTACCACGCATGGACAAATCAGGAGTCAGATACATTGTCATTGTTAGCCTCTGGCTGCATTGTGGTAACTATAGATGAGACATCATCTTCGAATGATGTGCTTCCACCACGAAGTCCTGAACAACCGAATATGGCATCTGTGAGGGAGGATCAATTCTACGCTTCTCTTGACGACCTTGGTTATGGCTATTCTGGGGATTTCAGATGTCTTTCATCAATGAAGAGGAAGCTTAACTACGGTTCCGCCTACGTATCTGTGCCACAGCAGGAAGCCGTTGACGCTGTTCTTGTACATCCCGCCTTCCTAGATGTCGGCTTCCAGTCCATATTCCTGGCCTACGGGTGGCCCAACGATGGAAGCCTTGATCAACTACATGTCCCTAGAAGCATCTCAAGGATCCGGATCAACTTTGCTCTCTGCCAGAAGGACTTAGTTCCTGGGACACAGCTACAATTGGACTCTCACCTGACAGATAATCCGTTGACCGCGGGCGCTATACGTGGGGACGTTGATATATTTGGAGCTGATGGACAATCCACCCTTATTCAGGTTCAGGGTATACAAGTGGTTGGACTTTCAGATGGAAGCCCTCAGTTAGACCGGCAATTGTACTCAGAACACATTTGGGGCCTGGCAATCCCTGACGCTCAATGCGCAGCAGATAATCGCGCAACACCGGAGGATTACGAGCTTGCATGGAGTCTGGAACGTGTATCAATCTTCTACATGAAGAAATTACAGGCTGATATCAAGCCAGAGGAAAGAATAAACCTGGAATGGTATCACCATGCACTTTTCGATTTCGTTTCTCATATTCTTTCCAAGACAGAGAAAGGCAAACAACGTTTTGCAAAGAGAGAATGGCTTGACGATACTTGGGAACAAATATTAGAGATCATGACACGGTAAGTACCACTCCATATTTCTCCATGACCTTATAGGTACCTATGCATGTGCCAATTTCTCATACCTTGCACTAGATACCCTGATAGCATAGAAATGAAACTTACTCGTACGGTTGGCGAGAATCTCGCAGCTGCTGTTCGAGGCGAGACAAACATTTTACAGCATTTACTCGCCGACGGTCTCTTAAACAAGTATTATACGGACGCGATGGGTCTCAAAGAAACAACAGAGTTCCTAGCCAAGTCTGTTGCCCAGGTTGTGCATCGCTATCCACATATGAAGATACTTGAGATTGGTAAGAAAATATATATATATCAAATAATTCTATTTGTTAATACCTTTGTGTTCTAACTTTGCATCTTAGGCGCCGGTACTGGTGGAGCCACGAAATCCATCATGAGAGACATCGGCCGGTCCTTCTCTTCTTATACATACACGGACATTTCAACTGGTTTCTTTGAAACTGCCAAAGGAATCTTCGCTCAGAATCTGGACAGAATGATTTTCAAAGCTTTGGATATAGAGAAGGATATACTTGAACAGGGCTATGCAGAGCATTCTTATGACCTTATCATAGGATCCTTGGTTCTACATGCTACTTCTAGCCTGCGGAAAACGATGGAAAATACACGTCGACTGCTGAAGCCAGGAGGCTATCTCATAATACTTGAGATAATCAGCAATGATGTGATCAGAACAGGATTTGCTATGAGCGGCCTGCCTGGTTGGTGGTTGGGTAGAAATGATGGCCGTCGTTTCTCTCCGTGTGTATCTTCCGCTGAGTGGCATAACCTGCTTGTAGAGACCGGGTTTTCAGGAATAGACTCACTCAGCCCTGAAACTGACATCTTACCACGTCCTTTGTCTGTGATCATATCTCAAGCTGTGGATGATCAGGTCAATCTTCTCAGGGAACCTCTTCAATATCCAGGCCAGACACTAGGGAACACACAAGATTGGGATCTTGTAATCATTGGTGGAGAGACGCTCCGAACGATAAAACTAATAGATGAAGTAATCCGCCTGCTTCAGCCCTGGTACTTGCCAGTTACACGAATCCGCTCTCTGCACGATACCGAACGCTTGTCCAATATATCAGCCAAGAGTGTCGTGCTAAGTGTTACAGAGCTCGACCAACCCATATTCCTGGATTTCAGCCCTGAGACTATGGAAGGTCTCAAAAGGCTACTTGGCTATCAGCGAACCATTCTCTGGGTCACCCAAGGTTGCAGAGTTGATGAACCTTACATGAATATGACCGTTGGGTTTTGCCGAACCCTGGCCCTTGAAGCTCCAGATACCCAGCTGCAGCTCCTAGATCTAGACATATCACGTAGGCCTGATGCTCGACTGCTTGCCGAGTCACTCTTGAGATTAAACTTCACACAGGTTCCCGAGGTCTTGTGGTCCGTTGAGCAGGAGATAGTCCAAGAGGCTGGGAAACTGTTAATTCCGCGTCTTATTTTGAATCAAGAGCAAAATAATCGCTACAATGCCGCAAGAAGGACCATATTCGACACCAAGGATGTGCGCCAAACTCCTGTTATTCTACAACCCACACCCGTCGGTTATAGTCTTGTCAAGCACGAGCTGGATTTGTGCCCGAATGACGTTCAGGTCGCAGTTAGTCACTCAACGTTGGTACCGATTGCAAATTCAATGTACGGTATTGCTGGGATAAATATATCCACTGGCAAGAGCGTTTTGGGCTTCTCCACTATCAATGGTTCCCAGCTTGCTATAAATACTGACAGGCTTATTGAATACAATTCATCCAAAATAGGGGAGAGCAGTCGCCTGATCTCTCTTCTGTTGGTTGAGATGGAGGTGGACAACATCCTTTCAGTTTGTACATCCGATGAGCATATTCTGCTCCATCAAGCATCTGCAGAATTAGCGGAAAGACTTGGAGAGCGGGCCCATGAGAAAGGGCTCAGAATATCCTTTACTACGTCTCATGGAAAGCCTCTGGACAAGACCTGGATTACCGTCCATCCATGCTCTCCACTACGTACTATTAAGGCAACTGTGCCTCTAGAAGTTTCGATTTTCATTGATTATTCAACCAACGACGATGGCGTTGGTGAGTTAATATCGTCCTGCCTTCCTGATACGTGTTGGCGAATTACATCTACGGACGACAGATTTCGTACCAGAATATCGGGGCAAAAACTTTTTGAGAAGCTCAAAGATTTCATTAAACGCGTAGGGACGGTAGACATTGATTCTTCCAGCCACTCGTCCCCGGTTCAAATGAGTCCAATGGATATTGCAGGGAACGGTAAAACTGCAAGCTCCACGATTGTCAATTGGAGTGGCACCACTGAGGTCTCAGTGAAGTTGTCATCTATCGATAGCCAAATCAACTTTGCACCTGACAAGACATATGTGTTATTTGGGTTGACAAGCGATCTGGGACAGTCACTGTGTGACTGGATGGCTGCTCATGGAGCCCGGAATATTGTCCTAACTAGTAGAAACCCGAAGATCGATCAAAGGTGGTTGGACCAAATGAAACGCACGGGTGTGAGGTTGCAAGTCTTCTGCAAGTAAGTGAGCCTCTCTTTCCTGGGGAAAAAAAAATGTACGCTGTCAAGAAGCTAACTTACGTTTTACAGTGATATAACCGATAAAGTGGCAGTCCAAGCAATTGTTTCAGAAATACGTGCCACATTCCCACCAATTGGGGGTATTGCCCAAGGAGCAATGGTATTGGAAGACGCTTCATTCTTTGACATGTCATTTGAAACTATGGACAAGGTCTTGAAACCGAAAGTACTAGGTAGTATTCACCTTGATGAGCTATTCCAAAACGATGACCTTGACTTCTTCATCTTCTTCTCATCACTAGCATCGGTAAGCGGAAATCGCGGTCAATCCAACTACAGTGCTGCGAACATGTTCATGACCGCCTTGGCTTTTCAACGTCGACGAAAGGGGCTCGCCGCGTCTGTTCTCCATATCGGTGCCATTATGGGTGTTGGCTACGTTATGAGAGAAGTGAGCGAAACCGTCTTTCCTGCGATCCGTCGTGCCGGGTTCACGTGGATGCCTGAGCGTGGCTTCCACCAATGTTTCGCTGAAGCTATTGTTTCTGGACGGCCACAATCTGGTCGCAGTCCGGAGATTGTCACTGGACTCCGACTAATCAATGCTAACGAGGAAGAACCTGCTCCTTGGATGAATATCCCCAGATTCCAACATTGCATTGACCGCAGTGGTACGGCGGGACTTAGGGAGGGTCATGGAAATGCAGTCGTAGCAGTTAAGACGCGGCTGCTAGTGGCATCAACTCGGGAAGAAGCCCTGGAGATGATTCAATGTGAGGCAGTGTCAGTACATCTCGTCAACAAACAGCTAACAAGCGTCAGATGCATTCTTCGCAAAGCTGCAGGCAGCTTTGCAGCTTCACATCGACGATCCTGCCGTTCAAAGGCAGGTTCTGAGTTCTGGGGCGGATGAATTGGGCTTTGACTCTCTGGTTGCTGTTGAAATTCGGTCATGGTTCCTCAAAGAACTTGAAGTCGACATGCCTGTGCTTAAGATCCTTGGCGGGGCCTCTGTCTCAGACCTTCTTATTTTCGCCCTTGATAAGCTGCCTGATGAACTAATCCCAAAAGTTGCGGCGATCCCTGAAGCTGTAGTAAACACGAGCAAAATCAAGAAAGATACGGTGACACCGCATTTCTCGCCATCAAGCGTTATTAGCTCAAAAGCAACCAGTGATGGGGAAAGCCTCTTCTCGCCAGTCAATGGCTCTTCCCCTCCACAGAACTCTGTTGTCTCCCTTGTGTCTTCGTCGTCCTCTACGTATGACAAGGAAGAGCATTTCACCCCGAATTATGAGCCTAAGTTTGAAAAGGTAGTGCCATTATCTTTTGGACAGTCACGATTTTGGTTCTTAAAGCATTATCATGAAGACCAGACAACGTTCAACATTACATTCTCGACTCGACTTAAAGGTCCAGTGCGAATTCGTGACCTGGAAAACGCGGTGAGAACGATGGGCTATCGTCATGAGGCACTGCGAACGTGCTTTTTTGTACAGGATTCCAACCAGCAGCCGATGCAGGGAATTCTAGAGAAATCTTCCCTGTGTCTGGAGAAAATGAACATTCAGAATTCAAGTCAAGTCGCGGAAGAGTTTGAAGCAATGAAGAATCATGTTTTCGACATAGAGAATGGAGAAATTATGAGGGTTATTCTCCTGTCCCTTAACCCGTTAAATAGCTTCCTCATTATCGGTTACCACCACATCAATATGGACGGTGCAAGCCTGGAAGTATTCCTGAGGGACCTTGAGTTGGTCTACTGTCGTAAACCACTGAGTCAACCAGTATACCAGTATTCCGCTTTCTCGCTATGGCAAAGAAAGGAAATCGAATCCGGCAAAATGAAAGACGAGCTTCAGTACTGGAAGTCCGAATTTGCAGATCCTCCTACTCCATTGCCATTGCTCCCTTTCTCCTCTACGAACAGACGCGAGGCAGTTTCAACATACAGTCATTATCGTGCCGATGTTCGAATTAATTCTCAGTTGGCAGAACAGATAAAGAATATGTGTTCGAAAAGGAAAACCAGTATTTACCATTTTTATCTCTCCGTATATGAGGCAATGCTCTTCCGGCTCTTGGACACGAACGATCTCTGCATCGGCATGGCAGATGCCAACCGCAGCGAAGATACCTTTGTCAATAGTATGGGGATGTACTTGAACCTGCTTCCACTACGATTTCATCTTCGCTCGAATATGCAATTCATAGATGTGCTGAAAGAAACGCGCCGTAAAGCCTACAGTGCGATGGCTCATTCTCGTCTACCTTTTGACGTTCTTCTTGACGAGCTGAAAGTACCACGCTCCACGTTGTATAGCCCATTGTTTCAAGCTTTTATCAACTACCGCCTGGGAGTCCAAGAAAAGAGAGCCTTCGGAGATCTCGAGTGTGAGGGTGAGGAATACTCGTTAGGCAGAACTGCCTACGATATCAGTCTGGATATTCTTGATAACCAAAACAGCAATACCCTGCTTATGTTCATCGTACAAACGCAGTTATATTCGGCAGAGGATGCAAGGCTTATGTGTAACATCTACGTAAGCCTTCTTGAACAGTTTTCCAAGGATCCAACCCTTCGTCTAGATGAGCCATCTCTCTTTGCAAAGGAGGATATTGCAGAGAATATTCAACTTGGAATGGGTATAGTTTCCTATCTTCTAACGATAGAATGTGGCATTCACTAAAACAATCCTAATACCTTCTAGGACCGAATCACAACTCAGAATGGCCAGAGACCATGGTACACCGCGTCTACCAAATCATAGAGACATTCCCTGACAGTATTGCTCTTAAAGATACGGAGCACAACGAGTTGACATATCGACAGCTGGCTAATCGTATAGGCTGCATAGTATCATCTCTTCTTGAAGCAAATCTAGAAGAACATGCTCCTGTCGGTGTATTTCAAGAACCTTCACCTGATTGGGTCTGTTCAATTCTTGCTGTGATGGCTATTGGAGCCATCTACGTGCCATTTGACGCGAAATCGCCTACATCTCGTCTAGTGTCGATGATGGAAGATTGCCAGCCCACTGCTGTTCTCATCCATGATGCCACGGCCTCGAAGTTTGGAGGCTTGAGGTTGTCCTCTCGGGCAACTGTGATTAATCTTGCTAACATTCCATTAGACATCTCGCACGAGAGTCGTAGTGTCGCAGCCAAAGCATGTGATCCTGCGGTGATACTGTACACCAGCGGTACGACAGGGGTACCGAAAGGGGTCATCTTGTCCCATGAGAGCCTAAGGAATGAGAATGAATTCGAGGTAGTCTCAGGTCCCGAAATTGTCCTTCAACAGAGTGCAATCAGTTTTGATCTCTCACTGAATCAAGTTTTCACGGCTCTGGCACATGGTGGAACACTTGTTATCATTCCAAGATCTATGCGGGGCGATGCAGTCGCAATAGCAAATATAATAGCCAAGGAAAAAGTCACCTATACTGGAGCAACGCCGTCAGAATATCTCAGTTGGCTTCAGTATGGGCGATCTGAGCTTTTGCAAAACAAGGCTTGGAAGTTCGCCATGTCATGCGGAGAGCAGTACCCACAACAACTCGCTAATGAATTCAAACGCCTTGAACTTCCCCATCTAAGCCTGTGGAATGCATATGGACCAACCGAAGCCACTCTTTCGTCGAACAGAATCCAGTTATTCCTGAAAGATGATGATTCAAACCCACAGCATATTCCCGTTGGTTATACACTGACCAATTGTTCGGTATATATCGTAGACCGAGACCTCAATCCGTTGCCTGCTGGAGTACCTGGGGAGGTCTGTATTGGGGGCGCCGGGGTCGCAATAGGCTACTTGAACAACAAGGAGCTTACCACAGAAAAGTTCGTGCCAAACCGGTTTGCAAATCCACATTTCCTGTCGCGTGGGTGGCAACGAATGTATCGAACTGGCGACAGAGGAGTTCTCCAAGATGATGGAGCTCTGAAGATTCTGGGTCGCATTGACGGTGATACACAAATCAAGCTGCGTGGTATTCGGATTGAAATGCAAGACATTGAGAATACCATTCTTCGTGAGGCAAACGGAGCGATATCGGATGTTGTCGTGGTGCCTCGTGGAGATCCTCCAGTCCTTATGGCTCATGCTGTCCTGTCATCCGTCTCTCCGAAGGACCAGACCGGCTTTCTCCAGCATCTAAATACATCTCTTTCTTTACCACAATATATGCGGCCAGCAGCCATTATCCCTATCGATAAAATGCCTCTGACTACTCATGGCAAGATTGACAGAAGTGCGGTGCAGATCCTTTCGATAGCCCATCCCTCCCAAAAGCCATCTCCTGTCACTGAAATCACGCCAATGGAAAATCAACTTTGGCAGATCTGGGAGAATGTCATTTCAAAGGAAGTTTTACAGTTGCACGCCATTGATGGTGATACAGACTTTTTCCATGTCGGAGGCAACTCGATGCTTCTCATCAAACTGCAAGAATTGATCAAACAGAAGTTTGGCACTTCGTTGGGTATCATGCGTCTTTTTGAATGCAGCACGCTGCGTACGATGGCAGCAGCGATTCAAGACGCGTCCGTCACCAGGTCTCCTGATATTGTTCACTGGGAAGAAGAAATAGCTTTTCCCGAAGAGCTGTCAGTCATGGCCTCGTCCCAGTCTACTAACCTTACAAGAAAGCATGCTACTAGTCCTCTAGTAATCATCCTCACTGGTTCTACAGGCTTCCTGGGGAAAGAAATACTCCAACAGTTAATTGCATTGCCAAGTGTCCAGGAAATTCACTGTGTTGCAGTCAGGGATGAGAAAAAGCTTGAGGACATGGTGACCTCCTCAGGCAAGGTAGTAATCCATCAAGGAGACTTGAGCCTTCCACAATGCGGGCTCTCCGATCAATCTGCCTCTGAAATTTTCAGCAAAGCAGACGCAATCATCCACAATGGCGCCGACGTGTCTTTCTTGAAGAGTTATCGATCCTTGAGCCCATCCAATGTCGAATCGACGAAAGAGCTGGTTCGTCTGTCACTACGCCAACGGCAACTTATCCCATTTCACTTTATCTCAACCGTCACTACAGGACGACTGAATAAGAGCGAAACTTTTGGAGAAGTCTCGTTATCATCGACTCCTCCTCCTCCAGGGTTCCCAGATGGTTACGTTGCCAGTAAATGGGCCAGCGAGGCCTTTTTGGAACGGGCAAGTACGAGTTTTAGTCTTCCGGTATACATTCACCGCCCATCGAGCATTACAGGCGAAGGAGCAAGCGATCTCGATGTAATGCACAACATGCTAAAGTATGCACGCCTTACAAAATCCGTGCCTGAATCATCCCGCTGGAAAGGATATATCGACTTTATCAGTGTAGAGAATGTCGCTCGCGGGATCATCCAGGAAGTCCTCCACAGGGAAAACGAAAGTAGTACTCCCGCAAGCAATACCGCTCATGTGAGATACATTCATCATTCCGGAGATATCGTTACCACAGTCGAGTCGTTTAAAGACTACTTGACAAATGAAAGTGGAGAAACCTTTATAGGATTGCCGCTAAGAGAGTGGGTGGAAAGGGCAAAGGAACACGGCCTGAATGTCCTAGTCGCGGGTTACTTGACAGCAAGTGATGAGAGACAGGTGGATGTGGTATTCCAGAGGTTGATTAAATTGAAAGTGGCATAAGGAATTCGTAGATCGGGGCAGAGCGGTTTCTTGAATTTGCTTATTCTCAATGGAGATTGAACATTGATATGACGAGCTTTACTATTTCCATCATCTTGAAAAAATGCAAGGTCAGAAAGAATAAGTTTATTTTTCTGTGCCAAAGGATATCCGGGCCTGCTACTTACGGCCAATTCTACAGTAGAGACCGGCCAATTCTGGCGCCCATGAAATGTAAATATGTGATATTGGTTGCAGATCTTGCCATATCTGTTATCAAAATATCAGGGCGGACTTTATATTTTTATTTTAAATATAGCTATCACCCAAATTCCATGTAATTATGTAATATACTGGACATCTCTGGCTTAAAAGAGCTAGTATTAATACCTAAAACTCTAAGCTCTGGTTCTTGAGTCCTGCCTCTCTCTAGGTTTTGTAATTCCAAAATCACCTTTCGTGCCCAGTCAAGGTCTATTATTTTGTACTGGGTTGGATCACTGGGGATAACCTCACGGAGTCTGTTCCAGACAGAAAGAGGCCAGGCACGCTTTTGCATATTCGAGAGACCATGGAACCAAGATTTCCAAGAGCTTTCTCTCCGGGAAAATAGAAATTAAGAGCGGCCATAGCGATTCTGGTAGGATGATATTATCGTTTTTCTCCAACAGAAGTCTCAATTTGACGGCGGGCTCGGGTAAAGATAGTGGCCTCGTTATTGGCCGGGAGATAGCCACAGAGGATCTGGATCCGGAAGACTCGCTGATGAATGAGCTTGCGAGAAGTGTCATGGGCGAGATAGAGGGGTTTGGGTGCTAATTCAAATCTCGTAGATTGGGTACTTGTTCCAGGATATCAAGTGGGATACGGGAGTGCACTTTGTACCAATCACACCGACTGTGGAAGGAGATGATATAACAACTTTAGGTGACGGGCCTAGGCTGCAAAGCATTTGCTCCGTACCTAATTAAAAAAAATGTAGCAAGTTTGATATTATACTATGTATTGTAAGATTGTGCGCGCTAAGAAAAGTGAGGAGGTTTGTATACTATCGACTAAAGCTCGCTATCCAACAAGAGCACATGAGTGGATTTATGCGCTGCAATCGCCATATTGGGATAGCCGTCAGGTAATCTGGTCTCTAAGCTAAGTTATTCCAAAACTAATATCATTTTGCCAAGTCAATCCTTCTTGAATCGACTTGGGTCCATGCATATAATGATTGGTTCCCATGTCTGACCCCACAGGCTGATGCAAATGTAACGACGCGTTAACCAAGCGACAAAACATCGGAACAACGTACTAGGTAGCTGGGAATGTACCTGCCACAGAATTTTGCGCAATCTCAGGTAAGGTCGGAATGCACTGGGATGCCCTCAGTTAGTTAATGCCCCGGGTATATTAGGGCCGAAATGCAGACAACGGTGGACGATGAACAAACTGTAGGCGCTCACAAGTTTCTTGTCTTTGTGGAACGAAATCGACACTCACTTCACTTGCTTGATCGCGACCGGGCCTATTTGATCGCTCAATTGGATCAAATGTCAGCCAACCAATTATCTTGGCCAAAGAGTGCCGCAGACGTGTCAGACATGTTCGTTTTCATGCTGCAAGCACAGTGGATATCCGCCCAATACCATGGCCGGCACCCAGACTCAGATTTTGCAGATAAAGAATTGTGGAGAATACGGGAGAATCGAGGAGTCAATTCTCAGGGAAAGCTTCGAGAGTATGCAAAGGAGCGTAACATGGATTATAATAGGCTTCGGGATACGGTTCAAGTTAACCAGAAAGCGGGAGCCATAGAGGCGGAGTTGGGAGTTCCCGGCTTGGGAAAGACCTTATACTCTGCCTTCAAACGACTAAGAGATCTGAAGCAAAATGAAATTGAGTCATTCTGCAGGCTATTTCGTGCTAGTGATTCGTTTGCAGATTACAAGAGCTATGCAGCTATAGCGCTGGCATTATTGGACGATTATTTGACTCTGATGCAGCGGCATGATTTAGATCAATAGATAGTGGGATAAAATGACAAACTATGCATGCTTATCGAGAAGTTCTCACCCCTTTTCCAGGTTTCTGATCGTAGGTGTTGCATGGAATGGCGCTACTTTGACGGGGACATCATCCCTCTGAATCATAATCCGTTGCCGTTCAAGAGAAAAGGTCTGGAGAACAAATAGACCATCACTTTCACTCGGCCAATTGAAGCACATATCTGATAGTATATAGGCTACCACTTTCTGAGATAACTCTAGCGGTACCAGGCATAGAGGACCTTCTAATCTCTTCCGATCGAGAGTTGTCCGGTCGAGCGTATGCGACTTATCGTATAGCTGAAACCGAACGTTTCCCCGCACAAGCCGCAGCAAGCAGATTGCTTTGTTTCGATGGTATCCGTAGGGTCCTAGCCTATAGATTGAGGGCGGTTCTGTGGCTTGGGCGCAGTTCACTAGAATGGGTTCTCCACGAACGACATCCTTTATGTCATTTCCACCAAGAAGGGAAAGAATGTAGTGCATCTATCAGCTCGGCGCGTAAGCTTGTGGAGTATATGTTTTTCACGAATAACGTACCCTTGCTTCCAATAGGTCATGCTCTACGAAGTTAACGAGAGCTTTCGATAATTGAGTCCCGTATCTGCCCCGGACACAAAGTGTGGTTGTCGAGTTCTGTTCGAGAACATCATCCAGCCACTTCAGTGCCTGGCCCGACGGAGGGTCCCAAGGCAAAACAGCATAACCTTCGTAGTTGAAAGTCATCTCCTCATCTTGTGCGTCATCCTCGGGAGCGCTCACAACGGCCCCGCGATATTTCCTCGTTGCATTCTACAGTAGTGTATGATGATTAGGTAATCATCCTTTGGCCGTGGGTTCTGAAATCAAGGCGTAGATAGGCCGCATGCGCAAGTGATGAGAGATGTGATAGTCACAGAACGTGTTTATTCTCGAATCAAAGTTTGGGACTGAGTGGAAATTGACTTAATCTCTCTCATAGGTGCTCAAGGCTAGAATATATGAAAAGGGGTCGTTTAACGATGCTTTGGATTGGTCGTGACCTAAGTTTATGAACCATCGATTAGTCACTAAGCCACTACTCCTAACTGATAAACAAGAAAGTGGCAGAAAAGCGAGTCAGGCAGTCATCATTTGGCCTGGGCAATACCAAACAAGCCTTGCTTTCCTCCTCGATCCTGCTAAGTGATTCGCAGCAGGACAAAGCAAGACTTTTATGCCAACGAACTCACCATCAAACCTTGCTATAAATTGGAAGCTGTAATATCAGAGCGAGTTATAAACGCTGCTAGAGATGATCAAGAAAATTGATAGAGAAAGTTAGAACACATGTAATCACATGCATCAGATTACTCAAGATACATTTAGCTACACGATTAGACGGACAGAGCGGCTTCGTCTACAGCTCGCTTTAATTTCCCCTCCGCTTTAGTGTAAACTTGTCCCAGAGACTCGCGTCCGAGATCGTGAATCCATCGCCCATTGGGTTTTAGTCCCATATTTCGAGTCAATAATGAGGACAAATAAAACCAATTGAGAGCTTGCCCAACGGTGCTAACCTCATCACTAACGCGATACGAAGAACGGGAAGAAGATATCCGACCATACAGGTCGGAATCAGTCCAGAGTCGTAGCAAGTGATGTGCTACACTCTGCACGTCGCCCACTTCTACTAAGAATCCGTTTACCTGGTCTTGAACTTGGAGAGGAATACCGCCTGCTTTTGTGGCAATGACAGGCTTGCCCTTGTGGATCGCCTCGGAAACTTTCACTTCAAACCCTTCACACTCTGATAGTTGTAATACAATCGCTGCATTAGATAGCAAGGTATTCAGGACCTGATCAGATGGACCCAGACGCATGACGGTAATATCGTCGGACAGCGCAGACGCATTCTGCCTGATCCACTTGAGCACATCATCGTAGACAAGAGAACCATCAGGATCGTCTACTGAACCATGGCCGCATATCAGAAGCTTGGGTGCCTTTACGTTGGGGGAGTGTTCGGCTAGTAGGCGTCGAAACTCCGCGTACGATTTCAAAACACCTATGATCCCTTTGGACGGGTCAAATCGAGCTATCTGAACAATATACTGATCATCCGGATAGTTGATCGGCGGCATACCAGCGTTTCGACAATCATGGTTGAAGATACGCCCATAGTAAGCATAATCCCAGTCCCTCATATCTTTGTTCAATCCATCTAGCCAGTCCGTAGATGCCGGCATGTAGCCAAGTGTTTCCCTGGGAACATTGTGAGGAACGAATGCAGCCACTGGGTGACTGATGAAAATGTCTGCGAGCTTAATATAAGCCCACAGGAAATCCCATACCTCCGACTGAGGGCTCCCAGGAGTCGAAATTAGATCACTTCGCATCTGAATATGGCTGCGATAAATCACAGGTCTTTTTGGGTCTACCTGTTTCGCAATAGGGATTAGGGCAGGCATCTGAGGGTCATCAATAATGATAATATCAGCACCGCCTTCAGAAGATCGACATAGAGGACCGCCCTTCCGCGTCCAATATCTGCGCGCATTGTCTTCAATCCAATCCATTAGTACTCCTTGTTGGTCCAGGTCCAGTCGCTCATGCGGCTCAGCAACTCCTTGGAGGATGTTATGATTTGTTTTGGTAATACGAAAGACACCCGGTCGTGGTTTCGGCACGTACCTAGAGGTCATAGTCAATCAGTAACGGAACCCGTGATGTCAAAGGTCTGCTATAACGAATCACATTACCATTTGAGATCGACACCAAGTATATGTGAAAATCGGACGAGCGCATGACGCATCAGCGCGACGCCGCCACCCTGGGGTGTCGCACTGAAGAAAGCAATCTTCACCTTTCGACGCGTCAAGTCCTCAACATAATGTTGTACTCCCGACCAAGTCTTTGATCGCACTGTTTTTGAGAATGATTCAAGATCTGCAATGTGGATATGAAATCCAGAATCAACTTCTACCGCTCCGAGAAAATCCACATGTAGAAATGGCAGTTTGTTTGGACCGAAAAATCTGGATACACGAAACATCAGCCAATAATTCGCAGGTTATCGACTGGGTGATTAGTGCTACCTGATGCACTTCCGGGACACAGATTCAGCTTGCTCATCGATCCCCTTTCCTTTCAGATGTGTGACAGCTTCTGAGCCCACTATATGTTCTGCGCCTGGCTCCTCATGTAGTAGAATTGCTATAATATCTAGCTCCAGCCACAAACGTGGGCAGAGGGATGGGCAGTGCGCATGTAAAGACTTGGAAAGTGCGGCTCCAAGTATCTTCTCAGCGTGTATATTGCTGTAGTTCTGGAGCTCTGTGAGGATGAAATGACATATAGCGCCCTCTAAATCTGATCCTTCGAAATCTTGCTCCAAAAAATCGAGAAGGTATGTTTCATTGCGAAGCGCTATCGCAATTCGAGATTTGCCGTCTACAAAGCTACCCGCTATTCCTGCGTACAAAGTCTGTCTTTTTATCAACATTGACGCATGGACAAGTAGGGGTAATTGAGCAAAATCACCTACATCAATGGTTGGCCCTGACCAATCACACCTGACCAAATGGGTTTTCACTTGGTCATGCTGAAATATAGACTCACGCCGGGCGAACCCAAGCGCCTCATGTACTGCCATGATGTAAGGGGCTAATGAGCTTTTCGTACCACAATGAGAGAGTAGCCGATGAAAGTGTGGTTTTTAAAGCCCCATATAGTTCCTAATTATTCGCTTCCTCTAAATGAACTAAACCTGCTTTTTTTTTCGATGGCAGAAGATTCATCTAATAGTGGATGACATCAAGATGTGAGCTGGGGGGGGTCAGAGATTTTCCTGTTACAGCCCTAGGCAGTTTTAACCCTAAAACTTACTCAAGCTTAGGGACCACAGCCAAGGATGTTTTATGAGGATTAGCGTCTGATTGATTGGTTGTTCAAAATGGCTCACCATCGGGGGCGACTACATAGTTCATAGTGAGCCGCAAACGGAAACACAACTCTTTTGGCGAGCTTACCGAGCGTCCTTATGCCCTGTTCGCTAATGAATCATATTTTAATGAGTAATCGAACCGAGGTTACAATATCATGCTCGTGAAAGTGGTAGCGGCCGTCATGACTGACAGCTGACATTTAGGATGCCCCGACTTTTGTCGTTCCCAACACAATGTGAGACACGTCCAATTCAATTACGAACATTATCTCGTACCAAATGGAATCTCTACAAAGGACAAAACTTGTTGTTTTCAGCGCCAAGCAGTATGACCGTTTTTACTTTGACATAGCGGCCTCCAAACCCCACGGAACACTTTGTGACATTGAGTATCTAGATTTTGCTTTGTCTTCAGAAACAGCTTCATTGGCGCGGGGTTATGATGCTGTATGCATCTTTGTCAACGATACGCTTGGCAAGGATACTTTGACGATATTGCACGCCAATGGAGTCCGTGCTATTCTTCTCCGGTGTGCCGGTTTCAACCACGTCGACCTCGTCGCTGCCGGGGAATTGGGCTTGTTCGTTGCTCATGTTCCAGCTTATTCACCTGAAGCTGTTGCCGAATTTGTCATTGCATTAGTTCAGACTTTGAATCGTAAGACCCATCGCGCCTTCAACAGGGTTCGCGAAGCCAACTTCAACATCGAGGGCCTCATAGGAAAAAAGCTTAATGGAAAAACCGTCGGGATCGTTGGCGTTGGCCGAATTGGTCTAGCAACTGCCCGCATCTTCAGTGGATTTGGTTGCAAGATGCTAGCATACGATGTTTATGAAAATCCTGATTTCGCGCGGTACGGTCAATTTGTTGGTCTTGAGCGACTGTTGGCAGAATCCGATATCGTCAGCCTTCATTGTCCGCTAACTGATTCCACGCGGCATTTGATCAACCCGGAGATGCTTTCTATTATGAAACCGGGGGCTTTATTGGTCAACACATCACGCGGCGGTCTGATCGACTCTACGGCAGTTCTCGGGTCTCTCAAGTCACATCATCTCGGTGGACTAGCACTGGATGTATATGAGGCCGAGAGGGGTTTATTCTACAAAGACCACTCGGGAACGATCATCGATGACGACGTTTTGATGCGATTGTTGACCTTTCCAAATGTCCTCATTTGCAGCCACCAGGGCTTCTTTACTGAAGACGCACTTACCGAAATCGCCAATGTCACTTTTGCAAATCTACGTGACTTTGTTGAACGTCGTCCGTGTCCCAGATCCCTTGTAGCGGGCAGGCAAACTGATAGCTCGGTGAAAGTCGAGCCTGTACGTTTGTAACTGACAATGCATTATTGTCACGCGCCTGGATACACCTTAGCTGTCACGGGCTGTGTTGAGGTATGATATGAGGGGTGAACCATACAGAGATTCCTAAAGATAATCCTTGTTAATAACTAAATATAATAATAATCTGATAATGAAAGTATTTCTAAGATAAAAGAGATCTTTTAAAGTATTATTATCGGAAACTTCGGTTACTTTACCATCGAGTATAGCTAGGATAGCTATTAATGGGCAAAGTTAATAGGCTTCTAAGGTCAAAAGGTCACAATAGATAAAAAAAATAAAAATAAGATCTAAATATTCTAATCAATAGAAGATCATATATTTAAATTATCTTAGTTAAGGGGTACTTAATATAGTTAATTTAAGATAATAGAAGAAAACTAAATATATAGTAAATGAGTGTTTTTATACAGTTATTCTTTATTATAGCTATTATAGACTTTCTCTAATATCTTTATTCTTATATTATAGCAATTATAGCTATATTATAATTAATTATAGTAACTATTCTTAATTAGGCCTAGTGCCTACATATTTGTCAGAGAATCAGAACATTACAGCCAATGAACAAGGAACGCTAATGCATGGGAACAAAGGATTATCTGGAAACGTCACACAAGGAGCTAGAATATATTAGAATTAGGGCTATTATAGCTGTCAGAGCTAATTATTAGTATATAACTATGATAGATATAATTAGACTTATTAGAGTCAGATGTAAGGAATAGACTATAATGACTATAATAGAGAAAAGTTATATAAAAATATTTATTTACTCTATATTTAATTTTCTTTTATTATCTTAAATTAACTAAGATAACTTAAATATATAATCTTCTATTAATTAAAATATTTAAAAGTCTTATTCTTATTTCTTTTATCTAATTAGATCTTTTAATCTTAGAAGTCTATTAATGTGACGGGGGTTGCAAGAACGTAGCTGGGATTCGGCTTCGGCCTAGGAATAGATTCGAATATATAACATATATACACGTATGCTCAGCAGCTAATTGCTGCTTTCTAAAGGCCTGAGACTACCCGCGGTTATAAGGTGGTGTCTGCCAAGCCGCTAGTCCAATTAGTGGTGGGAAGCTAGATAAGGTTATATATCTATTATACTTTAAAGCTATTCCTAACTTTATCTAGGATTCTATCTTATAACTATCTCTCTCTTTATAAGGGTGCGTCCCTGAGTCTAAAACTTTATAAGCTTATAAGATTTAGTATATAAAATTAATAATTTTAAATTTATAATAAAATCCTTATTTTTAGTAAAGAAATCAAAGATAGATAATAAGTATTAGATAGAAGATTAAATATATAAAAAATAATTAAGATTAATACTAGTAGTAAGTATATATAAATTTTTATCTTTTTTATTCTAATTTTCTTTTTCTTTCTCTTTTTTTTTTTAGTCTTATCTTCTTTCTTAATAATAAATATTATCTTAATACTATATTTTTTTATTAAAATTTTATTAAATATAGATTTAGTGCATTTTATATTATTAATTTCTTATTTTTTCTATATTAATTTAATGCTTAGGGTAATAGTAAAATAATTTTAATTATTTTATAGTTAAGTATAATAGTTAATTTAAAGTATTTAATTCTAATAATTTAAATCTATTCTAGTTATCTCTTTTTTTAAGAGTAGCATCTTAATACTTAAGAAAATATTAATATAGTAGTAGTTTATTATTATTAATCTAGATTTATCTTTATATTTAGAGTACCTTGCAAAAATATTGTTTATATAGATAAGTTAGCTATATAAAATAAATTATAAAGTTAGATAAATATTAATGCAGTTATTAATAATATAAATAAATAAATAGCTTAAACCTCTATATATTTCTAAAGGTCCTCTAATTAAGTCTTTTAGTATAGTCTCTACTTCTAATATTATGTCTAATAACTCCTAGCCTCCTGCATCTCTAAAGGGTAAGATAAGTGATAATATTTTATATATAGGGTTTTAATATTAATAAGGTATAGAAATATATAGTTAAGTTTTTATATAAATTTCTATATTTAGCCTATTTTTAATTATAGACTATTTTAAATCTTTATAACTATATTAAGCAGTAGTATATTTATTATAATATTATAACTTAGTTATGCATATATTATTAAACATTTAAATATAAATATATTCTTATAAGTATATATTTATACTTTAGTTTAAGTATCTATATTATTAAATATCTCTTATTTTATAACTAATATTAATAATTTATAATACTTTAAGTCTTTATTAGATTACTTAAAGACTTTAGCTAATAAGTTCTATCAGAGTTTAATAGTAAGAGACTTTAATAATTAATATTATATATTAAATAGAGTACTTAAGACTTTAAATTATATATTTAGAAAATATATTATTAAGATAGACTCTAGTGCTAAAATTAATAATAAAAATATAGCCTTAATTTAGTTTAATCTACTTAAAAAGTATTTAATTATAATAATTTATACTATCTTATTAGAGGAGCTTTATCTTTATTATTCTTATTTCTAGTTAATATATTTAGCTGGTAATCCTGCTAACTTTAATAGAGAAAAAGAATCTCTTTTATTTTTCCTTATTAAGCTTATTTATAGGTAGGCACTTATATCTAGATTTTTAGATTCTTAATCTTATAATTTATTCCCTTAACTTTTATAATTAATTAATTAAGTCTTTATTAATTATATAATATAAATTTCTTTTAAATTTTATAATTAATAACCCTTACTAATAGTTTATAATATAAAATAGATTCTATATTTATTCTTAGCTATTATAAATTAAATTTTTCTTTATCTCTTTCTTTCTTACTTTAAGTTATAAATAGTCTTATAATTTTAAAAGTAAGTTTTAAATATAGTATAATCACTAATATTCTTTTTAAATTTCTATATATAATTTTCTTTAAAATAGCTTATCTACTTAATAAGATATATTTTATTTTTTTTAGAGTTTTTTTTCATATAAATTTCTTTAATCTTATATTCTCTAATATTATTTATAATAAGACTATTAAATAGGGTTTTATTTTTAGCTATATCTTTGAATAATTCTAGTAAGGAGATATAGAATACTAGATATAATTGTTAGTATTATGAGGATATTTTTAGCTTATATATATTTGTTCTTTATATATTTAATATTTAGAAAGATCTAATAAACTTAAAATTAAACTTTAATTTTTTCTTATCTAGAGGGTAGATGTTTATAGTTTATAATATCACTTTATTACTAATTTAAAACTGCATTACTATGCGTTTCTTATTAAAATATTTAAACTAATTCTTTAATACTTTCTCTAATAGCTTTTAAAGTTCTTTATATTTAATTTATAATTAAATTACTTATTTAGTTGCTAGTATTTAATCCTTTTTTATCTTTAAGATTTCTTTATTAGAATCTATATCTAGAGGGTTCTAATTAATATTAATATAAATATCTCTCTAAAAGTCTATTAGTACTTTGGTAGATGATATTCCAGTAATGTTATGCATACTATTATTATATATATATTAAGCTAATACTAATCACTATATCTAGTTATTTTATAATAAATTAATATATAATTAAAGGTAATATTCTAATATCTGATTCTATTATTCTATTTGGTTATTAGTTTAAAGATAATAGACTGTGCTAATTCTTCTTCTTATACTAAGGTGTTAATAAAGTATTTTCTAAAATGTGGCTATAAATATCATTGCTTAATTACTTATAATATTCTTAGATATAGTGAAGTATTTAATTACTAATTTGTATATAATCTCTGCTAGTTCTTTTATTAATATAGTAGTAGATATAGATTTATATATAATATATTTTGTTAATAGTTCTATAATAATTATAATGGTATTATATGTTTTTTCTCTCTAATTTAAAGATAGAAATTCTATTATGAAATCTAAGGTAACTAACTCTTAAGGTTTTATAGGTTTTAGTAATGGCTTTATTAGCTTATATTCTTTATATTATAGTATATGATTATGTTGGTACTTTATATATATTAAGTAATAGTATTAAACTGTATTATAAAGTCTTTACTAAAAATATTTTAATAATATTATTTTATATGTTCTTTTGATACTAAAATAACCTTTTTATAGGTTATTATGATTAACTTGCAGGACTTCTTGTCTAAGTATATAGTTATATAGCATATATACTGCGCTTTTAAATCTAAGTAGGTTATTAGCTTTAATATATTAATAGGAATGATCTACTTTTAAATTTAGATCTGTCATCTATTTTTATATATTTCTAGCTTATATGTCTACTTGCTAATAATAATAAATAATAGCAGTAAGCTTTTTAGATATATCTAAATAGATTATTTTAATTGTAGTAACTATTATTACTTTAGATCTTAGTATTAAGAATTCTAGATTTCTTATAATATTAATAATTATTTTTTTTTAATTATTAGATATATTTTAATATCTAGAATTTAAATTATTATTAATTTAAAGAGTTTTTATTACTTTTTTTAGATATATAAATTCTATATTATTAGAACTATATCTATATTTAGAAGATTTTATTTTTATTAAGTAAAGTCCTTAGCTTAGCTTTTTCTTTAATATTAGCAGTAAAATCTGTTAGTTATCTTTAACTTTAATATAATCTAGCTTTTAACTTAATATATCTATAGGATTTTTATATCTTAGCTAATACTTAATATTAAAATTAAATACTATAAGCTTTTTAACTTATTAAGTCTGCCTTTAGTTTAGTTTTTTTATAGTTATAAAATACTAAAGATTATTATAATTTAAAAGAATAATTATAAGCTTATTATTATCTTTTAGATAGTGTTTTTAATATTTAAAGACTTTAATAATAATTAATAGCTCTTTATTATATATTTTATAGTTAAGTTTAGCTAAAGTTATTTTTTAAAAGTAAAATATTATTAGATATTATAATTTATTAGCTTTTAACTAATTTAGGATTATTATTATAATAAAATTTAATATATTAGTTTT